AAGCCAAGCGACCCCCGTTACATGACCCTCTACTACAGCTCCTCTACAATCCTAGCTTCTTAAGGAATAGTGTAGCCTTGTGCATGTTGATCTATGGCTGCTATAAAGGCGGTAGTAATAGTGTTCTATAGCTAGGTGATCTGCTAGGTCTTGGTGATATGGCGTTGGACGGCATCAGAGACTTGAGGTTTGGGGGCGCCCCCACCGGGGATCTGGCTGCTCAGCGGAGGTGCCGGGTAGTGCACGTCCTTCTGGAGCCATCTTGAGGCGCGTGTATTGAGCTGCTGAGGGGACTTGGGGTCTGGGGACCCCATGTGGTGGGGAGGAGGGAGACTCTGCTATCCTATTAAACTCCCTTGCGCGTCGCGTAGGGGACCTAGGCGGATGCTAGAAGTACTCCCAGAGTGGCCGCAGCGAGCCGGATCAATTGCTGGGATTTTTGGGGCCTCTGTGAAGGAAGTTCAAAAATCGAAAGTTTGGTGTTGAGAGTGATTAGGTGTTAGCCGCTAGGCTCTTGCGCGCTGTAAGAGGTGCAGAGAGACTAGGCATAACTCTCGTACGTGTAAGAAAGGTACCTGAAATACTACTTAATCTACTCTATCAATATTTATATATTACCCTATAAGGTGGTTGAGATTTACGGGTGAAGAGGTGCGCAAAGTTGGTAGGGTGCGGCGCTCACTTGTACGCGGCGCTCGCTTGTAAAGCACGTTATCTGCGGCTAAATTTGTGTTCCTTACTTGCGATTCCTGTGTTCAACATTGTTGTTTCAAGGCCCGCAGAGGCATGTTTGCTCGTGATTTGCGGCTCACCTTCAGTCTTCCCCTGGTATGCATTTCACGTATATGCTAGCTTGCCCTCGTGCTATCAGAATTGGAATACGTTCCGCGAGCTTTGTTGATCTTTAATGTTGCGAAGCTGCCCTATGCGGCCGTGTTTTGTGGCCGCTGCGAACGGCGTTTTGGAGTGCATGGGCGATTCCCGCATTGACATTCAGCGAGTGCGGGCGCATTCTGCGGGCAACTAAAGAGGGGTGCGGCGCTATGGACCGCACGGGATTGTCGAGCACGGGCTGCTTTGAAGCAAGTGATTGAGCAGAACTCTCTTGTTATATTGTAGGGCGGTGCTCTCTCTCTATATACACGCACGGGCTCACTCTAGCCACACACACGTGACTGTTTCAGCCATAGTGATATTTAGCAGTTAGTAAAAGATATTTATAGAGAGGTTGTGCTTAGTTGTTGTGAGCTTAGGTGAGTTGGCGATCTAAGCGGCTCACCACTATTGAGGGAAGGATTGGGTGCTCCCTCCCACTTTGGTATCATTCCACCACAATCTTCACGTTGAATTGACCGAAAAATAAGGTCTGTGAAGATGATCCGACGTCGTCGTCGTCTTTGTTGATGGTATTTTCGCCATTAATGTCGCCATCGTCGTCGCTATCGCTATCGCTATTGTTGTCGTCGTTGTCGTCATTGTGTCTGTTCACGCTCAAAACGACCTTGCCCACGCTTCCCTTAGCCAGTGTCCGTTGCAGGATTTTGAAACCGTCCCATGGCTTTCCGCATCTGCAATTCTCTTTCTCGGGATCGTGCCTTTCGCGGAAATGGTAGTACTCTTCCACAACGTCCTCGAAAGACTCATGTGGCTCTATTTCAGTCACGTCCAACCAGACCTTCCAGTTATGAACGCCCAGAATCGCGACGAAATGTTCGCCAGTCATGGTATTCCCAAATAGTGCCCCTCCGTAAGCTCCGCTGTCAACTAACTCGAGTTTGAAACGGCCATGGCGACGCTCTTCAAGCGTCCATCGATAGAAACCATCCGGGTTATGGTGTTTCTCGAGATTGAAGCCACGTCCCATCACACCACTGAAATCCACGTCAAACAGGTATCTGTAGGTCTCTGGAATCGTCAAGTCGCGCCCAAGCGTACGCGGTGCTGCTGATCCAAGGTATATGGATTTGGGCGCAGGAATACTGACGGTATCGTCGATTGTCAAGACCTCTGAACAACGTATCCGGTGGTATACCTTGGGATGAACCTCTTTAAGGAAGATGGCAAGGCGCCGGTCATCGTCTCCCATACAGTCCAGAACCGCAGCTAACGCACCGTCCTGCACCTCTATCAGGGGCAGTCTCATGCGCAGGCCTCGATTGGTCATCAGGAAATCTCTGGAGTGAATCCGTTCGAGAAGCCTAACTTGTTGGCAGGCTACGAATTCCACAGGGTTCACCGCAAGGGGTCCTCGTTCGCGTGGCCCTCTTTCGTCGTTGGGGCTCTTCCAGCTGAACAAAGAATGGTCGGTAGAAGTCCTCATGAACTCCAGCTGTAGACGCTCGAACGCTCTCGCCCCCTCTCCATACAGCAAAGGCATGTTGATGCCAAGGAGACTGAGCAAACAGTATGCCATATCCTCCTCCCGAGTTGTTTCACGTTTGGCTGCCCATGACATGACTTGTGCGATACTGCACTCGCGAGAGAAGTCCCGTGCAAGGATGCGGGGGGGAATCCCCGTGACGCGCTGAATGGTAGGTGACAGATTGCCTCTCGTGTCAATCCTTTCCCAGTCTTGAGTGTAGAACACCATAAACTTCGGCGCCAACAGCTCCTGAAGGGTCCAGCCACGCGTGAACCATCTACTCCGATCCACCGTCTCGTAACTCCCAGTATCCGATAAGAAGACGTAACAGACTTCGGCATAGTGGTACCACTTATACATCGAGTTGATGGCTTCCGATAGCTCAGAATCACTCGTCTTGTCAATACAGCAGGTGTCTACCCACCAATGGACCAGTCCGTCCAAAGCGGCCTGTTTCCCACAATTGACTATTTTGGCGTATCCGGGTTTGTCCTTGCCGATGCCCTTTGACAACTCCTGAAGCTTGACTTCTTCCTCATCGCTGCCCCACGTATGGGATAGTATCGCATAGGGGGGGACGTTTTTAACGAGGTTGCTAGTAAGACTAGGATCGCCGTTGCTGTTGAAGTGCAACAGACGCATCTTTGCAAATGAAATGGCGAGTCGGTATGATATTCACTGCGCGTGACCAGAATAATGGCTGGCAAAGTATTCGATACAGATCGAGGCAAAGATGAACAAAATCAAGGTCAATATCGAGGGTGTTGGGGGGCTACACGAGCGCCTGTGTCTGGAAGATAACAAATATCACCTTATCAGCTGAGCCTGAGAATTGCTGAATTGGTTAATTTTGCATATATTCTGATCAGACCACATACGTATCTACGTTGTGCAGCTGCGGTGTTACATAGATATCGCGTAACGTACCTGGTAAGCGAGCTGGCCACCCCACCAGACTTTAATGCCTCTATCGTAATATATCTCAGCAGCAAAATGAGATAATTGAATATAATTACTATGCTGGATTAAGCTGTATTACTAGTATCCTTCTTATATGTTTGCGAGTTATGGCTAGTCTTCCTACAGTACCTATAGCGCGTGGAAGCCTATTAACTAGCACCTAATCACGCCTTACCTTAATGCGTTTCCGCCTTAAGCTACTACTTAACCTCTCCTTGAGTGATAAATTCCTATACCTCAACCTTTATTAGGGTGCCTTACTACTAGATTTACTTCTTTTTATAATTTTTACGCATTATTGTAGCTATATTTACCCTTTTAAACCTTATAATCTATTTATATTTTAGTGTAGCTAAATATAGTTTTACCTCAGTACCTCTTTAAGCCAATTAAGTACTATAGTAATAGAAAGTAGGTAATAAGCTTATGGCGTGATTAGGGGCCAGGCGGCAGGCTTTAGCGCGCTGTAGGCGCTGTAGGGAGACTGGCCATAACTCGCGAACATGTGAGAACGATACTAGAGATGTTGCTTAAACTATTATAGTAATGATATTCTGTTATCTCATTGTGTTGTTGAGATAGATTGCTGCGAAGGTGCGAAAGTATGGTAGGGTGGCGCGTTCGCTTGCCAGGTACGTTATATTAAGAAAGGCCTTAAATAGTGTGCGGTTAAGATGTGGACTAGGACTCGTTAACGCTCCAGTCCATTATGAAAGTACCTCGCTCAATCTCTACGCCCAGAATACCCCTAATACGTGAAGACATACGGGAATCATCGCCGTTCCCCGAACTCCCTCTTTGTGGGATACGAAAACTTGCCAGAAATATTGGAGCAGGAATTGACTTGACAACTTGCCGATAACTAGGAATAAGCTTCCTCAGTGACGTAGATAGGCTCGACCACAAAGGCTTATACATCGGCAAGTAAGCACAAACGTGTGCTGTCATAACATGTAAATGGGACCAGAAGATTGCTTCGTGGAAATGACTTAGACCGCGTTAGAGTCCCGTTTCGGTGTTAATCCCGCAATAACGGAACGTACCATACGGATAATGTGTTTGGTACATGTATCCAAGCCTTAGCCAATTCGTAACCACGACACTATTGCTAATTAGCGGTCCACGAGCGTAACAAGTGGTATCGTGGTACGTACACACTAGCAAGTAGGAAGATAGATATTAGGGCAGCTTTTGTAGTCTTCGCCATTGCAGTGTTGACACCATATGCATCGGCAAAACGACGATAACCATGTCAAGAAGCCCGTCAACAATACCAACAATGGTAACGTAGGTATTTCCGTTGAAGCATTTTCCCGGCTTCAGACGACGCTAGAAGGCGTCAAGGGGTATGCACATAAAGAAGCCAGCGGCAATAGAACCTACGAATCATAAGGTCGAGAAGGCGATAATACCAAGTGAGACCTTCTTAAACAGAGGGACCGCAAAGATGCGGCGGTAGGAAAAGAGAACGGAAAGCTTGACAGTAAACGCGGCGAGGAGGGAAAGCTGCCATCCTAACCAGATAGCCTACGGACAAGTTAGCTTCCCGCTTCTACATTCTCTAGAAGCTGTGGCATGAATTCACAAAAAGGAACCTCTCCAGCTTCTCGACCTTTCCTATGATCAGAATTTCTGCCACAATCGTCTAAATTTCTTTTCCTCTGCTCCCCTTAATTATTCCCCACACCTCACACACGCTTGCGAGCAAGGATGCCAGAAGGTTCGGGACCATGATATAGTCATCCGCGTGGATCCCATTTCGAAATCTGATTTTGCAGTAGAAACGTAAGGCTACGGCTGTGGCGCTAATCGCCTGGCATGCGATGGATGTAGTTATATAGTACTGAGCATGGGGTGGGAGGTCAAACATTTTGGAGAAGTTTTGTTAATGGCGGTATGGGACGATCGGGCCCTGTGCACTTTGCGTGCTGGACGGCTCGTCGTGCTGGTTTAATAATTGCGGGATGAAAGACCGGGGATAATCTAGACCTCTTCTAGCATGCAGCAGCTGTTGCGCTGCGCCACTGTGCACATACTAAATGGGGACATTTCAGGTGTAACGGGGCACAAAACGGCTGTATGTCCTCCCACGAGCTGAACTTCAAGTAACATGCGCCCATATGTGTAGCCCGAGATCATACCCACATGAAGAGATTTCGGAGTGGAAGGCGCTAAGTGTGAGCTTTGTGTAGCGTAAGGGAGCTGCTATGGTTCGCGAAACAACGAGGGTCCCCTTTTCTTTCACGCGCGCCCGATCTGGCATCCCGCTAGGGTCGGTTTCTTTCAGATTAAAGGATAATGGTTTGCTGGGTTGAAGTAATGATTGATTGAAATGGTTGCTCATGCATCTTGCGTCGGGATGTTTCTTGTTTTCTTGTGAATGGCGCTCTGACTAGGGAAGGGAGAAAACCATTTTAAGGATAGGTAAAGGTGTACCACCCATCTTGTAGTACCCATGACCCTGTAATTCTACACCTTCGTTCGATTTTTTTTTGATCATGTTTGGACCGTCTTTCATCCAGGCCTATACCACGCCTAGCTTTAATATCGTTGCTACACCAGCTTGGGATCGCGACTAGCCATGCTACTGCACATCCGCGCTTACTTGGCATCCCCCAATCACACTGTGCACTAATTAGGCAATTTATATATACAAGTACGGCCCGTGAGGCCTAGGATTCGACCCTACGCTGTACAAAACGGTCCTCCCTCATTTTCTTGGCGTGCCGTATGTACATATTTCCCCCTACTACGCGCAAGAACATACAGGAAGCCTATACGGTGCAGAGTACTGTACGGTAGCAGCGGTGCTATTCCGACACTAATGCGGTAGGATCTAACAGATCTTATTATTACCACCAAGCCAAAGCCACCATCTTGGCAAATACTATCAATTGGATCGAAAGAGCGAAGGTAAAAAGGACCCACTAAAGGACGAGAATGAAGAGCTTCGAAGACTTGGATCCGTAATAAGGCGACAAGCAAGAGGGAGTCGCCAAATGATCCAACGAACCAAGTGGGGATTCAACACCTTGTTAAACACACTGCGAGAACGCATGTATGCTGATTCAGCAATTTTTAAAAGCTTACAAGGGAACTCTAATCTTGGTTAATTCGAATTGCACCCCTGCCAACTAGCAGTGTTACAATCTGCTCATGGCCTTCAGATGAAGCTGCATGGAGTGCGTTGCCATAGAATCCACCCTTAGCATTGACGTCGGCGCCCTTGTCGAGCAGCACCTTCACAACCTGCTCATGGCCTCCCTCTGCAGCTGCCTGGAGTGCGTTTCCATAGAATCCGCCTGGCGCATTGACCTTGGCGTTGTTACCGAGCAGCAGCTTCACAGTCTGCTCGTGACCTTCAGATGAAGCTGCCTGGAGTGCGTTGCCATAGAATCTACCCTTAGCATTGACGTCGGCGCCCTTGTCGAGCAGCAGCTTCACAACCTGCTCATGGCCTCCCTCTGCAGCTGCCTGGAGTGCGTTTCCATAGTATCCGCCTGGCGCATTGACCTTGGCGTTGTTACCGAGAAGCAGCTTCACAATCTGCTCGTGGCCTTCAGATGAAGCTGCCTGGAGTGCGTTCCCGTAGAATGCATCCGGGGCATTGACGTCGGCACCCTTGTCGAGCAGCAGCTTCACAATCTGCTTGTGGCCTTCAGACGAAGCTGTTTGAAGTTTTTTGCCGTAGAGTCTACCCTTTACATTGACTTCAGCGTCCCTGCCGAGTATCAGCTGTGCCCCGTCTAGCTGAGTACACTCAAATGCTTGCTTGATGCAACTCCTTGCAGCGCCCAAGCAATCTAGTAAGTCCATGGTCATGGCGATAGGGAATCTAATCGAAGACTGTATCAAAGACCACTCGGGCATGGTCTTGGATGGGATCGATGTTGCTTTTTGCTGTTTCTGCTTCATTTTCTTCCCGAACAGAATCTCCTCGAATCTGACGACCAGGGGTTTGTAGCCCTTAGGCACTTCGTCATCCTCGATCTTTGTTTTCGTTGCTGCCTCATCTAGGGGCCTGACACACCATAGGCAGTCTCTTCTACCCAGAGGGCAACCGCCGTCAAATTCATGAGGCGGGTCATCCTTGTGTATCCACAAAAATCTTCGAAATCTGTAGTATATAATACTATCGAAAGACTTTCTTTGGTGAGAGTCGATGAGATCGAAGACGCTCGAGAAGAAGAGGGGGAGGAAGCCGAATTGCAAGTCGGCAAGCAGGTTGCTGCCAGCAACGCAATAGCATAGCTGGACAGGGTACCAGACAGCAAAAGTCGTCCTAATAGCACAGGGAGCTCCGCCGATCCTCCATGTGCCCCAAAAAAAGAGAACCAGTGCTGTAAAAAAGGTGACCAGGGAAAGCATCTCCATAGAAAGATAGCTAGGACTAGGCCTGTAGAATATCGCAAGAAGTATCAAATTGCTGATTGTCATTCCGGGTACGTAGGCAAATGGGGAGACGATGTATCGCAACGTAAAGTAGAAATCTACCCATTGATGCCGAGTGGGACAACGATCCCTGTGGTAATAAATTGCTCTCTCGGCATTTGCATCGCCTGGTTCGGCTTCCGCTCCCGTGGTCATGTCGACCCATTTGTAGCGCAGATCATCATCACTATTCCAACATTGTATGGCCGTGTTCCCGCCGAGTGTCTTGAATAAAAGTAGGCTTCCGAGAAAAAAGGCCATAAGAACATCAATCCCTCCTTGTGCGACATAGAAGCGCTTCCATGTGGTCCATTCCGTGGACTTGGCATTATGATCGAAGGCTGCCCGGAAACAGATGAAGGTAGGCCAAAGGTAGATGGCAGCGATATAGCTACTCGAAATGGCAAATTCCCAGTGAAAGCCCGTGTAGAAGCCTGGACGCTTGCGAGCCAGCATAAGGGCACCTGCGATTGTTGCAAGCGCAAAGAAGCTGTAGCCTTCACCTTTGGGCATGAGGTAGGTATATTGATGCATTTTGGAGTAGAGTAAGCACTAATTTGGTAATGAGACGTTATCTTGCGGCCTGCTATCATGGCAGAGACAGCGTTGGATACACTCGTGCGCACCAGCACGACGGGTACGCAAGTTGCAACTTTATATGGTCAAACCCACTCCACCCTACCCCACGCTTACACTGCGCGAATAATATTCAAAGAAGCTCTCGACTCTTTAGAATCTGCATGAGCTGATCCGCAATTTTGAAAGTGGTTCAAGGTCCCAAAAACATGGCGCGAAAGAAAGGAAATACGTCACTGTCGGTTCATGAACAAGATTACCGGCCATTACGAGATGATCAATCACTGTTGATAAGCAACATCACAGTCCTGCCCAGCCAAATCTTTGCTTTTACTTTACCCACATGATACCTCATTCAGTCAAGGGTCTGTTCTGACTCTGTCTCAGGCGGGCCTTTTGGCAGTTGAATGTAAATGGAAGATTAGGATTTTGGGTTGAACGATCGAATCAAGAGCTTAGAACTTGATATCCTTCCACTGTAGATATGATGCCATATCAACCACAAAACCGACTAGTTCTCTCCTATTCATATCGAGAACTCGACGCTTATAGTAAAGTGCTGCATGGAGGGCGCTTACGCCGGAAAGGGTTAACTTGACATGTGATATATCACGAATAGTCTGCGTTAACGTAAGCCAACTTGGCATTTTCCACAAACTGTTCATTATCACATGCTCATACAGAAGCGCGTTGACAGAACCATTGAATCCACTGCTTGATCTCTGACGACGGTGCGGTCCCAGCGTTGTGGTAGGCTGTAAACCTCTGGTCGTAGAACTTCAGACGAAACGCAATCCGGTTCCGAATCCGCCGGTCCAATGCTATCTGATGCGCCTGAAAGAATTAGTCCCGATTGGGTTGTCTGGTCCAGAGTCGCCAACGGCTGGATCGTCCAAACGATTGCTCTCGATCCTTTTCAACGTTGGCTTTGTACAGTCTCCCATTATGCGATGATCGACAATCTGGATCAAATCGTTGGCTGTCCCCGTCGAAGTGCAGGCATGATGAGCAGGCGCACGGCAACGATTTGTGGTCAAGCTACTATCGTGGCCGGATTTGTACTAGTCCCCGCCATTCCTATGCGAACATGTCTCTACTCCAACCCGGACCACCCCACTATCTCGCTGGGCATTTCCTTCCGCGGTCTGGAGATAGATTCTTCTTGTCCGGTGGTTCCTTCCTGTCATCTGTCGTCTCTCAGCCTCGCATAGCATCAGGGCATCATGTGTGGACCTCGGATGCATTCATGAAACGTAGGCGTGCAGGTCCAAGAACAGACTCAGAACTTCTTGTTGTCATCACGGCATGGATGCAGCCTTCCGGATACTTCTTATTTGTTGCTTATTTAGATCTGATAGAGCAAGGAGTATATCTGCTTCATCATAGGATGGTTGAGGAGCTGTTGGTTGATAAGGCGATGCGGCACGAAATGCTGGTGGGGTGGCCAGCTCGCCTGCCGACCACGTTATAATACCGGTACCGGTATAGGTAGCCGAAAGCATCCATGAGAAAGGTAAACTCCAGATCTGGATAAATCTGTAAATGCTAATGCATATGTAGCAATAGTTAACGTACTCGGCAAGCGAGTCGCGAACCCCACCAGCTTTTCTCTCCGCGTCACCTTTCAAACAACAATGGCTCCACCAACTACCGCTGCATCACCTTGCGATAAGGCGGCTATTCTTGCTATATTTACTGTCAACCAAAAACAGGTACGAAACGTTAATCAATCTGCACCCACGTTTAGTGTTCCTGAAAGTACGCTCCGTGACCGCCGCGTCGAAAGCCTGCACGACGCGACTGCGAGTCAAATTCAAAGAAGCTCACTAAGCTAGACGAGGAGGTTGTTGTTAGGCACATACTGACTACTGGCTGGGCGATTCTACCCTCTATCATCTTCGCTGGCCAGTATCACCTCTCTTCCTGGTACCAGGATAATGATATACCACGCGACTGGGCTTTCGCAGTGAGCGATACTGGTTGGACTACCAATGAGCTCGGAGTCGAGTCGCTAAAGCACTTCATAAAGCATACAGCAGGGCGTAAGGCAGGCGCGCGCCAATTGCTTGTTCTTGACGGCCATGAGAGCCACAAGCCGCTCGAATTTCAGAAGCTCTTCAAGGAGGACGATGTTACTACTCTCTACATGCCGGCGCATTCGTCGCACGTCCTGCAGCCGCTTGACGTTGGCTGCTTCTCGCCGTTCAAGCGCGCGTACGGGCTCCAGATCGAGGAGCCTGATACGCGACCACATCAACCACATCACGAAGCTTGAGTTCCTACCAGCCTTTTTCCAGAGGCGGTGATATCGAAGCTTGATGTCTAGCTTCGTACGCCAACACTACCCGCGCCAGAGGTCACCCCAATAGAAGCTAAAACACCGAGCAACGCGCGCGAACTAGAGTCTCAATCCACATTAATTTGCAATAGGATTCACGGGCATAAGAGCTCCTCGCCTACTTCTATCATCAAGGCCCTTAGTTAGCTTCAAAATGGCGCTAAGGCGATGGTGCACTCAGCTTTACTTATGCTCAAGCAGATCGCGAGGCTAGAGAAAGGAAATGAGACAGCTACAACGCGTAAATAGCGTAAAAAGAAGCTGATCCAGCAGCGAGGCGTCTTATAAAAGGCAGAGGCAGAAGACATCAGCTCAAAAGGAGGTTAGACAGCAGTTAGAGGGGGAAATGCGTCAAGGGAAGGCGCGATCAGGTGCAAGCCGGCACGAGATCCTGTCAGGAAAAAGCACTACAAGCTGCTGACACATTATTCAAAAGGCTTAGTCAAATATCTAGAGCAGGGTGGCAGGCTTGGGAAGCATAACGACGTAGTAGAAGATATCTGCCAGCAGGAGAAGCAGTGGCCTGAAAGGGTAATGATACTATAACGGACGTGCTTACTAGAATGTCTGACTTCACTCACAACGAACTAAGAGCAATGCCGCCAATAGCTCGTCTTCTTGTTCCTGTTCCATGGGAACATGCGGTCGAAGAATACACCGGGTGGTAGCTGTTGAAAGAAGTTACGAGTGAGGTGCTAAAGGCGAACACCCGCATAGTTCGAGACTTTTTTTTGGTAGATGGACTTATCTTCACCAAATGTTTAAGAATTAAGATGTATGTTTCTTTGTTGAAAAATTGTTGAACGAGACTGTGACGTCGAATACTGGGTAAAAGAATGCAGATGCGTTGACAGGAGCGTGGCAATGGAAGAAGTGAGGCGTACCCATCTCTGTATATGCGACTCTTCCCGCCCATTTAGCTCATGTATCTCGTCTGGATTGTCCGATTCGTCTAGTTTCAACATCACATGCAAATCGTCCCCACCGTTCCGCTCGTCTGATTCATGAATCTCATCCGGATCGTCCGGATCGTCCAATTTACAAGCACATGCAATTCGTCCCGCCATTTAGCTTGTGCGATTGTGATCAGGAACTTTCAATTTCCTAATCTTTATAAATCCACCTTCCTCACTAGGATATCTCGATATCAGACTTGATAACTACCATCCGATTTACATTACACCCTTGTGAAATTCCAAGCTATCGTTCAAGCCCTGCTTGGGAATATAGTCAAATCCATCTGCAAAGCAATCATGCCCTGGGTGTTTTTGGATAGTCTTGTTCACGGAGCAGAGATGATCATCAATTATGCTGGCGTAATCGGCGAAGCCATCCAGGCCGTGACGAATGTTGCACAGCAACATAAGACTCCCGAAGCGTTCGGCATTTTCGACGACTTAGGTGATGCATTCAATGCAGCTACTAAAGTCATTTCGATTGCGTCCCAAATACTTCCTCCAGCAACTAAACCGACCGTCGCAGATGACACCTCAGAGACTCGTATAGAGACGCGCGCTGGTTTATTTGTTGCACCGACAATCCTTACGAGTAACGGACATCTCGGACGGCCGATGTACGATGCCCTGTCTAAAAACTTGGCCAATATGGGGGTCCCAGCATCATACGTTGGTAAAGATGGCAGGACACATGATTCAGCCGATGACATCGGTGTGGCAGCATTTGCAAATGCTCCATTTTCATCTGCTGCAAGCCCAAGCAACATGCCATATCAAACTACCGGCTTCGAAATCAACAATATCGACGATACCCTAAACGTTAGGGGAAATCATGCCTACTACGCCGTTCCACTGGGTCAAGACGCACCATCGACAATGTGGCACTCGGCGACTACCATCGCAGCGACGACCACACAAGGATTTAGAGATAACTACAAGCGACAATCGGGAACACAAACCGTATACAACAAATCATTGGAAGTCGCCAAGCAAGGAGGTTCCGCTACACGGATTGTGAACCTGAATGTCACCTGGTGTTCCCAATCATATGCGCAACAGATCTACCCCACATTCAGCACTCTGTGGAAAAAGAAAATGGGAGATACCATTATTTACAAACACCCATTTGGAACCACATGGCAATTGAAGATTCAGGCGGCAGTTGGAGCTTCTCCGGCGCAAGTACGAGCTGCAGTGGAGGTTATCGCTCAACAGAGCATACAGCAACGAGCTTCCAGCACTAAGGCTGCGATCCAGCAGGATCCTAAGATATCGCCACCACCTGCGGTTGTCGTCACAAATTCAGCGTTAACTTACGTTTAGGAACCGTTCACAAGTCCGTAATAGGAACGAGGAAAACCCTACGGCCCTTGTGAATTGATCCTCTAAATGGGCGGTACGGCATAGAGATATGGACAGTATCTAACGTTTGTTGCGGCGCAAACTGTGTCAATGCGAATCTAGTTAGGTCGATGCTTTACCTATGGATATTCCTAAGACTACTCGAAACCTGCACGGGTCACCTCAAGCTCCTGAGTGACGGCTCGCTTGCCCTTTGCTTGACGTGAAAGGTTGCCCCTCGTAGTACGAAAGTTCGGTGAAGGGTGTCTGCTACGCTTCGAACCTCGTTTGAGCACATCAATGTCCCCATCTACCCGTCTCATTCTGCTTTGCAAAGTTTTGGAGTCTCGCCAAGTTGGGTAATCTCCCAAACACCGAATGGCTGGTTTCCGCGGACACTATCACGCACTGGACATGCGGCTGACCAGTCCTTTCCCCCTCCCACGAAACGACATTCAATAAATACTAAGCCAGGCCCATCCATATAGTCCATGTGAAGTCGCACCATGATGATCCAGGTCGAGTATAAAATTATCACCTCCTCCTCTAGCTCACTGAGTTTCTTTGAGTTGGGCTGGCAATCGCGTCGGGCAGGCATCCCAGCGCGTCGGTCGTTTAGCGTTGATTTCGGAACGTTATACGTACAAGCAGCAAGTCTAGAGCTCTTAAGCTGTGCTGACGATCGATAGAGGAGGAGGTAAGATTATATCAGCTTTATTATATGATGATAGTTCATGCAGAGGTTGAGCCATGGTGATGAGAAGTTGGTGGTCTAGTTAGGCTTGGTGGGGTGGCCGACTCGCTTGTAAAACACGTTTTCCATCTTGTGTATGAGCCCTTCGTAGCTTAATTCTAAATTTCTAGGTTTTTGATATAGAATAGTATGACCTTCTCTTTCTGTGGTAGCGTCGGTGTAAGCACTAAGCTCTGATTGAATTGTGTGTGACTAGGTAGGGATATGAAACTCCGAAGCGCCTCCCTTCGGTTGGAAAGCGGTTAGCGTGATCTATAAATTGGAGCCCATACATGACGCTACATATAGTGGACCGCTGTTGATATGCGCCTCAACGCTTACCTGTGCCTTACGTGCGCAGCTTCGGGAACGGTTAGCACCTGCGGTACATAGCTATCTGTTCTTTACCTCTACACCCTTCAAGAATTTTCAGTTCTGCATTAATTCAACTTCTCGCTTGACTGTGCATAGTAGCTGGTCCTCATGGCCACAGAATTTGAAACCAAGCTCAATGAGCTGCAAGAAGCCGGAACATTGCCTGGAGGAGTTTACATCGCTGCGGATGCTTCTGGTAGGCTTCTCTTGCTGTGCTGAGCTCATGCTTATAATCATGAACCTAATTCGCCATTCCAAATCTTCCGCTCGCATGATCTGACGTTGCTTAGGCAGATTCACCTACACTCACCAGTTCGGCGTGTCTACTGCCTCGCCAACGGTCAACCGCAAGCCTGCTTTCACGCCTGATACCCGCTTGGTCGTCGCATCATGCACGAAGCTGTCCACCGCTGTCGCGGTAATGAAGGTCGTGGAAGCCGGCATGGTCACCTTGGACGAGGACCTTCGTAAAACCATCCTTCCAGAACTAGGCGAGCTCCAGATCATCGAAAGCATTGACCAGAACGGAGTTCCCGTCCTTAAGCCCAACGATCACCCTATCACATTGCGACATCTTCTCACCCATACTTCTGGTCTCGGTTACGATCTTGTAGACCCGCCGCTGATGGCGTGGCGTGCCCACACTGGTACACTCCCATGGACTGGGCCTACCATTCCAGCGCGAATGTCTGTACCGCTGCAATTTGCTCCTGGGACGGGCTGGCGGTACGGTGTTGGGGCTGACTGGGCTGGTCTCGTTGTGGAGCGCGCAAGCGGCCAGGAGCTAGACCATTTTCTGCAGGAAAATGTCTGGAAGAAATTGGGAGTTACTAAAGCGACCTTTTGGAGGCACAGAATACAAAAAGAGCAAGCCGCGGCGGGCCACGAGGTGGAGGGCGAGTGGGCCGAGGAAGCCATGTTGATCCCGCCACAGGCAGCTGGCGGTGCAGGTGGTGGGCTTGACATGGGAGTGGCGACGAAGTCAGACGCGCTCCCTGTAGCAGTTCCACTGCAAGGGTTTGACATGCTTGGTGGGCTGGAAAAGCCGTCTGGTGGGGGTGGTCTATCTTGCACAGCGGCAGAGTACCTCGCTTTGCTCAAGGCCGTTCTTACGAAGGACCCGAGCGTTTTGGGCGAGACATCATGGGATGAGCTGCTCATGCCTCAAGTAGGCGAAGGTAGACCAGTGGGCATAGAAGCATGGAACAGCCTGAACAGAACGCTCAAAGAAGACGACCAATGGGATGTCAATTGCGGGATGAACTTGCCGAGGAGTATGAACAAGAGCCTAAGTCTGGCAGGTCTAGTGAGTGAGGACGTGTTTGAGCTTGGTAACGGGGCGAAAATTAGCAAAGGCACTGTGCTTTGGGGAGGTATGACGGGGATGACTTGGGTAAGTTCAAGATTCGACAATGGTACGCGATGTGCATGCACTAACAATTGCGTCTTCTAGTTTGTCGATCGCGAAAACGGTCTGTGTGGCCTGGCAGCTCCGCAAGTTTTCACATTTGGTCAACGCCCGCTCCATGACCTGAACGCACTTTGGCTTCAGCAGATCTTCAAGTGGCACCGCGACCACAAGGATCAAGCTGTATCTGCATTGTCAAGGCAAGCATGAATCCGTCTCCATGTGGCAGAGATAAATATAGAATGTAGTTGCACAGCGAATACGAGTGTGTGGTGCATCTGGTTGGCGAGTACGAGCATGAAGTCGCATGAGCATGGCATAGCGAATACGGAATTAGTACTGTAGTGTCGTGGGACCCACCCTCAGTCTCTGATGGTGCAAGTGTATTATATATTCCCGCTGATCATCTTGGGCACAGATTCATCAAAAAGCATGTATTTATTGGGGACGTATTTAATTTTGAAAATTTACACATATTTTGAGCACTAACAACGCATCCTTTTCCCTTCAAATGTTCTAACGGCGCTCTACGTCCCAAGTGCTAGTAACGTGGATTGCCTTTCCCTTGTGGGCTTTGTTAGGCTGCTCCAGAGCGTCCATGTTGAATGAACCAGCATCGTTGATAGGCCGGGTAAGAGAGTCTGACCGATCGACGCCACGGGCGATGTTACTGTATTTTCCGGTACTTCCAATCGTGCGAGGCTTACTATCACTCGTGTAGTCACTGTTGTTGAGCATGGACTTCTTAGTGCCAGTGAACACGCTCGTAATCTGGGTCATAGCTGGGCGAAGCACAGGCAGGCATGCCAGTATTATACCGAGGAGCGGCTCTAGGATGGTGAAGAAGAAGATGTGAGAAGAGGTGTAGGTAGTATCCAGCGGTACCAAGTCCTTGATCAAAACGATACGGGCAATTGTGATTGCACAAATGCTAAGGTGATGTCAGCCTAGAGTCGAAGCAACTTTCAAGACTCAACCTACATGATACCAAGCGCGAAGATAGCAGTGATTTCAATCTTCTTTTCCTTCTTCAACTGGAGCTTGGCGAGGACGGGGATAGGAGCGAGCGCCACGGCGATGTCGAGTATCAAATTGATAATGTGTGCGCTCAGGTAGGCCTGCATGGCATTGCCACATTTGCCTCCAGGGATCGTCGGATTCCAGGCGAATGCCAAAGGCCTGCAGTAAAGCAGTCCACTAAGCGTCACTCCGACGAACCAGGCAAATTGGATGGCGATAATGATCCAGCAAACGATACGGAAGGTACGGTTGATCGCGAAAAGCTTGATGTAGAGTAGCAGGATGGAAATCTTGACAGCACTGATTGCAGCGCCCCAGACTGGAGAGTTCGCGACGTAGATCTAGACGTCTATTAGGTTCCCGTTCCGATCCGCAGGACGATCATCTTACCTTGCCGAAATGGACGAGTTGAACAGCTGGGTCTGAGAGAAGCGCGGCATGCTGTCCGAGACCACCCATCACAGTCGCGAGTATGAGGAGAACCACAAGGCCAGTGGAAAACAGCTTGGACATTGTCAGCTTGTTCGTGATCAAGCCTCGGGCAGCAAACATACCAACGCAACCAAAATAGCCCAGTCATGATCTGCAAGCTTCTGCTTCCGACTGAGACGAAGCGACCAGATGCGAAGCGCAACAGCAGTGACGGCAAACGCTTCGAAGACGATGGCGAGAGCAACAGGCCATACGGCACGAGAATGCTGGTACCACTCGGTATGGGGAGGGAGCTGCGGCATAGGACCACTTGTTCCAGCGCTGGAAGAGTCTGACATATTGAACACTTTGCAAGCAATGCGTATGATTGTAGAGAGGCGTGCGCCGAAAGAAAAGGCAACAGCGGGGCAATGCTTGAGATCGCGTGGGGAAAGAATGGCGCACGAACGGCTGAACTGTTGGACAGAGAGCCTTAATATCATAGGCTACACTACGGCTTAGTATGCATACACACTCACCGGAGATGATTGGGGCGCTGCATCCCCTGCCCCCGTTTGGCCAGAAATGTAACCCCGAATTATCGAGACCCGGGTGGGGCGTGCTGGGTATGCAGCAAGGTGTAATGTGTAACCCAAGTTGCTGACTCTACTAAGCAATCAACGCACTTTGCGTGACACTGTCATGGCGGTGTGATTCGAATCTGGTATTGTCGCCGCGCTGATAAATCGCTGCACAACAAGGCACATCCGCGCCTCGAACACATCGACGACACCCACGGTTTCGCGTGGGCATCGAGTGGGTATGCCATGTGGGAGCCACTGCCTGCATGCGTCGGATACAATCTACTACACTTGGCGACAATGTTAGCGAAGGCCGATTTCGAGGCTTCCAGATGCAGTGCGAGGGGTACCATTCCTAAACAAGTCCGAGACGGTTCTGTATTCACCGTACCAGAGTAAGCGCCCATATGACTAGAAGGGCAGCTGGGATGCACGTGTGCCGAACGGTGAGCACCGATCGTATCAGCCTCGCTGCGACCCCTGCCCTATATCCCGGCGGGTATGCGTTCGGCGTTGGGGCCAATACTGCGCCCTGGGAACATCGTTCTTATTTTTGCCCGCGCATGCTCAACAGCAGCCGCGCCAGGTGTGGGGTGATCGCGCTCGCACCTCGAGCGCACTTGCCGAGGTTGGTCCCCTGTGGACATCGCTCGTGCAGCACGCTAAATATCGTAGCCAGGGATTGGATCCTGCTGCACCAAATAACCGACGAAGCGATCTACGGAGCCCGATGCCAATTTCCATGAGCTGCACTTGCCCTTCCACCGGCGAGCGAGATGCTGTAGGACCCCGGAGATTGGTGGAGCGCTACACTAATGCTCGCGCCGCTGGTTAGTGGGTTGAGAACCGGAAGAGCACCTTGAAGTGATCATGATCACGTGTGATCACGTGCACAAGCCAGTGCCCAGGTTCCTAATGTCGAGATACGTTCCTCTCGGGTATCTATGCAGCGCCATCGATTAAGCATCATAGATTTCTTGCATTCTGGTGCTTCCCTACCTTGAATTCGTTTTTCCGGCTTTCTCTGAACGTTCTCAACCGGCAGACGCAATGGGCCTCAGTGAACAGGATGTTGAATTCAAAACCCTCGATGGAACTGTTCTTCGCGGGACACTATATCCTACAAGTAATCGAGGGCCCGCCATAGTTATGTCGCCAGGAGTAAGTCAAAGGCATGCACGCAATGCTGGCCGCGATGATCTTAGAGCATTTCGCTCGTAGCGCCAACATCATCCCTGGTGCTTTCTTCACCCACGCGTACTGTTCCTTTGGTACCAACCAACGGATCAAGTCTGTGCTCTAGCTAACATTCTTGCGCGCAGTTCAATTGCGTCAAGGAAATGCTTGGCCTGCCTGATGCTGCAGCTCGTTTTCAATCGGCAGGCTACACCGTGCTTCTTTACGATCCGCGCACCACGGGTCTTTCAGGCGGCGAGCCTCGCAATGACATCGACCCGATCGCGCAGGTCGGCGACTACTCTGACGCCATCAGCTACATCAGCACGCTTTCCTCTGTGAATCCTTCAGAGGTCTTTATATGGGGCATGTCCTTCTCGGCGGCGGTGGGCCTTTGTGTTGCCGCCCTTGACCCACGGGCCAAGGGTATCATCGCAGTGTGCCCATTGACAGACTTCACATACACGGAGGAAAAGCTTCCCATGGTGCTGAAAAAGTGCGCCCAGGACCGCGCTAGCCAGGTCGCCGGAAACGATCCGTTTTATCTCCCCATGCTGGACGCTCAGGGCCGGAACCCTGCGGGCTTTGGCGTCGGCGTGGATAGCGAGCAATACTCGAAGATTGTCGAGGCTGGAAAAGAGATCGCCCCCAGACATGTGAACCGGACGACTGTGCAGACCTACTATCGCATGGTTTTGTGGCAGCCATTCGGGCTCTGGAGGATGATCAAAAATCTTCCGGTGTTATTCGTTGTGCCGGAGCTGGACCGGTTGAGCCCTGCAGAAAGACAATTGGGGCATTGGGACTCCTTAGTCTGCCCGAAAAGAAAGGTCTTGGTGCCAGGCGTGGGACATATGGAGATAATGGAAGGCGACCACGTGGATGAGATAATGACTGACATGGAGAAATTCCTGCGGGATGTCTTGGAGGGTTCAGTACCGTAGAAGAAAACGCGCGCTGGATTTGTTGAGAAATCAATACACAATGAGAATTGGATACTTAAAGCTCGCCAGGATCAGGATTAAGCTCGACTGTGCCAGTAAGACGTAGCCGCTGGGGACTCGCCTAATCTCGTAAAATCGTTTTCCGACCATCACTCCACGACCTTTGCTTCAAGGTTGGCGCATATCAAACACCCGTCGGTGATTTTCCGGCTGCATGAGGACGATGAAAGCCTCGGTGAATTTCCAGCTGCATGAGGACGATGAAAGCTTCGGTGATTTTCCAGCTGCATGAGGACGATGAAAGCCTCGGTGATTTTCCGCACAGGAAGCCCCAGCCAAGTGCCGGCAGTAGTGCGCGCATAAAGCCCCAGGCACGCATCGGTGATATTCCGGCAGCATTCCAGAAATGCGAGCATAAAGTTACCTCGAATGGTCAATTCAGATTGATGAGTATTACTAATGTTTAAATTATATGGAGAGACCGCCAAGCGATGATAAGAAAGCGCAACCGCTTAAGGCTGAACTTCACCTTTCCCACTCACTTTGACCCTGACACCCTTACTACCCGGCTTAACCTCCAAGCCTATCATATCCCTAAAAATCTCCACGTCCCCTTTGTCCGTCTCAAACAACTCAAAGGTGAAGCTGCGGAACAGTGCCGCAAGTACAAGCGTCATCTCAGCATAGGCCAGGTTGAATCCCACACACATCCTTGTCCCTCGTCCAAACGCAGTCAAATACTTTGTAAGAGCCTTCTCGCCGTCGGGGCCCCGGGGATTCCCAAGCCACCGCTCCGGCCTGTATTCGTGACTTTGCGGGAAGACGGCCTCGTCGTGGTGCATGTGGTATGTATCTAGCGACACCATAACACCAGGTGGGATAACCCAATCGTTGTACTTGATGGGGTTGTGCTTTGAAATGCGTTGCGAACGTGCTATCGCCCCGTAAGACAGACGAATGCCCTCCTGCAGACACGCATATAGATACGGCAGTTTCTCGAGAACAGACAGTGGCGGGGGGTTTGATGGATCGGGAATGGCATCTTGTAGCTCATTCTGCAGACGTTCGAGCACGCTGGGGGTGTTGATGATGTGAAAGCACAGAACTGCGAGAGCCATCTTGGTCGTCTCGATGCCGGCGCCGACAACGCTCATCGCCTCATCCTTGAGACGGGGGATCGTGAGATCTTCGGGTGGTAGTTCGGAGCGGATGATGCTGAAGAAGATGGTACCTTCCTGGGCTTCGGCCTTGTCAGAGTGGAGGTTTTCGCGCACCTCCTTCACCTGATTCCTCATCGAGTTTTGGAAGTGTAGGATGGCTTTCATGCTGGGTTGGATGTAGCCGACAAGCCGGTCAGGGAGGCGGTCAATGATCTTTGGGAGCCAGGGAAGCTGCTGCGCGTAATGTACGAAGTCTTTGAGTCCTTGAATGGATGATGTGAAAGACGAGACAAAGTCTGGCTCGTCGAGAAACCCGTACGAACGATTGAATGCGTAGCTCATTATTACATCTGACACATAGCTCGAATAAAGGTCATTGAGATTGAGAATCTTTCCTTTTCCAGCATATTCGTGATGAAGGCGTCTGACGATCTTGTTGACGTGGCCTTGGATCATGGGCGCTTGCTCATGGATACGGCGTTTAGCAAAGAACGGGGAGATAGCAGCACGACGTCGCTTGTGGACTTCATGATCAGGAGTTGAAAACGCAGCCTCTGGCGCTCCGAAGCGATCCTGAACGTGTGCAGATTTGTCGAAGCCTTGCGTTGATGTGTAAATCGTATCATAGAATTCACTGTCGGCAATATGAAGCTCTTTTGGGCTGATGCGCACGATGGGTCCTGTCAAGCATGTTCAGTGGTGCGCACAACCAACATTCTTTCGGTCCTTATACTGACCGTACTTCTCATGCATGCGCATGATCTCGAATGTGAAATGACCCCCTCCATTCTTCACGAGCTCAAAGTATGTCTCGTACCACGCGGTGACAGCTGCCAACTTAGGTCCAGGAAAAGGAGCCAGTGGGCTAAAGTAGAGCCGGTAGATCGCTAGAACTGCCGTATAGAGGACGCAGGTGCCGGCTAGCAGCACTAGCACCACTGAATACAACGCTTCGCTGAGGTGCAAGTTGGAAAGGATCTGCTTGGCCAACATGTTGGCGACTTCTGACAATACCTATGGTAGTCGAGTTGGACAGTTGGTGGTGGTGCACAGAAACCACTTCTAAGTTCTCGGGACTACGAGGTATCACAAGCATCTGCAGTACGGAGGCTGATGCGGGCTGAACGTCAAGACCCGCGCTCTTCGGGCACGATATTTGTCAGGCTGATACAGTTACTGCACCGCCTCTCGCACGGAAATGAGATATGTATTCCAGGTGTGCTGGTTTGGTCGTTTACCTCCGGTAGCGTTCTCCAGGGTGCACATGTGTGCAAGAGCCACCCTCCATGCCAGCCACCCTGGCCGTTGCTAGCTTGCCTACAGTACAATTTTCCCGTCTTGGTCCGTCCGGCGCTATCAACGCACAGTCAGCAGGAGTGCTGCGTTCAACCATCGAAATACTCTTCAATCACGTCCTTCGACGGCCAATCAGTGAGCCGTGTCGAGTGGCTTCCAGTCGTCCATTGCCCGGCGTAGCAGCCACGTGACCGGACGACATCTAGATCGCTGGAGTCTCATAGCGGATCGTCGAGCTGATGGCACCACAAGCGTCGGGATTCAAACGACCAATCAAACAATACAACACGTCTGCTTTGAAATTACAGCAGTGTACTTCGCATGCATAGGTGGCCGCAACGCTGCGGCGTGGTCCCTGGAACGGTCGGCTAGACCCGGCAGGCCGCAGCTAGCGCTGCCCACCATAGATTAGACTAAGACAGGCCCACCCATCTACTGTGTACATTCCCGAGCCTGCTCCATTCATCACACTGTCCTGGCGTGGCTGGAGTCAATAGAACCTGCGCGGCGACATGCCTTTCCTGAATAGCCCGAGTGATACGGACGCCGCTGCAATGCAGGATGGAGCTTACCCTCGTGACGCTCGGTGACGCCGTAAGCGACCGCTAGACCGTATCCTTCCCGCTGCACATATTCCTTGCATGTGGTAATCCGGCAAAGCGCCACAACGGCCATCATCCGAGCGCGGGCATGTCTAAAGGATTCAGTGCGGGTGTGTCTACTGCAGTGATGGCTTCCTAAGACCTTACCATTCAGGATTTACAATACATGTGATAGAGAAGTATTCAGTATACTTCTCATCATTGTTTAGCATTTCTGGTACCTCTATTTATAGATATATACCAGCTATACTGTATCTGTCAGATTCCTCGTTCCTCGTTTAGATTAGAACCCAGCTAAAAAAAAAATCTGTCGAAGGCATCAGCGGGAACACTACCTCGACATTGCCCATGGGTACCGTTTCGGGGGCCTGGTCAAGGTGTTCGCCGCTCGCTCAGTTTAGCTCCCGGTTAATAGAACTTGGACCTTGGCTCTACGGAATAGCCCGAGAGTGCCTTATCGACCTGGACTGCTACCGAAGGGGATGACCGTTACGTTTACAGGGGTATTCCGAAATGCTCAGTTCTCGGAAATGACCATCGAAGAGACCGTTTTGGCGAAGTACCGGCATCCGGAGACGCTCTGTAGACACCTGAAAGTCGCCAGAGCGGAGCTCATCTTTAGTTCCTGACCACCACGAAGCAAACCAGTATCGAGCTTCATCACAGCCTTTGGAATGGCGGTACACGACTCTTCTTTGGGGGTTTTCAGACACGAGCCGCTGGCTGTCGTAGGTTTTGCTTGCCGCCTTCCTGGGAAAAGCAACAACCCAACCGCCCTATGGAAGTTCCTGGAGCGGGGTGGCATCGCAGATATCGAGCCCCCTCTATCGAGGTTCAATCTCAAAGGGCACGAGGATGGCTCAAAACGGCCAAAAACTATGCGGTCACCCGGCGGTATGTTCATCGAGGACATCCATCCCACAGACCTTGATGCTCAGTTCTTTGGGCTGTCCAAGGCGGAAGCCATCGCAATGGATCCGCAGCAACGGCAGCTGCTCGAGGTCGTGTACGAGGGGCTGGAAAATTCCGGCATCACGCTCGAGATGCTGAAGGGGACATCGGCAGGATGCTTCGTTGGGTCTTTTGCTTGCGGTAGGTCACCGCCTCTGTAGCATTGGACTGCTTGACTAATATATGCTCAGACTATGGAGATATCCAGTCGCGAGATCCTGAAGACCGTGCACCTAACACCACTGTTGGCATCGGGCGCGCCATGCTCAGCAATCGCTTGAGTCATTTTCTTGACATCAAGGGCCCGAGGTACCGGTATCCACTATACGTTTAATGCACGAGCTAACCTTGGGACCAGCATGACGATAGATACCGCTTGCTCGGGTAGCCTGCAGAGTCTTGATGTAGCGTCAAGATACCTGCAGACGCGGGAGATCAGCACCGCCATTGTTGCGGGTGCGAACCTGTATCTAAGCCCAGAGCATTGCATCGATCTTAGTGGTCTGAGTGGTGCTGCGTCCTTAACAGGACGCTGTCATACATTCGATGCCAAAGCCGACGGCTACGTGAAGGCAGAGGCGGTCAATGTGCTGATTGTCAAACGTCTCGCTGATGCATTGCTCAGCAAAGACCCCATCCGAGCCATCATACGTGGCACTGCTTCGAACAGTGATGGCTGGACTGCTGGAATTGCTAGTCCCAGCTCAAAAGCCCAGGCCGAGGTCACACGGCAAGCCTACGTCAACGCAGGTATCACCGAGTATAATGCAACCTCTTATCTAGAGTGCCATGGAACAGGTACAAAGACGGGTGATCCCGTTGAGGTTAAAGGTGTTGCTTCCATCTTTTGTGCTGATGGGACGAGGAAGGATCCTCTATACATTGGATCGGTAGGTCATCTCCTCTATGTAAGCCGGGATGCCTTTCTGACAGCTTCCAGATAAAAAGCAACATAGGACACTCTGAGCCGGCGTCCGGCATATCCGGTGTCATCAAGACGATCCTGTCTATGGAGAAAGGGGTAGTACCTGGCAACCCCACGTTTGAAACCCCAAACCCAGACAGTATGTCATGGCGTCATCTTCATCCTCAAGAACTAACATGCATCAGTTGACTTTGAGAAGCTCCGCGTGTCCGTTTCGCGGAAATCTCGGCCATGGCCCAAAGTCCCCTTCAAACGAGCCAGCGTGAACTCGTTTGGTTTCGGCGGCTCGAATGCGCACGTCATCCTCGACGAGGCAAAGACGGGCGCCGCTGGGTACCAAATGCGCTTCAAGTCGTCCTTTGGCCAGGTAGACGACTTTGACTTTTTTGCAGAAGAGAAACTGGAGCCGCCGCAAGTCCTGGTGTTCTCTGCCAACGACGTCGCCTCGCTCCAGAGCTACGCCGATTCTCTAAACAAGCATCTCCTCAACCCTGCAGTCAGCGTGGAGCTCACCGACCTGGCGCATACGTTATCCGAGCGAAGGACGAAGCATTTCAATCGCGCATATCTAATTGCACGAAACGCCCAGATCGACGTGCACAGCCTGAAGCTCGGAAAGCCGCGGTCTTCTCAACCTCGGATCGGACTCATCTTTACAGGCCAAGGTGCACAATGGCCGCAAATGGGGAAATCGTTCCTCGAAACGATTCCGGCCTGCAGGGCCGTGGTGGAAAGGCTCGACCGTGTGCTCCAGACGCTGAAGAACCCGCCGACCTGGACCCTCGTCGACGAGCTGACGCAGCCAAGAACAAAACAGCATCTCCAGCAGCCCGAGTACTCCCAGCCTCTCGTCACAGCTCTACAACTAGCGATCCTCGAAGTCCTGCGCTCATGGGGCGTACAGCCTGTAAGTGCTACAGGGCATTCGTCTGGCGAGATTGCAGCCGCGGTTGCCGCTGGTCTCCTGACGTCCGAGGATGCTATCAAGGTAGCGTACTTCCGCGGACGGGCAGCAGCCGACGTGCACGATGCGTCCAAAGCTAAACACGGCATGCTTGCTGTTGGACTCGGCGAGCATGACGTGAGAGACATATTGCGGGCCGAGGAGCTGCCCATTGCCATCGCATGTGTCAATTCGCCGAGCAGCGTCACACTTTCTGGACAGGTGGTTGCCCTAACAGCTTTGGAGCAGAGGTTCAAGGAGCAAGGCAAGTTTGCTCGACTACTACAAGTCGATGTTGCCTACCACTCAAAATACGTCGCAGACATTGCCGCTAGGTACTACGAGCTGATGCGGCAAGAGTGCGACTTCCCTCTCGCAGACGCGACATATTGCAAGATGTTCTCATCCGTGACGGGATCCGAGAACAATCAGGCTTGCAATGCAGAATACTGGCGACGGAACATGGAGTCGCCTGTGCTGTTTAGCCAGGCTGTCTCTGCGGCCCTCACGGAAGACGCGGCTGCCGACTTCATCATCGAAGTCGGACCCAGTGGCGCCCTGGCCGGCCCATTCAAGCAGATCAAAGCATCTCTCGGCAGCGGAGCGGCACATGTGTCGTACCACGCGGCCAGCAGACGCGATGTTGCTGCTGTCGATGCGATTTTTGAAATCGCAGGGGAACTGTTCCTCGCGGGAGCACAGGTCGATCTGGCCCGAGTCAACCAATACCTTCCAAACCAGCAACCCCCTTCCACTCTCATCGACCTTCCCAACTACTCGTGGAACCACTCGGTCAGACTCTGGTACGAGAGCGAAGCCAGCAAAGACTGGCGCTTCCGGAGATACCCAAGCCATGATTTGCTGGGAAGCAAAGTCCTCGGTACTTCGTGGCACGCACCTTCGTGGAAGAAAGTCCTGAAAATCGATGAGGTCAGCTGGCTGAAAGATCACTGCATCGGCGGACAGGTGCTGTTCCCCGCCGCCGGATATGTGGCCATGGCGATCGAGGCGCAGTTCCAGACGAGCCAGTCTCGAGGCTTCATCGAGGAAGGGCGATCTGTCCACGAGGCAAGTTACAGACTGCGCAACGTCGCATTCAAAAAAGCCATGGTCATTGAGGGCTCCGAGTCGCGGATCATGCTGACGCTCAGTCCGGAAGACGACGGCGAAAAGTCCTGGAGCAGATTCACAATTTCTTCGTTCACCGACGAGGAGTGGAACGAGCACTGCACAGGTCTCGTTGCTCTGACCGTCGGATCCCAGCAAGTCGCTTCACAACATGATGTGCGGCCGCTCGAGTTTCCCACCCCTGCAGCGGCGTGGTACAAGGCTATGCGAGACGTGGGGTACAATTTTGGGGAGCTCTTCCAACCACAGATCAGCATCGAGGCCGTTGCTGGAAGCCGCCAAAGCAGGGCACACATCTCGTTCAAAGAGCCAAAATCCTCGTACCCGCAGTCTCCATACTCTGTGCACCCCGTCTCAATCGACGGCTGTCTACAGGCGGGGGCGCCATCACTGTGGAAAGGGATTCGGAGTGCGGTCGGCGGGGCGCTTGTACCGGCAATGATAGACGACATGTCGATCAATTCTCGCGGGCACATCGTCGAGGTTGGCATTGCGACCACGTCTGCCGTCTTCACGGGTGTAGGAAGCTCCGAGGAAGCACAAAACTACCGGTCCAACATCACAGTCTACGACCACGAGACGCATTTGCCACTGGTCCAGATCAAGGGCTTGCGATACCATAAACTCGACGCCCACGATGACTCTGCCGACACGCATTCCTTCATGCGCGTAGCCTGGAAGCCCGATATTGCCTACATGGAGGGAGAGGCTTTGCAGCGCTACTTTCGATCTGGCGATGGGAAGCCAAAGTCAGTCCTAGAGCTACTCATCCATCGAGATCCCGCTGTCGACGTTCTAGAAGTCAACATGTCGAGTGACATGGAGAGCATGTGGATCAGCAACAAGGCTTCATTGGAAGCCAGCGGTGCCTGCGGACAGTATACTCTAGTGACTCCAGACCCGGCCTCCTTGTTCACCCTCCAGAGCGAGTTCCGCGAAGTTCCCGGTGTTCGGGTCGTGCATGCCAATATCACCGACGCTGCGTTCGATTTCTCGTCGTTGCCTACAAATTACGGTCTTGTGATCGTGAGAGCATCAAATGACGACAGCGCGGAGCTGCAGACCGCCCTGGTGAACATCCAAAGCCTCCTTGGGGAAGACGGCTTTCTTCTTGTGCACTATTCGGCCTCGTTAGCCCTCGATACCGAGACTAGCACCGACAGCGGTGCCTCCGGCTCTCACTTCCAGGTGCTAGGCCCGGAACATGAGGTCGTTGAGAAGATCCTGCAGGACGCGGGATACCGATCTATTCGGAATGTACCTCAGATCGTGCCGTCGTCAGACGCCTATATTTCCGAGCTGATCGCGCAGCCTAGCGCCAGGGAGGCACTTGCCAACGGTGTTTCGCATTCAGTGGACTTGCTGCGTCTTTCTAATATTGCGCATGACATGTCGGAAATCGAGCACTCTGTCACAGACAACGGCTTCACCGTTCGCCAGCTCGATGTCGAGCACCTCGGCGAGATCAAGTCCGGGTCCACGGTGCTCATTGTCGACGAAGCGTACAAATCAGTGCTCTGCGACGTGGACCAGAAGCAGTGGCATGCTATACGTACGCTTACGGAGAGGGACTGCAGGATCTTGTGGATCACAGCAGGTGCACAGCTGCAGGTGACTAACCCCCAAGGTGCGCTCATCAACGGCATGGCTCGTGTCATCCGGGCGGAGAACCCATCAGCTGCTTTGACCATCCTGGATGTCGAAGACGTGTCGAACGCATGTGCCCGGGAAGCCATCAACAAGCTGCTGTACGATGTCAACAACGGGTCGGTCATGGAAGCGGAGTATGTCGAGCGCTCTGGGGTCATCCACACCAGCAGAGTCCTTCTCGATGGCCCCGTCAACGTCGCACAGCGCGAGGATTCTCAAGGCGGCGAGTTCCAGACCAAGCATCTCCACGAGCACCCTTCCTGTGTCCGCATGGTTTGCGAGCGCCCGGGCATCCTCGAGTCGCTGAACTTTGTAGAAGTGGCAGAGGGCGACCTCCCCTTGGAGGATGACTTTGTCGAAATCGACATGCACGCAGCAGGCCTGAATTACAAGGACGTTGCCACGTCCCTTGGCCTCGTCCCAGAGAACCAATACATGTTGGGACTCGAAGGCGCCGGTGTGATCCGACGCCTTGGAGCGGGCAAGAAAGCGCAAAAGTTTCGCATCGGGCAACGAGTCGTGCTAATCAGACGCGGCAGCTTTGGCAACAAGGTCCAATGCCCTGTTGAGGGCGTGCATGCTATCCCGGAATGGATGACCTTTGAAGAAGCCGCGACACTGCCAGTGGTTTACCTCGCCGTCATCTATGGGCTTTTCAACCTCGCCAACATCCAGAAAGGCTCCACTGTACTGATCCACTCAGCAGCTGGAGGCGTCGGCATTGCTGCTATGGAGGTCTGTCGATACGTGGGTGCAGAGATCTTCGCCACGGTCGGCAGTGAAGAGAAGCGTGTGCATCTGATGGAGAAGTATGGTCTCAGTAACGATCGTATCTTTTCGTCGCGCAACAGCGAGTTCGCAGAGGAAATCATGCGGATAACCAATGACCGAGGCGTGGACATTGTGCTCAACTCACTGACCGGTGATCTCCTCGATGCCTCCTGGCGCATCATTGCCGACTGCGGAACCATGGTCGAGATTGGAAAAAAGGACATCCTTGCGCGCAAAGGACTCGCCATGGATCCCTTCAACCGGAACGCATCGTTCAGGGCCGTGGATATGTCGGCCGACAGCATTACCCGCCCCGTCATCGCGGCTCTGCTGTCGCAGCTGTTCGAGATGCTGAATGGACGCCACGTGAGACCCATCGAGCCTCGGACCGTCTTCCCCTACTCGAAGATTGGCGATGCCATCCGCTATATGCGCGGCGGCACTCACATGGGCAAGATTATCATATCGCGCGAGGCCGAGAACAGCACGCCTCTCGTGCCGATCCGCCCCGCAAAGAGAGTCGTGCATTTCAGGGACGACAGATCGTACCTCATTGTAGGCGGACTCAAGGGTCTCTGCGGCAGTCTGGCGGTGTACCTTGCTAGGAATGGGGCCAAGCACATCGCCATCATGGCACGCAGCGGCTACGAAGACGAAAGATCGCAAGCGGTGCTGCTCGATCTGCATGCACTCGGCGCATCACCGACGCTCATCACGGGGGATGTGTCGAAGATGGAAGACGTGAAAAAGTGCTTTCAGAGCGCTTCGCCGCCTATAGGAGGAATCATCCAAGGCGCGATGGTCCTCCGCGACAAGACGTACGAGGAGATGCGAGTCGACGAGTTCCACGCGGCCACCGCGTGCAAGGTCCAAGGCACATGGAATCTGCACACAGCTGCACAGGACCTGAACCTCGACCTCAGCTTCTTCACCATGCTGTCGTCCATCTCGGGCCTCGTCGGGCAGAAAGGTCAAGCCAACTACGCCGCAGCCAACACGTTCCTCGATGCCCTCGCCGCCTACCGGCACGGCCGTGGCCTGCCCGCGTCCTCGGTCGACCTGGGCGTCATCGAGGACGTGGGCTACATCTCGGAGCGCGCCGCCGTGGCCGCGCGCCTCAACACGGCCATCTGGAAGCCCATCAACGAGGCGCTGCTGCACCGCATCGTCCGCGCCTCGCTCCTGCAGCAGTCGTCGCGCCCGCTGCACGTCGCCAGCGCGCCGCACATGGTCACGGGGATCCCGCACCCGCAGCCTGTTGATGCACCACTCGTCGCGGACCCGCGCTTCCGCGGCCTGCGCCAGACTGCGGCGGCAGGCACCCACGCAGCGGCCGGCGACGCGAGCTCCGAAGTGCGCAGCCTGCTCGCGCTCGCTGCGTCGCCGGCCGTGGACAAGCACGCGCTGCTGGCGGCGGCGGTGGGCGTGATCAACGGGCATTTCATGAAGAGTCTGGGGCTGGGGGAGCCTATGGAACCCGCGAAGCCGCTGACGGTGTATGGGCTGGACAGTTTGGCGGCGATGGAGTTTAGGAACTGGCTGCGGAAGGAGCTGCAGGTGAGCGTGACGACGCTGGAGATTGTGGGTGCCAAGACGCTGAATGCGATTGGGGAGAAGGTGTGTGAGAAGCTGGGGGAGGGCGGCAAGCAGTAAATGGTAGATGCAGGTCAGCATCAGGGCGTTGGTGGTATTTTCATGTCAGTAATGTGATGCAGCGGTGATGGTATTTTCATGTAAGTAATGTGTAGCGGTGATGGTATTTCCATGTTAGTAATGTGACGGGGTGTTGATGGTATTTCCATATCAGTAATGTGAACGGGTGTTGATGGTATTTTTATGTCAGCAATGTGATGGAGCGGTGATGCTATTTCCATGTCAGTCATGTGATGGGGCGGTGATGGTATTTCCATGCTAGTAATGTGACGGGGTGTTGATGCTATTTCCATGTCAGTAATGTGAGCGGGTGTTGATGGTATTTTTATGTCAGCAATGTGTAGCGGTGATGGTATTTCCATGTTAGTAATGTGACGGGGTGTTGATGCTATTTTCATGTCAGTAATGTGATGGGGCGGTGATGGTATCTTCATGGCAGTAATGTGATGGGGTGGGTTGATGTTGATGTCGACTGACTCAGCACTAGGAGACGCCCTTGGTTCCCACACCTCGTGGTACCGCCAACGCCACCAGACCCCATGCATGCATACTCGTGTGGGTCAGGGTACGGATACGAGGAAACACACGAACACGGACAAGACCTGCCGCCAGGAAAAAAAAAAAGTTGCATTACGATTACATGCGGCCATTAGCCGTCACCTACTGGAACGCCTTGGTCTTCGCGTCGCACCACTCAAATAGATGTTGGGCGTAGCCCTTGCCGCCCTCGCTTTTGTCCTTGATGGCGAGCAGCTGCTCCGGACGGTGGTTCGGATGCCACTTGCCCCAGGGCACGACGTAGCGGCCGCCATCTGCCAGGGTGACGTCGCTCGAGAAGCCCGACCACAGCGACGTGTGGGCGCCGTCAATCGACTTGAACAGCACCGGGTAGCTCGCCCAGACAATGGCCTTGGGCACCTCGTCGAAGATTGCGGTGCGCAGGTTGCCCGGGTTCTGGGTGAGGACCACGACGCCCTGGGGCCCGAGGCGCTGGGCGAACTGCACGGCGAGGAACCAGTTGGCGGCCTTGCTGATGGCGTAGTTGCGGTCGCCGTCGAGCGAGGGGTTGTCGAGCTCGTCGGGCGGGACGCCGTCGGCGGGGGCCTTGGCGTCGACGAGCATGCTGCTGCTGAAGACGACGCGCACGGCGGCCGGGGGTGCGTCGTCGTCTTTGGCAGCAGCCTCGAGCGCAGGCGTGAGCAACTTGGTCAGGAGAAAGCCGCCCACGCAGTTGACCTGCATGTGCAGCTCGAGGCCGGCGCTCGAGCGCGCTTCGGGCGGGGCGGAGGCCATGCCGGCATTGTTGAACAGGACGTGCAGGCGCGGCTCCTTGGACAGGAACGCGAGCGCGCACGGCTTGACGGTGGCCAGGTCGGCGTAGTCGAGGTGGAGGAAGACCAGGGCGCCGCCGGGCACCTTGGGCGCGGGGTGGGCGCTCCGGATGCGGGCCATGGCCTGGTCGGCTTTGGCGGGCGAGCGCGCGGCCATGTAGACGCGGGCGCCCGCGTTGTAGAGGATGCGCGACAGCTCGTATCCGACGCCGGCGGTGGCGCCCGTGACGAGCACGACGCGGCCCGCTTGCGACGGCAGGTTGGCCTCGGTGAGCGGGGCGCGGGGGCTGGGCCGCAGCTGAGGCCAGAGGCGCTTGAGCGTGTCCATGGCGGGGGTGGCTGACGATGGCGGGCGGGCACTCGTCTGGAGCTTGCGAGCGCGACGGGATGGCGATGCGTGGGAAGCGGCCGCGGTGGGTATTTAGAACACGCCCTGCGCTGCAACGAGCGCCGCCCGCGCACGCAGGCACATTGCCCGCGAGGGCGGGCGCTGCAGGGGCGACGGGGGCAGCAGCCCAGAACGGCCGCGCCTCGGACTTCGCGTGCGACGAGACGAGCTCGCGAGTTATGTATAGCGCCTGACGGGGGCCGGTTGGGGTTGCAGCGCGCGGGAGCCAGCGGCGCGGGCCTGTGGCCGTTGGCGCATTGGGCGGCGTCTGCGAACAGCAGCCTGCAGCGGGCACGGGCCGCATGCTCCCAGCGCCCGGCCCAGACAGGCAATTCTGCTCATTGCCCGACCCTGCCCCTAGCGCTGACTACGCTCCCCGTGGGCCACCACATTGCGGCGAGCACGTGAAGCCGTGGCGCGCAATGCTGGCGTTGGCACCGCAGCCGTCTCCGCCGCCGGGGCGCTCGTCAGATTGCCCAAACTCGAAGGCCGCGCTAGGCCCCGTTGGGCGGCGGGAGCCTAGCGCGATCCTTGGGCTGCTGATGGCAGTCCTTCGGCCTTCGTCAGCCTTCGAGAGGCTCTCTGTACGACCTCTCCTGCCTTCCTGAGGCCGGCAAGCGAGTCTCAGCCCAGATCTGATCGCAGTTCCCACGTGTGATGCACCACCCACGAGGTCGTGCTGCACGTAGCCGAGCCTGGCCCTCGTGGTACATGCACACCAGGACGTCGCGCCCTGGCTTCTTCCCTCACCACCAGCCTTATAAAGTGTCGCCGTAGCCCAGAGTGCTGCCTCTCCAGCCAGCATCTTCTCCCACCACTCCAACCATCGGCACATTCCCCCTTCTTGGTGGTGGCCTCGCTCTTCTTCTGCCCATCATGCAACCTGCTTCACTCCTCCTTGCCCTGGCTGCTGCCGCTGCTGCGTCGCCGACCTACGGCTCGTTCCCCGTCAGAGGACAGACGTGTCGCAAGCTCCCCCAGGACAAGGACTGGCCGTCGCCGCAGATCTGGAACGTCCTGAACGCGACCGTGGGAGGACGTCTGATTGCCACAACACCCCTAGCATCTCCCTGCCACGACCCCAACTATGATGCCGCAAAGTGTGACGCTCTCCGCGCGGGCTGGGTGTACCCGCAGACGCAGTATGTACTTCACCGTGAGGACCCGTGGCAGCCAGCTCATGTTTCTAGTTTCGATTCCTCCACCTCCATTGTTGCTCCGTACTTCCAGAATCAGAGCTGCGACCCGTTTACGTCTCGGGCAAGCACTTGCAAGGTTGGAACGTACCCCAGCTACGCCATCAAGGTCACCAAGGCCTCGGATGCCATAGCAGGCATGCTTTTCGCACAATTGAACAATGTGCGTCTGGTCATCAAGAACACCGGTCACGAGTAAGTCTGTCAGCCCATTTCGATTGCAAGCGCTGATGCGTGCCAGCTTGCTCGGCCGTTCTACTGGTACCGGAGGTCTTTCGCTGTGGACGCACTACTTGAAGGACATCACCATCAGTGATTACAAGTCGTCTTCTTACACCGGCAAGGCTATGAAGATGGGTGCTGGTGTCCAAGCCTACGAAGCCTACGAGGCCGCTCACAAGCAGAGCCTGCGCGTTGTCGGTGGTACTTGCCCGACTGTTGGTCTCGCCGGTGGCTACACCCAGGGTGGTGGCCACTCGATGCTTTCTACCGTCCACGGTCTTGGAGCTGACCAGGTCCTGGAATGGGAGGTTGTCACCGCCAACGGCAGCCTGCTCACCGCCACCCCCGACAAGAACAGCGATCTGTACTGGGCCCTGTCCGGTGGCGGCGGCGGTACCTACGGCCTTGTCCTCAGCATGACGGTCAAGGCACACGCCGACACCAAGGTCACCGGCGCCATGTTGACCATCATCCAACAGGGCGCCGAGGACGCCTTCTGGAAGGGCATCACGCTCTTCCACGCCTCCATGACCTCGTACACGGACGCCGGCGCGGCCTTTGGCTATTACCTCGGCCAGGGCATCATGGCCATCCAACCCGTCACCTTCCCGGGCAAGTCCAAGGCCGAGGTCGAGGCGCTCATGCTCGACCTGACCAAGAGGCTCGATGCCGCCGGTACTGTGTACTCGCTCACCGTCACCGAGTTCAGCAACTACTACGACTTCTTCAACAACTACTACGGCCCGCTTCCCTACGGCGTCTACACCTCGGCCCAGGTCCAGGGTGGACGTCTGGTCCCACGCACAGTCGTCGCCACCGCCGCCTCCAACCAGGCCTTCACCGACGCCCTCAAGGCCATCGTCCAGGACCAGGACTTCCACGTCGTCGGCGTCGGCCTCGACGTCAGCAAGACAGCAACCGCTTCCAACGCCGTGCACCCCAAGTGGCGCTCGACCGCCATCACCATCGTCGTCGCCGCCAACTGGGACTACACGCAGCCGTTTGCCACCAACGCCGCCAACGAGACCCTCATCACCGACAAGTACGACCCGCTCCTCACGGCCGTCACGGGCGCCGACAGCGGCGCCTACGTCAACGAGGGCGACTTCCAGCAGCCCGCGTTCCAGGACAACTTTTTCGGTGCAAACTACGCCAAGCTGCGCTCCATCAAGAAGAAGTACGACCCCAACAGCTTGTTCTATGCGACCAAGCTGGTGGGCTCGGAAGACTGGGCTGTGCAGGCTGATGGCAGGCTTTGCAAGGCCTGAGTTGAAAAGACAAAAACAAAAAGGGGGGTTGGGGTACAGACGGAGTAAAGGGGGTAATCCTCCATGTATGCATATGGCTTGGCATATATTGTAAATACATATCATAGACTTAATACTGACATGTTTGCGCATGCTAAGGTGCCCCACTGAGACAAAGTGATACCCTGGGCGGCGGTTGTTGGACCATGGCTAGCTTTGGTCCGGATTGAAGACTATGAGTAATCAAGTACTTTGGAGGTCGTGTGAGTGAAGATGTTGGAGGGGAAGGGGAAGGGGCAGGCAGACATATTTGGTTCGCGTCTTCACATTGGCATGCCGTTACGACCAAGGAAATGCCCTACCTATCCGCTCACAGCGGCGACACAGCCCAGTCCATGGTCCGCTTGGTGGCCTCGTCCTGGTCGACAACAGGCTCATAGCCCAGCCTGTCTTTCGCCCTCTCGATCCACCAGCACACGCTCCTGTCCAGATGATGGATGCTATCCCGGCGCAAGTCCGGCTGCTTACGCCCCAGCGTCAACCTACGGTACGCCCACTCCCCTGCAGACGCGGCGGCCTGTACCGCGGCTTCTTCTGGATGGCGAAGATGTTATTTGGAGAGTTGGCAATGTGGCGCGACCTCGGGGCATCGCAAGGGTGCAAAGCTGTGACCATCCAGCTTGCCATAGACCCTCAGCATCGAAGCAGGGAGCCTAGTAAGAGCGAGCGCACACACGCCATACGCGCATGGTAAGAAGTAGGGCCGATGAGCATGCCGAACAATTGTCAGCGCGGCACGGGAGCTTCTCGGCCCTACCTGCCCGCTGCAGATTGCGCGGTCGTGTGGTGATTTGATCGCCACAATGTCCGACCAAACCAGGATACCCTGCAAAACGACGCGGAGAGGTTGGTGCTCGAAGCACACGCTGAGAAAAGGGGGACCGGATGAAGGCCACAATTTTACTCGTTGCAATCCACTTTCGCAACTGACTTTGCCGGGAATCTCGGCGATTTAACTGGCTTTTGAATGGCAGGCCAGCGGCTGAGAACCAACCCGCTGGAATGCCGTAAAGATGATTTATACGCCGATCGGTGGTAGAAGCAAGCCATCATGTGGGACGATATGACCACGGAGAATATTGTGAATACGGGTTCATGTCTATTCCCCTACCCTTGTTTTATGTGATTATAACACTAGGGTTTAGGTTAACCTAGATTTATAGAGCTTATTATTAAGATGCACTAGGCTCGAAAAACTATACCTGGCTTAAAAACCATACTTGTGTCAGATAATCGCGTGATGAGAATCGTCAAGTATCTGATGAAAAAGTGATGATTGATTGATTGAAGTGTCGTTATCGTTTCTACAGAGTTTCTTGTTTTCTTGTTGAATGCCTTCCAAGCAAGGGAGAAACCGTTTTAGGAATAGGTCCAGGTGCGCCAGCCACCTCGCAGATGACCATGTAATCGGACAACTTGGCTTAAAAGCCATACTAGGCGTAAAAACCATACTAGGCTTAAAACTTCAAATGTCGTTTTCTACACTAGGCTCCTTGGCAAACCACACTAGGCTATTGAATCCTACACTGGGCTAAGGTAGTTCTGATACATATAGGGTTCTTTCGAAACCTAGGGCTGGGTGTCGATGCCGCCCTAGGATAGACGTCTAGTGTAGGACGTCTTGGCCACTTTGAACAAGAACATGTATCGTTCTCTATTGGGGAATAGTCTGTGGGATCGATAGAGTGCTGAGCTTCCAGGTCTTGCCGTTGTCAGGCGTGGTCATCTCACCACCGATCGCACCATATTGCCAGCTACCGGAGTGCTTGAATTTCAGATCTGCCTTATCCAGTATGATAGTGACATTCTCCCAGCCTACAAGTAATACCGTTAGCATTAGTGACGTGATCTCGTGACGCTCCTTAGTGACATACTGTGAGCTCCAACGGCAGCGCAGGTACCCGAAGCACATTCAAGTGAGATGTAGAAGATCTTTCCATGCTGTCCCTTACTAGTGTTAACAGTAGACACGAGGTTTCCATCAATATACACATTCTGGTCCCATAGTTTAGTGCTCGAGTTCAGCTTGTAGCTCGTCCTGATCTTTGAGCCGGGAGACGCGACTGCGGGTTTGCCGACGGTGGCTTGCGAACCGACCAACGTGTACGCAAAGTTGCACCATTGGGTAGGGAGTATGGAGGTGCACCAGTAGCTTCAAAGGACTTTAGTGACAGCGCTTTCTACTATGATGACATATCTGCATACCTCTGGGCAGAGTTTTGCGTGACTCCTTGTAGGAAACTTGCCTGGTTCTCCATCATAATGGCACTCCACAGTGCCGCATCTCCAGAGCCCTGGGGGTTTGGCGCTTTCCCCAACACAAGCGTAGCGCTGGCTTCGGTAATGTAGTTGTCACCATTGACGTTGAGAGTTACGACGTCGAGATTAGCTTGTGTAAGCGCAGTCAAAGCGGCGACGGCTGCTAAAACCTTCATCATCACTTTCGCAGTAGCAGTATGCAGGTACAAAAGCTGCGTCTCAAACAAAAGGATGAAATGGTTGGAAAATGCAAGTCGCGAAGTCGCGCGTAAGGCTCCTAATCGGATGCGGGCATGCCTTAAATAATCGAAGAACATTGCCATCGCATGCCCATCAATAAGGGAAATTAAGGATCTGTATAACGCGGATTACTTCGGAAGTTTTTCCGTGCATAGTGGGTCAGCGCTACGATAGCTCGCTACTTTGATTAAAGACCCACCTGATTGGGTTGGGGGGCGTAGACTACTGTTTGATGTTTCAAGTTTATTGTAAGACCTGGGGATACCAGAATGCCCAAAAATTTAATGCTAATGCTTAGGTGGGGTGCAGCTGGTACAGCAATCTACGAGACACTTCTGGCCTCACCAATAGAGGGCGACCAGCTCTACATTGTGTAATTACTCGTGAATCACGGTGCTAATACCTATCCAAACAATGCGGCTATCTTCGAAGTGCACTCGACCAGCGAACCTCAAGCTCTTGGGAATCATCTGTCCGGGGGTTTACACTACGCAGAGGAGCATCGAGTGTTTAGTGTATGCGGCTATAAACCCCTCAACCTATTCATCTGGATGTGATCCGGGGCTCTGCTCGGGCTACTGGAAGCGGCATGAGATACGGCCAGGCTTCGAGGAAACCTGATCTACAACATGATCCTGCACATCTTCCTGAGGCTGAGATCGGGCAATCAAGCAAGCTATTGCGGCAGAGCAACTTCGCATGCAATAGAGATTGCGCCGGTCTTGGTCTCCTGTTACGCCACAGAGCGGAGATACATTTCGACAACGGAAAGGCAGTGCAGATAGTAGCCAATGCAGCTGATTTGGGGTTGGCCCCATGGCTTGCTGAACGAGCTATCGATTTATACTGCATGTGTGATCCTCGACAACCTCGATGCTTACCGTGCTCTTGCTCGTGAAGAAACTCCAAATGACGGAATTCTCCATTCGGCAGCGCAACTCGCGTAGCCAAGTTCCGTCGAATGTTTGTCAGATTTCCAAGATCCTAAGGAAGCCTTGCTAGTATACGACAACATGACCCCGCTTGCATTTGCATGTGCCTCTGGAGCCAATACTTGGTGTAAAATCAACGTTCGGCCAGCTTAGAAGATTCCCAGGCAGAGTGCATCAAACTTTTGGCGCCTTGCACAAACACCGAGTGTCGATGCCGACATGAAACTGTTGTTCTTGTTGCCTTGAAAGAGGACCCGAAAGTAAGTGAAAATATGCTCAATGCGCTCAGAATATATAAAGATTTCATGCTAAAGGAGGCGGATCTATACAAGGACAAGAGCAGGAGAATTTATTTGATGTTGTTGATTATGACCGAAGTTTATTCGAACTTGGAAGGTTCAGGACAGGGGAGACTTTGAAAAGGTGTTTTCACCGCGGATATCCTAATTCGTCAGTGCATTTCGACATATCGGTCAAGGATTGCATATTCATGATGACTTTCCAGTCTGTTTCGTCTCAGACCTGGGGATTGCCCTCCCTGGTCAACGAATCTCGCGCTTAGTACTTCAGAAAGGCCATGAAGCACTCCCATTGTGCGTCATCTATGTATTCTGGTCAGTAGAAGACAAAACCGTAATGCTCCTGCTAGGCAGCATTCTGTTTGGACATTTTCTGGTCCGCCATTGTGAAGTGCGCTGTCAGGTGAAGAGCTGGGCTGTTCAGATCTATGGAGTCGTGCGATGACTGGAGGTGATCTAGGGTATCAAACTTACACTTCTCTCGCGTCGAAGTCAGGGCAAGCCGCTTGGGAGTGGCGACGCGTTCGGGAGAACAGTCCCCTGCTTTAACGTGGACCGGTGCGGTAAGCTGGCGATCGGCCCCCCTTGCAGATGAGCGACGGGATGAACTCGAGTAATCCGGACCACGCAAGTACGCCTGGAAGTCTCTTCAATCAAGGGGTCTCAGATCGCATAATGAGCTTGTCGTGCGTAGAGAAACAAGCGGGCAAGCCTGCGCACTGGGTAGGGCATTACCGGTAGTCAAACGAGTCCGGTTGGGCGCGTTAGCCGGTGGGGGCGGGGTTGACCCGACCCAATGCAAGGAAATGTGTCCTAGCGTCTTAATTTTGAAAGCTTGTGTAGTATGATCGAGTCCCTGTGCAACTGATCGCAAATATACGTGTCGCAAAAAAGCGTGTCCTCTTTTGTGCGAACAAAACATCCTTGGTCGTGATCGAACTTGGCGATCGCCGTGGGCCGTAATACTTTTAAGAACAATGCTGGGTTCCCCGGCATCTATCTTTATCGAACAAGCTTATTTTCTCTTCGAAGTAGTCCTGCACGACATGATGCGTTGGATACGGGCAATTTCTTTGATACATTTTGCTGTCCGATGCCTAGTAATGAGCATCTAAACGTGTTTGCGCCAAACTACCAACACAATAGAGCAGTTCTAAATCATATAGAGAAGTCTACTATTTTGCCATAGTGCGTCCAAAAAAACTGATATCTATGCATGTAATGAAACAAATACAACCTTTTCCACCCTTCAGAACGCCAAAAGCTTATCCTCACCCGCCGCATTAGTTCCTCAGACTCTATGTACCTTTGGCTACCCTCCAGAGCGCTCAGTAACCTTTCATCCAAACTGCTGGCTTTTGCACACTGATGACATTGTTCCTGAGTGTGCCCGTGTAATCGTGCACTTTGACATCTCGCAATTCTGCCAGGACGTCCATGTTGAGGCCTTCCTGGTTGACAGACACGATGATACCGTCAAATGTGCTGAGGTATTCGACGTGCCAGTTCGCTTCAGTGTTCATCTTTGGTACATCATTGTAGAGATCCGTTCCGACCAAAGGGTCCGCAAACTCGACGTGGCAGTTGTACTCGCTCTTCAACGTGCGGATGATTGCAGCTCCCGGGGAGTTACTCATAACTTTCTGGCCACGCTTGAACCCGACTCCAACAACGAGAAGACGGAGATGGCTTGGTTCCGCAATGGGCTGATGTGGAGAGTATGGTTCCTGTAGCAAAGATTGCACGAAGCGGTGGGCGACGTCGGCGGGTCGTTGCCACGACATCGTGGTAGCATGCTCAAGCAGAGGCATCGAGCAATTTGACAGTAGGTAGTATGGGTTGACAGGAATACAGTGGCCGCCAATTCCAGGGCCAGGCTTGAATGGAAGGTACCCAAACGGCTTAGAAGCAGCTGCATTGCTGACTTCGAACGCATCGATACCAATGGAAGCACAGGCGTCCGCCATCTCGTTGGCGTATGCTGCGCAAACCATGCGTTGGCAATTCTCGTACAGCTTGGTCATCTCTGCCACTTCGGGCGAGGAGACGGGAAGAAGCTTGTGGAAGACGCGGCCATAGAGGGTAGAGATGGAGTCGAGAGATGCGGCGTCCATGCCGGAGACAATCTTGGGAATGTCTTCGAACGCCGGGAACGTGCGACCAGGGTCGACTCGCTGGTAGATATTAGAATACTTGTCACGGTCTTAGCGGGGTCACCTCATCACTCACCTCTGGCGACATGCCAACCTTCAAGTTCTTGGACGCCATGAGAGGCGCAACCAGCTCGCGGGTCATGCCGACAGCAACGGAGCTCTCGACTACGATAGTAGACCCAGGCCTGACATGCTTTTCCACGGTAGCAATGGCACTGCGTAAGTATGCTGTGTCGATGCTCTTGTCATCTTTGAGAATGGTTGGTACCGATATGAGGACATGGCTGGCCTCGCTGATATCCCTCGCGTTAGATGTGAATTGGATCGGGAGACCAGTGAGCTGCTTTGAGACCTCCGCCAGTCTCCTTTCACTGAGATCGAAAGCAATGACATTGTAGTGTCGTGCAAATGCCTCAACGAGATGTGTACCAACATAGCCAACTCCGATGACAGCAACGATGGACTGAGGCTCTGTGGCGACAAGGTCTTTTTTTTGAACGGTTTCCATTGGGTCGTCAATCACCCATACTAGGGATCCATTCTCCTCCTCAGGGGGAGGTGTGAGCGGGAGAGCCGCGGTGGTGATTGTCACCTCGGGTTTCTTGTCCGCGGGGAAGAACTTGTTGGCGAACATACTATCTGTGAATGTAACGGCCATGGAAACGATACCAACGACTGTAAGATACTAGGATGAGTTGGGGCTGGCGGAGAAAAATGATGTAGTAGAAAAAGAAAGAATAGGGTGATCGCAATCTTTCCTTAGATGGGACAAAGTTCAATTCTATGATTGAGAAGATTAGGGCATGAGATGTGCAAAAGGCTTGCTGATGAAACGAAAGACTTCACTGGGCGACTTTATACCCTGGACTCGCTCACGTCACGATATTCCAGCCTCAATACGTTCGCCTCCGCGTTCCAGCTCCTCTCATTGTTTTCATGGCGTCAAGTCTGGCGAGGTCTCGGTGTCCCCGCCGTTTTGTGCATTGTTCCAGCTTTGCTCAATGTTGCTGTAGCGTCAAATCTCGCGCAGTCTCAGTTCCTATGGCGAGACCACGATCCCGTGAGCCATTTCCGTTCTGGATGTAAGGTACCACAGGACAGGCCGTGGGCGGCAGCGTCGAGCACTGAGCAGTATCGTGGCTTGCATATCCAGCGTGTCCACAACGTGATGGCTTGCGTTGCTTCCAGCTCTGGCTGAAGGAGTGATGTGGCTCAAGGATGAGGTGCTTCAACTGATCGACAGCGTGGCTCGCCATCGGAGGCTCCATGCATGATAGGGTCCTTAGGAAATAGGCGAAAGCGTCGATATCTCATCCCTACTCGCTTCCGGCTGCCATCTCGGACAGCAAAACGATACGGACAGGTACTGAACCAAGTATTGCCAAGCAATAGATCAGTCGAACCAGAAGTGCGTATTCCGCATTGGGTGTACTTGGCGTAGACCCCTGGGCCTCTTCCCGTATCCAGGCGTCTGGAACATGAATTTCACTTTCGGAAGTCAAGAGTATTCGGCATAGAACAACAGTGGAAGAAGTGATGAGGTTGAGCAGGAGTAGACAGAAGCAGGCATACGCATCGTCTCGTTCAACAGCACATCATTCTAGATCTAGGCACTCCATGACGACATCTTCATCTCAAACCATGATTGAGAAGGGTCTTTCACTGATCTCCCCATATTATACGCGAAAGTTGTTTCCAGCGCCCACTATGCTTTTCCGGGTCATCAGTTTGGCCTGACATAGTTAAAGGCACTCTTGAGCAAGTAATGAATAGCTTTGCGAAGTCTGGCTAAATTTGACGATATTGTTTGACTGTGCCGTAAGTGACCTCCTTGGCATGTCTTGAGCGCGAAGGCTGAAGTCGCAATTGTACCGAGCAACGGGAATCACGAAATCAGCATTGCGAATCTAGACTATCAAAGTACACTGCACCTGGTACAAAAGAGTCTGACCAAGCTAGTAGTATGCCTTCAACGGACCGGTGAACTTTGTTTTCGACATGTTAGCTGCAGACGCTTGCTGTACCAAGGTCACTTCAGGGTCTGCGGCGACTTGGCAAAACGGAGGTGGGCGAATTGGAGCGGCCTCGCAACGGCATCAGCCGCTCGAGGGGCGGCATTGTTCAAGCGGACGTGTCCGACTGTGGATTACTGCAGTGGCACCTGCAGAGCACGTGTCCGCCTGAGTCCTACTGTTGGCAAGCCACTGCTTTGGTTAGCGAGCAGATCACGCACAGGTACCGGTACGTCTTACCGCCGCTATGAAGAATCCACGCTTAGCGCCAGCCATCCGCATAATCGCTTGCCGCCAGCCCTAGGAACGTCCCTCCCGCTTTCGCTTGCCAAGTCGCAATCAATTTTCGCTGCAGTCTTATTATAGACAGAATTGGAGCAGCATAACCTTTCGACCAGGGCATACGCATGCAGAGCAATGGCCCTTTCGCTGTCCCGGTTGTCGGTATCTGAGGGAACCTGGAAACACATCTTATACTGGCACATCATAGCAGATCGTCGCAGAAAACTTCGCATGGCGATGCTTGTTGGGGCACCGACACCAGGGTCAGTGCGAAAGCCCAATTGCTGCCAAGTGCGTGCTGTTCCGAAGAGTATGTCGTGATCCCCACTAGGTAAACCTTGGTCAATTTGTATGACGCTCACCTGAAAATGTTAGTCATGTATTTGTGAGCCCCGTGCCGTGGGGTCGCAAGTATACAAGGGGTAAGCGATAATAAGACTACAGCTGGAGGCTAATTCGCCCCATCCTCGCCGTCTCGGCCCCAAAGCGGTTGTAAAAAGGCTATCCGGGCCCCACGGCACCAGCGGGAGCGTGCCGCGCCACAGGCCGAGCTAAAGTAATATAGGAACACTTGTGAGCAAAGGAACGTTTTAGCTCGCCGTGCGCCCCTTGCTCTTTACCCGATTGGGACAGCGTACGATCGCCAAGGAACACTAGGGAAAAGAGTGTTGATCCGCCCGAAGCACCCGAGCACAACGTGCTGGTCTGGATGCCAAGATGAAGGCGCACAACCGTGAAAGCCAAGTTCTCGTATACGGCGCCGTGACTCTCCGTTGGATCTCACTTCGCTACGACTCTGACTATTTCGCTAGGTGAAATTTCTTCATGCGAAGATGGCGACGCCGAACTTCTCAGCCGAGCGCATAGAGCCTAGATGTTCAGCTTTAGCGACAGATCGCGACTCAGCGGGCATCTTGTGCAGATGCAAGTATTGTGTGGCTGCTTCAGGAGTGCTGAGCTGTTCAACATGGGTCCACAGCGCTCCCGTGAGGTCTGGGTCTCTCATTCTCTTGCAATAGATGCCTAGGTGCTCAAGAGCCCTGCATTCTGGATATTCCTTCTTGAAGATCTTCCTGTACGCGGTTTTAATATCTTTATTCACGTCCCACCTCAGTACACTCGTTAGAGCTCGCTTTGTCTTTCGTCAGGACCCAATCACTGGCTAGCTTCAAGATGTCTTCACACAAGCCCGCTAGCTCTCTTGCCTCGAGCCTTCCTTCCTTGCCAGAAGACGCTCATCTGCGCCCAGGGAGTATCAATGCTGAGAGTGATACCGCTTCTGCCAGTGGAAACCCATTCGAGAGTCTTTACCATCGGAGTACCCTCTCTTTCGCTACAACACTTCCCGGGACCCCTCAGAATGAGGTCGACAATGAAAAAACCGACTCTTTGCTCTGGGAAAAGAAAATTTCAGTTGTTGGGGAAGCACCAGTTGTGAGCCATCAAGAGAGGGTGAAGCAACTGGGTGACCTCAACACCATGGTCGACGAGAAGCCAGAATTCTCTGACCCTGATGGTTTGAAGGTGCGCCGCGCCCAAAGACTCATGAAGCTCCGCAAATTTGCCTTTCAGTGCACCATCTTCGGTATCAAGTAAGCTTGCCACATGCCCGTGTCTTGACAATGCAGCTTATTAATATGCGACAGTGGCTTTCTACTCTTCGGCTCCTGGTGGTTCAAAGGTTATCACTACGTTTTCCTACCGTTCATCACCTACGGTGTCGCTTTAAACTTCACTGTCGTTATTACGTTGCTCATGTGGCTTGCCTTCCGTTGGTTTCGCCCTGAGAAGTACGACCCTGCTCCGGAGACCCCAGAATCCCTCATGCTCATCATCCCTTGCTACAACGAAAACGAAGAGGAATTGCGGAAATCGCTCGATTCCCTCGTTGAGCAAAAGGGCATCGAACAACACAAGCAGTGCGTTTTCATCATTTGCGATGGCCGAGCACGTGGGCCAGGTATGGACCAGACCACCGGCGAATGTCTCCTCGACACGATTCTGACCGAAAAAACCTCGCGCATTCACATGAACAACGCCTACATGTCCTGGGACAAGGAACCGATGGATGCAATTATACAAAGAGGGACATACCGGGGGCTGCCCTACATGTGTATCGTAAAGATGACAAACAAGGGCAAGCGTGACGGCCTCATTCTACTCCGATCCTTCGCATACAAGTTCAACCAGCGCGAACATCGACCGACTACTGTGATTTCGAACGCGATGTTCGGAGAGATGTGCTCATTTGTTCTTGACGATTGCGAGATCGACAAATTTGACCAGATTGTTGGCATGGACGCAGACACCGTTTTCGACCCCTGGTGTATCTACTACCTCATCATAGAATCGAGGCATCCAAAGTGCTACGGCGTCTGCGGCGTGGTTTGGGTCGATTTCAAGGATGGTCCTTGGAACCCGTGGCGGCTAATGCAAAACGCCTCCTACACCATAAGCCAGGGACTTCCTCGCTTACATCAGTCGATCGTTACCCACAAAGTCTCTTGTCTTCCTGGTTGCTGCCAGATCCTCAAGGTCTGTGAGGAAAACAATGGCGATCATATCCTACGAACGCTGTTCGGATACTGCCCCAGCCCCACCGATGGTATGCTTAAGCACCTACGAGGCGCGTATAGTGAGGATCGCAACCACGTTTGTCACGTTCTCACTGCGTCACCTCACGTTCAAACGCGACAATCCATCCGCTCGGTTGCGTGGACTGACGTGCCAACTTCCTTATCCGTCTTCATGTCGCAACGCAAGCGCTGGTCTATGGGCGCCACGGTAAACGACTTCCGCCTCATAACCGCAAGAGGAACCCAATGGTTTGAGCGCCTTCGTGCTTTCTCGAATGTGCAGACATGGTTCTGCAACATATTCATCATGGGCTCGATCGCTGGACTAATACATGCCGCTCAACGTAAGTAGCATCACTGATCAATATCTCTTGCGGAAGCACTAACAACAAACAGACGTTCCCTGGTATGTCACGGTTGGCTTCCTCGGCGGTGTGATCGTGCCGTACATGTACATGCTCACACTCGTTTTCTGGATGCCCAAGACTCGTCAAGCGAAGTGCCAATTCTTGGTAGGCGTTGTCATCTACTTCTTCTCCGGACCGTTCCTCACCATCTTCGTGTTGTTCTACACCATGTGGCATCTGGATGCTTTTTCTTGGGGAAAGACCCGCCAAGTTGTTTCAGAGGACACTGACACTACGAACGGAGAGTCGGTCACCGAGAAGTCTTCGCGACCGGACACGCTCAACGATGAGGAAGCCACCATTGGTATTGGTCGTGCTGCTTAATTCACATTGTAGCCATATTTAGACCCTCAGTTTCCTTTTCGATTTTTATAAAGATCCTCGGCGTTGTTTTTTGTACCATGATACCAATAATTGCTAATCTTGTGCTGAATCATCGATATCTTCAGAACTTCTATTGTTGCTCAGTTGTGTACAGCGAGAACTAGATGCATATTTTGTGCTTTTATTGAGCACAATGGCGTGATTTTGTAAAACGCACAGGCCGCAACGAGACGGCGACCTGGTGTGTCCCGTCCCGCACAGTCTTCATCCACAGTCGTGGCCCTTCCACGAGGGCCCAGGGCCTTGTCAGCTGGACCTTGGCCAGTGGCCCAGTCAGCTGGACACGTGGAATCGTGGGGAACCGACCCTGTTGGTGGCTTTTTGCATGAAGTCTATTATGTGCACAGTTAACTTTGACGCGATCTGCGAGTCGAACATGGGTCTCGACCCCTACGGCGCGTACATCTGTCCTCTTTCGCTTATTTTTCTGCACTGCGGCTGTATGATCTAGTGATTCTGCGCTGTGTTCGGAACCTAGGCACCCACATTCAGCTGGAAGTCGAGAATACGTTGTACGCCTTCGCTCAGCCCGACGTCTATGCGCTTTGGCTTTTGCACAGCGAAGATTGCATTTAAGGAAACTGTGGGCTCCCATGGCGATCAATCTGCAGTGATCTGATTTTTAGCCTGAACACGACATAGGTCTGTCTATCACCTCGTTTGAACCAGAGCACTGGGATCTTGTCCATCCTTGGCATCTTCAAATCCAGCTGCAGCAATGGGCCCAAAGTTGGGCGGTGTGACCTACGCCTTGGCTGCACTTGCTGTACTGTTCCCCTTCGCGTCACCTGTTCCCTTCGGACTGCAAATCTACCAATGTACCAAACCTGGTGTCATTGCTCCAGGCTTCGATGATGGCCCATGGATTTACTCTGAAGATATTCTGGATCGGTAAGTAAAAGCTCGGGCCTCTACTATCTTCCTGGCACCCTAACAGTGAGCTCAGGATGCAGGCGACCGGTTTTATCGCCACTTGGTTCATCAATGGAGCGAACAAGGGGAACATCTACGATTACAACTCCACCTTGCGAAGAATGGTCAACATGGGTCACCAGATTGGATCACATACGTGAGTTGCGAAACACTTCTTTATTGACAACACTAAAAGCTTGATTAGATGGAGCCACAAGGATCTTGCAACTCTGACCGTGGATGGGATCAAGCAGCAGATGATATTATTGGAAGAAGCCATGGTGAATATCTTAGGGTATTTCCCTTACTACATGCGGCCCCCTTTCCTCTCGGTCAATGCGCAAGCACTCTCGGTATTGAAAGAGCTTCAATACCACGTTATCATCGGGGACCTGAACACCAAGGATTGGGAGTATCAAACTCAAGCTGGCATTGAAATAGCCAAGAAACTGTTCGTCGACGGCCTTGATATGGGTTACACGATCGTTGAAAGCCATGAACAAGAGGTCTGGTCTCAAGGTGTTCTCATTGACTACATGATAAAGATTGTCAAAGACAGAGGGCTAAAGAGTAAGTACTATAGCCCCAAAGCGCACTAGGCGCACATACTCACTACTGTCAGCTGTGACCGTCGCCGAATGTCTACAAGACACGCAAGTATACCGGACCTTCCGCGATCCCAATGCGGTACGTATTCGCGAGCAACATGAACGCAACGTGAGCTGACCGGTGCCCAGACGCAAACTATGGAGCCACAACCGACTGTGACCTACTCCCTCAACGGAAGGTGCGGAAACATCAACGCTGGTGGAAACCTGGGATGGACCTGTCCTCCGAACGGTGGCAGATGCTGCAGCAAGTATGGTAACTGTGGAAGCGGTGCAGACTATTGTGGCGCAAATGTCTGCCAGCCTGCTTTCGGCATATGCGATGCCCCCACGTCCACGTACCGCGACGAATTGTCCCAGAGCAATACTGCAACTACTGTACCTGCTCGAACCGTTGCAAACACCGAGTCTGCGAAAGCAACAGCGACTCCGCTTGGCCCGGGAAGCACCACACCTGACGGCACATGTGGTACCCAAGGCAGTGGCAAAGATAAGGGCTACATTTGCAAGGCTGGCGCATGCTGCAGCAAGTACGGGAACTGTGGCACGACATTCGACTACTGTGCTGCTCCGGTATGCCAAATTGCCTTTGGGAGATGCGACCCTGCCCCCGGACGTGGAAGTGTGACACCCGACGGTACTTGCGGAGATTTCAGCAAGGGCAACAACAACGGCTACGTCTGCAAGAATGGAGCGTGCTGCAGCAAGTACGGCAACTGTGGTACGACAAACGACTACTGCGCAGCTAGTTCGGGCTGTCAACCAGCGTTCGGCTCTTGCATCGGGGTTGTCTCATCTCCATCAGGCTTAAGCACCGTGGGGTCGTCGAGTGACCTTGTATCTTCCTTCCAGAGCTCTGTTACAGAAACCATTATAGCGGCATCTTCAACCTTGGTAGCACCACCAACTAGCTCGGACGCCGTCCTTGCAAGCTCGCAAGTCACTCCGGTCATCTCTACAAGTGACTGGATTAGCGCTTCTGTGGACGTTTCATCTAGCAACTCTGTCGATGCTTCAGCTACCAGCTCGGTCGTCGTTTCACTCGGCGATTCGGTCCCAAACAGTGATTCTGTCACGACGTCTTCAAGCGCTTCTTTCACACAATCACCACTCGCGATCTCTACTCCCTTGAGTGACCCTAGGGCCTCCATGGCTTCGAGTGATTCTACGAGCTCTTCTTTATCAAGCGACTTTGTCAGCTCTTCTATCTCCAATGAGTCTTCGAGCGCGAGTGTGTTGAGCACTTCTCCGAGCTCCGCAGTGTCCAGTGATTCTTCTGTAAGCTCCACGCCATCGAGCGATTCACTGATCTCCATTGTTTCAGGCGAGTCACTCAGCGCCACAGTGTTGAGCCAGTCATCGAGCTCCATGGTTGAGAGTGACTCGCCAATTTCGACAGTATCGAGCGACCCAATAAACTTTATCGCTTCCACTAATACGCCATCGAGCGAGTCTCCGAATTCCACGGTTTCGAGTGACTTGACTAGCTCTACCGTTTACAGCGATTCCTCGAATTCTACTGTATCAAACAAGTCTCTGAGTACCACTCTGTCGAGTAAGTCTTCAAGCTTGTCTGACTAAGCAGCTCTACGAGCTCTTCCATTCCGAGTGACGCAACGCTTTGAGTGGTTTGGAGGTGCTGTTTGTACTTGCTCGAGATACGTTCGTGTGACGGAGGGCAAATTGGTTATCTCGGTGATATGGTTCGATCTCTATGACTAATGGTAATGAAAATAAGAATGAGGATGATGGTCACGAAATTTAGAATGAGGATGACAGTCACAAGTGGTAGTAATGCAATCATTATTCCATTTCCTTGACCTACATATTCACACTATACCAGGCATCAAGTACCTCCAGCGAAGCGTGCAGGTACAGTCCTTAGTATCAGTAGGACCCAAGTCTCGGGAGAATGTTTGGCCCTGATAAGATTAGCCCGTTTGTTATATGCAATGGTCTATAAAGGACTGGTAGCCACAGTGGCTACCATATCATGATCGAGTCATTTCCACCTATCTGCTGACAACTATCCTGTTGGCAGGATTGCCAGCTATGCCCAGGATCTCATTCTCGCTTGCGCCATCGCTAGACCAGGTGCTCCTGCCATCCCCGCCATGTGCCCAAGTGCTCCTGCCAGCCACAGTATCCAGTTCGTGCACGGGACCGAATGGCCTGTATGGAGGCGAGCGACCTGGTCCACCTAGTACTCGAGGGCCCGGGTTTGAGTGGGGATACGACGAACCTTGGGTACCGGGGTGGGAAACGTGTCGGAATAGAGGGTGAAGAGTCGCGATATTACCAAGGATCATTCCGGGTCTGGGCTCTGCATATCCCCAGGTGATGAAGATCCTGCACATGAAATAACCTCATTCGGCTGCACAGCGCTCCAAACAACAAATCGCGAAGTCTCGATTTCCAACTGCCGATGTCCCGATGTCACAATCGTGACACAACAAGTGTGTTGTGTCCCCGGTACCATACAAGCTTTGTAGTCACTGAAAAGGCTTCGTACACAGTTCGATGTACAGAGAGAGCGAGCACATCCCTCTTTTTTGCAAAGACGAATGCATTTTGGCTGTAAAAATTACTCTTCACCGAGAATGTGGTGCATTTGCAGCCACTAACGCGGTCTGGATGTGCATAAAAGCAGTCCATTCACAGATCCCATATGAGGAGGCATACCTGCCGCCTGGACCATGAGTAGTTCGACCCCGGAATCAATGCTCGATTGTTTTCTTTGCGGAAGGGCACCCTGCGGTGTAGCCGCTAGGAAACGATAACTTTCTGAAGTCGGGGAAATAGGTTTGGTATCTTCGTACGTTTCAATTTGTATTGTACGGAACATATGAGTCGATCAAATGAAAGATCTTCCAGACTGTCTACAAAGACAGTATCATGGTGGGCGTCCTACGCCGCCGTGTGGTCAGTGTCGTTTGCCATTAGCGCTATCGATGTAGAGCACAGAAAAACCCAGATAGGTACTCATCGCTCAATAATCAAATAGCAACCTGAGTTTCGCAGCTAGCGTACAGCAGCTTAACTTCATCGTGAACGCCAGTCGCAATTTTGCTTATCGAGAATAGCTTACCTTGTCCAATGTCGCCCGGATGTCAACATCCTTTTTGGAGAAAGCTGCTCTAGCATCGTTCTCAGCTCCCAAATCAAGTTGATGTCATCTTTTGGAGATGCGTTCATCCCATATCTCAGGGACGCGATACATCGGTGGCGGGTTGATAATCACCTGCAGACGTCACGAGATCCGCTCTTGCGCCATGAGTAGTGCTTTGTACGAAGTACGCATCGCACAATGGCACCATCCCGGTTCACTAAATGGATCAATATCGACAGGTTGGATGTACCCACTGTCTCGTGAAATGGGCTGGCGTGTGTAGGTGCTTACGTTAAGACGTAGGTGTTCCTCAGCTGTGCTCGGCCGCCTAGAGCGGTGGCGTAAGGTATCTTGATGCCAATACCCTCAGGGACGGTGGGAGACCCAAGCCCTACCTCCAGCTCCAGGGCCAGTGCTGAAACACGTGAGCACTAGTTGCAGGGAACCAAGCCGAATACCGACCATTCGTCGATTGGCGGCATTGCAACCAATCAGAGCTCTTCTCAGAGAACGCAGATACACTCATTTTGATAATGCATCTTGCGTTGCTTGACACTTCTTTACGTCGCTGCTGCTCTCCCACGTTGGTGGCATGAAGACTCGAGTCGTCGATGCCTAGAATTTTCGCCTACGTCATGACTGAGCCTCATCGGCTCTTAGCGCACATGTGCGGCGCGCGCGTCCGCGTCGTTCCATGATACAAGTATCGCGCAAGCACAGAGCATACCCACACGGGATACTCGACAGCATAGATGGGTAGGATAAAAAGCCCACGCAAAGCGGTCATCATCGGTGCTGGCGTTGGCGGTGTGGCCACTGCAGCTCGCCTCGCAGCCGCAGGATGGAAAGTCACCGTGATAGAGAAGAACGACTTCACAGGCGGACGGTGCAGCCTTATCAGGGAGGATGGCTATGTTCGTTGGCGGCTCGGGCTACTTTTGAATGATTGCTGACGTACGACCAGAGGTTCGACCAGGGCCCCAGCTTGCTACTACTACCGCATTTGTTTCATGAGACGTTCCATGACTTAGGGACTTCAATGAAAGAGGAGGGAGTACACCTTGTCAAGTGCGAGCCGAATTACAACATTCATTTTCATGATGGAACCGCCTTCAAAATGTCCACAGATCTTGCTACCATGAAGGAAGAGATCGAACGCTTCGAAGGCAAAGATGGCTTTGAGCGGTACATGTCTTTTGTTCAAGAGTCTCATCGTCACTATGAACTATCAGTCACGCATGTTCTTCGCAAGAATTTCTTCTCAATCTTCAGCATGATGCGTCCCAGCTTTCTGAGGCATCTGCTTGCGTTGCATCCGTTCGAAAGCATCTACGGTCGGGCAAGCAAGTATTTCTGGACTGAGAGGCTGAGAAGGGTTTTCACTTTCGCAAGCATGTACATGGGCATGAGCCCCTTTGATGCACCGGGTACATATTCTTTGCTTCAGTACACGGAATTAGCAGAAGGTATTTGGTACCCCATCGGCGGTTTCCATAAGGTGCGCATATCGTCCAATACCAGGCAATCGCTCGCTGATAATCCAGGTCGTCGATGCACTCGTCAAGTTGGGCGAACGAAGAGGAGTGAAATACCAGCTTAACACCTTGGTGTCACACATACAAGTTCAGGACTGTTCGAAAGGTCCCACGGCGACGGGTGTAGTCTTGGCCAACGGCGAGGTTCTCGAAGCTGACAGAGTGATATGCAACGCCGACCTAATTTACTCTTATAACAATCTTCTTCCCCCAACAAGTTACGCTACTTCCTTATCGAAACGCGAAGCATCCTGCTCAAGTATCTCTTTCTACTGGGCGCTTGATAAGCAATTCCTCGAGCTATCGGCGCATAACATCTTCTTGGCGGAGGACTACAAAGAAAGCTTCGACAGCATATTCAAGAAACATCTGATTCCGGAACAACCGAGCTTCTATGTAAACGTACCTTCACGTGTTGACCCAACTGCAGCGCCAAAAGGCTGCGATGCGGTTGTTGTTCTGGTGCCTGTCGGCCATCTCATGGAATCATCGTACGGGTCACACAAAGGCATGGCGGGAACAAGTGGCGAGAAGCAAGACTGGGACGCCATGGTCACCATCGCGCGGGAGACTATACTTAAGACGATCGAATCGCGCCTGAAGATATCGCTTAGCGATCACATCGTTTACGAGTCTGTCAACACGCCGCCATCCTGGAAAGAGACGTTCAATCTCGACCGCGGAGCCATACTCGGCCTCAGCCATTCATTCTTCAACGTCCTGTGCTTCAGACCGAAGACAAGTCACCCCAAGATTCGTCACTTGAACTTCGTGGGTGCCAGTACACATCCTGGAACCGGAGTGCCTATCGTCCTAGCTGGAGCGAAGATTGTGAGCGAGCAGATCCTGAACGAATCGCATGGTAGCAAGGTGCCCTGGGTTGAAAACGGCGCCGCGATAGCGAAGAACTGTGACAGTCCGTTAGATCAAGCACAATGGATGCCAGTGCTGAATTGGCTTCACTGGGTAGCGATCCTTGTTATTGCTTTTCTTGCATCAGTACTTGGCCCATTCTCAGGTGGTTGGAACTGGAAAGAGGCGAAATTTGGGGGCGATTGGTGATATTTCCTTCTATGGCAGCACACACACATCAAACTATAGATAATCTCTAAACCTATGTTGCCTCAAATCTGCAAAACCAAACATTTGGTCCGTTACGTAGCCGAAGCCCACGCAAGCCCCGAAATTGAGCTAATCAGCCGCATCTTTATCGCTATGCATTTGAACATTGCATGCCGTTGCGATTTGGTGTGCCCAACGTGTCATGTTCGCAGGAGCTTCGCTCTAGGGTTGCGCAACAGCTTTTTCAGGACTAAAGTGCGCTGGAGGCAAGTCTTCCTCATCGAGCGTTGCGTCTTGGTCAAACGAGCCCCGGACAGCCGCAGTGCTACGCACACTGTCGTAGTAATTGTCTGCTCTCTGAAACTTTTGCCAGTTAGAACAGGACTCTAGGTATTCTACGCTGGTGTGTGTGAGAAGCTGTCCTTCGTTGACCCCAAATTCTTTGCCGTCCCACTTGTCCTTCCCATGCGAGTAATTTGGCTGCCCGGGTAAGGGAGACCGATCGTTTTTTTTTTTGTCCCAGCGTAAGAATTAACTTCGGAAGGCATGACCAATACCATTTGTATGGGATGAACTCCAGCTGCCGTTGTTTGTTCTCTACCAGCAGCTGCTCTATCTCTTCCGCGGCCCCTGGGGGCCACCACCACTTCATGTTGAATACGCTTCCTGGCGAATCAGTTTGCGTTACCAAGGCGCGCCACGGAGGAACCTGGCTATTCAGAATGTGGATTTTGTAGCGAAGAGCTTTCCATCCCTGTTCAGGTTTTGGGAGTTGTGCGACAAAGGCCTGCCAATCTTCTTGGTGCTCGACAGTCCATTCCCTGCCTCGAATCAGCCAGTGTATATTGCTCTCGACATCGACAATTACCATTCAGAACGATTGCTGGGGCATGAGAGAATTCGTGCATGAGGTGTCTCTCTAGGACGGCGTATGGGGAAGGTTCGGATAATGTAGAGGCACATGATCGTCGGTCGTGGTGATGTTACGTTGCCGCGCAATCAGCGAGAGCGAAGATACAAGAAGGGGACATCTCTTGTGCGATCAGTCAGACAGGTAGTTCACTCGAAAAAGGACAAATTCGACTTTGAGGGTAAGTTTTTGAATCGCTCAACACTGGCAGCATAGTTCGGAACTTGTCTTTATTTGTAACGGCTTCTACGTCGCTTGAATGGGGGAGAACAGGATTCTCGTCCAGAAAGGGCCGGCGTGAGAGTTTCTCTGTTGACGGCGCTGCCGTAGGAAATGTTTCCGCAATCTGGATGGCATTCGTAAAACATCGTCGCATTGCGCATTGGTGGAGTCATTACACCCACGGTGCTTTGTCTACACCGGCAACGTAGTCATGCCCAACCGGCCGCCACATCAACCACCCATTCAGGTTATCAGATGCCAATTCCTTCCATTTTTCGCTCGGATACGGCACATTCAAAGACGGGTCTGCTGGAATCATCTCGATGCAGCCCAATCCACACTTCTCGTAGGCCCCGCGAGCGGTTATGAGCGAACTTATCGCTGTTTCAATACCCAGCTCGTCAGCCTTATCGAGGCCCCAACGGATCAGCAGCCGCCCCACACCTCGACTCCGATGTTCGGTATGCACCGTGATCGAATGAAGGTCTGCGCGAGCGTCAGCACGATACCCATCACACGGGCGGTTTTAGCTCACCCATATGCGGCCTCGTAACTCTCTTTCCAATGAAGTCCCACAAGCCGTTGATGAACCGCTCGGCAAACTCACGCTCTTCCGAGCCTTCAGGATGCCATGTAGCCACTGTGCGCTCGCCATAGGGATCTGGCTTGTCGTTCACATACCACTGCGCGAACCCAACGATGAGATCGGTCTCGCAATCAACAGCTTTTAGCATGAACAATTTTGAGTCCTGCTCTCGAAGTCTTTTGGTGGAGCGTTCCTTGCTCCATGTGATGGCTTCAGCGCGTGTGGGCAAAACGGGGCGGAAATGCTTGAGCTGCGGATTGTAGGGCTGCTGCCATGCGTCGAAAACCATGGGTGAGATCTCAGCGAAGTCGGCCTCGTCCGTGATGACAGAAATCGTGATGGACATCTTCCGCGACAGGCATCAACCGTTGATGAAAGTGAATGGCACAATCAACAGCAGCCTTCCTAAATGTGTCCTAAAGATAATCTGGACCAAAGTCATCATGTAGTGAATCCAGCAGGACAATGCGAGTAAGACGTGCGACCCCGCTTTCGTCGCACTGGTGTATTTGGAAGCTACGGCGCGTTAAGCGACAAGTACCGTTGAGGCAGGTCCCAGCACGGGCTGACTGCCCACTTTCCTAATGAGGTGTTGGGGCTGGACATGTGGGGTAATGAACTTGGAGAGGACTGAACGCATGCTCACGTGCGTCTGTCGGATAAGAATTCATGTCAGCACTTCAGAGCCAAAAGTAGCCAAAGCTACGTTTGCGACAACATTGTTCTACAAAAAACATGCTTGAAGCGAGCTCAAATCTCACGTCCGTCATAAATGAGTTATTTTGCGTCTGTTCCCAGTCCACGGATCAGGTGCGGGCAGGCCCGTCAACGAACCCGTCCGTGTAACACTTAGAGCGCGCACACAGTCTTGTCATCGATGAGCCATTGCAAAGTCTACTGAACATATCTGAGACAGACATTCTTGGCTAATGGTCGGAATAAACACTTGGCCTTTGGAAATAAACATGATCTTTTAACGTCGCAGACCTGAACTCATTCAAACCGAGGACACCCGCAACTTATCTGATTCAAGATCGACAAGAAGAGCACTCCTCTATGACTCATAACCATCAAGCACTGTCGTCAAGTTTTCTGTATCATCGACTGCTTGCGCATTGAAAATAGAGGTTCGGTGGTCTATTTCTAAGCTATTCTACCGCCGAAACCGTGGTCTCGAAACGCACAAGAAGAATTCACCTTCCTCTAGGCTTCCTCTCGAGATACGCAGCGGAATACATGTACATATTCGCTTCCGCATTGGTGCATGATCGAACAGGCGAGCCTTTATCAGATTGGGATTGTCTGCTACATTTCTGTCGTGGAATCAAGAACAAGCTAGAGTCGCTTCCTGCTTGTTTTATTATCTCTCTAGTCCAATTCCACTGGGAAGACCGCTTTCCATCCTGCCCGCTACAGGTTGTGTACGCGGTAGACTAATGGGGCCAGAGCAGCCTGAGCATCGCGATTCCGCGCATCATGTGGGAGAGGTACGCACACTTACTGCCGAACTGGATCCCTTGCTTCATATCACCTCTCTTCCGGATTTTTACGGATAAGCTCGTCATCCAAACATGCAATAGGAGCACCGACATGACCACCCATGCTTGCATTCACCTAAGTTCTATTTCGGCCGATTTGTGAAGTTCTGGCAGTTGATGGCGATAGCCTCTGCACCTGTAGTGCCATTGCTACCCCCAGACCTTCGAAGTACGTGGTACGGAATAGTGATTGTTAATTTTTAAAATTTCTAATTTTTTTGCCCACGCTGATTTACGACTCCTGAGGCTACACTGATGAGCCATTTTGGGCGAAGCGGGGTATACCACCATCAAGTCGAACTTTTTTCAACGCCAAGCGGGTCGAGCTCAATTGTAATTTCGGGAAGAGCGATGGTGCTCGGATTGACAGGTTCGTCTGGGAGAGTGACACCAGGTTCAGAAATTTGAAAACTTGATAGGAGAGCTTGGAGGAGGACATCAAGGTTGCGGAACCCATAAATGTCTTTAAACAAAGTCCCGAAACACGACTATGGCATGGGGACTTTAAAATAATGAATACTGATGTTATCTGTGCAAGCCAAACAAGACACACTCGATTGCATCAGCTATTAGACCGCCTTCTCGCCCGTGCTGTATTCATCCATCTTGTCTTCATGTGAAAAAGTCGGCAGTGCTGGGAAGTAGAGGCCAAGCGCAGAGAAAATTACGAAACTCGAAAAGAAGCCATAAAGATATCCCAAGCTGTACAAATGATCTGCGCCTTTCGATATTGGAAGAGAGTTGTTCATCTGCGTTTTGATCAGTCTGATTCCATAGAGCACACGAATTTGTACTCATACCCGCAAAGCGAATCCAGGGATCAGTGGCACCGACCCGACCAGCCAAGCCGCAACAGCTCGCCAGTTGGTTCCCCATTTGTTATACCGATACTTTCCTTCAGGAATGTACATGTCATCGACATCGTATGTCTGTCGGTGCACAACGTAGTAGTCGGCCAAGAGCACGCCAGTGATGGGAGCGAGCTAGTTTATGTCAGCAGTCGAGTTTCGTAGATGTGGACATGGGGAAAGAGTTTACCCAGATGATGTATCCATCCATGAAGTTGAGCAAGGCGGACGCTGAGGCGAGGATATTCCAAGGGGTCAAAGCCCAGGCGCCAACGAAGGCGATTATGTATGAGCCGCGGCGGAGATTGACGTACTGTAGGTTGTGAGCTTCAACCCGTGAACGACACTTTGTTCAATTTGCATACCGAAGGGAACATGGCATTTAGGTCGTTCGAGGCGGAAATGCAATTCGCGCTGATGTTTGCTCCAAGCTGGGCCAGTACGAAAGAAAGCGAAACGAATGCGGCTGCGGCTCTAGCACCGGAGCTCCCGCTCCAATACGACATGATCGTAAGGGGATCCCAGATCGATGCTCCGTAGAGGTCGGAAGCAGCTCCTGCGATGATAATACCCATGAATGACATGAGCATGAACGATAGCGGAACAGCGAGGATCTGCGCGTAGACCATTCGTGTCGAACGTGCGTACCGAGCGAAGTCGTTGATGTTCACGGCCATAGTTCCATAGTTTCCGAGCATTGACTGTCTAAATTTAGCAGTAATTTCCACTACCTGACGTTGTCTTACATTCAGAGCACCTAAGAAAGCCCAAGAGTATTCCGAGCCTCGTAGAGAGGTTCCCTGGAGAAACAGCGTTGTATGGAGACCTCCGTTAGACTGCTGGCAGGCCCAACCAAGAAGTGCAAAGACGCCAGGCAAGCATACGATCGTCTTGATATCAAAGAACCACTTCAAATACCGAGGGTGAATATAGTGGAACGGAAGAGTGATCAGGAAGTACACCAAGTAGGACGTCATCATCTGTGTGGTGATGTTCGCAGATTCTGGTAGTCCATTCGGTACGTTCCGGAAAGATGGCCAGATAGCAAGGATAACGGCGTTCACGCAGAGCGCTCCGTTATACGTGTTGATACCATACCAGAAAAAGCCGACCAGCATGCGAATGAACACTGCCACGAAGGAGGCAAAGAAGCCGAAGCTCGTGCGACTTTGAATGGTGTATGGTATATGGTATTTCGCTCCAATGATAGCATTGGCGGTGATGGCGAGCGACACCAAGAAGTGACCAAGGAAGATAATGCCGATGGTCTCGCGCCAGGAGAAACCGAGGGTCATGATACTGGAACCTAATCGAAGGTTCCCGGGAGCGACAGCATCACAAAGCCAGTAGGTCACAACTGTATTGGGTCAGACTTTCCTGATTTATTAGGGAAACAATGCACGCACAGTGATGTGATCTCCACGTCTGCTTTTCTGGAGGAACAGGGTCTAAGTCTGGAGAGAATTAGCTCGCGCTGCTCAGCCCCTGGATGTTTCTCATACCAACGTTACTCCACCTTCCATGCACACTCTGAACTTCCGACTGATCAAGCTTGATCCAAGTGTCGAGCCGGCGCCACAGGGACATTTCTGACTTAACTGATATGGCCTGTCCTCCGGATAACTCATGCGTAGCAGCGCGTGGGCCAGTCTTGTCGAAACATGTCGTGGTTCTGTTGATCTCCATCACTGCATTCCTTTTTTTATTCTTTCACAAATGTTGTTCTTCAAGACATTTTCAGTCATTATATATACATCGAGTCCTTGTTGTAGTCCATTCTACCCTATCAGGGCCCCACCAAATCTTGCCCCTCTATCGGTATTAGCGCCCCGCTAGCGATGGATACCAACCTGGGGTTTCCAGCCCGGCCGAGATAGTACATAGATAGGCTATTTCTCGGTGGCACAGGAAGACCTCACCCGGTACGCGTTGATAACGAAGGTCAGGGATGTGTCTACGTCCTCGGGGGAGCTGAATCTTCATATCCTACTCCATCGACAGTTCCCGAAGCGATTCTTGCAAATCAGAGCCCGGCTAAAGTCATCATCAGGTCTCAAGGGAAACGCGATCATCAATGTCAGAGACATCCTATACAGCATCAGGATACCATGCGCTCGAGAAGAAAAAACGTCTATCGCAGCGACAACCGCTGGCATGCGTTGCATGTACGAAAAGCAAAGTGCGTTGCGATAAGCACATTCCTTGCGCGCGTTGCTTCCGAAGAAATACTCCATGCGAGCGGGAGACGGTAGAGCTCTCTAGAAGGAGGCGACGGAAGTCGGCTTTTGGTTCCAGAGCGACAGATGAAGAATGGTCTCTCCTAGGGAAATGTTCCATCCCGGCCGAGGTACCGGATGGAATGCCATTCTTGCCCGAACTACGAGCCAACAGCGTGACATCTAGTTTACGAGAGAATCCTAATCCAAGCCATCGTGCTCCAAGTCTATCAGCTGCCAAAGTGCCACAGGATGTAGCCTCCGCTCAGGTCAAGTTCGAGGATCTTGCTACCTGTATCGAAGGACTGGCTTGGGGACGTCATCAGTGCCACAAGTATCCACATAGGAATTGCTTGCGCTTTGGAACTCAGCATGATACTTCAATGCGAGGTCCTCTAGCGGAGGATCTGCTTGAGAAGCTGCCGGATGTGGCGACAGCAAGACGGATGATCGAATTCCACGTCCGCCTTCTCAGTTGGTACCATAACGTTCTACACATTCCAACTTTTCTTGCTCAGTGCGAGACATTTTGGCGGTCTGCTTACATTGAGGACGGCCAGTGGCTGGCTATGTACTGTGCGGTCCTAAGCGCGTCTGCCTGGAGTATTCACAACTCCCCGGGTTGTCAGGACTGCTTCGATGTGCTCCACACGTGCCCTTCTCCTACCGAGCTTTTCAGTGTGGTCGGTAACATTCTCAACGTCGAAGACTTCATGAGCAGACATACAATCTTTTCTTTGCAAGCGATCTGTATCTCGGGAATGGTGGCAAATGTCTTAGGCAAAAGCGATCTACTGATTACATGGTTGAACGCTAGCATCCGGATCGCACAGTGCCTTGGGTTGCATCGAATCGGAGACGAGACCTCTGGGGATACATGGAGCGAAGCTGTGGAAAAGGAAATTGGCCGTAGGGTGTGGTTGAAGTTGGTCGAACTGGACTACCACTCGATCCCTTACACCGGAACATATTCAATCAGCCTCAAGCACTGTTCCACCAAGCCGCCTGGGAACTGCAACGACGACTTCCAACCACAAAACGAAGCTATTCTCACGGCAAGCACATATACTTTGACACAGGCTAAGATGGCTGTCTTGATTCCTGCACTGCTCGACGGACCGAGCGCAGGCGACGATGTTGCTTCACGCTACGAACATGTCATCGCCATCGATCGCCAAATGCGACAGCTTGTCGCAGGGATTCCTACGCCACTCTTGAGACAGTCAAGTAGTGTTGCTTCGAATCCTGAGTGGCTTACTCTCGCCCGCCGAACATTAGCGATCGCTGCTGCGGATAAGGTGACTTCTAGTATTCTATTTCTATCTCCATTGCTGACAAAGTCAGATTATCATGATTCACCGAGCATTTTTACTGAAGAGCTTTCAATCTCCTGCATACCTCTTCACGAGGCAAACGTGTGTATCTGCCGCTAGGACGATATTACGGGAGCATGATGAGATCTCCAAGGCTGGCCCGGAGTGTCCGCCGATCTGGATTCATTCAGCATTCTGCGTTGCAGCTATCGTTGTAATCTGCTTGGAACTTTTATACTGCCACAGTACGATGTCAACAGAGCGGAAAGACAATTATGTGCAACTCATCCGAGGTGCGAGGCAGCGCTTGAATCTCTCCAACAACGATACAATGGCGCACAAAGGCGTGCACCTTGTTGATGCGATGTTAAATGAGGAACTGTACAATCCTCTGCAAACCGACACTGCGGATGGAACTGCCAATAGGCATAAGTTTACCCAGATTTTGCATCGCTTCATACAGCTAGACCGAAATGAGGAACCCTCAACGCATCCCCCGGAACCCATTTACCAGGCTATCGGAGAGCAGTTGGAAGACTTCGATATCTGGTTCAATAGTCACTTCAGGTAATGTGCTTGACATGCGTCGCTGCATATGTGGGTCTCCCGAAGTGGGTCTGGAGTCAACTCGCACGAGATTACATCTCGGCCTACTTTATCTCATCCGACCTCCGTCACGTCCGCCACAGCGGGGGGAAAGAAAGACTGGGGGTATTTCTATCATTGTGCTCCCGCACTTAAAACCTGGATGAGGGAGACTCAAATCATTCGTCGGATGTCCATGAATTGCGCAGTTGTCCCGACCGCCAATCAAAATGCCGCATCCCACAGCGCCTCTCCAGATCCGGCCTCTGCCTGCCGAGCTGCGTAAATCTACGCGTCTCGGCGCTGAAGTCGTTCTGCCTGAGTCTATGACCCTCTTCGACCCGAAGTTGCTATCTGAAACTGACCAGCAAATCTTCCGAACAGGGTTTTTCGATAATGGCGTTCTTGTTATCCGCGACCAAACTGGCATCCAGCCACACGTCCTCTACGACATAGCCGACCTACTCGATCCAGATCATCTGCCGTACCACTCTGGAGGCCAGAAGCAAGTCACTGACTCCAGGAACATATTATCCCAAAACAATTGCTCGAGAATTCCTCGCGCACCTCAAGTCACTGTCATAGGATCTGGGCATGTGGAAAACTATGAAGGTATCGGAGAATTGGACTTGCAGCACCTCGATCAATCCAGCTTTCATGAGTACCCACTATCAGAGCAAGAGATTGCCGATGGACTTACCAGGCCGTACAGATGGCATATGGATGCTGCCTTGTACGAGAATCTCCCCGGAATTGTGACCTCGCTCCACGCCATTGAGGTACCAAAGGTACCGAAACAGCGATTACAATTCCCACAAGGCGAAATAATGGACGTCGCCGCAGGAGCAACACTTTGTGAGTACATCGTACCTCCCCAGAATATGCTCAGGCGCTGACCCGGTCAGTCTTCTCCGGCGCACGAAATTTTGACGCTCTGTCTCCCGAAGAGCAGGAGTTTGCGCTAAACACTACCGTTCACTACGCACCTCGCGCCTACGAGATGATCCGTAACTGCAAAGCCTCATCCGACGGCCTCACTATCGAGAACGTCGGCCGCGAGACCTTGATTCCAGACCTACCACCCTTCGATCCCGAGAAAGTTCACTCATTTCCCATGGTATGGACGAATCCTTCAAACGGACTACCACATCTACAAATTGCCGGGTGTTGCGTCTACTCGCTCACCACCATCGATCCCTCCACCGGCAACAAGACTGTGGTCTCAGAACTTGCAGAGGTGCGGAGGATATGCCATGAGTTGCAGGAGAAGGTGTATCGACCGGAGAATGTGTATGCGCATAGTTGGCAGAAGGGCGATCTGGTGATTTTCCACAACAGGGGCGTGATGCACAGCATATCGGGGCAGCTAGCGCACTTCAAGGAGAGGAGGTTGCTGTGGCAGTGTAACATGGCGAGTAGTACGCCACCGAAGGCGTACCGTCAGGGTAGTCAATAAAGCTATATATCTGGCACGGAATGTCCATCAAGACAAGCGCAAGGATCTTGAGTACATCGCGCGCCTGAATGCGTAGCCGCGTCCATGCTTGTTGATCGGACAATTACACGCCTTGATTGCAATCTGGCACGCCATTCGGATTACGCCAATCTGCGAGCCGAAACAAACAAAGACTTACCCTCACATACGATCATACGCAATACATTGAGATTCGTGCCTACATCCTTTGTTGCAGTTTTCTTCGCGAGGGATGGAAGTTGGATTGCATGGCATTACCAGACGTGCACTACTCAAAGATAGCGCTCTGTACGCAGTACATGTGGCGCCTTGTCAGCAGCTAGGCCATCTCGTGCAGAAGAGACTGCCACGCGAGATCCGAAACATGATATACGCCTATGCCTGCGTGAAAACCGAGCCACTCTGGGTAAAGCGCTGCCAGAGAGTGGAACCTGCGCGCCTTGCTCCGCTTCCCGCCGCTTCCCTCCGCTGTGTCGCAAAAGCCGTTCGATCTGTCTCTGAATCTCTGCTGGCTCTACGAGGGAGTTTCGAAGCCGTCCAAGAAACATTGTCCAGTCACATATTACAATCTCTAATGCCCCTCAAACAAGCACGCACTAGACGAAGGAAGGCTACTGCCCAAGCTGACGATCCTGGACCAGCATCAAGTCAGCGGGGAGTCTGTGGGAGAAGCGCCAGAAGTATACTATAGCGCGAATTACTTCCACATCGAGTATGACGCGTTTCATTGGGGCTTCCTGCAGGAAGATACGGTGGGAATAGGACCGAAGCCTCGAGACTATGTACGCAAACTACACATTGTACTGCGGTTCGAGCCACTCCGTCTTTCCGGGCTGTGATGCAACAGCATAAACATCCTCCTTGGGTTCCTGTATAAGAAGAAATTCAATTGCATAAACGACCTGGGACAGCCACCACCAAAACATTACAGGTGGATGCACGTCGGTGACACGGCGCCCAAGCGCATCTATCACGCAAGAGATGCTGCAGTATCGAGAGGCGGCAGGGAAGCTCGAGGAAGCAAATTCCCCTGGATAAGGAAGAAGAACATAAGTAGCAGAAGTGGAACAGATTCTTCATCTCCAGCAAGATAGCCCATTGAGAGCTGAAGAGCGCGGGTCTGCAGAGACTTATTGCGGCGCACTGGGGTAGTGACGCCTTCGATGTAGCTTATGGGGGCTTTGATGTGGGTGAGCTGAGAGGGGACTTGGATAGTCTGAGTAGCGCTTATACACGCACATCTCTCTTTTCGAAGCTCACGAGTGCAACACAGCAGCCGTCGTGCTTCATGTGTCTAGGAAAATTGCTTCCAAGGACTAGGTCAGATACGGTGCTAATTAGAGAACTAGAAAGAACGAGCTAGATCACTTGCATGAATAGAGGCATGCTGTAAGTGCCGCGCTACATCCCTCTTGCCCCCGCTCTCATCACATAGATGCAAAATTCCCACCACCCTCACCCTAGCCATACATCCGGCTTCGGCGCGACCCAATCCCTAATATCAAAGCTCTCATTCCCCACATCCACCCATCGATAAATTTCCGACTGGCCCCAGTGATACACACCTGGTATATCCACCTCATACACCTTCTCCGGCACCTTCGCCTCCGCACCGCTACCCAACACCCTCACATGTGCACAATTGACATAAAACTGCGCGCCCTGCAGCTCATCCACAGGCACGGGGTATATCTGCTCGATGCGGAGCAGATACTCGCCCGGCGGTGTGGACGCCGGGATGCTGAAGGTCCAATTAGTGGCTTGGTATGCGCCCCATTGGTGCTTCCAGGTATAGGTGTCGGTGGGTGGGACGGATTGCGAGGTGCGAGTGGTGACGGCGAGGATCTTGGTCCAGGGGAGATCCCCGGGGTAAGTGGATAGGGAGGAGGAGGAGGGAGGGGAGCGCGAGAGCCAGGCGGTTAGGGGGCCAGGGTGGTAGAGGTTGGGGTACCGCTGGGGGATGTTAGTGTAAGGCTCATTCTGCGGAAGGGAGCGTGGTTGTATGATTTTCTAGCATAAGGCAGCTTAGGGAAAGTAGGAGCAACTTACGTCCCACGGATTGATAGGCGCGCCTGCAATCGGCAGTCCCACGGTTGTATTCACCGCAAACCCGACCGTATCTCCCGCCCTTACAACCGCCGTCTTGACATCGTTCCACGCGACCGAGGCGTTGCGGCCGCAGCGCAGGTCGCCCGAGGCAGGGTCTATGAGCGGCTGGATGTAGTCGTAGTCTGTGATGAAGGCGTCGTCGGTCCTGGGCCGTGCGGAGATCTTGCGGATGTATTCCCATGGCTCAGTAAGCGTGCCGTTGATGATAAGACGGTCGAAGAAGTCTGCCGTGGGGATTAGATAGTAGAAGGCGTGAACTGCCAACTAGGAACACCTCATTGTAGGGACATACAGTGAGCATTGGCGCTTATTGCCGCGACGCTGAGTACGAGGAGAGATGGTGACTTCATCATGATGTGTTCGCTCTACTGTTTCGCGCGCTGCAGCGATATAAGTCTAGTGAAGTCCACCTATATACCATTATGACTGTCGCACAGCGTGTGCGTACGGGTAGCAACCGTTGCATTGCTTGTCATTCTGCCATATGAACGTAGCAGTCTTTAATGGCCGTCAGGTCGGACCGCATGTTCATGGATAATATACGTGTATATGAAGAATACGCAGGTCCCGCGGCGTGATTGGTCGTTCTGCTGATGCGACACACGCAGAACACGGGCTCGATATGCTGATTCCGGGAACGAGGCATACGCATGGTAGGCCCGTGCGCTGTATATTGTTAGCAAAGGTAGCCTTCCGTGGTAAAACTTCGGCAAATGCCACAGACACGATACGGTGATGGATGAAGAAGGGCGATAGAAGATGCGTGGAACATGCGCAGTGCATGTCGTGGGTATCATTACTTGAGGGTCGTGACTATGGCCGTAACGTGACTATTCTTTCCGTTGCCTCTTTTTTGCCTTCGACAGCGCTGCCGATATTGCAGCGACCTCCTCCTCGATGTCCTCGTCGCTCGCGTCGCCTTCTGCGACGAGGGTTTGTGCATCGTCGGCATCGTCGTCCGCCGCCTCCTCAGCTGCTGCTTCATCATCATCATCACTAAAGCCGGAGAATTCATCGTCGTCTTCGCCTTCGTCTTTGTCCGCTGCATCGGTAGTAGCCGCGACACTCTCGGCGAGTTCACTTTCTTCACCGCGCTTCCGCTTCCTCATCTCGCCGAGCTTGCCTTCTCTTCCATCGATGCCCTTCACCGCGCCGCCACTTTCACCTTCCAGCATAGGCGGCGGTGTGAACCACGGAATCTTACCTCTTATCCAGTCATTCAACACTATCCGCGCAACAGCATCAAGATCCGGCTCGCCGCCCTTGAGCAGCCTACCCATTCTCCTGCAAAGCAACTCAAGGAAGCTCGTGGAGTCTGTGTATCCAGTGACTTCATAAGTCTTCTGCAGATGCTTGGGCTGTACGCGTCGCAACACAGCCTCCACATATTGCGCAGGCCACTCGACGTTCTCAACTCGGACACTGCCACGGAGAAGGAGCTCCTCGTCGGTGTCCTGCTGATTAGGGGGAACGATGCCAGGGCAGTCGATGAGGTAGATGCGTTTCATGAGCGTGATGTACTGCCATACCTTCGTTTCTCCCGCAATGGGCGCGACTGTGCACACCGGCTTGTTGCGTAGAGTGTTAACGATGGAAGATTTGCCGACGTTGGGGTAGCCGATGAGACCGACAGAGATCTGTTTGCGATCTGAGTGCAGCTGGCTGAATTGGCGGAGCAGGGAGATCAAGGAGCCCTTGCCGAAAGAGTTGTTGATTGAAGCGTGGAAAGCGAGAGTTGGGAATTCCTTGGAGAGATGGCGGACCCAGGCAGCCTGAAGCACGTTAGTCCGGCTCCATGTATCAAAGCAAATCAAATTTTGATCGAAGAGATGTGTGAAACGTTACTAAGAAAACCGCCATCTAGCTGCGAAGCCGAAGCAAAGCAGAGGCAGTCTTCAACTCAAACGGGACACGCGGACTCTAGCGACGTGCCACCAAGACGGCAGCACGTCTACCCGCAACCATAACGGCCGCAGGAGAGCGAGTCGTTTTTCATCTCCCATTGATGTAACAGCGCCAGTCCATGGGTAGGGATAGACACTTGACTTAATCGATGGGGTTGAAGGGAAAAGGAACAAAATGTTGAACTTACAGCGACTTTGCTTGGGACCAAATCGACCTTGTTCAGGACGAAGACCAAGTGCTTATGCGGTGCCTCCTCCCGAAGATACTTCTCCACCGATCTACATCTTGTGCCGACGGGGTCTCTGGCATCAATGACATGCAGAATGACGTCGGAGGAGTCGATGACCTTGTAGAGTTCGTTCCAGATACGCTTCGAAGTACCCTTGCCAAAGATGGCTTCTCGCGACGTGGTGAGCTCGCCAGTGTTCTCCTCTTCCTGTCCAGAGGTCCCTGACAGCAGCTTAGCCTGCTCTAAGCGGTCCAAGTAGGTGTCGTGCATATCCCCGGTTCTCCCAGCAAGGCCCTCGAAGGAGTCAAAGTCAAGCTTTGGGCGCTTCCTTTGCGCCTTTGCGCCGAAGGTATCTGAGAAAGGCTGGCTCTCGACGGCGATCTTGGCGGCATGGACCTTGACGCCGTTGACGCTCTTCACGTCGTTGATCAAGGACATGGGGAGCTTGTTCTGCTTGAGCAGGTACGACGTGGGGTCGGACGCCTGCGCGTGCACGGCCGAGCGGAACGAGTCGAGGGCATCCTGGGAGATGACACGCGTGTTGTTGAACCACTTGCGATTGGGCTCTACACGGGCGACGGGCGCCTCGCGGCTCTGGTACGAGGCGGCCTTGGTGATGTCGCCCTTGGCGTTGCGCTGGGCCTTTCCGTCTGTGAGGCGCTTCAGCACCTTGACCTTCTTGCCGGTGCGGTAGAAGTTTTCGCCCTTGACTTTGACCTGCGAGTTGTCAGCGGGCAGGCGCGAGGGAGGTGGAGGGAGGAGCGCACGTTGCCCATGCCATCGCCGGTCTTTCCTTCCCGCTCCTTGCGGTTCTTTTCCTTCTTGGCGGTTCCCATGGCTGGTTATGGGGGAAAGGGAAGTGAATGAGCCAGAGGAAAAGAGTCGCAGAGGCTGGTCGGAAGTTGCAGCGCAGCGCTCGTCTGAATTTTGGACCGAACTTTTCTGCGCTCGGGCCACCGCGGCGCTTGGCGCTCCTGCACTTTTTGGATGCAGGGCAGGAGCAGACGAGCAGGCGCAACTGCAGAACCGCTCCATCCATCGCCATGCCGCCGCGAATACCAGTCCGCTTCCCCTGGGCGGCCCGCGAGGCGCCCTTCATCAATGCCAGCCTGGCCACCCGCGCCTTCGCGTCGACGGCGCCCACGCTCGCCCTCGGCCCCGAGTCCCCTAACTACATCGAAGTCCCCAAGCCCGCCCAGCCGACGTTCGACATCCCGCCGCCCGTCAAGGGCCACCTCCCCGTCCCCCGCGATGTCTTCAAGACGCGGTCGCCGCTCTCCAAGGCCTCGGACGACTTCATCGCGCAGACCACCCAAGACCCAAAGAAGGTCGCGCAGCCCGGACCCTGGAGCAAGGATGCCGAGTACCGGCTGTACAAGCAGCGGCTGGCGGACGCGAGGAAGAGGGCGTTGCGAGAGGGTGTCAAGGAGCTGCACGAGAGGAAGGTCACCACCGACCAGGCCTACACCGCACAGATCGAGCAGAGCAATGCCGAGCGGCGGCGGCTCGCCACGGCGCCCCCGCGCCCCGTCGACGTCCTGACACAGACGTCCGTCTCCAAGGGCATCCGCGACTTCCTCGGCGACAGATTGCCCCGCACCCCGCGCAAGGTCTTCGTCGCCCAACGCAAGAACGCGTACCAGAAGCGTTTGGAGCGCCAGGAGCAAGTGCGCCGCTCGCGTCTGCACGACCTGTACACCAACGCGCGTGAGTTCATCGTGAGCGAGGAGCAGCTGGACGAGGCGATCGAGAAGGCGTTCGGCACCGATGAGCAGCCCGTACGCTGGCACGTCGGCGGGCAGACGAGCCCGACCGGCACGGGCGCGAGTCCCTGGGAGGCTGGCGTGCCGGAGGGCGTCATGGAGAGGCTGCAGAAGCTCAAGGGCGGCGAGGGAGTTGGGCTGGCCAAGGAACGCGTCAAGAAGGTGGCCGAGGCACTTACTGGCGGAAAGATGTAAAATGGTGTACGACATGGCGGTGGCAGTGTGTACCATACTAAAAACATTGTATGATATTGGAACTCTTGTAGATACATGTACCTGTAAGCATTTGGAAGCCCGGGGTGTACTCCGTGGAGCAGTTGACACCGCATATCGTTTTTCATGGATATGGGAACCGCTCGTACCCTTCGTTGCCTCTGCCTTTCATAACTTCCCTCGCGACCCATACGGCAATATACTCATAAGCCCATCACCTGAAGCGGCGACAATTTCTCCATCGACTGAGACTCGCCACAAGATTCAATTTAAAGCCGCGTATGCCCTCGCAACCGAGGGCGCAAACGATGCACGTTAACCATCGTGGTGGGAAAACAAAATACGAAGCAGCAGCAGAGTGTCGGTGTTGATAGAGGCGATGCAGCAGTAGAAGACAGCTCTTGGGTGAGGCCGGGGCTCAGCTAAGGAGATGCTGTGTTTTAGTGACGTATGACTCTTGTCAGATTTGATGCTCGTGGGAGATGGACCAGGCGTTGGGAAGCCCGGTATTTGGGTTGACCGCGGGTTTTGATTTTCTAGTAAAGTTGAGGTAATTTACTGCTGGTAATTGTCAAGGATCCAATGTTGATGGCATTTGTTTTGACTGGTGACTTCCGCTGTGACTCGCTGGGGGAATCGACGAAGACAAGAGGCACACAAGATCGGCGACGTCGAAGGTCGGTTTCGCACGTCGCCTTTGTAGAACTGGTCGACTTCGTCCTCGACGCTTCCCTCATTTTACCAAGGACCTGCAGAGCTCCACTGAAAACCTTCTTCGAAGAATATTGCAACCGGACCTCCGTGTTCATGTGTGAGGTCGGCAACCAGCTGTTTACTCGCAAAGGTGGGTCTTCCGGGTGCGAAGACAAATGTGTTCTCATCAATTTCGAGCAGTCCGCCTGCCGAAACGACGAATCTAACGTCGATATTGGACTCGTTGGCACGCAATGTTAGAAACATCCCATCGTCATCGTTATAAGCCGGGTCTTAGAAGCCATTAGAACTTGCAAGTGGTTTGCTAGATCTAAAGCTATGTAATGTTGATGTAGGACCGTTTCATCCCGTCTATTCACAGTCGCACGGCGCATCGATCCCAAGCCGAAGCATACAATCTTCTTAACGATACCGTCGCGTTGGCCGATTGCATTGAGTACCGCCAGGCGCTCAAGGCTAGAATTACCCTTGACCCGGTTTGTTTTTTCAAAGCCAAACTCCTTGTTGGCTTGCGGGTTATTCAGGTCCGTGCTGTAAGACATTGGTATATATATGGTTCACTGCGAGTTGCGAGCGATCTCCAACTTGCCAAGGGGCTTCCTGCGGTGTGGCCACGGGGTCTTTGCGAATTATAGGTGGGCTTTCCTTATCAACAGTTCTGTCGATTCCGGATGTCGTAGGTCGCGAATTGTGCAAATCCGTTGGAAGTGGTGGTGTGGGTATAGCTTGGCGCGAAAAGAACCCTATAAAATATAGATCACTACTCTGGGTTCTAGCACAGTGTCAAATACTCACAAATCAGTCACTTGCTGTAAGTGGCCAGGGTTGTGTCCACCAATAGAGCGGGACAATGGACTTGCGTTGTTGCCCACACGCATCCTTGAGCGTCATCATAATGTTGAGCATCTTGGTGCTCTTGGTTGACTCACTTTTCGGTTCATCGGACTGATTTTGCCCGTGTGCTCTACCTCAGTGACTGAGTGCTCTAACTAGTACTGGGTACCGAATGCGTCGAAGCTCCTTCACGATTCCGTGTATTATATACCACTGGAGTTTCATGAACTCGATATTTTCCTTCCTAAAGAGACGCTTTTCAATCAACTTTTCATAGACTCCCTTGAATTGTTGCGCTGCAATCTAGCTGATACTTTCAATGATCATAAGAATGGCCGCGGCAATCCAAAAACTCATCTATATCATATAGTATACCAACTTGCTGGCATTGGTATTTGCTCATCAACAAAGTCACCTATATTCAGCGTTGATCTCTAGATCTTCTTGAACTAGGCTTTGAGCGATAAATTGGTTGCACATAATGAGTAATATCGATATTGTAGACGGAAAAGCTTAGGGTGATCATACAGTAATTGTGACGTGAAACGCCATTGGGCAGCTCCTCTGCGGAGCTCCCTTGTATGCTCGGGGAGCTTCCTGTACGTATATGGCTAGTTCTGCGCTTAGACCTGGCAATATCTCTATATATATGGAGCGTGGGAGCTCTCTCCCACACTCCAGTGATAATACTATAGATCACCCTGAACTGCTTCCCAAGCTCCCTCCAACAGTAATGAATATCGCCTACGAGCATGCCCTTGAGCCTCCTCTCATACTTATCGAGTCATGATCTGTACAGCTGATGACTCATAATCAGTCTTGATTAGGAGATGCATTGTCCTTTATACAAAGATCCCTTTGACTGGAGAAAATTGGCTGACAGCCTGATGAGCACGACGTGCGTCAACTTCTTTGAGTCACTACGGTTCAGGACTTATGGGCAAACTTAAGATAAAATCCGAAAGACTGTACACAGCAGCACAGCTGCGAACGTGTTGAATGTTGCAGCACGTTGAGGTCTGATTGCCTAAACCATCATTTCATTGGTCTACATCTTCACACGAACGACGTGCTGAGCTTTGATCAAAGCAACAACACTCTAGTCATAATGCCTTTAATGACTCAAAGACGACGATAGCTCCGTCCCATTCTGCAGTCACTATAGGGGTGATTATCTTCTGTTACCGTCGCGCTCTTCGGATAGTACAAATCTTTTGACAATGAATTTCACACGGCGGCAAATGGTGCGTTGCGATGAGACATATCTTCTTCAAGCCGGTGATACTTATCCCGCGCGGTCGTTCACCTGGAAACTTCTCGTTTTCTGTTGTGGAGCGGATCTCGTCATTAATATGGACATAGAGTCTACGCCAGGGTTGGTGCAATCGGGAGGGCACACCCTACATAGCTCTGTGAATTGCTCGCGGGCGGCTGGAGGCAGAGTTTTTCAGGCATTCAGGGGTCTTACTAGGCCACAACTGTCGTGAAGGCGTTCGATAGTCTTGCTGTACGGGGTCACCAGACGCACGACCAACGCGTTCTTTCCTGTGTAGGTTCAGGACTTTTCTGACCGAAGTGAAGTACTGGTGCCCTTAGATTGCTCGTTGGTTTGAGCTCGTCACATGGCTATCAGTTTGCTAGCGCTCCGCGGACAAGAGGAAAAGTCCAGAAGCTGTCAGTCCATGGCCGTTGCGCGCTTGTCCGTCGGATACACACTATGTAGACCAATCATAAAAAAGGTTCGGGTTCAGTTTAGGGGCCGTTAAGGTCTACTCCGAGCATGAGAAGCCTCGTTTCGGATCCTTGTAGCGCCTCTGGTAGGCGACTTTCGCTGCAAGTACCCGCTCTCTTTGAATTAGGACATTCACTATAGTTACCCTAGGAGGCATTGCGAAGGATTTACGCGACAGGCATCTAAACTAAGGACCCTGCATGCTGTATCTAAAGAATCGGTAGTCTACACAAAGTTACTGACGCGACAGTACAGCGGCAGTGGCTGCCGCTGGAAGCCTTGTGATGCAGCGGCGCCTTCGTCAGCGGCGTCCAAATTCGTTGATTAATTCAGGGAAAAGAACGGATCAGTACATGATCGAATAATTAAAGTAGAATGGCGCGAGCACATTGGGTGAAATGATCGCATGCTGACTGTATGACCTAGCCTTAACAAGAGATAAACAATTTTATGCATTCGTTAGGAAACATCCCCCTATCGCAATTCCGCGGAACATGTCATACGTTGGAGACCGGCTACGTAGTTAGGGGCGCACTACTAGCACTGGGTCGCATGTGAGCTTGCAAGCGGCGACCTTTGCGGCTGCCGGCATGACCCACTTCTGAATCATTCAATAGCCGAGCAAGTGGTCCGTCCCGCCGACGACTCACGACTCACGAGCGTCTGGGACCTAACTACCGGTTTCATGTTGCCTCCCACTCTTCCGTGTCGTGCACAAGCTTCATGCCCGGATGGTACCCCGTGGGCCGGAAAAAGGCACGCTGAGACAATGTGGGTGCCTATGCAAGACTCTCGGTAGGCGTACGACCTCGTTCTATTACGATTAAATCTATAATGGTATGTGTGCCGTGCAGGTACACAGCTCTGTAGCCGTGAAGACATACTATCACCCCCAGATGTGTATATGCTGCGTTACGAGATGTGAAAGAGAAGTTCATACAATCGCTCAGATTCGCTAAAATGCTCCATATGCCCTCACGGGCCCTCGTCTCTCATCGTCGTGAAGGGTCGATGCACTATCTCCCCCTGGGCTCCCATTCCGTCTTCGTTCGATGGTAACCTCGCTCGGCTTGGGTCTGCGTGACGCGCGGCCCGGACGGTCGTCCATACGCTCCTCCACAACGGTGGTCGTTACGCTCTTGCTGATCCCGTTGTCCCAACTTCCCACCGACATGCCATTGTTTACAAGATCTTTCTCGTCTGAATCGCTGCTACTCCTCCCAGCCGTGACGGTCGTGGTCGTTGTGTTCTTGCCAACCACGACAGGCTTCATCTCCAGTCCTCCAATAGGGGTTTGCCTTCCGGCAGTTCCTCCAAGCTTGCTTGCCGTGCCTTTGCTCCAGGGATTTCCAGTAGACTTCTGTCCTGACCAGGTTGTGAGAAAACTGGACTTGACGAGAGGCTTGAGACAGGCAATGCAACCGGCTGTGATACCAATGCCAACTTCGACGGTGGTCCAGATGGCGAAATCGGTGGTGCGGTAGAGGAAATCGCCCTTGTAAGGCTTAAGGGTAGATGTATAAGGTAGGCGGATGATCGTCGCAGTAGAGCCACTGTACATGTAAGCGTTCATGCTGGAAAGGGAGGTATTCCTTCGATGGGGGAGGCGAGACTTACATGGCCGCCAGCCCAATGACGCCAGAAACAATAACCTTCAGGCGTTTCTTCATCTGCAAGTCCTTGACGATAAGAACGGGCAAAATACCAAACGTCCAGTCCGCGAAGGAGTTTAAGGCTGAAACCACAAACGTGAAAATCATGACAAGCGATGCATCCAGGCATTTACCCTCATGGGTCGGATCCAGATCCCACCAGTACGAGATGGGCTTGCACTGGAAGATGACCAAAGAAGTATATCCGACTCCCAAGAATGCGGCGACTGCCATAATCATCCGGATGATCCAAACGTGCCATGGCTGGACCGTGATCCGCAGTAAGAAGAACCCAACGGCTAGTTTCAGAAGACATGTCGCGATGGTGTAAAATATCTCGCAGAAATACCAGTAATGAAGGGCCGTTTGCGCTTGTTCGTCCGTGAGGTTAACGCGGCGTGCGCCAGTACCGTGAACAGCCCCTCCCAGCTGGCAGCCAAGGTACGCTGTAAAGAATCCGAGAGTGAGTACCATGAGCTTGTCATCTAACCCAAATGCTTTCACGATAGAAATTCTGTTTCCAATGAGCCATGGGTATTAACAAAAACAGGAGTTTTACTTACCGGACATAGCACCGGAGTCCTACCGTGACCCATGTTAAGATCAAGAAAAGAATCGCTACAGCGGCGACTTGTCCGCCTCGTTCTTGCATTGTGGGAATCCTCTACTGACGAGCTCAATCGATGCAACCGACGAGTGTGAGCAACTGCCTGGCCAGGTTTCGCCCGACTACCTCAAATGCACATAGGTAGAAAGAGGGCAAAGATGGCACAATTAAATCAATAGGGCTGAAGAGAGTGGTACCGAGTGGGAATATGGGGAAGGATCGCACCAGAAAGGGAATTGAAGGATGAACGTTGCACGCATACAAACCCTTATACTCTTCCCCTGTTCGTCGATCTCGCGACCGAGTGTCTCATTAATATCCTACCCTTGCCTTCTCCTAAGCATGTTTGCGTTTGAGAACTGTGGGGTAGAAACCTTATTCTCGGATGAGAACCTAGATCTCGTTACGACGACAGGCAACGTGGTGATCAAGACTGATTAGGGACAAGTTTCCGCGCAACGGCAAAGTGAGGATAGAATTACACATGGCTGCCGGGTGCCAGAACGATTGTAGTTGCATTGCCGCGGACCCACGTATGCAAGTTCCGCGAGTCGCTAGGCCCCTTCAGATTTCTAGGTCTCAAAGAGGTAGAGTGGCAAAAGTAACCCTTGAAAACCCCTAGGTAATGCCTTGCAGGTTGCACAGGTACGAACCAATATTGTAGTAGGGTTCTGTCTCCCCACGGAACGCGGCGTCCGGTCTGGCAGGTGTTGCGCTTGAGCTTGATAAACAGAGCAGAATTTGCGTTATCCCTGCGAACTGACAGGACTAGCTGCCGAGTTTGACCCGTCCTTTTTGACATCTTGGGCAGTCCGAGCGTCGCCTAGAAGGGAGGTGGAGCCTGAGCGTTGGAGCTTGCGCTTTCGGACCGATGGATGCGATTGATGTCACGCTGGTGATGAGGCTACGAAAGGCATCGCTGGGTAGATCGGAAAGAGCGAGCGAGAAATACGCTTTAGTGAAGGAGGCCTGGTTACGACAAAGTCACAAGGCATCCTGAGTAGCGACATGGAGAAGGTGTTTGAGCATGTCACTGTGGCGTCACGTGTCGCGGATCAACGATCGGCCTAGCTTCCGAAAAATCGAATCCCTGGAAATTGAAGCGAGTCGTCCATTGTAAGGCTTCTCCTTGTCAGGTGGGATTGACAGCAGCAACATTAACGGCATCATCCCTTTCGTGGCATGTAGTCCACGTCTTTGTCCTTACGATCCTCACCTGTCCTTGTGCTGTAGTGTTTTGCCGCAGACAGACCTTACCTCGAACGGCAGGATGTCAGATAAGCCGGTCGACGATCCTTGTGCGCAGGGGAAGCTAGGATCCCAGGAGCTTGGAAGATCGTGGTGAACGCTGCCCAAACATTACAAGCTGAAAATATGGACATTCACATATACGTTGGGATTAGCCGTGTACAGGATCGAGAGCCCAGAGAACGTAACAGCGCCAAAGTTTCCGTGTACAGAGAGCTTCCGCCACAATAAATTTCAAATTGACTGCTTGCCACTTCGCACGCACATCTTACGGCGACGGCCGCGTTTCATAATTCTCGGGATCGGTGCCTGAGTAGATTTCGTTGCATCGCCACAGGATCGCCAAACACGGGCCGATGGCAAAAAAGCTATCCGATGTGCACGAACTGGGTGAGGGGGGACCAAGCCCGCTAACGCTTATTTAGCGAGCTAAGGTATTCGTTTGAAACAGGGTTCATGGCTGGCGATGACACATTCTGCTTGATGCAATTTCATCGCTCATCCGGCGCTGCAACTGCTGGTGGTCTTTCGACATCTACTACTGAACTACTCGCGGTGCAAGCACGAGAGCCAGCAGGAACAATAGTCAATTGCGAGGTCTTCGGAGTTTGGTGCCACGGTAAGCATCAGAAGTATCCCTCGAGTTTGTCGTGCCTGTAGTTTTCCGGCTGTAACGCATACATGGTAAATTTCGGGGGTTGCCGAAAGTTGAAGGACACGAGTCAGCGATCATGTACGAACAGGGAAGATCATGGCTTAAGATGCGGTTTGGAAAAGACCATTGTCGAATACGATTCAGTACCTCTGATTGGAAAACAATACCCTTGTCCCGCACGAAGACGAGTGATGGGAAACCACCAAGCGGAGAATTGCGATTGTTGCGACCTTTTCTCCTTCTCTGCCAATTTTTCTACTAGAGCAATTTAATTAGTAATTCTTCGTGCTGTGCTGGCATCGTCAACCTTTTCTGTCAGATCTCGATGATTTCGAGCACAGCGAAATCCAGATCCTGGGTCGGCGGTGAGTCAACTCATCGGAATTCGAGAGACAACCTCAAACGAACTGGAGGCTATATCGTCCAGTCCTCGGCCCAAGACGCACAGCTGACGCTATGAATAATTCGAACATCACCTGAGATCTCGAACAGCAGTCTTGATAATGTTGCATATGGTGTCAGAAGGGGCGGTTCAGGACAAACTTAGCGTCGGTCTTAGGATCTTCTCAACTGCTTTGCTTCCTGCTCCATGCTATACTGTCCACACATTGATGCTTCAATCAATGTTGGTAAGACGACCATGACTTCCAGCCAATGGCATGGCAACGATGTCAGGGTGCCAGAGGGTCCTTTTCGAATCAATTCATAGGGCAAGTAGCGCAGGGTTGTGCCCACGTGCACCACCCTCATTGAATCTTGTCGCGATGATATACCCTCGAGAATTTTTATTGTCCAGCATAAGCGTTTGAACAAAGCCTGTGTGTGCAGTAATAACATCATACGCCCTTTGACATGTGGAACGTCTGTGAAAGGCGCTCTGAATGTGTTGTAACCAGATGAGGGCCTAGACTCGTCGATCGAACTGCGTTGTACACGCAGGTCGGCGACCTTCAGCTTAGACGTCCCCTAAACCACGTGCCGACACGTCTTCGAACATCGGATGAATGACCCCTACCTCAAAACCTCCAGGGGACCTTCCATGTCGTTAGAGCCCCTACATCTTGAGACGCACCGTGCGTTGGACATAGCGTACTTGGTCTCGCCACGTGAAGAAATCTTCCGCAATTGCGCATCAAACAGGAAACAAACGCATCATCCCTTTCCATAGTTGCACTGCCGCCCTCTGCCACACACCTAGGACCAGATCCCATCTCTGGCCCCTGCAGAGTGCAGCCTATAGTCTCTCTCCGGTCTCACAAATGATTACGAGACCATGATAAGCAATCAAATCTGCCGTCTGAGGCATTTAACTATAGCGATATGGCGACGACGGGCCCCATCTTCATCAATAGCGTGCCCCGCAAACGTGTGTGTTCGTCCATAAATCGCTTCAGCGGCACTCGCTTGCCATTCCCCGGGTAACGAACTTCACGATCAGCGGATGTAGGAGTGTCGCGGATCTCCAATATTGAAGATTTCCAATGCAGCGGATACACTTGGCTTCTAATGTCGATCTCGAGAACTACGCGTCGACCTTCGAGACGGGCCGAATGTGATTGCGTAACGAAGCAGCGCGACAAGTGCTTACGCGGTATGCCAATCTGCGTATCCCAGTCGTCGCGTGGGCCATCGAGATTTGGTCTTCGTGACCTGGGAGGGGCCCACGAACGATTTAATCATGCCGGAGCAACCTCGAAACGTTGCAGATACTTCGGATAGGTCCTACGGTCCCTGAGAACAGGCGTTTCGAACGACAAGCGCAATGTGGTATATAACATGCGCGAGGGCTCCATCGCGGTAGTGATACCTTTGCATTGTCCTAGTGTTCTCGCCTCTGGCGCTGCAGCCTGATAGAATTTTCTCACCTTCGTATCTCTCCGTGCCGTCGGGGAGCACTTGGGAGCCGCAGGAAATAAGAAGTGCTGAACGACCCAACAGCGGAGCAAGGCCGGATATGGGCCTCGCGGACGGCTCAACAACACGCATTCTCATACTTGCTGCGGCTGAGGTCGAGTAGAACTGTTCGGCAACCTTAGGAAGCGAAGTCGCATTTCGGGTCGACGCCATTGCGCAAGCCATCACGGCGGATGTCTACGGAGCTGAAGAAGTAACAACGCCTCACACGAAGTTTTTGCAAATGGAGGTTGGTCGGTATCCCGACACTCTAGCGAGACCGATTCGTTCTAGGCGTCTTCAACGAGCAGGTCCTCGACCGCACCCAAAGCAACGATGGGATGTGATGGCCAGCCGTCATATTCCGCTCGAACAACGTATCGCGGGAATATCACAGACATCAAACAACAGATGCCTAGCGCGTCAGGGGTTGTGCTGTTGTAACGACCTCAAAAAGGTCAGATCGCCGTGGTCGCGCTAGCCGGCCGAACTTGCCTTCCCAGAACCGGATGCACAAAGCGTTTGGAGCACAGGGTATCGCTGGTCTCGAAGAATATGAAACGAACTTACGGATCTTCGCCGATGAAGAGTTCGCCGACTAGATCCCGCCGATTGGTGCAGGCATAGCCGCTCGTCGTCAGCATGTGCCAACCCATCTGCAAACGAGGGTCATCGTGAACCTCATCTCCCCTGTTTTGTCGTCACTCCAAGCTCTTGATGGGACTTCCAGAGTCTGTAGATAGATCTCGCCCCTTGGGACGGGTGCGATAGTTTTAGTTAGTCTTTGAGATGCCGCAGTGCGTTCCCGCGCCATCAGAAGTAGCTGAGTGGACTTTGGCCCGATGTTTTGTCTAGGAACATCTCGAGTGTCTGATGAGGGTGTTTCGACAATTGCCCGTTGGTAAGGCCTGCCATAGAGCACAGGTGCGCTTGCAAGCGCGTCCACAAGATCTAAATATCGACCTGCCAGGGAGGTCAGTAGGCTGTTCTTGTACCCAAACTCGCGAAATGCAAAGATACGTACCTTCACTTCTTCAATTATTATACTTAATCAAATTGAATGCGGAGCAGAATATTTTCGATGAGGTGGCGTTTGGGAGTGGAGCACGATTGCGGGAGGGAAGATACACCCGACCAAAAGTCCCGAGACCTTTGGCAGACAACTGCGAACGGCCGAATAGAATAGTCGACACGAGACGCTACCAGGGTCGATAACGCTAAATAGAGCACGAGTGGGTATCAGCATATGCCTAAGACGCAGCTACAGTACTAGACGGGTGACAGCGTAAAAAAAACCCCCGTACACTCGCATGGACCCGTTTTCGCGAGGCATCGATGAAAGAGCGACCATCGCCAGCCACGAAGTAGCTCTTTAGTAGCCCCGTACACATGTTTGACGATGCAAGTCGTCTGATTGCTTGCGGGCATGCAACATGCTACGGAAGCGACAGGAGTAGGCCTTTCGCGTAATTTGGTCCTCCTGCCTTAGCCGTGTACATAATCATCTGAGTCGCGATGTTAGGCAATTGTGGACTCGTGCCGATGAATAGGGAGTGAATGACCTAGATTCATAGCCATTCGCCTGGTCCATCATGCCGGTGAAAGCGTCGCTCCTTTCCGCCACGGATATTGGACCCTCTGCAACGTTCCAACCTCCAGTTCCCTCTACGGCGAGAGTGATCAACTAGAGTATTTTGAAATTCGACTGTGTTCCCGAGAAGCATCGCATACACATAAAGCTGGTATGTCTCAATGTCTAGGAGCTGGTTGGGAAAAGCCGAGTGTCGTGTGGTCAGAGTAGCTAACGTTGAGAAGGCAAAGTTTTTCAGAGACTGAAAATTCGAGAGATTCGAAGTCGTAGCCCTACGTAAGCAATGAAAGAAGAAAAGCCTTCGAAGTGCGGAGAAATTTGAAGAGTGGTAGGCAAGTCCCAGTCACGGACAGCGATGAAATATTCCGGATCCCTGCATATACCAGATGTAGTATCGGTGAAACCCAGAGACTTGATTTCTTAGGAAAGATAGAAGACTGACTTCCCGGACGCGTTATGGTCTGGCGAAATGGTCTTTAAACCCTTTCGATAGTCCTTGAAATTCATCGTTGGTTCCTGTGTGGACCTCGTCAGTCACATGCGCCAGTCGACGACTAATCGGGCCTTACACTTCACGTAATCTGGTTATGTTCGTCAGATGTAGGAATCACGGACGTAGAGAAGTCATGAGTCTGATCAACTCTTCTTAAGCGCAGACCTGTGAAGTGCACGTCTTGGGGGCCACGAACCTGCGCTAACATCCTGGACGTCCGATGGTGAGGAATACCACCGAGAGACAGAAATCTTTCGCCGCGCCAGAAGATTTGAATTAGCTGTGCGCGAGGGAAGAATGGCGGACTCTCGCAAGTTCGAAGCAGATATTTGGGAAGCGAATGCTACGCCCACGGAAAGCAAAGGCAACTGGCGGGGAGCAATGCGTATGCAGAATATTCGTGCTTGAAAGCAGATAATTACACTTAGATATCTGCGCTCAACGCTTGGGGTGGACACTATCGGAGGAAATCGCGTGCATGGGAACTGTTGTGGGTGGGCGTAAGCTTGGAAAGCTGAACAGATCGCGTACGAGGAGTATTTTACACGGCTGTAATGACAGCTGGCGCCAATCGTAGAAGAATCACAGGCAAACCTTGGTCGTGGGAGTGTCGAGATGGAGGCTTCGGAAGGTGGCTGCCGTGGTCGAGGCGGAGATATTCTTCGGGTTATGTGCGAAACGGCCGTCTCAAAGCTCGATCAGGGGTTGATGGGGCAACGAACAGGAGATCCGCATCAACAGAGCTACTCAAACACTTCAGGAAGGCACAGGAGCGGGGCATTGGGCTGCTATATAGTGCATCCTGCGATTGCCCCACGTACGCTGGTTACTATGAGCCTGTGCAGCGATATCAATCTGGTAGTCCTCCAGCGGGCGTGGAACTACCTGTTTTTTGCTAGGCTCATGGGTATCAACACAATTAGGAGGCGGTTTTGAGGCAACTCAGTCTGTTGCTTGAGGCGCTAGGAGTTATGCCCCCGCTGCCGCTACCAATGCTACCTCAACAACACCCCTCGGGACCGCAGATAACCGCAGATAACCGCAGAGTCAGGCATAAGATCTTGCTTCATTGACCTCTCGACCTTCAAGTGACATTTCACAAGCTCCAGCGTAGCTCGATGTCCGAGTCAGCCGATCGCACATGTGCATGATGAACTTGTGAGGCCATGTAGTAAGAGCATCAGGCCTTGGGTGAGAATACTTTCAAATAGGGAATCTTAAAAAATACCTCAAAAGATTGCATGTATGTACACATTCGTAATCACGAGGATGAAAAACGCAAATGGAGTAAGAAATGAACCATGACACCTCGAGACCCGAGGCCTCAATAGTCCACAAGTGTGCGCATCAACCTCACAGTATTTCATGCACGTATAGTTGACGAGTAGCAATGAAAGCGCATTGGGTCAGCGTGAAATGAATTACTGTATCTAAAGCGGCCATGCCTCAGAACAAGAAGCAAGCGGTCATTGAACTCACATCCTCGTCGTACACCCACACTTTCACCACAAAAGGCTCCGAAGGATACGAAGCGCTACGAGTGAAACACACATGTACCGACAACAGCACACAGTCTCACACTGAGATGGACATCAGGAGCCGAGACCTTCAACGCGGGTAAAACATCCAGGTGCAGAATACATGACTTACAAACTTAGACCCGCGGTAAAGGCTCATTAAAAGTGACTAGTAGATTGCATGACGACCTCTGCTCCCATGGCGATGATTTTCACCTCGTCAGACTACTAAAAGGTGCGATCATTATACTTGTGACGCGAAGCCCGACGTCCGAGGACAAGAGCATAACGCATTTAATAAACTCAAGGCTTCTGCCGCGCTGCATTGTTCGGCATTCAATTTGGACGTCGCTGCCCTTGCTGCAAATGCAGCCACAAGCCCTATTACAGTGTGAATGGCCACATTCTCAGGGCTGAGCCATGGCCCTTCAACGCCTATCTCGGTACGCGAGTAGTGGATTTCATACCTCAATTAGCCGGCGCAGTGGCAAGTAGGTCCGAGACCTTGATCTTAAGTCCAATTCATGCGATAGGATGTGTGAAAGGAAGGAGTTGTGGTGACCAATCACAAGCATGAAAACTGACCAATCGGATGAGAAAGAATCGGCTCGATGTGCTTAGAATGGCGCAGCAACAGGGCGATCATGATCATGCGTTTAAATCATCAAAATGGACAAGTCAAAGAATCCAGATCTAGTGTGCTACTACCATGCCTGAGCACAGTGGACTGCCGGGAAATAGATACCTAGCCCACTAGTGGATTTTGTGGTGCAATACCCTCGAAAGGGCTTGCGGCACTCGCCGATCATTTCAAAGGTTTAAATTCGTTCGAGTTCGCGTGAGTCATGCGCTGCCGTCGTCAATGCCATCTCAAACCACCGCATCACTCACGTACCAATGTAAGAAGACAGTGTCATGAACAAGAATATTACACTTTATCTAGTATCTCATGCCATTCGTGGATATCATCATCATACCATATTTTCCACCCATATCTAGTACGATCCGAGCACATTAACACCCTTCTGAGCCTTGATAATCCTCGAGCTCTCGCCCACCATAACGCTAAACTCTCCACTGGGAATAACCCACTCCTGCTGCACGATATCCCAGTAGCTCACATCCCTGCGCATAAGCTGGAAAGAGACGGTCTTGGTCTCATTAGGCTGGAGCCACACCTTCTCGAAGCCACGCAGCTGCTTGGGCGGCGTGCCAGCCGGTGCGGACGACGGAAGACCAAGGTACAGCTGCGGCACGGCGTGGCCGGCGACCTTGCCTGTGTTGGAGACAGCGACGGAGACGTTGTACACCGGGGCGAATAGGTCGGGGTTGCCACCAGGCTGGACGGGCTGGGGCGTGGGGAGCGCGGAGATATTGGAGGAGAGGGGCTCGGCGGCGAGGGAGGCGTAGCCGAAGGTGGTGTAGGAGAGACCGAAGCCGAACTCGTAGCGCACAGAGATGTTGTGCGCGTCGAAGTAGCGGTAGTCGATCTCGAGCTTCTCGTCGAACCAGGATTGCCAGTCGTAGTAGCCGGTAGTGTTGATGGCGGTGGTGGGCGGCGCGTTATAGTCGGTGCCGTTGAGAGCGATGGTGTAGGGCAGGTGGCCTGAGGGGTTAACGTCACCGTAGAGGATGTCGACGAGCGAGTTGCCTGATTCCTCGCCGGGGAAGTGCGCGGCGACGATGGCGGTCACGTTCTCGTGGTCGGCCCAGGGAAGCACGTTGATGCCGGACGAGTGGGTGACGACGATGGTATTGTTGCACTTGGAGGCAACGGACTCGACGACGGCGTCGCCGTTCCAGTCCACATGGAGGGAGGCGCGGTCGGCAGCTTCCTCGGCCCAGGTCTTGAGCATGACGATACAGACTTCAGGGCGGTCGGGGATGAGAAGGGTGTCGATGTCAGTGTTGGCGATGAGCGTGTTGTTGAGCCAGTACTGCACGATCTTCGCATTGTCCTTCTTGGCACGGTCCTGGATGGCACGGAGGGGAGTCACGACGTAGGTGAGCTGGCCAGTGCCGGAACCACCACCGGCAACAAGAGTGCCGTACTCGAAGTTCTGCTGGTTGAGCTGACCCTTGGTGGGCTCGGCAGCGTCGTTACCGAAGACAGCAATGTTCTTGGGGGCCTTGAGGGGAAGGGCTCCGTCGACGTTCTTGAGCAGAACAGTACCGGCTGCGCCATGCTTTCGGATGAGCTTCGCATGGTCGCCACGAACGTCACGGCTAGATGGGCCAGTGAGGTTCCAGTCAATCTTCCAGGTGCTTATGGGGGAGAAAGTGTTCAGCTCGGCGGAGGAGGGGTCGACAGTCGGGAAGTCCTTGTCCTGGCCGAGAGCGTAGAAAGGAGTCATAATACGAACGATCATGTCGTCAACACGGGATTCAGCCAAAGAGCCGTTGTTGACGGCGAGGGTGATGTTGCCGCCGAAGAAGGAGGGCATGCGGCCCGGGATATCCGCAGCGAAAGCAGTACCGTAGGCTCCAAGGCCACCAGGCATGTCCATATCCTGGCCAGCTTCGATGGATGCGACACCAGCATGGGTAGCTCCCCAATCGGACCTAGTAAGCAGTCAGCAAATGAGAACTGTATGATCGACGCGCATACTCACATAACGTATCCCTGGAAACCAAGCTCCTCCTTGAGCAGGCCATTCAAAGCCTTGGAGTTCTGGCAGCCGTAGCTACCGTTAATCCTGGTGTACGAGCACATGAAAGACGCAACCTTGGCATGTGCTGCATCTGCAAACGGCCAGAGGTAGATCTCGTGCATGGTGCGGTCGTCGATATTGGAAGAAATAGCCGCAGAAATAGTATCCGTGGTAGTACCATTGGGGTCGAAAACGGGGTTGCGCTGAGTCTCTTGCTCGTTTCCGATGTAATGCTTCGCGCAAGCCTGAACACCAGCATCTTGAGTACCCAGGATGGTCTCCTTCATGAAGACACCCGCGAGGTAAGGGTCGGCAGCAGAACCTTCCCAGTTGCGGCCAGCATAGCCCGAGCGGCCAAGGGGACCAGCGACAGGCTGCAGCGCAACGTGAGCGCCTTTGGCTCTGAACTCTTCACCCATGGCATACCCGCGCTCGTACATGAGTTCCTTGTCCCATGATGCTCCAGCAGAGACACCAGCAGAGAAGACGCTGGCGTAGTCCGCTACTCGGATAGCCAATGGGCCGTCGTGAAGACAGAGGCCAGGGAAGTCAAGACGAGGAATGGGGGCAATGTTGCCAACACAGGGACCGGGTTGACCCGAGACCATGTAGGATTTCTCGTCGACAGTAAGCTGAGCGACGAACTCCTTGGCCCTCTGAAGGGCGTCCTCCCAGCCACCAGCTCCGGTAGCATTAGCTGTTGGACATCAGCAAAATTATCTTCGAAGCAGTGGAAGATAATCGTACGAGAAGGGTAGACGGCGGGCGATGAATTGTACTCGTCCAGAATGACTGTGTCGAGTGGCTGCACATATGAAAATGCATCTTCCGATCTGGCACCGCCGCTGAAGTCTTGAGCACTGACTAGGGCTGAGCTCGCAAGCAAGGCAGAGAGAAGAGTCGCCATGGTTCTGAGAATCAAGCAGGACTGCCTTGAGGATTCCCAATGGCTTCCGGAAGCCACTTCTTATACAAACGTCCTGATCACTTCGCCCATTTGCCGGCAAAGTACCGCATCCACATCCGCATCCGCATCAATAGCAAGCTGTGCGCATACCGAAGTTTACCCGTTGGCGTCCAGTGTGGAGGCCTGCAGAGGCTCCGCGTGGAGCTAGCTTCGTCATCCCGGGCGTTGGAGGGCGGGATGGAGAGCGCTAGGGTGGCTGGGCTCACGTAGTATGTGAGTAGCTTGCTCTTGTTTGCGCCTCACGACTCGTCCGTGGGATACTCCGGCGGGTGGCTGATCTGGCGTGAATCCTGAATGCGGAGTAGCGAACATCCTTTGAGACACCGTTTGTGTTCCAGACAGCCTCTTGACTGGACTTTGAACCGTGAAAGGCGTGCTGACGTGCTGTCAGTATGTACCACCGCCTCTCGTACTCCGCTCTCACCCACACGCACTCCACGTCCCCCAGTCTGCAACATGAATCATTCAAGCGGGGATCTTGGCTTCGACTGACAGACGCGCGCTCCAAATTCCGAGCTTGGCACCCCGGCCCCGGCCCCAACAGCTCCCAGAGGTTGAGATCACGGCAAGGACCCACAACCGGCACTTGACCGGTACATCGTAACGAGGCCGCTCGGGCTGCGAAATGAGGACTCGCCGCTCTCGTAGTGCTGAGGAATTTTCTTAGGCTGCCGCTTGGCGGCTCCAACTTTGCGGAGATATCCCGTTGGAGGCAAGCCCGGCCCGGATTGAGAGATGCTCCCGATGCGCTACCCCAGTGTCGTCATGAACAACGCCCGTGTGGGGGAAACTGCGCGATATTCACGCCGAGGCACCTTGTTGTTCGCACCACTCGGCGCCCAAGAGGTAGAGGGAGCGCGAAGACAGGTACCACCGCTGGGAAGGCCGGCACGTGGAAAGGCAGGGTAGGACTGACGATCCTGTGTCTGATGGGCGATTGTCGGAAAAGAGAGCACCCGCGTGCCGGACAAAAACGAGCCCCCATCCTGGAAGCTGGCCTCGCTCGTGAGCATGAACACCAGCAACGCGAAGTTAGATTAGGCCCACAGACACTTGTAGTTGGCACATCTCACTCCAGCGCGTTCGTCGTGAAATCGACTTCTAATTACACAAGTTTGAAGTTGTCAATCGTAGGAAAGCTCCTGCAACCGTTGTGGAACATGAATCTAGACATACATAGCTCTGGTCCTGCGATCGACAAAACAAGAGCTGACACTCACACCCCTGTAGCGATCGGTATCGACTCAATTCATGTCATGATCAAGCAGAATTCTTGCAATCGCGCACGACACGTATGTATTCTTCTATCGCTTGTTCAAAAGAACCGCCGTTGCCAATCCTTTGGCGACGGTTTGCGTCGTTTTCCTTTACCCAACTCCTTTCTTGGTTCCGAGATCCAGCTCTATATTATTGTGCGACTTGTGTCGAGAAAAAAAGGGAGAGGCTCAAACCAATCATCCTAAGAGTCGAATATCGCACCATACGCCGGAACGCCGCGACTTTGCATACCGAACACGACCAAATCCGTTACTTTGGGATTACTGATGATGAAAACAGCTTCGGCGTCGCTCTCTTTCACCAATTCGTACACGCTTTGTATCATTATACCCCGGCCCTGAGTACTCGTATTCCATATCACAGCTCGTGGGTCGGCCTTCCTCACCGCATGGACTACAGCGTCACCGTAGTTCTTCTGAGGATCACGAGTACTCCAGTATATTCGGGTCGGAGTGATATTGGCGTGCATGAGACTCAGACAAGGGCCGATGCCGGAGCCTGTGGCGACAAGGACGATCTTCTTGAAGAGACGAGATGTGTAGAGTAGCCCGTGCAGAGGGTTCCCACGGATCCAGAGTTTCCGCTCGCCGGAATCCATGATCTGCTTGTTCGTCCAGTCGCCGGCATTGCTGACGACAACGCTGAAACCGGTCGTCGTGCCTGTTGCCTCGTCGACATCGGGTATGGTTGCGAATGCGTGCCATTCCAGGAGTGGGCGGTCAGAGAGTTTGACGCCATAGAAACAAGGCATACCGGCATAGCGGAAATGCAGCCGCGTGGCATGGTTTGAGAGTTTCTCCGGATATACCTTACGGAGCCGCAGTCGCGACCAGGAGAGGAGCGTGCAACCTGTTGAGATCAGGATTGTCCAGAAAGAGGGTGTCTCCAGCAGCGCCATGCCAGTAGTATTGCCGGTCTCGCGCGCCGTGATGGCAGCTGAGAAGACATTGTGGACCCAGAAGTTTACCAGCGCTGTCCATCCGGCGAAGCGATGAAATGCTTCAAAGTAGTCATGGTACCTTCTCCGGAAAGACGGGTGCGCGCCTACGAGAACTACAATGAACATGGTGACTAGGACCCAAGATGTAACCATATTGGCCAGGATGTCGCTATGCGCGTTCTTGTCTTCAATCAGAAGGATCGTGGCTTCAACGGTGTACAGGATATACCATATAACAGCAGCAACGCCACAGCTGGAATGCACGCCGCCATAGTGGAACACCTTTGCGAGTCGCTTCCGGATGCACAGCGGCCAGGAGTGAGGCGCTCGTGCAAAGACTTCATACAGGATGTTGAGAAAGTTCTCCTGGCGGAACAAAATCGCTGCCACGAGGTTCGCTGATGCCGCGGTCCCGATATCGCGATGTTTAGGCCGGCCATTTTCTGCGGTCGCGACGAGCGCAACGAAGACTGCGAGGTTGACCGTGAAGATCAACGCGAAAGTTTTACGGTACGAGCTGGCCCAGGCGTCTTTGAAGTGTTAGCTAACCAACCTTGCAAATGCAGAAGCAACGACTCACACCGTAATTTGTGGAGGAAGCTGTTTCCCCACTGCTTCGGCAACTCAACCGCTTCCTTGACGTGACCGAGCTCAACCTCTCCAATGACGAAACCAACCGTGCTCTCCTCAACTACATTCATGATACTGTCTGGTGCAAGAGTACTTGAGAAAGGTTGGTAGAGAAGTTGCTGTATTTGGGCCCGGGCCGCGCCTTCCACTTCGGGAGAAGAGGCAACTGCTGATTTCCGGGAAATCTTCGCTTCCATTGTGGGTTCGGAAAACACGATATTCCCTGAGAATTCGTACAGACGACTTGAGATATCGCCACGCTTGCAAAAGTTTAGCCTAGTTATCAATGTCAGAGTCTAAGGCGACCTGGGAGTCGCGTATCCTCGGGCTGGCACGGGTGGGTTGAACGCTGCGGTCAGATTGCCTTTCACTATGCAAGTCTGACGTTATCCAATTTTAGCATGGTCTTCCCGTTGGCCCAGATTCCGTGGGGTCCTCCCTCGGGGCAACAGGGTTGGTGGTACAACGCAGGCTGTGTTTACGACTTTGCTTCACCGAACGTCGCTACCTGGCTTGATTGTTGGATTCAGGGGTCTGTGCCACAACCGCGAGCCGACTTATGATAAGATTTGGACCGCTGTCTCGACGCGATCGGAGTCTGTGAGCTCAGATGTGCCTATCTGTGGGCGCCTGACCATACTTCTACAATTCTCACCTGGGGCCATGCTTGAGAGCCTTTCATCGCTACGATACAGCGTTAGATCTCAGCTGTCAATCACACAGGCCTCGAAAGCATTGTCCAAATGCTGTCACTGGTGACCCTTCTGAGATCAATTGAGACTAATCTGGGAGGAGTTTGCTGCGTAGCACGTTTTGAAGACTGTTTGCTACACTACAGTCGTTCTTAGATATGTTTCAACGACTTATTATACGCAGCTGAAGGAATACTTGAAGTTGCTCATGCATCATTCACACCCGCTAGCAGGATACAGACGAAGACTGGTCTCGGGACCAGGATGCTTCCTCATTGCATAGTCGAACGTTGAACTTCAGTGCTTGCTGCATGACATGCTTGGGTTGCTCGAGGTTGACTGAGGCAGCTGTTTGTGGCACCATGGCGGGGCTGGTCACGTGCGAGCGCGTACCTGCCGTTTCTCTTACTCGCAGTAACTTCGACAGCGACAGCGCGAGACTGTTGCGTACGTTTGATTCCACAACTCGTGGTCGTTGATTTTCACTTTCACCGCAACCGACGTAGTGTGTCTTTAAGTCGCCGCGTCGAGCGCCGCAACTTTCACATCAAAAGCGCTGCGTAACTTCCGCAGCTATACCTTGCCAAATTTACGGAGCTGCGCGCTCAAGCATTTTGCTCGACACCACACGCGCAATTTTACCACCATTCTGTTCCGCACCCATGGCGCCTAAGCGCACTTACAACCGACACAATATGTCAATCGTAAAACCCGACACTGACGCACTTATTCCCTCCGACCCTGACAATAGCTGCTACGAGGCCAATAAACGCCGAAAGCCGACACCGCCCTCACCAGCCAACACCATGTAAGCACGAGCACGTGGTATACCTTAGCCTGACTGAACTCACACTAACTTTGTAAGAAGGCACCACTCGGATGTGATGAGCAGCGGCGGTCGCCCGAAGAGTGTCAACTTCAAGAATGCGCCCAGCAAGCCGAACCATAGCAACACCAAGAGCTTCAGTGGCCCGACCAGCTTGTCGAACGGCGAAATGGATCCGTTCGAGTCCGTCATCAAGCTAGCCCAGGAGACAAAAGCACCACAGAAGCAACGGAGCATGTCCCTCTATCGAGGCGGGCACAAAGCAATCAACTCTATCTCTGCACAACTGAAGAGCCGGAGGCGCGAGGGAAAAAAGGGTGATGTAGCTCACATTTTGATTAGCGACGATTCATCCAGCGAAGGTGGCATTCAGCTTTCTGAGAGCATTGAGTTGAGCCCGGATGACATGGACACCACTAGGATGGATAGCTCAAGCGCCATGAAAGCTACCATGCGCGGAGGTAGCGAGTCCGCAGCCGAAGCTTCTGCTCGTATTTTCGGTGGACGCGAGTACACTGCGCCCCAGACTGCTCCACCGCGACGAACATTCTGTGGCGCTAGGATCAAAGGGAATTCAGTGCAGGCGCAAGCGTAAGTGCAAGACCTCAAGTTTACCCTGCCTCCGCTTTAGCTTCTCTTGGGACCCGGGCATCCATATTTGTAACTACTAACAATCCCTTAAGATGGTCAGCAAACCAGTCCAGCTCGCCGCTCTTGCGTCTACCCGCAAGCGTCCGTCGTAGCGTTTTCGAGTACGCGCTCGGCGGCAACTCAATCGAGTTCGGCTTCGTCACCTTCCTCGTTGATAAAACAGCCGATGGCACGAAGAAGTACACTCCCTACTTCCAATACACCAGCAACGTCTACCCTGCCCGCCCCTGCGAAGTCCAGCGCAATCCCTTCCACGGAACCCCGATTCGCCTTCACAGCAATCCCGATACCACGGGTATGACGCTGCTGAACGGCGTATGTCGTCAGCTCTACCTCGAGACTTACAAGCTCCCCTACGCTCTCAACGACTTCTACTTCAACTCTGGAAACGCACTATTTAACTTCATCGTGAATGACGACCGTCTCCAGCCCCAGCAGCTCAAGTCTATCAAGTCGATCGTGGTCCTTCATAAGCTGCCAGTGCCATCCGTGCTCGAAAAGCTGCCTAATCTGCAGCAGGTCCGCTTGATGGCCCCCAATCTAGCGATAGACATCGGCTTCTACAAGGTCGTGCGGGACGGCAAAATGCCGGAGCTGGTCAAGTTCATCCCGACGTCTAAGAATGCGACGGGCAAGTTAAACAGGCCCGGGATGCGTGGCGGCGGCGGAGACGACAAGAAGTCTGACCCAAAGAAGGCATATCTTGGTGCGTACGGTGGTAAATATGGTGGGTCTCGGTCTGAACGTGGATATGGCCGTGACGACACGAGCTGGGGATACGACAGTGGCAAATACAAGAACAAATGGAGCTGGGGTCATCCGTGAATTACTTTGAGATGGGGTATGACGCGAAGTTCTGGAAGCTAAGCAACAGGAGTCTTGGATCATGAACGGAAACAGAGATTGGATTTGCAATCGACACATGTAGCAGCCCGGGGCGTCTAGACTAGTTTGAGCCACGATAGTGGTCCCAGAGCCCTGCCCTTTTTCATGTCGAAGTTTCCGTTCGAATTCTCCTTCAATTTCATGCAGTGCTTCATCTGCATCAAAGCAGATCTTTCCACCAAACTGAAAAAGGTCCAGTTTGTGCTCACACAGATTTCCTATCATTCCGATTCTGGTGGAAGACGGCAGAAATATTCTCGGATTCAGCTTACTTATTTAGCTGTTTTCTACCATTCTCTGACCGTCCAATATCTACTGTGAAAAGTAACCATAATCGGTGAGTGCCGCAATGCTCCAACAGTGTAGCACGTCTGGGTTAGAAATTTATCCACATGCTTCTTCGCAGCGGCACTTGATCGCGATGGTGCGGGCTCCAGTGCAGCGGTATGTATCTGCACCAACGTCAACGGTCAATTTTAGATCCTGGTGTTCGCAAGAAAAACTCAGCGACGATCAGTGTTACAACAAGCCCCCGCATTTGTGCACCCTTTATCAAATTACCCCATGAAGTGCCCACGACTACAAAATTCACTCTAGCCTCGAGAAAGAAGGGCTCGGAAACTTGCTTCTGGTCTACGCTTCCCACCACCGCCCAATTTCTCAATAGTCGACCTGTCTTGATTACATCTGGTTGGGCTATGTTAAAAAGCGACTCCGCGCACAAAGTCTCTCAAGCGACGAAAATGGCATGCGAACGCGGTGCAGCGCTGGGATCGTGAAGTGGCGTTTTTTCAGTGCAACTGTCCGGCGTGCGGAGACACGTACCGTCGAGAAAGATTCGCCGGACCACAAGCACGTGCTCGATTTCCATGGGCAGCATCCATGGGGTGCCCACACGTGGGCTAGGGTGTCACCTGCATCTTCCACGAGGACTTGGTTGCTTTGCCGAACCACAACTTCAACTACGCAGGTCACCGCCTGGCGTTGGCGTCAGAATGGCCGGCCACGGGAGGTCGTCACTCACTTTGGTTCTTGAAGTATCGGTATCGATGAGAGGAGTGGGACGGTGGCTTGATTGCTGTCTTACACGAATGTGTCTGCTGGGTGAGTGTGGCCTCGTAGCACTGATTTTCCGCTTCCGACAACAGTCCATGGGGAAAATTGGGTTAAGGCTACAACGCAAGGAAGACTATTAGCCGCCTGGACGTATATCAACGGGGTATGATGTGATCTAGATACTCGCTACCTCAGTTGGAGCCAGATTACACAATTGCTAAGACATTTCCCACACCTGCACGCACACCGTGGTCAACCGTCCTTGATCATCTGCTGCATCCACCTAGGCGCTTGCTCCTGCCATCCTGCTCGCCAGAATCGCGATACCATCTCCTCCATCCCACGGTGGCCTTCAGTCTACACGTTCACTGCAAAAAAGTCCAAGTCAAGTGATTGAAAACATTGAGATTGCAATCATATCTCCGCACGTATGCATATATGCGCCGAAAGCGACAGACCAACCCAGGATATGCAACATCCAACCCCCCACATTATGAACGCCCCAAACGCCTCAACGCTGCAAGAAAGTTCTCGTAGTCGCCAGTCCCTCTTCTATCCTCACTCACGACCTCAAAAACTGCTTATAACTCTCGCTCTGCGTGACATCCTTGTACGGGTACCCGATGTCTCTCAGAAACTTTTCCAGCTCGGCGTACTCCTCCTTTTTGCACTGGATGCCCGCCAGTATCCGGGCAACATCGCCGCCGTAGTTGCGGTAGTGGAAAAGACTAATATTCATGCCGGGCTGCATGGTGTTCAGGAACTTGTACAGCGCGCCGCCGCGCTCAGGGAACTCGAACATGAACATGTGCTCGTCGGCGGCGTCGCTGCGGCCGCCGACCAGGTAGCGGATGTGGCTCTTTGCAAGCTCGTCTTGCGAGAGGTCGATGGCGGTCATGCCTTCTGCGGCAAGGCGGGCGAGCAGGTCGGGCAGGTCTGTGGAGCGGGTGTGGGCTTTCATTTCGACACCGATGAGGATGTTGGCGGCCTGGGCGGAGGAGTAGCGGTAATTGAAGGCGGTGACGCCTAGAGGATGGACGATAGAGACGAGCTTGGCGAAGGCGCCGGGCTGCTCGGGGATGGTGACGGAGATGAGGGCTTCCTTGTTTTCGCCGAGGGCGGCGCGCTCGGCGACGAAGCGGAGGCGGTCGAAGTTCATGTTTGCGCCAGATGCGATGGCGACGAGGCCGCGGTTGGCGTTGGGGCTCGGGTTGCGCTTGACCCATTTTTTGAGGCCGGCGAGGGCGAGGGCGCCTGCGGGCTCGACGATGGAGCGCGTGTCCTCGAACATGTCTTTGATGGCGGCGCAGGTCTCGTCAGTAGTGACTTGGACGACCTCGTCAACGACTTCCTGGCAGATGCGGAAGGTTTCCTCGCCGACAGTCTTGACGGCGGCGCCGTCGGCGAAGAGGCCAACTTCGTTCAGGACCACGCGCGAGCCCTTGCGCAGGGACTCGACCATGGCATTGGCGTCGTAGGTTTCGACGCCGATGATCTTGACGTGCGGCGCTATCCGCTTGATGTAGATGCCGATGCCGGCGATGAGTCCGCCGCCGCCCACGCAGCAGAAGACGGCTTCTAGGTCCTGCAGGTTCGTCTGCCGCAGGAGCTCCATGCCGATGGTGCCCTGTCCGGCAATGACATACGGGTCGTCAAACGGCGGGATGCTGATCAGGCCATGCAGCTTCTCCAACCGCGCGGCCTCGGCCTTGGCAGCGTCAAAGTCGGCACCGTGCAGAATGACGCTGCCGCCCAGCCTGCTCACGTTCTTGTGCTTGATGTCCGGGGTGCCAGAGGGCATGACGATGGTGGCGGGGATGCGCAGGTGCCGCGCCGAGTACGCAACACCCTGGGCGTGGTTCCCCGCGCTGCAGGCGACGACGCCTTTCCAGCGGGCCTTGGGGTCGAGGTGTGCCATCTTGTTGTAAGCGCCGCGCAGCTTGAAGCTGAACACGGGCTGGAGGTCTTCGCGCTTGAGGAGCACGCTGCATTCTAGCCGGTTGCTGAGATTGGTCGCGTGGGTGAGGGGCGTCTCGGTGACGACTTCGTAGACGCGGGACGTCAGGATCAGGCGCAGGTACTGCCAAACAGTCAGGACAAGTTCACCAATCCCCCCGCCTCTCCAATTTTGCTCTCTTCTGGGCGGGACAGCATACGTCAGGATACCCGTTCGGCAGCAAGAACGCCTCTGGGATCGCGCTCTGGGCCTTGCTCTTCTGGTCCTCTGACGGCGGGCTGGGGTTCGCCGTGTACTCAGTCAAGCTCAGGCCCATGCCCTTGGGCGTTCTCGGCGTGGCGGCGCCATTGGGTCCGGCCGTGTTGTCAGGCGTGACGGGCCGCGAGTAGTCGTCTATGGCAGCCGGCGGCATCGTGGCGGGTTGTTGTGTTGGGAGCTGTCGCGGTGACTGCATGGGGAGCTCGAAATTTTGGGCCATGATGTCGGTGTAGATCGGAAGGAACGACCGGGGTTGCACAGACGCACATAGGCGTGGGGTAGCTCGCTTCGGTCCGAAGTCGGAAACGCGTGTCGGTCCGCGACGCCCTCTTCACCATAGCCTGCCGCACTGCAACTGCCCTGGTTCGTGCTGCAGAAGAGCGCAGTGCGACATTGTGGCTCGACCCGTACGTGGTGAGGCCGCCAGAAGTGGTCCCAAGGCTGGGTCTGATCTGATGCTCGTCGCTACTGGCAGACGAGTGGAATCTAGACAACGGCGGCTTTCTCGGAGGTGCTTTCTAACAGCTGCAGCGTGTACTGTTGAACCGCATCCCGGAAGACCCAGTGGCAACGACATCCGGAAAGCTTGCCAATGAAACAAAGCGCATCCCCCGCCGAGACTACACCCGGACGCAGCCCCCCTGTGTACGCTGCCAGCTGAACCCCGCACCACCACTATGCCGGACGAGCTCTCTGCGCTGCTCGCCCCCCTCCTCGCCCCCACCCTCCAGCGTCTCCTCGCCCCCATCAAGCTCTCGCCTCTCTCCCGTCTCCCGACCTCCCGCCTGCTCACCACAGCCCTCCCCAACATCTCCTCCATCGAACTAGTCTCATCCTCCGCCTTCGAAACAGACTACGCACCCCTCTATACATCCCTCTTCCACGGCGGCGAACGCGAACGCCCCAATCTCATCGTCGAGCGCCTCCGGCAAGATGCGCAAGGGAAAAGAGCAGGCTCTCACCGTATCGAGTGGTAGGACTAAGGGGGGAGGGAGGAAAAGTGCTGGGCGCGGCGCAATTCTCCGTGCTCCTACTCGATGCGACCGAAGACGCCGAGGACGTGGTAGCAGTCCCGTACCTCCAGTACATCTACGTCCGGTCCGAGAACAGGAGACAGGACCTGAGCGAGCTCCTCCACACGCTCGTCCTCGCCGTTTCGCTCGCGTCCTCTCCCAACCCGACGAAAGCGAAGGTCCCATTCACCCTCTTCGAGACCGAGCCCCCGACCCACGGCGACGACACTGCCGCCCGCAAAACGGCATTGGAACGGACTTCCATTCACGCGCGGAGCGGCAGCAAGGCGCTCATGCTCCGCAAACCTCCCGTCTCATCAGACGGTCTGCCCGTATACGTCAGCGCACACGTCCAACCCGGTCTCGAGCCGGACGACCCACCTCTCACGTTGATCTGGGTGATTCGGCCGAACCCTGTTCACCAGGGAGAAGCGCTAGATGTCAATAAGCTGGGACCCGTGGTGCTCGCCGCCGTGTACCGCAGTTTCCGCGACGAGGCGTTTCCCGAGGCGAACATTGCGCTTGCAGAAGAAATAGCAGAGAAGAGGAGGGTTATGAGTGAATATTGTGTCATGGGGTTGGCCGAGGTGACGAGGGGGATGTATGTTGGGATTGACTGATGTGATGGGAGAGGAGGAAGATTCAATGCGTGGGAAAGGACAGCGCAAATATATGGTGCTGGGGCGAATTTCGAAGACGTGCGATACCCATGGTAGGCATTGCGTACTACGATTATTATTTTTTGGGTAACTAGCACTGCGAATCACAACAGTGCTGGCCACCACCTCTCCTTCCTCGCGCGAAGTCTATCCATTGGCACTCCTTCTTCCTATTGTTGGTAGGAAAAGCCAGTTGCGCAAGAACAATAGCAACGGAAAAGCGCGCAACAACCGAGCCCAAACAAAGTGGCCTTCGACAAATAAGCCTCCAACATCAGTCCCAGCATCATTGGCACGTTATAACCGTCCCTCTAGAAAGAATTATCTCAGCGACGGTCAACTACCAATAACCTCATCTCTGCAGCTGCCATCTGTACTCCATTTCGCCCATTCGGCCCGCGCCGACAACAATACTGACGGCAAAATCAAATAGCACGACCACGCGCCACAAGGTACGACAAAGGGTCTGGAGAACGCTGGTGGCGCGAATGACCACGCGAGACCGCAGTACGTCCCTACCACACGCCCAACCGGACCCCAGCCCCAAGCATCCCGTCCCCTCTCTCCTGTCCACCTTCGCATTAACATTCTCGCAACACAAAGACGCCCCTCTGATCACACCAGCTTCTTGTGCTTGCGACACGCCACACGTCGATTTGACATGGCTTCTCTTCAAGCAACAAGTCCTCCCACCTTCGCCTGGCGATTATTCACTCCTCACAACGATGACTGACCCGCCAGCCAGCCAAAGCGCGAGCCGCAGCGTCATGCACTGTATTTCCGACAATAGCGCTGTTGCCGGCAGCGTTTGTCATGAACTTCCGGCTTTCAGGCTGACTCTGCTTGCCTGGCCCTCAGCAGTGCGTGTGGGGCGTTGCTGTCAGACGGGCAACTTCAATCTTGCAGTGGCGTCGCCCTCGTGTGGCGGGATAAAACATCGTAGCTGCACAATTTCTATGGTCAGCAATTGCCTTGTTCGCCTGGGTTTGCTGAGACTTGTGGAGGCCTCGCTTATATACAGTCAACAGACTGATGTCCGTGACGCGATCACTCGGTTTACTAGTCGGAAGAGTCGGTGCTGATGCGAGCGTAATCATCTTGGCAAAGACTGCGCCGCCGGCGTTCGCATTCCCGTGTATAGAGGGGTGTGATGTCACACTGAAGCGACAAAGCTTTGACAGACAAACTCTGTAACAGAAGGCTTGCATTCAGTATCGGTTCGCCGCTGCGACGTGGCGACATCAGGTTTTGGATCGAGCTTTTGTCTCGTTTTTCTCTCGGCTATAGACGCGGATGTACGCTGTGGTTGACATCGCGAGACTATCGCCCGAAATCATGCAGATAAACAGTACAGAAGTCCTGAAGTGCAATAGAGGGCCCTGCATACAGAGTGATGCGCTGCCCATTGATACTCACGACGCCACGACTTACCATCAAACAAGACTTCTGTACTGGAAAGGAACATGTTGTCAGTTTCCTACAAAATTAACATTGCTCCACCAATCGTCCCTCTCCCCGGGGATCCTAGCCCCCGGCTTCGTCTGGTCTGCGTATCCGACCGCGACTCCGCAAAGTATATCCATATCCTCTGGAATGCCCAGTTCCTCCCGAATCTGTCGCGGGTAGCCCGCCACACTGACTTCGATGCAGTTGGAAACGCCACGCTCTTGCAACAACAAAAGCAACATCTGCAGATACAGCCCCACGGATAAGACATCGACCTTGGCAAGCGCACTATCCATCGCCACGATCAATCCGATGGGCGCATCAAAGAATGTATAATTCCTCTGCCGCGCAGTCTCCAGCTGTTCCCTGGCGTCTCGTGGGATGTTATACCCGTCTGGCCCGTAGATGGAACGCCCCATCGCGGAGCGATACTTTGAGTACTTGACCGGAATCGGGGCGATCTGTGGTGCTTCGTTGGCTTCGACAGCAGCTAGGAGGCTCTTCTCGAGGCGTTGCAGGGCAGCGCCCTCTACGACTGTTACACGCCACGGCTGCAGGTTTGATTTTGACGAAACATGCTGTGCGATCTCGAAGCATTCTTCCAGCAGCGGTCTGGGAACGGGATCAGGCTTGTAGGCCCGGGTGCTGTGGCGGGTGCGGGCCAGGCTGGTGAGTGTTTGTGTCGCTCCGGTCGTGGCCGATCCATCTGGTGCCATGGTGGTGAAGCTCGCGTTTGTGGTGAGCTTGCAGGCGATTTGTTTATACGAGGTGTGCACTTTGATCTGCCTGGGGTCATTCTTTCTATATACTCTCTAAAACTCATCAGCTTCGCGCGTGCAGACTCCGTCATCCAAGCGCATGTAATACTATGCAGCAGACAGTCGAGTGTCGTTAACGCAATGCTGTCTCTAAACCATACAGATCCCTTAGATCTGCTGCAGCAAGAACTCACAGTAAGCAAGTGTGCGACTTGCTAAGCAGGTCTAGCCAATCAGACCCCTCCAGAAACCGAAAAATCTAGCACCAGTGTCGGCCGAAGTGTAGATACACGTCTCGGCTATGCCAAAACGAAGCCAAAGATGGTGTCCACGAGGCCGTTGTGGTGACGTACGGCGAGAGTTTCCGCGAACTGCCTCGCTTCGGTCTCGTCCCTTACCAAGCCACAGAGGCACTGCCCAAGCTCTATCAGCTGGTAGCTGTAGCCGTTCCGGTTGAGCACCCAGGACGTTATTGATAGGCAATACATGCCCTCGGGGCCGTGTGCTGACTACTATGCAACGTCATATATTCTGCACACTGCATCAGCATTCTAATACTATCAAACGATCCCATCATTCATGAACATGCATTGAAAAATGGCAACTTCAACAAACGTCGAGTCGTCGTGAGAACGCGCCGGATTTCTGTCCCTTGCCCTGTGCTCATTGGCCTTCCTTGGAGAGCCGCGACGCGTCTATCCGCGGCAGTGCAAAAACCCGAGTATGTAGCACTGCAGGGCACAGTATTGCGTTTCAGGTGCAGCTGTTAAACGTCGATCTATATATATGCGGAGGGCTTGCGGGTCTGACAAGTCACTAAGCCACAGCTCCGCGACGCTGATTGGCCCCCTTTCCTTGCCGGAGATCTACAACGGCAGCATCCGAACGGGACTTGTGCTGGCCCTGCGTTCGCGCAACGACACATACCGACTGGGGCGTCTCGTTTGAGGCGTTATGCTCTTGCTTCGCCCTTTCAATGAATATGATTCTTGTCGCATGATCGAAATCAGGCGGTCGAAGTCCGGTGTCTGTTACCTCTGCTACTGCTGATCGCCCGTCTCCAAGTGTCTTGACATGCGGCAGACGACGTCGAAAACGTCACGCCAACGGAGATCGCACTTTGCACACGACCAGCATGCGACTGTTTGAAAAGTCCGATCAGCACGGGTCATTTACCTCGTGGACTATGCAGCGAATGAGGGTGGACCTGGTTTTCCCGATCGGTCGCGGGATTCTGCTCAGCCTCCCTTGGGCAAACCACCATCTGGTCTGAGCGGGTGATTGCAACAAGAGGGGCCGCGTTTGGAGTAGGACACCGCGACCCCAGGATTACCACGCGAGCGGAGTTTTGTGCATCGCCCGTTTTGCTTAAGTAGAAGCTTGCCCCTCTGGGATTTGTTGCTCATTTCTCGACTTCGACCACTCGTTCACTAGCCCGTTTAGTTTTCTTCTATCAATCGCTACGACAATTACTTCTCTACAACTTACCTAGCTAGACTCTTACTACGTTCTTAAAATGCGCACTACATCTCTTCTTCTCCCACTGGCCTTCGCCTTCTCCGCCACCGCCCTCAATCTCAACTTCGGCCCCGACACAGTTTGCGGCGACAACTCTGTTGACTGCAACAATGGCTTCTGCTGCAGCTCCGGCAACAAATGCGACACCTCGGGCACCATCACCACATGCGGCACCGATAACACGCCCGCGCTCCCCTACGGCGTCGGCAACCTCGCCTCAGCCGTAGAATCGCAAGCCAAGTCCGCGGCCTCGGGCCTCGCGTCCGCCATCAACGACATCCCTCTCTCGTCCCTCGCCGGCGAACTCGGGTCTTTCGCTACAGCTTTCCCGACGAGCCTTGCACAGGCGTTCTCGTCGATGCTGGCTGACGGCAATGTGCCGACTGATGCGGCGGGGTTGAGCAGCTTCATGGAGATGGTGCCGAGTGCGGCGAGGCCCGCGGCGTCCAGCGCGTTCAACGAGTTCAACAGCATTCTTGGAGGCGAACTGGCATCCAAGACAGGGAGTACCGGCAGCCCGCAGAACACCGAGGGGGCCGCGGTGCATGGAGCCAGCACGTTCGGGAGCACGGTGGTCGCGGTGGGGATGATCTGGGGCGCTGCGGCGGTAGGTGGCGCGATGTTGGTGTTGTAACAGATGGCACGATGGGTCTTGGGAAGACGAAGGTTGCTGCATTGCAAGGCGCGTGGTACTTTCACATTAAGAGACGTTGACGGGAACACATTCTACCACACCGCGGGCGCCACACGTTATATGGCGTTCCCACATTAGATTTCGTTTAATTTCATTCAACCTGCGTCGTCTTCCGACGGCTTCTCTCGCTTTCTGATGGCTTCTATCTGCTCCTGCTGTTTCTGTCGCGGTCACCTAACTTGTTGCTGCAGCACAGTGCTCGCCTTCACCTGCAATAGCCCCAAACAATGTAAGACCAAACGAGCTTTGTCTACTCCATCCTACCACTTCCGCTCCATCTAGCTCTGGACTCCCTCTTCCCCAGCACCGCAGAACCCGCTACAGACTCGCACGCATAGCTTCGCCCGCCCCGCCGCCAGCATGGTCGGCCGTCAGAACAGCAGTAAGTATCGTCTGCATGGATTCGGGACCGCTGGAGCTAGCTTCCGCCTGAAGCCAACAGTCAGCGAGAGCTTGCTCTTGACGGACACGTTGCGAGGCGAGGCAATCAAACGCGTGCTCGCTACCGTGGCTCAACGCGTTTCTACCATAGTTCAAGCTCACGAACCCACAGACTTTGTGCCGGTCGACCTCAACAGTGGCTTCGCCGATCCGGACCCCAGGTACGAGAATTGGACACCGCCAGCTGATCAAGTCCCGGTCGCTGGCAACGGCAAGGACTCCCGCTTCATCGAGGAGAACATGTGGGCGACAAAGCCTATGCGTCCGAAGCGTGCGACTCTTGGTGCCTACGCTACGGACTGGGAGGACAGGAGCGACGTGACGAAACCAAAGCCGAAGCTCGGCGGAACTGGAACCTGGGGTGACTTCGGTGTGAAGGAGGCTGCAGCGAGCCCGCCATGGGACGACAGAAGCGTTGACAACGGCTACGTCGAGGACTCGCCGGTCCCTCGGACTATGGAGGGGATGAATCAAGTCCTGCAGCAACGCGTCCGGGCCGCGAGGGCAAAGAGCACGGCAGCTTACGCCAACCGGTCTCCGTCAGCGGTCGCGAAAGATGTGTCTCCGTTAGCTGCCACACAGGATGTCCAGGCGGCTTCTTGTGGTACAAACACCGCGCCGAACGACACGGTCTCTCGTTCGTCCTACCACAAGCTCATTCCTCCCCACAAGAGGAAGCTCATGGCTGGACAGACGATCCCGGCTGTCTCACCTTCTCCCGAGCCAGCAAAGCTTTCCCAGGCGCAAAACCCAGACCTAGCAGCCCAGACCTCTCCAATGAAGGCTGCTGCCACCATCGAGGATGCCGAGGACGCATTAGTGCTGTTTCAGAAGCGGCTTGAGGATCAACAGAAGCAGAAGGAGAAAGAGAAGACTACGGTGTCGGGCAATCTCGTGGCCGCCAATGTCGCTCAGGCGGATCAGAACAAGAACGATCGTGAGATGGTGATCATCAACGGATTTCACCGGTCCGTTAATGCGGCACTGTCCGTGAAAACGGTCCAAGCGCGCCCTCCACCTGGCAATCGCTTTGTAGTTGCCACAAACCGGGACGGAAGGAGCGCATCCAGCACCACCCTAGTCAACGATGTCGAGACCGACGATGAAGCATTGGCAAGGAAGCTCCAGGCTACGGAATTCGGTATGCAAGACATCAGCAATGTATGCATTTCTCCTCGACATTAGTACTCGATTTACTGATGGGCGCAGGCTGTGAACATGATCGAGCAGGAGTTCAACCAATACAAGCTTCAGCACAAAACTACACTCTCGAAGCAAGATTTCAAGGGAGAAGATCTGTACAAGAAGCTCCACAAGGTTCAGGAGATCATCTGGAAGCAGGATATGATGAAGCTTCACCAGTTCGCAGAGTCGAAAGACTCTCTCTACCAAATGGACGAGGTGGAATTCCAGCGGTACTACAAAAAGGTCGTCTCAGCACATTTGGCGCAACGGGACGCTCGGCGTGGTCTGGTAGAGCACGTCGTGAAGATGCAGTCGGACAGGGACGCTAATAACTCCTACACCGTGGACGAGCTTCTAGCCATGGAGGCGGGAATTCTCAGGGCCGTATTCAACAAGATTTATTCTGCTCACAGACAAGATGCTTCAGCATTGAACATGAGCTTGGACTCGGAGTGCCGATTCTTCTTGACAGAAGATGACCTTGACGATATCGAGGAGGCCGGCGAGCAGGAGTTCGACAGTGACGGCTTCAGCCTGAGCAGCGACGAAGACGATGACGACGATGTGATCTTCTTCAAAGGCCACCGCCGTGGTTAGATCGAGTGAGATCTTTCCACATCCTTTGATGACATCGGCTATTGCTGTGTGGAGGCGCGGCTTCACCAACTTCGTATTGGCTTCATCTTGGCAAATTCATTTGGTAATGGACAATCACGTGCCAACGAAGTTCATGTGAGGATCTTTCAAGCAATGTTGAGTGGTTCAAGGATCTCGGTGTTTGGAGTTTGGTTTGGCTTTTTGGAACTGGTTGGTCGGCGTCCGCCGGCTTACAGTGCATTCGCTGTGGTTCTACTTGCACGAATCATGACACCATCAGTAATCGGTATCCACAGGCGGCAGTGGGCTTGGGATGCGGGAGATGCACTGAAAGGGTTTTTTCTCAGCCCGCCTCTCAACTGAATGCTCTCATGGTGATACAATAATGCTTTCTATTGGAGGTATAATCGAAAGTGCCGGAACTTCTGACAGATTCACTCTGCTCGTGCCAACAATATCTTCGTTCCATCGCTGCTCGTGTACATGTCACTCGCTCACAATCTTGCTTTCCTTTCCAAGCGTTGCAATTAGCGACAGGAATCGCACTTTGGACTATAGACTCACCGCTTCGGAAGGATGTGCTCGTGACACTGCGGAGAGAGGGGATGCATCGAGGAGTGCATGAGCCAGAGCCAGTCGGAGTATGGAGGCAGGTAATTTCACCACAAGGACAATTTCCGAGGATAGCATAGCGACGAGGCCGCGATAAGAGCGCATCGAAACATCGAGAGAGGAACAGACACAAGCATAAATGCAGGCCCAGATGTAGGCACAGACACGCCCTTGGAAGGTAACAGAAGGGCACGAAGGGACCTAAAGACACGCAGACTCGGCAGAACGCCGAGCGTGGTCAGACATAGTGCGGTACATGGATGTGGATGTGGACCAAGACGGGGGGCGGAGGAAGTGAGGGGTCAGTAGGATCGAGGCCGGGCTCAGTGCGGTGCGAAGGGAGGTGGGTTGGTGTTGTGGTGAGTTCGCCTGGTGGCGAAAGTTACGGCACTTGCACGTCTCCCGTTCGGAAAGAAAAGAAAGTGAAGGGACGCGGCAAGTGTGGAGGTGGGAATGAAGGGGGCTGCTGAGGCGTTGGCACGGAGGGTGAAGGGTGAGTGGAGGGAGCAGGAGAGGGAGAGGAGTTGGTTGCGGCTTGGCGGAGAAGGGGTGAGGGGATGAAGGTGTATTATGGTTGATCGGGAATGTATGGGTCTGCTTCGGGTTTTTGAACGTTGGCGGAGGGCGAGGAAGGGCTTGGGATGCTTTGGACATCTTTTATTTCCAGGTTAGGATCTGCCAAATACGGACGTTCCCTTATAGGTGCGAAATAATTCAGAGGCTCCCAGTTCGATGTCTCATAGTGAGGTACCCCTACCATGTAGACACTGAGGCTTCGCCATGGTATTTTCGCTTCTTGATGAGTCGGCCTCCGACCGTGCTACCTTCACGACTGGCTCGATGGCCTCGGACAGTGTGGACGGTCTTTCGTAATCACGTTCCTGAGGAGAAGGCTATTGTCAGCTTGAACTGGCGTGTGGTTCGGTGCGGGGAAGCGCATGGACGATCCGCGGGTGCGATGTGGGTCAAGCAGCGCGACCCGTCGTTCCTGCGCACGCACAATGCTCATCGTGAGGATTCCAGACCTTGACGTGCCGTGGTCTTTCAGAGCAATCATTTACAGATACAGCACAGAGTGATTGTGCCTGATTACACTTGGATCATTCTCCTAGAAGCCTTCCCCAGGACTGCTAAACTGGAGTGGGTGGAGCGTCCGCGCCAGTCGCCAATCACTGTTGAGACGGTCGAGGCGTGGTGTGCCTTTGATTTTCAATGTCTGCACTCTAAGGCTGCCGCCCCTAGATCACGCCGTCATTGTGGAGGCGGTCTACCCCCAAAAGCCCCCCATGACGAGCCGGCTTTAAGACTGAGCGACCGTACCAGGGTTGCGTCCTCAACCCGCAAGCATGTGCCTTTATTTTCTGCAAAGTTTCTGCACATGTCCTCTCCTCTCATACCACATGACTTCTGTTCCCGTTGTAACACACTGAACTCACAACTGCACGTCTGCACGCGTGCTACTAACAACATGTCACACACGCGACTTGAGAGCGGAGCCAGCACGGTGCCCACCACGCCGGAGACCGAGTCCAAGCCACAGGGACCCTTTGACCACATCGAGCATGTGAACACGGCGAGCTCGCAGAGTACGGCGCCTGGGCTTTTGAAAGTCGAGCTGGGCGGCGTCGAGGAATTGAACGAGATCAACGGATACGAGTACACTGCGTACAACTTCTCGATCGGCAAGAAGTGGTGGGTTCTCACAGTCGTTGCGCTATGCCAGACGAGCATGAACTTTGTACGCCTCTGTCCCGGGGTCGAAGTCTTGGGCCGCTGTCTAATATTCATAGAATGCGGCAATATATTCTAGTGCAGTGAAGCCGCTCAACGAGCACTATGGCATCACGCGAGCTCGTGATGGCATGGCCGGGTTCTTGATCACGTATGCATTCGGATGCGAGCTTTGGGCGCCGTGGTCGGAGGAGTTCGGTCGCTGGATCATCATGCAGCTCAGCTTGGGCTTGATCAACATCTGGCAGCCGCTCGCGGCCTGCAGCACCAGCTGGAATATGGTGCTGGCGTCTCGTGTGCTAGGCGGATTCTCGACGGCTGGTGGATCCGTGACATGTAAATGTGCCTTGATTCCAGCGGCAAGACCTGAGCTGATGGCGTGCAGTGGGCATGGTTGCTGATATGTTCGATCCCGAAGAGCAGCAGTATGCTGTGCTCTGGGCGTCATTTTGGTAAGTGCGATTCAACAGCAGTTCACGGTTGAGCAGGGGCCCTAACTCTACGCAGGTCCTGTCTTGGAAGCGTGATCGGTGGCATCTGCGGTGGCCCTGTCGAGCAGTACCTCAGCTGGCGCTGGAACTTCTACGTTCAGCTTACATTCGGAGTCATCGTCCAGCTTGTCCATTTCTTCACCGTGCCGGAAACACGCTCGACAGTCATGTTGGACAGGAAGGCAAAGAATATGCGCAAACAAAGCCACGTCAACGTGTACGGTCCGAATGGCGGCAAGTCGCTCAGGGAGCGTCTGTCATGGAAGGAGATCAAAAAGACGATGTGGCGTCCGTATCACAGTGAGTCGCATGCCGTGATCCGTATGCGCGTTTCTGATCGAATGCAGTGCTTCTCTTCGAGCCCATCGTGCTCTTCCTCTCGCTTCTCAGCGGCTTCAGCGACGCCTTGATCTTCTCTTTCCTCGAGTCGTACGGGATCGTGTTTGGGCAGTGGAATTTCGATGCCGTGCAGTTCAGCTTGGCTATGTTCGCCCTGCTCATCGGGTACTGTGTCGCGTACTTTTCCTTCTTCCCAGTCATTCGCCATCACAACAGAATGCGTAAGAATGGCGACCCAACGCTCACGCCAGAGAGCCGGTTGTGGTGGCTGTTGTTCCTCGCTCCCCTCCTGCCAATCGGGCTCTTCGGCTCGGCATTTGTCGTCACTGGGCCTCCGTTGCCATGGATCGCTCCGCTCATTTTCGCCGTCCTCATCGGGACCGCAAATATGGCGATCTACTACGCGACGATTGACTACATGGTAGCCGCATATGGAGGGAAATACGCCGCTTCAGCCACAGGAGGAAACGGCTTGTATGTATTAGTGTTCCGATGTGGACCAGATCCCTGCTAACGCCCTCCAGCTCGCGTGACCTGCTTGCTGGTCTTTGTGCCTTCTATACCGGCCCCATGTACAAGTCACTCGGCACGCAGAACTCGACTTTCCTTCTCTTTGGCGTCTCCTTTCTGGTCTGCATTCCGGTGTACATATTCTACTGGAAAGGTCCGCAGGTGCGTGGCCGCAGCAAGTGGGCAGAAAAGGTCAAGGTCGAGCAGGAAAAGATGGCCAGAGTGAGAGACGAGATCAAGGCGAGACGTCAGCAGCTGGCGTGAGAAGCAGCGGCTGGGTTTGCTTGATGGCGAGGCATCGGAGAAATGAGCGTGACAGACCGAGAGCATACGATGAAAGTAGGATGAGATGGCGCATACTGGAAAGGCATCAATAAACCCCTGTCGATTGAGGTTCAATGCCTGGACAGCTCGGGTAATCGCCCGGAGGAAATCTGTCGATTTAGGTCACGGTGTTCTGTGCAATTTGGAAGTCTGTAGAGGGAATAGAGCTTTTTGCATAGCTTTCTTGATGAACGATCTTTTCAAAATGTTGGCAATGCTGCTCTGCCGCGGTGTATCCGTACGGACGCAACCCGGCGCCAGCTGGACTGTCTTGCGATTGCGGCAGTGGAGTCAACAATTGCGAAGCTCAGTTGGTCGAGAGAACAGACGCAAGCGGGCTGAAGGAGGTACTTCGGGTACGTAGGTGAGGCTGACGGAGGTGCAATTGACCGCTCGCGGGCAGTCGCGTCCGTGACTAGCGCGAAGCCAAGTCACGCCGTACCTTTAATCTGGAACGATGCCAGACATCGCTCACACGTCCACGGCATCGCATTTGGCAGACATCCGGGGAACACGATGGCGTTCTTCGACACATCCCGGCTGTTGTCTGGATCCACGATACCTGTTCATCCAGGGAGGTCTCGATCTCTACGGACTCCGCGGTCGCTGTTGTCGCGTCTCTTGCTATGACGCAGCGGCCCACGTAATACTGTATCAATCTATCACTCTATCACTCTGCATCTTTTGATCCGGTGAAGAAGACTCGAGAAGCGCTCCCCGACAGCATCGCATTCTGAATGCCATTGCCGCATGAGGCTACAACGCGACTGTCGTGTCCAATCCGCAGCCAGATCGGAGGCTAGCTACTCCGCAACCTCGTCCATATCGGACAGCATGGCGATCAGCACCGCCGAAAGAAGAAATGCGAGATGCGTAGCGTGGGTTGACCGCAGAAATGCGTCGTTTTCCACCCTCTTGTGCCTTGCTAGTGCCGCCCACTACGTCATCTATCCTTGCAACCGCGTCTGCACCACTTTAGTGCGCGGGCCGCAGCCGCACCGATGCCACTCTGGGCAGTCAGCGGTCGCTCACCGCCAATAACGCTCTGCCAGCACATCGCTCCACATAATGGCTAACATAGAGTTCGGACATGAGTGGTGTTGCTGGGGTGCACACTGCCGAGACCTATAGGGAATAGCATCAGTCGGCGGTGTGGCGCCTCGAGGTGGTTTTTATATCGAATGCAGGGTACGCTTATCTTCTGTAGGACCGATTTCGAAGGCGAGGATCTCCTGTGAAGATGGGCGCTGCGGTAGGGACGGGCTCGTTGGGCTGAGGTGCAACGTCGCTAATCCATCGCAGAAGCCTATGGTCGATCCGGCCAACGTCGTGCAAGCGCTTGTCAACACCCTACTGGATGTCTTTGATGCGACCCGGGACCTGTACCAAACGCTCAAGTCGAAGCAGCGGAGGGACTATGAGCACAATCTGAGGTCACGTGGATACAGGAGGAGCCTCGACCATGTGGACGATGGCCCGGACGGCGAGGAAGAGATTATCATGGACAAAGCCGCGGTATTGAGAACCTTCGATGTCGGGCTTGATGAGGTTGGCACACAGTTTGCTGTGGGAGACGGTAAGGAAAATCCCACCATCACAGGATCATAGTCTGGACTCACCTGCACTGTATGATCTGCGGTGAAACAGGGGTTCAAAACTCATGTCCAGAGATGCGTCCTGCCAGATCACATGGGCTCATGCTGAGGAATCATAGTCATCTCGCAAGCTGGGCTACAGTCGCAAATCATCGTTCTGCAGTCAGCCATTATCACAACCTTCCTTTACGGGCCTACCTCTCCAGAGCCCATCTCACACCATCTAAAGACTTTACTAGCAGCTTCACGGGAAGCAGGGACCACAGCTGTCGATATACTGTCCGCCCAGCAGCAGCGACAACTCGCTGTGTTATCGCCAACCCCACGAGCGGGCAGGTCCCGCGCGGGAAGCATGAAAGCGCCTCCTTATCCCATGACTGCGACAAGCTCAGTATCGACCGCGCTGGTCAGATCGCGACAGGAGCCCCCCGATGAATACTCGCGCACTGTACATCCCGCAAAGACGACGATCCTCAGCAGACCTCCCGTCCCCAGAACCGACACCGAGTCTACCGCCTTCTCGGGTCCTACGTCTTACGGCACAGAGACGTCCCTGCATTCCAACTTCTGTCTCTACGCGCTCGATCTTCAACGACACGCCTCGCAGCCTCTCGCATCGACCATTAGTTCCGATCCCTCGCCGTACTGCCCGTACTGCAAGCGCTCTCTGCACCTCTCGCCGGGGCGATCCTGGGAGATTTTCAAGGACGACGGCGCCCGAGAGCGCTGTTTTCACGTGCAGAACCGATTCGTGGTGAAGTGCCATCGCGAGGGCGTTGACGGCGGGTACTCGTGTGTGGTGTGCGCGACGAGCGCAAGCCACGAGACGGTCTGCGGCGACGTGAACGCACTGGTGAAGCACGTGTGGCAGGACCACACCATTGGCGAGCTGAAGGCGGAACAGGATATTGTGGAGCTGGTGGAGAAGACGCCGGAGAGGAGGAGAGATAGCGTCATGGCGCCGCCTAACCACAGCCGGCGGAGCTTCAGTCTGGGCCCGAGTAGGAGTGGGAGGCGCAGGGTCGAGAGGGAGGTTGAGACGCTGGAGATTCGGGCGCCGCGGAGGGAGAGAGATGGGTGAGGTTTGTCTCGTCTGCACCGCGATGTTCGGTGCGATGTTCAAGGTTTACGGAACTCTTCTTTTCTCACGACATGAATGTACTATTAGCAGCCTTCCCACCCAATGACCGCATCCCTCCTATGCTCCCTCTTTCTTCTTCACTGCCCCCACTTCTTGCGCACCCGCCAGCATCTCATCGTTTTGTCTGCCCACCCAGCAGTTCTCCCACATGGCAACGCGCCTGTCTCGCGCGTAAGCACCCCCGACAGCCGCGCAGCCGTAAGCCTGCATCCGCGCGCGCGCCGCATCACCACATGGTGCGATCCTTCGCCTGCAGCCCAAAACGGACAATGCTAGCACGCTGCATTCGACGCCCGCCAGCTGCATTACTCGAACGAGCAGTTTGGTGGTTTGGCTCGGGGTTGCGCTGCGAGGGCGCGGGATGTACCGTGGCGTCGTGCTCAAGAGGCTGTTTGCGGCATGTGGTTAGCGCCGTGTGACCGATGCCTAGATTGGGCATGGTGCGGGCGATGTTGGGAAGGGGAACGCGAGGATGGAGGGGACGCGGAGTGTGATTCTTGAAATTGGTTTTCTTTGTGTGCGAGATCTGTGGGCCGTCTGTAGCGGTGCGGTGCTGGGAGGTCCCTATTCTCCGCGGTGCTTTGATGCTCCTGCGTTGACTTGGGCTGGGGAAGCGCGAGCGCGATGGGTCGGAAAACGTGTGCGGTCTGGCTCACGAATTTGCAAGTGGCTTGCGCGTAGATTTACTCGAAAGCGGCAATGCTTGTTATAGCCTGGGGCCCGGCTGACTGGGGCCAGACTCGGGACCCCACGATCGATGCGGTTACCTGAGGCTGCAGGGCCATAGGGCTGGAGCGCCACATTTTTACACACGTCAAATTCTCACCAGTGCTCCATACCTCTCCAGGAATGCCCCGACACACCGTACAAATCTCTCCAGCTCCTGCCACGGCGTCTCCAAAACAAGCGCAATACTTCCTCGCTGCGTAATCCAAAACCCCTCCTCCATCATCTCGAACCAGAAAAGCTCTCGTAGCTCCACATCTTCATTCCTGTCCTTGTAACTCTTCAAGTCCTTTCTTCCATCTTCCAGAAAGTGAATGCCCATTATGGTGCCGAGGCCTGTGACAGTCATTTTCGTGCCCTGACTCAGTTCCTGAAGAGCAGAGCGCAGCTTGTCGCCCATGGTATTGAAGTCTTGCGCCACGGCAGGCGTGTAGATCTGCGATAGGCCAGTATACCCAGCCACCATGGCGAGGGTGTTGTTGTTGAACGTGCCAGAGTGCGAGAGGGCATTGCCGTCACGGGGATCTACACATAGCTCCATCAGCACTTGCCCCATCGCCCCGATCACCAGCCCGGGAGACAAAAAAACTCACCATACACTCGCATAATATCTTCTCTTCCCCCAAATGCCCCAAACGCCACGCCACCCCCAACCCACTTCCCCAACGTCGTGATATCAGGCTCCAGCCCCTCGAGCTCCGCCAACCCCCCGCCGGAAAGCCTACTCGTTTGCACTTCATCGAGGATGAACACCGCGCCAACCGCCCGCGCGCTCGCCTGCACCTGGTGCAGAAACGCGTGGCTGCCCACTATACACGGCCCGCGGCCCTGCATGCCCTCGACCAGCACCGCTGCCACATCCCCGCTGCCCTCGATCTTAGCCTTTGCGTCGGCAGGGTCGTTGAACGTCGCTACCACCCAGTCCTCTTTATCGACGCAATTCTCCGCCGGCGCGTCTTCAGGAAAGGAGAAACACCCGCCATGGTAACCACCCCCGAAGACGACGACTTTCCGCCGCCCGGTGAACGCGCGTGCGCCGGCGAGCGCGTGCAGCGTTGCTTCGGTGCCGGAGTTGGTGAAGCGCACGCGGGATAGGCGGAAGCGGGCGCAGAGGAGGGCGGCGTGACGGGCTTCGAGGGATGTGGTGCCGCCGAGGTTGAGGCCGATATCTTGGATAGTAGAGATAAGGGCGGATGCGAGGACGGGGTGCGAGTGGCCGTAGAGGGCGGCGGTCATTTCGCCTACGAAATCGGTATAGCTTGTATGTGGTGTTAACGGTGGGCGGAACAGAGGAGATGAATCAAGGGGAGCTGTACGTGTGCCCGTCCTCAGATGTGACTCTGTAACCTTCGCCTTTCTTGAGAAATACGGGAAATGGCGCGGTGTGGAGGAGGCTGCGGGTGTTGCCGCCTGGGAGACTCTTGATCGCTTCGTTGTGCAGGGCCAAGCTTGTGGTGTTTCTTTCTACAAAGCGGGTCTTTGCTGCTGAGAGCGCTGCTTCAACGGTAACGTGGCTGGCTTTGGTGGTGGACATGTCCGCGATTGTGCTTGCAGCAGGAGATAACACAAGGGAGGGAGCCATGCTAGATCGTTGAAGGTGATCCCATTCAGAATGTGGCGATCTTGTTTCCGTTAGATGCTTGGAAATATATGCCAGACATATAGCATTCGGTCCCTGAAAGCGAGCATCCAAGATCTGGAATCTTTGGCTCAATACGATAGAGTGCGTCCCCTCATGAAACGCGAGTTGCGGGGCAATCAAGTCAGGTACTACTCTGTAGGTTTTCCGAAGGGCTTTTCCGGCTGTGCATACGTGTAGCGCGCCGTTTCATTCGCTGTCGCTCAGCAAGCGGATATCGCCGACGGCATCTCGTATCCATCGCCGAGGCCCTCAAATACTTTGCAAAGTTTCAATTGATACGGAAACCACTCGTTGTATTGTCCATTCGTAGGAGGCGGGAATTGATCAAAGGCCGCAATAGACCAAGCCCTGGAGGGTGTGACAGCTGTTGAGGGCATGTGATGAGTCATCCAACGATCACGATAGGACACCCCGGCGCCCGCATCTCAATGGCGATACCTGGGTACGGCTTCTCAGTCTTATGGGACGCGATGCTCTCCAGAGGGACGATTTTCTACGGGAATCGCTGTGCACACATACGGCAGAAGTCTTTCTAGACTCTCGGAAAGTCACCATCCTTTATGATATTTGCCTCTTCTTTCGTGATACCATAAGGAGTAATATATTAAGTTGACCTGGGGAGATGCTTTTTCTTCTCAGCCCTTCTCTATGCAAACTAGAGTATGAATAGTTGGCGTTCACAGACGTTATCGTGAAGGTGGACTTCTGTCCGTTATTGACGTGCATCATTCACACTTTCGTGAAGGACATGTAGTTTCACTAGCAATCATAATCTTGCGCAGGGCCTAGATATCACATTCCAACCATATCACTTACTACTACAGCCCAGCCATGCCCTCAGACCCTAGCCCGTCCTCGTCATCGATTGAGCCGGAAGAACTCTCCAGCCTCAGCGAATCCACAATATCCACTCCGGACACCTCCAGATACCTTAAAGCCTGGGTTTGCGGCCATACGCTGCACCCGTGCATGACGGGAAGCTGTGACCTCTGTCCCCCATGCCGAACAGAGCAGGGCCTCGTGCGGCTTTCCAGCATGGCTAATAACCTGAAGAGCAAGGACGTACCAGACCCGTACGCAGAGCCGTTTCTGTCTGATCGAATTCTAGGGTATGCATTGAGATGGTACTATGCAGAGCGCTTGATATTCCAGCACCACATCAAGCGCCTCGAGATCTTGGCGGATAGAGAGAGAAGGTGGGAGGTTGAGCATCCCGATGTGCTCAAAGGGCTTGGGTATACCGATGCGAGAACAGCCTTGGTAACCGATTGGACGGGGATGCCTCTGGTAGATTGGCAGGAGTCAGATGTTGGTATGCTACTGTATATGCGTGCGCGGACCGAACGGACAAAGCGCGCTAGATTCGCCGACGATGTGGTTGAGCAGCCGGTCCGTTACAAGGATTGCTTCGCTCGCTCGCATTGGAGGTATACCGCTAGGCGATCGAGTGCAACGGATGGTGAACAGTGGTTAGATACCCCGTTTTGGAAGACGCGGCATGGGACGCCCGAAGGCGATTGTGCACTTGACGAAATGTGGGAAAAGACCAAAGATCCGGACGAGGACGAATTGCTGCTGTCAGAGGACATCGAAGAACACGGTAGGTTACTGCTCGCTTGGCTAGAAATCTATAAACCGGGAGAGGTATATGTAGGTACGTATGTTCTACAGGATGACTCACTAATTCGGTCAGAGGAGAGCGACAAGCCCTTGCCAATCGCAAGGGAAGTTGCAGCTATATCTAAAGCTCAGATTCTAACCCCAAACCTATCCGGTTCTTCCGACACAATTGGGGTTATTATCCAAACAATGGATGGTACTACAAGTCGGCTCCATCAGATGAAATCTCAACCGAGGGTATAAAGGATCAAGTCTTAGCTTCCAACGGGCAGTTTCGCCGAATTAAGAGACGCTCGGTCCAGTCAAGACCATGGCCACGTACTCGACATGGAGAGGAGCAGACTATGAGCGGGGCCCGCTGGAAGAGAAGATCCAGACAAAAGAAAGAGGATGCAGCTCAAGGTGAGAGAGGGTTGAGTTGGCGCTGGTGTGGTGTGATGCAGTAATCTAGCCAATAGAAGGTATCTCAAGAATGTGTCGAAGTGGTTGCTCGTTTCTGCTGTATTCGTGCCTTCCATGTACATCGACCGATCACAAGAGTTGAGGCTTAGTCTGCATTGGTAATACAGACGCCATTGACACCCGCACTTCGGTTTCGCTGCGGCAGGCCTTGGTCTTCCGGTGACGGTTTTTTCCATGTCATGTGAAGTGCTCTCGACGCATGCAGTTTACTGCCTAGCATGGCAGTCGACGCGTGGTACGTGCACCTGGTTCCAGTGAAGGAGCTAACCCGCACCTTCTATAAAACTCCCCCGGGCAATCGCTACCGCATATCTCTTACCCCGACCCCAGGTGAATCAGCCCAATCAACCAACGACTATGGCCGCCGACGCCAGGGGCACAAAGATCCACGTCACCTCACATAATATCGCATTCTTAGTCTTCGGCCGGAGGATCTACTCCGAATACCTCGACTTTCAGAAGTCAATCGCACTTTCTCACGACAGCTGTGTATACAGGTCGGAGAAAGATTGGATTGCAGCCCGCGACACTGTACAACTCGTACCTCTTGGGCATCTTCCGCATATTCGAGCCTACAAGGCGTTCATGTACTGGCTCCATGAGACCGGCAAGCTGTACAGGGTCCACGAGTCATCCGCTACCTCGCTCACTATCGCTAAGCGCTGTGGGCATGCCTTACATCCGGCAGTCGCGTCCGCCGAGATCGAGAGCACGGCATGCCCGATGTGTACAATCAGACATGCTACTACGGCTTTGTCCATGGCGTGGAGCACCTGGGAGAGCTTGGGCGCTCCTGATCGGCGCCCACCGTTCGATGAAGGAACACCCTCAGCCGAGCTCTACTACATGGTCAAATACATTTGGCGCTTCGAAAAGAAACGATGGCTGAGTCTCGTTCGACACCACGAGGAGCTGGAAAAAAGTGTGGCCGCGTGGGAGGAGAAGGAAACGCGAAATGCACACAAGAGCTCGATGTACACGATTGACGAGCTGAGGGAGGCGAAATCGGTAGGGGAAGCTCTCAAGTTTGCGCGAGCAAACGACCCGCATCACGCGGAAGACGCCGAGCTAACTTTCGTACCACATCCGCCCTTGAATCGTCGCACACCCTTCCGACCATACCGAACCGAATCGACTGCACAAGAAAATTTTCTTGGGCCACTGGACGAGCAAAGCGTGACATCGCAATTGTTTCGCACGAGCGAGCCGCCGTCACCGCCACAGTCCCCACCGCATTCGAAACTTGCTCATACACAATCGGCATCATCCCGCCGCGATTCGTCTTCGTCGTATCCTTCACTAGTCTTGTCGCCCCTTCGTAGTCCGATTCAGGTGAAGAAGGCAGTCAAATTCGCTGTCGATGTGGTGGAACATGAGGCACGAAACGGGTTCGCATTCAAGCGAACCTCTGTGTCCTATAGCCCAGGACGCCATGCATCTCCTTCTAAGGTCGGATGGGCAGACACGAGTTTCTCGACCCAGAGGAACTTCCGGTATGACGACGAGTCGACCGACCTAGAACTAGAGCTTCAACGACTTGAAGCCTTCTTCCGTCGCTCCAGGGAAGATACCGATTCTACCTTAGACGACGATGTTGTCGGTGATAACGAGAGCGACACTGACTCGGAAAACGGAAGCGATACCGATACTGATCCTGACGTGGAAGAAGACGACTTTGAGGATAATTTGGCAGAGGCCATTATGCAATCCTTCAATGTCGATATGGACTCGGCTGATGGAATCGGTGACATGACAGAGGCTAAACTCGAAGCGGGACGGAGCAACAGCGTAGCACCGTCTGGGCTGAACGTGCAAATGCTGGACTCGTTGAGGGGTCTATCAGATGCAGAGCTGAAGTCTCTCCTATCCACGAGCGGTCTTTCCCACATCCCAAGGACAGCCGGTCAGGTCCCCATATGACGGAGGACGCTCGGCCATCGGGCGGTTCTGAGCTTCATATAATTTCAGCAGATGCTGGCTTAGACGGAGGCGAGGGAGCGAGACGTAGCGTGCAGCCTGAAGCTACAGCCAATCATGACTCCACGGAAGACAATGCAGTCCCTGCATCAGACGCAGCCCAGCATCTCTCCGAGATGATGTGGTCCCTGGATGCTCGCTCTGTCTCTGTTCCCAGGGTCACCGAGTCAGCCATTGACATTGGGAATCAGGAACGAGAATTTTTTCCTTCTCCACAGTGAGTCACCCCCTCCTTTTTGCCGATGTTGGGCATGTTAACAACTTCACAGTAGCACCACACTCGGTCGTCACCTCTGTACTCCGACTGACTCTGAAGAGAGCGACAATGCGTCCCCAAAGCCGGCCAAGAGGAACAAGACTGTTCCCGATGTCGGAGACTAGGTGGCGGCGGTCTGGTAGGGCTAGGATGGACAGACAAGAGATCTTAAGCTACCTCTCCGATCACCGATGGCATTGGCATCGTCGCTCGCCAGGTTTGCGTTCAAGCGCCGTGAGTAGAAGTTTTGAATAGGTAAACGTAGTGTTTTCGCTCTTGGTGTGAGCGTGTCTCAGAATCTATTTTACTAGGTGATGCAGACTCCTCGCGGATAGATGGCTAATATCAGCAGAGGAGATGAACGCCTAGTGTTTGATCATGAAGCGGAGGAAGGAGCAAGTGCGCTCGTTAATGGAGAGGCTAGCGCCGTGCACGGGTGCTGCGATAACCGTTGATCGGCGGACCCTGAGATCGTGGTGAGTCTGATGTCATCCCGAAGACTTCATGTGGTTCTATGATCCATGGTATCTTCTTTTCTTTTCGCAAAATGCGTTTTTCTGTGTCTGAGGAAGTTACAGGGAACAAGTAGGAATGGCGTGCCGACTTTTCAACGGACGGGGTTGGACGGGAATATACCTTCGCGTTAGGACCAGTCATAACTCATGGTACTATCGTCACCCAGGTAAGCTATGGATGGATTACTTCGTCTCGGGGGTTTGCCTTCTGTTGTCTCCAGGATGCCATATTCTCGCTTCAATCAAATTCTGACAAGCCAGAGTTCAGGCCAGTGGTTAGGAGATAGATTTTGCTTCTCTCCGGCTCCGGTTCCGGTTCCGATTCCGATTCCGGTTTGGCATGTGGTTGAGCATCTCTATCCTTACCATCGTGGACGATATACGAGTTTATGGTTGCAGACGACTAATTGTGAAATAGATGATTTGAAGATAATGTTGTTTGTGTGGAAATTGGACAATGTGGATGTTAGATCAGAGTAGGATGTTATTTGCGGAAACAAGTGCGAGACGTGAGTCACTTCATCCCGGCATTACTCATTGGTAGTTTTACGGATACCAAACTGTGACATGCGGTGCAACGAATCGGTGTTGTTCAGTATTCGATCCTCGAATTGCTCCGCGGAGCATCAGTCCACTGCACTAAAGGCAAGATTGTATGCGTCCAGAGGTCTATTCTCTTTCATTACACGGGTAACAAAGGTGGCCTTCAGCCCCAATGCCTTTTGCAAAGTTACACCAGGAATCAATTCCGACGATAGATGCTCGGAGTAAAGCACCTCATTTTCGCGGATCATCGCAAAATCCCAATTACCTCTTGGGGGTTGGCGCCATATCATCTCATCATAGGGCGTGCACTGACCTCGGCACCATCTTATCCCCGCAATCCCAAGGATGCCGGCTTTCTAACCGCCAATGACCCACACGCTTTTCCGAAAGTCATAAAAGTCGCGCCGGCCTCGCGATGTCAGTTTCTCGAAATCCCGGTCATCCTCTTCTCGTCTCAAGTTCCTGGGTGTTCTGCATGGCTCTTTCGTCCTGACTTCTTCACCGCTGCACTGGTACCGCATCGCCTTGGGGGTTTTGTATGACGAGGGACGGAATTGATTCCGGTTTTATTCCCGCTGGCTGCTAGTATACCGTACAATAGTATAGCCACCTTTTCGCTGCAAAATTGGGATTACAGTCTCAAGGCTTAAGGTCTCAGTTGCAGGGAAACCAGGGCGATGTCAGCTTCTGCAGTCCAAGAGAAGAGGCAGTTGGGGGACTCGTCAATTCAACCGCACTCAAATGCGTCATCGGAAGGCTGGCACGACGAAGAGAAGGGCCAAGACGACACACGGCAAAACTCAGTTGCACTAGATTCACACGATGCACACGATCTCGAAACCATAGAAACACGGTCATTAGCGGGCTCCCAACTGCCGCCACCACCTGATGGCGGTCTTCATGCGTGGCTGAAAGTGTTCGGTGGATTTTTGGTCTACATCAACATCTGGTGCGATTGTCCAGACCCAGCTCTGTCCTCGTTCTAACATATATATATATATAGGGGTTTCACACTTGCTTACGGCACTTTCCAGTCCTACTACACCTTCACTCTACTCCCAGACCAGTCGCCATCATCGATATCATGGATCGGAACCGTCCAAGGCTGGCTTCTCATTGTAGTCGGGGTCTTGTCAGGCCCGCTCTTCGATCTTGGCTACTTTAGGTCCGTGTTCGCACCCGATCGATATCCAAGCGTACTCATTCAAATGATTTAGGTCTATGTTGTACATCGGCAACTTCCTCATCGTATTCGGCATCATGATGCTTAGTCTTTGCAAGACTTACTGGCAGGTATTCCTTGCGCAGGGTATCTGCATGGGACTAGGGGCTGGCCTCTTATACATCCCGAGTCTTGCGCTGGTAGGTATCTGGTTCGAGAAAAAGAGAGCGGTGGCCTTGGGTATCGTAATGAGTGGGATCGCTGTTGGTAAGTCACTTCTTTCACCGAACCTTGGACAATCTCGTTACTAACTCATACAGGCGGAGTAATCTACATTATCATGTTTGACAAACTAATCCACCGCGCGGGTTTCCCCTGGACCATCCGCGCGATCGGCTTCGTCGCCCTCGCCTGCGCTCTTCTCTCCTTCCCCGCGCTCCTCTCCGGCTCCTCCATCCTCGCGCGCCCCCGCAAACGCCGCGCTCTCTTCGACGCCTCCGCCGTCAAAGACAAGCTGTTTCTGCTCTTCACGGCGTGTACCTTCTGCAACTTCCTCGGCTACATTGTGCCGTACTTTTACATTCCTACGTTCGCGCAGGAAAAACTGGGGTCCAGTTCCAGCGTGTCGCTGTACATGCTCATTGGCGCTTTGGCGGGAAGTTTCTTCGGACGTATCGGGAGCGGAGTGATGGCGCATTACGTTGGGAGTATTGTGACGTGGGGGTTATGTGCGCTGTCCAGTGGGATTCTAGCGCTTTGCTGGATTAGTATTGAGACGGAGGCCTCTTTCATCGCGTTCAGTGTGTTCTGGGGTAAGTGCACATATTTCAAATTCATTGAATGTTTGCTGATTCTCTCTAGGGTTTCTGTCAGCTGCGCTCGTGACGCTTCCTTCCGCTGCGTTCGCAAACATCTGCCCAGATATGTCGAGGCTAGGGACCCGCCTCGGCATGTCGTGGAGCGTCTCTAGCATAGCTACATTGATCGGATCGCCGATAGCGGGTGCGTTACTCAAGACGAAAGCGAATGGCGAAACGAATTTTCTGGGGCCACAGCTTTGGTCTGGGATATGTCTTTTGGTCGGGTCTGCGTGCTTAGTGGTACTGTGGGCTGTTACCAAGAAGACGATGAATACTGGGTGGAGGATCTAGCATTCAATTGAGCGGGGCCGATTGCAAGAACATGATGAATTGGCTTCTTGAACTTCCTCTCCGGCATCCCCAGGGTGTACTTAAGATTGCACGTGACAACCTTGCGCCCGCTGGCGGCAAGCTTTGCCTATTCCGGAACGTCTTGCCCAACCCTTACTACTGCGATGAGCCAAACAGGAAATGAACTCGACGCTATCATAGAGGCAGACGCAGACGAGAGAAATTATACGCATAAGTCACTATCGATCTCCCAGTGTGCAACCTTCAACCGGGTTTTCGTACCGCAAGCCTGACAGAGTGGGGCATCGGCTTGCGGATCATCACCAGAATTCACAGTCGGGTGCCGGGACAAGTTCAATCCGGGTCGAATTCTATGGTGGATTTACATTTTCGCAGAGACGTGCTTTTGGACATGCTGCGGAGAAATTTAGAACTCAATCTAGAACACGTAATTAGCCGCGCATAGGCGTTCATTAACACAGGGGACCTATAGCGCCGACCTGGCGACCTACTAATCCCTACGATGCCTTCAACATCTGAAGCTCTTGGAGAGGTGCGAATCTGACTTTCCATGTCCTGAACTGTGGTGTATCGCTACCATGCTTAGATTCTCCATTCTTGCACCGCTCTTGGCAAGTGCCCTCCTCCTCGCTCAAGTCACTGGCCAAACGACCTTCAAAAACCCTGTCATTTACGAGGACTTCCCAGACAATGACATCACCGTGGGACCTGACAACGCCTTCTATTTCTCCGCGTCAAACTTCCACTACAGTCCCGGTGCACCCATACTGAAGTCTTTCGACCTGGTCAATTGGCAGCTGATCGGGCATTCCATCCCACGCTTGGACTTCGGAGGTGGCTATGATCTCCCAGCAAGCGGCGAGCGAGCCTACCGCGGTGGAACCTGGGCTTCTTCGCTGAGATACCGGAAGAGCAACAAGACGTGGTACTGGATCGGTTGCACCAATTTCTGGAACACGTGGGTCTACACCGCGCCATCTGTGACAGGTCCATGGACGAGAGCCGCTAACATTGGCCCTGGGGGAACTTGCTACTATGACAATGGCTTGCTGTTCGACGATGACGACACGCCGTACGTTGTGTATACTAAAGACGCCACAGTCAATGTAGCGCAGCTTGCAGCGGATGGCTTGAGCCAGGTCAAGAGCGTGAATGTGGTTAACGCGTCGATGGTTGGGGCGGATAGCATTGAAGGCAATCGCCTGTACAAAATCAACGGGACGTATTACATTCTCAACGATAAGCCGGGAAGTACGACATATATCTGGAAATCGAAGAGTCCCTGGGGTCCTTACACCTCCAAGATCTTGGTAGACAGCATCAAGTCACCTCTCAATGGCGGTGGCTCTCCGCATCAAGGCAGCCTGGTTCAGACTCCTAAGGGCGACTGGTACTATATGTCCTTTACATGGGCGTTTCCATCGGGCAGGCTTCCTGTGCTGGCACCTATCAAATGGGGTAGCGATGGCTTCCCCGTCCTCGTCAATGGTGCGAACGGCGGCTGGGGAGACTCCTACCCTATGCCACTCAACGTGCACGCGATGCCCAACTGGACAACTACGTACACCTTCCAAGGCACTTCTCTACCCCCGACATTCGAGTGGAACCACAACCCCGACACCACCAAGTATACCGTCAACAACAGTCTCACACTGTCAACCGCAAGCATCACGACCGATATCTACTCTGCACGTAACACGCTGACGCACCGCGTCCACGGCGAGTATCCCGTCGGAACAGTCCAGATCGATTTCACCAACATGGCCGACGGCGACCGCGTTGCTCTCGCGGCCTTCCGCGATCGCAGTTCGTACATTGGGATCCACCGCGACGGCTCCACATACACCCTCACAACTAAGTTCAACATGACGCTCGACGAGTGGGGCGGCTCTACGCTAGACAATGGAACGGTTGTTGCCACGACTAAGCTGCCTACCAGTAGTAGCAAGAAGATTTGGCTGAGGACGAACATGGATGTCAGACCTGATGGGAGCAATAATGCGACGTTTTCGTACAGCACGGATGGTAAGAGCTTTGTGCTGCTTGGTGGGACGTATAAGTTGTACACGGGGTGGGCATTCTTTCTGGGGTATAGATATGGTATACTGAATTGGGCGACAAAGGCGCTGGGAGGGTCGGTGAAGGTGTTGAGTTTTACGGTTGCTTGATAGTGTTGTAGTACAGAAGTGAGATACCCGATGTTAGCACGTCTACATTCAGATGCAACAGATGCTCCTATTTGTTATTATGTTAGTGCAGTCGTGGGAGTTGTGGCCAGATTTTCATTACACGCGTTTTCCCTACAGTTCCATCACAGGCACATATACGTATGCGACGTGCTTGATCTCCCTGCGCAATCTGCTTTGTATACCGTCCACAAGTGGCAGTGCTTCAAGATAGAATGATGCTTACGACGTACGCTAGTTCCACGCCTGTACACGAGGCACATGCGGGATGTTGATCTCAGATAGGATTTCCAATTACATGATGGCTCAGACAGGGTTGAATGTGGTTTAGACGACAATGTTTCTAGAGCCACTATTCACATGTGACTAGGGTAGACCTATCGTAGAGCTGCATCCACAGCAGCAAAAATATATCGGTGGGTCTCAACCGAGGAGTCCATATCCACACGAACAACTTCAGCAGCGTTATTTGATGCAGAGAGCAAGTACAGAGAAGCAACAGAAGAACAGCAAGTTAAGCTAAACATTTGACGTGACGATACCGAGACGAGGTAGGTACTGCCCCTAGGAGCCCATGACGTGTTCGTCCCGGATTGCAGCCCACTTCTCTATCTGTTTCTCGACGTCCGAAAAGTCGACCACGTTGCGTCAACCCTAGCTCTTCCTGTCTGAAGGTCAAAGTACATTGGCCCCCTGTCATGCCCTGGTGTGATAAGAGCGATGCTTCCCTGAGCCACATCGCAAATTTAACGAACAATTCTGCTATGTCTAAGCGCTGCGAATTTGTGCTCCAGCTTTGCAGCACAACTACGCGCAAGACGACGCGGATATCAACACAGAGCCTTGGACTCTCCTTACAGTATGATATCAGACCATGAGCATGCGATGTCATGTTGGCAACGCTCAGATGATGTTCTTCAACGATGATGTTGCGAATGTGGAGGCGGGTCTCAGGACAGATGGTCTTGAGAAAGCGAACCACACATGCTGTTCCTCAATAGTAGTACCGCCACTTTCGGCCGTAAATCACTGCAACGTGGACCATAATGTGGGCGCTAACATTACGGTACCCACCGAGGGAACCCTTCGTCACATCGTATTCTTTGGCCGTGTAAGACGAGACCCCGTGGCTAGACAACATACGCAAGAGGTCTTCCAGAGCGCGAACATGAGGAGAGACCCTCGATGCCGCGGCTCCCTACACGACCACGCTGCATCTTATCTAATCGTTTTTTGGCGTCCATATAGCGGAGTTCGTCGGCGCAGTCGCTGTAGGGTTGCATTGCGTGTGGGTTCAAGACAGCATGTTTCAATAGTGCGCGATGGTAAAAACACCAGAGGCGATCGCAGCGTGACAGCATTCCTCGAAAGAGTTTTTCCTGGCGACGCAGAAGTCGATCGAAAGGTGATTGTGTTCTCCTCCGAAGCTACACCGTGGAGTTTCTGCCGCGACCTGCTTGCATGGTAGGAGCAAAGAATTATTATTCGGCAGGCTGCCAGCGTTCGTGCGCAGGCGGTTCGAGTCTCCATCGAATAGTATCCGGCAGGTTCGTAGACGTAGTAGCGATAGATGTCGTCTCTCAGATCTCTGGATAGCCGCAGAAGCGGGGACTCCATGCTGCATGATGCATCTTCTGTCTCAAGAGTTGTGGCTGTAAGATCCAGTCTGTGCGTCTGGCTGAAGATTTCGGAATTGCGTAGGCTGAAAGATGTGTGGTGAGCAGACGTGTGTGAGCTAGGTTTCTATATTTGCAGTGCGCTCACGTGGCGAACCCTACCACGGCACGAATTAACCGCAACAATGGATCAGGGGTACATCGTGGGCCACAATCCGCGCGGCGGGCAAATCGATTATATCATTGGAAATCACCGATGGCGAGCTAAGCAATACTCCACACATTCGATTACCATTGTCTTCGTCAAAATTTCCTTGTACACCAATAACATCAGCATTGCAGCACGTCGGCTCTCCCTATACACAGCCTGCTCGTTCAGTGCCACGGTATGAAGGAAAGAAGTGGTATATCCAGGAACGCGCCACGCCGCCTCCTTCAAGTCATAGCGCAGATAACAACGGCAGCTTCGACGGTATCATCGTCCTTCGCCCTCGCCCTAAAGTTAGAGTTAAGCTTACACAGCCCTCTAGCGCGCCTCGGCGAAGCCCACGTGGAAAGGATATAGTAACGACAGAAAGCCTCACTCCAGTACCGCAGCTCAATCTCCATTGACACGGCAGTCGGAAGAACAATTATAAGAAGAAACCTCGGGACAGAGACGTGTTGTTGCACGCAGGCCCACGCTCCAGAACGCCCATTACGAACGCTAATACGTTTGGTTCGCTTCCATTCGCAAAATCGCAGCACACAAACCCAATCAAATCGAACCATACTATCCCAAGAGAATGCCTTCCTCCTGCCCCGTGAGAAGGATATACCAAAGCCAAGCCGTGTCGTATCGTGTCGTCATGAGGATATCTACACCTTTCAGCCATCAGCAACCGCTTTTCTACAGAAACGTAGAGGAAGGTAGGGTGAAACATACATCACTAACCCTCCTTCTTCTCCCCCTACTCCCGCCCTCGGGCCTCTGCGCCAGTACCTCCCGCAGCTGCGGATCGTCCTTGTCTTTGTCGACGTGGTGGACTCTTACGTGCCTGTGTCTTGTCAGCCATATCCCCCTTCCCATCCTCTCTCCTTCTCCTGGTAATCGAAGGTACGTACCTCTGCAGATTATCCGGCCTGGGATACTTATGTTCACGGTCCGGACAGAACGGACACACATACCCAGGACTCGCGTGCACGAGGCCGTGTCGTATCATTTCGTTTTTGCGCTTGAAGCCCTTTCCGCCTTCAGCGCGGGGGCACCCGGGGACGGGGCAGTAGTGTGGGCGCGATTGGGAGTGGACGTTTGCGTGGGAGCTGTTTTTCGTTGAGTCAGTAAGGAATCTTCTGATAGAAGAACAGGAGAATGGGGTAGCGAGGTCTTACTTCAAGAGGTATTGCGTCTGAAACGGCGCCGCTGCACACCCGGGATAATCGCACTTGAACCCTCCATTCACACTCCCCGCATGCGCAATTCCTATCCCACCGCCGGGCATACCCGCCCCCACGCCCGGCGGTGGTGGCAACGTCCTATTCGCGAGTGCGCCATCAATACTCAGATTCCTGCCTCCACGAATCTCAATCGGCGTCGCCTGGGCACCTGGACTCACGCCCTCGGACGACTGGTACGAGTCGTTCGTCGTCGCGGAATGTAGCGTACTTGCAGAGTACGGGCCGCTGTCAGACGCCTGGGATGGTCGCCGTGTGGACGAAGCGAAGAGCGTGAGGTGCTGGCCGGACCGGAGGAAGGGGTCGCGCGTCTGGAAACTGGGGTGGGAATGGGATTGCGGGTCGCCAGCGGGTGACGTCGCACTGTGAGGGCCGTAATTGCTATTAGGGCTCAGACTCGTGATGGAGAGCTGGCGGCCGACGGAGGTAGGTGAAGCGCCGGTCGATGAGATAGATTGCCTGTGTGCGATGCTGTTGTTTCTATCTCGGGTCTCTTGTTCTTGGATTGCGGTCTCGGCGAGGTCGGAGAGGTGGCGGAAGCCGGGGAGGGACTGTTTTTGGGTGTTCGGGGAGTGTGCAACACCTTCTTGAGGCGGCGACTGTGGCGTTTGGAGTGCGGGGAGTTTTTGGCTAGGGGAGCCGCTGCGAGAGGGGATTGCCAGCTCGTGGAGGTCGGCGGTTTTGCCTGACGAGCCACTGTCTGTACGGCCGTTTGCGATCGACCCGTTGCGCTCGTCTCCTCTCGATGATGAAGAGTTCACGGATACTACGCTATATGTCCGTGTTCTCGCGAAGGCGTCGCTTACTGACAGCAGTGAGCCATTTCCCGACGTGTCCGTGGCATGAGACGCAATGCTAGTTTTGCGCAGCGGGTCGTAATGTTCCGGCTCAACGACTGAGTCTCGATGTATCGGGGCATACGGTTTCGCGAACGTGTGGTCTGAATCCACGTTAAGGGCTCTCTGCGCGACCCTAGAAAGATCTAGAGATGCGCCATCTGTCTTGGACTGGTTCGCACGCTCAACACTGGCCACCTCGGTCGGACTCCTGGTCTCCATCTCTTCGTCCTCATTTTCCGACCCTGAATCGGAATTAAGCGCCCGCTCGCCCGCCTGCCTCGCTATGTCAGGCTGGTTCGGATCCATGATGCTGATGAGGACGGAGTCGCCTTGGCTGGGTATGGTCTTTCTCCGATTAGACTTCTTGCGACGTCTAGAGGAGGAATGACTGACGTTCTGGTGGGTCGGATAGCAGGACACGATGGGAGGCGGTGAGGGGGAGGGCGTGACGCGTGGACGGAATGGGGCAAGACCTGGCGAGTTGGGGAGTGCGTCGTCGGAATCGTAGTTGGCTGACATCCGTTGCCTGACGCGGAGGCTACTACCGTGGAGCGTAGCCTCGGTAGGAGAAAGCAGGCAACTGGTGGAATTGAAGGATGGAAGCAGTGATGGCCCCCACGCTGTTTTTGAAAAGAGGTAGGAGTTGAGCTATGGGTTGTAGGCCTAGGGCTGGAGACTGATGTCGGTAGAGCATGCGCCAGTGAGGACTGAGAAGGGTCAGCGACGGCACAAACAAAAGGCCATGTGGTGCGAAAATGCCATGGACGACGTAGAACGGACTTTGGATATGTGCGGTGCCCATGGAAAGCTCGAAACACATGATCAGAAGAGACGTGAATCTCACGAAATTACAGCGGGCAAAGCTGCGGCCAGTAGCACTCGGCGGTGCTCGTGCAGAGAAACGGAGAACCGAAACAGGCAGTTGGAAACAGTCTGACGCTCTAAATACAGCGCACACATCGAAAACAGAAGGAGATTACAGCAAACGAGTGAGTCAAAAAATCAGGGCAACGAGACGGAAGAATTGCGGGAGATGCGGCTCTGCGCGGTGGAGCCCGGTCACGTACCCGAGGTGCAACTCTCAAGCGGCTCTGCGCCCCTCAAGCGCAAGCACTTAGCAGTGGAGAATGTCGGGGCGCGCGATCGGCGGGGCATACGTCAATGCGACAGTCGGATTCCACGGCAGCGGTTCGACGAACGAACGCATGGGGATCTCGGGGGGGGGGGGCGTGCTCGACGAAGATGAAAACAAGACGGGTGCTGTGTTTCGTTCCGTTGCTGAGGGAGGCGTTCGCGCAGGGCTCCGGCGGCGGGAGAGGGTTTCCCTGGCGGCTCGTGTCGAGGAGGGAAAATGGCGATGCAGACGGTGCGCGTGCTCGCGAAGGACAGGGACGGCGGCGCGCAGGGCTGCTCGCAGAGGAGGCGGAGCTGTTCGAGGAGGAGGAAGCTCCATCAGCGGCATCCCGTCCAAGGATCAGAGGCGGCAGTGTTCGCTGACTGGGCTCTTTCGAGCCTCTCAGCACTCAGCCTCATGCCTCATTCGCGTGTGCTCAACCTCGCCAACGAGAACGCCGCGGGGATTAGCGCTAGTTTGGGGTCGGGGTGGCCCATCGCCCATGGGGCGCGTCTGGACTTTGGAGCGGCTGGATCCACCCTCTCGCCCTGCTACCGACTTTTTGCCGTAGCGTGGCCAGCCCGCGAATGGCACAATGCCTCGGAGCCCTCCTCTGGTCCTGTCGACTCTACCGCCAACTCGCCGCCGTCCTGCTCCGCGCCCACGCAGCTGCTGCGCTTCTCCAAGTCCATGAGCACGAGCCACTGCTGTCGCCGCATGCAACCCCGCACACGGCTCAAAGCAGCATAGCGGGAGGAATGTCCAGTAAGAATAGGTCGAATATATTAAGCCGCCCCGTCTACCTGTTTTCACACCTGCCTCCGGATCGAGCTTCTCTGGACGTATGAGACATGGATGCAATGCGCGTATTACCCTCTGCGACCGTTGGACTGGACAAGACCGTTGGCGAACTCTGTCCCTATCGTACAGGTCTGCACCCTGCGCCTCGCCAGGATGACCACCGACCTCTATGTGTATGCATGTAACGCTGGGCGCAGCCCCGACCCCCACCTAGTTGCGGCTGATGCGCTGAATGACAACGACAAAACAATTGGCTCATGCATAACGCACAACCACGCCAGATGCAACCCTCATGCGAGAAATTCGTCCAATGCCATTTTACCCCTCTGCTGCACCCCTCACCGCTCGTGCAGGCAATCACGACTCTTGCGTCTTCCCGCCGAATCCGGGTATGCCTGTAAACTTTGAGCCCTGGGGCAGCCGAGGCCGTCCAAAGTTCTCGTCCAGGTCGAGAATCACCTTGAGCGCGTTGCGACTGCGCAGATACGGCAACGGCGCCTTCGCTTCTGCAAGCCCCACACCAGGCTCGACATGGCCGCTGGGGCCTTCGCTCGTCTGTGAGCCCGGCAAGGGGAACGTTCTGCGAACATGTCAGCCATCATTCAGTCCGGGCTAGCTCCTTCACCTACCGCTGCAGAAGCTCGTAGCCGGCAAGGGTGAAGCCGAACTGCGGAGATGATCGCATAATACGGGCCGGTCCACCCTTGAAAAAGGCCTTGAAGCCTTCCTGCTGGTAGATCGTCGACGCCGCGTGCCGAAGGCCGGTATATGTAGCCTCGCCCTTTCGCGCCTCGACCTGCAGTCTGGTCTTGATCACGTCGCACGGCGTCGTCAGGTATGCTGCAGGCATACCAGCAATGGCACCTGCCGTGAGCATTTGTAGCACACCGAGCGACTTTTGCGGGCTTTCGCCGAAAAAGTCCCTCTTCAGATGGCTGTACGCGGGGAAGTAGATTGCCGAGAAAGGCACTGTTGGTCGTCAGCGTCCATGTTCATGCTCCAGGTCCAACAATCTCACCATCGCGAAGCAAGCACGCGCTGGCACCCTTGTACAAGCCAACAAGACCCAGGTTGCGCACAATCCACATGGCTGATCGCCTCGGTACATCTGCAGACTTTGCGAGCTCGCCCTGCACTTGCAATCTAATCTTGACGATTTCAAGAGGGTTGGTGAAGACCTGCAGCCGTCCAGTTAGCACTCATCTTGCATCGCTAATGCAGGACTATATTACCACTTGGCAGGCACCAGCTGAGCCACCTGCTATAAGTTCCCAACCCCACCAGATGTTGCCTGTGGACTTTTCTGTGAATTTTCCGCGCACCAAGTCGTTCACCGTCAGCTTGATGGCCTTCTCAGGCGCAACACCCACCAACTGGGGCAGAACACCAGAGTACAAACCCTTGAAACCCTCGTTTCTGATAACCTTCTTCGCACAGTCCAGAGAGTTCTTGTAGAGAACCTGGCCAACCCCCGAGCTTCTCTGGTTCTGCATACGCGTCTTGACGAGATCGATCGGGTACACCATGAATGCACCGAACGCTCCTGCAAGCGAACCGAGCGCAAAGTGATGCACCGACTCCAAGACATCGTGCAGGAAGGACTTTGAGCCAGCGAAAGCTTTCTGGCCGGCATCTGAGATAGCGTCGGCGCCGAGAGTGTATGCGGTGTGCCATGAAGGGTCCAGTACACGAGCGAAGTCCCGTAGGCCCAGTCGCCCCGACGGCTCGTCCAGACCAGCAAAGTGAAAGAGAATGTCGGCCTCCATTGGCGTGTATAGGTTGAAGCGACTGATTCTGGAGGCTTCATTGAGGAAGTCTGTACGGGTAATCTTGCCGTCGGCGCTCTTGATCGTTGCATTTCGGATGATCAGCTCCACCATGTCCATCTGCTGGATAATGTTCTGGAAGGCGCGCACGTTGGCATACGAGATCTTGCTGCCGGTCGCGATGTTGCATAGTGTGGGAAGGTTGTCGAGGAGGTAATCAGACAGCTTGTGAGCTGCCGTCTCACGTATGATGCGCTGAAACTCCTCAGGCTCAATGAATCCATCTTTGTTGCGGTCGAAATGCACGAATGCCTGTCGAACACGCTCTCCCTGCAATCCGCGAAGCATTTGCGCGAACTGCGGGTACGTCATGATGTGCCGCTTGTTCTTGGATCCGATGTACAGCGTCGCCCAGTCCCCGCTCCAGTTGAACGGCAGGCTATCCTCGCCCTTGTGTGCCTTCCATGTCTCATAGAACTCGTCAAAGTCAATGTAGCCGGAGCGATCGCGGTCGAAGAAGCGGAAGATGACTTCGTATTCCGCGTCTGGTTTGGCAAGCAGGTTCTGGAACACGGCCCAGTCCTGGAGGGTCACCTTGCCCTTCTGGTCGCGGTCTGCGACGTAGAACAAAATACCGTACTGGTATCGCTTGATCTTGTGCTGGAAATCGCGCGTGGTCAGCTCCAATGCAGTCGACACGTTGCTAAGGGCATATTCACGTAATCCTCGCTCTCGGGTGCGACTGCGTCGATGAAATCCTTCTCTTCCAAGACGTATTCATCCTTCTCGTCCTTTTTGGCGTGTTTGAAGAAGGTGTGGCGCATGATGGCAGACAATTGAGGCGCATCAGTGGTACCTAGGAGGACCTCTCCGACCTGTTCGGTTACCGTCGCCATGGTGAAGGCGTTGGCACAGGTCTACAGGTGGCAATTGGTGTTAACGAAAGTCGCCGGTCGGGATTGATAGTCTCAAGGGTAGAGGATGTGAGAGAACGATGGATGACTCGGCCAGCAGCGAGCCGTGGAGCTTGCGTGCACAGACGACAATTTTATGCCAGCTATCGATTAAGCTAGCGCGATTCGGAGAGGTCCTGGGGAAGGCACGGGGAACTTGGAGGAAGGCGCAGCCGTGCTCGACACTACACTGCTCAGAAAGGGGTAATCTTTCTTCTCCTAAATGCGAAGTGATGCGCACTTCGAGTAGACAGAAAATTTGAGCCAGATTTGTTATTCTTGCATGAGTTTGCGCATTACCAAACTCACTCACCGCCAATCGATCAGCTGCAGGGCCCTTTTGGCGTGGGGAGAACATCAGGAGCTCACCCGAGCAAAGTCCCGTGACAGCCGAGGACCGGGCGAGAGCGCATATGCATATCTTCCGATGTCGCAATCGATGCAGCTCACCACTCGCAGATGATGCGGCTCTGCTTTGCTACCGAAACTCACCATCCGATCCCTGGGTCCGACGGCATTGCCATGTAGTAATAAAGTGGATCTCGGCTGCCAGCGCAGCCGCAGCGCATCCATGGTTCGCAGCACGCGCAGCCGATTTGTTTGCGGCTGTATGCCATGCTGTCAGAGATCCACTGTTTTTGGTGTCGCATCGAGCTTCAGTTTCCTGAACTGTTTGGCCAAGGAAAGAAGACTTGGGAAGGGCGATGCGTTCTAGATCTACTCGAGAAATTCATGCTTGGAAAATAAGTTTTGGCTTCCTAAAGCTTTTACTGCAATACCGTACGTCTTGAGCAACATGAAAAGGATTCTACATGATCGAATTCACGGGCTCGCAACATACATACAAGTGTACAGTATGATGCGCTTCAGAAGACATGTCGAACAAGAAAGGGTGATTCAAGTGCTATCTATAACGTGCCAATATAGTATCCTTGTACAAGCAATTACAGGGCCGGCGGCTGGGTATTTATACGACCAGACGTCCTGGCTCGGCTTCCAAAACGCTCTTAACGCGCTCGAGGAAGACGCGTCCTCGTCGCTCGTCGCCCTTGGGCACGCTTACGCTGAAGACGTTCAACGGGCCAACGACCTGCGCCGCTCCACCGACAGCTGCCTTCGGCGCGGCTGCCTTCTTTCCGGCGAGGAAATCCAAAACATCCGGCTTCTTAGCAGGTGCCCTAGGGCTCAAGGTGGTGGGAGGCAGTGCAGTAACCTCAGGTATAAAGTTGCCGCGAGAGTACTTCGCCGCAGCCTTGTCCAGACCAAGCACCGCGTTGAAGAGATCGTCAGCAGAGGGCTTGGCTACTTGGGAGCGAGGAAGGTCCTCGTTTGCGAGCTCAGCAGCGCGAGCGATGAAGGTTGAGAGAGGCAGGAATACGCCGATAGACTTCTGCACACGCTGTTGAACCTCAGTGACGGCCTTGAGCGAGATCGGCAGCGCAATCTCGACATCCACCTCTTCAATGACTTCGGGCTCGGGAGCTGCGGCTGCCTTCTCCGGCGCTGCCTTCGGGCTCTGCGCCATGACCTTGATGTTGGACAGGTCCAGGTGTGAAAGTGATTTCAACCGTGCGGCGACCTCTGATCCGGCAGACTCGCTAATCTTTCCAAGGTACGCCAGCACGTCACCCTTCAACAACCTTCCGTTCGGACCTGACGCGGGAATCTTGTCCGCCTCCTCGTTCGGGAGTCCGTTCTCCTTCAGCAAGTGCTGCACGGAAGGGTATAACGGGTACGTCTGCTTCTGAGCTTTGCCAACCGAGGCTTTGGAAGTGCCTAAAGAGCCAGACTTAGGCGCCGGAGCAGAAGCGTCCTTCTTAGGAGCTGGTGCTGATGCTGATCTGGCTTCCTCCTTGGACGCCTCGGGCTTGGAGGGCTTGCTGTCCTCTGCGGGAAGCTCGAGCGAGCTGACGTCGTCGCCTGGTTCTGCCGTGACTGCTATCCGAGCGCCAACTTGAACTGCCTTTGAACCATCGCCAATCTACTCCGTGTCAGCCTTGGCCACCTGCTAACATCCGTCCCCATCAACGGAGCATACCAGAATCTTCGCCAAAACACCGTCGTCCTGAGCCTCCACGTCCATCTGTGCCTTGTCTGTCTCGATCTCAAGTAGAACATCTCCGGCGACGAAAGATTCGCCTGCGTTTGTCAGCAGGTGCCCTTGCTGTCCTATTCTCGCGGGTAGATGCGGTCGAGTCGGTGGTCGTACCTTCCTTGATCTTCCACTTCGCGATATTGCCCTCGGTCATGGTCGGCGAGAGCGCGGGCATGTTGAAGTTCTGCGCTGCGAGCGAGGCCTGTCCCTTGTGGAATGCTGTGCGTTCGCTGTTAGTCCGTTTCTAATTCCCCGGTCGGCGAGCTCCTACCTCTGCGAGAGCCATGGCTCCTAAGCTGCTGGGACGCAGCGCGCGCGGACAGCCTACATGCCGCAGCGATCGACGCCATGGAGCACAATTGACGCGGATTTGCACTTGCGGGAGAGGATGTGAAGGAGCGTCGGGTTGTTGAAGAATGTCGGAGCTTGTTGAGGAAAAGCACAGACCCGTCGCGTTGGGCGGTCCGAAAAATAGTGGCTTGACATTTCACATAGAGCTCGAGAACATGCACTAGCTGCAGGTACTCTGGTCGCCGGTTGTCCTGCATTTTCCAGGCGCATATTCCAGGTACTTCAATTGAGGTCGTCCGACCGAGACTCTATCTGATCGCTGCCACTATGGCCGCCTGTGCTCGGGGAGTGACCAGCTTCCTCCACCCGCAAACGTTTCGCCTCCCCTCTACTGTCCGAGCGACGCTCCTCAACACTCGATTGCAGGCCACTCGGGCACACCATCCTACTCGAAACTTCTCTGCGTCAATAATACACCGCTATGCCGCGCCTCCTCGCACTTCCACATGGGCCTACATGCAACATGATCCCGTCCTTCGGTCGGTACACCAAACGAGGGAGCCCGTCCTCCTCTACAAGGAACCCCCACGCCAGAAATACCTTGCCAGAGTATACTCATGGGCTACAATCACGACCGGCATAGGCCTATACAACTTCTACTGGGTTTCCGCACTTCCACCAGGCCTAAGCTTCTTCGTCGCACCCACGTACGTCGTCATAGGCATAGCGTTCAGCGCCATTGGCATACACCTCTATCAGCGCCCCGTGCGACGGCTTGCCACGCTCGAGTTGGTTCCCGGATATAGGGGTGGTCGCTTGCAGCTGCGACTCACAGGCAAGAAAGAGCCTTGGTCGAAGGATGAAGTGATCGACACCGACATCTTCAACGCGACCATCAGCGAGAAGACGAGGCCGATGTTGGAGGAAATGGTCGAGGCAGAGCGAGCAAGACGCCAGAACATCACGGAGGGCTTAGAGGGCTACAATATTTTCGCAAAAACATGGGAAATCATGGCGCGTTGGGTGGAGCAGAAGTGGACAAGCTTCTTCTTGAGGTTCAAGTTTGCGGTGCTGCAATTTGGAATTATACATATCGAGGTTGATGGTGTCAAGTGGAAGATTGACTGCGAGGGGTACCTCCTTGAGCATGGAGCAGGTACGTTGACTATTGCTGGTGCTGCTTTGAAAGAAGACCCACTGACTTGCCGAACAGCTGTTGATCGCATTCTGCCCGTTGACTAGCCGGTCGACTGTCAAATTTTGCCTGGTTGTGCCGATATCAAACAGATGGGTGTTTGAACAATCGGCGATTGTTTGTCTGTATAGTATAAGTCTTTTGTAGAATTGTGTATGATATCGAGGCCTGCAAAACTCGGCCGGAGTAGCAGGACTGTGCATAGTGCTTGAGGGCGAGAGGACTTCAGATGAGGCAGATGAATGGCCTGTAAGACATACACCGTAGGTAAAGGTGTACAAGCATTAACTTATTCGTGGGCTCATTTCTCAATCCCACAAGACTCTTGGTTCGATTGAAAAGGATGATCTCGGCTGCAAGCAAACGTGATTCACGCAGGGCCCAGGATGCTAGCACAACGGCCATTAAGGGGAACCCCGCGCTGTGGCTGAGAACCCACATCATATCTGGTACCGCTCGCACGAGAATGCTGCGGTTTACCGAACCACACATTGTGCTCATGAGAATATCGAACATTGCAAATTTGTGCGCTCGTCCACCGTTCGCGGTGCTGACATGAGGGCATCGAGCCGCCCAGCTGCAACACCAACATCGCTTAACTCTGTGCCTATCTCGACTCTCACGACGCCAGGGATCGCTCGGAAAACCGCACCTACACAAGCGCCAAACAGCCAGACGACATGCGCTACTGAACTAGCAGAGCCGTTGGCCCATCTGAGGACTAATATGTATGTCATACGGTGAGCCCTGCATAAGCCCCGCTTCAACCATCCGGCTCATGAGATGCACACGAGCAGATAATAATCAGCTCATGGTGCTAGAGAAACAGAACATGGAGAAAATACGTTGCTTTCGTCGAGATCGGTCCTTTCGACGAACGGGTGGATCATGGATTGGAATGCTGTCTCAGCATCTTGGCACGTGCGGACCACGTGCAACCCCACAAACCTGGAGATCGTTGACAGCACAAGCTTTTAAGCCGCCTGCAGGTACCGTCGCCGGCAGGATGGTCATGGACCGCATTTGCATTTCTATGTCCTTGAATAGGGCGTTCAGGACATCCGCGAGACTCCCGAAAAGGGCCCGGATCAGACAATTGACAATCGAGAATAGGGTTTCCGGTATTCAAAAAGCCTTTCGCGTGCAGAAATGGCCAGGAAATGGGCGTGTTTGTTGACGTTGTCGAAGTGCGTTTCGTGGATCGAAATTCGTTGTAGGAGGCATGGTTGAGGGTCCAAGCGCCTAATCGCGACTTCCCTCATCAGAAGGGTATTCACCCCAACCTCCGATCCCCACCTCACCTTCACTCGACGACGAGCGCATCTCGGTTCTTTTGTAGTTTTTTTTGTGGTTGTCGTGCCCTCGCGTGCAGTTTCCCTCGGCGCAACCGTGTGCAGCTTGTGTTCGCGCGTCATCGTTGCCCTTCTGATGCGCTGCCGCTGCTAGAGCCCGGCAGTCGTGCACCGCATCGATCTCCATGTCGAGCCGCACCAAGCGGAAGCTCGAGCACTTCGATCCGAACGCGTCGGATCCCGAAGACGAAGACTGGGACGCCTCCGCTCGTCCCTCACCACAGCGCCGAAAGAAGCGGCACACGTCGGGCGCACCGCGCAAGAAAGGCAGCAAACGCCAGCGCCGCGGCTACACGGGCTCTGACGTCGACGACGACGACGCGATCGTGTCCGACGACTCTTTCACCGAGCGCTCGTCTTCCGAAGAGGTTGAGATCAACCCCAACACGGGCCGCAGCGTGCGGCGCGCCACTAAGAAGCAGATAAAGTACGAGGAGAGTGAAGAAGACGAGATCCAGGACACGCCCTCGGAGAGCGACAGCCCTGCGCCCCGCCGCCGAAACAAGGCCCACCAGAGCATCGAGCACCCCTCGCTCGTAGTCAAGCTTCAGATCGGTGAGCACGCAGCGCGCGAACTCGACTCCAAGATGTCGTCCGGCAGGAGCTTGCGTACCCGGCACGGTAGCAAGTCCATCAACAACGCGCGCGGCGAGACGCCAAACCCGCTGGGCACGCGGCGTAGTAGCCGCCTGTCGCACGACGTCGAAGAGCCCATCGTAGCTCTGTCCGACTCCGGCAAGCACGTCAACATAGTCCGCCAGGGTACGCGCAGCCCCGAGCCTATACCCACTACGCGAGCGACGCGAGGCGCCAAGGCGCCGCGGGCCAGCGCCATCATGGAGGCTTCGCAGGAAGACTCAATGGTGCATCGCGACGGCAGTGAAGGCCCTCTCGACGACCTGCTGGTTGAGAATACCGAGACACAAGTACAGGCGAGCCATCAAGGTTCGCCTGAGCAAGACGCCCAGGCTGACAAAGACGATGCTGAGGGCGAGGATGACGACGATGACATGCAGGTCGGTGTGATTCAAGAGTCTCAGCATGACCCGCTTGCGGCCGAAGATTCAGAGGAAGATGGCCCCGTGACTCGCGGTGGCGCCAGGAACCTGAGGGTGAGTTCGTCTGTATTCTAATCGATGGTCCGAATTGACAGTGTATAGTCCGCTACAAAGCCGAAGCGAGGCGCAGACGAAAGTAGCGATTTCGAGCCTGCCCCAGAAGAGGAGAAGGAGCATGAAGAGATGTCTGAAGACGAACAGCCTCAAGGCCGGCGGTCGACATCGGAAGACAGCGCTTCCGGCTCAGGCAGGAGGTCTGGACGTCTTCGGAAGAGGCGAACTAGGAGCCGTCGACAATCCAACTCATCCGATGAAGGATCGCCTGATCCCGACGAGATTGCAGAAGAGATACATGAGCTGGGCGGCAACAAAAGACGCCGCCTCAACAGGAATCTCCCAGACAGCGACCTTGCTTACGACAAACCCCAGCGACGCAACCGTGCCCGAAACCAAGTCGACTATCGTATTGTCCGTCCAGAGCTCAATGCTGCATTCGATGATGAAGAAGGTGGCGCTCCGGCAGCTGACAAGACTCGCTCTCGAGGTGGCGGCGGCGGCGCCAAGTACCGGAGTCTCTTCAGCAACCAAGGTCCATTTGGAGGCGGCCTTGAAGCCGGTGCAATGGGCGGTGCTGATTCAGACAGCAGCGATGAAGAAGTGCAGAAGATGCCTAGGCCATCATTGGGCGGCGCCATTGGAATGACCCCAACCACTGCTGCACCACCTGGCTTTGGCTTCCCTCAGACGCACAACGCCGATCCCCAGCAGGGAGGAGCAGGTGGCGGGCCCGCAAATCTGGGCAAAGTCAAGGACAAGAAGGCTCTTGCAGATGCTGACCCTCTCGGTGTTGATCCGAACGTGACCTTCGACGAAGTCGGTGGGCTGGGAGATCACATCAACAAGCTCAAGGAGATGGTGCAGCTCCCATTACTTTACCCTGAAATCTTCAAGGAAAAGAATATGACGCCGCCTCGGGGTGTCCTATTTCATGGCCCTCCCGGAACCGGTAAAACACTTCTTGCCCGTGCTCTCTCTTCTACTCTCAGCGGGTCTGGTCAGAAGGTTAGCTTCTACATGCGCAAGGGTGCGGATGCACTCAGCAAGTGGGTCGGTGAAGCAGAGCGCCAACTCCGTCTTCTTTTCGAGGAAGCGCGCAAGAACCAACCGAGTATCATCTTCTTCGATGAGATAGACGGTCTAGCACCTGTCCGTTCGAGCAAGCAGGAACAAATTCATGCCTCGATTGTTGCGACGCTTTTGGCACTTATGGATGGTATGGACGGCCGTGGGCAAGTCATTGTCATCGGTGCGACCAACAGGCCTGATTCGGTCGATCCTGCTCTGCGGCGACCTGGTCGTTTCGACCGCGAGTTCTACTTTCCTCTACCCGACGCTGCTGGTCGGCGCGCCATCATTGACATTCATACGAAAGGGTGGAAGCCAGAACTGAAGCCCGAGATAAAGGATCAGTTGGCAGAGTTGACGAAGGGCTATGGTGGTGCCGATCTCCGTGCTCTGTGCACTGAAGCTGCTTTGAACGCGGTCCAGGGCACTTACCCCCAGATCTACACTTCTGAGAAGAAGCTGCTCATCGACCCAAAGAGCATCAAGGTTTTAGCCAAGGATTTCATGATCTCCGTCAACAAGATTGTGCCCTCATCGCAGCGCACGGCAACATCGAAGGCAGCGCCACTGCCGAAGAGTGTCGAGCCACTTTTGCGCAAGCCACTCAAGGAACTGCAAGAAAGGCTTGATCAGCTCATCCCTCGGAGAAAGAAGCTCACTGCACTCGAAGAAGCGCAATATGATGATCGCGACGAAGAAAAGGGCTTCGAAAAAGAGATGCTCATGCGCAGCTTCACGAACAATCGGATGTTCCGTCCACGTCTGCTTATCAAGGGTCTCGAAGGCATGGGACAACGCTACCTCAGTGCCGCACTGCTCAGCAAGATCGAAGGCCTCCATGTACAGTCTTTTGATCTGCCTACCATTTATGAAGATTCAACGCGCCCACCTGAGCAGGCGATCATCCAACTATTCAACGAAGCAAAACGTCACAAACCAAGCGTCATCTACATTCCGGCCGTCGATGTATGGTACGAATCGCTTCCGGAAGCTGCCTTGCGAATGTTCCACATGATGCTGAGGGACATTCAAGCAAATGAGCCTGTGCTTCTCTTAGGCGTCTTGGAGCAAGAGAATGAGAATGATCGCTTGAACCCCAGGATGATGAAAGACCTTTTCCCGTTCACGAGCAGGAATGTCTACGACCTGAAGCGACCAGAAAAAGACGCGCGACGCGAATTCTTCACTGAAGTGTCTGACTACATACGCATGTCACCAACAGACTTCCCAGATCCAGACAATCGCAAGAAGCGGATACTTCCGGAGTTGCCTCATGCACCAGTTGTTGAACCAGTCCTTGATCCCCGCGAGATAGCAGCTCGAGAGAAAGCGCAGCGCAAACAGGACCGCATGACATTGAACAAGCTCAAAATTTCCATCCAACCCATCATGGATCAGTTAAAGAAGTCGTACCGATCGTTCTTCGCCCCTGTCCTGGATGAGTCGTGGTACTCGTACCTATTGACAGAAACCGAACCTAACCACATCTCGACCGACCTACCTCCTGACCAGCAGCAGCAGCAGGAGCAGACCCGGCTATGGGCATTCTCAAAAGACAAGAAAGGTGTGGATGTGCTGCTCCATATCGAAAGCGGCAACAAGTATTACAATCTCGATCTCAAAAACATCGAACAGAGGTTGTCGAATGGATACTATAAGCGACCACGGGACTTTCTCTTTGATATTCGCACCTTGGCCAAGGACTCCAGTACTTTTGAAAAGGCCGAGAGGGCTTCTGGAATCAATGCGAACCAGAACCAACAGCGAACGGTGAAGGCCAACGAAATGGTTACAAATGTCGAGGTAGACATCGAAGGTATTATACAATCGAATCCCGCTCTGGCAGCGGAATGCGAGGCTGTCTATTTGCGAGAGGTCGAGCGGGAGAAGAAGGCGAAAGAGAAGCGTGATAGAGATCTCGCCGCTGGCAAGGAGGTCGCCCTTATTCCGCCTGTGCCACCGCAGCAGTCAGCCACCACCGCCGAAGCGTCCGGCCCTATCGTACTGGGAGAACCGTTGCCACCGTTCAATGCCGCACCTCCGGTCACTCCTATGCGTCCGTACCTGCCGGCTGCCCCACTCACAAACGGGACGAGCGGGGAACAGAATGGTTCCACTGTACCTTCGCGGACAGACGAGGACACGCATATGACAGACAGCCAGGATCTCGATGCCCATACGCAGCACCACGAGTTCCAGACGCCGGGCGGAATGGGTACGCAAACTCAGAAGTCTCAGATGTCCGCCCGCACCTTCATAGCGCCGCACTCAAACCCTCACGACTATCACAACAGTGCATCGACGACCACATCTGGGAAGAAGACTTCAGATCGATCCTCGGGCGCGCGCTTCAGTACGCAATTCAACACCCAGAGTACCAACGGCACCGGTCCGGCTGGTGCGCCTGACTTCTCCGAGATGGCACCTCAGCCCGGCGGCTCGCAGCTTCCTGACACACAAGGTTTGTCAAGTTCGTACATGTTAGCTCCAATCCTCTGCCCGGCTCCCGCTAACTTCTCTTGTCTTCCAGAATTCCCCTCCGAAGACGCCAGCAGCCAAGCTCCACCCTCCCAGGCCTCCTCCCATTCCCACCACGACATGCCCGCGCCCGCCGTTCCTCGCGGCCCCTCCGCCATCACGGCCATCCTCAACGACCGCGACGAAGAACCCCACCCACAGCTCCTCCTCGACGAACAACAGCTCGCGAACCTACATGACCTCCTCGTCGCGTCGTCTTCGGGATGTTCTCTGGAACAGCTCGAACAGATCAATGCTTCACTTATGGAAACCATCTGGGAGGACCGCCGCGAGTGGAACCGCAATAAGGTCGTGCACCACGTGGGCGAGGCATTCAATACGATCATTAGGGATATCGAGGAGATGCAGAAGCTGCAGCGGCAGAGTCAGGAGGAGGCGGAGGAGGAGTATAGGAGGGAGAGTGGAAGGGGAGTTGGGGGTGGGAGCGGCGGGATGTACTACACCGGCTTGACGCAGGTCGGGACGCAGGAACCAACGCAGTATTGGGATTCTGCGCGCGGACGGGGGAGTGCTGCGCAAGGAGGTGCGGGGGGTGCGCAGACACAGGCGAGTCAGTATTCGTAGATACTGACTGATCGCCTCTGTCTTGCGGAGATTTTGATTTCCTTCTTTCTACTTGCTTGTTTGGCTCTTCTTGGCTGATCTTGAAGTTGGGGAAGAGGAGGCCGTCTAGCATATTGTACGATTCCCCATGATTTCGTCTTGTCTCACCTTTGGCGTTCTAGGCTAGCTTCCTTGAAAGCATGTTGGGGGAGGGCCGCATTGGGTGGAATGGGTAGGGTAGGTAGTAAGCTCTATATAGAGCCTCGAGTTCGAAAATGGGCTGCTTCGGCTTTGAGACTTTTGTGCGAGGCATGCAACGTGCTGCTAACCTCTCCCCCGCCTACATACGCTATCCTCGATAAGTAGAAGATGCTCAGCGCGTTCTGTATATCTGTGCTGGAAACTATCATGGATAGCATTGTGTCTGTCTGATAGAGCTGCGGTCAAGCTCAGCCTCTGTGTATGCGACGGGCGAAAACCTCTTCCATACAATATGCGAATGCTATTTCCTGCTTCTACCACAGCACTCAACCTTTTCCCTCCATTCATCACCCATCCAATCCCGATCCTAGAATTCCCAACATGGCAGAGTACCATTATAGTGCACTCAAGAAACCTACTGAAGAGATACGGGTGGCAGTATTGCAACCGGGCAACTTCGAAGACGATATCTGTGTGCGCTTCGTAATCTGTCCTCTCAAAGCATATCGTTCATCGCTCGGCATAGACCTCTACTGCATGGAATACGCGTTCAGTCCAGAAACTTGGGCGGTAATTAAATTTGGATATGAGGCCTTATCCTACGTCTGGGGCACAGCGCAGAACCCTTCCCGAGCATATGTCTCCTGTTCAAATGCCTCTTCACAGGGCGTCATCTCGATTGGTCAAAATCTCGATGTTGCACTCCGCCATCTCCGATATGAGACTGAGCCGCGAAGACTCTGGATTGATGCACTGTGTATCGATCAGACCAATTTGAATGAGCGGTCTTCGCAAGTTTCAATCATGGATAAAGTTTACAGCATTGCCACTCGTACTGTCGCCTGGCTGGGACCAAATAGGAATAGTGACGAGACTATCACTCTCTTGCAGGGCCTCTCGCAGATCGTCGAATTTGAATTCCCATTTAGGCAAATTCGACCTATTGCTGAAGACCCAGCTGGCTGGGCTAATAGCAGTGTGCCAATGCCGTGGCACGAAGATCAACTCCGCGACATCCTTACATTCATCGCTAGGCCCTACTTTGGAAGGGTGTGGATCCAACAAGAGTTGCTGCTTGCAAGGGATATCGAGTTCCAATGTGGATTTGTCAAGATTGCTGAGCGCGTTTTATGGAATGGTCTGGGGTGCGTTCGCTCCAAAGGAGTAAGTCATCCCAATGTCACATACACAAACACGTTCAACCAAGAATGGAACCTGGTCTGGCCAAGAATCGTCGACTTGATCCAGAATAGACTTGCTCGTCTCCGAACTGCCCAGACGCCTGTGGACCACATTCCCCTGTCGAATATTCGACTGATATCTCGCGAGCTCGGCTGCCAGGACCCTCGCGATAGAATCTATGCATTCTTAGGGCTTCTTCCTGATCAAGATCGTGCCTTGAAGATCATGCCGGACTATTCACAAAGCGTGGAAGACACATACACTGATATTATGCGCCGTAAATACACAGATCATAGTTATCTCGAGTTACTGTGGTCTTGCGAGCTGTCGACGAGAAACTTGGAAATCCCATCATGGGTCCCGATTGGTCGACGCCAAGGAACTCTCAGTTGGATCCATTGAATCTCTGGAGTGCTTCTGGCTATATCTCAGCTCATGTCACATTTTCAGGGAAAACTTGTGCTGCTTCCGGCATCCGTGTAGCCGAAGTCGTGGATACCTACAGTAGCTCACCTAGCAAGACAGTAGCCTCTAACGGTATCTTTCGGGAGTCATTTGCACATTTCATCTACTTTTTGAGGCCATCGAACGAGGAATCGCTAAAAGATTACAAGAACGGGCATAGCTGGACTGAAGCTACGTGTCGAACACTTCTGGAGGGGAATTTCTCCGATTGTCATCATCATGACTTCCCGGCCCCGGATATCGCCCCATGCGTAAGAGCTGTAGAGCTCCTCTGGATGGAGGAGCCCGACGATGAAAGTATCGCCGCCTATGGAGAGATTTCAGAGGATAAGTCATTCGTACAATTCCATGCCATCACTTCATCGTTGATGGACCAAGCATGTTTCGTGAAGACGAGATGTGGGTATGTGGGACGAGCACCAGCGGATACGCGAAGCGGAGACGTCATATGTATTTTCCTCGGCTGCAGCTCCCCGATATTACTGCGGCGGACCAAGCATGCTATTGGGGACGACCCTACATGGTTGGTTGTTGGCCGTTGCTATGTGCACGGTATCATGGACGGCGAGCTTATATACCAACACCCGGAACCTCTTCGATATCGGTCATGTACCCATGACTTTACCAAAGGTAGCCGGATTGATATCGATGGACTGGTGACCACGGCCTCGCTATATGACACAAAGACAGATACATACATCAATGACCCTACGGTGCCGCTCACCACCGCAGGCATCAAGATCGAGAGCTATGAAAGCAACCCACACAAGCTCGTTGTATTGCCAGAGACTTTGCGAGCGGCTGGTGTGGCGGTTGAAGATTTCGTGCTGCTGTGAGAGCCCTGAACACTTGTTCAAGAACTATTTTCCCGGCTCATCAGTCGAGCAACACTGGCAAATTCCTGCTAGATTGCTCGTCGATAGAGCTATTAACAAGCTCAACCTATCCGCTTACTCACTCCTATCCATCTACTCTTCTCTTCCAGTCTGCAAGCGATTTCTATTTCCAGCTTCCCCCAAGCTGGACCCAGCACTCAGGTGCGATCTTCAGCCTCACTTCCGCTCCGCCCTTGGGCTGGCAGAAGCAAGTGTGGGGAAGGCACGAAGGAGTGTGCAGTGCACGGCCGAAGTACCGCCGACGTGGTTGCTGGGAGGGATGTCAAGGGGTTATGAGGGATGGGTCAGCCCGGGAAGGTAGATTGGCACGTGATTGGACTGGGCGGACGGAATTCGGGGTTGTACATGCTGTGAACGGGGGGAGCTTAGCGATGGGTGGGTGCATAAAGTGGGTGCTTATCGTTGAGGTCCGGATTTGTACATATACACAGTTGGCAGGATGGGATCAGGGTATAGTGGTGATGGGTCGTAGAGGTCATACAGTTTCCAAATTGCAAGATTAGTATTTTGTAGGTGAACACGGGGGGCCCGCATGAACGACTATCTCACCAGGCCAGGCCCGACCGAATGCGATTGCGACGGCCGTGCTTCGGCGCTTTTCCCACGCAACGTGTCCAGCGAGCTATACACTTGCATATTGTAGACGTGTGATGCAGATCTGAAACGGTTCCATGTGCAGCATCTGTTCTCTCGAGATCTCCCCGCGGACCTCCGTATGTAGATGAGTTCTTGGACGCAAGACGTGACTCGCCTACATATACGAGGTGTCAACGGTGTAGTCCTTCACCACACCGGGAAGGTGCGTGATCCCGCGATACGAAAGCCACCCCCAGACATCGCATAGATCTCGAACACATCCACGATCAGCAGCTAGTTTCTCAAAGTGCTGACCTGCAAAGACGTCTGAGCAGGAGCCGGTCTGACGATATATTTTAGTCACAGAAGGATCGCAGGATGTCGGAAGGATTGGGCTACCACTAGCCATGGGTGCGTTTAGGATCCTGATAGTCGCCAGAGGATGCGACCGCTTACCTGGGTGCAGGACGTGTCTACAGTCTTGCTTTCAATGTGCTTAATAGGAAAGCTTCTTCGACATACGGCTCGCCGCTGCGCGTGGCTGCCGTGGCGTTGCAGCGCTGTGTTGCGACATCGTTACCAGGGACCATTGTCTCAGACAGAGTCGTGCACACGAGGTGGCTAGCTGGTGATGTGCTCTATACGGCGCACTAGTTGCGGTTGCAGGGTTGTGGGTAGGGAGCTTGGTACAGAACAGGAGAGAAGAAGCGAACATGATTAATGTCCCGTCAATCAAGGCGCTAGAATGGACAGAGAACTCACAATCTTCGATGGCGCACGGTTAAGAAGGTTTTGTTTATCCTTCCTCGAGACAGATTGCGAAGGGCGGTCTAGAGATGTGCAATGACGGTTCGCTGAATCTTCCGTTCTGGTGAACGTGAAGCAGTCCCTTGGTGTAATGTTCTTGTTATAGCCCCCCTGGCAAGCGAGACGCGAAGATTTCAAGTCCGCGTTCACGGTCGATGGAATACTTGGAATGCCGAGTTCAGTGCGATTGGTGTTGCCACAGAAGCGGACGGACTTCAACAACCTTGGAGTCCGTAGTTGGAGAAAGCTGTATCGCAAATGTCATTACGTACCTGGCTGACTCTGAGCCCTACCACAATTGTGAAGCACAGACTCCCTCTCATCTTATGGTGTTGGGGCCCTATGGTCGTGCGTTCGTCGCTTCGAGGACGGATCCAGGATGGCAGGCAGGGGCTGGTTAGCGCCGATCGCTTTCAGCTGTAAACCGACGTTCTCCCACCGCAAAATCTTCCTCAACAGATCATCCCACGTCGATGAAGGGTCCCAAATTTTACGGCATTTCTACGGGTGTTCCTCGAGCCCGTCAAAGATCGACGAGAAACGCCTCTGCGGTGATTCCGAAGACGCCGGCGTGTTTCCAAGGAGGTAGTACGCCGAGCCCGCGTCTGTATGGTCGAGACAACGCCACCAAAGCCGGATACGAGGTTCGCCCTACAGCATGGCGCCAAAAATACAGCTCGGTCTTGTCAAGAAAGCACCGTGATTTGATGCTGACGGAGAATAACGACTCATGCACCAATCATTCACGATAAGCTAACAGTCGTTGCATTTGACAGCCCTCCACGTGCGAACCGCCCCAGACCTACCGTTGAGCCAGCGCTTGAACTCCTTCCAGCTGCCTTCGAGCGGCTTCTAGCTGCCATTGGACAGCGGCAGGCTGGATGACTGCGCCGTATGTACATAGAGTAACACGAAGTATTGCCTGTCTATGTACTTTACTGGATTCATCCATGCTCACGATGCCGCAGGGGGTGTCGAGGAGCTTGGGACCAGTGTCAGGAACTAAGTGAAGACTGGGGTAGTTGCGCAAGTGGGTCGCTGCCCGCGTGTGCCGTGATCCCAGACCTTGCAGGGAAAAAAAGGTACATCCCGTAGTCAGATCCGATCAGCCCACCCTGCCTTCCTCTCTGGTCTTCGGTACTCTACTTTATCGGCAGCCTCCCAGTGAAACTTGCGGGTAAGGGACTCCATCAACCTCCCACGCACTCTACAAGCCGATATGTCACGATAGAGCAACACGACCAAAGTTTGCGACATCCACGTATCTGATCTTCACACGGTCGACATGCTACTGTGTCGTATCTCGTAACGCCCCCACTAGCGCGAATCTTGCGAGACGACTACATCTACGTCGACGACATCTAGGCAGTAGGTACTGCGATGCCACGGGCTATCCTTGAGCCTCTCGATGCCGACTCGGCCACTCTCGATGCGATCCCAAGCCATATCATCCCCTGGCTCCGCGCCGTCGTCGTTCTCAGTTTCCTTTCTTTCTTCTCGGCGGTGACGCTGCTGTCTCTCCTTACATACCGACTCATTCGCTGGCAAAGGAAAGCCAAGCGCACAAACCAATTCGTTATTCTTATCTTCAACCTGCTCATAGCGGATATACAGCAATCGCTTGCTTTCTTGCTCAATGTCGAATGGCTCCGCGTGGGCTCTGTAGTTGTTGGCACTCCAATTTGTGTAAGTTATCAAGCCATCGTTTCAAGGCAATCACTGACCAGACAATGTTACAGTATACACAAGGATGGCTAGTATCAACAGGTGATTTGTCGAGTGGCGTCTGGTGCTTCGCCATCGGCCTGCACACGTTCGCTTCTGTAGTGTTCGACTACCGGTTGAGCAAGAGGGCCTTCTTCACCTGCATTTTCGGGCTGTGGGCCTTTATCTATGGCATATCGCTCGTGGGCGTTGGCATGTATGGCAAGTCGCTGTACGTGCGGTCTGGCGTCTGGGTGTGTAGCTCTCTCTCCCATTGCTCCATCAAGACTGACATAATTTAGTGCTGGATACACCACGACCTACAAGACCTCCGTTTATGGCTCCATTACTTCTGGATCTTTGTTTTCGAATTCGGCAACGTCTTCATATACGCCATAATCTACACCATTCTCATCATCCGCATCCGCACTGGCGCCTACACCGACGAGCAAGCCCGCCGCGTCAAGGAAATCTCCCTCCTCATGGTCGTCTACCCCATCGTCTACGTCATCTGCACCATCCCCCTCGCCTCCGCCCGCATGTCCGCCATGGGCAAGCACCCGCCGTCCTACGCTCGCCTCTGTCTCGCAGCTTGCATGATCACAAGCAACGGCTGGCTCGACGTCCTGCTGTACACGCTGACCCGGCGCATCATGATCTTCTCGGACGAGCCGCCCTCGGACGACAACGGCATCGACAACTTTGTCGCCTTCTGGACCGAGAAGCCGCGCCGTTTCGGCGGCACGTGGGCCATCTCCGGCGGTAGCACCGAGCATCCCGCAGGCCCCCACCGCCGGAACCGCACGTTCGGTTCGCTCTCGCTGAGTCTGGACAATGACAGCGAGAATGACCTCGTTGGCGCGGGGAGCAGGGACATCAAGCTCATTACCACGACGCAGGTGTACAGCGAGCCCGCGGCGCCCGAAGACTACGAGGAGATAGAGGAGATGGCGCGGCAGATGCGGCCGCGGACGCCGGTGCGGCGGTGGAGCGAGGAGAGCGGGCGGGTCAAGGAGATCGAGCTTGCGCATATACCCAGCACGAAGAGTCTGCGCACACTGAGGAGTCTGCAGAGTAAGCGCAGCCAGTTGAGCGAGCAGAGTAAAGATGATTCGATGAAGTAGGGTCTGGGTGTATTTGTATGATGATATGTATATATGGGGCACGGTATCTGTTTTAGTCAACGGGCATTGAGCGGCTCGTGGCATTTGCATGGTTAGAGTTCAACATGGCGCACGTCGGGCTCGACGTTGTATATAGCACAGTCTATAATAAGTGTTTGCCACACTACAGTAGTCTTTCCAACATGCCCAGGACGAATCTCGCTCGCGTGGTGGTCTTGCGTGTACCCTCAAGACAGGGCTTGATCGCGCTCATTACAGTTATCTTATTTTGGCTACCTTCCAGTCTCGTCGCTTCTCGGAGAGAGCGTGTATAAGCAAGCGTGTGGCCAGCTTACCGTTCCATCCTCGCCATCGATATCCATCTCGTCATCGAATCGGGTTTTCCACCCTCATCTTGCTTCCACTTCTGTGCCCTCTCCCGCCACATCCCAGAAACCCTTAAGTAGGGTCTCACATAAATAACTGCAAACACCCTACAATCTATGTGTGACTAAAAACCATACATGTGTAATGCACACTTATCTTTTCGTATAACCCTCACTATTTCACACCATCCACTTTGCAGTTAAAACATCAAGAAAATCACCACACTCGAATTGGGCATCTGTCCCCCCACACAACCACAGAATAAAGCAAGATGTTGAGGCCCTTTCACTCCTACTCAGAGTATTCAACCAATCTTTTGTGGGTGATGTTGTGGTGTATCTGGCGATGGCGCATAAATGGACAAGGATGCGCTAGGCTGCTTTGGAACGCGGGAGTGTGTGGGCGTGCGTCTGCAGGTGTGGTTGACCACAAATCTACACACAATAGCGAAGGTCGCATTCGGTGGATTTGGGTGTAATTGCGAGTAGGTCACTTACATATAGAAACGAGTCGTGCAAGATCAAGTGGTACAAGTTAACGATGGCCACGAATGATTGTCATCCGGGAAGTGTTTCTATCACGTCACTATCTACTCCCAATTGTCTGATAATGATAATTCATTTCTCCACACCTTCAGTCGGTGTCAGTATCCTGTTGACTAATCATCAATTCGGGATCGGGATCCTCATTGTCTGTGTCGAAGAAGCTGGGCTGCGGCTTCGGCGGCGACGCAGCTGGCCTGGGGGGACTTTTTGGTATGCGGATAGCGGAGCGCGATATCTCGTCTTCTCCGTCCGCACGACTTGTAAACGTCCCATCGGCATCCGCATCTGTGTCCACAAGACTCTCCACCGCCCGCTCTTTGCCCTTCCTGCCCTTCACGTCGAACGCATTTTCCAGCATGTCCTTCCCCTGCTTGAAAGCCTCGAGCTCTGCCCCGATGGCGAGGAAGAGCAGGTTCCAGTCGCGGCTTTTGACAAAGTCGACTTTCTCTTCGAGATACTTGATCGTGGCATCCATTTTTGCTATCATCTTCGAAGGCGCAGGAGCGCGCGAAGAGGGTTGCATCATATCCTCCAGTGCAGTCTCGAACGACGTGATCCGCTTGACGACATCGTTCCAGAGGATGGCGCCTTCGTCTAGCGCGGCGCGCTCGATGTCGACTTCCTCGCACTTGTCGAAGAGTCGCGTGTGCTCTTCGGTCCAGTACTCGTGTGCCATGTCAAGCGTGCGGCGGCGTGGTGGGAGAGACAGATACGACGACGGGGAGAGCGAGACGTGGCTTGTGTCTGGGGGCCGGGCGAGGAAACTCGCAACGTTCTTGTCGAGGATCGCGAGGGAGGCTTTGTACGATGAAAGCTTCGCCTCGACGGCGTTCTCGCCGCTCTCGAGCTCGGACAGCACGCTCCTGTGCCGGGCTTTCAGTGCTGCCAACTCGTTCTCTTTCTGCCTGATCTCCCGCTCTAGATTCGAGGCTTCGGTGTGTAACGCTTGGGTTCGCGCGGCGCTGCTTTGGCCTTGCTCTATGTCGCGGATCTTCTGTTCCAGCCGTGCGCGCTTCTTCGACCACGTATCTGTCTGCCCTATGATGCCGTCTAAGTCGTGCAGGTCTTGGTCCAGAAAGTTCAACTCTTCGGCTTTGACGCTCGCGAGCTGTTGTATGCGCTTGTAGATACCCTTGCGCGCTGCAGTGAGCCCGACTTTCTTCTTCCGGGGGAGACTGTGTGAAGTCTCGTCGCTATCGCCGCTGCGGCTCGAGCTGCGCACGCTGCTCACGGTGGGTGTGGTGCTACCATTCGACACAAGATCGTCGGGTATATTGGAGTCTTTCCCTGCTAACCCGCTCATCAAGCCATCGGCCTGCGCGTCGAGCAAGTCTTGGAGCTGCTGCTCGAGGTGCCGCGCTCTTCGTTGGAGCGCAAGAAGGTCATCGGGAACGCGAGCTGCAGGCTTAAAGTGTGTGGATGGGACGCTCCACAGGACTGTGGCGGTTATGGAAGGAGGTATGCGCGGAGCTTGTGAAGGCGATCGTGACGAGGAAGGGGATCGGTACAGAGGCAGCTCGTGGTCCGGGGCGCGAGGGTCCTCGAAAGAATCGCGGAATCGTGAGGGCGATATCGAGCCGAGTACCGAATTTAGTAAAGACATGTTGAAGGGCGAGCGTGTCAAAATGGCAGACACAGGAAAGCAAAGCTATCAACGCTCGCGAAGCATGGTGGAATGTTGTTCAGGTGAGCTGCCTGCGAACAGTTGGTACGTGACCGTGAGCCAATGACGTTGTCTCGGAGGTTTGCGCCAAGCCGAGGCAATGCTCATCTGTAGTAGAGCGCGCAGCTGACCATATCCAGGAGCTGCGATATATGGATGAGTGACTAGACGCCCGTGAAGCCGAGTGAATGAATCAGTGATGCTGTATATGAATCTAGTCCACGCTCTTCTCTGCACTGTTATAGAGCGGGGTACATCCGAGTCGCTGGTCTCCCTTTCACTGACCTGTGTCAAGGACAAGCAAGTAAGCGGAGATCAAAGGAGTCATATACAAATATTCAATCCGTTACAAGTCACATCAGATGACGGAAGCACACTGAATTTCACAAGTGCTGGTGTTCTTTGCAGCCTCGACGTTCTTCCCAGAAGCCGTTAGCGCGCCGGCCACACCTGCCAAGTTTCCCGCTCGCTTAAGCGAGCCACCACTCCGCACAAAATTGAACCTGGGCTCAGCATCGCGACACCAGCACTAACCACAGCACAAATCTGTGAGTACCTCTGGCAAAATATTCCTCCCGGCTGCTGCTAACAACGCTCCAGTAGTCGCCCTTCACAGACTCACAAAATGGCTGACGCACCTGCCCCCGCCCGCGGCGGATTCGGATCTCGTGGTGGTGACCGTGGTGGTGACCGTGGTCGTGGACGTGGACGCGGCCGTGGCCGTCGCGGCGGCAAGACCGAGGTACGGACACACAAATGCTAGCGAGCGCGCGGGCAGAATTGACAATTGGCACAGGAGAAGGAGTGGCAGCCCGTCACCAAGCTCGGCCGTCTCGTAAAGGCCGGCAAGATCAAGAGCATGGAGGAGATGTACGTCGAAGAAAGCACACAACCAGCATGACCGCAGACTGACAGCCGCAGCTACCTCCACTCGCTCGCCATTAAGGAGTACCAGATCGTCGACTTCTTCCTGCCCAAGCTCAAGGACGAGGTCATGAAGATCAAGCCCGTCCAGAAGCAGACCCGTGCCGGTCAGCGCACCCGTTTCAAGGCCATCGTCGTCATCGGTGACTCCGAGGGCCACATTGGCCTCGGTATCAAGACCTCCAAGGAAGTCGCGACCGCCATCCGCGCCGCCATCATCATCGCCAAGCTCAGCGTCGTGCCCATCCGAAGAGGCTACTGGGGCACCAACCTCGGTGAGCCGCACTCGCTGCCCACCAAGGAGTCCGGAAAGTGCGGATCCGTCACCGTCCGCCTCATCCCCGCGCCCCGCGGTACCGGCCTTGTCGCCTCCCCCGCCGTCAAGCGTCTCCTCCAGCTCGCTGGTGTGCAGGACATCTACACCGCGTCGTCGGGCTCGACCAAGACGCTCGAGAACACCCTCAAGGCCACCTTCGTCGCCGTCGCCAACTCATACGGTTTCCTCACCCCCAACCTGTGGAAGGAGACCAAGTTGCCGCGCGGCCCGCTCGAGGAGTACAGCGACGTGCTCCGCGAGGGCAAGAGGTACTAGGCGTGTGGTGCGACACGGCTAGTGCGGTAGGACGAGGTCTCTTTCTGGCATTACATTCACGGGTTCCACTATGTATGGCGTGAGGTAGCATTGGGACCATTCGGGTCATTTAGTATGGAAATGACAAAACGTTCATGATATCCATGACGAATCTTACTATGCAAGCACTGTTTGTGTTTCCTGCTGGTGACGTGACATAGTTTGACTGAGAACCATCTGCCAGCAACACAGTGTTGTTAGAATACGATTTCATGTACATATCCGCGCCGCGTGCAGTCACTGGCTGCCTGGTGTCCAAGCAGCGCAAATACCTCAAGCATATGCATGGCAAACGCACAGAATTGTTTCGCAGATTATGGGAACGTGAAACAGCAGCCACGAAAATTATTGGCGTCCACAATTTGATTCTACAACACGACTTCATCCATATTATCTACACCCTCTTTCAGCCTCTCTCCCCAAGACCATCTAAACTCTTCCCCTACACCCCGCATCCACACTCGCACCGCACCATCCCCATCCCACCTTCCTCTCACATCGTTCCCAAAGCTTCTGAGCTCAGAAGAATTTTCCATACAGCGCCTTGTCACTCGGCCTTTCGAGGACACGCTCGGCCTCCCTTTCGTCCTCCGCTTCAGTGTGGAGAACACGCGGAATAGGCCTGTCCAGCGCATCGAACCTATGCCCCCTAACCTTCGCGAACACCCACAGCGTCGCCAGTCTCAATCCACAGGCACCGAACCCCCAGAGCAGCCCGCCAAACGGCGCCGCCACGAACGCGCCAAAGGCGCTCCAGTCACCCGAATACAGTCCACCCTCGAGGATGAGCAGTTTAGACGCGCGCCCGGCGTCGCCGTCGTAGTAGACGAGGCCGAAGAGGAAGACGGTGAATATGCCGCCAAGACTGCCCACGACGAAGTCGAAGCCGCGCCACCAGTAGCACCTTTCCGACAACCCGATGACGAGCACGGGGACGACGGCCGCGGAGACAAGATCGCTAATGAGGAAGATCTGCAGGATGTCGGGGGACTTTAGGGCGACGACGACGACGGGGACGATGAGGATGACGACCAGCAGCCTGATGACCCAGATGTTCAGCCTGTTGCGGAAAAGGTCGTTGGACCCGGTCGAAATGATTGCGGACTGGAAGGAGTCGAAGGCGGCGGTAGACAGGCTGACCGTCATCACGAGGATGATGCCGACGACCCAAGCAGGTAGCTGGCCCAGCAGCAGGAAGAACGCGAGATATCCGTCCTCCGCGTCGCCCAGCGGCCACGCGCCGCTCCACGCCGCCAGCAGGCCCGACACGCCCACCAGCGTGAGGATGATGAGGACGGCGACGGTGGCAAGGGAGGTCCCGATCCAGAGATCCTTGTCTGTGCGCGCGGCGAAGGTACGCATCCAGAAACCGGAGAGGAAGAAGTCGTTTGTGAGGATGGCGACGGGGAGGATGTAGAGGAGCTGCCAGCCGAGGAGGGAGGAGTTGAGGAAGCCGGATTCACGGATCAGCGCGGGCTGGATGTGGGTTTCTACGCCAACGGTTATGACGCCGAGGATGATGAGGCCGACGACCATGGCTCCTTGGATGTTGTCCGTTATGAAGGAGACTTTGAAGCCGCCGAGGGCTGTTCTTGTGCGTTAGCCACCATCGTCCTTGAATTGTGATGGCAAGGCGAGGGAGGGGGCTTACAGGTGTATATCGTAGTAACAGCGCACTCGACAATGATAGCAGGGAGTCCGTCGAGCCCCGTCAACGCAGTCACAATCTGCTGCATGGCACTAAGCTCGCTGACCATGTACAGGAAAATCGTAATCAGCGTGCACACGCTGAGAAACAAGCCCGCGACAGCGCCATACCGCTGCCTCGTCCACTCAGTCAGAACGAACCCCTCGGGACACTTCCTCCGGATGATAGGCCCCAGGTACCCGAAGACGAGCAGTGGCAGCGCGCTGGACAGCGCGTACACCACCACGCCCTGGACGCCGCAAATGGTCGCGATCTCGGGGTATGTAAACAGGATCCCCGAGCCGAGAGCTGCACGTTAGACGCTGGGTTAGCGGCTGGCAATGTGAGGGGGATGGTTAAGGGGAGAGCGGCAGCACGTTCCTCACGCAAGTATTATCTTGATCGAGTTCAGGCGGTACTTCTCAGCGTTGCTTTGCCGGATCCCATCTCGTCTGAAAGACCAGATGGGATCCGGCAAAGCGCGGCGCCCGCAGTGTAGCCGCGCAGAGACCTTTTCTCACACCCCTTCCTCCCGTTGAGTTGGCAGACGGGGTGGAAAGCAGGCTCTGCGGATCACAATCAAATACGAACCTGGTCATTGTCCCTCGACCGAGAAAACCTTGCTTGCGATGACTCCTCAATGGCTAGAATAAAACCGTGCCGATACTGCCGCCGCCCTTCACACTGGGAGCGTCTTGCTGATGCACTCACCCGATGCGATGAAATTGAAGGCCAGCGGTATGCCTAGTGACAGCGTTAGCACGTGGTCCCAGCAGTGGAGTGTGGAATTGCATCAATCAAAATGCAAAGTGGCATCCTGACCCTTCTGTGTCTTGTTGCTCGACAGCCACTCCGTCTTGGACTGGTGTCGCAGCCGCCAAGCGATGTAGCATCCGACGACCCTGTCACGCATTAACCATTGCACATGCACGCTACCCATCGCCACTTACAAAAATGCGCCGTAGGTCAGGTACAGGATGGCGTTGGACGCCTGCGTAGAGGGCACACCCATTGTAGGAAGCAAGCAAGCAAGCAAGCGAATCAGGCTGCGTCAATACACAAGGTGTAGAAAGAGTTCCGGGGATGGGGTTCTTAAGGCGAGCGCTTGGGGTAGAGCTAGAAATTTTGCTTGCTTTTGGATGGCGGCGACGCTTTGCCGGGAGAGGAAGGCGCACTCCACGTGCTGCTAGCGCGCGGTTCGTCATGACCGCACTTCGACGGTCTCTCTCTCTATGTTTATGTATTTCTGCAGTTGGTTGGGTATGGATTGATGGTGTATATATGATTACCGCATATGAATGCTTGACGGCCCAGCGGTTGATTCGGGCCTAGCATTGCGATATGCCAGACGAATTGTTATTGTACGATGAATTGATATCTGGTAAAGCTCGAAATTGATATGGGATGGCAGATCAAGGAAAGGAGGAAGGGTATACGATCAGTATCGACGCGCTCCACATGAGCACTTCTCCTAGAAACAACCCCGCCTGCCCTCTGCAGCCAACAACAACCAAGACGTTGCCCCCCGCCCAAGAAGAATGTCCGTGGTATGAACTACAAGCCGGCTCGCCCGAGAATCTTCCTTCTCCAGGTCGTTCCTCGTGGTCTCGTGACGTCGTGTGACCGCGCGCTGCGTGCTTCGTCGGCCGCAGAACGGCGTATCGTGAATTTCTCGTCTGCACAGGCATCGTCTACCACGCATGACGGTCCCAATTCGGATCTGCACCTGTCAGCACACAATCCTCTCCCTCAACACATCTACTGACCCTGCACAAACGCCGCCAGCACCTTGCTCCCCGTCTGCAGCAGCGGGTGTCCAACGACAATCTGCAGAAACCGCTGCAGCCCCTCGCGCCGGTGCTCAATGACGTCGTCAGAGAACCGGTTCGTCAGCACCTTGCCTGGCAGCGGGGGGATCGTGACGCGCGCGCTCTCGCGCTCCAGGATGTCGCGGAAGGCCTCGAATTCGCTGTAGCGCCGGCGCACGGTCGAGCTCTTCAGCTTGAAGGCGGGGATGTTGGTGCGCATGACGATCTCGTACGTCGTGTACATGCCGCGGCCGACGCCGTGGGTCATGGGATTGCGGACCTGTGTGCGACGGCGGTGAGCTTCACTGCGGGGCGGGCGCGGAGGGGGTGCGGCGCTGGTACCTCTATCTCGAGGAAGTTCTCGGGCGGGCCGTACAGCTCCTCAAAGGACTGCTGGCGCGACTCGGGCAGCGACTGCATCGTGAGCGTGGGCGGCGGTGCGGGCGAGGCGTGTGTCTGTGGGGGGCTGCGCTGCGTTTATGGGTGATGCGCGGGGCCAGCGCCAGCTAGGCGCGGAACGATCAGATAACGTGGGCTGGGTCGTGCCCAGGTGCTCTGCGGATTACGTAAATGGTAGCAAGCAGCAAACATTGCGATGGTGCAATCATTTCATCTTGAACATACATTGGAAATGTTCACTATGGATTATGGTTGGAAGGAATTACCACAGAGATTTCTGTGGAGTACATGGAGTGGAAGTCCCTTGGTGCAGTGTTAACCAATGCCCGCCTTCTTACCTTTTTACTAACCACTAAAAGTGAAGGTAGTGCCTGGGAAATTGTACGAATACTTCAGGCCAGTTACCTATTCTGCATCACGATGAAACCTCGCATTGCACGACCAATCAAGAAACCAAAGTGTTGAACAACCATATCATTCATTCATACATTAACTATCCATAATAAGACATAAGGAGAGCCCATGATCATAATAATACATGGTGGCAGGTTCCAAATTTTATTACCCGCGGGGATATCATAAGTGCCGCTTCCTTCCTTTCCCGTCAGCTCGTGGTCTCTAGATGCCGCTGGTCTTGTTGCCCATGTACGTCTTGGAGCCATCGAGATCGCTGTCGACGCGCGGGTCGACCTTGTTGAGCATGTCGCTCTTGTGGGGTCCCGCAGTGTTCTCAGCAGGGCCGGGACCGCTGGAGAGGCCGCCAACACCGTGACCGGAGCCAGTAAGACCGGAAGAGTGAGTGTTACTGCCAGTCAAGCCGGAAGAGTGGTTGTTACCAGTCAGGCCTGAAGAGTGGGTGTTGCTGCCGGTGAGACCGGAAGAGTGAGTGTTGCTGCCAGCACCGTAGCCGCCAGTGGAGTGAGTGTTGCCGTATCCGCCGGTGGTCGACGAGTCAACACGAGGGTCAGCCTTGTTGCCAAGGTGGGAGTCGTGGGGACCAGTAGGGTCCGAGCCGTACGCACCATGGCGAGCCCCACCGCTGTTGCCGTGAGGTCCCGGAACAGTTGAGTCGACGCGGGGGTCGAGCTTGTTGGCCATCTTGGAGTCGTGAGGACCAGTAGGGTCCGAGCCGTAGTTGCTGCCGGTGAGACCGGAGCCAGTGGTTCCGTGAGAGTGAGTGTTGCTGCCGGTGAGGCCGGAAGAGTGGGTGTTGCCAGTCAAGCCGGAGGAGTGGGTGTTGCCAGTCAAGCCGGAAGAGTGGGTGTTGCCAGTCAAGCCAGATGAGTGGGTGTTGCTGCCAGTCAAGCCAGATGAGTGGGTGTTGCTGCCAGTCAAGCCAGATGAGTGGGTGTTGCCACCAGTCAGGCCGGAGCCAGAGTGGCCAGTACCGGTGAGACCGGAAGAGTGGGCACCGGTGGTGTTGCCGGCGGCGCCATAACGATCCGAGTCAACACGAGGATCAGCCTGTCCATTGTCAGTATCTTGTACATGAGATGATGTGGTTTGAAGACATGCCTTGTTGGCGAGATGGGAGTCGTGAGGCCCAGTGGGGTCCGAGCCGTAAGTGTTGCCAGTGAGACCTGACGAGCCGTGGGTGGTGTTACCGGTCAAGCCGGAAGAGTGAGTGTTGCTGCCGGTAAGGCCTGAGTGGTTGTAAGTGTTGTTGCCAGTCAAACCAGTGGTGGTGTTAGTACCAGTAGTGCCATGGGTGCCGTGAGCGGCAGTGCCGTGGTTGCCAGTCGAGCCAATGTGGTCAGAGTCGACGCGAGGGTCGGCCTTGTTGGCAGAGTGGGAGGAATGAGGGCCGGTGGGGTCATCATGAGTCTTGTCCTTGTGGAGGACGTTCTCGACCTTAGCCTTGATCTTTTCCATAGCTCCGGACATATTTGCTGAGTGTATGTGTAGATGAGTAGAGGGGTATTGAAGAATTGAGTGGTTATCTTGAAGTGTGGAAGTGTTGTGTGAGTGTCGACCGTCATGGCGGAGAGCCAGGCCTTATATGCCTCTTCGTAGTGCATCTTGTCTTTTTCTCAACCCGTACGTCATGGCGATCTAAGCTCAATCAGCCGACGAAGGTGGACACGGTAACCGCCTGCAGTGAAACTGCCTCTCACGCAATCTCCATCGGAAGCTAGTGCCGGATACAAACAGAAACACCCACAGTGAGGGGCATGTGTCGTCATTGGAATTCACAGTCTTCCGCCAATTGCGGCAGGCACCCGTCGCATCGCATTGTCTAGATCTCACAAAGACTGGCATTGCGCAAACTTGAGCTTGGACGTTTCGGAATGTACGCCACACAACATGCCACACGTGCTGAGCCATTTGCGGGAACGCTTATGAACGGGATCTCATAAGACACATGCGGCTAGTCGCTGGCCGAATTCATCTTAGGTGACGCCAGCGAGCATTCTGATGGTCGATCGGGTGGCCGTGCACAGTGGCTGTTAACGACATCATAGCGGAGAAAGCGGGGACGAGAGAAAGCTTAGCATCAACTGTGGTTTCCGTGTCCCTGTTTCTGAAAGGGTCTTGCATCAGCCCGGTGGCGGTGAGCTTGCGAAAGCAGGGAAATGTTGGCGGCTAGTGTCGAAAGGGCGATCAGGTGAGGGCCCAGGATTGCCAACGCAAGGACAAGTGAATCCGTCCGGACCTGGAACCACGGCTGCTCCAGGATGAAGCGTTTGCTAGCACTTTGGGGAATCCTTAAGGCCTCAGCTGGACATTCTCCAAGGTTGTGGGGAGAAGGGCCAAGCAATGACGTCGCAATTAATCATGGAGCAACAACAAAACAAACAGATACATAGACGGTGATTGCGTCGGCGATGCACGATCGTGAAGTTCGAATGATCGCCCCGAGACGCCTGACGCCTACGCATCAGCCTTACATCAGAGGTCCGAACCGAACGGCAGGAGATGCGGGAGTCAGGCCTCCCCTTGCTCCCTGGGCAATTACTCGCATGAGCCGCCTCGTGCATCTTATCATTGTGGCTGAACACATGGCAAAATTACAATTGCGATAGCAATCTCCATACGAAGTTGTTCTCGAAGTTTTTTTTAGCCGTGATGAAGGTTCCAGGCGGGTGGTGTAACTCAGACGTGCCGATGACGTAGGGCCTTGTGAAATCCCCCACCATAGAACGTTTCCTCAATACCACGACCCTACGATCTACCTCTACCCCTCCTAAATATTGTGAGTCGTAGAAATCATGTCCGAGAAACTCAAGGAAGTTGTTAAGGAGGAGATTGAGCAGGCGAAGCTGCTCGCTGTGGATGCAGCGCGTTCTGCCGCGTACCTATATCCCCTCAAAGTAAGTCAGGACAGCAGCAACAACACTAGGATTCCCATATAAGCTATGCGCGCTTCTGATGACTCAAGTTGCCTTTTAGAACGTTGAATAAGCGTTGTACAGACCCAACTAACATGAACACCAGGGCATCGCCTTCTTCTTCACGCACCGCGCCCTGTGGCGTCCGCTCGCGAACAAGCTCATCCCGACAATCTCCCTCGGCCTCGGCGTCACTGTCTTCATGTTCGCCGTGACCTACGTCCCACAAGCTGCTGTCCTCGCCGTCTTCAACGGCCCGCTCGCCATCGTCTCCACGATCCTGCTCGTCCTCTCCGAAGCCTCCACCGTCTTTAACGTCCTCTCCAAGAACTTCCTCATCGACGATGCCCTCATTGACACCTTTGACGGCACACTGCTCGCACGTGACCAGCAGGCGCTCGTATCCCGAGAGCGCCAAATGAAGGGTGGAAGCGACTACATGGCCCGTCTGGGCAAGATCACCAAGAAGCCGTTTGAGCGCTTCACTCCGAAGGCGATCATTAGGTATTTTTTGTACTTGCCGCTGAATCTGATTCCCGTGGTGGGTACTGTACTCTTCGTCATCTTGCAAGGCAGGAAGTTCGGACCCACGGCGCATGCGAGGTATTTCCAGCTCAAGCAGATGAGCAAGCACCAGAAAGAGCAGTTTATTGAGAGCAGGAAGGCGGCTTACACGAGGTATGTTTGGCGCTTTGTACGCGTGCGTGTGTGGAAGTGCTAACGATCCGCAGCTTCGGCATTCCCGCCGTCCTCCTCGAGCTTGTCCCCGTCGCAGGCATCTTCTTCAGCTTCACCAACACCGTTGGCGCCGCACTCTGGGCTGCGGACATCGAGCAGAAGAAATCGCCGGGAGAGACCACCGCGTCGGGACTTCGCAGCCAGGCCGAGGCCGCATCGAGGAAAGAGTTGTAGTGAGGACACTGCACCCTTCCTCACCTCTCTTCACATTTCCCAATTTAATTGACGTCCAGGTGGTGCTATGCTGGTTGCTAATGTCATGCGCGCAAGCCAATTGCAACCTGAGTCGTATAAACCGCATGATTCCGTTACGAGGCGGAGCACCGGTACGGTCAGGCGTTTGGCAAGGCCAGAACCGTACGTACAACAGACTTCGGATGGGCGGTATAGATACCCGTGGAAGCCGCCGTGGGCGCGGGGGGATCTCCTGGGCTGGCCTTGAGCCCTGCAAGACTTTCTCACAATACACGTAATTCCTAATCGTGTTTCCGGCCCATCAATTCTCACATCAAACGTAGCCCGCCCGAGCCCACTGTGAATCGTCGATTGGGAGAGGATGAACCACAGCGGAGGCACAAAAAGGGAAAAGCTGCAGGCGCACATTCTTGCCGCTAGAGCAACCACATGGAATCCCACGCGTCCCTTCCCAAACCTGGCAGCTGCCCCAGGCGACGAAGAGCAACACAAAAAATGATGCGACACATTGGCAAAAACATACAACAGCGGGGATTCGCCAGTGGTCACCCACCTGACTACTGATCCGCCGGTACACTGCTTGTGTAAGGCTGAGCGGACGGGAAGCCCAATTCTCAGTGTCCTATGGTCGTATGTGAAGGATTATCTTCGATTTATCTTATATATACCCATACAAATGCTCCCACATTCCCCAATCGTTGGCTTGCACGGCACGATTCCACCCCCAATTGCTGCCCAACCTCGGAATCCGTTTTGAAAGGTTAATCTCTCGAAACGCCGCATCGCGTGGTCACGGTCGTGGACTAGGAACAAGCAGGATGGCCCCCGGCCTAATGGGAAGACAGCAAGGCGCACTCTATGACTGCCTATCCCGGTGAGTTCTGAGAAATATCTCCCGCTGATCTTGGATCAGTACATGAGTACGCGGGAAAGCTTGAGATTTCTACATCACATATATGGGGTATTGATTGCAGTAGGGAGCTCGTAGTGGTGAGGGTTAACTGTTCTTGGATCTTTTAAGTCATCTCGTGGAAGGTATCAACCAACCGCACCACCTGCTCGCCCACCTTCCAATCCTCTACGCACAGTGAGCACTTGCGACTCACCCCCGGTGCATTTCTCTGCCGGTGTGTTGTATCAGTTTCTGTGGGCTTGGTCTTCGGCGAATGGTCCTCTTTATGCACCGTTTGAATGCCACCGCTGTGCCACAGGCGGGTGATGGGTCCAGGCTCTACGGGTGGATGCATGCTAGTTCTAGCTGTCAGTTGCGCGATGTGGTGCCGTATCCTGGCTTTTGATTTTCGTTCTGGTTGCTCCACTTAATGTCATTGACGAGGACTGTCAGCATCGTGATATGGTGGTGTTGATACCATTCTTCTCAGTCAGTGGTCAGCGATCTCTCTAGGTGTGATGAGATGGCCCAACTGCTCTATTTGTGTAGGTGGATTTTGGGTCGGCGATATGAGACTTTGATACAGAAAGCGAAACGAATACTGGCGGGACGAGCGCAAAAGAGCATAGCTCTTGATATACGACATAATACATGAGACAGCGCTTGGTCGCCTTGAGTAAGTAAATCAGCACAGCAATGTCTATCGTCAGTAATTTAATGAGGGCTTCGAAGATATCTGCGCGAGAGTTTTCCAATCCTGGCGTGAATCGAATCCTCAAGGTACTCAAGATGCTTTTGATACTGTGCACACAATAAGCCAACAATTGCTTTGTACATAAGTAAAGTGAGATTTGCGATAATTGCACTTTTGGACAGTCCATTTAACAAGTTGGGAATGGATGAGAACTGCATATCAGAATTTTAGTCAATATAGGCACCCTCCTTCCTACAGGGCTCTAGCTGTAGCGCCTAGAACAGCGGCTGTTACACAGCATTAAAAGATACCTCTCTAACTATTCAATCAAATCTATAACCTTACTCTCATGCAAGCTCTCTGTTCGGGTGATCTCGTAATCGTTGGCGTCTGGGTATAGGGTTGAAATTGACGCGATGTAACATGTCAACAGGATATTCTTGCCCGCCCCGCCCCCCTCGCCCTCCCCTCGCCCTCCCCTCGCCCTCCCCTCGCCCTTCCCTCACCCACAATCCCTGAGACAGAATGGAGACCGCCGTTTTCCAAAGCTGCTCTTTAAAGACACAGCCACTAACCTACATACGGGATGAAAAATATTACAAGCTGTGTGGAACGCAACAGGAGACCAAAAAATATACGAAGACATATCTGAAGATCACCTACGCCGCATACCAAGCCGGCTGGGTGCGTGCATGCAAGGCTTCGGGTCTAGCGATTCCCGCAACAGTGGTAACCCACGCCGTGCCCTAGGCAGGCAGGATGCTGGGCCACCCACACTGCCGCACATATGGAGCACGCTACCGAGGGGGACTAAACCTGTGATGGGGTCTCGGTGCAGGACACATGGTGCGTGTATGATCTCTCATGAAGGAGAGGCGCCCATCCCAATTCGCAGAGTGCACGATTTCACTCTTCCGCCCAGGTCCAGGACTCGTCTTGTAAACGTTGTAACATGTCATTCCTTTCTTTTCCATCCCTTCCTTTCCTTGACTGCGATCTTATTCTACAACCTCCTCCCACTACCAAGCAATCCCCGCTGCCCAAGTGTATCCCCACGCCTCAGTACTATGCCACACTCCCCACCACCAGCGCCGCAACCCCCTCCTCCTCGCTCCGCGCCTCAATCTTCATCGTCACACCCGTCTTCGCACTAAACGCCATCCGCACCATCGCCGCGACCTTGCCCCCCGTGATCGTCTTGCCGTACAGCTTGAGCGTGTGCGTGCTCTGCTGCAGCGGGACGTCTGTGCCCTCAAGCGGCTGCAGGGACAGCGCTTTGATAAGCTGTTCTGTGGCGTCTGCGTTTTGTTAGCGTCTCATCTCAACCATCTCGGAGGAACAGTAGTAACGAAAGGACTTACCCGCTATGCTCTTCATATTGCTCAGCTGCAGCGTCTCGGTCGCGCTATCGCTGTTGCTCTGCTCCCACACGTTGTCGAAGCTGCCCGCATACGCGGGGACGACGTAGTCTGCGCCGTTGAGGTCGAGGTCCTCGACCTGGTACTCGTCGGGGTAGCCGTCGCCCTCCTCGGGCTCGCCAGTGCTAGGGTCGATTTCCTTGCTGACGAACTTCAGCGTGTTGGTGAAGGATGTGGCGATAAACTGCGACTCCGTCTCGAGGCGCTTGAACGAGACATAAATGGTGCCTGGCTCGTTGGTGGGTAGCTTGGGCGCGGGGATGATGAAGTCCTCCTCTAGGCCTGAGTCGTCGTCCTCGGCGGCAACCACCATTTCGACGTCCAGAAGCACGGTGTCGGGAAGCGTGTTCTTGACATCATACTGGAGGACAACGTGGTCCTTGAAGATATGCTTGACGGCGGTGACGACGTATTCCGTCTCCGACTCGGTGAGCTCGACCACTGCACTCGACTTGAGCAGGCCACCGTGCGCGGCAAGCTCGGGAATTTTCTGCAGCTCTTCGGCGTACTTTTGTGTAGCTGCTGTCGCCGAGGCGGCTGCGTCTGCGCCAGTCTTGGGGGGTGCTTTGGCAGCGCTGGGGGCTTTGAGTATGGGCGTGGAGCCTTCGGTCTTCTTGCTGAGATCTGCTGCGTCTGCCTGTTCGCGGGATACGGTGGGGATCTTGGTGATGTCGAAAGCGTCTGTGAACGTGTCCTTGGAGTCGGAGCTGACGTACATGGTGAGCTGGTGCTCGAGGGTGGGTAGTGAGTACATGGAGTCGTTGCGAACAAAGCTAATGGCGAGATCATCGTCTTGGTCCATCAATCTGAGGTTGAGCGCCGCACGATCTCGGACTTCGTCATCTACATCGTCAAGACATCTAGAGAGGAGCACGTGAACGGATTTCTTGATCTCAGGATCTTTCTGGCCAACGCCGAACTTGGCAAGCGCGGAAGTGGCAGCTGCACGGACAATAGCATTCTCCAACACGACGCGGTTGTAGATGTACCGGATGTACTTGGTCGGGTGTGGCGTAGAGGGACCTTCCCGACCGAGGACGAAAAGAATGCGCACTGCGAGCTTGGTAAACTCGCAGTCCTCGATGAACTCGCAAAGCGTGGCCAGGGCATCCTCCTTGGCTTCCGGAACGAAACGAATGAGATCCATAATGGCTTCGACCACGGAGCGCTTGAATTCGTAGCCACCCTCGTCACGGAGGATGCCGCTGAGGAAGGCAAGGAAACCGGCCTGCTTCGACTTGAACTTGAGTGCCAGCGTGCGGACTGCTTCCACGATAGTCACCTTGAACTCGTCTGTGATCTCAGCCATGAATCCAGTGATCTGCTTCATCAGGCGATCCACGGAAGACTCGTTGCCCGTCTTGAGGAGGGTTGTGATGGCGAAGGTGGCAATGCTGCGGTTGGAGTTTGTGATGAGCGACTCGATGTCCTGGTTGCATGATCGGACAGCATCCGGTTTGAACGAGGCCATGGTCGACAGTATCCTCAACGCGGCGAACTTGGTCACTGCGCGAGGAGAGGTGAGGAACAGTTGCAGAACGTGGACCGCCTGCACAAGCTCGGCATCGGTAACGCCACGCAAGTCGCAAATAGCCTTTGCGGCCTCGAAGTTGACCATCTCGGACTTGTGGCGCAACCAGCCGTCGAGGAGCTGGACCATGGGCTTGCGCAGATTGGGGTCCTCCTCGGCGAGCTTGGCGGCGAGTCTGACGAGCAAAACGGTAGCAGCAGGGCTCTTGACAACGCCCGCAGCGGAGTACTGCTGCACCATCTTGACCAGGCTCATGCGGTCGCCTGAGCGCATCTGGTACAGCAAGCCAATGGCGTGGTACTGGGTCATGTAGTTTGTGCTCGCCTGGAGCGTGTTGTGCGAGCTGCCTCCGAAGCCACCCAAGAAACCGCCCGATTTGGGACCCGATGCCGCTTCTTGCGCTTCTGACTGCCATCTCCGGACGACGTCCTTTGCGACGGGGAGGAGGTGGTACGAGGAAACGAGCGCGGCCGAGGAAACGGAAGGGTTCTTGTCGACAATGCACGTCTTCACAAGGCGCTCAATGGCCTGGACGGTTGAGGCATCGATGACGCGGCAGAGGGCGCGGATCGCATTAGGGCGGTATACGACGTCGCTGCCGACGGAGGTGTCTTTCATGATGGAGGCGGTGACCATGATGACATCGTCTGCGTTGCCGGCGAGCTCCTTGAGGACGAGGTAGACCATCTGGCGGAGGGCGGCATCCTTGTTAGAGAAGAGCTTGGAGACTGTGGAGATCAGTACAGTCCTATCCATGCACAAGGGCAGGTCGCATACTGCCGAAGAAGAGGTTGGTAGCTTCCTGTCTGCCCCAGCTCTCACCGGTGAAGAGCAGCAGCGCAAGCTTGGTCAGAATCTGGCGGGGTCAGCATGGTCGCCTTGTTGAGCTCCAATGCACTACGTACCACTCTGCATTTCCGCGGCGATATGGGGCTCTGGCTGAATACTCGTGCTGTGCGCCGTGTCAGCTCCCGCATCTCCAAGAGGCCCCCGCAAGCTCCCCATTGCATGTGCAGGCGGCGTACCTTCCTGGAAGACGGAGGTCTTGTCGATCTGTGCCACTCCGCCGACGTCCTCGTGCTTCTTGTCCATGGCTGTGGGGTGCAGGCGCCCGCCGCGAGCCCGTCTTCAAACAGTTGTGTTGTGTCCTTCTGCTCCGCCTAACGTGGCCTTTCCTTTGCTGCAAGCTAGCGGCGCGATGGGCGGACTGTGATTTCGGTAGGCGTGGTGGGCGGGGCGACGAGTACCGCGGGCGGCGTGCGGTCTTGCAATGGGCTTGTCGGAATGGGCGACGTGGTGGGTGTCCTCTGCGGCGCAATGCAGGGATGCTCCAATTGTGGGCGGCCGGTGGTTGGCGTGCTTGCGTCCTTATTCAGCAGCCCTACGCTGTTAGCGCCGGGAGAAGGTGCGGCCAGCGGCGGGATTTCGAGGACGCGAGCACTTTTGCGTGCTCCTCGATCAGCTTTCTCTCTTCCGCTCCACGCATCCTGCACACAATGGCAGCCTCAGTCCCCCGCTCGGCGTCGCTCCTGTCAATACCGAGAGCATCGCGCTCCATACGGCCGGCATCGCGAGGCGCCCGCGCCTTCGCCACCACCTCAGACCCTCCCTCGCAGTCATCCAAGCCCGCACGACGACCGACCCGCTTCGCCGATAAGCTCAACACGGGGCCGTCCTTCAATGACTTTGTGAACCCAAATGCACCGCTTCCCCCCTCCGAGGCCTACGAGATCAAGACCGCCACTGTCGGCCCAAGCGGCCGCAAGAAGACAATCACACGACTGCCCGAATGGCTGAAGACGCCCATACCCGTCAACGACAATTACAAGCGCCTGAAGAACGACCTGCGCGGCCTGAACCTACACACTGTCTGTGAAGAGGCGAAATGCCCAAACATATCCGACTGCTGGGGCGGCAGCGACAAGAGCGCCGCCACGGCGACCATCATGCTCATGGGCGACACCTGTACGCGCGGCTGCCGCTTCTGCTCGGTCAAGACCTCCAAAGCACCCGCGCCTCTCGACGTCCACGAGCCTGAGAACACGGCCGAGGCGCTGCGGAGATGGGGCTTGGGCTACGTCGTTCTCACCGCCGTCGACCGCGATGACCTCGCCGACGGCGGCGCCCGCCACTGGGCCGAGTCCGTCATGAAGATCAAGCAGAAGTCGCCGCAGATGCTCGTCGAGACGCTGACGGGTGACTTCGCAGGCGATCTTGACATGGTCAGGCTGGTTGTACGCAGCGGCATGGACGTCTTCGCGCACAACATCGAGACCGTTGAGGAGCTCACCCCGTTCGTGCGCGACCGCAAGGCAAAGTTCCGCCAGAGTCTGGACGTCCTGCGCACCGCCAAGGAAGTCCGCCCAGACCTCATCACCAAGACGAGCATCATGCTGGGGCTCGGCGAGACGGACGCCCAGGTTGAGCACGCGCTGACTGAACTACGTAAGAACGGCGTCGATGTGGTCACTTTCGGTCAGTACATGCGGCCGACCAAGCGCCACATGGCTGTCACCGAGTATATCACGCCCGACAAGTTTGAGATGTGGCGTCAGCGCGCGCTCGACCACGGCTTCTTGTACTGCGCATCTGGTCCGCTCGTGCGGTCGAGCTACAAGGCGGGCGAGGCCTTCATTGAGAACGTGCTCAAGAAGCGCGCCGCGAAGAGGAACGAGATGGTTGGTGCGCAGGCTGTCGAAGACTCGTCGAAGTCGGTCTAAACCTGACGCCATGGTGCTCTACTTTTCTTGTAATATAAGACCTACTGCCATGTATATTGGCGTTTTGGGGATACTTCTGATTCTACAGGCGAGCTTCAACGCTCGCATTGCAGCGTTATCGGATGGGGCATCTAGACTTGAGATTTTTGGAATGGCCAGTAATGAGCATGCGTATCCACGCTGTTGTGGTGCTGAACTGTACAGGCAATCGCTCCTTCTCACTTATATCGTGATTAGTCATAAAGCCGCCTTACGTCGTCCTGTGCTACCTCATCCCTCACTTCTCCGCTCCACTCTCCCCGTCCCAGCTGCGCTCGAAGTCGAACTTCCGGGAGTAGGAGACTGAAACGCAAAACCAACAGCTACTTGACCCACTGGCGATGGTGGTTGGACGCGGGTGGCGGGCAGCCATGTGATGGGGCCAAAGGATACTTAGACAGATTAACCTTCACGTGTCTCGAAACCTTTGAACGTCGGTCCTCTTCCTGAGCGCAGTCTCACATCGTGGCGAACATCGGCTTCTAATGAAGCTTGCCAGACCGCGAACCCGCCACTGAAATCAAGCCACTAAAATCAAGGACCGGCTGTCGTACGTGCAAGTATCTGCAGATCCGCGCAAGGACACTGTTATTTCGACAGTTGAACATTAACATTGACAGACTCCGGCGCGTGAAGCGCGATGAAGGGAGGCCCCATTGCTGACGGTATGCTTCCGCGAGTAGACTCGTCGTTGGCGCGCCGAACTGATACCAGCACATAGATGTACCAGTATGGAACGTAAATGCGACGGCTACTCGAATTCCCACAACGGGTTGCCGGTTCAAGAACTCGTGCACTTTACAGCCTCTGGTTCCATGAACAATATGCATCTGCTCTTTGGATTCAGCAATGGTGACAACGTCCGTTACCTAGAGTTCTACCACCACTGCGCTGGCCCCCGTCGTGCTCGAGGACGACGACGTCATTTCTTCCCCCTTCCCCCACGACCAACCCTTCCCCAATCTCGCAGAATCCGAGTCCCACTATCGCGAGCTGCGCAACGCCTCGATCCGCTGCGTCCTCTGTGTGGGCGTCAGCCACGGCACACCCCTGACCCCTTACCCTCGCCGTGCACTCCGCCTTCCACCGCTCCCTCTAACTCCTCGAGGCGCATCCAACGATCTCTCCCGAAGCCCGCGTGACCCTCATCTACCTCCCTGTCTCGAACTACACCACCTGCGCCACCTCCCCTGTGCAAACCGCCTACGACGCACACCTCCCCACCTTCCAAGAACTACACCACAGTACTCTGCTTCGTACGTCAATACCCTAGAAGATGGACCTGTGCGTTTGAGCTAGGCCTTTGGTGACAATGTTTCCTGTTTTCAAGGCAAGGGTCTCTGACACGCCGCAGCCCGGCTTCACCACACCCATACAGCACTCCTACACTTCACTTCCAAATACCAATGCTACCATTGTCCTGATCGACGACAGTAGAACGTCTGTCACTTGACACAACAATACGGAATGCATTTCACTACTTTATTCAGTCTCTAGCGTAGATTGCCCAAGATACGCTATAGCGAATTGAGACCCAATCTACCGCAAGATTCGCAGGGACGTACAACCGTGGAATTCCCAGGAACCCATTCCCTAGGTACGATTTCGTGTAATAAATCGCCGCAATGCTTAAACAGTTGTAGACAGGGTGCAGAGGCGAGGGGGTGTGGTGAAGGAGTACTCGTTCTCTCCGGGGCGGGCGTAGGGTGGGCCCAGTAGCCTCTGAGATTTGCTACGCACACCTTAGTTACTTTGAGCTATTCATCTTGCCTTGGAAATTTTAGAAGGTTCTCGGGGCTTATTCCTGACTACAGCCTTCTACATTGTCTGGTTGTAAAATCTCGGACGCGAAGTGGAGGGAGAGGAATTGGTGGGCACAAGCTCAAGTAAGCCAGCACAGTAACGGCTATTACTAAGAGTCTAATAGGGTTTTGAAGACATTTGGGTAGTAGGTGGTCATACTTAGGCGAATTTCTGGCGGCCCTATGGGCTCATTCCTATTCCAAGCCTTGTGGAATGCCTCGCCATAGTCCTCCGACCATACACCGTCAACTACACGCTCTTGTGCAATACCTCGTCATTATACTCCGACCATCCATCGTCAATTACACGTTCTTGTGTGATCCCTCGACATATTCCTCCGATCATCCATCGTCAACTACACGCTCTTGTGCAATACCTCGCCATAGTCCTCCGACCATCCACGACCTTCCATCGACTCTGATAGGATTTGAGGGCGTGACCATGCTCTACTGCCTCATATAAAGCGACCCACGATGGATCTACGTCCACCCCCTCTTCATACATTGCCGCCATGCACTCCCCAAATCGCGGCCTGTTGAGCCTTCTTTTTCTCGTCTCCAGCTTCTACGACTACGCTTCAGCACAAGTCGATCTCGGTACCGCAGCTCCCTACGGCGTCATCGCTGCCACCGCGATAACCAATACTGGCGCCACCGTCGTCGACGGCCTCCTCGGAATCTTCCCTAATGACGAAACCTCCATCACGGGGTTTCCGCCTGGGCTTTCGGGTGGTATCAATGCTGCCAACGCCGCTGCAAATATCGCGCGTAATGATGCTGCGACGGCGTACGGTGTCGCAGCTTCTCTAGCATCCACTGGCTCGACGGGGCCAGACCTCGGTGGCCAGGTTCTAACTGCTGGGGTCTATACCGCGGCTTCGTCTGTCGGGCTCACCGGCACGCTTGTCCTCAACGGCCAGAACGACCCGAACGCCGTCTTCGTTTTCCAGATTGGATCCACGCTGACCACCGCGACCGCTGCGAGTGTCATTCTTATCAACGGAGCACAAGCGTGCAACGTCTTCTGGCAAGTCGGGTCTTCGGCTACGCTGGGCACCGCTACTGTCTTTGCGGGTAACATTCTCGCGTTGACCTCGATCACGGTGAATGCGGGGGTTACTGTCGATGGAGGGCTGTATGCACTGAACGGGGCGGTTACGCTCATTAATGATCGGATCACGGCACAGACGAATTGTGTTGTCGTTCCTCCTTCGAGCAGCACTGTGAGTCCCTCATCTCCTGTTGTGTCGTCTTCTGATGCGGCAACGTCTGGGACGGGAATCGTGACGGACGCTCCAACGGACGCTCCGACGGACACTCTGATACCGTCTCCATCGATCTCCCCATTGCCCTCTCTACCGCCCTCCCTAACACCGTCTCTATCACCATCCCCAAACCTCTCTCCCTCGCCTCCCCCAATATCCTCTTCATCAACCTTTCCAGTAATATCGCCACCCCCCTCTTTGGCACCCTCACTGACATCCTCACCGACAATCACATTGGCCTCCTCCTCCACCACAACCCTCACCGTCTCATCAACGCCGGACATCTCAACAACAACGCTCGCCACCTCGACAACCCTTTCCACACCGTCGCTGAAAACTCCCTCTCTAACAACAACCTCCTTTACGCTCTCCCAAACTTCCACACAGACGGGCACTACCTTCAGCACCAGCACTTCGACATACAAATATCCGTATCCCAAGCCATATCCTTGGTACCCGCCACAGCCGAAGCCGGAGCCGTGGATTTCGGAGCTCGTGGCACCGTGGGGTGGAAAGCCGGCGCCCAAGTATGAGCAACCTGCATACGAGAAACCTGGGCATGGCGGTGGACATGGAGGCGGCGGCCAAGGTGCAGGGAACGCTGGTGGGCAGGGGGGAGGACATGCTGGGGGTGGAGGCTGGGGCGGTGGAGGACATGGTGGTGGCCAGGGCGGAGGACACGGTGGAGGTGGAGGACATGCCGGAGGCCGGGGCGGTGGAGGCCACGGAGAGTAGATCGATGTTACCACATCTGTCGAGGATTAGACTCGAGTCCAGGGCGTAAGTGTCCATAGTCTTGGAACATAGCAAGATATCCATTGCTACATACAAATCCGTGTTCACATCGCTGCTAGATGTCCTCGTCCCAATGGTGTTATTCTGATTTCTGAATGCAGCGAGAATCTCACCGTAGCTAGTGTTTCAATTTTGGAGGCTGTTATTTGATCACTGCTAAGAATTGCGAGCAAAGACTGGTGGGTGCATTGCTCGACGCGACGTAGCGCCGCTGGTACTGGCACTAAGCCTATGTAGGCTGTTTCCACAACGACTGGAATCCATCACTCGTACACCTCACTTTGCTACTTCGTGAGTGCATGCTACTTTCTCCGAAATAGCCTTTCCGCTGCCCGACAGTCGGGAAGATTATCATATCGATTTTCAAGCCGCACGTGAGTGTGCGTCTCGTGATCTCGCGATTCCGTCCAGACGCGCCCTCGTCAAACAGCCCCGCCCCCGCCAGGTCCCCTTTGTCAATTGTACCAAGCCGCCAATGGGCAGTGTATCGGTCCACGCGGCATCCCGCCATACTACGCCAATATGCGGTGGTTAATAAGGTGGGGTCGACCGGGTAAATAGACGCGTCCATCTCCGCCATGCCATCCCACCTCAAAAGAATCGAATACGCTGCCAGCTACCCAGGCCATGATTCCAAAGGCCCATCGCCAACTCCCCAAATTCGCGCCTCCACAGCCTCTCTATACCACGATGCCAAAAGTCCTCAACCCCATCCTCCCCGGCTTCAATGCCGACCCCTCCATTCTGCGCGTGGGGTCCGACTACTACATTGCAACCTCGACCTTTGAATGGTTTCCTGGCGTGCAGATCCACCACTCAAAAGACCTCGCCAACTGGACGCTCGTTACGCGCCCGCTGAGCCGCAAATCTCAGCTCGACATGCGCGGGAATCCTGATAGCTGTGGTGTCTGGGCGCCATGCTTGACGCACGACGGTTCCAAGTTCTACCTGGTTTACACGGATGTAAAGAGGAAGGACGGCAGCTTCAAAGACACACACAACTACATCGTCACCGCGGAGAAGATCGAAGGCCCTTGGAGCGACCCCTTCTACGTCAACTCCTCTGGCTTCGATCCCAGCTTGTTCCACGACGAAGACGGGAAGAAGTGGTTCATGAACATGCTCCAGGACCACCGGCGACGGCCGCGGTCGTTCGCGGGGATACGGCTGCAGGAGTGGTCGGAGAAGGAGGGGAAGCTGATCGGGCCTTGGAAGACGATATTCCTCGGCACAGAGCTTGATCTCGTCGAGGGCCCGCATCTGTACAAGAGGAACGGGTGGTACTACCTGCTCACGGCCGAGGGCGGGACTGGGTACGAGCACGCCGCTACCCTCGCGCGGAGCAAGGACATCTGGGGCCCGTACGAAGTGCATCCCAAGAACCCAATCCTCTCTTCTACGAGCGCACCTCTTGCGCCGCTGCAGAGAGCAGGGCATGCGGATATTGTAGATAGCGAAGACGGAAAGACATACCTTGTCCACCTGACAGGCCGCCCGATAACCCAAAACCGCCGATGCGTGCTCGGCCGCGAGTGCGCGATCCAAGAGGCGTACTGGGCCGACGACGACTGGCTATACGTGAAGAACGGGCCCGTCCCCTCGCTCAGTGTCGAGCTCCCCGCCGCCCGCGACGACACCGCCTACTGGGCCGAGCAGCACTACACATTCTCCGCCACCGATGGCCTGCACAAGGACTTCCAGTGGCTGCGGACGCCAGAGCCCGAGCGCATATTTGCCGTGCAGGACGGCGCGCTCGAACTCACAGGCCGCGAGGCAATCGGCAGCTGGTTCGAGCAGGCGCTCGTCGCGCGGCGGCAGACGCACTTCTCGTACGACGCAGAGACGGTGGTAGACTTCGCCCCGCTGGACGAAAGGCAATTTGCAGGGCTCACGGCGTACTACTGCCGCTTCAACTTCTTCTACCTCACCGTCACCGCGCACGCCGACGGCAAGCGCGAACTCCTCATCCTCACATCCGAAGCCTCGTGGCCAGAGGGCCGTCTGAAGTTCCCGATCGCGGAGCCGGTATCGATCCCGCAGGAGGGCAAGGTGCGGCTCGCGCTCAGCATTCGCGGGAAGGACTTGCAATTTTCGTATTCGCTTGATGGCGCGAAGGAGCTCACGAAGATCGGGCCGGTGTTTGACGCGAGTATCCTCAGCGACGAGTGCGGAGGGCACCAGGCGCACGGCAGCTTCACGGGGGCGTTTGTGGGGGTTGCGGCGAGCGACTTGGATGGGCTGGAGACGAAGGCGAGATTTGATAGCTTTACGTATCGGCCTGTCAAGCACGAGAGCGACCGGTATGAGGTGAGGGGCTGGTGAGGAGCGGCGCGGTGTCTGGAATAGAAACCACAATTGGACAGTCAACAGCCACTTGCGATGGGCGGCCACGTGCACAAAGTCAGTGTAGGGCAACACAAAAGCCTGAGCATGGTACGCTGTGCCACCCCAAGCTCGGTCGTACACCGACGGCTTGTGCGTAGGCTTTGGAGCGTTGGTCTGCAAATGCCATATACAACCCTGCGCCACTATGCCAACCTATTCGCACACCCCCAGCCCCCAACACACCGCGCCACCCCTCAACCCACAGCGCACACCCCATGTACACCCCTCCCCTCGGAGTCCTCGCACCCATCACCCCACCTACATAGCACAAGCCCCACACTGTGCCGTGCTCCCCGCCCTCAACGGCGCCCGCGTATCCAGCGTCGCGGGCAGTCGTCCCTGCCGTCCCCCACCACTTCCGCGACCCGCAGGCCCTCTGCGCCCCTGCCCATGCATGCCCGCCTGGTACTCTGACTGCGCGCCGGCGGGGCGGTAGAAGGACGTGGCGCTGGGCGCGCGGTAGGGGCTGTTGCGCGCGGCGGTCCAGGTGTCGAGGGAGAAGAGGGTGGTGAGGTAGAGGGCGAGGAAGGTGGTGAGGGTTGCCATGGGGGAGGCGGAAGACTTTCTATAAATAGATGTGTTAGCTGGGTTGGGCTGGGCGACGATGGGACGTACGACTCGGACATGATGGCGCTGGGAGGTGGTTCTCTAAGCAGCGTGTCGTTTCCGGCGTGCCTGGGTGGAGAGAGACTGAGCGCGTGTGTGGAGAGGTCAAGCTGTCGTTGTCACGGCGCGCGATCCTGCGGGTTGGGTTGGATTGGGGGCCTGGCTGCCGCCTAGCCGGCGTCTCGCCGCGAGTCGAGCGCGCTGCAGGGATCCGCGCGCCCTCCCCGCATCTCGCGTGCGCAGAAAGTTCGCTCGCGTATTTTTTCGGCCGCGCGACGTCAGGCCAGCATTCTTGCGACGGACGCCATTGCCGCTGCACGCACGCCGCTGAACCCTCGGAACGTGCAAACTCGGACAATGGGCCGCATCAGCCTCGACGACGGCGGAATGGGGAACGAGTCCGCCAGGGCGAAGAAGGCGAAGCAAGAAGTGAAGAAGGAGCCGGTGGAATACGTCAACGGGAAGGGCTGGGTCGACGAGGACGGCAACGTGGTCGAGGCGGAGACGGGGAAGGTCAAGAATCGGCGCGCGCTGGAGCTTGTGGATAATGTCATGGAGGAGCATGAGGCGCGGGAGGTGGAGGCAGCGAGGGCGGAGCGCGAGGCGAGGGAGAACGGGACGTGGGAGGAGAAGCCCGAGATGAAGGGCAAGAAGCGGAAGCATGCAGTCGTGGTGCACCAGGAGACCAAGAGCCAGCCGGGCGTGTACGATGTACCTGATGGCGGAGACGACCGACCTTCCGCGAAGAAGTCGAAACGGCACAGCCACGGTGTACAAGAGCAGGTGGATGCGCAGATTGAGGCAGAACAGTCTCCGGCGAAGTCGAGACGGAATGAGAGCACGCCGAGCAAGCCTGCTTCGTCGAACCACCACCACCCCGCCGCACAGCCTGCAAGCAGCTTGAGATTCCAGTCTGCCCAAGGTGAGCTGCACACCGAGAAGCCTTCCGCCACGTTCAAGCCGCGCACAGCCCGACCCTGGACGGTGACCATGGCCCTCCCCGGCAGCATTCTCAACAACGTCGCGCGCCACGACACCAAAACCCTTCTCGCCGGCCGCATTGCGCGTGCTGCCGCTGTCTGGTGCGTCGACGAGATCGTCGTGTATGACGATGACCCAACCACCATCCCCGAGAAAGTATCCGGCTACTACCGCAGCAAGAAGAAGACCAAAGCCGAGATCATGGACAGCATCTCCGAAGCCGACATTCCCTACCAAAATCCCGACCGCTTCCTGGTCGGGCTCCTCGAGTACGCCGACTGCCCGCCACACATCCGCTCGTCGCTGTTCCCCATGTGCGAGCCCTACAAGCACGTCGGCCTCCTCCCGCCCCTCGACACGCCCTCCCACACCAAGCCCGCCGAGTGGATCCGCTTTCGCGAGGGTGTCGCGCTGCCCTCCCAGCGCCGCGCCAACTCCACCGACGAATGGACACACATAAATTGCGGCCTCCCCTTCCCTGTCAAAGTGCCATATGCCGTTCCGCAAGGCATGCGCCTCACCGTAGAATTCAAAGACGCCCAACCACCCTCCTGGCCGCACCTCTCTGAATACGAATGCGAGAGCCTCGCTGTCGATGCCGTCGCACCTGAAACCCCGCGCGAGAAGGAAGGCTACTACTGGGGCTACAAGGTGCGCTATGCACCGTCCTTCAGCGCCATCTTCAGCGAGTCCGAGTACCCCGACGGCTATACCCTCGCCATCGGCACCTCGGAGCGCGGCGTCCCGCTGTCCGCCGTCCTGCCTGAAGCCATCGCCCCGTGGAACCGGCCTGCCTCGAATGAGAAAAAGTTACCAGACTCCTGCGAGCACCTCCTCGTTGTCTTCGGTGGTGTCGCCGGCCTCGAGCCCGTCGTCGCGAATGACCCCGTGCTCGGCGAGCTGGGCAAGGAGAGCGCGCACGAGGCCTTCGACTATTGGGTCAACTTGGTGCAGGGACAGGGCAGTCGGACGATCCGCACCGAGGAGGCGATTGAGATTGGCTTGGCGGGGTTGAAGGCGTACGTGGACTACCAGTACGAAACACATGCATAGGGTTGTGCACCAGGTTGGCGACTTGGTAGGCTGAGGTACCCCGGGTTGAGCAAAACGTCCATCGATTGGACGCTGGGTTTGTGCTCGTGCTGTGACTATAAGCTGGAGGTCTGATTGTGCTGAGTTGCGCTGGGATACAGCGTGGTTGTTACATGCTACTACAACTAGAAATGCGAGCATGCTGAGAAACTTTGGATGTACAAGCGCTCCTGATCGACATGCAGCCTCTATCACACTGCCCCCCGAAACTAAGCGCTGTGAGTGAATCCAGGATATGCCGTACCCACGCTTTCTTCACCGGGCTATGTACTATCCACTTTCCTTGCCGGCACTAAAGTGCTAGAGTAGTGAGACGCCGACGACCAGGCGAAATACCCCAGGCCGCATCGTTCTTCCTACTGCCCACAGACTCGCCCGTGCGCCTACGATAGTGAGTGAGATAGTGTGAGCAGCCAGAACAGGTACCGTGGTGCCCCAGCATGCTTCGTGTCAATGGCGCTCCGCTGCATGCTCTCGAATGGGCATCATTGTGCTTGCAGTAATTGCCGGAGCGGCGATGTCAGGGACGGACTGTACGGAGCTGGGCCGGAGGTCAAGGCACTCCGGGACATGCGATGCAAAGATGCTGTCCTTGCATGTGCACCGCGGTGCTACATCTGTCCTAGTGCTGTGAGATACCCTGGGGTACTTCGAGCGACAGTGACTTTCCAGACAGCCTCCGTCTCGCTGCGTCGGGATTGTAATACTACAAGTCACTACTGGGTGAGCTATAAGCAGGGAATGCATCGCTGCGGAGGCCGCTTTGTACATAAACTGCACAGAGCTCAAGTTACCCCAGGCTCCATCACGCAGCAGCTACTTTCCATGCAGCGCCTCTCGCCCTGCTCTAGGAACTCAATGCTGTGAGTTTCCCCGGGCTGCTTCAAGCAACAGTTCCTTTCTTTGCAATCGCGTCGCCCTGCTCCGGGATTTCCATGCTGTGCATTACCTCAAGATGAGTTGTTGTAGTTCGCACGTGTTGCTGCGCTCTGCCTCACTCAAGCAAAGCGCGACTGAGACGCGGGCGTGCTTGCCTCCTGGCGCGACCCACGACGTGTAGCGTGAAGTGAGTTAAGCATGATTGGCACCGCGCCGGGTTTCTTCTTCCTTCTTTACACCGGCATCCGCACCACGCATGCACGTCTGTTTCGCCTTCTTTACTTTCTGCTCTAGCTGCTCATCTCCTCTGTTCACCATGATGGATTTCGGCTTCGGAATCATCGTCAAGGCGTACGCTGTCATGCTCTGCGGTTCGGCCTCGCGGGTTTGGTCCCTCGCGATGGAGGTCTTCTGGAAGGCCATTTGCCCTTTCTTGATGGTAGCGCTGCTTGTGGTGCCGGTGTACCTCGTCGACATTCGTCTGGCGATGTCGCTGATGGCCACATCGGATCAGTCCGACGATAGTTGGAACCCGTACGCCATGACTGAGAAACCGAATACCACTCAGGGTATCGTGATCGCGGTCATAATTCTCCCCTATATCTTCCGAGTTGCCTGGATTATCCCGCTGTCCTTTTGTCTCTGGTCGCACTATTGGGTCGCTTTCGAGCTTGGCAACCCCGTTCGTCGATCCCATTCCTCAACTTGAACGTCATTTCAAAAACCCCCACTGTAGGGCAGGACGGGGAAGAAGACCCGAATTACTCGAAGGCACTGTCTATCCATGAAGAGTCTTTTGGGCACAGCAAGAGAGTCGAAATCGCGTTGGGGTAACGACAGAAGATTCGTGACGCACGGCGAGCTTAATGCACTCTTCACTGTTCGCTCTTCTACTTCGCACTAGGTGGTGACTTCACGATTTACGGGATCCAGGTGCACGTATCCAAAGGCACATCACAAACCTCCAATGGCAGAGCGGTATGTTGGCCCAACGTCACGATACTACTGCACGAAAAACCAGAACATACGATGCCCGTAGTATCCAGACAGCATGCAACACTCCAGTCAGAGCAGTCCCGATGTTCATGTTCAACACGGAAGTGCATGGCACAAGGCCATCGAACAAGTTCTCAATACGCATGCACAGGTGAAAAGTTCCTTTCTAGGATCGGCCAGAAGGCTTCCAAAGTGGACAACCTACGAGTTAGTCATCGACATTCGCTTCGCTAGAGATACCAATCTCTATATTTAGATCTGCGTAGACGCGGAAGTTCAGGTGCCATGTGCTGGATTCTCGGCTTCGAGATCCTTGATAGAGCAAACGATCGCCAGAAGTAATTGCCACTGCGGCAGAGGCTGGGGACTATGCAATCCATGATAGTCGATACTGTCACCACGAAGTCAGCATATGTAGAGACACATCACTGAGCGGGAGCAAATTCTTCGACGTTGAAGATGCTGGTGGATACCACGCCGACCCTCTTTGTCATCTGGCAAAGAGACTTACCAGATAAAGTATTTGTCATGAAGCTGTCACACAACGCCTCTTGGTCAAATTCATAAGGGCCAACACAAGGGCCTCTTTCTGGCTGCGGTATCGTGCCTACACGTGCCAAGGGCTCAGAAGAAAAAGGACCCAACCGCGTCCTCGAGTATTCGGAGACGCTCGAGGAAGGAATCTCGTCCATCACGAAGAGTTGTGTCTTGCATTCATACTCGAAAGGCTTCCAGCGGCGCAAACAGGTCGCCCTGGACTACATCCAGCTCGGAGCACTGAGGGAACTAATGATGCTATCACATTCAGGATGCACGCCGCTTCGAGGTCCACTCCCTTGGCTTTTGTTTGGCGCACGAACCATCCAGTCAAAGTATTCAACCCATCTGCATCCTATCGCAATCCATCACCAGAACCGAGCAGCTAGTCGCAGAAATCGTGGAACCATTTACGGCATTCGTGCACGATCTCGCTCCTGTCGTCGTGATTGCAGGTCGCCTTGACGCATGGCAAGATTTCGTGCTCAACAGCTATTTTCACACCGCCGTGCTTGGTGTGGCAGCACTCGCGCTGGGGGTACAACTCGACATCAAAGTGCTGGCCCCAATAGTTCCTCTAGAGGAGAGAATGGAGAGAATGGAGAGAATGGAGTAAATGGAGTAATTAAAAAAGGAAAAAAAGAAAAGAAAAGAGACAATACGAAACGGGACACTTTGTCGAGCTTCACGTGGATATGGTTGCCGCGGTTGGCGGATAGAACGATTCGGAACCGGATGAGGAGCATTGGGGGACGATGTAGCATGGGACGGCTTGGGTTTACTTACAACGCAGTCGAAGTGCGACATTTTGTCGATTTCGACAGGGGTGTGGTGGCCCGCGTGGGGATGGGAGGGCACGGCCACCGTGGTCGCGACGACGAGGGAGAGGAGGGCGTGGGTGAGATTCACGGTGTTGATGGGTGATCGTAGAGGCACATAATATGTCGTGCGTGACAGCTAGTAATGGATGTATTTATGATACCTGAGGAAAGAAATGGATTCCTGAATGTGTGGTGAACTCGTTATGTTGAGGGTGGGCCGAGAGCGTGCACTGTGGATTGGGGATGGGAAGTGCGACACTAGGAGACATAGTCAAATGTGGATGATGAATTGTAGTGTAACCTGAGTTGCCCCCGGGTGGCCTATTGGGGCGGGCAACTATGGTCCTTTACGCTGCCTTGACCGCTTTCTTCTCACTGATGTACATGCGTAGGAATGCGACACCAACGCCAATGCAGTATAGGTTGTAGGAGATGACGCTGCCGTAGGTGGCTGAGTTCTGCCAGCCGAAGATTGAGTTGAAGACGCCCCACCAGCCGCCGCCGTCGAGCTGGGGACTGCAGCACTGTTGTCGCGAATGTTAGCACATTGTCATTGAGTCAAGGATACATCGTTCTAACGAGACCTTGCATCAAGATTGTGATACAGTGCTCCACCTCGATGTCATGGTAGGTGTATACATTCGTGAAATAGGCATTCAAGGCACTGCAACTTACATTGACATGCCAGACGCTCTGGCGAATGTCGTATGACCCGGGCCCAGCACCTGTCTCCGCTGCGTCACCACCGATTGCAACATTCCACTGGATCGTATAAGCAAAGCTCTTCGTCAAAGAGCTGACACATGACTTACCGCATAGTTCTCGAAAAACCAGACGGACTTGCTCAACAAGCCAGCGGCTATCAGATACAAGAAGCAAGTCGACGCAACCAGGAACATTTGCAAGGATCCCGCATTGCCTCCTCTGTGAAGTGTCAATATGCGACAGGTACTAAATGCGAAGTGCCTTACCTGTATAGGAGGTATCCAATCAGCGCACCAACGCCTAACCCACATGCCACAGCCAGCGGGAAAGCAGTCGCGGGGAGCCCAAGACCGGCACCGATGATGAAGAGCACACCCTCTAGTCCTTCGCGAAGCACCGTGACAAAGGGTAGGAGGAACATGGCGTATTTCTCTCCGAGGAATCGGAGACCCCTTGGCGAAGATTCCCCGGCGCTGTTTGCATCGAGAGCGGCCGCAATCTTCACTCGCCACTTATCTCGCATCTTGGAGATCCGGAGCAGCGCTGCACCCATGACCGTGATGATTGCGGACGCAATGAGGCTGAAAACGCCTTCCCAGATGTACTCATATTGCGAGAAGATGTCAGACTGCAGGTGGTAGAAGGTGCCTATGATTGCGGCACCAAACACGATGCATATTGCGACGCCGAGGAGGACCCCGAGCCAGATCTGTCGAACCAGCTTGCGGTAGACGGGCTTGTCATTTTCCGAGGTCAAGGTCTGCTTCAGGAAAGAGAGTAGAACCGACACGATGATGCTGGTCTCCAGGCACTCGCGCAGGCAGATAAAGAAGACTAGTCTGTTCAGTACAGGCCGGTATGCATTCTTTTGGTCTACAGACCTTGCGCGGCAAAGATTTGGACCATAACGGTTGTGTGAGCGTGCAGCTACACAGGAATGAGATTGATGCAGGTGGTAAGCAAAGTCGCGAACGGTCCTGCACACCGTGCTTCTTATGAAATGTCGCCGCAAATCGCTCTATGCACCGCTACAAACTCACGTAAATGCTCCTGGGTCGGCAAGGATGTCAAGATGCGATATTCGGTGGCATGATGTTGGTAGGACGTGCCGAGCGGGGCACCTCGGATCTCAAGCATCAGATAAGATTAGTGCCGCAAAACTCGTTCACCGTTTAAGCCTAAAACAGAGACATCGGATAAAAGTCGGATCTGATAGATCGACCTGCAACACGTAACACGCCTGCCTCACAATGCCTACATCTACGCTCAAGCCTTGCCGGTCAAGGGATTAGGTCCTGGTAAGTCACGAACTCAATGCGCCAGATGATTCGAGCGCCTCGGGAGCCAGAATCGATGGACTTTGCGATCGCGCCCCACCTCTCCGCTTTTCGCCGTGGAAATGAGCTAAGAACGCCCAGCATCCAAGCCTGGTATTGACCATTTCACATCGACTATCGACCTCCTTCACTGCGCCATCCAGCGCAATGCTAAATGTGTTGTGGTTGTTGCTGGGTTTCCTCCACAGTGCCGCTTGCACGAAGGTGACGCACCGCGAGTTCAACGTCACGTGGCTGAATCGGAACCCAGATGGCCTGCACGAAAGGCCCGTCATGGGTATAAATGGTCAATGGCCTATACCAGCTCTCCAAGTTACAAAAGGCGAACGAGTTGTGATCAAGGTTTCCAATCATCTGGGCAACGAGACGACCAGCTTGCATTGGCATGGCCTTTACATGAACGGTACAGCGTACATGGACGGCCCGCCAGGTGTAGCACAGTGTGAAATTCCGCCTGGCGATAGCTTCGTGTACGACTTCAAGATTGACCAGCCAGGGACGTACTGGTTCCATTCCCACACCAGAGGTCAATATCCCGATGGACTTCGAGCTCCCCTCATTGTGCATGACCCAGAGAATCCATACAAGGAGGACTTCGACGAGGAGGTTTTACTTTCCTTCTCAGATTGGTATCATGATTTGATGAGGCCACTCCTAGCGTCTTTCATCAGTGTCACGAATCCGACTGGCGCTGAACCTGTGCCAAAATCGGCTTTGATCAATGACGGACAGAATGTCACTGTTGCGGTTCAGCCGGGGAAGACGTATTTGATACGAATGGTAAACATGTTTCCAGTCGAATAGATGGGATCTTCGCTTAAATTGGCAGGTAAACATGGCTGCTTTTGCGAGCATGTATGTGTGGTTTCAGGGCTGCTCAATGAGGGTCGTGGAGGTTGATGGCATATATACCGAAGCTGCGGAAGCAGAAATGCTCTATCTCACGGCTGGTCAACGATACTCTGTTATTCTCACGGTCGAAAGCGACGGCGTGACCAATATTCCTTTTGTTGCAAGCATGGACAAGGTATGTTTATACTGTATGTTCCGGAGATGATCCTCCAGCTTACGGGTCCAAAGGAATTATTCGATGAAATCCCGGATGATCTGAATGCGAACGCCACTGGCTGGTTATTACTAGACAGCTCCAAGGAACTACCAGCACCGATAAAAATGGACGTCTTTGAGGCCTTGGATGACATGTCACTTCGACCATTGGACAGTTTGGCTGCGCTTCGCGAGGTCGACAGGACAATCACACTGGATATGAAGATGGACAACCTAGGGGACGGAGCCAACTAGTAAGGATCGGCTTTCATTCCACCTGAACGATTCTAACGTGTCTACCCAGTGCTTTCTTCAACAACAGTACATATGTGGAACCGAACGTTCCGACCCTTTACACGGTAATGTCTTCAGGCGAGTATTCTAGCAACCCCATTGTGTATGGCAGCCACACCAACTCCTTTGTGCTACACGGGAATGAAACTGTTGAAATCATCCTGAACAATAATGATGATGGAGTACGTTGCAATCTCAACCTGTTGACAAGGTAGCTGATTGTGGATAGAAACACCCATTCCATCTCCACGGACATGCCTTCCAAGTTATTGCACGCTCCGAGGAAGATGCAGGAAGTTATTCGGATGATGCCGATGCAGCAAGCGCACCAGCTGTGCCCATGCGGCGTGACACCGTGCTAGTCGAGCCCAATGGTTATGCGGTTCTGAGATTCCGCAGCGACAACCCTGGTGTTTGGCTCTTCCATTGCCACCTGGAATGGTGAGGCTTCTATGTCTAATACCGATGGACCGGTCATTGACTCTGATTTTCAGGCACGTGGCCTCCGGCCTTATCGCGACATTCATCGAAGCACCGATCGAGCTCCAGAAAACGGCCGTCATTCCTCCCGATCACTATAATATGTGTACACGAAACAAGCCCCCTGTTCCTACCTCGGGGAATGCCGCCGGGAACGTGGACGATCTGCTTGACCTCAACGGAGAACCTGCTCCGCCGCCACCGTTACCCGCTGGATTCACGATTAAGGGGATTATTGCCCTAGTCATTAGTATTCTCAACGGGCTTATCATGGTGGCGATGATTGCGTGGTACGGCATGTTGCAGAGCCCGGCCACAGAAGCCGCTGCAGGAGATGCAAGTGATAGTCCGGAGGGGGAGAACCAGCCTCTTTTAGCAGGTCCCGGGTCAAGACAATAGCGAATAGATGAGTCTGCCTTGATAGCTGAGACAATTCGTCATAGAGAAAATGCACCCTTGAGATGTGAACCAAGTCCAGGTCTCCAATCGCGGATGCTTGTGCGTGGTACAATCTTGCGGTTGGCTGAGAATAATGCCAGAAGATGCAATGTTACTGCAACACATTCCACCCTCGAGCGACCCCGGTTATATGATTGATCGACCCGATAAACCCGTTGAGGGCGCAACAAATCCGACCACATCGCTAAGCCCTGTAATCCGCTGCAGACTCTCGTACGAAACGATTTCCAACTAAATGGTAACACCCCGCACAATACCTGCATTCAAGGGTACGATCCTTCCTACCGAAATTTTGTGTTTGAGCCTTCACTTGTTCCTCTTCCAACGCGGGGTAGCGCAGATCTATCCTTCGGTCGGAGTCAAAGCGCATGTTGGCCCCCAAATAGTTAATTTCGACGGAACGGCGAAGGGCTTACGTCACTTGTCACATATCGCTGACCAGACGGGAGAGAATAAACGAATGACTGTATCTTATACGTAGCTACCTGCAGTATAGTATAACTGTGCCCCTATTACTTCTGCGCACTTCAACTATCCTCCGGTGTTTTTTTCACTTGTCGTTGATGGCGTGGTAGGCGTACACCACATCCTCGTCGCGATCGACATCAGGGTAGACGATCCATTCGTCGTTATCTAAATGCTGAGTCAACAATGGGCATGAGGTGGCTTGAAATCGCCCCACCTGGCGTAGGCTCGGCCCGAACGGCTACATGCTCTAGCACTAGATGTTAGTGGAACGCCTAGATCCGCCTGCATGGCGAGCTTACCATCGGAAGGAACGGGCGCAGCCAGAATCAGGGTGAAGAGAAAACTCAAGATCGCAATGGACTTCATTGTGGCAGTAGAGGATAGAACGACGTGTAGCTACTGGGGATGTTGGCAAACGTTCAGTGGAGGTGTTAGCGATGATAGCCAGTTGAAGTCTTATTTATACCACTTATTTATACCATATCAATACACCCTACATGCGTGTATTAAGGTGATGATAATCAATTCTCCATCGGGCAGGCTTCCTAATGTGATGTTGAAGATGCGTCGCATGATCTCCTGGTCAGATCGGCGGCGACTGCCCTGCACGCCTGACATCGGTGTTGAGAATGTGCTTGCTTTTGCATGCATAGAAAGCTATAATTCTACTGGTCTCACGGTCACCGAGCCGATATTAAGGCAAAGGGAGTGAGTGAGTTTGTGGTGTCCGGTCACGCATGCATGCATGATCCCCTTGCTTTGGGCTTCGCCTTGATTTTGCCGCATACGAGACAGACTTGTGCTGTCATAGTACAAGCGGCGTGGAAATGAGCGTTGGCTGTCGTGTAAACGATTATGAGCTTCTTCCAGCTGATACGACACTCTGTGAGGCACTGAGAGGGTAATTGTTGCCGTGAAAAACATGAACTTTGAGAAGGAGCCGTTCCTCGGTGATGATGGAGCATCGACAGGTGAACGGTTGACTGCTCCATTTTGGAACAGTGTGCGAGCTAAACTATGGTTGCTTCTCCATATGAGTCTCATCGCGACATACACTGGGATTTTCGTGTGGTCAACAAGAAAGAATTGTGCTTTCCAAACTTCCCTTCATCGTACGTGGAACTCAGACGACTTCACAGCCTTCTGATAGACGTGCTGATACAAATAGCCATCAACGGCCTTGGAGTAGCTATAACTCCTAAGCCCTACGACGATTTCGAGCAGTCACCTTACGCTGGACTTCCATCATCATCAATCGATGCAGCATGGCACTATCTACTCGAGCCAACAACCATACGAGTAACTCCTGGAGAGCTGAATCGGAGCAATCAGACCTCGGTCCCACTCCCAGGAGGAGGGTATATGGCCTGGCTTGGTGTCTTTCATGAGCTTCACTGCATTGTAAGTTTTCAGTTTTTGGCATGTAGCAACTCGACCTAACGAGGCACGCAGAAAATGGTGCGACAGTGGGTATACCGTGATCACTATTACCCGAACATTACCGAAGATGAGTTTGAGGAATCGAGCATCCACGCTGGTGCGTGAGCGACTTCAACTTTAGTGCCGAATTTATGCCACGGCTAACAGCAATTTAGACCATTGTCTGGATATTTTGAGGAGTGCCGCCTTGTGCCATGGCGACACTACTCTCACTACATTTGGTTGGACAAACAAGTCAAAGCCTCAACTGAATACACGTCCCATAAATCATAAGTGCGTGGACTGGAAGCAACTTGTTGTGTCCGTGGAGGATCGGGTGGTTCAACGGGAAGAAATGGAAGCGATGGTCAATCCAAACTTGCAGTAATATTTGAAGCTATCTTCGTGCTACACTATTCAATAATGAGAACTCAATCTTGAAGAACCCATTTCCGTCTCCACTACCGAATACAATTCTTCATATGATGTCTGACAATTAGACTATCTGCTCGACATGTTGCTTCCTCTGCTGTTCACTAGTCCATGTTTTCAATTGCTCCCAGTCCCGACACTGGTGCATTGTCCTGAATCCATGAACCCCATTGATCTTCTCGTCAACGACCTCCAGAGTTGTATCCGCTTGACACATGAGTGACTGGCGGACAAGGTCAATGCAATGACGTATATGGCTCTCTTGAATATCCACCGGAAGATCTTCGTCCACCAGCTTATGACCTTGAACGGCGGCATGGTGGCTTGCCCAGTAGCCGCCCCGCAGCGCGTTCTGCAAACTTGTTTGAGTCTACGAGCCTGAAAATTGATCTCTGGAGTTCTTACCAAGCAATGAAGCTGGTGAAACACTGAGAATGTGCTACGAGTCGGGGCGATAACGGGATGAACGAAGAAGCCTCCCTCCTCTGGAAAGATCTCGCGCCACGCATGGTTTGTATGATTAGACGGAGGGTAAGAAAAACTGCGATTGTAGCGAAAGGTGTGGTCGATTGTATCAACTGAGGCTATTGGTCATCGCATACCAGCTTAGTCGGGATTCGTTACTCACGATGAACAGTTTGGTTCTTGACGTGAAGGTACGCGACTCCTTCTGCGGCCAAATATCCAAGTGTGCCTGCTATGAAGCATAATGACAACATAAAGAGTTTGTAGTAGAAGGGTCTCTGTTTTGCAGCAAAGGTCGTCCCATCATCTATCGAAGGAATTGGGGAATACTTGGTCCACTGGAGGATACCCATGATGATGGAGGTGAGATAACAAGAGAGTATTCTAAATGCGAGTCGTGATCTTGAGATTGACGAAGAGTAAGATATGGGCATGCGAGAGACCCTGAACTACTACCTCGAGCAAAACATGGCAGTGTCGCGAAATCAGTATCCATTTACATCGCTATGCATACATTGATTATCACGATATGCACTATTTCGGAACGAAAGAGTTTCTGAGTGGAGCTTTCGGCCCCAGGTCTGCATATGTGGACTTACATCCAAATGCAGGTGGCTAAGACGTAGGCATTGCAAGGCATTGCAGCGCATTGCCGGGAAAACGCCTCTGGCCTTTTAGCCAATCAACTGTTCACTCAACGTCGCGCCCGTTTCCAAATCCGGCCGGAGTTCGTACTAAAGTGCGCTGACCTGCGATGCAGCCTCGCTATTAGCTTGATCCACCCTAGAGCGGCTCAGGACCCCTTCGTCGATAAGAGATTACCCGACCTTCCTTCACAGGACTACTCCGTCCCAACTCCCCTGGTCTTACATGTGTTTATCCAGTAAGCTCAGTTGATATGAGAGCAGTAATATGATGATGTAATTGTGCATCGAAGGCCAGCTGACGGCCTCCCCGGACAAGGTTGTGATTTTCCCTTGTGTCACCTTCCACGCAATCCCTCACCCTCAAGAGCTTACGCACGTACGCGAGCGCCATTCCGCTTGTTCTTCAACGACTCCGGGATCCACACACGGCACCTTGCATTCCGAGCTTTGCTAAATCGAGCGATCCGGCAATTGGTGCGAAAGGCCTGAAAGCGGACTTTGAGGATTCTGCATAGATTGGTTTTGAGTGTCGAAATTCCATGCTCTGGAAAGGGTTCAGATTATCAAAGGTGCTACTTGACGTGTGTATACGTATTGAGATTTGCATAATACAAAGAGTTTACTAGAGATTTTGCCATCGAGATATACATATATTTCGGTGAGTCGTGTACGACCAGTGACCCCATCGCTGGAGAGGAAAGACAAAACGATTATTGAACGTATCTTGCCATATTTACGCTTGAAATTTGCTCGGGTGGGGGTATCATCTTATTGAGGCCTGCCCATCTCGTATTCATCGCTGCATACCTGAGATTCAACAGTGTGAAGTTTGTTCGGCTTCCGAGTTGTAGTCTCAGCTCCCTGTGTGAGATCGGTGGCACTCTCTCCTGCTAGTCGGCGGCTCCCGCCACTTCTGTTGCTGCCAGACCTCAGGCTCACCATTGAGAACATGCTTCGAATGACTGTGGGAAGGCCGCGATGTTCTTTGCGCAGTAAAGGTGCAAGAGCGGGCAGACAGGCAGCGATGAGCGAGTTGCATGGTTCTATGATAGACCAAATGGTGCAATACACCGTTGTAGCTACGGTAATTATTAGCGAGTCAGTTCGACGATATAAAGCGGTCCCATTCCAACGTACAAGAAAATGTGTGTTGTAGTGGAGTAAGATCCATCAAGCGCCTAAAGTAAACTGTCCGTACGATGGAGGCAATGATACTACTGCTCGATGGATCAGCCTTGCGACATTTTTTCTTTTTTTGGGGACCAACATACAAGAAGCCGAGACCGAAGATGCCTGCGACAAGGAACTTGCGTGTCCGGCTAATATGAAGATTCTTTATGACAGGCAACGGGAGACACAACGTGGCGACATCTTGGGCAAAATTGAGGATCGAGTTGACAAGCAGCCACACGGGATAGTTGATCGGCTGCTCGAACTGGTAGACGCGGTATGCAGCTAATGTTCCCTATAGCTGTATTTAGAATAATATGGATGACTGAGCACTTGGATGGGCTTACGATTGCGGAGGTGAGACCCCAACATGTTGTAAAAGCGATGAGTATGTTGTCTGCGATCTTGAATTTTGGCGTGGGAAACACTCGTTTGTAGAAGAACAGTAGGCCTAGTCGGACTAACGTGATAGAGACAACCCACAGTACCTGGCTCGCCCAAATGACCTTAGCACATTAGCATCGCTGATGCGTTAGGTAAAGAACGAGGTCGAATACCTTCCGGAATGTGAAAACCTTGGAGCCTTTCAGATCTTGGATCGGCCACCCCAACCCACCATCAACGGCTCCATAAATGATCAGACCACCGTGAGCTACGATGATTATCTAGTCCATGAGTAAACGACAGTGCAATCATTAGTTAGCATGACTCACAAGACCTGCAAGAAGAAACCATGCATCGGCTGTCATAGGTTGCTTCTTCAAACTTTGTGCATATTGGCGAAGCAGAACAGCAACCACCGCCAGAAAGGTGAAAATAGCACAACACACCACTGATGCAACAGAGTAAGAGGAATGCATCATGTTCGATCCGAGAACTTTCGCTCAAGATAGTTCGCGCAGGTGACCAAAGGTCAAACAGAGTAGGGAAACTAGGTTTGCCGACGGAGAAGAAGTTCGCAAAGCTTAGTGGCAGCAAATCGGTCGTTCGAAGGGACAATAAGACACTACTCTTGCCACCGGGGCGGAAGGACCCGCGCAGTCAAAGCTTTTGCGGTTGGCGCTCGTGCGACAGGGTAGACGTGTATCTTCGCGAACCATTGGTAGAGGCTTAATGAACATGCAACTGCATTAATCCGAAGTCCGACTCGCCCGAGAGGTGAGTTCGGGACCCAAAGGTTTGGCTCTACGTACAAAAGAGGGGCTGGGACCCGACCTTCGGGGAAGGATTAACTTTCATGCATAGTCTGGGGTGGCGGGGAACGTCAGCCTGTGCCACACAACTGCGGCAGGGCCAACGATGACTGCAGCTATCCCACATTTTGCTTGTCTTCCATATCTCCCACGCACCATTTCGGATAACACGCATTTCCAGTGGGATTTCAGGGTACTGGTAGTCCCCCCTTATTTTCGCCTTCGTGTACAACTTTCATTGCTAAGTTGTGCAAGTGGGCTTACACAGCTTAGACATTCTAGCCTGGAATAGCAGACTTATTACCCACTCTCCGCGCGATCTAAAGCAACAAATTGAGCCTTGAAGTTCGTTATGGCTTCGCGAGCCCGGCAGCTAGTGGAGATTCTTTCTCAAAGTATCTCCGACATCGAGGACTTTCTCAAGACTCAAGATGCACCAGATCTCTCGATCGAACAGGATGTGCCTTTGAGTTTCCACGCAAACCCAAAATTTGCTTCGACCAAGGATGCCGCCCTGTTGGCTTGTAAGGAGCTTTCAACGCTGCTAGGCGGTTCTTTCGCCGCCATAACCAATCAAACGGTAATTCTGATACTGTGCATGGAGACTCTCAAGCTGACCCTTTGATAGACTAGCGAATTTGCGAATACGCAAGCGATCTGCCGCTTCAAGATCCCATCAAGCTTTCCACCCGATCGCGATCACGCAACATACGACGAGTTGGCAGCGAACAGTGGTCTTCCAGAACCTGAGGTACGACGCCTAGTGCGTTCAACATTGCCTTCGTACATATTTCTCGAGAAAGAGACGGGCATCGTGACTCGCACTGCAGCATCAAAGCTGCTAGCCTATAATCCTCTTATGGTCCAATGGGTCGAGATGACTGCGACCGAAATCATGCCTGCGACACTGAAGATCGCCGATGCGATGGAAAAGTGGCCACAGTCGGGGGAACCACATCAGACGGTGAGTTTGAATTCCTCGCTTGGATCATACGCTGACCGCCTTGCCATAAAGGGTTATAATCTTGCCAACAACACCGAAGACTCAGCGTTCACACACATGGCAAAGTTTCCTGGTCGCCCTGAGCAGTTCGCTCAGGCGATGTCCCTCTTTAGCATGGGACCAGGTTATTCTCCCAAGTGGTTACTAGAGAACTATCCTTGGGATAGCTTGGAAACTGGCACTGTTGTTGACGTCGGTGGCTCAAAGGGTGAGTATGGTATCGCCATAGCCCGGAAGTATCCTCAGATCAAGGTTGTCATCCAGGATCTGCCAGACGTGATCGAAAAAGCCCAGTCGAGCGCACCGGCAGATTTGGGCGACAGAGTTGAGTTCATGGCCCATGATTTCCTTACAGATCAACCTATTAAAGACGCAGACGTGTACCTTATGCGCTGGATCTTGCACGATTGGTCAGATGCGTATTCGATCCGCATCTTGCGCGCTCTCATACCAGCATTGAGAAAAGGGGCTAGGATTGTACTGCACGAGTACATCGTGCCTGAGCCGGGCAAGACGTTAACCCTGCAGGATAGAACTCTAAGGTATGTGATTTTGCTGTTGTAAATATCTACTCAAACCGCCACTAAGATCTCGCGCAGGATATTCGACACCGCTGTCCGAGCTCTGACGAATGGCAAGGAAAGAGAAGCGAATGATTGGAAAGCGCTTTTCGCCGAAGCAGACAGCAGATTTCAGATATTGAGCATTGAAAAGCCACCCGTGTCTAGCCTAGGAATCATTGTGGCGCAGTGGGAAGGGTGAGTCAGTGCAGTCACTGGAAGTTGAGCGAGTTCAAGATCGAACTCACTTGAGTGCATGTAACGGTGATAGAACATGGACAATAACCACTCTCATTTGCAATCTTCTATGGATCTATAGTGACTCTTCAAACGTCACAGTGGAGCCCTCTGTCCAGACTGCTTCAATCACTGATAGTACAGAGCCAGGGGAACAAGTGATTCTCCGTATATGAAAGCGGGTGTCGGCAGCGGCGAAGAGAGATTCCCACTCTTTTGCATCCCGTTCTTTGGAATTGAACAATTGCTTCATCGTTAGATCATAACCTCTATACCATGTATTAGCATTGTTCACATGGATTGGCAGTCATGAGCTAACCGTAAAAGCCGTTCCTGAGAAGCAGACAGCACTTTTGGTGCAGGCATGCAGACTTCGTTCAAAATCACTTTTGAACCACTCTTCAGGGCTGGGATGATACTGCGCAGAATTCTGATGCAGTACTTATCGGACCAGTCGTGAAGCACCGAGCGGAGGAGGTAAACGTCAGCATCCAGCAATGGTTGTGGAGAAAACATGTCGTGGCTCATCAACTTCAGGCGACCTTCTAGGTCGTGAGGGACCTTGTTTGATTCAATGACATTCGGTAGGTCCTGAACCACTGCTGTCATGGTCGGAAAGTGGCGCAGAATTGCGGTAGTGATAGCTCCGTCTGCACCACCAATGTCGACCAGACGTTTCGGCACAGGTTCTGTGTCCCATTGTAAGTCTTTCAGTAGATGTGATACGCCTGTCTCAGGTGCAGCTTGCAAAAACTTCATCGCGTTCGTAAAACGCTCAGCTTTGGCTGGGGTGCCTTGCAGGAACCCGAAAAGCGTTGGGTTGGAGCTTTGGGAAAGTGAAAATGCGGTCTCATTAGGCTCCTCCGAATTTGGCCATCTCATCAGGGCGTCGACGGTATGTGGAGATGCTGGCCATACCTCATCGCAAAAATGGCCGATCCAGTCGTTCACTAGAGGCATTTCAAGCATGCATCTCGACACTGCAGAATGGCTAACTGAACCGTTCGAGGTCTCCCTGAAGATATGGAAGGCAATTGCTAAGCGCAGGAGGCGTCGGATGGCATCGACCTGGACGTTGCATCGTTGAGCGAGTTCTTCGTAGCTGACTTCTTCATCTGCTTGGATCTTCGATGCGACCTGATACTGGTTGATGAATTTAATACTCGCAAGTATGTTATGCTATTAGAGGCGTGAGTGGGATTGTAACGCAGCCGATACTTAGAAACACTACGTACAGTAGGACTGACCAAGCCTACAAGGTAGCTGAGAGGTCCCGTGACTAGATCATGAAGCTCTGCAGTCGCATCCAGGAGTTCGGCCCGAGCCTTTTGAAGATGCGGTGGGAGATCCAGAACAGGAAGTGCTCCAGGGGCAAAGGAGAGCTCGGGAAGGCCTTGTGCAGCTAGGTATTGGCTTATCTCTGCAGTATTCTGGCTAATCGTGGCTGCGAGAGATTCTGCTTTGGGCTGAGGCTTGGACATGATGAGGGTATTTCCGATGAGCGTGGGTAAATTGTGAAAAGAGAAGAACCACCACTTCACGAACGTTGCACAATATAGCAACTGTCGATTGGCGCGACCAGTCTAGAATTGGAAGAGGAATCTCACTATGCATCCATATTAGATTAAAGCGCACGTTGCAGTAAATCCAATGTCAAGACAGGGATCTGTCAAAGTCCGAAGGTAATCGCCAATCATCTCGTTGCTCGCGTACCCTGGCGCTGTATATGCAATGATCCTTGTGGTGCAGCAAAGGCTGACTTCTAACAGCCTGCAGCGGCCCTGCAAGTCGGCCTTGAAGAATTTCGGGGCCGCGTCCTTGGTGGGTCTTAATGATCAACTCCTGGGCCAAGCTTTTTCGGTGGAGACATCTTTTCGATTCAATTCTTCGACGAACATTATACTACAGGACTCAATCAGCATGTTAGCCTCGTACATGTTTGCGGTACTTGTCCTTGGCCTGACTTACGTCTTGGTTGTAAATAGATGGGTACGTCAGAGGGCTATTCCGGGTCCTCTTATTGGCCGATGGACCACCTATTACCGTGTTTGGCTTCTCATGTGGGGAGACGCTCCTCGCAGATATGCCGAATTGCATCGGAAGTACGGCCCAATTGTTCAGACAGGTCCATACCACGTCTCAATTTCTGAGTCTCGTTGGATACCAGTCGTCTATGACTCTAAACATCAGTTCCGAAAGGTGAATACATGCCGGTTCAAATGTGCGCGGGGGTTCGCCGCACAGATACACCGGTTCCTGCCCGACGCTCGTTTGTGAAGCGATCGTTGACTTGATTGTAGGGCAAGTTTTATGATGTATTCCGTCCACTTTACAAAGGCAAGCCGCTGGATACGGTCTTCACCACCTCGGACCCAGCACTCAACAAGCATCTCAAACACACGCTTCTCGTGAATCTGCTGAATAAGCCCCAACTATTTTCCAAAGAGATTGACTACAGCGTGGACGTCTTCATAGAACAAACTAAAGCAGCCAAAGGGGACTCGATTGACTTCTCAAGTTGGACCTTTTACTGGGCCTTCGATATGACGTACGCGCTGGTCTTTGGAGACCACTTTGGATATATGGCGTCGAGGAAGGACTTCAATGGAATGGTTTCCTCGTTCAAAACAATTGTCCGTTCCGCCGCAGTCCTCGGCCAGGTTCCCCAGTGGTGTCCGGCAACTCTAGCCAATAAAACCTTCATGGGATTCTGTCGCAGTTTTCGCAGTTTTCCAGACCCTACCATCCAACTTCTTGAGGTACGCGAAGATTCCTCTTATTTGAAGGTTTTTTAATAATGTGCATCTAGGAGATTGAAAGGAAAATTCACAATCACGACACGCAATCGCACTCGTGTGGCAACTCACTCCTTTGCCGCGTGCTCTCAGACGGTAAACACAAGCTTGAAGAGAACGCGTACGACGAGGCAGTGAATGTGCTCTTTGAGGCATTGTGAGTGAGTCATCAACCGTTGTTCCGAGCTAGCTGACGCGCACAGTCTTGCTGCGGCGGGGGAGGTAGCGGTCAGCCTAACGACCATCATTTATTGTCTTCTCAAGGATCAAAGGGTCTACACCAAGTTAGCAAAAATCGTGCGCTCTAATACAGATGCCGATCACACCTATGTGTAAGCTGTGATGGCAAAGCTCAGGAGCGTCAGGCTAATTACCCGAATCAGAAATGCTGTCATAAAAGAGGCCCTGAGGGTTCACACCTCGAACAGCCCTCCTATCGAGAGAGTGGTGCCCGCCGGAGGTCTGAATGTCGATGGATATTTCGTTAAAGAAGGAACTGTGCTTGGGATACCTCAATATCTAGCGCACAGAGATCAAGCAGTATTCGGAGCGGATGCCGAGCACTTCCGTCCGGAGCGCTGGCTTGAAGCAGACGCGGCTACTGTCAAATCCATGGACCAGAATTTTATGACAGTAAGTATCGGACGGAATGACTTAAACGATAAGCCGCTGACTTGAATAAGTTTGGCAAAGGGTGCCGCGGTTGCGTGGGCCGAGAACTCGCCATGATGGAAATGCGCGCCTTCGTTTTTAAGGTTCTAGGAGAACTTGATGTTGAGTGGGCATCCAGCACAAGGCCCACGACTGCTAACTATTGGATGATGGAGTACTTCAATTTCCATGTTCGGTTCACCGATGCGTCGTCGATGAGAGGAAGAAGTTGAGTCGCTCTAATAGCGTCTGGCTTGTGACTTCATAGAATAGCGCTACAGTGCACGATGTGCGGGCAGTCTTCCGCGTGTTCCTTTGCACCAACCCACTCCGTACAAGATAAATAGGCGTTGCGTCCCAATTTCGCATACTGAGGCAACTGCCCTTCCCTTTTTTCTACATATAGCATTGCCCCCAATGCTTGTGTGTGCTCTCATAGAATAGGAAGGAGCTTGCCCATGTTAGAACTAGCGCGGAAGGTGATACGCTAGACACGAGCTCGTCTTGTATCAGCCTAGCGTCTGAGCACAACCCATGGTAGCAACTCTGACTTGAAAGGAGCAAGAACACAGACCAAGTGTCATGCTGAAGTACGCTAGAGGTCATTCTTATTTACACCAGCCATCTTAGGCTTAAATTAAAGCCAAATGCAACCTTCTCGATCATGTCTGTCAATCGAGCATCCATTGACAACCTCGCTTGGGATACGAACTAAATCTAACATCCGTCCCTGGGTTACCGGACACCCCCTGTGACCGGACAAACCATCGGTACTTTGACTTTTGCCAGCTGGAAAACCCATGCGCACAACGAATATTACTATAATTCCATGAAATTAGTCTGTTATAACTAATGCTGAATGCCCATGATCCACCCTTCCCCAAAAATTACGTTCGCATGGTCGCCTCCGAGCCTGATTTGTACAGCGCCTTCTTTCGCGCAGTAACAGACCTCGCTTCCCACAACGCCAACCTCAAGCCTTTATCGCTCCGAATTGTCGCAGAATAGCATTATCTTAGCCTGAAAACCTCCCTCTAAGGCTCGGAAGTCATTACTAGCCTTGTGCACGCTATCGCAGGCAAAATCATCTAGCCGATCGGTACCTTCTTGGTCGGCGCTATTATGTTTGTAGTTAGTGCCAGAAGCCTTCCATGTATTATGTATGTATAGTATCTTACAAAGCCCGTCCATAAGGTGGCACACCTTAAACCACTTAATTTTAAGCCACGATCTCTTCGCCACATTTTTAATCTTAGGATCACGTGCTGCGCTGACATAGCACTTGTCTTGTTGTTTTCGTCTTAGCGCCTTATACACCTTTCCCACAAAGCTAACCTAGCGATGCACTTTAAGGATTCTGAGCGCACGGCCGCTTAAAAAGCGCTTTACCAAAATACGTAACTTATTAGCGCTTTCCAATGGCGGTACATGTAACGTTAGCTTAGAAAGTGGCGATCTCATGGGTCGTAGCTACATGTACCTCTACCCCCCTATTATCTATACATTTCGAAACATCTACAAGGTCATGGCTAGTGCGGGTCGGCCGTCCTCCCTGCTAGAGGTGGCGATGTGCCGACTCTATTGCCACCCGACCCTAACAAATCGCAACCGAGGTACTACTTTTTTTAAATTATACCTTTAATAATTATTCAGCATATATCAAGCGCTTGTGTCGAAAGACTGGAGGTTTTAGCCGTCGACACCTTGAGCAAATGATATGTACGTGTTGTTGCTTCCATATGCAGAATATGACCGAGCCAGATCAATGAAGTGTCTGGTGTCGTGACGCCTTGCGCGCCTTGATCAAGCCCTGTATACACGTTTCATGCTCTCCAGAAGCATATCTTATTAGTACCAGATACCAACACAATAAGAACAGTCGCATACCTAGCATCGAATTGTGTGTTAGCGTTCCGGAACATCGTGCTCAGCGGCAATGCTAACGTACATGGCTCCAACAAGGACCAACTCCATCGTCCTCGACCTGAGTCAACTTGGACAAGATAGAAAGATAAACAATCGTAGATATCATGATTATGACTATCCGAATCCATTTGGTGCTTGTAATGTTGCAGATTACGACAGGTATCAGCAAAAGAGACGCTATCAAGGATAGCAGTTCCGTTTCTGTCGCCCAAAACGGAGGTGTATGGGGAGAGCCAGCACGATATGTCAACGAGCAAATTCCATGAATACCACCCGACCAGCCGGAAGCCCCAGAGCAACAACGTTCCTATGAAAGGCTGTGCAACTTGGCCGATACTCGGGAGGAAGCCAGAGCAGACTCTCCGTTCCTCGAGTCACCCACTGCTCTTTCACAAATATGCCCCGTGGAAGATTCCGTAGAGAAATAATTCCGCCGACGGCCAAGGAAGCAGGCAGGGTAGGTAACAGTCCTACCTCAGTCTCTAGGAATCTTCCATCATATGAGAATGAAAGACTTTCAATAATGGCATCAACTTCAAACATCTGAAGCACCACCCCAAAGGCGGATCCCCACAGCATGATGGTCCGGTCCCACGACGCCGACGCCAGCAGCCTGCCGTCCGGCGAGAATGCTATAGCCCTGACGGAATCTGAATGGCCCTTGAGTGTCCGCAGCAATGCTCCCGTGCCTACGTCCCACATCTTGACAGTATTCTCAATTGATGGCAACGCCAGCAGCTTACCGTCCGGCGAGAATGCCACAGCCTCGAAAGAACCCGAATAGCCCTCTCGTGTTTGAAGCGCCGCTCCAGTGGCAACGTCCCACAGTACTGTCTGTTTCCATGATACCGAGACCAGCAGCTTGCCGTTCGGGGAGAAGGCAACAGTATCGATATGTCCAGTATGGCCCTCAAGCGTCTTTAATACTACCCCTGAGCTGGCGTCGCGCAACCTGATGATGCTGTCGTTCGATGCTATCGCCAGCAGTCTACCGTTCGGCGAGAAGACCACAATATGGACACAGAGAGCGAACCTCAACTCAATATTGCTTTGCGTGAATGAACCTGAATGGTCTGCGAGCGTTTGCAGCACCACTCCTGTGCCTACGTCCCACAGCTTCACCGTCTGGTCATACGACGCTGACGCCAGCAGCTTGCCGTCCGGTGAGAAGGCTAGAGTGTTGACGGCATGCGAATGGCCCTCAAACGTCTGCCACACTGCTCGCATGCCGATGTCCCACAGCTTGACCGTCTTATCGTCTGATGCCGACGCTAGCAGCCTGCCGTCCGGCGAGAAGGCTACAGCATTAACCAATCTTGAATGGCCCTCGAGCGTTTGTAGCACTGCTCCTGTACCTGCGTCCCACAGCTTAATAGTCCTGTCGTTTGATGCTGACGCCAGCAGCGCTCCGTCCGGCGAGACGACCACGTCTGAGACTGAATTTGAATGGCCTATAAGCCTCTGAAGCAACACTCCGGTGCTGGTATCCCATAAAACGACTTCCTTCCTGTCCAACTTTCCTATGAGCAGCTTTCCGTCTGCCGAGAAAGCCATAGTGTGGACTAATCCCCAATTGTAGTGCCTCTGCAGCACCGTTTCAGTGCCGGTGTTCCACAGCTTGATCGTCTCCCCGTCCACCGACGCCAGCAGCTTGCCGTCCAGCGAGAAGGTCACAGCCATGACAGAGCCCGAATGTCCCTCGAGCGTCTGCAGCAGCGCCCCTGACCAGGTATCCCACAGCTTGACCGTCTTGTCGTCCGATGCCGACGCCAGCAGCTTGCTGTCCGGCGAGAAGGCAATAGCATCGACATAGCTTGAATGGTCCTTGAGCGTCTGCAGGACTGCTCCTGTATCGGTGTTCCACAGCTTAACTGCCATATCCTCCTGTGCTGACGCTAACAGCTTGCCATCCGGCGAGAACGCAATGACGCGAATGTGAACCGAATTACACTGAAACGTTTTCATCAATGCCCCTGTCGCCGTGTCCCATACCCGGACCGTCTCGCAGGACGCCGAGGCCAGTAGCTTACCGTCCCGTGAGAAGGCGATGACGCTGACGGAATCTGAATGCCCCTCGAGCGTCTGCATCACCGCGCTCCAGTTATTCTGCACCCTCGGCAATCGTTGTACCCATCGCGGTATACAGTCTCTGAACTGCTCTCTTATTATGCTCATCGTTGGCGCGAATACAAGCGCGCTGCTGTATATTTGGAGCGGGGCCTGCTCAATTGTTTGTCTGCTAGATAAGACAAATCGCCTAGCGTCCTGGGCATATTGGGACAGCCGGGGGCATTCATGCTTCTAAGACATGTATCAGCAGTACATATTGCCGTTGTTGAAGCTGCTTACCGCCGCAGTAGACTCTAGAACCATCACTGCATGGATGCCTTGAGAGACCTTGCCCATCCATCCGAGGACCTCAAGCCAGTGAAGTAGATGCTCCTTTAGGAAAACGTGTATTTCGTCTTCGTCGCGAAGATGCGCTCTGCTCTTCTGAAGATGCTCGACCCAGTAGCGGCATGCATACTGAAGCTCTGGTGAGATGAACTGCTCTATTCGGCTGCTCTTAACCTTGGCTGCGAGCATACCTGGAGCATTCAGCTCACAAATATCTTGCTTTAGATATGTCGACAAAAGCCGGAGGCAGCTATCGACTAGAATACGGTGTGCCTGCATTTCGTCCACCCAGAAGCTTAAATCCTTGCACCTGTCCCTGCTAAGAAGATAGTCGCGGAATGAAGGGTGGTGTAAGCGAAGGGGTTGCATGTGGTCCTTCGGAATGTCTACCACGGAGTGCAGATCCTCCAGCGTCTGATTAATATCGTCTTTCGCTACATGTAGCAGCTTGTGTAGAGAGTGTGCGGAAAGGGGTGAAATGAGAACGACAAGGCTTCCTAGGATCTGTCTAAGCATATTAAATGACTCCTCCTTCTCCTCGTCAGAGTACTCGGAGGACACGGATTGACTCAGAACGGTTGTATAGATCTCGTCGAGGTGCTTCTCCGGTTCAGTCAAGGTGTCGCCGCTGCGCTTGAGAATCGTATTAAGCCGTGTTGCTGCGAATCGTTTCCCTTCGCGGATAAATCGACAAGCAGTTGCGGCCCAGATAAACAGTCCACATGCAATCTTGACCAGTTTTCTGACGACGTCTTCGCCCGGCCAATCGGCAGCCAGAGAGCGTTCCTGGCGGATAGCTTTGAGATTGTGTTTGAGGAAGACGGTGATGTCGTGGTCAATAATCGATGGTGATACGTTTTGGAGTATAAAGTATTGATGCTCGTCTGGTATCTGGCAAAATCCATGCCTAATAGGGATCTCGGGTCTACTCGTCAGGAATACCCGTAGCCGTACCCTCTGCAACGACCGAACCTCGGAAAGAAGATGGAGGATGATCCGAATGTCGGCTTCGTCGGCGCACTCATCAAGCGCGTCAACTACAAGAACGTAACACTTCTCGCAGCTAGGGCTGTCTAGCTTCGACAGTGGACGTAGTACAAGCTGATGCCACTGTTCACGGAGCGATCGACTTGCAATGTCACTATATCCTCTGATAGCATCGCAGATATGCTGGTGAAGCGTAGGTATGTTGCTTGCAAGCTGGCATGCAAGGCTTGCCACAAACTTGCCAGCATGTCCAACATCTCCGCCACCGCGTGAAAAGAAAAAGCTGGCTCCTAGGCATCCACGTTGAGATTGTTTTTCCGCAACAGTGCGAGCAACTGTAGACTTGCCCGTGCCGGCGAAGCCATTCAACCAGAAGATTGTCCGCTCATCTTGTCCATCAACCCAGCTGTGTATTCTATGGAGAAGGTCTACGCGGGTATCGGGGAGGCAGGTGGGCTCGTGTCGTTTCGTATACGAATTGAAAGGCGCTTCGACAGCATAAGGTAACTGCTTGAGCGGGTCCTTATCGTATCTATAATGAGGAAGTCCAGTCAGTAGAGCTGCCGCCAAATTGGTGAGCAAAGCTAAACATACTGAACGATGAAATCTCCATTAACATTGTTCTGACCGATCTGGGCTCCAATCCTTCCTCCTTCGTTGGTAAAACTGACCGGCCGAGGTTTTCGGGAGCCGCTCATCGCCAGAAAGAGAAGTCACGCGCCCTACTGAAATCGTTGCAACGAGCTGTGCATATGGAGAGATCGATAGAGGCTGCTGGAAAGACTATTGTCGCATTCATAAGCGGTACGCAGGCCCACCCGCGTTGTTGAGCGACTTGGCTGCGTGATCGCACACCAGGGATAACAATGAACCAATCAGATTCCGCCACATCTACCCCGCGGAATCAGGCATCACATGACTGCTATCGAGAGGCACATAAAAAGCACCTCTCTTTTAGCTCATCAAGTGTGACAATCGCCCTCTCGTCTGGCCTGAGGTAACCGAGGCATTTGAAGGAGTTGCAATCTACTCTCAATTTGAGACACCTGTTTTCATTGTTACAGTTCAGTCGGTCTGGTATGATCAAGAAAGTAGCATTATTTTCTACGCGCATATCTTCCCCAGATTATCCCCGAACGTCTCGACTGTGCAGGCATCACGCCGCTGCTGCACCATGGAACCGGTTGGCCTTACCGTCGGTGTCGTTAGCCTTGCCAGTCTCTTCAATAACGCCGTAGACTGCTTCGAATATGTCCAGCTCGGCCGTAATATCGGTAAAGATTTCCAGACCAGCATGCTCAAGCTCGACAATGCAAGACTTCGACTTTCCCGGTGGGGGAAGGCCGTTAGTCTAAGCGGCGACATAGCAGAAGTTCAGTCTCTAGAATCGACAGCGCTGTCAGCAGAGGACGTGCCGGTGGCTGAGAGCTTGCTAGGAAAGATATTGGACTTATTTGCTGATGCTGAAGAGGTTTCTGTGAAGTTCAAGAGCCGAGCAGTTGCTACCGACTCGAGTTTGATAGTTCATGACGCGCAAACGGACTTAGACCTTGTCCATCGAACACTGCATGAAAAAATGCGCGATCTGTCCATCAGAAGGCAGAACAAGACTCCCCTGCGTCACAAAGTAAAATGGGCACTGTACGAGAAGAAACACTTTCAGAGGTTGATCGAGGATATCATTGAGCTGGTCAATGCTCTTGTTGAGACGTTCCCAGCGGTACGACAGGCACAGCGAGATCTTTGTTCGGTAGAAGCGTCGGAGATTGGGACCAACGGGTCTCTCTCTGCGTTGGAAAGCGTCATTGCGGGTCAAGACGAAGATCTTCAAGCCGCAATATCGGCGATCCTGAAGTCTAATGTAAGCTCTGCTCAAACGACCTGTCCGGCAACGGCTCACTACCTTCAGAGCGGCGTAACCAACACATGGAACAACCGTAACAGCAAGATCGGAGAGCAAGTAGGGACCAAGAATGTTTATGGCAATCAGAATATTACAGTTTAACGCGCAGTAAGGTGTAGCCACAAGTACTAGCATTACTACTAAACTTAAAGTATACTTTAGGAAGTATATCCTAGAGTTGATCTGTCAGCGTTGCGGCGTTGACTAATGTAGCATTTTGCCACCGCTAGTAGGGAGGACGGCCGAACCGCACCGGAACAGACCTTGTAGATGTTTCGAAATGTATAGATAATAGGGGGGTAGAGGTACATGTAGCTACGACCCATGAGATCGCCACTTTCTAAGCTAACGTTACATGTACCGCCATTGGAAAGCGCTAACACTTATTTGGTAAGCGCCTTTCTGAGCGCCGTGCACTCAGGATAACCGAAGTGCAGGAACGGGAAGCCGATATCAGTCACCACTGTATACGGTTGATTTTTCGTTGTTCTATCTCCGTTATTACACGTGATAGTCTCACGTGATAGCGCTCGGGCCATGAGCATATTCTAAGACTTCACGCATGTTCCCCACAAAGCCCGCCTAGCGGTAACTGTTCAATGACTTGCATGAACAGATCTGCAGGCACCTAACTGATCTTAGCCTTTGAATCTCGCCTTTCTCAGCACAAAAAGTTGAATTTTCCAGCTGCTCACCATCTTCTCCATTACTGCCCAGCGAGGCATCGAAAAAATTGCAGGCGGCTAAAAATAGATGGGTCAAAAAAAGGCCCTTTTTTCAGGGTCAGGCTCATCCCCCGTCGAGCTACGTGCTCGCTTCGTTCCTCTCCACCCTTCCCATCACCATCACCATTTCCATAGCAGCTAAAGCTAACATGGACCGAGCAAGCCAAGTGCTGGCACAAGGCATTCCTCATGGCGTACGCAATACATACCGCGCTCTAGCAGAACATCACAACGTCGCTCGCTCTACCCTCCATGATCGCGCACATGGCAAACGCTCGAGAGAAGAGAAAGCCCAGAGTCAACAGTATCTCACCCTATGTGAAGAAAAAGCTATCGTAAACTTTTTGTTGTAAATGGCTGAATTCGGACAACCTGTGCGGATAAAGCATATACCTTCCTTAGCCTTCATCATTGCTCGCCAGCGATCCACGAACAAACCAGCCAAGCCTCTAGGCAAGAACTGGGCTCGGGCTTTTGAGAAACGCCATCCAGAACTCAAAGCAAGAAAAAGTACGGCGCTAGACTGGGATCGCTACAATATCTATGATAAGGTCGTGAACTGGTTTGATGTGATTGGAAAAGTGCTGTAGGATCAGACTATCCTACCGGAAAATGTGTATAACATGGACGAGACAGGCGTGATGTTAAGTATGCTCGGTAGTGTCAAGGTCCTTGTCGGTAAGGATGACCTGCGAAGTTATTGAGGCGCGCGTGTGAAGCGCACAGTAGTAACTGCGATCGAATGTATTAGCGCCGATGGTAGGTACCTGGGCCCAATGATAATCTGGCCAGCCTCCACTCACCGAGCTAACTGGACCACGTATCCTACTCCTGGATGGCATTATGCATACTCTGAATCTGGATATACCGACTCTAAAATCAGCTTAGAGTGGCTTAAGCGTGTATTCGATCCTCAAACTAAAGAACAGGCTAACGGAAAACCACGGATCTTGATATGTGACGGCTTCGGGACGCACGAAACCCTTGAAATCCTGGAGTTTTGTTTTGAGAACAACATTTTACTATGCCGTCTTCCCTCTCACACATCCCACAAGCTACAGCCTTGTGATATCGCTGTGTTTGCCCCACTGAAAGCAGCCTATCGTGACCAGGTCGAGCGACTGGAGCGAGGGGGTATAGGGACAATCGGTAAGCAACATTTCACCTACCTATACAGCCCTGCAAGGGAGAGGGCTTTTACTAAGAGAAACATCCTTGCAGGATGGAAAGCAAGCGGTTTGTATCCCTTCAATCCCGACAAAATACTCACAGATATCCCAAAGCCGGCTGCTGAACCGACGGCTGCTGAACCGATCATTCCTACCCTCAGAACCTGTGGAATTGGTCCTTGTCCGCAAGGCGAAGTAGTCCAGACGCCAGTGACACCAGGGGCTCTTGCATCGTTGCATAATCTGATCAAAGAGAATGCTTGTGCGGAAGATGAGATGAGTAAACAACGCCTACAGAGGCACATACAGAAATTTGCCAATGCTGCCCAAACATGCTTTGCCGAGCGTGCTCTTCAGCGGCAACAAATTCATTTTCTAAGAAAAGTCAACAATGAAGCCAAAGTTCGCCGATCTACTAGATCGCTGGAATAGGGACGGCGAAGGTCATGAGCTATGAGGATCTTGAGGAGGCACGGAAGAAGCGTGCTGAAAAGGATGCTGCTAAAGCGAAGAGTAAAGGAAAACGTGGTCGAAAGCGCAAGAGTGCTGCATCAGAGATAGATGCGATAGGTCCGAAGGCTAAAGTAGCACGGATAAGTGAAGAGCTAGAGCTAGTGAGAGCTCCAGTGCGGTCCGCACAGGCTGCCCCAGTAGCACGAATGTATTAAGATTATCACAGCCTTCTTCTAACGTTACATTTTGTGTTGTAATAATTGTTCCCCCGTGATTCTTCATCCTCTTTTAATAGTAGTTTCTTAAAAAGACAGCAACAGTTATCTCTAAAGCAAATAGCGACTATTTTCAATATGCCTTAAGGAACGAAGAGACGAAAGGCTACTGGGGAGCTGCAACTATCAAAAACTACAGCCACAGGCCTGTACCGCCACACCTCTCGTTCGTTACATATTTCGTATTAGGTATAGCATGAGTGAAGTAGGTATAATGTGGGTAAAATAGGTATAGCGTGGTTGGAATTTTACCGCTAAGTTCCCGTAATGTATGCCCCAGGCCGCGATATATCTCTTTCTTATAACCATAACAACATTAGAACATCCTTTCCTTCTACTATTCAGGTTGCTGCTGTCTGTTTTGCTCTACACTATTCACTATCTACTATATCTACACTATCCACATCTACTCTACTTCGTCTAGAAGAACGTTAATATTAATCTCGTGCTAATTTAGGTGCTTAACGCTGCTCATCTAGAAAAAACAATCTCCCTGCCTCCGCCTCCGCCTCCGCAATCACAGCTTTATTCTACTCCTCTAGCCTCCTCTTTGTCGCAACCACATTAAACCACTTCATTTTAAACCCCACGCCAGGTAACTTTTACGCCACACTCTGTGGTTTATGCCACACTCTGTCTTACCACTACTTTGTCTAGGACGGCCTCTTCCTATCGTCTATAGAATAAAGATACGAAATAGAAAATGTTTCTCTCTTTTCTTCCGCCCCTATTCCAAACGGTTGTTGTTAAATCGGCTTTCAAGCTACAAGAATCCCGCCGTCATGAATCCTTATTTTTAGCAGGTCACTCGGCACTGCTATCAAAATAAGATAAAATATGTCTTTAACAACATCTTAACAGACGATGACCAATGTTTTACTGCAGAATGTAAGCTTTCTTAAGCAGTGCCGTAAGATTCCTCTCTTATTGCATGTTTTAACAGCTTTATATTCATCCCGCCTAACCATTAGAAGGGTTCCTTTCCGGCCCAGTGCTATCAGCCCAGAATGCTAGATCGAGAAGTTCAGTGGGCTTGAGAAGAACTTCTTGCACACGCGGTTCTATTTCCTGACGACTCTCGGACCAAAAGCTAGCCGCGTTCTCCTCCTCAATATCGAGTTCCGATCTACTTCCCGTACAGTCAGTTCCAGGGTAGATTGCGGCCCTTCCTGCTATTTCAAACAGTGGTCCGTCCAAGGAAGGTTTTGGCCGCATGACGAACGCCATATTCATCGTTTTGGGATGCCAAATACGATCTCCATCCTTGATTAAACAGGTCGATAACCCACTGATCAGCCCGTAGCAGTTAACACTGAAGCATACTAAATCATCTGGATTTACAATATCTGCCCCTGGAATGGCATCTTCTTTTGGCTGATCAGCACAAGGCTGGGCTGTCCACCGAGAATGATTTCTCTGTATCAAGCGCTTAGGCATCGCTCTCAAAGGCGGAGTCCGCTCCCGAAGCCTGAGAATGCGCCTCGTATCCTTTTTCTTTTTCGCCGGACCGAGATCAAACAGAATAGTCGTGAATGAAGATTCACTTCCCAGCTTTTTTAGTTCCGCGCTGTGCATGCTCTGCTGTTCCACCCCTCGGCAAAGACGATTGTAGAGGAAGTTGGCATATCCTATGGTCTGCGGTCCCGTCATACCCTCGTGGTCTCGAAGGAATTCCAGGACTGAGATACACCGACTAGCGGGAGTTTGAGTATAGTCGACTTCAAGGAACTGTCGATGCTCCCCAAGTAGGTTATAGAGCGCGTATACAGTATCGCTGGGCTCTTTGCATTTGAATTCGTCGTATCGATGCATCAACTCTCGCAGCTTCGGTGTAAACTCGTTCTTAAAGTTATTCTCTAGTCTGTGACGGGCAAGACAGGCTAGCGGTAAACGAGGGAACTTGTCTGTTGAATAAGAACAAGATGAGCACTCTAGCTGTTGTTTTGAAGTGTGGCTTTCCGGAAGGAGCTCTTGCATCAGCTTTTCCCATTTACGTCCTCGTGCAAGGTTCTTGTATGGATTCTCTTTAAGATCTTTAAAAAATTTCTCAACGTCATCCATTGAAAGCTTTTGCCAACCTGCTTGGAGAACGACACTCTTTGCAAGAACAAGTTCCTGGATAATCCATCGTCTTGTCCAGTACTCAAGTTTTGCAAAGTGTACAAAGCAGCGCCAGTCGTGTTGCCATCCCGGCATATCGGTGATGATGAAGGGATTGCTGAATTGCACTGGTTCATCCGAATCATGCTGAGACTGGCAGTAGTTTGACACACCATACTGAGCCGCCCTGGAGATGAATTCGAAGGCTTGCTCGATGTTGTGATTCCCGCGCCCTAACCATCCAAGCACGGTGTTGGCATTTGAGTATATCAGGCCCATCAGCGGTATCTGGTGATTGCGCTCAGATTTTGACGATTGGTCGATACATAAAGCATCGACCCACAGCCAGCAGTCGCTTTCAGCACGAACGCACAGGAGAAGAGTGTACAAGTTCTCACCAACTTCCATCTCCTGATAGGGCGGATCTCCAATATAGATGACTTGGTTTGGCCCAGGATTGCCCCAAACGTATGAGACGGCTCGATAGGACGGTGCAGACTCCAGTTCAAAGTGCTGTAGTCTGCAGTGGATGAGGTCTCCCTGGACAGGGTTTGAGTGGAGCCGCAAGAGGCGGAAGTACTTTCCTTTCTCTAGCCTTTGATGCTTGAACTGGCTCTCCGCTCGTTCGTCCAGTTCCCTCAGTTGAGGGATGCCCTGCTCAGGCTCAATAGACATCCAATCATCCTTGATATGAGATGGAGCCATAGTCGACGAGAGGAGATAGTTTGCTGAAGAAGGTTGATCAAAGGAAGGCAAAAGTTTCGCTATGAAAGCATTGTAAGGCTGAGCTCGTGTGATGCGGGGTTATTTGTCAGCCGCATCGAACTTGTACTCACCGAACTCTACTCAAAATGACTAGGCGTATTCTAGCACCTTACACCTCACCGGACATGTTACACACTTCAAAATCCATTCCTTAAGGCTCCTCTAGGCGAACCGCGGCCTGCGGTTGCCTTTAGGAACAAAGAGGCGAAGGCTATAGGTAGCCGCACCCTTAGAAACTGCAGCCACAGGCCTATACCATTGTACTTCTGTTAGATATAATTATTTTAGGTGTAATTAGTTAGCGTATAATAAATCTCAGATTAGCCGTGTAATTAGCTGATAACATGTATTTTCCTCCGCGCTCATATTAGTAGAAAATTAGTTGCAACGTTTAACCTAGCAAGGAGTAAGCACTATGTAGCCAGCAAGGACATCTTAAGTACCGCGAGGTTTGCGCCGCAAGGTCTACGCTATAATCACACCTCTCTATCCTCTCCCCTTCGTTCCTTAAGGCTCCTTTAGCAACCGGTGCTGGGCTCCCAGTTGCGCTTTCCTGTCATTATAAAAGGGTGTCGACACTGATTGCTTATTCACCTGTTATCGATTGCACAAAAATGGCGAGCTCAGCAGCCACAAAGTCAGCAGCACAGCCATTCTTAAAGTGGTATAGTGCTTAGAGAGATACAGTGTCTAGAATAATACTGGCTTAGTACTGTACTGTAGAGCTGCGCTAATCTATATTAGACTAAAGCGCCAAGGCCCATACCGCCGATAAAACTCCTCTTTACTCGGTCATGCTCGGAATACTCATTTCTGAGGAATTGTTATCTCCAAAACTTGCAATGATATTCTCTCTTAATAGAATTTCCCTACTACGACCTTGGAATTTGTAGAATGGCTAAGAGCGGTAATTTGGCAGGGGAGATTCGCTGAAACGACTCCTGATGATGTTAACAAAATGATCAACAGCATGGTTAAAACTGCAGTAATTTTCTTTTACAAGCCAAATACTAGAGTGGAAATAGCTCGACTATAATTGTTTTACGACTATAGCTTAATAAATTCGCGACTGAAAAATTTAACGTGGCTAAACGGTAGTCCTGTCCGGTTACACAGTGTGTCCGGTGACATAGGGAGGGATGTTACTTGCCTGCTACGCATTCAACAAGATCAGCTGGATGCTCAATCCAATGGCGTTCACTGGTGACATGCTTCCGGTGGCGACTCGGGATGATCTACAAAACGCTTCATATATGGTCGAAGTGATCGTACCTGTCGTACGGGAAGTGATCGAACCTGTCATACGCTGCCACGAAAGTAATGATACAGGTCGCCCATTGACAGCCTCTGCCGCAATGGAAAATATGCTTTCAAATGATTTAGATCCACTCGAAACGAGCACGACTTTTGACGAGCTCCACACCGAGAATTTGACAGTGATAAGGAAAAGGCATGACTCTGTCGTTCGAGTGGATTGTTATGCCACACTTTCCTATTCAACTTTACACGATACGCCAAGCGGCAATGACGCTACATTGAGAATGGCGCCTGAGCTCTCCACCACACGGGAATACTACAGGCAACTTATTCCGCGAGCCCTTAACAGCACCAGTCACTAGACATGCGCTCCGCGCAATGCTTCCACATCTACTGAAATTGGTTTTGTCGATAGGATCCCTTCAATTCAGGCGGAAATATTACAAGAAAAGCAATATCCTTTAGGCGTGGGCGGATGTATCGACCCAAGGTGGCCTTTGCCTATCCTTACGCGAAGGAACATTGACAATTTGTCAAACCTACATTTGGCCTCATTACTGGTCTCGTGTATAGTCAAGAGCTAAATGATGGATACTGGAAAAATCACATGGCCCAACAGAACTAAAGTACGAGCATAGCCGCAGCTAATCTTTGAACAAGCAGTGTTTTCTCTAACATGGCGATTGCTCGGACAGGGCCAGGAACCAATCGCATTATTGCCACCCAAGAAATGAACCTCACTACCCTGACTGAAAAATTCTCTTGAATGCATCACTTCGATTGATGACGCTTCCCGCTTTCTCGTAAGTCAATATGTTCAAAACAACCATAACATTTATGGTGTCAACGTGTCTACTCGAGTAAGCCAGACACTTCGGTTGAACAAGTACACCTACCATCCCAGAACTTGATCATCGCACATGGCTAAGTCAACTATTTCTACTTATCCTCGGCAATAGATGATCAGCTTTACGCCAATACTGCTCCTCCTGCTCAGGCTCATATTGGCTAGATGCTCAATCCTAGCATGTCTGTCCGCTGTTCCCACCGGGATCTACGCTCTATACGCAAACGGCGAGAGTTAGGACAGTCGATTCACGCCTATCAGTAAATCCATGCAGAGTCCTTATGTTGTGGCTCTTTTGAAATCTCGAATTACTGATCCCCTGTACCCGCGCAAGTCAGCGCAAAATCAAAGATGAGACCGCAAAAAGATGAAGACGCGGTGCAATTTCGAACAGAACATGAGTATGTTGCTTTGGATGTGAGTTTAGCTTTCAAAACCCTTTTTCGAAAGGTCTTGCACTGTGTTCAGGTGAATGTCTTGGATTTGGATGTTTGGAGGCTTCGTCAATTACTTAGGATGACATTTCAGTCGTCGATTTTTATCACGTTCAGGGGCCGATAAATCACGCGATTGCGGCAAGTTGGACGCGGAAAGTCGCTGGAATGCACAATTCGAAGGCATGCAGGTTATTATACGCGATAGAGAAGGCTATGTTGCAGTAAATCGAGTTTTTTGATCGCAAGACATGATGATTGTACGTCTATATGAGTGCTCCCATATCACATTTGAGGTGGAGTGCTTCCAAACTGATTTATAGTTTAGGTTGCGAGTAATGCTGATTTGGATATTTTACACAGAGATACGGAAAAAGTTAGGCCTCGAGTAATGCAGTATATTTACAAAGAGCAGTTCATCTTCACTCAGTCCTTGCAAGCCAACGACAACAGCGTGAAGATACCACCAGCAACACCATGTACAGCACCGGCAACAGCGCTCATCGAAGTCAAGAGCTTCCCGCAGAAGCCACCATTATCAACCTCAATCGTCAAATCCGAGCCAATGAATGGCGGCGCCGCATTGGCCGCATCTTTATCCTGGTAGTTGATTCCCCAGTATTGCGGCACTGTGCACTCGTTGACCGTGATTGGCTCAGCAGGACAGTACACGGCAGGATTGGGGCATGTGGGTGTATTGGTGATGTCTTCACACTCTGCGACGGCCTTGACGGCTGCGGCGAGACCATCAATCAAGCCGTTGTGGATCCAGGTTGGGTAGGCGCCGGAGGGCTCAACATGAACGGTTATGTCGTCTACCGAGCTGCCGCGACCGGCTGCGATCAGCTGGCCCTGGAAGTCGATGGTGGATGTGTCGCATTGGCCTTGGGTGGAGCAGGCTTTCGAGAGACCCGCGATGATTTCGTCAATCTTCACTGTGCCGATCTTGACAGTTTCATCGGAGACTAGTGTATAATTAGAAAAGGTCGGTGGGATGGTGACGTGAATGTGGGCATACAGGTGATTTTGATGTTACCATTCTCGTCGTTGATGTTATCGCGCTTTGAGATTTGGGACTGGGGGATAGCGGACACGGTAGCGGCCGTGATGGCGAGAAGAGAGAGCTGAGAACGCATCTTGATGGTAGGTTCTGATTGGATCTGCAATGGGCTGAGAACGATTGAAAACAAACGTAGGAAGTGAAAGGTGCGATGAGTGGGCCGGGGAGAGGACTTGTTGTTCTGTTAATCTGCTTGCTTGATGGAGATATCTGGTGAACTTTCGTACCATTTATATACACCTGGGCGTTGTCCGCAATAGCATTCAACATCCAAAAACAAAAGCTGTTTCGTCATAACCTCTGAAAACATACCCTACTTCCTCAAAGGAACGCGCTATGTCCAGCTGGGTGGTGGCCTTGCTCGACCCTTGCATCAAAATTGAGGCCGACGGGATGATCAGAGCTCCAAATTGACGTGCACAAACGCTTCTGCACTCACGATGATCGCACAATTGAGGCTGTACAGATTTAGAGCAACGCGCTGCACTACTAAAATAGGAAGGCTCGTTACCTGTTACGCGGCTGGATGAAACGAACAATGATGGCAGCAAGGCTGTGCCGATGGTGCCGGTGGGGAACATCTGTGCGGAATTCCTATGATCAAGGCTTGCCAAGGTTTAAAAGCATATTTCTTTCCCCGGATCAACGCATTTGCGTAAGGATCGCCCAGGTGTAAAGCTCCGACCTGGTGGGTGACGCACCGTAGAGTTTAACATCGGACAAGCTACTTAAGCGGACTTGCCAACACTGGAAAGAGTAACGTTGCAATGCTCCACCTTTACGATCTGTTTCTGATCACGTCGCTTCTTAGTGGCTCATCTGGTGACTGAGAACTCTACGGCAGCTGGCCTTGCTCTGCCGGGTGGCCTAAATCGCACGGAGGTACTCCGCGCTGGGCACGGCCGCTGGGGGCCGTAAGTGTAACAACGGGAATAAAGTCAAGGAAATGACGTCAAACACACACTGTATCGATCCTGAGGGTCTAAGTTCGGAACGAAGCCCACGTGTACTCAGGTTGCAGCCCCAAGTGACCCCAAGCTTTTCGGGGGGCGACACAGGGGAGTCATGGGGCCACTCGCAATGCCTGCAACATCACGTGGTGAGCTTTGTACCAAGAGGCTCAGTTTGAGAGCTGGGAGCAGGCACAGTGCTGTCCGTCAACTGGCCATGAGGCTGGGGCGCGGAACGGGTGTTGACCGTGCGCCTCTGAATGACGTCATATTCGCTCAACGCCACCAACGGACATCAAATTCATCTGATCCCCGACCCAAACACGAGCAATCCTACGCATTGTTGTGGCGCCTTCCTTTGTTGATCAGTCGTATTCCAAGGACCACCTGTGACTTGCACAACCGCCTGCGTCTTCGCGGCTGCGTCGTTCAGCCTCTGCCTAGACCCACCGTTTGATGTCATGACATTCAGATAGTCCCGCAGACTCGAGCTGATTGTGCTGCGAACAAGGTCTGACGTACGGGATTTGTGAAGGGACCCGAGAGACTTGTTGAGGAGCGGCCCATTGAAGACATCGATCTCCATCCGCGTCTTGCAAAAATGTGCGCATTTAGCATTAAGTTCGCCTTCTAACATGTAACCTCACTACTGCGACTCTCCATCCCGCGCTTGCGCCATTCGATCCTCCAATATTCTGTTGCGCGTTGTCGGACCGGCTTATCCCTCATCTAGCCTCATAGATGGAATACCGTCCTGGATACTGCGAAGCAAATCCGCGTAACAGCAACGCTATACTCTTGTGTATTTTGCGGCGCAGTCCTGGGCGTCAATCTCGCACTCCACAAATCCGCTTCCAGCATCACCATCTCTCTCGCTTGCGACCTTTGATCTCGTAGTTGCATATTGACTTCTGCTGCCACAAAGCTACCGATGTGTTCAAATGGGCGCTGGCCATGATCTTCAGGTCGCGGAGGAACTTGCACAGGATTGTGTCGCGCTAATTCGGGGGCTCGATGGGTAGAACCGCAGGTCAGACACGCCTCGCATCGGGGACAGCGGTGTGTCGCTTCATCGGTCAAAGCGGAAGTGTGCATGTTGCGGCACTTTATGCGCGCTTCTTCAGTCTCGCAGAGTTCTCGTAGCGACTATATAGGAGGTACAGTATGTCGGTAGCGATGACTGCCATTGCCTAGAGTCTTCGTGCCTGGGGACAACGTACCGCTGAGGGAATCCGGGATAACTCAGGCATCGACACGCAAGGAAACCTCGGGAGTTACTGACCTTGTCCGCATATTTCGGTAATCGCGATTTGGGTTTTCGGAACAGCTTGCGATATTTGGATCGGGGAATGAGGATTTTACAGCGCGATGTCAACTGGCTGGGTACAGAGTATGGCTCCGGTGTGGGTAACACGTAACCATTTCCTTTCACGTCTAACGCATCCATGGGACGTCTCTAACGTGGAGGTACCAGCTTCGGTTTGTCAATGGTGATGGATGGGGCCTGTTTGCTGCCACCACGTCTGACGCACATGCCGTGCTACCGAACTAAACCAAGGTAGCGAGCTGGACGCGAGTATCGAGACGACAAGTCGTCTTATCGAAATGAAAAGCCCAGTCTGGTTTTTTTGGCAGGTCTATCCAGGGCGGATGAAGTACAGAGTACGGGGCACCGTGAAGGAACAAAACGAAGCTATCTCGCCGTGCAGCTCTTCGTGTTTCAATCTCAGGTAGTAATGGGTTCGAGACTTGGTGTAAATGAGGCATCAGTCACATGGACGACGACCACAGTTCGCCACGACTTATCTTCTCCAAATCGATTCACAATGTCTAGAAGATTCAGTCGGACCAAGCAGGCGTAGAAAAGATTCACCGGAGCTCCTCCGCGGTACCTGGAAAACGCCGCGGTCGCGAACTGAGTCGCTTGCGCCACTGTCTCTTACTTCGACCAACCGCACTGGCCCCGCTAGTGTAAATAAACAAACGAACTCTCCGAGCTTTTCACAGACCAAAGCGGAGCCAAGGCGTCTTGTTTGGCGGCGGCGTGTATGCAGTTACCCGCACCGCCGATAGCACACCTCACCTACGATCCACACTGCTCACCACCCCAACCATCGCAGCTCCTTCGACCAACGATAACCTTCACGATGGCTCGCAAGACGGCTACCTCGCGCAAAGCAGCCACCGCGGCCACAGGCAGCGGCAGCTCCCGCCGACCTATCTCAACTCGTCACCGCAATAGTCTTGCGCCCGCGGTGCCTGCGAACCCTGGCCCTCCGGCAAATCGTGCCGGATTGCGCTCTAGGAAGAAACTTGGGACCATTGCCGTGGGCCAGCCGGTGACAAAGGGAAATCGGGTTGAGAAGGAAGCCAAAACGAAGGAGCCCAAGCCGCAGCCCGTCAAGAAAGAGTGCATCATCTGCATCACCACGCGGCAGGTCAGTAACTGCGCCGGTCGCGGCTTCAAGGCGATCGAGGGCGCGTGCGACCATTTCCAGAACACCTGCAATGTCTGCATCGGCAAGATGATTAAGGAGAAGATCGTAAAGCGCGACCTTGACGAAGCCGTCCTGGTCTGCGCTTTCCCGGATTGCGAGCATGTGCTGGACTACAACGCCATCATGACAATGATATTCAAAGCTATGCGTGAGAGGTCAGTGTCGAAGCGCCTAATGACGGTCCAGACGGATTGATACTGATTGTACATGCAGCTGGGATAATGCGCTACTCAAGCACCACTTCAGCACCAGCGACAACTACGTTGCCTGCCTGTACGCCAAGTGCGGCCAATACTTCTCGATCGATGACTGCGACAATAAGTCGAGCATTGTCAAGAGCAAACGCGGACGCGGCCGTACTGTCACCTGCCCGTATTGTGAAGAAGACATGTGCTTGGATTGCATGCGCCCGTCGCACGGCACGAACAGCTGCGACGAGGCCAAGCTTGCCGAAGAGAATCAGTCATTGGAGCTCATCAAGGGCATCTCCAAGCCCTGCCCGAAGTGCGGTGCAAATATTCAGAAGAACGGTGGCTGCAACCACATGAAGTGTATGTCATGTCATATATACTTTGATTGGGGCGCGTTGTCTGACCTTGTGCCACAGGCCGCCACTGCAAACACGACTTCTGCTTCTCATGCTTAGTAGGGTTTGTTCCGAATATGCAGCACGCGGAAGGCTGCTCGGAACGCCATCCAAATATCATGCAAGACCCTCGCAACTGGCTTCCCGACAACGTCGACCCTGGCAACTGGATGGATGCCATGATGGGAGGTCCACCAGCACTACAAGAACCGGAGGTACAGAACCTTCCGCCGGCCATCCGTCACCACATCAATCCTCCACCTAACCAGGTCGGTGCACCCCAGCAACCTGTGCCTAACGGCCCATTCGGTTTCGGACTCTTGCAGATGATGCGCCACTTCGCTCATAACAACCCCCAAGTCAACGGCAACGCTAATCGCGGTCAGGATCAGGATGGAAACTAAGCTTGTGGACTGTTCTTCGCACCTGGCCACCCCTGGTGCTACCTTGAGTAGAACCGTATTTGATTTCTTCTTCACGGCAAACGGCGTTCTCTTCTTTATTTCACGACATCCGGCATTGTGCACTTGTCTCGCGAGTATTAAACTTTCGACAACTGACGGAAATGGCTTGAGCATCTGGACAGGGGCGCATGTCGGAACTTGCATTATCGGTGTTTGGAGGGTTGCATGCGGTATTGTACTTTATACCCTTTTCTCCCCCATTTGGCTCTGAATTGCAGCTGGTATTGTTTGCGTTTTTTTCACGATGGGGCTTGTTCCATCTTTTCCAAATGAACGATTGAATGCAGGATACTCGCGCGTTTGACTAGATTCTGTGCGTTGGAACTTCAGAGTAATGCAGACATTGGTGATTATAGAATGATATTGCGGGATCAATATAACGATCCTTAAGCATCTTTTGGGATGCCGCGTAGCTTATGCTCATAGCAGGCTAGGCCGGTTCTCTTATGAATTATGTGCCGACCAAGCGGAAGGGGCGAACTTCCTTCAGATGATCGCCCGCATCGTCCCCTCCCTTGTTGCATGGCTCCTATGAACTTCTACTCGTGACGTCTAGCTGCTAGGAGACTCTTAATCCCATCAGGTTCGCTGTGCACCTCGGGCTTAAGCGCGTTCGAATTCTGGTCGCAGTCATTGTCTTCGAGCAAACACCTTGTCAAGAAATCTTTGTCAATGTGAATAGCTCACCAATTGCACCTTAGCCTAACTTCAGCCGATGTATGACAAGCATATGCTATTTTCGAGAGATCTCTGAACGAAGTACTTGATCTGAAACAATGTCTGTCAGTTTCTAGTTGTGTATGTAATATCTGAGCATGTCGTTCGCCTCGATTCCGCGTTTGCGTGCGGTGAAGGCGCTTAAAGACGTACAAGTGACCTGCGACCTCTATTGTATCTGTTGCTTCAAGTTGTTGCAACGCTCCGCTAGTTGCCTCCAAGGTTGCAACAACCTGATGGAGCCTTCCTTCTATGAACAGCATTGTCAAAGTTTGTATTCCTCAATTGATCTAGCCAACTATCTCACTTCGGCAACCCGACATCAACGGACAATAATAAGCCAGAGTTTCCAGCACGGCGTAGGTTTTTATAGTCTATGAAACTCTTAGAAAGGTTTTAACAAAGTTGTAAGTACTGATTTACGAAGCTTTCGAAAAAGGAAGGAGCAGAGGTAGAAGCGTATTCACCATGCCCTTTCACTCATAACAAGACTAGCTAACCTGAAAAGAGCCCGTTCCTAGAAAGCGTTCGAACCAGCCAACCGAGAAGTCCACACATACGACAGCCACTCCATCATCGACTTTTATTGAAAGGTAAGGCCACCTTATATCAACATCCACTGTCTAGCACTACACACTGCCTAGACTATCAGTCTCAACATCCTGAACTCCACTAGTCTGTCATTCTAGAGAAAAGTTCAATCTGTATATACCATACACAATGGTATCGGCACATCCAAAGAGCGAAAACCTGGATGACCTCACAAAGGCTCAAGTTACGCAGCATGGGGTGCAATCAAAGGGTGTTGAAATTGGTACCACAGCGTCACTCGAATCAGATGAAGTCACGGAGGTTTCAGGAAACCTACAAGACCAAAAGGTAGTCGCCATTGCCAACAGACTCGATTTCATCGACATCCCATACAAAGAGAGGCACTGGAAAGTCACACATTACGGTGAGGCTATCATCCCCTCTCCAATTGCGGTGCTTCCTAAGCCTCTCGCACTCAGTTACCGCAACTTTTACAAATATTATGAGGAGCACGAGTTCATGAAGCAGGAGAAGCTGCTGGTGTCCTACCCTCGAGTAATCGTTGGCTGCACGCTTGTCTCGGCCTTGCTGCGCCACTATTTCCCTGCGCAAGAGTATGCCATACGGGAGGTTTTCCCAGGTACAATCACTGGAGCGGAGTTCGCACCTCAACCAGTTGTGGATGGAGTTCCGGTTGAAGGTACCCGCCATTGGATTGTGCAGAGCAATTCTGACTCGGCAATCGTGGTCCTGGTAGTTATTGTCACCAGCCAAGAATTCCCGAACATCCCAGCTCGCACACATCCCACTCAGCTTGCTGTTGCGGCAAGCTTCCTCGACTCGCGCCACCGATTGGCTGTTCAAGGCGATAGAATGTCCCGCGGAGTAGTGGTGCTCCTCTGTAGTGCCGGAACACCGATCAAACCGATGTTTGAGTTCTACAGCTTCGATTCTGACCACCAGGAAAAAGGGCTGATGGCGCCTATTGCCCTGCAGATGCAGGATCATCGCTCACCGGCTACTAATAGTATTTCGCTAAACCCGGAGCACGCAGACCAGATAGACCGAATATTCAAGGCCATCGTCCGCGCCTCGTACGTGCAAGAAGCTTGGCATCAATTTCTGTCAACATCTTTAACGCCAATGGCGTCGCTTCCACTCTTGCAGCTGCCACCGACGTCAACGCCAGTGGTGCCGACGTCAGCTCTACCCTCAAAGCGCAAGCTCAGACATGACCCCAAGCCGAGACCAGCACACAAGTCCAAGCGCTCGAAGATGATTGAGAAATTAAGCAGCCTGTCACAGACACCTACGCCGATCGCCTCAGCCAACCTGTCACTGATTCCCGCGCCAACAGCTCCAAGCTCACCCACCATTACACCGGTTATTGCAGGTGCATTGGGTGACTCAACTCACCACTCAATTGACGTTAGGAACGATAAGACTCGCAAAATGGAGCATCATGAGATTAGTGAGGTATACGTGCGCACTATCAAACAGAACAAGGCGGGCAACCTGATCGAAGAGAACGGCAAAATGATCTCGAACGGGAAGTCGAAGGCTATTAGGATGGTCGCGAAGTCTATGGAGCATACATTCAGGCCACCGAATCATTCCTGAGCAGGTACCTGGACTCAATTTGGCTGATCGAACGGAAAAATCGTCCTTTGGGGCTGTGATGGCTGCGACGTCTTGTCGTCGAAATCCATTGGGAGAAGTTGCATGCAAGTATCAAGATATTTTTGCAGAACAGTGGTACAGGGTGGCCTGGATCGTAAAATTTTCTGGCTTGTATGTGTTGTTGGACATGAAAGTAGAGCGTTACAGCTTCCCAGACGCTGGGACCGGTGCCTACCATGGAAAATAAAAATAAAAAGCAGTGAACCATTTCGTCATGCCTGTTCTATATCTTCGTATTTTGCATAAACTTTCAAATCAGTAAGTTATGTAAATTGCCATCGCTGACAGGAATATCGCACGTGACGTCCACGTGATCTACCGTGCATCGCTCGACGCGGGTAACGCAAGAAGCTTGTCTGAGGATGTAGACATTTTGGAATCAAAGCCAAACTGGACAAATTATAGAGGCAGTGACGGCTGCCGATTCTCGCGAAGATGCATGATTTTTCGCCGGGTTTGTTTGTGTGATGTTGGGACGCGGGGAGCCGGCGCAATGCAGCCAAGGTCGCACAACCTCCACTTTGGTGATGATCAACCGCAACAACGTGACGCCCTCTCCTGACATCAGATCTTCCCATCTCCAAGATTGTATATTGCATTCCCAACCCCGATTCTGGTGCGCAATACTGACATGATGCAGTTCTAGTCCTTTGGCGTGCTACTCACAACAGCGATGGCATCGGACTCAGCATGTATCGAACGCATCAAGGCAAATGCAGTACGTGATAAGATCAATCTGTCTGTTCTGCCTTTCCTGGAAGATGCCTTGGTCGACATATCTGCTCTGGCCACCAACAGCAAATCCCAATTACCCACGTTCACTAAAGCAACACGGATTGACACGCATACACATCCTGTGCCTTCGTGGTTCCGGTCACTCCAGCCTCTCTCTGCCGGTCGCGAAACGCCGTCTTGGGATCCGGTGTCGCATTTGCAATTCATGGATCAGCACAGTATTGCGCGTTCCATTATTTGCGTTTCGACTCCGCAAGCAAACGCTTTCCCTGACGACAAAGCGAAAACAGTTGCCCTGGCCAGGCTGCTGAATGAGTTCTCCGCTGAGCTGGTGAGGTTGTATCCGGACCGTTTTAGTTGGATGGCCGTTACGCCGTTGCCGTATGTACAAGACGCTGTCTCGGAAGTCCGGTATGCGCTCGAGGAGTTGGGCGCAGTGGGTGTGGGCGTCTTGACGAACCATGGAGGGGTTTATCCCGGGGAAGAGAGCTTTGATCCGCTTTGGGAGTATCTGCAGAAGCGTGCTGGCGAAGGAGATGGCCGGGAGATTGTCTTCATTCATCCTCACGATCCCGTAATAAGGTTGGAAGATGGAAGGCTTGTCAAATCTAAACCTTGTAAGGTCTTGCTCCCAGAAATCCATTTTGTATCCTTGTGCTCATGCATTTAGCACCTCTTCGCTCTGGTTTGGGTGAGTTTTACTTCGAAACCGCACGAGCAATTTCCAGTATTACGGCGAACCGCACGATCATCAAGTTTCCAAATCTTCATTGGAGAGTGTCACACGGAGCAGGCGCATTCCCAGATATCTCTGATCGCTTTCTTCTTGGCTTCCCAAAGGACGCGGAAGAGGCGCGCAAGATCTATGCTACGCGCTTCTGGTATGATAGTGCTGGCCCGGTGTACCCAAGGCAGATCAAAGGATTGCTTGCGCATGATGTACCTATTTCACAGATGGTTTTTGGCACGGTGAGTCGGTCCAACTAATTCTGGGCTTCGATTCCAACATTGTCCTGGGGGCTGGATTAACTCGTTGGCAGGACTATCCGTACGGTATCGGGTTCTGGGATGTCAACGCAAACATCAACGGTCTCGCTAAGGCGGAGTTTCTTTTGGCGAAAGAAAGAAATGATGTATTTTCCGAGAACACGAAAAGCTTGTGGAAGGGGAAAATCAGTTTCACATGAGCTGCTTTGGTGTGGCATAACAAGATCAAACCCGGAGGTGTTGTGACTTTGATCAAGGTTAACGGTCCACCATCGTAGTTCGGTTGGAGCTCTTGATATCATGAAGCCGGAAAAGCTGTGAGAGCCATTGTAGTACCTCCGTGAGGTAGCGCCAAAGGTTGTAATGCGCTAGCTAGCCCACGTACCGAGGTCATCGGAGTGGGCTCATGAAAGCGACATTCGTTCTGCTAGCCCCCCGAAGCCAGATTGTAATACTTTCCTACCCGCCAGCTCATTTGCAAATTCAAGTTTTCGCTGCAGAGTCCATTGCCCCTGGCAGTTTAGCGCATAGAGAAAGCCGGCGATGAAAGTATCGCCAGCACCTATCGTGTCGACGACTTCCACTGACTCTGTGGTAGGCTTCCAAGCAGTTGTATTTGCCCATTCGCTATCTTCTCTTCGGCCTGTCTTGTTATAGACACAAGTAGCTCCTGCTGCGCCCCATGTGCACACTAGGATTGCGCTGTTCTTCTCGTCAGCCTATTTCTTGTGTGAATGGGTGTGGTGGAGTGGTACCCAGGTTTCATGTATTCGATTTGATCGCCGAGGAATGTCCGTGGGTCGTTGTATGAATTCGCCTTGACAGGGTCAGTAATCCACTCTGTCTATAGCTTTGAGTAGTAGTGCTGTAACGCAAGCACAACGATAGCGACCTCTCTGTAACCCTTTCCCCGTCAATCACACGTACCTCTGCCCATATTCTTGAGAAGAATGCAACGTCAGCTTCCCTGGAGACATGCACCATGTAATCCCGTTCCGGCTTCTCACACTCCACGCTGATCTTTGCCGTTGGAAAGTTCCCGCTCAACCATCTCACAGAAGCCTCTGTGACGACCGGTATCCTTCCTTCGAAGTGGAACCAATGTTGCTCGACTTTACTCTGCCCACGGATGGCAGAGGCGCCGTCAATGAACTCTTGTGTCGTCATTTCGGGTAGCGAGTTGTGGCTCACGATTGTTCTACTGTTGTTCGCAGCAGATCGAATGATGTAGCTCGAGGCCGCATTCTCAAACCCTTCTCGGAATATGCAACCTGAGTCGATGTTGGTGTCGGGAATGGATTGGCTTATGAACTGAACATCGGTCGATTGCCTCGCGGGGAGTACGGAAAGCAAATAGAGGTGGGCTCGTGCTTCCTCAAACGTCTGTTCGCTTTGTTCGACGAGCTGTGACAAGACTTCAAGGGTGTTCGTGCAATTTCCGCCACGCCGCCGTGTGTGGCTAGTAGCGCGCAGCTTTTCGTCCTCGTTTGGGAATTTTGGGACACTGTTCTTTGTCAAATTTGCCTATTGCACTCCGAACACGCGCTGGATACGACCTGCGCCACATGCGAAAGCTCCCAACCGCGTACAATGACGTCATCATGGCTGATCACCCACCTTAGAATTGTGTCGATATACACAGCGCCAATGCATACGATTCCAATAGCCATTATGAGATCTCAAGGATGATGCTGAGTCGCTGGCGTTCAGGCCATCATTTTATAGGTGCGTTTCCGATCAGTGTATGATGTTAAGCGATACCGTACCTGGTCAACGGGCGTTAGCGCAGCACGTGACGATCATCTTTCACTGAACCATGTGGGCTTATAGTGGCCGATGTAATGCACATGCAAATTCTGCATCGCAAGTCTGATTTCATCCTTCGTGAATTTGTAGAGAACGAGATAGGCAAGACGCTAAGTACTGAAAGGTACTATCTTGCTCACAACTTACATAATATTCCTTACAGGTGTTCATCAGCAGCGTGGGGCAAGACCAAAAATATATGTTAGGAGGTGTTCTTCGCGATTGCTTGGATCTGGCCATTCCTAGCGTACCATGTAGAGGGAAGGTTGGAGTCCGAATCCGCATCCAAGGGTCTGGCCCTTGCCAGGTTACAGTGCTGACCGAAATCGGTTTCCGGTCCTTGCACTTCGGTTATTCTGCGCGCACGGCCGCTGGAAAGGCGCTTTACTAAATAAATAATAGCGCTGTGCAGGGGTGGTACATAAGGATTGGAAAGTGGCGAAAGCATAAGCTGCGCTACATGTGCCTCTATCTAACAAACACAATCAAGCCGTCACCAACGAGTAACTTTAACCGATGTTCCTAGCTAACACGGTACGATCGGGAAGGGATGGGGTTCTCGGATGAGTTCCTAGGCATCACACGGGTTACAGTGCGGAGTACTGTATGGAGACCGTCCTTGTACATACGCAAAAAGATGGAAAGGTCCAAAGTATCTTGATGAAACGGCAGGCGATTGTGCGGGCGAGTTAGGCATATGATGGACAAGAACCGTCCATACAGTTGGTTTGAAACTTTTGCAAGATGTCGCGAGTCCTGTCCCAACGTTTGAAATCCCAGATTCTCCGGCTGCGATCCTTTGCAGCTAGCTCAGTAGCGTATTGCAAAGCGGTTCGGCCACAGGTGTCTTCTTCATCTGCTTGAATGCCAACAATTTTCGTAAGAAACTCCAGCGATTGCTCAGTAAGGGAGCCGCATATGGCGGCGTGGTGTAGCACCGTTCTTCCATCGCGATCCCTCTTAACTAGATCGACACCGTGCTCGAAAAGAAGGTTCAGTATACGAACCCCAAAGTCAGCCGTCCTGGCGCACAAATGCCCAAGTCTTCGCCCGTCACAGTCAATAAATGAAGCGTTTTCCTTGATCTCAAGGAGTGACCTGCAGATCTCAATATCGATTCGTAAGGTAGAGCTTTTGATGAACCTTGCTAGAGGGGAAATCCCAGAGTCATCAAGCTCTGAAATGTGCGCCCCCTGGTCACGTAGCCACCGTACCGTCTCTACGCGCTTTATGGAGTGTGTGGATAACATATGGTGTAGCACGTTCTGGCCATATTTGTCCTTCGACGCTATCAAATCGACTGCCCTCGCCTCGTCTGTCTCCAGAATAGTGATTATGGTCTCGTGATTCCCACTTTGAGCTGCGTAATGGAGTGCATTTAGGCCGTGTTCATCCGTCGATGCCACTTTCGCACCCAAGAGCAGCAGAGCTTTGACTGATGCATTGTCACCAGATTTACTGGCAAAATGCAACGGGCTCTGTTGACTTAAGTTGCTATTGAATTGATCCGCTCCTCTGAAGACTAATTTGCGGATCAAGGTCGCACTTTCCGGTTTCCCGTATCGGATGCAGTGCAGAGGACTTTCGCCCTTGTGATCCGTTACTGCAAGAGAGGTCCTAGGATCTGAAAGTAGTGCATTGAACACCCCTTCACGCGTAACAGAGATCTCCGCAAGGACGGCATCAACATTGTCCTCTTCGAATTCTAGCAAGTCCCATAAACTTTCTACCCTAAGATACAAATCCGTCCAATCATCTTGGTATTTTGTTCCGCAAAGTTTGGTACGCAACGTAAGATGTAGAGGAGTTTCGCCATAGTCAGAAAGAGCATTGGGGTCGGCACCATGCTCAAGGAGGAATTCAGTCATTGTCAGGTTGCCAGTCAAGGCTGCGAAATGTAGAGGAGTCAGACCGGTTACGACCGATCCCGAAGCCGGAAGACTCAACTTCTCCTTACTGGAGGATGATTCGCTGACTTTGCTAGGCCATGACTGTCGATGGACTCTTAAGTCTATCGGTACTCCGGCATCGATAAGCTGCCTTGCCATGGTTTTGTGGCCGAATTTTACACAATAATGTAATGGAGACATGTTGTTTACGTCAGTTGTGTCCAGTGGAGCGCCATATTGCTGTAACAGACGGACCAGCGAAGGTGTGCAACTTGCATTGTTCAGAACATGGTGCATGGCGCCTTTCAATTGTACGTCTAGACCAACATGGGCACCTCTTTCAACTAAAATTCTGACTGTAGATTCGTGTGTGCCTACAAGGGCTGCTTGGAGTGCGTTACCGTAGTATCCACCCTGTGCGTTAACCTCGGCGCCCTTGTCAATCAGTAGTTCTGCTGTCAAACCATGTCCGTTCGCTGCTGCAATGTAAAGTAAAGTCTGATCCTGACTATCCTTCTTTGCTAGTTCTAATTTTCTTTCATGCCCTTCAGGTAAGAGCATAGCCTCCAGGATAAGCGATAACCCGAATCGCACTGCAAGATGTGCTCCAGTGCTGTCCTGGGGGTATTCCTGGCTGTAATGGCGGTGCTTGTACGTTGGAACTAAGAATGCCTGTGTAGCGCTCGAAACCAAGCAGCTATTAGAAAGGAATGAACAGGTTAGCGTGCAAGCATCACTTTGCACCTCCGCAACATGCTCTCCCCAATGCTTGGCAGCATAGTCCAGGAACTTGCTTTCCCGGAGTCTCTCTTCGAATTCTTCGTCAGAGGAGCAGCTGCCTGTCTTGAACCGATCGAATGATAGGTATGTAAGGCATGCCGAGGCAATGTGTAGCGGAGCATTAGGACACCATGTGTCTCTGATACGCTCGAAATACTCTTGCGTAGTGTAGTGCACGATACGAACGATGGCGCTTTCCTGGTCGACAACGATAAGGCCAGCGCACACAGATAGCAAGTCCTCAATGTCTGGCACATTTTCTGGATCGAGCTCTGTTCCATCGCGCTCCACCGCTAGCGCACAGCACAACTCCGCTGTGGTAAGCGGTCTCCTTGCATACGTGACCCACGACAGTACTTTCTTGGCCAGCTCTTTATCACCATCTAGTTGGCCATCTATGCGTTGAAGAGCCTCGTCGTATGCATCGTTGAGCGCAGCCGAGCCTTTCGAGAACCGGTCTAACGTCGACTTTACTTCTTTTGTTGTTCGCTTGTCTAGGAGCGATTCTGTGTGCAGGCGGGCAAGAAGAAACCTAGAAATTAGTAAACTAACGCCATTTCACAAGTGTAAACTGATTGCATACATGCCGTCTACCGCCTCCACAAGCTTGTCTTGTATCGTGGCCTGCAGCGCAGGGTCACGCTGAATGCACCTGGGCAGTCGGTGCGTCTGGCCGGCTACATATCGCCTCACGTCCTCATCGCTGGCTTGTATCTCTAGCTTCATCGCTGTTTGGAACTCAGCTTCAATCTCTGGTATGAACCGCGCAGTGGCCATGATGCGAACATCTTGTCCAACTTGCAAGTCTTTGAGTCTGGCCAGAAGCCGACTGCGAGTGCCATCGCCGTCTCGACATTCGTCCAGAGCATCGATCACAACATAGACAGTGGAGTACTTTACGTCTCGAAGGGCGCCAAATGTCTCCTCGAGACATGGCTTTGTGCCTTGATCGGCATGCTGCTTGTGCAGTCGTGCCACGGGCTCCGCTATCGACGGTCGACCCTGCACCAGCTGCTTGACAATGGCTGCTAGCATACTGGAGGCATCCTGCTCTTCTTGAGCTTTATAGTTGCAATACACATACGCAACTCCCACCGAACTGCTCTGTACAGACTTCAGAAGATATTCAATCGCAATCGCTGCTACCATCGTCTTGCCGGCGCCAGGCATTCCTGGACAGAAAAGAGTGCCCTTGGGCATACTGAGCCACGTTGCGAACTCGGGCGCGTCGAGGAACCACTGGCCCGTTCCCTGCTGTCTGCGACGTATGATGTCCGTTTGCTGAGCGGGGTAGTCGGTAGGTGAGACCCATTCTAGTAGCTTGCTGTGCTTTGCATCGGCTTGTTCATGTTGGATGTTGTCCACTCCTGACTCTATTGCGAGCACGTGTGTTCGAACGAAGTTGGTATCGTCTTTGATAGCTTGGGATAGTTTGCTTCTGAAAGTAAGCGATATAACTACGGTGCTTCTGGTGAAGGCTCACAAGTGGTCCATCTGGAACACGACTTCCACCAGCGTTTTGAGACGCTCTATTCGATCCAGTATGCTAGCAATCTCCTCCTTCTTGAACTTCCACACTAGCGCTTCGCCTGCCTTCTTCAATCGGCCTCCGTCTGTTATCTTAGTCTGCAACGCTTCGAGCGCTTGCTTGAACTGGTCGAGCGGTCCATTCTCGATGCCAAGGGCTCGGACAGCGGTGAACCACGGTGCATCAGCGCGTGCCTCCTCAAGACGGAATCTTAAATTCGTAAGGAGACTGTGCACGTTCGAGGCCTCAACGGCGCACTTGGCACGATCTTTCGAAGCATCCTTAACATCGTTTAGGTAGGCAAGTACCTTAGCCGAGAGCTGGAGAACCGTGATAATGCTGGCTGTGACGCTGAGCAGATCCATACCTAAGCGGATCAACAGATGAGACGAGTGTGTATGGTAGAGCTGTTAGTGAAGGGAACAACATCGTGTAGGCAGTGAAATCGCAATGCCCGAGGCTGAGGGCGCTGCAGCAAGGCTGAACAGCTTCGTATGGTATGCATCGTCGCATCTTATCGATAAGCCCGGTCAGGTGCGATACGCACCATCTGGCTCAAGGATGCGGCATTGCAGCTACGCAAGCGTTGCATGAGTTCAACTAATAAATTCCAATCAATAGTCTCTACTACTAAGCCAACAAAAGGATGCATCTGAGCTCTTGTAGAAGCGAGAAAGGTCACATGATGGCTATTTTTAGCAACTTTGGTGTCAGGTGTCGTGCCAGCAGCTTCGGAAGGGTCTAGCAACACCTATCAACATACTCCTAGTAAACATGGATCGAGCCAGCCAGGCGCTGGCGCAATCTCTCCCTCCTAACGTGCCTAGAACATATGCCGTCTCATCAGAGAGAATAATGCATAGTCACGTGACTGAAGCTGGGACGGATTTACAAAGACTAGCATGATCCTTTTGTGATCTTCCATGACTTGTCACCAGCCACATAATTCTACGGGGAAGGACTAGCAGTCTCGCGGCGGTGGTGACAGAGGTGGCTCATAATAGATCGATTTTAAGCTCAAAGATTTGCCATGCCTGGGCCCTATTAGAAGCTGATGAACACCTTGATCCTGCTAGCAAGGAGGACGGCTGAACCGTACCTGCCATAGGATTGTAAATGTTTCAAAATGCATAGAAAACTATAGAGAACAGGTAGGTCGGGGTACATGTGGCGCAGCTTGTGATGTCACCAAGCCTTATGTACCACCCCTGCACAGCGCTATTGCCTATCTAGGTAGTAAAGCGCCTTTCCAGCGGCCGTGCGCGCAGAATAACCGAAGTGCAAGGACTGGAAACCGATTTCGGTCACCACTATATTTGTCTCTCTTCGTGGGCGCTTGGCTGGTGACAGACCATTCGCCACCGTCAGATGGAACCTTGTTTTCTCATCACGAAGCTGCCGTAAAGGTCGTATCCGTAAAGCGTTCGCGTTAACATAGCGGCTGCCTAACGCGCAACGACTTAGGGCCAAACAAGAAGTACAGGGTCTCAGCCTCACTCGAGGTAGTTGTTCGCGCGTATATAGACGTCAGAAGCTGTGATCTCGCTCGACAATATCTCGTACGAGTTTCCTTCCACCCAGCTTTGGAGACGTTAGGTATGTGGCTCTCCAGAGTTGCGGTATAGAGTATCACTCCTGTGCTGAGTCCTGCTGTCCATTTTTCCACAAACGGGCAAACAGGTCTCTCTGCCAGCCGCGACTCACAGCGAAGTGCCCAGGTCGACATTTTTACAGCTACATGAAAAAGTCGACCTGATGATAATTACGTGTACTGATTGTAGTCCATTGTACAGGAGCTTGTCTCTGATAGCCGCTGGTGAAGTGACTCTACATCCTGCATCTTCACCAACCCCCGAGCTTCACTGGCCTGTGCGCGCAGCTGCCTTTCCTGACCACGCGCCACCTAGCGGTGCTCGGAAAATCCTGTAGCCTAGCTTCTTGTCCGTGCTCTTGCGCCCTCCATATAGAGACATGCTCGCCGCTTCCCTTCACGCGGCATATTCTTATGGCTTTTAGTTCCCAACTTTAATAGCACTCTTGTCTTTTGACACCCCCTCAACCCACCCGGCTGCGACAGCCCCGAAGCTTCAAGACGCTGACGCGCTTCTGCACTCTACCATAGCGTTTCATCCGGTTTGCTTCGAGTTTCTCAAGTTATCATGTCGTTACATCTCGGAGGCGCCTTCCTCGATCCGCCATGAGTTCTCGTAGACGCTTGGTTGCACTTCTGCGCGAGTCTCGAACGTTGTTTCTCTGAAATTCGGGAGCAACATAACGGCCTGATGGATATTTATGCCCGCTTGGGGAAGCACATGGCGGTGGCTTGGGGCTGGCACCTTGGCAGGACACAAAATGGTGGTGAGATGTAATTCGTAGCTTGGCGGTATGAGACGTTGCTTCAGCGGCAGTCTGGTTGGTCAACAGCAGGATGTTTATTTACATCAGCGCCTCGTAAGCAGATGGTCTAGTGTCGGGAGCGCGAAGTTGGCAAGGTATGTATCCCAAGAACTGCGTCTCCTAACAATCACAGGTGGCCCCTGAAGCCGGACTCTGCACCTGTACGCGGTGGGGGCTACGAACCTGGTGTTGAGCTTGCTTAGTCGCCAGAGCCAACGCAGAGACGCACTATGTCTACCGTCCAATACAATCGCTCTGGAAAAATGATCGTACTTCTGCCATATCTGCGTACTGTATCGTCTTGTGCAGCCTCTGGCTTTGACTATAATTGCGTGCTTGCGTCTCCTTCCCACCCGACCCCACGCCCCCTACCCTCGAATATCGCACCTTCGCCGATCTACCACGCCATCCAATTAATATATCTCTCAAACTTTTATAGAATATTCCAATCAGCCCTCCGCCATCTTCGTAGCGGGGCCCCTGCCTAGCCGCAATTTCCCCACCCACACTCGAACTCGCACTTCGCACACAGCTCTCCACCTATATCAGCCGCACAGCATAGCTCAATTTCGTCGCATCAAGCACACAGAGAACGTCAACACTACACCCGAGCACGCATCGCAACTACTGCCATCACACGAGCATCATATCGAGGGGTAGAAAGTGTAAGAAACTCAGTTGACAAGCGCCAATCTATCCGTGGTATATCCCAGTTCCCAGCCCTGCCCAGGCCAATTCGATCCAGTCCCATATATACAGACGCCTCATTAACATTATATACACCCCTCCTACATCAGTGTCGCAGTCTTCTCCACGGGTGGCCCACCGCCTCACGCTCCAATCTGTCCGCCCGCGCCCGGACCCCCAAGATACATATAACTCCCCCAGCTCCCGCTGCCAGACCAGTCCGCACTCATGCGGTACCGATTGGTATCACTGACAACAATACCTTTGCTCCCGTCGTACTTCTGGTCTTGCCCGTTCGAATCGGTGTACACCATATTCCTGATATACGCCGACTGTCCGTAGCCCTTGTCGGGAAACGTGCCGGATCCCATGTCCGTCTTGGTGAGGCTTTGATGCGAGTCGTAAATTTCGCCGTAGTAGTTAATCGCATCGGCGCCCACTTGCAGACTTTTGCTCGCGTCGGTGTTCGCGCCGAACAGGCTCGCGGGGTAGTACCCGATCCAGCGGTCGAGCACGAACAGCCACCAGTTGCCCTTGTACAGTAGCCACTGGATCTTGATGTCGTACTGCGCGCCGCCGCGGGTGGAGAGGGGCGTGAAGGAGACGCCGGGGTAGATGGACGAGTCGACTTGCACCCAGCCAGTCACGTCGCGGTTCCAGCCGCCCTGGTTGTTGGCGGAGGTCGTGTAGCCGTTGGTAGTGTAGTAGACGAAGAGGTGCGGGGCGGAGACTTGGTTGGGGTAGTTGATCCTGCGGGGATGTTAGTATGGGTGGGAGCAAGGATCGTGAGCGTGGGGGCGAGCTTACCAGCCTGCTTCGACGGTCTGCATGGCGACGCGGTTGGGGTCGTTGTAGAGCGGATTCTTGACGTTGTACTTGATGACGGCGCTTTGGAGGAGGGAGAAGTCGGCGTTGGACTCAGTGTATGCTTTGTACAGCGAGTAGGTTGCGGAGCCGCCGTGGTTGACGACATTCTGCGCCGACGAGGCGTACCAGTGGTCGCCGATCGCACGCTTGCCGATGTGTATTTGCTGCGCGAAGGACGAATTTATGGTCTGCGGTGGGGCCTTGACGTCCGGTAGTCTTCCGTATTGTCGAACGACAGGCACTGTGCCCTCCGGTCCGATGTGCTCCTCTGCGGTGATGGGTTGGGGTATTAAGGAGGTTTGGTTGGAGCTCGAGGCGGACAGGGCGACAATGCTAGGGAGCTCAGGCGCGGCAGCGACCTCGTCGTCGTCCACCTGCGAATTCACAGGCACCCAATCGATAACCGACCCGTCGGCACCGTTGGTTGTGTGTACTGGGAACTGCGAGATGAAGCCTTCATCCTGGACAGGAAGTGCGGTGCAAAGTCCCGATAAAACGACGAAGTAAAGATAATGCGCGCGCATGATGGTCTATTGGATTACAATTAAGATACCTACTCTGTTCCACACTCGAGAGGTTTGCGACGAGGGCGCCGTCTTCATATAGTTCATGCTTAGTTCAAGGTGGGCCATGTCGAAACGTCGCATGAGCTGTACAGCCTGAACAAGCTCAGGGTAAGACATGGCATGCGCTTGAGAGGATGACAGCTGCGAAGTGTAAGATGACGAGGACTGGAATCCATATCTGAGTTTCAAGGCCCAGTGGTGAGAATAGTCGCCCGACATGCCTAGCACTATGGGCGAGTGGTACTAAACGCGTGCACAATCTTGGGTAAACGCTGAGACTCAACGGCTCTATAGGAACCACTTTGGGAGCAATTAAGCACGCGCGCCGCGCATGCGAAATAAATTCAGGGTCATTGTTTGGCGGCGTTGGCCGTTGTAGAAGCTGTTCGAGGTTGTGGTTGGTCCGTGTGGAAATGTGAGCGTTTCGAGTTGCCGCATCTAGTATGCTGGGATCCTGGTCTGACGCCTCGTCACGCGAAGGAAACGCGCAGGGTTCCACGACCACGAGACTAGTTTGCCATGCCCTTGAATGCCGAGTGTAACAAGCGCGCGTGGCAGTTTTTGCGAAAAGATGGTGTTGAGATTCGTGTTGAAGAGCCGGGATATGTGCACATGGCTGTAGCGATGGCGATAAGGATATCCTGGTCGATAGGCAGCCTGAGGAAGATTGCCTGGTTTCGCACCCATGAGGTCGCGTTTTAGCCGTGTGGAGTAACGCGGAGGTACATCCGCTTGTCATAAGTTTAGGGTGTTTCCTTCGACGTTTTATGTATTTTCAAGTCTCCAATTCTTGACTTCATACTGTACCATCTACGCTTTCACTCTCCGTATTTTCGCACCAGGCTCCTCATGATATTCACAGCACCTGAGCGATAGCTACCACCAAACATCGCATAGTGATTCAGGTGGTGATACAGCTCGTACAGCTTCACACGATCCTCATACTCAGCTACCGGCTCCGTCTTCGGACACAGGTCGTGATACTCCTTCAGAAAGCTGCCGCCGAACCCGCCGAACATCTTCATGATGCCTAGCTCGAATTCATTGTGCGCGTAGCACGCACTCGAGTCGTATACGATGTCTTGGGCTCCGGTGTCACTACCGATGGTTCCGACCCCAGCATTACCACTCCACAGATCTCCGTGCACAACCACTGGCTTGACGCCCTGGCCATTGTTGAGATGCTCGTCGCCCAGCAAGCGAGGCACTACTCTAGATGCTATCATCTCCACCAAGGTATGCAGTTCCTTGTCTACGCTGTTCGACTTCTCGACACGACCCAGAATGAAGCGCAGCCGATTGTTCGCGAAAAAATCAGCCCACGAATCCTTAAAGCTGTTATCCTGCGGTGTATCTCCACAACAGGTTGTAACAGGGAAGCCAAACATGGGCTTGTCGTAGCCGTCGGGAACGGGCGCGGGCGTCGTGTGGAGCTTCGCGAGCTTGGCCGCCAGTGACGGCGCAGACGATGTCGGCGCTGAGCGCGACGTGAGATTCAAGAAGTCGGTCACGAGGAATGAGGTCGAGGACTGAGAAGAGAACCGGCCGTGACCGTATGACTGGGGACAAAGCGAGGGTACCGTATCGTGGATGGCTCTGAGCGACGCGTGCTCGCCTAGCACAGTTTTTCAATGCTGGCAAGGTCAAGATAATGAGTGCTAAATCATACCTGCAAACATAACTTCCGCGTTTCCTCCTTTACCAGTTTTCATGAAGAAGCGCTTCTCTGTGCCATCGCTGAGCTTGGATGTAATCTTGAACGTCGACGCCGAGCTGCAGCCGCCTCCGCCAGCAGAGGATACGGTAGTTTGCTCCGCGTCGAGGCGCAGGAGTTCTACAACAGCAGGATCAAGCTTCATGGCGGCTTGCAAGCATTTCTGAAGCAAAAGGAGCATTCAGTACTGAACATTTGCGAGGAGCTGTGCATGTAGAGTGGTGGCGCGATGACGTTAAGGTGGGGCGCTCGGCAGCACCTGCCTGCTGGGACGCTAGACTCATGTCAATTCAGACGACGTTCGAGACACTGCTTCCACACACCTTCTGCACAATTACGAGCTGGAGGGTACTGCAGTCCTCCGCGAGATCGGAACGACTACAAAGACATCAAAAGAGATTGCTGCAACCCGTAGTGCGACAGACTACGAGCCGGCGGTAAAGCACGATTCACAACAACATCATGAAGATTCAGCGTCTCCTTGGACCTGGGGGCTCCCAAGACTATGTGTGCATGTGAGATACAAGCGCAGATAAGATGAGCAAAGTGCCCGAAAATGGCCAGCGGTTGCGCCATCGTCGCCCGAGCCTGAAAGCTGCTTCTTAGCACAGCTACCACTTCGTGGGCATGCGGGAAGAACGTCACAGGGCATTGCGCAAGACAGTGGAAAACACGATATGTCTGTTTCAATCTTTGCTTTGTTCTATATAGTACTTGCGTCTCGACGTTGGCTCTGGGGAGAAGCACCAACCCTAGGTTCGTAGCCCTCACTGCGTACAGGTGCATGTTAAAGGAACAAAGTGGAATGTAAAAGTGTTCGATTGAAGTCGGAAGGATGACACTATTTACACATCTAGCGCACCTGCCACTTGGCGCCGCAGCACCTTCCAACAGTGCAGAGTCCGACTTCGAGGACCGCCTATAACTGTTACGATAAATCTTCAGGGGTTACATACCTGTCTGGCTCGAGCCAGACAATCAACAGGCTTTGTGCCCGCGCGAGACTTGCTCAGATCCTAACCAGATCATGCTCTACCCCCCAAGGTCGCGACAAGTACCACATGCCCCGGGTGCTCATCACAGCCTGCGCCGCTTCGCACCCCTCGCGATTGCTTGGGTCAAGGAAACTACAGCGCGACCCTGTTGCTCACATTGGAGACGCCTTGTGCAGCACAACGCCGTCAGGCCGCACCATAGGTAGAGCAGATGAACACAGTGAATAGATAAGCTGTCCACTGCGGTTCAAGGCACCTTCATTTAAGCGGATCGATTGAACATGGCGAGCGCGCTGAGCGAAAGTGTCAGCTCGAGGTAAAGATGGTCAACATTCGGATTCCTTGGTGTTACTCACCAAATCGTCGTTTCTACTCCTACTCACCGAGCGTTGGGGGAGTGGTCGAGTGGGTCGAGTGGGAGAGCTAGTGGGAGAGCGAGTGAAGCGGGCTCCTTTGACGTCGCTGCGTGCGCTAGTCCTCAGGTGCCAAGCCGTCACGTGAGCAGTGGTGGTCGAGTCCCAGGTTCGTGAGCGCTCTTCACTTCATCGAAATTTACGACGCGTTTTTATGCCCGCTTTTTTAGCGCGCAAGAGCTGCCCTGGCACCATCGAGGACTCTTGAGAATGACCACCACCCGCATTCTCTTCGGACATGCCCCCTGGCGACAAGCGCAGTATGGAATCTGATGGTGCTGGCAGCGATGCGCCAAAGCGGAAGAAGGCCGCACTGGATCTCTTTCGATCTTTACTATCGATGTGAAGTGCTATAGACAGGAGCGACAACCATATCGGCAGTGCTTGAGAGTTTAAGTTTTGGGGGACTTGGCATCGTACAACGTTCGTGTGCAAACTGCAGCAATAGTCATCCGAACAGTTTTATGTTCCCGTCTGTTGCACATATAATTATAGTGAAGTTTCTGCGCATCTTCTGGGTACTGTTGAAGTGCCCTTAGATCAGAGACATGACGTGTACACTTCACGATGAGTGACGTATGATTCGACGGTCTGGCTGTCTAGTTTCTACTTCTACATATGTGCAAGCCATGGTTTCGTACTCAAGTAGCCATACTGCAGGGGTCAGACACTACGTTCGTTGTAAAATGCTTTTCTAAGATATGAACGCAGTTTGTGACAAGCGCGAACAGTCGTTGAGGTGCTTCCGCCATACGCGCCATATTTGATGCTACCAGATGCGACAATACCCATCGCATCAGGCGGTGGAGTCTAAAGGTTCGTTTGTAAAGAAATCATCCCCGCTTTACTACACGTGTGCAACTGACAAAATTTTGACCGTCGGAAAAGGCATCATAGTCCTGACCTCGGCGTTGCTTACCACCGAGGTGTGTCCAGTCAACGTTGGGGATGATGCTAACGTAACACGGCAAAGCGGCATCTGCGCCATCATCTGCGATCTGCAGCCAACCCCCGCAAAGTTCCATTTCCGCCCTGATTATATCCGATTTCCGGCGGCCAACAACATGACTCCAACATGCACGCCCACACATACGTCAAGGATAGGCGCGGCTCGGCGCATTGAGATAAAGAGTAGGGCCTCACTCGAGCCATCTCGTAAAACATCCCCTGCTTGACACGTCCAATTGACCTTTCCAATGCCGCCACTCGACATCGAGCACGCGACGCAGGGAGCAAAAGAGCAGGACTTCAGCAACGACAACAGCACCGCGAAAGAAATCCACCATGATGAGCCCCTGAATCCCACACCCAGCAATGCGCCCTCCTCCATCGCGCCCCCACCCGCCCCAAACGGCGGCCTAAAGGCCTGGTCGCAGCCCCTCGCTGCGCACCTCGTCATTATCAACTGCTGGGGCTACATCTCCTCCTTCGGCTTCTTCCAGTCGTACTACACAAATGCGTTCCAGGTCGAGCCGTCCGCCATCAGCTGGATTGGGTCTGTGCAGATCCTGTTGATCTACTTCGTTGGCACGTTCTCGGGGCGCGCGCTGGACGCTGGATATTTCCGGGTTGTGGTGGGCGTAGGGTTTGCGCTGCAGGTGGTGGGCGTGTTTGCGACGAGTGGAGCTACCGCGTACTGGCAGCTTTTTCTTGCGCAGGGAATTTGCAAGGGGTTGGGTGATGGACTGGTGTTTTGTCCGACGGTGGCGTTGGTGGCTACGTATGTTGACTCTCGGGAGTGTGAGATGGTGGTAGGAGTTTGCTGACCGCAAGGAATAGGTACTTCACGACCAAGCGCAGTCTCGCCATCGGGGTCATGGCCTGCGGCGGCGCAACCGGCGGCATCATCTTCCCACTCATCGCACAGCAACTCCTTCTCCGCGTAGGCTTCGGCTGGACGGTGCGAACCATGGGCTTCGTGATTCTCTTCGACGCGCTTGTCTTCCTCTCCATCGCGCGTCCACGGTTACCGCCTCGCAAAGTCGGGCCCATTGTCGAATGGAGCGCCTTCAAAGATCCTGCGTTCTCCCTGTTCTGCTGCGGCATGTTCCTCGTCCTATGGGCCGTCTTCTTCGCGTACTTCTACATCAGCAGCTTCGGGCGAGACATCCTGCACGTCGACCCTTCTACCTCACTCAATTTGCTTCTCGTGCTCAACGCAATCGGCGTCCCGGCCCGCATCCTCTGCAACCTCATCGCCGACAAGCTCGGCCCCGTAAACACCCTCATCCCTGCCGTCCTCGCCGCCGGTATTCTGATCTTTGGCTGGATCGGCATCCACGCTCTGCCCTCCCTGTACGTCTTCTGCGTCATCTACGGCTTCTTCGGGGGCGGTATCCAGTCGCTGTTTCCCGCAGCGTGCGCGAGTCTGACGACAGATCTGAAGAAGATGGGTGTGAGGACGGGCATGTGCTTCTCGTTTGTGAGCGTGGCGTGCTTGACAGGGCCGCCGATAGCGGGCGCGCTAATTCAGAGGGATGATGGTGGTTACGTGTACGCGCAGATCTTTGGGGGTGTAGCGTTGATCGGAGGGACGTTGACGTTGATGGCGGCGAAGTTTGTACGGAGTAGGCATGTTATGGCCAGGATATAGGGGCGGCGGATGGACATTAGAGAAGAAGGCCTCGCGATAGAGAGCACTACGTTGAATGAGCGGGATCGCAAGTTTTCTTGGAGACTACTAGGTCTGAAATATGTGCCAATACCAAAAAGAAATAAAACAGGAATCTGACAGAGATAGTGACTAATACTCCAGCTTCGCTTTCGCTGCCTTCTTGATCGGTCAATCCTTCCATCATCTCGTTTTGATCTTAAGCGCAAGTTGCCCATCCTTGGGTTCATCAGATCACTCGCTTCATCTACGAACAGTGCTAAAGAACGGCGACGAAACGTCTTTGGTTTTATACGACCAGAATTTTCACCAGAATTGTCATGCCCATCATGGATGCAGAGATATCTAATCGGGCGGCAGTCAGCACAAGCTCTCAGAATATCAAGCTCCTAAACATACCCATCGATATCACCGTCTACTAGAAAAGCCGCATAATACGTGATGCCCATGTCTGACACGCTAGATTGCTACCTGTGAGACGCACCGGCTAACGGGATGCAAATCTCGACACTATCTTGGTAGGATGGTCGTACCTACTTGTTATCATTCGTGTGATCGATCCAGAGACGAGGCGGGTCGACGCCGCAAGGGGCCCTGTACATCATAGAGACATAGTGAGCCACTCCCACTCCTGAGACTCAGACTCCGACATAATGGGGGGTTGTTGACCCGTTTCAAGGTTTGTGACAGTCGGCTTACCCAACTCGAGGCCTACACCTATCAGAGAGATCGCCTCGGGCGTAGGCGCAGAAGATCTTTCCCGTAGATCCCCTTTGGAAGCCGACGAGCCTACATTCTCGCCCTCATGGAGCAACTTACGCGATTCGTCCTCGGGATGGGCTTGCTTGATGACCCTGTAACCTTCGCATTTTAATCCGGTCCTAATGCATCTAGCGCATTCAGGTTTCTCTCTACCGCACTGTTGCTTCCTCCTGCGGCAGGTCGTGCAGCTCATCTTACCCTTCTTTATTTTTTTTGTTTCCAAGCTGTTCAGAACCTCGGCATCCTTCGTTTGTCGATGTTGCGGTTGCGTTTCTGCTGTGCGCAGTGCATCTACGGGTCGAGGCTTGCAATCCGCACACTCATGGACATCCGGTACGTTAGCCGCGGATTCGTAATAACATTTTATGTGTTGCCATTTGTCGCAAATCTCGCACAATACTGTGTTCCCATCATCATCGGAGGAGCCGCATATACATTTGACTTTCGAAGATTCCATCTTAGGCTCCGTTGCTGTGTATCCGACATCCTTGAGATTAAGACCGGGGGCGACGTTGCTTCTGAGATTCCCTTTGGTGGCTACATCTGAGACTATACCACTATTATTATTTGAGTCCAGGCCAGGTCTCACCAACTGCATGCCCTTGGGTAGCTCGCTTATATGTTCTTTGCTCTTGCAAGATAGGCAGAGATGCGCTTTACATCCATCGCATTCATAGATGTATAGATGTGGGCCGGCGTGACAGCTGCTGCAGTGCCATACAAGGATCTCGGTGTCAGATTTGATAACATTCCATGTATGTTTGCATGTTTCTGGAGCAGTTGTTGGAAGGGGCGTCCGATGAAGAGGAGCTAGATCTGGCTCACTGGTTGCTCCTGAAAAAGAAGATTGACGATTTCCACTTGCTGCAAGTAGCTCTTGTTTGATAGCAATCATATACTGTTCTTTGTTTTGGGAGTTCGTGAAGCTAGCCGTCTCAATTTTCATAGATTTGAGCAGAATATCACCATCTTGGGTATCGGGTGTAAGTATCCGGTACGCTGTGAACAGCTGTAGCGCAGTATTCGTTCGTTCCTCAGGAGTGACATCTTTTCGCCAGCCCGAAATGTCTCTTTTGTGCCCTTCGCGATAGCGTATGAGCAGCTCGGCTCGTGATGTTTGAATATCCATTCCCCAAATCGATGCGGACAATGCCTTATCCTTGCTATCTTCGTAGCCTATTGTAGATGAAACCTCTTCGGCTGAATCAATCAAAGGATCAGTTAAATCCGGTCGCGGAGTGTTGTGGAGCGCCTGTTCTTCTATATCTTCATCTGCGCTAACGGTTCCGTCTTCTGACTCTGCACCATGTGGCAACACACTGAGAGCAATCTCTTCCATGTGACGAGAGAAATGTAGAGAGACTAGATCGCTACCCCCAGGTACGTTTTCAAGGCATAGTGGGCATGTCAGTGGCACCGAGGCACTGGTGATGCTATGATGCGATTCTAGGTGCTGTGTCATTGTCTCGCGATTCTTGAATAGTGTCCGCGCTGAGCTGCAGTCGGAAAATATGCATGTGTACGCACAAATGTCGTCGAATATATGTCTCCTAGTTGATTGTCACGGTCAGAGAGCTGATGACATCCGAACTTGATCTACTCACTTCCAATCTTTGGTCCTTGTTATATTTACCCATCTGCTGCAGATATCACATTCGAAGGGTGTACCAGAGCGAGCAACTTCGGGAAGCGGGGGCAGGCGTTTATGGCTCGACTCGGCTCTGCTTGAGACGATAGGAGCGGCATAGTCTGCTTGGGCAGGGCAAGATTCACTACCCATGACTGATTGGGGTGGAGCAGAACTTCCGAGTCCAGAGTCATGAAACTCAGATCGAGCTTTATCGGTTCGAGCCTGATCTGGCTCGTTGGCCGCACTGTTGCGAAGTCTTTGAACGTAGTTGTATCGATCCCAATTAGACTGGCCAAGGGCCTGAACAAGCTCCTGGTTAGCAGAGGGGAATCGTGAACTGATAAGATCCACAAAATGTTCATGGGCAGCGCGGTCTTTCAGCTGCACCCACGCTCTGACTTCTTCATCGTCGATCTCGTCTTCGGCAATGGCTTCGAGACTTGAGCTCAGCACTGTGAGGCCTTGGGTGATGTTTTGCAATGAGATGCAAAGCTGCTTGAGATCGACTCCTCTATACTCGACGGTATCAGGAGGCTCCTCAAGTAGTAATCTGGCATCCTCCGTAAGCGAGACCACATCTGAGGTCTTCAAGATGGCTTGACGTTGTTCTGGCGCGGAAACAAGATGGATCAAACCTGGGAATCAGTCAGAAACGTATATTCTACTCGCGACAGGGTAAAAGCTTACCCTGACTCAGTAGGTCACCTAGAGAAACAAGAAGAGTCAATACCGTGTCACGCAGACGATGAGAGAATTGTAGCGCTGCATCAAGCTCGCCCTGAGAAACACCATGATCACGGCCCCAGAAGAACAAGGCCGTCAGATTTCTTTCAAGGAATCCGAGATTTGGAGACTCTGGTTCTTCTTGTTTAGCGTGCTGTAGTAGGGCCTTGAGAGAGTTTATTAAGACATCATAAAGTGTTGATATGATGGCTCTTGAGACATTAGCCTCAGCCCCATCGTAGGTCTGAATCTGCCATTTCTTAATATCTTCGGTGCGATCAGGTGGCGCGTGGAGCTTCATTTTCGCACCAGGCTGCGCTGCCTGGTGCCCTGCTGAGCGACGCCTGCTGACGCCGATAGGAGCGTTCTTTGGGACGCAAAGATAGGACTGTTGACCCGCTCAGAGCTTCGCTTGTATATATAGGCGAGAGGAGATGGCGGTTAGGATGTGGGAAGATCGTGGCATCCGCGTTTGAAGATGGGTGTGTTGGCTGTCGCTTCCTTGCTTGCATCGCAGCCTGAAGGCTGGACGCGATTCAGCCCCGCGCTGCGCCCCGCTTGCTCTTCGTATCCAAAACCCCAGCCTTGTCAGTCGTCCACGTATCACTGTCGCCAATAATCCTCTTCCCTTTTGTTCAATCCATCATGTCTGGCATCGAAGTAGCCGGCCTGGTATTCGGCATTGTGCCCGTTGTTGTTGAGATCTTGAAATCGTACAGTGTCGCTAAAGACCGCCTAAAGTCCGTTGCACACCATGCCCAAGTGGTATACGACGTGCAGCTGCGATATCGGGTCGCCGCTACCAACTTCGGGAACGACTGCCAGCTGCTACTCAGGACCATCATCGAAGATCCTCGCGAGCTTTCCCAGATGATTGATGACCCCAAACACTGCGCCTGGGAAGACCCAGCTCTCGACGAGCGACTCCGCCAGTTTCTGGGGCGAGATTGTGAGGTTTTCGAAAGGGTGGTGGTGAGGATCCGAGATGTGCTGCGAGACACGGGTGCACGACTCGCACGGCTCAGCCAAGACCTGTCTGCGGTGCAGAACGACTCGAGATTGACACTTAAGCGGCTGTACACGGCTTTTGACATCTCCAGTAAAGAAAATGCCTACCGTAGATCTCTCGATGATTTGGACCAATGGAACACCAAACTTGGTCGACTGCGCGCTCAGCGATGCAAACTTCAGAAGAAACGCAGCTGTCACCTCGATGGTCTTATTCGCAAAAGCGTACCAAAGCGATATATGGATATTCACACGGCCTCTCAGAAGTTACACGACTCGCTTAGGGATTCCTGGTCTTGCACAAATATTTCACACGTCGGGCATCAGGCGAAGCTGTCTCTCGATGCAGAGGCAGAACAGGGAACAGCAAGGCTGGATATGGTCATCACCTGCCGTCGGAAAGAGACTCTGGAGGGATTGGAACGGCATTTCACCATACCGGCAGAATCTCCAATCTGGTTGCAGGTCCGATCTATCACCACCAATGAGCCTGCTTCACGCAATGCACCTAAATCACCATCAACTTTAACCAACTTGTCAGGCTCACTGCAAAAGCCATCCATCATTTCAACAGCGGTCAATCCCATTTCTGGGTCAAGTTCTGTTGTCCAGAAAGTAAAGAAAACCCTCAAACGGGTGCGCTTTGACGGATCAACTACTCACAACAGTCCCCCAAACAGCCCACCTCACAAAACCACTGTATCAAGCCAATCCAAACAGAACTCCACCATCACCTTTGCGATGATGAACTTGAGAACCACAGCTAGTGTATGTTGCCATTTGAGCAAAGCATGCCAGGGGCCACCCTGCAAAGACATTTCCTTAGGGTATCTAGAGTTCACTGAGGCTCCTCAGTCTTTCAGGTTCATCTTCTACGATGCGGGCCGCAACACCGAAGCCAACACGAGCAAGACTTTCCCCGGGAAAATGTCATATCCCATTCGGACGGAACTTGCCAAGCTGCAAACTCTTCATCAGCTAACGCTGGCCCACAAACTTGCTACAGCGGTTTTGCAGTATCACACTACATCGTGGCTGTCTCAAGACTGGAGTCTTGAAGATATCTCGTACTTTGCCGATACGGCCCCAGGCACCATAGCCAAGCCATGTGCAACAGAAGACAAACTCATTAAGGATCTGCAGACATTACACTTGAGCGCACAATTTCCATCGGAATCTGCTCTTTCGCAACTTCGTCCTGGTAGCGACCCGGATGAGCTGAGTTACATGTATGGTATCCGCAATCTTACACTCGCTAGACTAGGAGTCGCACTCCTTGAGATCGCCTCCAAGGAAGACCTCGCTAGCAGTGACCTTGATCAGTCAATGACGGTTCCTCACCGCATCATTAGTGCTCGCAAGATGCTTCGAGAGGAGCCTCCCTCATCCTCCCTATCAATGCTCGGAAAGAGGTACATCAAGATGGCTCGCAAGTGTATCGACTGCGACTTTTCGTCCGGTGAGGACCTTAAGAACGAGGCGTTACGGAGCGCGGTTTATACTGAAGTGATCTGTGCCCTGGAGGATATGATTACTGATTGGAAAAAGTTCATGGCTTGAAGAAACGTTTGTACGCTCACGGGATACATCGTCATGCGCCAGCCTGTATATAAGGTCATCGATGTCAGGCTCCTCTCAGGCTTTATGTATCTTGTATCCACTCCTGATATCCTTGGATATACATGTATTCAGCTGAAGCCTATGATGCGCAAGCTCACACTTCACCGCTACTTTGCCAACCTTTATATAGTAAACGCTCTTGAAGATGACCCTTGGCACCATGATGTTGCAGCGAGTCTGCGGGCTACACTAACATGCCTGACGCGTCGCTCGCGGGGGGTTCGAATATTCAAGCTCTTCTCTTCCACTTGCTCGGGCAATGGAGGAGACAATGCGCTCAGTGTGGCATCGCTCGAAATTTTGTATTTGATTAATGCGGGCCAGGCGTACGGCAACTTGTACGAGCTGGTATAAGTTGGCGGTGGATCTCAGGAGGGCCGTTTGATAGAATGATCGTGCTAGATACTTCTTCTCGGATTTAGTGGCATTTGTCTTGTGGAGCGCGAGAAGATAGTAGATGGGATACACGTATTGGACCTCTTATCGATCTATACGTGCACTGATGGAGTCGATATGGGTCAGGATCTTCGTCCCATCAACGGTGAAATCTTCCTTCGATACTGAATAGCGTCCTCATGGCATCTTCTTGCAACCACCAGCTCGTCATCGCGGCTCTCAAACGTAAGTGCCAAGGCAGGTGGATCAGCAGGGCGTTTCGCGTATCGCTCCACCATTTGCCATTGTTTTTGCTATCGTCCAGTGCTTTTACTTTAGCATAATGCACCTTGTTATAACGCACGGTGATGCTACTACCAGCCCATATGATCAAAGCTCCAATGAACAGTGCGATAGCCGTGACAAAAAACGCGTAGAACGGGGTTGTATCGCTACTTATGTTCTTGACGTTCATTCCAAATATTGAGGAAGCCAAACTGACGGGGAGAAATATCATGGCAATTATTGTCACTTTAAGCACTTAGACGCAAACACCTACTCGTATTTGGATAGACACTTACAGATGCGTACTCGCTCGCTTTCCTTGATTGACTTTTCGGACATTTCTATGGACTTCTCCGCCATCTGGATACTACGCCGTGCTTCGAGTAAGGTGGCTTCGTTGGTGAAGAGCAGATATGCGCCTTGGATGTCTGGCTCAGAAAGGTGTATTTCACCTCGCACATGTGAGAGACGCTGCAGGGCATCTACAACGCAGTTTAACCCTTCCACCTTGTTATTCCAATCTTCCATCTCCCCTTTGAGCAGTCTTGTGTAGAATCGGAGGTAACGACTTGCTGTGTAAATGTGCTGCTTGAATCCAACCCCTGGTATTCGACGTATCATGCTTTTCGTAGCGAGCGACAACATTTCAATCTCGAAATAGGTGCTACGGACAGAGCTTCTGCCACTCCAATCATCGTGGCAGTCTGAAGTAGCTGTTCATCTCGGCCGAAGGATCTCCCTGGCCGGTCAAAAAATGTCTCCTGGTTTTTACCAAGGTCCAAGAGGATCAAGAGGCCTTCTGAAGAAGGCGGAACCTCGCGTATGAATCGCTTCATTGCTTTCAAGTGGTTGTAGATAGACCTGAGTTCGTCGCGCGGATCTCTTAACGAGGAATCCGACCACAAGTGGAAATATCTTCGCTCGGGCTGGAAACTGACGAGAATGATCTTGGTCGAATCTCGATGACTCATGGGCTCATTGATTCTTCGGGCTAACCACATGCTGGCTGCTAGTTCTTCCAAGAGGTCCAGAGCCAAAGAGGGACTGACGGTACGCAGGTAGTAGTAGTTTTGTCGCACGAAGTCCATGTAGGACTGCGAGTCTGGCACCTTAGCCGTCGGTGGTGAGGTCGTCATATCTCACTTAGCCAAAAAGCAAGAGTTTCGTCTTAAGCTGGAAGAGTTCGAAGTAAAGAAAGGGCGTAAGAGGTGCTTCGAGAAAAGAACAGGAAGCACGGGTCTTGGAGGGGTTGGGCTGAAATCTAAAGAAACTCCACGGGGCGCAAGGCTGAGACAGCCGAGTGCCTCGTATCGAGCTACTAATCGGCGTTCCTGAAAACTTGCACAATGCAGCGCGACCAATAACGATATGTGAGGTCAGCCGAGTGCATATGCGAGCCACAAGTATTGGCTGTAGATTGATATTGCGACGCCACCCAGGTGATCGACTGTGCGACGCAGACCCCATCAATTCCACTTCAAAGTTGACAAGATCCACCTTATAGGACATTCTCTAGGCGGTCTCACAGCGCTGCTCCTCGAGCACATGCATCCCGGTCGCGCACTCAGCTTCATTGACATAAAAGGCAGTCTCATGCCCGAGGCTTGCTTTTCCTCGGGGCAAATCTTTGAATCCCCGGCGGACCATCCTGAAGAGTCCCTTAAGATGTTTATCTGGCGAAATTACGCGTCGTCTGTAAGGAGTTGCACATTATATAAAGGTACGTTAATGGCGCATATGCGAAGAGAAGCTCTACGGCCGATGTCTCGAGAGCATGGGAAGGTCATGGGACAAGGGAGATTTATTAGGCTAGTTCTTAGGGTTACTGTGTAAGAAGATGTTTATGTATAGTCAGGAGAATAGCGGACCAAATCATGCAAGGCAGTCAAAGGAGACAGGTAGCAAGTTTGGGATATTAAGGACAGTGGAAATTTTCCTGTGTATTCGAATCTGCCGGAGATTTAGAGACGAAATTTAAGATTTCTTACGTCGAAGCATGGAAGTAGGACTTGTAAGCTTAACTATCGGTGATCAAATAGATGTGCGTTTGCATTCTCGTAGAGGCAATGAAGTTATTGTGCCGTGAACATCACGTTGCAGTCGGTAGAGATATTGAGGGGTGCGCCTTGGACTTTGAGCAGGATGTTCGTGTACGTGAGTGCCAGAGCCACTGCTTATACTCGACTCAACTAAATCACGCTAACACTCCCTTCACCGTTGTCATTCAGCGAATCTGGAGTCCACACATGGTGCTGTGATTTGATCTTTAACAGCTTATCTGGTGAAAAGCTAGATCGCTAAACCGCTCGAAACGGCCGATCGGTGACTGGCGCCATACCGAACCCAGCCTGAACTACTGGAAAGTGCCCCCGAACAACGCTACACTGCGATCTGTGGCTTCGCTTCTGTTCCCATGGCACCCTCCCAGCTCTCTGCACCCTTGAAGAACTGCACTTTTCTACCTTGATGCCTCCTTTTAAGCCAGTCTCTCGTGCTCTCACCTTCGGTTTCTGCGTCTGTTGCCACTTGGCCGACTAGCCCGCCATCAACCCTTTTCATCTTGACATCGTACTCTGGTCGTGAGAAGTAAACTAGGCTGTAGCGCACCATTTCCTCTTGAGCGCCAGGCGGCGCTACAACGCGATGCATGTTGCTGCGCAATATTCCTGCGCTGAACTTGACCATCGCGTCGCCTAGATTGATGATGGCGCAGCCGGGCATAGGTCGCACATACACCCAGCTTGAAGTGTCAGGGAGACGAACTTGCAGACCGCCGATACGATTGAAGAGGATAGTCAGGCTACCGAAATCGGTGTGCTCTCCGAGGGCAAGAGAACGTTCATTCGCCGGTTGGGGTGGTGTTCGTATGAAGCGAATGTGGCAGCCTGAAGGGGAGCCAATTCGGTGAAGAGAAGTGAACGTCGAGTCGGGCAGCTGCAAAGATGTAGCGAGAGAGGTAAAAAGTGTTGTGAGGACTGCATTGTTGGCGTGAATGTATGATGATAGGTTCGGTCGATTGCTGTTAATGAGCTCAGGCGCGGGGAGAGGATCGCTGATTGAGAGAATATCGTCCTTTGAAATCTGAAAGCTGAATGAGTTGCAGAATCCCTCTGATACGCTCAACGTACATTGTAGATTTCGTTCTTATCTTTCGTACCCTTCCCGTCGATGACTTCAGCTCCAATACCCTTATAACCGAAGTACATTCCCTTTGCCGCGAAGTCATATTTTCTCTTTTCATCGATCGGCAGGTGATAAAACTTCTCGTTCAGGTCGAACATCTTGTCCGAGCCCTTTAATAAAGATTCGCCATCGGTACATTCTCGCAAATCGAGATAGAAGAACCCCAAGGACTTGCTCGCTTCGAATAGCCTCTCTCTCTCGTGCACATCGTCGGATACTATTTTCTTCAAGCTGATAGTTACCAGTGGCGCAGTTGGAACGTCTGCCGGGAACGAAGCGAACAGCTCCTCATTGCTTGGGATCATGGTGTGTCGTCCTTTCTTGCGTTGCGAATACGGTCACTGTTCGCTCGTACCGTCTCACACGGGGAAAGTAAACCGCCACTCCAACATTTGCCGGCATGTAAATGTAACATTGGACGATCCATCATTGTGACGATGGAGAAGCGCGCTTCCGCGGGCGCTAATGCGCGTTATCGTCGACGGCATTATGATACTTTCGTCGCAATGCCATTGGAGGAAATAGCGCGAGGTAACACAAGATCACTCGCTTCGGGAATGTCCCAAGCACTTGGCTCTGACCTTGGCTTTATCAAGATTGAGACGGCGTGAGGGTTTGGGGAAAGGTGCTTGTCTCTCGTGCGGAGACCCCGCACCTAGATGAGCGGAACGTTGGGGTCGGGTGCGGTACCCAACTAGTTCATGTGCACGTGCGAAGGATTTTCACAGCTGTACGGTCGTCTGATAAGAAATGGACCCGCAACACAACAACCGATGAATCGAGCGCTTCTCCTCCTCGGTCGATTCCTGGATGCTGCATTGGTGAGCCATGGCTTCGCTGGAAAAAGCTGCTGTCGCTGAGGAGATTGAGAATGTTGCGCGCGGAGTTCAACAGGTCGACGATAAGACGGCGAACCATCTAAGAGAGGAGCTCCAGTCATCAAAGCAAGGCGGATACATACCGAGTACACCGGAGGAAAAGAAGTTATCACGAGCGTTGAACCGGAAATTCGACTTCTTCATCCTACCGTTTTGCGTTCTGATATACATGTTCAATGGCCTTGATCGGAGCAATCTGGGGAACGCGCAAACGGATGGCTTCACGACCGATCTCCACATGAGGCCCAGCGCAATCAACACAGCGACAAGTCTTTTCTTCTGTACCTTCGTCCCGCTGCAACCACTTAGCGTCATCCTCGGCAAGAAAGTAGGCCAATCGACCTATCTGGGTATTATTGGACTCGGCTGGGGGATACTCACCCTCTCGCACACCTGGGTCAAGAACGAAGCGCAGCTCATCGCCGTCCGCCTCCTAATTGGCATCTTCGAATCGGGCTTCTACCCCACCTGCGTCTCCTACCTCTCCCTCTTCTACCCACGCTTCGATCTCGCCTTCCGCATCGCCATCTTCTACGGCGCCTACGCAGTCGCAGGAGCTTTCGGTGGACTGATTGCTTACGGCTGTTTCCAAATCGATGGGCACCTGCACGGTTGGCAATATCTTTTCATCGTGGAGGGTGCCGCCACCATCGCGATCGCGCTCGCAACGCCGTTTTGGTTGGCAAAAGCACCCGGGCAGTCCTGGTTTCTCTCCGCTTCAGAGAAGGAATTCGCTGAACGACGCATGGTCCTCGACTCGGCGGCAAATCTCGACTCCCGTTTCAAGCTCTCGCGGCGGGACATCAAAGAAGCGATCGCCGACTGGAAACTCTGGGCTATCCTCCCGTTCAACGTCCTCGCTAGTATCGCACCCCAAGGTTTCACCATCTTCATGCCCATTGTGATCAAGGGATTGGGGTACTCCGGACCGACCGCGAACCTCATGACGGTCCCGCCTTACGTCGTTGGCGCGGTGTTGCTGCTTCTCTTTGCGCACTCCTCCGACCACTTCCGCGAACGCACGCTGCATATCCTCGTGGGCATCACACTTGTTCTCGTCGGTCTGATCATGGCATTCAGTCTGCCTCTTACCAACCCGACCGCGCGATACGGCGGTATCATCGTCCTGCTCTCGGGCACATTCATCGCGGCGCCTATCACAGTTGCATGGCTTTCCGGAAACACGCCTGAACCCGGCAAGCGCGCGATCGTGCTGGGCATCAACGGCTGGGGTAATCTAGGCGGCATCATCGGGTCTGAGCTCTTCCTTGCGAAGTACGGACCCAACTATATCTGGCCTCTAAAAGTAACGACGGGGTTGATTGCCGTGGCATTCGTGGGGTACGCGTGCTACTACTTTGAGCTGAAGGCGTGGAACAAGTACAAAGCAAGGAAGATCGCAGGGATGAGCGCGGAGGAGATTGAGGCGGAGAATACGAATGATGTGAGATATGCGGACAAGAAGTGGACGTTTGTGTATGGCGTGTGAGACGCAAAAGACGAGATATAGTTGCATGAACAAATCCATGTGCGACGGAAGATACTCGCCCATTGTGAAATGACCATCTCACGCTAGGATATCAGGTTGACTTTGTTACCCACGTCAACTGCCCTTCAGTCTCGACAGAATATTATGTCAGCATCGAATGGACATCCGGGGTTTCAAGATGCCTTGTAACGAAGGTAAGCACGTGGATGTTATCGTTATTGGAAGAAAGGCAGCGATCGACTACTCGTCGGAGCTAAAGATTGCAGTGCAGTGACGTAGCACGGGAACAAATTGTCTAATGCAATGTAATGCATACTAGGATACGTGCCTAGCATCTGCTAGAGTCTGAAAGTCAATATGAATTGTTATTGACTAGGCTGACACACTCATAATACCGAGGCTGTTGTGCTTCTCACCGGAAGGTTAAATTGACTGCTCGTCGAGGCCAAAGATTGGAAGGTAGACGTAGAGATGGCAGTGATGCATTCGTGATCCGGTATTCCTTGCAAGTGGGGCAAAACATACAGTAACTTTTAGATAGTTGACTGTATACTGAGGTAGGTATTTGCAGCGAAGAGTATATTTAAAGACTGATTTGTATAGAAACAAATACTAGTGATCATAAGTTGTCTAGTGAGCTCGATCGAGTTATCGTACATGATTTAATACGCATATGAGATCCTTGGGCATATACAATAATTAGCACAGTAACGGGATATACGGGATCGTTCACCAAAATGCCTCATTCTGCCATCCCTATGTAGACGTGCTCCATGCGTGCTCATGTTATCTTGCATTTGCTAGTTCTTTGGCTTTACTCCTCGTCGACGTTAGAAAATGCAGTGTCACGGATCAGGCTTTTCGGACACAGTGGAACGTCGTTCGAACTGCTCTGCGACTAAAAATTGCAGTGGCATTCACGGAACGACAGTTGACTCTGCTCCCATTCGCCAGGCGCACCTCCAGAGGTCGTGAACTTTTCTTGATAGCCAAGTGCAGCCTTGACCGATCAAATCATTGGGGCTCACCGGAAGCTTAGCTTGACTGCTCGTCCGGGCTAAAGATTGCAGTGCGGCTCTGAATGACAGGCTCACTGGAGCTGCCTTCTTTTTTCAAGGTTGCTGTCTTGTTCAACCTAGCGCGTACATGCTGATTGACCACCTTCAGTTCCCATTGGCGTGGTGCATCGTTGTTTATGCCGTCAGACCAAAGGCGTGCGAGCTTCACGACTCACCGGAAGCTTGGCTTGACCGCTCGTCCGGGCTAAAGATTGCAGTGTACTCGCACCCAATGTTTTATATAACGGCACTCAAATCGCGTCAAAGACTCCGAATGTTTTCGTACATCCGCACTTTTCAAATCATGCTAGAGGTGGACTTGCTGGCACCCAAAGTAATACCGATCGCACGGCTTCCGGGAAACCGGCACGCCCAAAGCGATCAAGCCGCCCAACAGCCTAGCTGTTCCTGGGCCCAGTGTACTCGCCTGTCGACGCGTGTCCAAGGATCAAGGCCCCATTCGGAGAGCAAGGGCGCGCTGGGGGATGATGATAGGATGTGGCCGGCGACAGCTCTCACTCCTGTGACGATCGATGCCAAGTTGCGGTTAGCGGCTGCCACAAAGCTTGTTGGGCTGCCCTGTTTTGGCGCAGGAACGATCGTCGCCAGCGTCATCGCGTCCACAATTCCCATGTTTTGTGCGCAGAACCGCATGCGGCGCGGAGAGCTTGCCGGTGCCATCCTTGAAGCCTGAAGTAAGAGCAAGGCCCGCGCGCGCTGCTAAGGTCGCAATGACGAAGGTGATGCGGTGCCCGTATGCGTGTGTATATAGCTGGGAGGTAGGGTGACGGCGGAGAGGTACGCCGTCTCGCTCAGGCTCGCTCTCACGATGCTCCGCTCACTCGCCGTGTCGCTGTCTGTCGCTACTGCGGCCGTTGCAGCCTACTCGTTCAACCCGCTCGAGCACCTCGCGGGCATCGCGCCGTACTTTGAGCCCGAGGACCCGCCGCTCGACCCCAAGCCGCCGCAGGGCTGCAATGTCACCCGCGCGACGTACCTGGTGAGGCACGCGGCCATCTACGCCAACGACTTCGACTACGAGGAGTACATCGAGCCGTTCACCGACAAGCTGGGCAATGCGAGCGTTGACTGGAGCAAGGCGGGCCCGCTGTCGTTCCTCGGCACTTGGAAGACGCCCATCTCGGATGAGGAGCTCGAGGATCTGACCAAGATTGGCGAGCTGGAGTCGTACAAGCTGGGCGTGGATGTCAGCCTCCGGTACCCTTCGCTCAAGAGGCCGAACAAGGTTTGGACCTCGACGGCCGAGCGCACTGAGCTCAGCGCGAGCTCCTTCATCAACGGGCTGTCCAGGAGCAACGAGACGGAGCGCGTCTCTGTGCCCGAGTCGGAGGCAGAGGGCGCCGACTCGTTGACCCCCTACAAGGGCTGCCCCAAGTACAGCTCGTCGTACGGAAGCAACCAGTCATCCGCAAGTTCATCGACACCAGACCCACGTTCGCAGCTAACGCCCTGCAGGAATACAAGGAGAAGTACACCAAGCCCATCATCGAGCGCTTCAAGAACCTCGCCCCGGGCCTGAACTTCACCGCCGACGACATTGTCGGTATGCAGGAGCTGTGCGGCTACGAGACCGTGATCCATGGGTCCTCGCAGTTCTGCAACCTGGAGCTGTTCACGGCCAACGACTGGCTGGACTTTGAATACATGAACGACATCCAGTACTTCTACAACGCGGGCTACGCCAACCCCATCTCGGGCGTCCTTGGCTTCCCCTGGGTCAATGCATCTGCCAGCCTCCTGCTCCAGGACAAGGCCGACCAGGACATCTACGTCTCCTTCACGCACCGCGAATTGCCGCCCACCGTCATCGTTGCGCTGGGCCTGTTCAACAACTCGATGTACTCGGGCACCAACAACCCGAACGCGACGATGCCGTTGAAGACGCAGAACTACAACCGCGTGTGGAAGTCGTCGGCCATCCTGCCCTTCCTGACCAACATTGCCGTCGAAAAGATGGCATGCGACAGCTACGGCTACGACGCCGGAGACTACTTCCGCGTCTTGGTCAACCAGAGCCCGCAGCAGCTGCCCAGCTGCAACGACGGGCCCGGCGAGAGCTGCTCCAAGTCGGCGTTCCAGTCCTTCATCAGCAGCCGTGGCGAGGAGTTTGGCAGCTTCACGGAGAAGTGCCAGCCCGAGTACAACAACTCGACTGACGTCCTGACGATTTACGACGCATGAGTGCCCCATGTAGATTAATGTATAATCATTTGCAGCGTTCGCGTTGATCCCTCCATGCCATTACCAACCATTTCCACTTCCTGCATGTTCCTCCGTGCGCGTCTCCAATTGCATTCGGCGTCCCCACGTTTCCCCTGCGCGCGGTTGCGCCTACCTGCCTGCTTGGAGACTGGCGCCCGCAACCGAAGCGCGCCCGTCATCCCGAGCGCGCCCAACTTCTGCATGCCATGCCGCGAACTTTTGGTCCCACCAGCCGAGAACGGTGCCGCCGCCGGCTCGCGATCGATTGCAGCGCGAGCATATTGCCCCTCGCGAAAAATTTGATCCACCATTGAGGGGGTGCCGCTCGGCTCGCGGCTCTCATTGCTCTCATTTTATATCTATGCGCCCGATCCCCTGCGCTAGCTGCCTTTTTTTCGACCCTTTTTCTTCCAAGTTTTGCGACTTTATGTGAAAAGGGTCGGGTTGAGGTTGTACGACGTTCGACCCCAGATTCCGGATCCTGGATACTTTACGGGCACTCCCGCGCAGCAACCATGGCGTCGCTAGCCATCGCCTTGCGCCTGCCCCTCCTCCTCTTCCGCAAGCCCTCCAAGGGCCGCAAGCCATCCAAAGCCAGCACCGAAGATGACGCTCCCCAGCGCCTGCTCACCTACAACGAGCTGCCCGACTGGTATCGCATCGAAGCCTCCCCCTTCATAACAGCCTCCTACCGTCCGCCCTCCCACAGCGTCGCCAAATCCATCCAATCGCTAGCCCACCTGCACAACGAAACCGCAAACATCTACACCCACCTCATCCCAGCGCTCGTCCTCGCCTTCTCCCTCCCGCTCCTCCAACTCAACATCTCAGACGCCTACGCCGACGCCCCCTGGCTCGACCGCTTCATGCTTACCCTCACCCCCATCGCCGCGCTCTTCACCTTCAGCGCCTCGGCAAACTTCCACACCCTGTGCAACCACTCCGACGCCGTCTCCCTGTCCTGTCTGCTGCTCGATTTCACCGGCATCCTTACGCTCATCCTGGCATCATTCATATCGGGGATCTACGTCGGCTTCTACAACCATCCCTTCGAGCAGCGCCTCTACTGGACCATGATCACCACCCTAACCGCCACATCCGCCCTCCTCGTCCTGCACCCCTCGCTGCAGGGCATGCAGTACCGCCCGCACCGCACGACGGCGTTCGTCCTGACCGTGCTGTCCGGTCTGGGTCCGACGTTCCACGGCATGTACGTGCACGGCGTGAGCCGGGGGTGGCACGAGTGCGGGGTGAAGTGGTGGGCGGCCGAGGGGTGCTGGTATGCGCTAGGCGTCGTGTTTTTCGTGAGTCGGTGGCCGGAGCGGTGGGCGTGGAGGAACGAGCGGACCAGAGGCATGTTTGACATCTGGGGCGGGAGTCATGGGATCTTCCATGTCTGTGTTGTGGTCGGGGCGGCGTGTCATTGTTGGGGCGTTTGGGAGGCGTGGAGATGTGCGGTCTAATGGAGAGAGGAGGTGTTTTTGGTAATGGTATTTTGTATATATGCATCTATAGACGGGTGCGCGGCGTCATGGGATATGTAGAAGACTGCCACAGCGCAGGTTTCTTTCGTGAGGCTTTTCTGAACATGCCTGTATAGAGTTGGCAACTCTCGTGGTCGGAAGATTGAGATGCGGCTCAATAGCATCGTTTGACCCGGCTGACTAACCGAAGCTTCCCAGCCTTGCGGCCGCGTCCTCGTCGGGGCTAAGAATTGCAGTGTTGTTTGCTCGTGGTAAGCCCGTGTTACCAGGCCCCACTCTACTACCGACTGCCGAGGCCACGTTTGGAAGTGATTACCATTGCGGCACGGTTAGCTGGAGGGGACAAAAGTCCAATACAATGGAACGTACTGCTTCTACAGCTCAGAGCCTATCCGTGGACCTTTCTCCGCAATGTCCAGAAGAGACACGTAACTGGGCTACCAAGTTGCGGGACTCCGACACAACTCCGCACTCTCGCCTGGCACAGTCAGTCCGAAGCACTTGTTTCAAAGCTTTATACCCAGGCCTGCGCGTCCTCGTCGGCGCTAAGACTTGCAGTGCTGCTGCCACGCTCGCTTGTCTTGCTTGCACATTTCCGCCGGCGGAAAACGAAGCAGAAGCATTGCCGACTGGACTGTTGATTCTACTCTTAGCCTCAGCCTCAGCCTCACCTCACCTCACCTGCTCGTCGGCGCTAAGAATTGCAGTGTTGTCCCGCGGTGACCTCTTGCCTATTGCGTAATGCCTGCTCCGCATGGCGGGGCGTCAAGGCCGCTCTGTATTACAATCTCCAGTCTCTGCGGGCAGTCGAGCCAAGCTCGGTTGGAGTCTGCCTTGCACATTCAAGCTCACGCGGTGGCCGTGTGCCTGGCTGCGTGTGGTCGTCACGAAACGATTGAATCATTGTCACAATACAGATGTTCCTCGCGAGATCGTTGCCTGAAAAGACATGTATAGGAAAGGTACTTTGCTTGTGGACTGTGAGATTCAGATACAGCGAGATGCGTGGTTTGATCTAGGCTACTTGCGCACTCGGTCAGTTTAGAGCGTTGCGACCCCTGCTCGTCGGCGGTACGGATCGCAGTGGCCTTGATAGATTATCGATTGGTTGTCACAGCTGGGCTGCAGTTCTCAGCCTCATCCCCACCTCACATGCTCGTCCGCGCTAAGAATTGCAGTGCTAGCCTAGACGAGGAGTCGAGCCAAGCTTCCGGTGGGTATCCCAGTAATCTCGGAGAATGAAAATCGTTTGTCGTCTCGTGCCACGCCTTGTTTTCACATGCTGCAGGCAGTCTCAGTGGAAACCACGGCTTTTTATCTCTCGCGTAATGATCGGTTTCGAGCAGCGGCTTGTTGTTGATACTCCAGTATCAGTTGGAAGCTGGCTCAGTCAGACAACGCTTCCCAGCGGCTTAGAACATTAGATGAACCTAATAATCTGCCGGCGAAACATTGAGAGAATGATTACCGATTATTCATTGTGAGAGCTGAGTCATTATGTTATCTGTGGTGCTTGATTGGATGGGGGCTAGATGTGCATATTAGTTGTAGGGAGAAGACTCGATGTGCAGTTCGAGATGGAAAAGAATTGCATAAAATGAACGGTCGCAAACAGTAATAGGCTCGGATTCCAATCAGAGATCTTGGGTATGAACTAGCCACATCCCGGTTCACAGTCTGGCGAACGTGGAATCCGTCGTGTTAGATTGATACGTATAGCTAGGAGCTCAACCAAATATATTCATGCCATATCCTTCACAGATAGTCCAGAAGTTAGGAAATCTGGTGAAGTTCCTTTTACTATGCAAAAAGGCGTGCAGACACTGTCATTACGGCTGTCCAGATCTTCATGGGAACATCCAGCGACATGTCGATTCTTTGTTCCCGGGTCTTGCTACAAAAGTCTTATGACACTCAAAATGCTACGACATCAGGTGAGTTGGCTTTCAGATAACAAGCCATAGACCAACCGTGCTAAAAGTGCAAAAGTGTTTGCTTTGGAGATCACGAGAGGGGGTCAAATCGACACTATGCCGAGGATCTGGGTGGTTCATTGCGCAATAACAAGCACAAATCGTCCACCTGGATCTTTCATATGTTGGGTAAGCAATTAGCCAATTTCCTACGGAAGACTATAAGTATGGCTGCTTTTAGTCTTACTCCTGCATCACCATCATCGGTTCTTTGCGACCTTCACCTTGCAACCCAGACCTGCACTCTTGTCTTTGTATTTCAAACCCTACGGATTCTCAACCTTTTCCAATAAACTTCCTTTCTTCCCAAAAATGGGAGGATCAAAGCTTCACTCGCAGAAGCGTGTTGAAGACTACCGCAATGCAGATCCAGAGGCCACGTTCGATACCAGTGCTCAGACGGCCACAAGCGCCCATGCATATCGTCATGACAGTGTCTGGTCGCAGACAGCCAATCAGACCAAAGATAAAGTAGAAACTGATTCCAACACTGGAGACATATTTTCCAGGATGGGAAGCCAGACAGCAAGACGTCACTTGGTAAAGTGCACTACCCATTGGGGCCTCTTCCCTCGCTGTTCTTGATTGACGTGGATGTCACTACGGCAGTACCAGCTCTCAAGAAGGGTCTACAGCCTATATCAAAGGGCTTTTATGCAATCACCGACCATAGTCATTCATTGAAGTAAACCATCACTCCTTGAACTTCCCATTCAGTGTGGAAAATTATCAGTGATTAGGCTAGCATAGATTTCACGTCGCTTGACTGGCACAAACAACCAGTTGGCCGTCCCCAAGCCCTCATTCAGTGATACGTCCTCTTCACCAGCAGCTCTGCGCACTTTTTGAGTTCTTGCTGTGTCTCTGGGGTCTCAAGATACTGCTCAGTGAAGCTTTCAAGCTTCCCCATGAGCTGATAGTCAGCGAGTCCAATAATTTCATTCCCAGTGGTCGGATTGAATCGGAAGTAATCAATCCGTTCAGACTTCGCTTTTTCAATGAAAGCTTGATGGCGAATCTCTGTGTTGGTTAGATTGTCGAGCAGTGCTTTAAAAGTCCGCAGCGCCAGAAGCCCAGTTGACTTGACTTTGGACGACTTTCCCGTGCCGATGCTTATGATGCAAGAAATCTTTCGCAAAGGCCATAGGTCGCGTCGTTCAGCATCCACTTCGTCGATTGGGTTGTTGTTCTGGACTCCGCCATCCCAGAACTCCATGTCGGAGATGAAGGCTGGTGGAAAGTAAAATGGTGCGGCAGAGGTCGCGCGAGCAGCTTCCCAGATGGTACAACCACCGAAACGTGGACGTGTATCTCTCGGCCAGTAGTTCCTCAGGCGGCAAGGCTCATTGTTGGGCCGTAGAACTGCACTCACAAACCTGCCACCTAATTAGCAAGACTTTGGAGATGCCATGCTCGCCTTACATCTTTCCTTGCTCCAAGTGCCTGAGTGATTCAATGGTTGGTCGCAATGGCGCGTCACGAATGTCACCAGACAAGGCTTGGGCTTCACCTCTGCTTATCCTTCCCTTCACCATCTCTTTTACCTCATTTTCGAGGGTCTTCCCATCGAAAATGAATCCATTGAACGCATATTTCATCAGTACTGATACGGACCCACGGAAAATCTTTGGCGCGAGAGTCTTGTATTCGTGAATCGCAGTCTTGGTGTCCATACGCTAGATCGAAATTAGTGATGTATGATCTTAGCCAGAGTATCCATGCTAACCAAACGAAAGAGCATGATCGCAATCAATCTGTACCCGACTTTTAGTACATGCAGAACCTCAGTGAAAGCGGGTGCCACATACCCCCCGGTGCTTGTACCCCCTGCGAGCTCAAAGTAGTCGCACGGTAAGCACGTACGGATAGATGCACCGTCAGTATCTGAGTTTTCCACCCTCTGGACTTCCTCCATGATCCTGTCTAGAATCATGAGGCTACATAAACCTCTTATACCGCCCCCATCTAAAAGTCTTGTTAGTATAGTATACAACGTAAACATCTCTGCTCATTACCCAGACTCAGTAGACGTAATCCCGACTCCCTTGGCTTCATGGGGCTTGATATCCATTGTCTGATCTTTTCTAGAATCAATTGAAGCACGCTATCCTCTGGGTCTGCGAAAGCATACCAGCGCACTTGGTGTCTCGTGATCTTGAAGTTGTCGGTCCCTTCTCTGACCACTGGGAAAATCCCATTGTCCCTTTGCGGAGCCTAAATAGTGAGTCATTTTATGTCAAGCTGTGATTAGGACTGGTGAACGCACAAGAGGATCCAGGCCAGCATCCTCGTTTATCACGGATAGAGATGGCGGGACTTCAGGGAAGATCTCGAGATACTCATTGTTGATGTCTTCCATGTCATCTACGATACGCTCATTGTCGACGTCCAGACACTGTCCTCGGTTTTCTGGTGCTATGTCCTTGAAACGATCGATCAACATTCCATGAGCGCGCGCCCAAGGTCGGTAAGCATCTTGGTTCTTGCCATGGGGACAGCCAAGAAATACGATGCCAACACAGCCCTCCCAGATCGACATCTTTGAAGCATCGCGAATGATTTTGCACCATAACAAAGTCTGTAGACGTGTCAACGCTTATCGTATCTTTGACGAATCCCACGCAACCTTTTTTACGATGACACCTCCAATACCGGCGGCGACGAAGACTATCTTGGGTATGTCTGTGCTGGAGATAACGCCGGCCTACCAGAGGTCAACACGCGCAAGTCATCCGAGTGACCAACTAACTTCACGGTCTTTTATTCTCAAGGAACAAAGTTGCTGCGCCAAGTCCTGAGCTAGGTTTTCCAAGATGATCTTATTGCCCATTGGGTAACCAAAAGACCAAACCCGTGCTTCGGGAATGGCCTTCGAGGTGTGTACTGCCCAGGAGAAACTAGGCGAATCGGGAGATTGCCAACTACTCTTGGGGTCACCTCCAATTTGGTGTACGAAGACGATACTGCATTGTCAGCGAAGGACTCGTTACGAAGTAGCGTGAAAAGGCATCCGTACTCGATCAAATCCGTAGCCCCCTTGCCCGGGCCGATAAGGTGCAGTTTCGCGGTCCCGCTGTTATCAATATTGAACGACTGTATCATGTTGAGTTCCTTCCTCTTCCTCTTTCAAAATCGACTCACAACAGCATTCGCCCGAGAACGGCTATCTACATATTCACTGGACTCACAAGAGCTACTCAAGTCACTGAATGGGTCGTAGATTACCATATCTGATATAAGCTAAGAGAGAATAATGTTTTGGGAAATGCGGTAAACGAGAAAGGTTAGAAGGGAGCTGGGAAGTGCAAGATTTATTCGAGTTCCAGATGGCACGAGTAGCGCACCATCTGCAATGAGTGCAAATACAGTTCATTCACTATCAGCTCAGGAAAGTGAGTGGCGTGATTGCCATGCGTTGATGTGTCCATAATACTCACAACCTAGGTGGTGTGATGCTCGTCCCGAAAACTTCTAGGAGGTGCAGATTTAGCGCAAGCAACACTAATCCTATGAGGTAACGCAGCAACAGATGTAAAAATTATGCAAAGGTAGCCGCCGCCTAACAAGATGTGATCTATCACTCAACCAAGAGATCGTCACAGCTTACCTTGGCAGTCGTTCTTCCATGTCAACATTCCTCGCCCAAATTGGCTCGTATTCCCCGTAGCGAATGCTTATGCCCAACAAGGTCCCAGCCAGCCAGTAATTGATTCTTGAAATAATTTTCGACTTGACGAACCGCAGCCGCTCGAACGGACGCACCCAAGCATGGAGGCGGGCTCTGATCCAGGCAGGCGTATTGCAGAGATGAAAGTACACCTCAGCATTCTGCACCATGCTGCAGAGGAGATGATCCAGAAGTCTTGAGGCTCCCGTGTCGCTCAACCTTACGGTAGCTGCATCGTCGGCGTAGGCTAATCTCCTTATTGCGGTCCAATGGCTAGGCATTTCGGGTGGCGCTAGACCAGGCCTGGGCCACGTTCCACTACCGATGATTCAGCGCCCGGAGAGTATCGTGACATCTGCACCCGACTTTCCGAGTGTGATTATGCGACAACCTATACCATGCGCTGTTTTCGGGTATCTCAAGGCGACATTGTCAGCCACTGAATCCCGGGTTATATCGGTTATCAGAATGGCAATAAAAAGGCCAAAGCCGGAGTGGACGCGAACTCTGTCCAGGAGTTGGTGCATGGCATTTTTGAAAAGATCCATGCTAAAGCATACGAACAGCGTTCCATCGTGTACTGGACGTCTTGCCCCAGATTCTTTGAGGTCGCAGACAAGGTCTGCGATGGTAGCAACTTCCAAGAGCCCTTCTACGCTGGCGAGAATCTGACGACGTGGTTGCGGAACTAGCTAAACGAGCTTTCTACACCTGTTAACGACCAGATTGACTTCGCCATTCGACGATACGACGCCGGGCTGTCATATCCCAAGGTAGTACACGTCAACCTCGAGGGCCTGGGCAACATTTATCATCGAAAGTGGTTCTACGAGAGGGGGTTCAAGGAGACGCTCAAGTCGGAGTCCGATCAGGCAACAGAAGCCTTCTCGATGATGGCTATGATGATATTCCCAAGAAGGGCGAGGGCTTACGCATGGCTCCACAACGAGAAGAAGCACCATCGGACCAGTCTTCACCCACTTATAACAGCGGGATTTGCAGTGTAACTCAGCCTGTGGACAGTAGCGAGCCGTTGGATACCGTGAACTGCGATGTGGCCAAGGGCATTGCATCAGGTCAGATCGCCACTGGTCCAGGTGACGATCCGAGATACGATGGCGATGTGACGCGCAATAGCGATGGCAGCGTCTCGATTACCAACTACACGTTGCGATTCATGAAGATGTCCATCCGAAGACCCGAGCGAACTGGCACATTGCACAAGCCGTCAGTGATGCCTTTCGGAGGAATCAAAGTGGTCCAGAATAGTGTCCTGGAATGATTGCTTCGATCTTGAGCGTAAGGAGTTTGCCGTCGTTACGCTCGAGAAGCAGAGCAGCTCGGAGACAATGCAAGAACGTTAACATGCGCGTCTTGCAACAACCGTAGGATCTTCACTGTTACTGGGTCTGCAGACCTCCTCAACACGTGCGCGCCAAAGCTCGCCTCCATCTCATGTCCATTCCGACTTCTTCGCCCTCATTTCCATAAGGCTGACCTTCAGATACCCCTCCATCGCCCTTGCTGTTCTAGACCACTCGCGTTCCAGACCGCAACCGCCCGCGACCCACAAAACCATGCACCACGAGCACGCGAACACGCGCCGCAGGGTTGTTTATCCGCCTCGTGTGTGTGGGGTGCTGATCTGGAGACGGAGGCGCGGTAGCGATGGACGAGGTGTCGGGAGAGGGCGACACGCAGAGAAGTGAAGGGAAGAATGTATCGGCTGGAAAGTGAACAGGCGGCCCACGCGTGCCTGAGATATGGATAGAGGTTGGAGGTGCGAGACAGGTACATGTCTGCACTCGCCAGGTGTCAGCGCGACCGTATCGGTGAGGAATCCTTATCGCCCTTATCTCCCCCGTATACGCTGCAACTCTCAGACCATACTGCAAGTATTTGGAACGAGCGCATATCCCGAGTCCCGCACACGCGCTCGCTCCTACTATGTATTGCCTACGCGAGGTCTTCCAATAGTCCGCGCAATATAGAAAGCATGCAGCAGCGCTCGCGATGGAGGGAGCTTGCGAGGAGACACGGAGATCTCGCATGCGCCACGTCGCACAGCGTTGCCACAGATCAAATCCAGGCTCCGGCTCCAGACACGTCTGCTGCACTTCCCAATTTACCAACAGCCACTGGAATCCTGCCATGCGAAACTCCAACTCTAGGAGTGCAGGAGCTGCATTGTCTCGACGAGGCGCGCCGGCGTCTCCGCTAGCTACACGATGCCTGTAATGAAGTAGTTGCAGGACTTCGTTCCGCCATCGCAGGAACTTGAATGAATGTTGTCCATGGCAACCGAAGATTGACTTTCGGAGACGGCAGGTCTACCGCCACATGGCGCCTGCCTCCCGCATCTCTTCCCCTAATCGCAGGTGCAGCCCACCTCGATCTACCCCGTCTGATCGATCTACCCAGACAGTTCCGGCACCAACAGCCTCATCCGCGCCGATTCCTCGACGCCAGGGCAGCCTTCCATCTCCGGGCGGGCTGATTGGAATCACGTGATATGTCTAGACCATCCCTCCCCAGATCGACACTCTACGCAAGTCGATCCGGGTGGTGCCGGTGCGCCATACCACCACTGCAGCCACAGACCTTAGGGCCAAGCATCTCCGCCGTACGCCACAGTACCTTGACCCATGGCTCATCCTCTTGTCACTACCTGCGTGTTCTGCGTTCAGAGCCGCCCTGTTCCGCAAGCGGAAGTTGTAAGAATGCCATGGGTGTGGTTTGGGATCGGAGTCGATGGAATGCGCATTGTCTCGTCCGCACCCAGCGTCGCGGGCTTGGGTCAGGTACTGGGCTGGAATGTAGTGCAAGACGAGAATCCCAGCACCAAGGTACACACCCGCTTACTCACCGTTCACCAAGCGAGATGACATCGCGGCGTGCGGTTCTTTGGTGCAGTGAGATGGACCGTGGTATGAGTCTGTGAGTTGTGACAGGTGACATGCGAAATCTGAGAGCGTGAACCACGGAACGAAGGGCGCATCTGGAACAAGTTTTGAGCAAAAGCAGCCACAGGCGAACCTCGCTGCCTATACATTCCGTATTCCCCATCCACCGCACACTACCAATACCCTGTATCTATATACAGACATTCGGCACGCACATGGCTCCAAAATGTGCAAATGGGTATCTCGTGACTAGACTGACTATTATGAAAACCGCGCCTTACGCGCTGATGCCTCGATAAAAACGCCTGCAAATGTGCCGTAGGAAAACGCCGCCAATGAGTGTCTATATGTAAAAGTAGGGACGCCGTTCCATGCTCACAAAAGAAAATGTTGTTTGTGAAAGAAAAGGTGCTTTGCGGTGAGGTGATTACACCATCAGGCCCGCGACGCCGAGAGCCATTGCGCTCATGCTGTGCTCCCTGACCTCGTCGCCGCTGCGCCTGTGCTTGCCCATGGAGACAAGCTGGCGCGTTGCATCGGCCTTGGCCTGGGTGAGTGCGGTTGGCGAGGGCGGCTCGGAGGGAGCACCAACGCGAGTTTCTTCGGCGGCCGAGTCGGAGGACGTCGACGACAGGTCGTAGCCGAACGATTCGACGGAAGTGTCGCTCACGCCACGGAGAGGGGATGAGGGCCTTTCCACAAGGATGGGAGCAGGGACGGACTTGGGGACCTTCGGTGCCCGTTTGGCCTTCGGGAAATTATGCGCGTCGTACCGGGGAGGGTGTGATGTGTACATGACCAAGACATTCTCTTTTGTGTTGATGCGCACACGTTCGCCGCCGCACATTACAACGTCGCTCACCCGCGGAGAGCAAGCAAGAAGCGCGGGCGCGCACCGCCTTCGGTAACGGAGAGCTTGCGACTGGCTCGGTCGAACGACGGGCGCGTCTTTCGGGTCCGGATACATGTCCCTGGTCGTTGGGCGGTCCTCGGGGGCGGAATCACCCTCGTTGGACACAATTCGGCTCAGCGAAGCGCTTCGGGGCCGCTGTGAAGGAAAGCGCACATCATCTGCGTCGAATTCTTCTCGATCAGCATCTGTCGGCGCACTGGGTAGATCTAGCTCCGGTAGCTGAGGAGCGCCGGGTTCTGCTGCAAGGTGAGGATAGAGCTGTCGAATGATCTCCTCCTGCTCTGCAATTATACGGCGACCGGCTTCCAGGCTGGACAAGTTGTCGAGGTTTTCGCCGAGACGCGATCCGTCGAGGACGCGCTGTCGGCGACTTCGTCTGGGCAAGCTGCGGTAACGGGGCTCACTCCGATCTTCCAATGGTTGGCTGATATCAATTGCTGCACACAGCTTCTCTGTCCAGTCAAGCATCTCTTCTTGGCTGCTGGCGCAAAGCAGGAACTGTTCCGTCTCCAGACGCAACCGGACGACATGTTCGCGGACCGGTTCAAAAAGATGAGGGTCAGTTTCATATAATTTGTGACGCGCGGAGGCCGGAACCAGGTGTGCGAACGGAGATTTTGGGGTCAGCGCGGTCTTTTTGAAATCCGACGCCACACCGATTTCGGAGTGCTGCAGCGTGAATGAGCGGATCAAGCGCCCTGGTGTTGGCGATTTGTTCTTGCTGAGGAGACTGGGTGATTTTATGCGGTGGAGCTTGAGCTGTGTTCCTTCCAGCACCACGTAAACATCGTGCCACTCTCTTGACCTCGACACTTGGAAGATGGCTGTCAGCTCTTGCTTCATTCCCATAACGCCGCTTTGAAATACAGTGCAGTCATAGGGTGGAGGTGATGTGTTGTTCCAGAGCTCGTTCGCCTCTTCAAGATGCTTGGTGTACGCCCACGTGAGCGTCTTGGTGCTGTTTGCATTTTGGTAAGATGGCGGAGCTGCCAGCACTGGGGCTGCGTGCGTGTGAAAAGTGTTGTGATATCCATAGCTAGGCGGTGTTGATTGCGAGCTTGAATTGCTGTTCTGTCGCTCTGATTGCTCGGCTCTCCGCGAACGGGAAGCCGGCTGGGTCTCTCCGGTAGGGTCCATGGTGGAGGGCATGTTGAATTGGTAAACAGCGACACTTATTTCGCTGCTTGAGAGAAGGGACCAGAATTTACGGCAATGATCGGGGAGAAGGATCGCTTGCGGCGGGACTGGGTCTTGTATGCAGTACGGAGCGCGAGATGAAAGCGGGTCATGGATGGATTCCCGGTATGCAGAGCTTGGCTTGGTAGCTTGACCCGAAGCGAGCAGCACGGCGGAATGCGCGTGTCTATATGTCTGTATCTGGGGGCAATGAGAAAAGATGAGGCTTGGAAGACCCGGCGCGGCCAGGCGGTACTGAATGTAAAGAGGGTCGGCGACGGCGAGCTGGTGCAGAAGCAAGGTGGCGCGGGCGGTCCTTCTTTGTATGCAGGTTGCAGTTGCGGGTTGGTGGACTGGAGGTAAGCGCGCACGGGTCTCACGCAGGCCGTGGGCTGGGCAAGGCAGTGCGTCACAGGAGGCGCCGAGGGCGACGGGCTGGTGAATTGCTGGCTTGGAGGATGCGACGACAACATGAACGAATGCGTGCTGTGCTGCCGACCGTGCTCACTTAAGTGCCCGTTGCTTTTCGCAGTGCTGGCGGGCGCCCGGCCGAAGCAGGCATCCCCTCACGAGCAAGCGCGATGTGGCGCCGGATCCAGGTGATTGTCCCCTGTCTCCCGCGGTGCAGCGTGTTCGGGGTTGGCGGTGCTGGTGGGCTGGCCCATGCTTAGCCAGGCTCTAGATAGCTCATGCGGTGCTCGCATACACGCACCTGACAGCCTGCTGCCCTGCAGGCCAGTCGTCCAAGTGCTCCAGACTTGTCGGATGTTGTGCTGGCAGCCCTCCTGGTGTAGCACGCTCACCGCCATGCTCACGCGAGGCTGCGCGCATGCCAATCTGCCAGCCGTGGCCGTGTCCGCCAGCGCTGACTCAGGGCCAGACACCGAACGACAACGCTCAACCCAGGCTATTCCGGGCCATGACTATGACGAAAAGACGAGAGATGTGCTGCCCTCTCCACCGCGCCGCCGTCGCAGACGGGCACATTCCCCTGGCCTGCGCTGCTCCGGGCACGCCGCCGCACCCTTCCCGCGCGCCGTGCCTCCACACAGACATGGTAGCTTTGGTCGGCCGTTGCACCTTGCGCCAAAGCTCTTGAGATTGAAACCAAGGTTTGGTCGCCGCATGTCGCGGCAACCTTCTTTGCCAAAGATCGCAGTCGCTGGCTTCTGGAGCGCTGCGTTAGCCATCCGGAATCCTGGGAGCATCTCCGACGATCTTGCCTCAGCTGTAAATTCTCCGCCGCGAACTCATCACCACGACCCGCCGCTCGGGTGCTGTCTTCCACGCTCCATTGTTTCTTGACAACGTTTCGCAGCTCGCGCCTACATTCAAGCGTCGCGTCGCCTGCATGCGCTTGATCCCCCTGGACGCTGGCGACCGCGCACATTCACTTGGCCTGAACAGAGGGATCTCTGCGCGTCGCATTGAAGAAGCGTGCTGATTCAGCTGATGTACCGTGCCGCGCAGCCTGCATCAGTGGCTCCGCACATCTGCGCCGATCATCCACTGTAATGTCAGCCCTATCGCACGACGTGAGGCTTGAGCATCGAGGGTCCCTCTCGTGCACTCCTGGGTTGATAAACATGCTGCTGGGCAGCTGAGGTACCACTGAAGATGGTTTTCGAACTGCGGCACGTGCCTGTCCCACACACTCACAAGTTGTGTAATGCTTGAGGAATTCAAATACGCGTTCGCTTTGGAGGATCCACTTCTTCAATAGGCCACCTGAAACAGTTCCCCAGAGGAAGAGTGTGATCGTCTCGCAAATCATAATCAGCAGATCTTAACTCGGTGTGTTCTTTCCGTCCTTGACGGCTGCAACTTCCCGGCGTTTTAGCGCGTCTGTGGTTAGTGCGGCTCAAATCCTCCAGCCTCCGCTCCAAGGACTGCCCCCACGACCACGCATGCCGAAGCCGCTCAACCTTTCACATCACGCTAGAAAAAGTACCATAGGTACCCAGGCTTCATGCATCCAATGCAACGCTGTGTTCGCGCGTCTTCGCAATCCCTGTCTCCGGCGAAACATCCTAGGATCGTAACCGCTCTATGCCCAGGTGAATACGTCGTCAACCCGTTCAACATGCATTCACATCAAATCCATGAAGGAGCCCAAATGCACCTGAGCAGTTTACAAGTCACGTTGTGACGCTGTCAAGAGCACACGGGGCGATCACCTCGAAACAGAAGCTACCGCCGCACCATGAGTCGCCTCCATCTCGCCGTCCCGCCGAGCTAGCGCTCGCTTTCTCGAACAGCTAAGTCGCTGGCAGTTCTGTTTATATCACCATGGAACTGAAACATGTCAATTTGTTGACCGCAAGCCGGTGAAAATATTATCACGGATTGCTGGGAGTCCCTGTGAGGAGAAAGAGTCAGGCACAAATACGTCACCCGAGGAAGATCTCTCCATCACTTGCTCTCCGAAATGGCTTCGACGGTAAGGAGCAATAACATCGCGTCGCTATCCCCAGGATCGACGGATCGCTCCTTTAAATCCTTCAACGGTCGCCGTTTTTGCTGCGTCGAGGTCGATGATTGTCCCATGAAGCTAGTGTAAGGCGCCCGGAGTCCGATGGCCGCGAAACCGCCCAATAAGGCCCCTGCTCGTCACTAACAACAACACTCGGTCAATCTCAAAGAACGCCCGGAGTATGGCTAACCCTGTCCGTGGTCCCATCAAGCCACCGAAATTAGGCAACTGCATCTGCTGCGAATCCTATCGGCCCAGACTTTACAAATCTAGTCATCATCGTGTGGACGAATGTCCTTTACCGCCTCACTGGAAGTGGCCCTCATGGCTCGGGAATCCAGTGACCTGTGACAGAAGAGATTCATCATCGTGGAGAAACAGCGAAATCGTTGTCTTTCAGGTCTGAAAATACCTGGCGGAACTTCCCGCCCTCTCAATGTGATCTATCCACCAAGCCAACACTTACTGCATCTCATCCTTCATATGCGCACGAATATCATGCTACATTTCGGGAGAGGACGACAGGTATCCAAGTGGCGAATAGCTAGGACTCCCAGCTCACAAACGTGACACCGGGTTGCTTGACCATGAAGAGAACATGCACTAGTATCCCAAGACCATTATCGCCAGGCTCATGATGCCTACAAAACCTTGCCATGGAGGATGCATTGGGAGCGCCTCGCCTGAAGCCACAACAGTTTCCCTCACTGTTGTTACGGCCTGCGATGTGGCACTGGCTACGCAGCGACTATCCCCCTCACACACGTAGCCAGACTGGCAGCAAACAGCCCCACAACACGTACTCGGTTTCGTGCAACAGACATCACCACAGCATTCCTCCGAGTACAGGTCGCAACAACCGCCATTTTGGCAGCATTGGCTGAGCCCTGCGCATGCCTTGCCAGGCTGCTCGCAGCAAAACCCCCCTGGAATGACTTCAGCGGTCGTTGATAAGTTGAGACAACGGGAGACGTACAAACGCACGTTGTGCTTCCGCACATTATGTAGCCTTCATTGATTGGGCAACACGCTTGTACGCCATTGTCCAAGTAGCACTGGAATTTTTAGGATGCGCCATCTCCACCAGCTCAAATAGTTCCAGCGTACCTGTTGACCTTCGTAGCAGCACCCAGGTGTATCAAGGCTCGAACACTTATTCAGTCAGCCGCATTCCCACACATTGAACATAACACTCACGCATGTAGCGTTTCCAGGGCAGCTGTATTCCGCACCCGTTGTTGAGGAGCATTGTGCACCTGAATGAAAGGTCAATACGGAAAAAATCCTGCCCTTCCACACAGTCTCACTGTTTTGTCTCTCGAAGAGTGTTCCTCCTAGTGATCCCGATGATAGAGAGATCAGAGGGACCTGTGGGAACGCAACCGATCCGGCATAGGGTTTCCTAGGAGTCCAACACTCAGCCGTTGCTGTAGGAGTTCCATGTTCCGACAACGACGCTTGACTAATCGTGGAAAAGGTTAATAATACAGCCGCCAGCGCCCGCATCGCTATCATGGAGAATGAAATTATCCAAGAGCGAGCAGAGACAGTCATATGTTGTGCAACAGCCTCTCGTATTCGCTTCCTAGCCTCGATGCTATTCTTCCTAGGGGCATTAAGGTGTTTCACATAGCCAATCAGAGCGCGCGATGGGGGCGAAAATCAATGGGCCAGTGAAAGCCAAGAGGGGAATACGAGCGATACGAAAGCCGAAGGCATTCTAGTTGGCCAGAATATCTGTGATCGACGCCATTAAAGCCCACAACCGTACCGCCATCTACCCAGCATGCGTCTAGGAAAGTCGCTTCACCTGAAGACGACCACCTGTCTAGTACACATAGAAATTGATCGCCTCGTCGTCAGATGCTCGGATCTTCCTGTTGTCCCTCTGTAGAACCAGCCTCATAACCCAAGCACACAACACGACACCCCCTGAGAACCCAACACTCGCGTACATCGCCTTGCTAAACCGAGGAGCGTCACTATCCGGCCAAAGATACGGCGTATAAACAAAGGAAAGATTACCCAGCGTGTTCACAATCGCCAGCGCAACCGCCTTCTTTTCGTGCGTCTGGCCTAACACGCCCGCGGTCCACGCCAACACAATGTTGTTCACACCGTAGGTCGCCCCAACGAAGAGCACCATGGCGAAGTACCGGGCACCAACGTTAAGCGTCGCAGTGCCCACGATGAAGCCTACAATAGCGACAGCTTTGGACAGCGTCACGTGCCACGTGCGCTCGTTGAACCTCCCCGACGACCATGATACGGCCACGCTTACGAAAGCCGAAATGAGGTATGGCGGGCACGTCAGCACCAGCGTGATGGTAGTGTTGAAGCCCAACGTCTGCACGACCGTTGGAAGAAAATTCTTAAACCCGTTGGCGGAGAGATGCATGTTCTGCATGAGCGCGAAGAGCCAGGTGCGAGGGTCAGAACAGGCTTCGCGCAGGCCTTTCCAGACGTCGACTTTGCCTTTCAGCTCGGTGGTGTCCAGGACGATGCGGGAGTGTGCGAGTTCGCGCTCCGGCTGCGTGAGCCAGCGGGTTTGTAGCGGGGCGTTGGGAAGGAGGAAGAATGATGCTGCTGCAACGAAGACTGCACATCCCCGACCGCAGTTAGTACCGCACTAACAATGAAGAGCAGAGCTTGGTTGAAGCATACCTGTAACGACACCCTGGATGAGGAAAAGCCACCGCCAACCTTCTAGTCCATGTTTTCCATCAAGCCTCGCGAAGATGCCCGCCGCGATAAGCCCCGAGAACGAACTCGCGAGCAAATTCCCCGTATAGAAGACAGACAGCCGTGTCGCGGTCTCTTTTCGCGTGTAGAACGAGCTGATCACGTACAGCGCGCCGGGATAGAACGGCGCCTCCGTCATCCCCAGCACGAGCCTGTCTTGCAGTCAGCCTCAGCCCCACATTGTCTTTGCCTCATTGTGAGAGGTATCGGGAAACTCACCGACACACCAACATCCCCGTGTACCCCTTCACCAGCACCATGAGCGTGCTCACGATGGCCCACGCCATCATCCAGCCCGCCATGTAGTGGCTAGGCTTCACCCTCGTGAGCAACATATTAGACGGGACCTGACCGACCAGATATCCGACAAAGAAGATGGATACGCATGTGTTGTATTGCGTGCCGACGAGGTGCAGATCCTTGTGCATATTGTTGAGTTTACCGTTAACGATGGCGTTGCGGTCGAGGAAGTTGAGGAAGTACATGAGCCAGAGGATCGGCTGTGGAATTATTAGTTAGAGTTGTCAAAGAGCTTCGCGAAGAGCATAGTGTGGAAGCCTGGATTGGAAGAGTAAGGGAGTTGAGGACTGAGTGGTGAAGACGACGGATCGGGAAGGCCAGATACGTCCGTAAAGATTGAGGCCAGGACGAAAGAGAGGATGCTGTACCATCATACGCAAGTCCAGCTTTTTGACGAGAGCGATTTCTTCAGGCGATTTCACTGTGGCGGCGCCGAACCGATCGAGTTGGGCTGGGTCATGGTGGGGTTTTTGGAGCTCGTCGATGTGTTCCACTGAAGCCGAGGGCTTGAGCTCGTGCTGGTTGGTGTTGGGTTCTGAGGCCATGGTAAGTAGGTCGAAGCTGGCGACTCGATATCACTTCACACTGAACGAGGATCAACAGTTTATGTACCATTTTCACGAAGCCTATTTTTGCATTTCGGTTTGTTGTTGCAGCTGTTCACAACGCCTAGCTTGCATAGCTCTAGTTGAGCTCCAGGATTCGTGCATGCGGGGTAGGTCCCGTGGGGAAGGCGGATATGGTATAGGGGTGCTTGGCCGACATGCTGGCGAGAGTTTCAAGGAAAAGGTGCAGGTACTCAAACGGCAGGTATCAGACCATAACGGACCATAAGCCTGCGATCTTCCTCGTTGCGACCGATAGTTGGTGGGTGAATTAACATTGCGACCGGAGGATCTCTAATGCGTGTCCGATGCACGGAAACTAATCCGGCCAATCCTAGTACTAATCGGATAAGAAATCCGGGGTACAGCCGGAAAAGCCCACCTTGACCAGATCCGGCATCCGAGCCGTGGGGTTGCCTCACCATTCTTTGCCTATGGTACAAACATTGCAGTACATATATATCGCGTGAGCATTGAAGATATGTCGACCACCACAGCCATCTCCGAGACAATGAAGACCGCAGAGGACAAGCCGCTCATTGCAGGCGGGAGCAATGACGACATCTTCACCATCGATGAGCTTATCAAACGACGGGCTTCAGAACTTCAGAAATCACCGCTGCTGTGTTACCCGAGAGAAGGCTTAACAGACCATGAAGAACATTCAGCGGAAGCCATCAATAAATATGTCGACGCGGCAGTCGCAGCATTGCAGCAAAGAGGGCTGAAGCCAGCGGTTGGTGGGACCTGATAAGGATATCAAACACGCGACTAACTGCGCAAATAGGAAGCAGACCTCGAGCAAGCCCCGTCGATTGGCATCTTGGCTCATTCATCCCTGGCATTCATAATCACACTTCTCGGGCTAAACAGATTGGGATACGCAGCACTCCTCCTATCCCCACGGCTCGCAAGTCCAGCACTACACGCTTTGCTGCAAGCCGCAGAATGCAACACGATCTTGACGACTTCACATTTCCACGATGTCTTGTCCGAAGTGCAAGCGCTACAAGATCTGACACTGATCGAGACGCTAAAGCACGAGGACTACTACGGTGTAGAGGCACCTGTTTTCCATCGCAAGCATGACCCACATCGAGAGAATCCTAAAAGAGCCGTCATCATACACTCCTCCGGTTCAACAGGCCTCCCAAAGCCGATCTATCTTACCCACCGGAGCTGCATCGCCGCATTCGCAACGAACCTCGACCGAAAAGCACTAATGACCCAACCGCTTTTCCACAGCTTTGGCTTCTACGAGACGTTCCGGTCGATCTATTCTGGGAAGCCGATGTACTATGTCAACTACAACTATCCTCTTACAAAGCAGAATCTGCTTGCGACTTTGGGACACGTCAAGCCCGATCTGCTCTTCTGTGTGCCATACGTGCTGAAGCTGCTGGCGGATTCAGACGACGGTATTCGCTGTCTAGCGGACATTGATCTTATTATGTATGGTGGGAGTGCGTGTCCAGATGATTTGGGGGATAAGCTCGTGAGGCACGGGGTTAATGTTTGTGCGAATTATGGCGCGTAAGTATAAGCAAGTAGCCTGGTGGCTCGGACGGCTCACATAAAGCAGGACAGAGACTGGCCGCGTAATGACATCCGTACGACCAAAAGGAGACGACGCATGGAACTACCTCCGAATACTCCCCCAGGTCCGGCAGTATTTACTGATGGATGAAATCGCGTCTGGCATATTCGAGTGCGTTGCGCTCGATGGCTTGAAGTCGAAGAGTACGATCAATTCCGACGACCCACCGAATTCCTTCCGCACGCGAGACCTCTTCATGCAGCATCCCTCAAATCCAGAATTCTGGAAGTATGTTTCAAGACTCGACGACAGACTAACATTGGTGAATGGCGAGAAAGTGCTTCCAATACCGATCGAAGGACGAATACGCCAGGAAGGTCTAGTGCAAGAAGCCATCGTCTTCGGGGATGGGAAGATCGTACCTGGTATCCTCATCATCAAGGCCGATGCTGCGGCTGACATGTCTGATGACGAGTACCTCCAACACATTTGGCCGAGTGTCGAAGACGCAAACTCCCGCGCAGAAAGCTTCTCTCGGATTCCGCAAGATCTGGTGGTTATCCTTCCGGCAGGAACCAAATACGCTTCCACGGATAAGAGCACATTTATTCGGGCACAGGTCTATGAGCAGTTCAAGCAGCAGATCGCAGATGCGTATGAGAAGTTTGAGAACAATACTGGCGGTTCCATAGCCCTGCCACTCCCCGAGCTCGAAGCACATCTCCTCCACCGGTTCCGCGAGCATCTCGATGTGAATCTAGATTCAGCGGAAACAGACTTCTTTGCTTTTGGAATCGACAGCTTGCAGTGTCTGAAGATGTGGAGCTTGATCAAGAAGGAGATCGACCTTGGTGGGAATCAGTCCCAAGTTGGACAGAACGTGCTCTACGAAACTGGCAACATTGCATCTCTTGCTCGTTACCTCGATGGGCTGCGCAGAGGAACGCAAGAAGATGCGCAGAATCAAGAGCAGGTCATGACCGACCTAATTGCCAAGTACTCGTCTTTCGAAACCTTCACATGGCCGACGCCATCGAATCATGTCGTGGTGCGTACCCCCTCCAACCCATCGCCGCAGACACTAACGCTCCTAGCTACTCACCGGCGTCACAGGCGGTCTAGGAGCCCACCTCCTCTCGCAGCTCCTCGCCCACCCCCACATCTCCGAGATCTGGTGCCCAATCCGCGCACCCACCGACCTCGCCGCCCTCGAACGAACCCTGAAAAGCCTCTCCTCCCGCGGCCTGTCACCCTCGCAGTCTCAAATACAGAAGATCGTCGCACTCCCGTCCGACCTCAGCAAAGCGGACTTCGGCCTCGGTGCCACCCGCCTAGCAGAGCTGCGTACAAAGTTAACCCTGGTCATCCACTCCGCGTGGGCCGTGAACTTCAACATCTCGGTCCAGTCCTTCGAAAATGAACACATCGCCGCCGTGCGCAACTTCGTCAACCTGTGCCAGTCCACCACGCACGGAACACCCGCAACATTTTACTACTGCTCCTCCGTCTCCTCGACAGGTGGCACGCCGCGGCCTGGCGTCGTACATGAGGGCCCAGTACCAGACATCGCACACGTGCAGAAGACGGGATACGCGCGGTCAAAATACGTAGCTGAGAGCATCATCCTCAACGCCGCTCAGCGCGGTGCGCACGCCAGAGTCCTCCGGATAGGCCAGCTCGTCGGCGACACGGCAGTCGGGGCATGGAACACGACCGAGGGCGTGCCGCTGATGATACAAACCGCGCAGACGCTGGGTGCGCTGCCCACTCTGGATGAGGAGATGAGCTGGCTCCCCGTGGACTATGCTGCGCGCATAATTCTTGAGTTGAGCAACGTGACGGACGCTTCGTCTTCCTCTCTGCATGTTGAGGGGAATCCGCGCGCAGATCTCGTATACCACGTCCTCAATCCAACCCGCTTTCACTGGACGCGCGACATGCTGCCTGCGCTCAAGGCGGCGGGGCTGAACTTCGAGACGATGCCTGTAGACCAATGGATGGAGCGCCTAAGAACGTCGGATCCGGATCCGGAGAAGAATCCGCCGATTAAGCTGCTCGGGTGGTTTGAGAGTAAGTATGGGAGAGGGGCGAGTAAAGGGAACAAGGGCGCGTTGGTGTATGAGACGGAGCAGACGGGGAAGAGGAGTGCAAGCGTGGGTCAGATACCGAGTGTGGTTGATGGGGAGTTTGTGCGGAGGATGGTTGGGTGGTTGCAGAAGAAATGGGCAGCTTGAACACAAGGTCAAGCTGGGAGGCTCAGTTGAAGAGATAGATTAAGGCGGCTCAAAAAGCTCTAGACGGGTTTAGATGTGTTGGCATATTAAACAAACCATGTAATTTCATCTGAGAATGCTATCACGCGAATTGGTCCAGGGGTGCATCAGGGTAAACAGTGAGAATTATCATCAGTAGTCTACCCGCTTCTCTTGCCCCGCCCCCGAGCCATATATACTCTGCATCGACGTCCGTGACTGGCGCTGCAAAATAATAAACTCTTGGCTCCCGTTGGAATCGTTTCCATTTCCGTGGAATTCTCGATCGCACGGAGTCCTCCACGCACTATTCTGCTTCTCGGACCTAAACATCGCCTGCCCCGGCCGTCTCGGAATCGTAACCTCGACTTCTCTTTCCTCCCTCCCACTCCACTCAAAGCGCTTCGCATCCGGTGGAATCACCATGCCCTTTCCCCCGGAGTTCAGACTCTGCAGCTGGAACGAGGCTTCCGTGCCCTGCAGCGTGCGGCTGTCGTTCGACGACAAAATCTCCTTTACTTGTCGCGGGTAGCGCGCAGGTCCGCTGTTGCTGCGGTTCGAGGGTGTGCCGAAGACTTGCGGGAAGAGACGCGACATCAGGGGCTTGCAGCCGGGGAGGCATCCGCAGACGATGCCCAGACAGGTTTCGATGGACATGACGGCGAACACGGTGGCGCCCCACCAGAGGACGTCGTAGGAGTAGAGGTAGAGGTGGGTGTAGTAGATTCGGGCGCTGCCGGCTACGCATACACTGTGACTGGTTAGTATCGTATCGCACAGTTATTTGTTGAAACATACATGAGCCCGCATGAGAACATGGAGATGAGTGTAATACGCTGGCGCCGCGATATTCGCACCGACGCGATATCCTTAACAGGCCATAGGAAAATGAAAAAGTCGCTCAGGGTATTTTGCGCGCTCCAGAAGAAGTAGATCACCTTGACGTTCTTGCAATGTTGTTTCACTGTGAGGAGGAACTTGTAAGTTTCCCAGTACACGCGGACGGGAGTGCACTGGAATAAGACGAGGAAGAAGCATGCGATGCTGAAGGCTATCGTATACGTGAGCATGGTGTAGCAGAATCGTTTGTTGACCTTAGTTGGGAAAATGCGGAGATAGGTCATGAGGATTGAGACCTTCGTTAATCCGATGGTCACAATGAAGAGAAGCTGAATCGCCATTCCAAACTTTTTGCATGTTAGCACTCGAAGGGGAAACTGCATATGGATGTTGCGTAAGGACATACCTTGCCGGCTTCTAATGTTCCCAGTAGTTGCTCGAGCCGTATGTCCCATATGTGATATCCCATCTGATATTTTTTCGATGTTGATATGGTGACTAGGATATTATTCGCGACAGCTATGACCTACGGATCATCAAAACCATACTTCCCGATTTTGAGATGGGATGTGCAATTGGCTTACACCTGCGCTCAACATAATCCAGTCGTCCCAGCCGACCGCATACACCAAGACTGTTCTACTGTAAATTCGACATGCCAGCAATGCGATGACCATCACACTCATGGCAGTCGTGACGCCGATGATCAACGGCTGCCTCGTGATGGGGTTGACATAGTTCGGTTTGGGAAATGAGGCAAGCTCCGCCGGAGTCGGAAACCGTGAAGTCATCACCAGGGACTTGCGCAAGTCCTCGCGCAAGGGTAACGGACTGACACGATGTTAAGGGGCAGAAATTGGAATTATGTGAACAAGCTATGATCCGTGCGGGTCGTCCCATATAGATGAATATGGTACCTGTCAGACCAGCGATAAGACAACGCGACTTTGTGTTTCAGCCTCTTCGCAGTAGTGGTTTTGGCTTGGTGGCTTTGTATGGTGCAGGACGTTCAGCTACCTGCCTCATGCAAATGAGCCCCGGGCCGAAAAGAGACCCCTTGGCGCGTGATCAAAGTACATCAGAAATACACCTTCGGTTTCAGGATGGTGTAACCGAGGGAGATCGTCCACGTGCTGGCGATGGCGTGCAGCGATGCCCCAATCGATTAGACATTTGAGGTAAGGCTACCGGCATTTGGGTTGAGAGGTGCCCAGGAGGTGCGGAGTCTAGAGCACCATTGACCCGTGAGGCGTTCGTACATGATGGTGCATCGGGTCGTTGCCCTAGTGCGACATAGCGTACTCGAGATGTAAGCCAGAGCTTGGCGAGCACATACGTTTCTGGCAATAACTGCGACTTGGTGCGTTACCATCGTCAACCTTTTCAATTAATCGAGCTGGATCTAATTGGCCAGTGTCGCTGAAAGAGTCATTGAGTCGCTCCAAAATAAGCGAGCCATCTAATTTTGATTGGCCAACATGGTTGATTGGCAATTGAGGGACATGTAGATAGGTAGATGCTCGAGAAATGGGCTATGGGTCACTCGCCTGGGTTCTATGATGTGCCTCGTGGTACGGGGCGAGAGGGTCCACAGGCGGTCAGTGCCGACGCTACGCATGTCAAGATTAATTACCATTCGGCCCTAAAAGTGACTCTATCTTCTCCCCGAGAGGAAACATGATACGTTATTGTTAGCATAAAGTCTATACTCTCGCTCGCGGAGATACTGGCTGCTAGGGCCACGTACACTACGCATTGCGTGTCGAGGTTCAGCTAGGATGGTTACTGGGGGTTTGTAAAAATGCAACCCCGCCGGTGCATATGCAAGCGCATGTACACGTGCGACCGGAGAGACTCGCACCTACACAACGGATTTATTGCGGTTGCTTGACTGCAATCGTGGAATGGGGGCTGGCCAGCCGAGCTTACAGAATATTGAGCCACCATTAGATCGAACGGGGTAATGATAAGCGGTGACCACTGTTCACTGGCTGGTTTGCAGGGGTCGCGACAACGGCGAGGAAGTGCTCCACTGTTCGGCCTTACCCGTATCCCTAAACCTTAGGCACCCAGTTGCAAAATCGACCCCTCTTCTCGCTTTTCCTTTCCCACACAACATCAGCCCTCGTGAATGTTGCAGGATCTGGTTAGGACGCTTGGAAGTCAGATAAGTCACTGTGGCCCGTTGGCTATGCTGGCTTACCACGATACCAGGCTAACGTTACTTGCATGCGCATTAAGTGTTAACATTGTGTTCTAAAAATCATCTTATCACATTAGGTCGTGGCCATGGTCATCAGCTGGGGGATAACAATTATGCGTTCATGGCGCATCAATGCCCAATAAAACAGACAATCTGATCAAAAGGGATTAACTATGTATACTGAGCGGTCTACACAGCAACGGAGTGTCTATGGAACTACCAACGTCAGTCGGCATGGATCATATCTAAGCTTGTCCGGGCACACAACAGATCAAGCGAGGTGAGAAAGGGTACAACCCAGCCAGTTTCGCAGACCCCAAAGAGCGCTATGCGGAATTTGGACAAGTCTGTACCTCGGACAGTCATTCCCATCCACAACGGCTTCCCGGATACCCATGTGACCTGGACCTTGAGAGCTAAATCAACTCCTGTGCAGACAAGCTACGGACCAACTTTCTGCTTCAAGTGCTCTTCTCTTTTCCAGGCTTCAAAGTCAAAACCGAGATCTCTCATGCAGCGCACATCGCACCTATTTTCGCCTAGCTTCAACGCTGCCTGCTTGATCATCGGGAACTGTTGCCTCGTCCATCTCTTCTCCTCGTCCCAGAAGGGTGGGGTCTTCCCTGCGCCCCTCGTCTCACAGACCCTAGCACTCATGCTAATGTGGTACAACGTATTGATGTAATCAACATCCTCGGGATATCCGAGATTGTGAAAAGCTTTGCTGTCTTTCGTTTGCAAAACGCCACGTTCCCAGGCTTTCATTTCTGCGAAAGTAGGCAGCGTCAAACGTCCAGAAAATACTCGCGCAATATACGCTGCCTGCGCCTCAGCGATCGGAAAGGGTACGATACGCTGAGGTAAAGTCAAAAATGCCAGAGTGGGCCGGGGATAGTAGAAAATGTGCTGGTAGACGTGGCTCGTCCGTTCCCCTGTGGTGGCAACGGGCTGATGCAGGTCTCTGAGGAATGGAAACGAATACTGATAGCCGGTGCAGAAGATAATGTGATCAACCTCGATCTCTTCTTCACCATTGACGAAACGTAATGTCCTATTTTCAGCAATGAACTCGGCAATCTCTGGTCGATACATGATGGAGCCTGAGTCGCTGTGCAAGGTCGTTGACTTCTCTTTCTCCGAGACAATAACATGCGCCGTGAAAGCACATATCTGTCTCGATATGTCTATGCCTGAGGCTGAGTTACCCACAATGATGACCTTCTACTAAAGGTTAGCTCGCCTGCCGTTCAATCGATATGGCGAGAGTTTTTCTGACCTTATCCGAATATGGTCTCGGATTCCGATAGTATTTCGAGTGCGATATAACGCCAGGATGAGCAGCGTCGAATTCGGAAATCCCGGGTATATTTGGAATGTAAGGATCCGAATAGTGGCCACTCGCGCAAACGACTGCGTCAAAGCATTCCTCGCATTTTCTTCCCGAGGACAAGTCTGTGTAGCTCAGATTCCATTGCGGTTTGTGTGCATCATCGCTAGTGCTGATTCGAACCTGCTCAACCTGCGATGCGAGCCTGATATGAGTCCTTATATCATCCGCATACTCTTCGAGATATTGCTTAACAGTGCCAAAGGGAGGAAACAGTGGGCAATCTTTGGGGAAGGGCTTATCGGTAAAACCCATCAACGTGTGCGGGATGTTTGTTTCCAGGGCGTCATATATCGGGGACGGAAATAAATGCGTCATCAGGCCTGAGGGTGTCCGCACCGAGACTGGTCTTTCCACCGACTCTGCGGGTTTTGTTCTCGGGATGGTGAGATCTGATTGGTATTGTTGGGACACATTGCCAGTAAAATTCCATACACCTCCTACTTCATCGCGTTGCTCGAATGCTGCGATTCTGTCAAAGCAATTCTCTGCTTTTAGATATCTGGCATAGGTTAGCGCTTCACTTATAGACCCAGGCGAGAGAACGCACTTCACCGCTGCGGTACCAGCTGGTCCAGCACCGATGACAGCCACCGACCTGATATATGTGACGGTCTCCATGCCTCCGCACGCAAGTGTCGAACAAGAGCTTACCTGAATTGCAGAGAAGTCTTCGTGCGAACACGTGATGTTGAACAATCGAGCTTTCGTGGGTGCGGTGACTTTGTGTCTGCATCGCGCCATCATTGAATGGCTGAAGTCGGGCGCTAACCCGGATCCGGTAATAAATGTCGGAGAATCCGTCGTATCCGCCACCTTCAAGCGTTATTGATCGCTCAAATTCGTACTGTACGCATAAACTATCTGATTGCTGTGATTATAGCTTGAATTACGTGCTCGTAGGCTTCCTTGCATTCGGAGGAGTGCGTCTTTTAGAACGAGCTCAAAATGAAGAGCATTCCAACCCTCTTAGAACCGGTCCGTCGGATTCGCCTTGCAATCAACCGAGTGCTTTACCAAAATGTCGGAATCAAAGAGTCCTAGGAAGACCGACACGACTGTCGATGAACGTGCAGTTGGTCTCAGCCCTGCGAAACTACCACTGAGCAAGCGTATTCTGGGGATCGTCTGGGATTCATTGGACAAGACACCTGAAGAGAGAGCTTTCATTGCAAAAATTGATTGTGAGTTAAGAGTAACCTACAACAGTTACTGACCACTTACATCCTCCAGTTTGGATCTTGACCTACGTCTGCATTGCTTACTTCGTCAAGTACCTTGACCAAACAAACGTATGACTTCGTACAGGTCTCTATTGCAGAACTCTTGGTTGACATTGATCAGATTAGCAACGCCTACGTTTCGGGAATGAAAGAGGATCTCCACCTCACAGGCAACGACCTCAACTACCTCACCACTTACTGGACTATTGGATACATTCTTGGCCAGATACCATCTCAGCTGATTTTGCTCAAGATAAGGCCTTCGATCTGGCTTCCGACACTCGAACTTATCTGGGGCTTTCTGGTAATGGGTATGGCCGGGGCCAAAAACGTTAGATCACTTTACGCATTGCGCTTCTTTATCGGTCTGCTCGAGGCTTCAGCATATCCCGGTATCATGACGCTATTAGGCAACTGGTACACGCCCCAGGAGCTTGGGAAACGCGCTTGTATCTTCCAGGCTTCATCTTCTGCAGCACAGATGTTCAGTGGGTATTTGCAGGCCGGGCTCTTGCGGATGGATGGAAAGCATGGAATTGCCGCTTGGCAGTGGCTCTTCATCTTCGATGGTAAGACAACAATGATTTGGTTCGAAAAGGTCACTTTTAGCAATGCTGACATGACTACAGGTATAATTGGAGTACCAATAGCACTTTATGGATTCTTTGCTATCCCAGATCAGCCTACAAGCAGTAAAGCAAGATGGCTTCCACCCGCACAAAAGCAAATGGCCATCGACCGGATGGAAGCCTGCCGCCGACGCCCAGTCAAACGCCTCACTCGCCGCAAACTCAGGGATATCTTCACATCTTGGCCGTTGTACTTCTTCTGTGCCATTTTTATCGCACACGTGCTCGGAATACGCATTTACAGCTACTTCAATGTATGGCTGAAGTCGACCAAGAAGTGGAGTACATCGGATATCAACCTCATACCCACCGCAGGATACGGTGCGCAGATCTTCTTCACGCTCAGCTATGCATGGACATCGGATGCTATTGGCATGCGATGGCCCGTCATCATCGCTGCGTGCGTGCCGGCGCTCATTGGGTGCATTGTTCTGTCTGTTTGGCCTGAGCACAACATTCCAGCCATGATGGCGGGATGGATCCTCACATTTCTGGAGACTGGCGCTGGAGCTCTCATCATCACGTGGATCAACGAGATTTGCTCTGAGAGCGCGGAGCACAGGATTGTCATCATTGGGGTTGTAGAAGCGATCGCCTTCACTTTCCAGGCTTGGGTTCCACTGTTCATTTACGACACTGGAAAGGCTCCACATTTTCCTATTGGGTACCAAATGGCGGCAATGTTCTTCGCAATTGAAGTGGTGCTCACACTTTGTGTTTGGCAGATCCACAAGAGGTATCCTGTAAAAAGCGAAAAGGAAGACGAGGCAGAATAGTTGGCTGAGCGTTGCAAATCATTAGATACAAGTCAAATGAGCGAGTGCCGTGTTGTATGAGGGTTTTCCATGTAGATACCTATTCAAGAATTTAATCGAGCGCATGCCATTGCCGTCCCATCTCTGATGACCTCTCACCCTCAATTCGCCCGTAACTTCTCTCAAATATTATGGTTGTTGTGAGTATCGGATATCGGATAATTGTCTCCACATTGTAGCACGCAATTGAAGATAAGCAGATGTAGCGTCACGCTAGAACGTAACTGGTACACAAGTCGGACCTTGAATTCCCAGATGCAGTAAGAGCGCCTCCGACGAAGCAGCTGCGATCCCTGCAGCTTAATACTACATGGATGCAGTATAATTATACTTCTCTAAGGATTATCAAGAAGACTCATCATCACATCATTCACGATGGTGACCGAATCTGAAGCCCGCGACCTCTACGCATCGACACTACACTTCGATGGCCTCAACATCTGCAATTTCTCGCGCGAGATCTTCGAAGCCTGGCGCGCTGGTGGTATTGATGGCGTGAGCTGCACGTGCGGGCTCTGGGAAGGATTCAGAGCCTCCATCGCCAATGTCGTACAATGGAAGAAATGGTTTGAAGACCATTCCGATCTGATCATGCAAGTGCATACCGTTGCCGACATACGAAAAGCGAAAGAGCTTGGGAAAACAGCTGTGCTGCTAAGCTGGCAGAACACTGCGGGCATTGAAGACCAGCTGGACTATTTGCGTGTGTTTCGGGACTTAGGGGTACGGAAGATGCAGCTGACGTATAACACGCAAAATTACTCTGGCGCAGGCTACACGGAAATCAACGACAGTGGCTTGACGGGATTTGGGAGGGAAGTTGTCAGTGAGATGGCAAAGCTGGGCATAGTGTGCGATCTTAGCCACGTCGGTCCAAAAACTACACGGGACGTTATTGAGTTTGCTCCTGAAGGCAAGCCACCGTGTTTCTCGCACGTTCTCCCAGGAGGCATGAAAGAGCACAATCGCAACAAGAGCGACGAGCTAATCAAACTGCTCGGCTCGAAGGGAGGCTTTGTAGGGTTGAGTCAATTTGGCCCGCATATGAAGAAAGGAAACGACAGCACCATCGACGACTATGTCGAGGCGCTAGAGTACGTCATCGGATTGATCGGAGAGGATTTAGTCGGAGTCGGAAGCGACAGTAGTGAGGGCCACAGTCGACCCAGCGAGTTCATGGCGTGGTGTAACAAGGATAAAGGCTATGCTCGCCAGTTGACGCCATGGGGTAGCCAGAAGGTCGTGAAGCCGTTAGGAAAGCTTGAAGACAGGGCTGAGTTGGGTTTGGCCATGGCAAGGAGAGGCTGGACTGAAGAGAGAATGAAGAAGGTACTAGGTAAGATATTGTCAATGTCCGTCTTCAGACTCCAAGTTCACTAACCTTGATTAGGCGAGAACTGGTTGCGATACCTGGCGCAGATACTAGGCAGCTAGTTCGAGGCGTCTCCCCCTAAAGCCTGCATGACCGACCGGCTCGAACCAGGCTCTTACTTTCTTTTGAGGTCTGCTATCATTGACGTGACTTTGAGTGAGAATCGTGCCCGCACACGTTGCTGTTGACAACAATCTAACAAGGGAAAGGACATGTTCATGCGTTATAGTACCATCTTTACCAGGAGGAAAAGGAATATTGCAAAGCACCATAATAGCATTCCAATCCCTTTCAATAGGCTTAGCGGGACTAACGAGTCAAGGTTGCCCATCCCTCTAGGCGTAACCTTACCGTTTCCCTATTATTTGTAATATCTGACCTATGGTCCCCATATACAGAAGTGCAAGACACTCGTGGTGTTGCCCCGGACACCAGGCTGAGTGAAATGCTTGGGGTTGGATGCCGCGCACTCTGGTTTGTAGAGCTTCGGAATATGTGTTGGGTTATTCCTGACCTATCCATCTGTGCGCAGACGACCAAAGACCTCCGCGGGTCGAGAGACACTATGAGAACCGAATTTCGATAGTCTTCAAAAAACCAACAAACGCCTCCACAAATCTATTTCTCTAAAGCAAGGTCTAGCGTGTTTCGCACACGGGATAGATGGCTTCCATTAATCTTGCATGCCGCAGTGCTGCGCCCAGGCTCAGTAGGGCCGTCATCCCCTTCCCAAGTGTGTGTACAGTGCCGCCCCATGAACAGAGCTAGCAGTATGCTTAACAAATCAAGCTTTCGATCCATGATTGTGATTCGCTAATCGTGCTGAACAAAACGATCGCCCAAACAAGTGGCGCTGATGACATATTGGCTAAGCCTAATTGAGTCACGATCGTAGCCGGAAGGTATAGCTTCCGATGAACACGGCTTTCTACTCCCCGTATTTTCGGTCCGCGCGAACCTCCATTGAGCAGCTCTTCGAGAGTCATGAGAAATTAGTCTATTTTGATTGGTTGGAGAGCGCCCCGGAGACGAACGCTCCCGAGGACATTCACTATGTTTTCCAGTTTGGGACAAGGAGAATGTTGACAGCACGGATTCGGCCATACTTTAGGCATACAAACATGCTTTGAGATGCAGTGAGCCGTGGCCAATATCAGCCTCGGAATTACCCATCGGCACTAAGGCATTGAGGGGGCGTAATGAAAGGTAGGACTCAAAAGGCCGATCGAGTGCCACTTTGCCTGGTATCCTTCAGTGTAGATTATTCTCTATCATCATGCGCTCCTTCAAGACTCTTGCCCTGATGGGCTGCGCCGTTGCAGCCCAGAACATGTCCCTGTGTGACAAATACACCACAGCGCTTCTAATGGATAACAACGCCACGAACCAGTACACTCTGCTGACACTGCTTGTCAACACTGTCGTCATTGGCAACTATACCCAGCCCAACAAGAACGCTGTTCCAGGTATTCTGGCCAAGGGCACATACGAAGGCGAAGAGGTCAACCTCCTGCCCTACTTCGATGGAACACTGAAGTCAAGCAACCGCGGTGGCTCCTCAGGGGTTGCCATCAACTTCCTTGACGGTGGAGGTGCTGCTCCGTTGATGGAGAACAAGCCCGCCAACAACGAGACTTCCAACCAATAGTAAGCTGATCCATGCTTTACGCATCCTTCATAGCCATACTGACAACAGTGCAGCTTCCTCCTCACCCACCTCTACCAATTCTTCGGCACACTGCTTGCCTGCTCCGGCTCCGGCTCCATGGGCTTCCCCGCCTACGCCGGCCACGACATGGCCTCGGCTCACGCCTTCATGAACCTCGATCCTACCGAACTCGGCTACTTCATCCAGCAGGTCGGCCTCGCAGCCACCTCCTTCGGTGTCACTGAAGACGATGTTACCGCCGTCGCGACGGCTCTCAACAAGCTTTTCGGATACAGGTGCAGCCCGCCTACCACGGTGATCCCTGAGCAGGGTGCTACGCTCAACAGCATCTGCCAGAACGACAAGTGCCCGCTCGACCCCATGGCTACGTGCGCTGCCTACCCCAACAACGGAACCGCGATGGAGCCGCAGCCCGCGAGCATGTCGAACGGAACTATGCCGTCTTCTACTGGAATGAGCCCGTCGGCTACGTCGACGATGGGTGGACCGGCGTTCACGGGTGCTGCGGTGTCTGAGCGCGCAGGACTTGCGGCGATGGTTGGTGGTTTGGCTCTTGCGATGGCTTTGTAGTTTTTTAGCATGGTGAAGGTTGAAGACTGATAATCCTAATAACGATGGTCATCTTATACATTGTCTTGTATCGATCTTATGCAAGGACATGTTGGCCCCAAAATTGGTCAATACCACAGAAAATCCTGCTTGATGCCGTGACCCACTTCTCCCTAGTCAATTGTAAATATCGTTTCGCAATAAAATTAGGATCGAGGCTGGCCTATACAATTCACGCATATCTTAATCTGCAGGTCTTTCGTACGTGCAGATGAATCGCAGCCCTGGTTCCAGGAGCCTCTCTCAGGCCAGCCTTGCAGTGAAGCAGCAGCTCTCGAATTCATGAATGTGATTACCAGTCCATCAAGGGGGGGAAAATTTTCGCTCTTTGACTCCTTTCTCTACTAGTAAGGTCACTAAATCAGTCCTTGTCTACGCGGGCTACCTTGTAGACGAACACTTCTTTGCAGTGTGATCCGTTCAACCGCGCCAGGTGGTTATTGTCTCTTAGGGCATCGAGGAGTTTCAGGAAGACGAGAAGAATGTATAGGATTCCACACATACTATAGTAATTACCCACAATAGTGTTCAACCACAGTAGAAAGTGTCGCGCAAGCAACCTCCGGGGCACGGCTCTGAGCTGGAAATCGAGGAGAACCATACCCTCCGGGGGGCTAAAGATTGCAGTGAAAAGGAGGCCATGAAGCCTGCTCACTGACCGGAATCTTAGCCGTCAGCAACGGTTTGCCTATACTGCCGTGTAACATGGCGGTAGTCGTACCGATTGGTCGCCAGTCAGGCAGCAGCGTCCTCTCCGCCGGTCTAATGCTTCACTGCAATTTCGGCTGTAACGAAAAGAGGCGAACCAAGATAGGCCCTCATCTGGTGTTGCAGCCTTGGATTCCTCCATAGATAGTGTCTCTGCATTACGAAGCGTGAATTTTCCGCCCGCGGTCCCGCAAATCCGGCTATCGGCGAAAGTGGATCGGAATGCGACTGAGGACGATTGTTTGCATTCTGCAGAACGTTTCCTCGACGCATACACGAGACTGAAGAATCAACTCTAATACATGCTCACTACGTAGACGCTGTTCGCGGCATGGGCGACCTGCTTCATGGGAGACAGCTATATGTGTCGGTCGATAAGAACGGGGCGCAGAGACGCACGCCGTCGTGGAGGATACACGACCAACAGAAGTCTACAAGTGAAGCTTGTGAACCCACGTTCGCCTGATCTTGTTCGTCTTACCCGAGTCCGTCCAGTCTGACCATGGGCCCATCGCCTGAGCTAGAGAGCGCAGTGTAGCACCCAACCAATCCAACCAGTCCTTTTGTCTCACTGAGTGAAATGCGGCTCCTTTCACTGCAATTTTAGCCCCAACGTGGGCTTGACTCAGCCTACCTCTCAGCCTGAGCCTTGCTATCTGACATGCCACTACTGCCGAAGATCTCGGAGAAGTCAGGGCTGTTGAGTATCTGCGGTTTACGGAGCAAATTTAGGGACGGCAAGGTGTGCAGCGCGCACGTTGGGTATTTGACCACCACAATCTCAGCCTCGCGCAAGTTTAGTGTCAGCCTCATTTTCGGACAGCACTAGTTTCGCACAGCACTGCAGTCTTTAGCCGCGACGAGGCAGTGGAGGGAAGTGTTCCACTTGACAGCGTGCACCTGTGAACGGCACCTGTGAACGGCTTACGCCTAATCAGCCAAAGGCGACACTGCAATTCCGGCCCCGACGAGCAGTTGGGCAGAGCCGCTTTTTGGCGCGATGTACCATTTTGATCCTTGACCCGGATCTGGAAATTCGCTACGATGCCCTTTGCTACACATATCCATCGCTTCTCTACGGGTAGCTCATCTCCACCTCTGCCCTTTGCCCCACTACGTTGAACTCACGAACTCCGCCTCCCATACGGCTCAAACGGAAACAGCACCGCAATCCCCGCCATGACCACATACAACGCCGCGCAGATGTAAATGGGCACCGCGGTCCCCGTATCCGCATATGTGGCAATGACCGCGCTCAGAATGCCCATGACCCGATTCCCGCTAACAGCAAGCCCATTGCCGGTGCCTCTGTGCGCCGAGGGCAGCACCTCGGGCGTGTAGGCGTACAAAGTGCCGTAGTAGATGTTGAGGCAGAAGTTGACGACGCAGGTGAAGGCGGTATTCTGGGTCTCGGAGCGTACCTGTTTTGCACAATCAGCATGCGTTGAATAAGAAGGAAGGGGGAGGGAAAGGGAAAAGGTAATGTACCTGCGTGTACGCGAAGAAGAACACACACGTCACCAGCGCGCCCACCACCATCGTGTACTTCCGCCCCAGCCACGGCCGACTGCACATCCATCCCGCTAGCACGGGACCCCAGATACCGCTAAAGTTCACAAGCGTGTAGTTGCGCCACGTGATGTACGCGCTCTTCTGGCCGAACTGCGCGCCGCGGGAGTTGAGGTACTGCGGGAGGAAGACGTTGTACAGCGGGTAGGCGAGCCCGATGAGGATCCAAGAAAGCCAGATGAGAGACGTCGAGGTGCCGATGCGGCGCGTGGAGAAGAGACCCTTCAGATGGATCCCGATTTCGCCGGCACCCCATTTGCTGCCTTTGCGCAGGGTCGTCTCGCCACACGCAGTCATCTTATCGAGGGTGAGGGAGCACGGGCGGTTGTACTTGTTTGCGATGAAGAGGAGTGTTTCGACGGCTTCTGCGTCACGGCCCTCGCCGATGAGGAATTTGGGGGTCTCGCGGAGACGCATGACGGTAATGCGGAGGATGCTCATGATGAAGACAAGTGCGCCCGAGGCAAACCATACGTAGCGCCAGCCTTTGTTGTTGGCATAGGTACAGGGTTCGGCATCCGGATTGACGGAGGGATCTTCGCAGGAGAAGTTGGGGATGAAAGCCCAGGCGAAGAAGCCCGCGATCAACTGACCGACGCCTGACACCTCTTGTTAGCAGTTGAGACCGCTAAGGATTGTGCTTGATTCCATCCTTTCGTAAAAGATGTTAAGCGGAAGTGCACAAACTCACCCCACCAGCAGGCCATGAGCGTAAGCATCCACTGCTTGCGACTCGGCAGATACTCCAAGAAAACCGCGGTATCCAGCACCAAATTCCCTCCTCCACCAAAACTACTCAAACACACAAACAGCCCCAGCACAATCCAATTCGGACTACTCCCAGCCACGATCGCGAAGATAGAGCAGATCATCAAGCTCACATTAAACGCAAACTTCCTGCCGATGATGTCTGCACTGATACCTGTGCCCCGTCAGTTTCTTTTCCGCAACATGTCTTTCTGTCGTCCACGTCTTTTCCCAAAGACTCACCCCAAAAACTCGCTCCCGCCAACATTCCCACATACGCCGCAACCGTCAGTCCATTTCCCCACCCTGGATGGAACTCCAGCGCCGCCTGTCCCGCGATGATACTCTGGATCAGCAAGATCAAGCTATCCACCGCGTAGCCAAACCCGTTCAGCACAAACAACTTCCACTGGTACGTCGTGAACCCAATCTCATCAATCGCATCGTTGATGAGGTGCATCTTCGCGTTGAGTACCGGGTCCAGGTGCTCCTGGCTGAGGATGTCGCCCTTGCCGATGCTGAGGGAAGCCGCATCGTCGGCATTTTCGGGGTCGCGTGAGGGGTCGTTGTGGAGGATGTCGAGTTTCTTCTCGGTTTCGGTGGGAGGAGAAGCCATGATGGCGGTGGTGGGTGTTGTTGTTACCTAAGCTGTCGAACTGGTCATGTATGCTGCTGTGTCTCGATCGTCTCTATCCTATCCGCAACCTTGAAAATTCCGCAAACGCGCGATAGGCACCCCGCGCCCGCAAACGGGTACCACCAGCCTTATACCGCATGCACGCCGCCAGGACGCGGCACCTTCACTTCAAGCTCACCGCGCGCATCGCACCACGCAGCGCTGTGCATCATACCCACGTGCCCCACCTCTGATTGGCTCGCCCCCGTTGGATCGCCCACGACCGCCCAGATCCGAGCCATGGCCCACGCGCCGTTTGGTTCACATCTTTCCCCTCCCGTGGTCTCCAAGACTGTTCCGGCAGGTGCGCACCTGTTAGCTTTCGCCTAAATCTTTCGCATATTCCATCATTCGCTGGCAACTGGAGCATTTCTTCGAGATCTGGGACGAGCGGCAGGCGGGGCTTGGCGCGGGCCCAGAGTTGTGAGATGAGGTTGCATGGTTGCATGGTTGCATGCCGTCACGCGAAGGATGACCAGGCTAGCCCCCGATGGTAGGGGAGGTACAGCCGGGACGTCACCACGCCAACCTCCAAAACTTGGACGAAGGAAATGTTGCACATGGATAAAATTGAATATATCGGCAAAGTGAGCAGTGAGAGTGATAGATTGGTCTGTACAACAGTGCGCCTATATACAACTCCCGCGCACCTACCTGTGCTCCTGGGGCGCCTTCCATATGCTAGAGACCCCTTTCAATAATAGTATTGCATAATCCAGCACGCATCTGGGCAGGCGCAGAATCTAATCATACTCAAAGACAGACACTGCATAGAATTCCTTCAAGCCCAACCATTGAAGCCCCTCAATATCCCGCATCCTTAATGTCGTGTCCATACCTCATAAACGCCGTCTCAGTGTACGTATGACCAGCACAAGCCCGGCGCGTCGTCGCGTACCGTACAAAAGCTACAATATAGAGTATACACATACATGACAAGCTGTCCGAAGTACAAGGATACCATATACCCTGAACGCCGTCGGGTATTGCCATTGACGCCGTGTAAAAGGGAACGAAAACAAAACACACAATGCCCAACCTCCAATATCGTACTGCTGACTTTTGGGCGCTCATTGCTGCGCCGATGTCTGAGTTGTGGGAGTGTTCTCCGTGGTGCTCACCACCGCGCTGTCGTTCGTCTCCACGGAAGGCAATGTAACTGGCGTGGGAGCAATCCTCCGCTTCTTCGTTTCTCTGATTTCCTCCACTTCTGGCACAGCTTGCAGATCGCGCTTCTTGCGTGGTGAAACGTTGTCTTCACGTTCCGACTCGCTCTCTCGTCGGTGACCTCCAGCCACTCCAGGAATGCCGCTGACGGAGCTGCTCGCACTGTGAGTGCCGTGGCCATGCGCTGGGGTCAAAGGCGGTGTGAACATGGGCACACCCACGGGTCCAGAGTTTGCTGCTGCCAAACTAGGCACTGCGGACATTGAAGGCGTGGGCGCGTTCATTACGCCCATATCGCCTGCGCCAGGAGCGAACGATGAAGCTGTCGCTATGCTTGAGACGGAGTTGCTCCGAGTCGGACTGCCCGGTCTGGCTGGGACGAAGGAGCTTGGAGAAGCCGGAAAGCCTGCTGAAGGCTGCCTGGTCATTGGAGCCGCCGTTGCCACACTCGACGCTGGCATATTGGAAGTTGTGGGTGTCTGGGTAGGCGTAGTGTTATTCGAAGTTCGCGATGCTGCAGTGTCAATCGAGGGCGTGTGCGAATGTCGCGATTCCTTGGCCGTTGGTCCAGTGTATCTCTCTCCTAGCTCACCAGTGGCAAATGTCAAGGACGAGCAGAACCCATCAGAAGAGCTCATCAGAAGAGTAGATCCATCGTTCGACCTGTGGTTGTTAGTACAGATTTGGCTTTCTGAATGGACATCACTTACCACGTGAGATCAGTAAAGGTAGCAAAGTGCAAGTTGCTAACTATGCACAGTGGTTTCTGCTGTTGCGTATCGTAGACGTGTACCGCATCCTGTGTCGCAACTGCATACACCATGCGGTAGGGTAGGGTGAAAGCCGAAATTGGTCCCGGGGGCGGGACGCCTGACGCTCCAACATCGCCTTCTGCCGGCCTCGGGGATGCAGCAGCCACGCTTGGCGAAGGGGACGGTGCACTTGTCAGCGGCGGCGGATCCATAGATGCGTTGGAGGTGGGCGCCTTTGATGGCATAGCGGGCTCGGGCAATGCAGGAATTTCATCGTCGGCAGATGAGGTGTCGATCGTTATTTGCTTGGTGGGAGGGTGTGTTTGGCGAAGGGTGTAGTAAATAGGTGAGCACCGCACCGCTACGGACGGTTTCTTGTGTCCTGGTAGATATGCCACAGGTGGTTTGTTCAGCCCTCCTCTCGTGTAGATGTACACAGTGTTGCTGATATCCTCGGTGGTTTTGGTTGCATCCGTAAGCGATGGCAGTACAGTCTTGTACTGGCCTGCGGGGGTGAACAACAAGCTACCGTCCGGCGCAAATGTCAAACGTCGGAAGAATGATGTAAGAGTCTCATTGGCGTATATGGGAGCGTTCCTCACTCCTCCAAGAGCAGGATGGTTGCCGGTAGCGAGACTGCCGATGCTGGGCGAATTGGGCATGACCGCAGGCAGAGGCATGGAAGGCGCAGGTGAAGCTGAGCGCCGCATCGACGGTGACGAGCCAAACGATGATCGACGGCTGTGCGATGTAGGCGGTGGGTTCATCGGGAGAGCCAGCGACTGGGGAGTGCCGGGGGCAGATGGGGCGGGTGAAACGGCAAGAGCCGATCCGTGTGCGACAAAGGACGCTCGTCCTCCAAAATCTGGCGGAGCAGGGCTGTTTGAAGATATTCTGCGTGCAGGCAGGTCCATTTTAGTGACCTTGCTGTGCGGGTCCAGCGTAAATTCGCCATTCTTGTTCTTGAGGCTGTAGATGTGCACCGATCGGTCCGACGACTGCGTAGCAACAAATTCGTTGAGCGGGTCCCATGCCACACCCTGCACGTAGTGACTGTGTTCAGCAATTTGTCGTATGACGGCGCCTGGATGTGTTTAGAGAATAGCAACTTGTTGCTCTGGGCGAGGGCTGTACCTGTGTGGGCGTTGTATATGCGGGCAACATTGTCCATGCTGCCGGTGATGAAGAAGGCACCGTCGGGGGACCAGGCAAGGTCGTAAATCTCGGAGCCCATGGACCTGCACATGTGCTTGACCCTCCATGCCTCCTTGTCTTCCGGCCCGTCGTCTCCCAATTGCTTCATGGGCGGGTTCTCAGACGGCACCCAGAGGATGACGACTCCATCGTCGCTGGCGGAGGCTAAGATCTCACCTGAGAGCTGTGAGCTGGGATTGGAAGTTCGTGTACAATGACAAATACCTTTTGGAGACCATCGCACAACATTCACAGCTTGTGAGTGCTTTGCGAGGGTGGCCAGGTAGCTGACTTTCCGCTCGTCGCCGTTGGCGTCGACCTTCCAGAGCTGCAACTGTCAGCATCGCTCCTGCCCGTCAGACAGCGCTGTTAACCCACCCTCACGTTGTTGTCGCCGCCCGCCGTAGCCAGGCGTCCCTTGGCGTGGGGCTCGAAGTGTGCCGAGTAAATTGGCGTGTTGTCATTGTGCCAGGACACGAGGAGCGGAGCAGCCTTCATTGTGGAAGCTGAGGCTGCTCACCAGCCGTCCGAAGTCTTTCGTGATGTGTGGTGGAGGTACGAGCGGATTGAGGAGGTCACAGCTCACGTCGGGGGCACTGCGGTGCTTGGAAGTGGGCGTGCTGCGAGGGGAGCGGTCTGCCGTGGAAGGATGCGGAGATGGTGCGGGTGAAGCAAGCGCAGCGTAGCGGTTCAGGCACGGAATCGGGAGCACGGCTGGTCGACCCGTCGCATGCCGCGAGGTGTGCTGGTGAGTGGGAATGGGAAGAAGGAGCAGCGGCGGCGGTATCAGCAGCGCGGAACAATTGCTCTCAGCGCAGGCGTCCGAGTGTGCCCGGGTGGTTGGCTGGCTGGTGCTCCGCTGCTGCTGGTCCACACACGAACTGCTCGCGGTCCGCGAGCTTCGACGCGGGTGCTAACCACAAGAGGCCTTGATTGGCTGTTTCACCACCACGACGCGACCCAGCACGTCCTCCACCACCATGCGTGCCTGAGCGAGCCATGCTCGTGTGCCTGTGCTGTGCCGCCGCGAGTTTGCACAGTTGCTGTTCCTTGCCGCGCTTGGCTGGTCGCAATCGCTTCCACCGCCTGCCTTTCTGCGATGCCGTGCAAACCGCTGAGGTCGGGCTGAAAGCAGCAACCAGGCACGCAGCCACCCACGGCCAAGCCGGGGCACTGAGTATACTACTGCGCAACTGCTGCAGGCGCCGCTCGTGGTGCGAGCGAACGCAGACCGCCTGATGTTCGGTCAACGTGTGCCCTTGTGAGTGTGATGCATGCAGAAGCCAGGCGCTCGATGTCGCAACGAATGGGCTGCTCGTCCATCGGGAAGCCAGCACGCTATTCGCACCCACAGCCGCAAAGCGCATCAGCCAAGGCAAGAGCCACCACCGGAGATGCGTTGCAGTCGCAGACGTCGACTAGGTGTATGGGAATGTAGTAGGAATCCCAGACCTGCTGCTGCACCATCGAACAGCGATCGGACCAATGCAAGCGCGCAGCAGCACTTTGGCCACCCTTGCCTCCTGACCGCCTGCCAGAGCTAAATATTGCACAGTTACAGTGTAAAATGGCAAATGAAACGTGCGATCGAATTCGAATTGTGGCACGCCCTGTGGCTTGACAGCTGCGACGAAACTGGGACGCTGTCTGGGCCGCTTCGGTGAGCGACAGTAACCCACAATTCTGCTGTTGAGAAACAGTTGCTTGTTGCATCTGACAGCAAAGCTTTCCCGCACGTTTCCATCTTCGCGCCCCTCGTGAAACATGTACAGCGACCAGTCCATCTTGACCATCGACCCTCGCATGCTGTTGTGAGTCAAATCTCGACCAGGTCTCAGGTAGATGGGTAACCAGCGTAAGTCTCACGCCCAGCACTCGCATAACCCTTACCCTGAGCTGCCGTCAGCACGCCCCGCTCTTCGCACTCGCGCTCGTTGAGGTATATACACAGTAGATGGCTTCAGGCGCCGACAATCCCGTTGCTGTCAGCCTGCTCAGAGCAGTTGCCTTTGCCGCCTGCAGCTGCCGCTGCTCCGTACTCTGTTCGAAACACCTCACTGCTGTGCCTATTCGAGATTCCTCACACATCCCGCTCTGGCGCGGCGATTATCCGTTTACGATTGCCGAGATTGTGCGAGCTCAACCAACTTCATGTAGGGCGCCGGTCCGACGGCTCAGCTCAGCTGTGTCTGAAGCATCTCAAAACCAAAGGCTGCCGCACCTTATTTTATCCCAACCGCCTTGAGAAACTCGTCTCTCCTATTCTCTTCCTGCAGCCCTTTGACCACGTCTGCCATTGTCTCCACTTCCCGGATGCCCTTGCCGTGCTCGAACGTCCAGAGCTCAGCCTCCTCGTACCGCACCTGGAAAGCCTGCCAGTGCTCCGCCTTCAAAGTGTTGACATGATCAGTGACTGCTGCTGTGGGCCCAGAAAAAAGCATAATGCCCGGATATCCAGGCTTGGTGATGCCAGATATCGAGGTGGGAGAAAGTGCGAGCTTGCGTTTGCCGAGAGCAAGAAGGTGGTGGAGCCAAATGATGACCGTCTTGTCCGGTGCAGATATTTTTGAAGTATCGGATGTCTCATCCATGTTGTCTTTGGCGTGGGAAGCGGCGCTTGTAGCATCAACCACGCTCTGAAAGGAGGCGATAACCGCATCCAGAGCCTCTTCTCCATCAATGAGCCCCAGGTCTTTGATCGTAGCACGCACATGCTCCCGCAAGTCATTCTTTCGCGCATCTCTAGCCCCAAGGACGTCTAGAGATGCAGATTCAGGGTATTCGTCTGGCACCCGCAATTGAAGCAGTGCCCCGCCATCGCCTGTGAACTTGAGGTCACGGCTTTTTGGATCGTATTTGATCTGATCCGGATACATGGCCTCGAGAAGCTCCAGCTCCATTGTGAAACGTGATCCATCATCTTCTGAAGGCATGGTTTGCCTTGTCAAGTGGCCATAAGCGTCGCTCGTGTTTTCGGAATAAGCTTTGAGAGCTCTCGCTCAACTTTGCTACGTTGAATTCGGACACGATGACGTCATATCTCTAGCATTCGGCGAGAGCATCCCACCACATGTCAAGGTCACTCAGAGTGATTCATGGTGGAATCACTGCAGGGCGTGTCAGGCCTTGCTAAAGTTCAACGATATCGACTGTGCACCCTCACACGCTTATGCTTAAGCAATTGGCAATCTGAGAAAGACGGTCGCGCACTGTGCGGGCCGCGCTATTACAGCCACGCGCGTCGTGAGATATCATTAGGAGAACGACAACTTAAAGGCTGTGCACAGGACCGGAGCTGACAGTCGCAGTAATGCAACAGTTGTGATACCACATTTCAAATTAGTTGGAGGGCGGTGCGAGGGCTCCGCGATACGAAGGGCGGAGAATCGGGGGCTACAAGATCAGCACCACAACACCAGGACGCAAGCGCTCGCACCACCATCAACGCCATCCTTTCAACTCTCGAGTGACTAAATTTCATAGGCATACTAGCACCGACCAAACTGCGGTCAAAAGTCGTTCATCGCACACGACTAGCGCAACACCATCTTATTCCAACTCCTCAGCACCACGCTTCTTCATCACGACCATGTCCACCAAACCCCTCATCCTTCTCACCGGCGCAACCGGCCACATCGGCTTCCGCACGCTCGTCGTTGCCCTCCGTGCAAACTATGCTGTCCGCGTCGCAATCCGCAAGCCGGACCAAGAAGCCAAAATCCGCAATGCGTCCTCCATCCAGCCATACCTCTCCTCCCTCTCATTTGCCCTCGTCCCCAACATGGCCGCCCCATCCGCCTTCTCGTCCGCAATCAAAGGCGCCACGTACGTGATCCACGTCGCCTCGCCCATCCCCATGAAACCCGACGTCCAAGTGCTGCTCGGCGAGGGCAAGACTTTTCGGGAGGTCATGTACGATCCTGCCGTCAAAGGCACGCTGGAGGTGCTGCGCGCGGCGGCTGGAGAGCAGGGCGTGAGGCGCGTTGTCATCACGGCTTCTGGGAATATTCTAGCTTGCACGGTTGGCGTGCCGGATTGCAAGCCTACAGATATCAGGCCATGTCCTACGGACGAGGAGGCAGATGCTATGACAGTCCCAGGCGTGGCTTACAAGACCAGTAAGATCCTGGCTGTTTCTGCGGCGCAGAAGTTCATGGAGGAGGAAGATCGAGGTTTCGACATGGTTATTACCTGCCCGGGATATGTGCAGGGTGCACACGAGTTGGCTGGTAGTGTGGAGGAGTTGAGGACAAGCACGAGCCAGGCGACGGTCGACATTGCGACGGGACAGGAGCTAGGGATGCCCCCTCTTGCGCCGCCGCTGTATAATCAGATCTGGGTGGAGGATGTGGCGAGGGCGCATGTGGAGGCGCTGGCGAATGCGAATGTGAAGGCGGATGATGTTTTGGTGCTGGCGGGGAATGGCCCGCATAGCACGAGCTGGGAGGAGGTTGGAAAGATGGTTGCAGAGATGTTTGGGAAGGAGGTTGAGGAGGGTGTATTGAAGCCAAAGATGGATCAGAAGGGATTCAGCATGCCGTTTGATGGAAGTGGTACGGAAGAGAAGCTAGGGTTTCAATTCGCGCCAGCGGAGGTGTGGGTTAAGGAGACTGTCGCTCAGTATCTCCAGCTCAGAGGCACGGAAACAGCGTAAGAAGTGCTGCAGCGGCGATCTTGGTTTCTACAGCGACATGACAGAAGCTAGAGTCGAAAGTTAAACATGGAACCTCAGCGTAAGACTGAATGATGGAAACAAATTCAGATCTGCCACTATTCTCGCACAATGTGCCACGTTCTGCGTCCAACTGCTCGTCGCGCTATTTCAGTGAACCCTGGCATAAACTCCATGGCACATCAAAGGAATCTGCACCAGTAGGCTTCATATCCTCTTCCAGCCCTTTCTACACAACCGATATTATGTCGTTCCTACCTTGAAGCTCATGATGAAAGTTGAACGCGCAGAGTAAAGCCCGCGACCACGTTTCGGGGCGTTTTCTCTTAAAAAGATATTTCTTTGCCCGATGACACATGCGGCACATTCCCGGCAGCGTGTCGTTGTTGCTTGCGACATGGCAAGGCCAAATCGGGAGGGAATGACCCGCCGGCGCTAAGAATTGCAGTGTCATCCTCAACGAGTTCAGAGACTAAGCGCAGTCACACATATCCCTGCATTCTCCTCGTTATTTCCCCTCACCTGAGGCATGCACATGCGTACACAACGCTGAGAACGCTATGCCAGTATCTGATGCTGAGACGCACACCCACGGACCCAGCAGTGCGATGTGCAAAGCCGCTACACGACCATAAGTAAGGAGTGGATTTGTCGTAGGATGAGACAGGATATGTAGGAAGGAACAAGAGAAACGAGACGTGAAATATAATTGGACGACGGCGAATTCTATACCCCCAGGTACGGAGAACTCTCAACCTGAACCTCCAAGCGTGAAGTACATTTGTGGAAGAGTATGTTGTTGCCTTTGACATGGCAAGGCTGAGAGTGACGATGGACTGCTCGCTGGGGCTAAAGATTGCAGTGAAAACTCCACCGAAAAATCATTGGCTGGTGTAGGGAATATTGCAATTTTTTTACTGTATTTATATCAGAAAGTTAGTAAAGTATTCCATTTGTACCACGTTCACAGCAATTTCAGGTTCGACGAGCAGTCGCACTAAGCTTCCGGTGAAGGGTCATCAACGAATCATCGTACTCCGCTCCCCTCCCTGGCCTGCTTACGGCTTCAAAATGACTTTTTGTGATTCAATGGCATCGCTAAAACGTTTCAGCTGCACTTGGTTTGACCGCTCGCCGGGGCTAGAGATTGCTGCGTTGACACAATCGACCGCTGGTTCTTGTTATCTTCTTTGTGCGGATGCCTCGGAGACCAGCGAAATTGGACCTGCAAAATGAATATAACACCAAATATAGTATATGTGCCAATTTAACATGACGAGAAGCAGATTCGCACGCTCACGCTTTGCACTGGTAAGGTCTGCGACCCAATTCAACGCTCCCTTTGCATTGTGATCCTGAAAGAACAACCATCGTACGAAGCGCTATCATACACCTGGGGCGACGCAAAGTATACTTAGTCTATAGAGGTGGCTGTTGCAGAGTTTGATGCGACGATAAACCTTGAGCGCGCGCTGCGCCATCTGCGCGAAGACGATCGCGACCTGACTTTATGGGTGGATGCAGGGAATTTGATCTCACGATGCGACTGTAACGCCTCCTAATTTTATTTCGCACATGTAGTTTGCATCAATCAGAACGCCATCGACGAAAAGTCCAAGCAAGTGGCGCTCATGGTCGAGATATTGAGACATTGCTCGCAGGTCAAATGACCTCTAAAGAAACTGTTGCATTCAACCGATTCTGGTCACGCTTCCTCAAGGTTGCAGGGAGTAGCTGGTGGACTCGGATCTGGACTGCCCAAGAAGCGATCCTACCAAGGCTAGCACACTCACGTGAGATACCTAGAGCATCTCCTTAGATGCTGTCACAAAGTGTGGTAAGACTTATTACTATCACGTCCGGAACTGCTGTCTGCATGCCATTGTGTTGTTGCCAGGATCCAGCAGTGACCTACTAAGCGATTTCTGCTTGTATCCTTCATACTGGCTAGTACCCGCGGAGCTCTGGTGAAACACGATCATTTCGATATGAATACGTAGCATCTAGCGTATGGGTCGCGTCATTGTCAAAACTCCCGAGACGAAGTGTATGGGTTGCTACGGCTTATGGCGAGCATTTCGATCTATGACTTACGCCAGATCACTCGAAGGCGGGGCACCAAGTCTTCTACGACGCCGCTCTTGCGATGCTTTAGCAAGGCAGGCATAGTCTGAAGTACTTGACCGGCGCTCAATACGATCTGGGGGCCGGGAAGTGGGCTTCTTGGGTTCGCGACTTCGGCTCACCCATAATTCGAAGAGACGCGTACAATGAGCTAGCCAGACTTGCGATTTACGAACAATTTGATGCTTCAAAGTTAACTCTCAGAGTTACAAAACGTCGCCACAGCTTGGAGATCAGAAGTGTTTCTAGGCAGAGCTTGGAGTGACTGGCAGATATATAGGAAAAGCGGCTTCTATTTTTGCGGCATTCAAAGGTGAGATCGGTCATCAACACGAGGAGAATGACAGCGCGGTATGTATGGAATGGCTAAATACTTCCAAAATGGAACTAGCGCAAGGTAACGATGGCTCGCATTACCCTATGGCGGCAGTGGAGTTCTGGAGGACCGTGCTCAGGGGTCGATGTGGGTACGTAAGAAGATTCAGCCGGAGGTCCCCAAGCGGCGGAAGTTCGATAAGCAGGAGGATATGGCCTGATTTGGGTCAATGCTGTTTTGGGTCCGCACAGTAAAATTTGATCTACCCTCGGCCGTCTCACGCACCATAGCAATTGTAACAGAATGCAGATGTTACTTCCAGACAGATGCCTTCCCACGCAAACCGCAAACGAGACCTGGGTGGTTGATGGAAGCAGGGTGCCGTTCATTCTCAGACGTGCAAAACTCAGCAGCGAAGAGAGGGCATAACTGAGACCGAGTAACGCGTACAGTGTTGGCGATGATGGGTCTATGGTTGCAAATCAGACTTCGAGCCAAGACAGGGTCCTTATGGCTACTATAGTCTCATAGGAGATGCTATCTCGACAACTACATGTACGGCAAAGGGGACGAAAGCGACCCACGTGATATTGTATTAGTCTAGAAACAACAAAGAAACCTCCCTTATGGACTCTTATCAAACTCTGATAGGAAGTTATCACTTCCTCGTACATCAATTCTCGAAACCGCGAAAGACACACCCGAGGCAAGTGGCGCGCCGTCTGATAACAATTTGAGTTCTGTATTTCTCTGTGGCATACACACACAGGCAGTCGTTGAATGCGTACATTGTATACTACGTCACAACCCGTCCGTACCTTTTACCATAAGGGCGAAGTCATTCCAAGCAGCCTCACCAAGTCCACCCTGCCAGTATCCTTCTCCTGCCAGAGAATCTATCCTCTTTCCCCTAGCGTATCTATAAGAATGCGCCATCGTCGTGATTGTGGGGGTTGTATCCACAGGTGGATCCAGCAATCCTGTCTCCTTTGTTGAACAAGGTGGTGACGATGTTTCCGTCCTTTGCTCTTCGCTCCTTTCTTCTTCCTGCTTTAGCACTTCCCAATCCCCATTTTCATCCTCATCACAGTTGGTGCCACACTGCATCTCTTTGTCCTCCCACTCGCCTTGCAGTTCCTCTTCTCCAATCATATCTTTCCTGCCATCCCCCTTCGTAATCACATAATATACACACACGTTCACCCTACACGCAAGCCTCCTCACACGCCTCACCAGCGGGCCCTTCCCACAACAGCCGTACACTTGCTGCACGCTGCCAAATTGCCGGCTCACGATGTGCATCTTCCCATGGCCCACGATGGGACAGCTGACCTTCCACACATGGATATCGCGCTGCTAGATGTACGCGTAGCGCACTTTGATATCATCATTTGATGTCGTCTTCGCATCCGCCTGCTCCTGCAACGATGCCGGCGGGGCGGAGAATACTAGACAATCCCGCTCGTCGCCCTCCTCGCTCCACTCGTCGTCGGTGTTGTGATCTGACTCCAGAGATGACATGGATGCCGCATGCGCCGCGGGATACTTTATCCCGTCGAGCTTGGACAGCAACAAGCTCCGCAGGAGGTGATTGGATGTGCATGATGTCGGCATGTAGGACTCTAGGTAGGACTCGGGCGTTGGGCGACCTGAGAGTATGGAGCGGAGGGAGCGGGAGGAGCTGCCTCGAATCGGAATGGGACGGGAAGGGAGGGTGGTGCGTGGTCTTGATAGCATATTTTCTTTGCGTTACTCCTGTTTACAGGGGTGAGGATTGGTTGGCTCGGCGTTGGCTCTGCAGGTAGTGTGCATCTGAGGTATCCTGACGGCACCGGCTTGTGACTACGGCGTGTGGTACGGAGATGGGGTCTGTGTTTACACAGTCCTATGCGGTGAGTTAGATGTTCACGAGGATATCGGAGACTTTGTCGTGGGCCTGGAGCGGGCGATGACGCTCTTGTGTTGTGAATATGGGTGATGAGGTTCGGCTTTGCTGCTATTGCTCAGATGCTTTGGTCTAGACGCGCGACGCACCCTGACGAAGGCGTTCCGAGCCAGAAATCTAATCAGTGATTCATGACGGCATTGATCCAATTTATATTATCATCCTTTCCCGTCTGTATGATGAAAGTCTCGACTTTAAGTTGAGTTTGGGCGAGTGCCCTACCATATTCTACCTCTACCAAACAACCAAGCCTGAACGCCCGCCCAAACATACCATCGCGATAAGGGCGCCTAAAAGCGCCGAAGCAAGAACAATGTCAAGAACGCAATGGGTATCGTGCTAAATCGCCACCGCAACGCCGGACATACCATCTCGTGATTCTTTCTAGACCCATCCTCAACCAGGGCACCTCAGCTCTGGCCCTGGCCCTGGCCATCAACTTGCCCCACCCCACTTGCACTATTTCGCTTCGACACTTCGCTCTGCCGCCTGAAATTCCATCGCGATTCCTTCGGCTGGTGCACGAGCTCGACCTCTTGCGTCACTTCCTTCGTCTGCACGATCCGCGTGCTCGTCCTACTCTTCCAGCTAAACATACTGGACAAGGCCATATCATCCTCGTTCCTGCTGCGCCGGATGTACTTCTTCCAGTCTTTGTTGTCGTACTTTTTTGACGTGCGGCCAGCGTCCTTGGCGGCGGGGTCGGGCTGCGCAACGATCTCGGTCTTGAAGTAGAGCTCGGCGCTGGGCGTGAGTTGCAGAGGGACCAGGGGCCTTTCTGATTGCATGCTGCGTGTGGGCGAGTGCGAGGAAGAGCGGCGGTCGGAGTCGGAGCGTTTGCGGGTTGGAGAGCGGGAGCGGGTGTGGGCTTCGTCAGGGCGCGAGGTCGTTGCTTCAGAGCTGTCGAAGGTATCTAAGCCTTTTCCCGGGATTGTTAGGGTGGTAGGATCGGTTGGGAGTTGGAGTTCGAATGCTGTGAGGCGGACAGTGGCATGCGTTCGCATGTTAAGAGCTGCGATGAAACGTTTGGTCCGAGGTATTGTAGATTGGAGAACGGAAAGATGTGTGACGCAGCTGCCGGACTTAGCAAACTTCAGGATGAGATGGGTTGATAGTGTACGTACAGGGCCCACAAAACACGGCCGAAGGACTGGTCTGTTCACATTAGCGGTGAGAATAAACCCGTGCGCAAAATGGACTCACAAGTCACGTCGGGATCCAGTATGTGCCGTGCAACTGAATTGAGCTGTGCAGCGGCAACACAAGCAACGCTGAACAGTTAGCATTGGAACAAATGCTGGGTAGAAAGGACACACATTATGCGTGAGCCAAACAGCATCACGACTAGGATGCGTCGATCTTGGTCCATCAACAATTTCCAGAGCGTAGGAAGAATCCAGGTCCCCAATATGAGATCGGTGATGATGTTCATGATGATTACCGGATAGTACATCATGCCTTTCGTCGGACAGTCCTCAGGATTGAAGACCCAGGGATCCGGAAGGCCGCATTGCAATGCAATTGCGAGTATCGAGAAGACACCCCAGAAGGTTACCATCCCGAAGACGATGTTATAATGCTTTTGTTTGCGAGGTGCAACTCGCTCGCACAATTGCAAGAACGACGCTTTGGCCCAATATTGGGCGGCCAGGCCGAGTATCTCGCCGGCGTACGTTGCCTGTTACGCTAGGTGAGTAGTTGAACCTTAAATCCAACTCAACGCCATGTGCTTACCTTGTAGTAGACGTCCAAATCATCTAAAGGGACTTTGGCCATCTTCTTGCCCAGGCCATTGTTGCTAGCGATGTGGAAGCATACAGATGAAGCTACAGCCAACACCTATAGAGCTTAGCGATGGCCAGCGCACACAGACTGACACGCAGTTCTTACCACACCGAGCGCAAAAGTGCCATCGTCTTTTTTCAAGTGCAATCGATTGCTCCAAGCAAGACCAAATCGAATGCCCGCGGCTAGGACAGTGATGAAGATCCACGAGTACGCGATGATGATGATGAGGGAGCCGCGGTCATCCGAAGTCAGCGGATGCAATGCTGGCTTGTTAGGTACTGCTGCCATGTTACTGTGTTGCGAGACTGTGCGTCCATCGGTCAACGACGGATCGAAGACATCACAGCGCCTTTTTCTCGACGGCTGGGCACGATCTTGAAGTGTGTGAGGGACACGGGGGATGTCTCAGACTCTCAGCTGCACAATGGCATTCATCTTGCAGGGAACTCGTTGTGACGACAACGAGAGCCAATGGATCGGCCCGGAGGGGACGGAAACTTCCTCCCGCCGAGGCATTGACAGGGATTTGACAGGAAGCGGCCCTGTTTACTTATTTTGTGATTGGCGAGCAGCAATGGTTTCCTCCAAGGGATTGGCGTGGGATGTCAAGCCGTGACTCGTACGCGTGAAACGACAGCGGTCGGTTCGCGCAACTAAGTAGACGGACCGGGAAGCGGCTTCCCCGCGACTAGTCGCCGCCGCTCGGATGGTCCACTGAAGCTCCCACTGGTTCCCGTGCGCTATCATCTCCGGTCCCTTTTGGCGCGGGGCAGCACTGATAGTGATGACTACTCTTCGACATCGTCCTTCCATGTTGTTGCGCGGCGGATGGATGGTGGCGGGTACACTGAGGCTTTCTCCCCAAACGAATAGGCGCGCTGATGGTTGAAGCTCGGCACTTCACCCTGCTGCATGCAACGCGGCAGAAGATAACCTTGCGCCTTCCAGACTGGGGCATGATTGGCATCGCTTAAGGATGAGCAGGATTACTGCAGACTGGCGTTCGGGGGTCACTTTCGCATCAAAGAGACGGCTCTGCCATTCGATTGCAACATATGAACCGAACAAATATCGATAGCCGAACATCCCTCCGGTATGATCTCGGAGCATCTTTCCGGTGCTTCTGCGACCACGGTGTATATCTCTGGTCTGTCAAGTCGTTCACTTCAGATGCAAGCGAGGACTCAGCCGCAACCTTTTCGCTTCTGCCCACGCCACTGATGCTTTGGCGGCCTGAACCGAGAACCAGAAATCCTATCGGCATCCATCCCTCCGGAGCACCATCTCGAATGTTCAACCGTAGCGATGGGAGGATTTGTTTTTCTCGTGTAGACGCATGCGCAGTCTGGAATCTCCCTGTACGAATCACACTGCTCTAGCGAGCGCGTGCGTGGCGTTATACGTCTGCATCGCACCGTCGCACATTCGAGTCCAGTCCGGTCGAGTCCCCATAGCCGATCTAAGTAAGGACATTTTGTCGAAGCGCACGATCTGGAGCCGGCATCTTTTCAAAAAGCATTACCAAGCCTACTGCCCTAAACCCATCTAACACTCATCCCCGGCCGGTGCTTAGCCTCATCAAGAATCGCGTCGTGGGGGTGGGAGGGATAAACACTCATGCATCGAAGATGCACGTACCGGCCCTTCCTGCAGCCCCTGCAGGCCAGGGTGCAAAATTTCCCCGCTGCAGGAGAGCCGCTATTTGATGGCATGATTCAGTTGCTTCAGGGCCCTCCTCGAGATCAAAATCGAGTTGGGGACGCGGCTGTATCCTGTTCACTTACCACTGTGCTGGGAGTCAAAGGTGTTCGCCCTCTCGCTTTGTTTGTGCACGAAAATTGGCTATGAATAAGGATAGGGACTTGGAGCTGACGGCCCGAGCCGGGGAGGTCGACGATATCGCTGCCCAGGAGGCGATTGACGACGAGCGCGCCAAACAACAAAACGCGCATAACGGCGGCACTTTGGAGGTAAGCAGTCCCATGGTCGCGCATTGTCGCGCGCGTGTGGTGATCAGCGTCTCACCCGTTGTAGCGCTATATTAACCTGGTCTCAACGGTCAACTTCTCCTTTGTGCTGCAGTGCTCTTGGGAAGCTGCAGCAGTCACATTCCAGTTCGCGCTGAGCAATGGCGGTCCAGCGTCTATCGTCTATGGAAGTATCTTGGCAGGATTCGGGACCACACTCGTGGTGGTCTCGTTGGCCGAAATGGCATCTATGTAAGCACTGTGCCCCGATGTGCACGTTATCGCAGGACGTCCACCGGTTTCCAAATGATCGGAACTGACCCTGCGCAAGGGATCCAACCGTTGGAGCCCAATATCGCTGGTCAGCCACGTTCGCTCCAAAATGGCCCCGATTCTTCGGTCTCATGCAAGGTACGTTGGCGCTCACACACACAGCCTTCATAGGCGACTGACATGCATTAGGATGGATCACTGTGTTTGCTTGGATCTGCTCTTGCACATCTAATCCAGCTTTGATCTCGAACATCATCACGGGCTTGGTCATCTTCAACAACCCTGACTACGTTCCCAAGCAATGGCACACGACGCTGTTGATGTGGGCGATCACTTCGCTGCCCTTCTTCGCCAACTTCTACTTTAGGAAGCTGCTTAACCCATTTGAAGCCATCGGAGCTCTCTTGCATGTTATTTTCTTCATCGTCAGCATTATTACGTTGGTGGTGCTGGCGCCTCGAAGCTCTCCCGACTATGTCTTTAAGACTCTCACACACGACAGTGGCTGGGAGCAGCCCGTCGTGGCGTTTGGTATCGGTCTACTTACTGTGGCATACCCATTGACAGGTTTCGGTACGTCAGTCTCCTTCCAGTCCATTCGCACACTTGTCCCTCCTCACGTCAAACATCAGTTCACACAGAAACTAATCTATCCCGCAGATGGTGTCATGCACATGTCTGACGAAGTCAAGAAGACCCGCATTCGCGTTCCGCGCTCGATGATCTTCTCCGTCGTCCTCAACGGTATCATGCAATTTGCCTTCATGACTACGGTGCTCTTCACCATTGGTGACCCCGCCGTCGTCGCCGCCGACCCCCTTCCCATCATTCAAGTCTACTACCAAGCCACCGGCTCCAAGCCCGCGACGAACCTCTTCGTCATCGTCATCTGCATCATTATCTTCGTCTCGTTCTTCAATGTCTTCGCGTCGGTGTCGCGCCTCATCTGGGCGTTCTCCCGCGACAATGGGCTGCCGTTTTCGAAGACGTTCGCGAAGGTGCATCCGACGCTCAAGATGCCGCTGAATGCGTTGATACTGCTAGGTGCGTGCTTGTGTATACTGGCAATCATCAATGTGGGCAGCACGACGGCGTTCAATGCGTTCATCTCGCTGCCTGCGTTAGGAGGTTACATCTCGTACTTCATTCCGATCTTGTTCATCTTCATTCGGCGCTTGTCTACCAAGCACCCCACGCCCATCCCTTGGGGTCCGTTTAGACTCGGCAGGGTCGGCCCGTTCATCAACTTCGCTGCTATGGTGTACATCTTATTCGTACTCTGCTGGTTGCCGTTGCCGAGTTTCAGGCCGGTTGATAGGGAGACAATGAACTACGCCGGTCCGATCGCAGGTTTTGTCATACTGTTCGCAATTGGAGATTGGTGTGTTTCGGGGAGGAAGAGGTTCAAGGTGCCTGTGTTGAGGCGCGCGGAGTTTGAGTAGGTCACGCGCATACCTGCTAGAGGAGCTTCATATGTCACGTGGTAGTCGGAGCCATATAGGCGAGGGTCTGATAATAGTACTGACATCTTCGGTTGCAAAATCGACATTATATAATAAGGAACCATTGAAAACAGGCGTACGGTTTCAGTGTGATTTTATGCCCATATGTGATGGGGTCGCCTCCTCGTATTGATGGTGGCGCAGCTGACAACACAGTCAGCCCTGCCCACTCCTGCGCCCAGAGTACAGGCGACCACGAAGCTCCATCAATTGACAATCTGAGTGTTTCCATGCTTCCACATGCAGTATGCGCCTCATAAATGTAGTGACCGCCCGCCTTGAGTCATTCACGAGCAAGGTCCCGCGCTACGCGATTCTGTCACATACGTGGGGTCCCGACGGCGATGAAGTAACTTTCCAGGAGATGCTTGTCGAGCCTGAACATCGGCCTCCGCGAACTACATCCAAGCGAGGATACGAGAAGATTCTGAAGACTTGCGAGATTGCGAAGAATTACCACAAGAGGAGCGTCGAAGAAGGTCGGTTCTATAACGACCGCTTGTATTTCGAACAAGTCAGTATAGAACATGTCTGGATCGATACTTGCTGCATCGACAAAAGCTCCAGCGCCGAGCTAAGTGAAGCCATAAATTCTATGTACAACTATTACCGGGAAGCGGACGTTTGCTTCGCCTATCTGTCCGACATGACTACAGATCCAGAGACATTTGAGAAGTCCAGGTGGTTTACCAGAGGCTGGACACTCCAGGAATTGATTGCACCAAAACAATTGGACTTCTATGATGGTATCTGGGCTTACCGCGGGAACAGGGTCAGTTTCCAAGAGACTATAACCAGGATTACCCATATCTCAACTTTCAAAAACGTGCTCGATCTCCCAGTCGCTGTTCGCATGTCATGGGCCTCAAAGCGAGAAACCACAAGATCCGAGGACCTTGCCTACTGCCTGATGGGATTGTTCGACGTCAACATGCCGCTTCTTTATGGGGAAGGAAATAAGGCGTTTGTTCGCCTCCAAGAAGAGATCATCAAACAGAATCCTGACCTGTCCATCTTTGCCTGGACGGATCCATTCCCATCCATGTTTTCTGGGCTTTTGGCCAAGTCTCCAGAATGGTTTAGCGAGAGTCACGATTTAGAAGCAGCGGCCAGTATCAACACTGTCTACCGTGAATTCTACGTCACAAACCAGGGAATACGATTCCAGTTTCCGCTTAAGTTTCACTACCCATCCGGATGTCTCGTGCTGCCACTAGGGCATCAATCTCAATCCAAAGGAAACCGGGTGGGTGTATTTTTGCGTCAGACAGGCAATGACTTCTGTGTCAGGGCGTCTCCTGACGCTCTGGCAGATGAAGATGCATGTCGTCGCGCTGGGGAGGCTATCATCCAAGTCTCTAAGGTACTATCGCCAAAAGACGTGCATGACGTACGCCATAATGGGATTATATTTCCGGAAGCGTACGACCGATTGCGTAGCAAAGGTCTTCAAATGGGGGTAGTAGCTCCATATGGGTGTTGGGATCCAAATACTAGGATGGTTCATGCTGGGCATAAAGGTGCCTTCGAGTGCCTGATGATCTTTGAGATGGACGAGCCATGCCGAGCGTGGAACAAGAGAATGGGCCCTTCATGGAACTCATTCGGAGTAATCTTCAAGTACGAGGAACGACGAGAAAGTGATCGGCGGTGGTTATATAAAGTGGTCGACACTGACAACGCCACCTTCTTTGAGAAAGGACCACGATACATCCTCGACTATTTTCGCCATCACACCGACTTTGTTGAGGGACTAAAAGATGATCTGACTGTACCAGGTGGTATGTATGTTGAGGGCCAGATGGAGATGCAGCAGCTTTCAATACGGCTTGTACCATGGGACCACAGTATGGGTGCCCAAATTTCCAATAGTAGGCGTCTAGGTCTTGAGTTCCAGTGGAGAGCAGCCCGAGAGCATTTCGAGTGGACCGCAAGCCAGGAGCGTAGTTGTTATTGTTAATGCTTCACCATTACATGCTAGGCGTCACCGTAATGATCTAACCTCATCAACCCAACGCGACTATACCCCTACCTGAGCCCGCATCTCCCACCAGAACCCCTTCGAGGTTAGCTTAGCCCAAAGCCATGTTAACCCCGTTACATACATCCTTACTGTACAGAAGAGGTATAGCCGTAATTTAACAGCGTCATTATCAAAGCCTGCAACAGCCAGAGCTGACTCGTTTTCAGCAAGCCTGCACAGCTCACGTGATAGCGGCATGCCATATACCAAACGGCTGCGCTGCTTAGCTTCTGCAAGCGCTCGAAATAGTCAAGGACACAGAATGCTGTGGGCAGAAGCTAAGCACCGGGCCGTGAGCTAGACCCCGCTAGCGCCCCACCTCCATCAGCTCCCAGGCTTCCCTCCCAGCCCATGCACGCCCCGAGGACGACGCGCTGAGGCCCGAACTTTAGCGTCTTCAGGCCCCTGCGCAGTCCGTCACAGGAATTGTTCTAATTAGTTGCGTGTTTGCCTTAAGTTACAGTGTATTTAGATCGACCCGTGGAAGCAACCCTTTGCTCTCCACCTTCGGATAGCTTGAGATAGATCCCAACCTACCCAGCCATTCGCCTTTGCCTCATGCAGTTGCAGTGCAAGCATCGGTGATCCAGCCGCTCGTGGAGACCCAGGGACCGTCCTCACAAATGTAAGCACTAGCGTCTATTCATCTGTAGAATTATATAAAGAATTGGAAGGACGTAAGAGCGAGACAGAAGGAACAACAATAATAAAGAGAGCATTGTTAAAGGCTAAGGGCAAATACGAGGGCGCTAAACCCCTGCTGGAGCGGGGTGTTCAGCTGAGCCACAGACTTCGCGGCCTCATACTTTTCCGAGGGTTTCGACGGCCTCCTTCTCAGCCTGAATCCTCTTTTGTGCTACCCATCTCCCAGAAGAAGAAGAAGTTGGAAGTTGACGAAGATCTACTTAATTTCGCTGCAGAAGTTCAAGGTTAGCTGTCTGTCGGTGAAATGGGGTGCGTAGTATCCCGGTCCGTTTCGGAACGCTCATCTACCTTTGAGAACCGTGAGTTCAAAGAGCCATCGCCGGAAGAGTTATCTGAGTCTGGGTTTACGTGGAGCCCTGAATCCGGCAAGGACACATCTGCACGATTCAAGTGCAACGGTTGTGCAGTTCTTGTATGGCTTGTTGCTGAGAAGGAGCACCCTGGGTACTGGCATCTGCCAGGATGTCAATACAGCACTCCATTGATCGAGTTGATTAGGAAAGGATGGAAGAAGCCACAATACTGGGAATTCTGCGACGGGCCCATGGGCTACGATGGCATCAATTCAACGTTTCTGTTTCTCAACGAAATACTCTATACGGCGTCTCAAAACAGGAGGCCGGAAAGCCAGACGCAAGATATGCTCAATGAAGCCCGGTCAGAATGGACATACCAGTACAAACCACTCAATAAAGAGAAAAGGGAGATTCGCATCCTATGCGTCCCAAAGAGGTACATGCCCACAATATCAGCAGCACAAGACCTCTTGGCCCTCGTATGCGCTGTGCGAATTGTGTCGCTGGACGATATGCCTTCAGACGCGAAATTCGAAGCATTGAGCTATACTTGGGGACCCAGTAAGCCATCATACCCTCTATATATTGTCGACGAAAACACCAATCTTGACGAAGAACTTCCGGAACTCCATATCTCACCGAACTTGAACAGTGCTTTGCGGCATATTGTAGTAGAAAGCGAAAAGGAGAAGTTGGAAGAAGCGCCAATTCTTTATCTTTGGATCGACGCTCTTTGCATTAACCAGAGAGATGATGAAGAGAAGGCGTGGCAGGTGGGGATGATGTATGAGATCTATCAGCGAGCCGCAAGGGTCATTGTGTGGCTAGGTCCTGGGAACAAGAGCAGCAACCTCGCTATGGAAGTTCTGATGGGAATGCGAAGAGTCTCGGAAGCTTTGAAGCCCTTCAGGGAAAAGGCGCATGCGGAGGGGTTTCCAGATAGCGTGGTTGATATGACGCAGATCCCGGAGTCAGCTGTGAAGGAGCTGCATCCGGACGACCTGGAACTCGCTGCTGCATTTGGGCTAATGTTCAAGCAGCAGGTCTCCGGAGGAGACTGGGTACGGCCGTTTCCCATAGATGATGTAGCTGCTTTGTTCGAGAGGCCGTACTGGTCTCGCGTCTGGATCTGGCAGGAGTTTGCTGCGGCGAATGATATCGTGGTCGTCTGCGGGACGAAGAGAGCCAAGGAAGAGCATTTTCGGACTTCTATGGTAACGTGGGATAGCCAGACGGCAGAGATGGTTCTTCACCCGCGAGGGATTGATGGCATTGATCATCGCCCGTGGGCTATTGTAATGACGCGTCGGGAGCTTCGCCTTGGAGAAGAAATTAGGCACGATCTTGCTGATCCAGCTATCGACGACGAGCAAAAGAAAAAGCTGCGAGAATTTCTCGCCGAGCCTGAAAATCAAATCTATAACAGAAACTTACGCATGCTTTTGCAAGAAGCCTGGAAAGCTGAACTGGAAGCAACAAATCCACTGGATCATATCTACGCTCTGCTTAACCTGGCGTCGGATCGCGAGGAGCTGGGCATTGAAGTTGACTACACATTGTCACCTGTCGAGCTGTACAGGAAAGCGGTTCGGGCGATTTATACAAAGGGCGATCTTGCCCTGCTGGCGTACTGCAAGTGGGATGGCGTGCAAACAGATCTCCCAAGCTGGGTACCCCATTTTACGGGTCAGCAAGGATGGATTCCGATTCGAGAGCTTTGCGGCCGTGGATGGCATGGGACGTCCGTGTTCGATGCAAGCAAAGGGAAGCAAGCCGTGATAGCCTTTGGAGAATGCAACCCAAAAATCCTGAAGATCAACGGCATTGCAGTGGATACCTTAACGTTCCTCGACGTGCGCCGAGCAGACGTCTCAGTAAACGATGTAACACCCGCCAACAGAAGACACATAGTCCACTGGTTACGACAAACATTCGACTACCTCAGTGACATAGAGTGCGAAGCATACCCGAACGCCAAGGCGCGAAAGGAAGCAGTATGGAAGACTCCAATACTGAACCATTTCAACCGTGGTTACCTTGGTCAAGGTGACAATCACGCGGGACCGGAAGCAGAGAAAGGATACAATGCACTTTTGAGAGACGACATGGAGACTCAAGAACCAGCATTGGTAAGACTTGCAGATATATACTTCTCGCACATGATGCGTGCCTCAAATAGGACGAGGCCTTTCAGGACAAGCAAAGGATACATAGGACTAGGATCGACGCGTGCTGAAGAGGGAGACATCGTCGTTGTGTTGCTTGGTTGTGAAGTCCCATTCCTGTTGCGAAAGTGGGGTGAATACCACTATAGGCTAATTGGGGAAGTATACGTGCATGGGATCATGTTTGGTGAGCTGTTTGCACATGAGCCTCAGATAGACACCTTCCACTTGTGTTAGCCTTCGTTGTTTATCGTTGTTCCATCTACCTAGGTACGTGGCTCCAGTTACATACCAACTCTATCATCAGCTAGCCGGAAATTCCTTAGGTAGCAATCTGTAGCTCGCCATCTGGGTTCCATGCATCTCTATTCCGCTCAAAGTATTCTTGTGTATTGTAGTGCACGAGACAGACGACAGCGCTCTCTTGATCAACAACGACAAGACCCGCGCACACAGAAACGATGGAATAAGGACGAAGTGGCGCCTAAAAATAGAAAAGGACATAATATCCATCCCTGCGTAACGGAAACCCCGCCGTGACGGAACGCCGGCAGCACTTTCTATCATAACAACACCAAAAACAATCACATGGTTGGGATAATCTCGGAATAAATGCCTACGCATCTTAGCATCCTCATACACTCAGTATCTTTAGGCGTGCCGCTAACTATCACGTGAGCCGTTTGGCTTGCTGAACACGATTCAGCTCTGGCTGTTGCGGGCTTTGATAATAACGCTGAGAAATTACGGCTAGGCCTCTTCTGCACAGTAAGGACGCAGGTCTTTGCTTGGCAGTCCTGCTTGATAAAGCACAGATGACTGCCGCAACGCAGCCACCTCATCAAGCGTAATACTCTTCTCGGGATATACGCTTTCTGTAGCACTCTACATAGTGATGACCTTTTAGACAGATGCACCATACTTTACGTAGACGCCAAGGCAGGCTGAGATAGAAGTGTCAAGATATGAGTAGTGAGATGCGGTATTGTAAAGTCGACATAGAAGTCACGCCAAAGATATCAAGTATATAAGAACCTAAAGAGCCCAATATCTATTCCAAGAGTATCTAAGCGGTGCGATCGTTGTTGCCGTTGTTGTGGCAGAAAGTGCTGCTGGTGTTCCGTCACGGCGGTTGTTCCGTTACGATTGGATGGACGTTACATAGCTTGCAGTGCAGGTCTACCCGGGCGAGGTCACGTTCAAATAGCTTCAAGTATCTATGCATAGATCACCAACCCCGGTACCCACTCTCCCGCGAGTACGGCTGATACCGCTGCAAGTGCTGGACGCTCTCCTGCTCCACATCCCCGAACCTAGTGGGATGAATACCAAACATTGCCGACCCCCTCCTGTTCAGCACCACAGAATCCGGTTGCGACATCTGCGACGGGAGAGCATTGATCCGCGCGTGATGTTCCAGGCTTTCTTGAATCCTCTTCTTGTTCTTTTGACGGGTCTGGTGTCGCCCATTGAACCAGTGAAGGAGCCACATGAGCAGTGCGAAGCCAACAACAGCACCTATACCGATCCCAATGCCGAGCCTGGCGCTGGTGGAGAGACCACTTGTGGAGATTGCGGGTATGGTTGGCGCGGCTGATGTGGCGCTTGCTGAAGGCGAATATGAGATTGTGAGTGAGGTGATGAAGGTGGTCGGCGTTGGTTCGAATAATGTGATTGTTGGCGGCGCTCCTGAGGTGGTCGGAGAGGCGGTGCTTGTCATCTGCGTAGATATGGGTTCCGCACTACGTGTCGCACTTGGCTCCGCGCTTGAGGATGGGGCCGGCAGCGGTGGAGGAGGCGGGTTAGACCTCGATGGCTCTGCTGGTTCGGACGTCGCTTCTGGCCTCGATGACGTTGGGCGCGGTGCTGGGCTCGTTGGTGGATCGGTAGGACGAGCCTCCCTGGATGTGGGAGACAGCTCATCGGAAGGGGATGGCACCGGCCGGTCTGCGACTATTGACATAGTTGCTGATTCTGGAGGTTTCGTTGGTGAGTCAGGTAGGGGAGGAATGTCTGTTGCACGTTCCATGAATGGGATGGGTTATTTTGAGTGTTCAAATACCTTTTCGCAACAAAAAATAACAAAGAAATGTGGAGGCGAAGGAGATTAACGATGGCAGCTTGTGAAGATCTATACAAAGAAAATAGGGTATGCGCCGATGACGCACAATGCTACAGCTCGCTGTGAAGTGCGCAAAAACATTTTCATGCTCCATTAGCGGAACTCTGTTTTATGTGAAAGATTCATATGATCAAATCATTGATGGCTGCAAGGCGATAATCAATGACGTGACGCAGATTCTGCTTCCTACGCCTGCCTCATCCTTCAGTCAATATTGGTTGTGTGCATAGAAGCGCTAGTGTAATGAATCGTAGACTTCTCATCGCCCCAAACTCATAGCATGGCTCTTCTTCCCACGCCATTCTGATTCAATCTAGTGCACTCTGCCGTAACAGCGTAAATGCGATGGCTTTCGTACAGTGGTGACCGGTATCGATTGATTGATTGATTGATTTATTACGCCCGGCTCACTCGCCTAAAGGGCCTTATTACACTAACTACATACCATAGCTTACTGTGGTGACCTAACTCCCTCTAGCCCCTGTGGATAACCGTCCTTGTGTCTATTCATCCTTCCTCTGTGTATCTAGAGTCCCTCCTAAGTGGTTAGTAGCAAGTTGTCTTAGGGCTGTTCCCCTAAGTGTTCAGTGTCCCTTCTTCGGCAAATGAAGCAGAACCTGCTATGACCGGTATCGGTTTCCGGTTCCAGCAGTTCGGTTATTCTCAACGCACGGCCACCTCAACGTACGCTTGCCAAAGTAGTCTTAGCGCTCCATGGCCCCACATGTGGCTAAGAAAGTGGCAGTAACGTTACTGTGTCCATGAAGTGTGCAATGTTATTACTGTGCCTCCCCCTTCGTGGCGAAGAACACCTGTGTCCTAAAAGAAATGATAGAGGCTTCACATATTCAATGACACAGTTTATTATTATTATTTCTCGTAAACAAATTTAACCTCACCGCAGCCTGAAAATATCGCCCACGTCTTTGCCTTCTAAAATGTCGGTAATAGCCTCACCATCCATTATTCCATGCACATGACTAATAGCCCAGTTAGTGATCAAAATAGTACGCAGTGATGTGGCAGCTCACCATTCCCCCACCATCGTATAGAAATCTTGACTTTGGTAATCGATACGCCTCAGTACGTAGGGCACCTCTCCGCCTAGCAATACGCAGATCAGGTCCCCTTCGAAAGCGGTTGGTGGCAGTAAGCAGAAATGTCCCTTCCTAGTTATACAAAATCTTCGTCCGTTCAAGCTAAGTTGTCGATTCTCCATAGCTTGCAACAACTCTTGCTCCTCCTTCGCGTTTTTGGGTGGGATGTATTGTATTTCTAATGGGAGTCGCTGTGCTGGGTTCCATCCAGAATTTTCGTTGAAATGAAGCCCTTCGATCTGTCGGTCGGTCAAAATTGTTCTCCAAAAGGCATCCTCTCTAGCAATACGCGAATGATACGTTTCAAATTGAGTATTCATTGCCATTTTCTTCCAGTGGGAAAGGATTGGTCCGGTTGCGCGGCCAGCAAGAACGATATCATCCGAAAAGGGGTAGATACGTCCGCATTGGCTGACCACGTCAAACAAACGGCCTCGGAGAATCAGCGTACAAGGGTCATCTCCAAACTGAATAGCAAACAGTGATCTTGACCGGTCTGGCCCAGCTGTCAAGAATGCTCGCTGCAACTCTCCTTGATCTTGGTTAGGCAGAAAAGAGGATATTGGTATTATAGATCTCGGACCAAAATCGGGAACCCAAGATGGAAGACATAGCTTCTTAGGCTCGTAGCACTCCCCAGTCATCCAACGAAACCAGTCTAGACCGTTGTCTTCCAACAGGCACAAGGAGAAGATTGACAAGTATGTATCCTCGAATGATTTACCGTAGTCGACCTGGACTCCGTGGTTACTAAGAAGACCTAAAAGGCCATAAATCTTGTCTCTAGGATCAGTTACCAATCGATATTTGAATGACCATAGCAAATTTGACAGTTTGAGTAACTCAGGCGCGGAGGAGATCGTTCGATGTGACGAACGCAGTCTCGTTAGTGCCTCCGAAAAGCCAGAAACGAGCATGCCGAGGGTACGAAGCGCAGTTTTTTGAAGTATGTTAGACCTGTGATGCGGCACATGACCAGTATCCATCCATGCTATGGTGAAGGAATGGAATTTGGACCAAGGAATATGACGAGAACCGCACACAACGAGGACATCCGGAGCTAGTGCCACTTCTTGGATTATCCACATCCTTTGCCACCAGGGACGGGAGAACAGGTGAACAAGGGACATCATTCGCCGAAGAAACTCGTACTTTTCAAGGTGGAATAGCCAGATGGACTCGGTGTCAAATATAGCAACCTCGGTCAAGTATGGAATGAAATCAAGAGCCATCCCACTATCAAACGTCTCTTCTCCAAGCCAAGCAATCACCCGTTCTGCTCTGTGATATATCTTTCCCATTAGAGGCACTTGAACGCTTTTCTCATCTGCGCTGTTTTGGTCAATGCATATCGCATCAATCCAAATGATTCTTGTGCCTCGAGGTTGCCGCAGGCGACGCAACGCGTCTCGAAGGTTTGGTCGGATGTGAAAGGGTAAACCATCCAATGATATCCGGCATGCACTCTTCGAGTCATCGCCCCATGTATATGATAGAGCTTCGTATGGCGGTGCCGAGTCTAACTGATAGTCCCGTAGCTTGCAATGAATATCGGCGTATAGACTGTGTCCAGAAATAAGCTCTAGCAATCTGAAACTATTGAATTGCAGAAGGCTGTATTCGAAACCACGTCGGCGCCGTTTCTGACTTGGCGACATGTTCACGCGAGGAACTTGTCCACGAATTCCCGAACCCGGACTGGAAGGGCCGCTGGTGAGGGTCACGTTGGCATCCTACTAAGTTTTCGTTAAAACACGTTGCATATTTCATGGTGTGGACCCCATAAAGAGCTAAGTCTAATGTAGTACCGGTAAGCGTACGTTGAAGTGGCCGTGCGCTGAGAATAACCGAAACGCTGGAACCGGAAACCGATTTTGGTCGCCACTGTACAGTCGCGAGCAGAATCGGTTTCCGGTTTTGCACTTTAATTTGTTCTCACAGCACGGACCTCCTAACAGGGGGGTTATTTTGTGTTAGCGTCTTGTAGAGATATTCTCGTAATTTCCAAACGTCATGTGAGATCGGTCCCTTGGCATGGGTGCCTTCACATGACCATACTTGAGGCTGAAATATCACGTGAAAATTATTTCTTTAATGGCCTGTGCTGCCCCACTTTGGACAGTCTAGGGAAGGAATCAACCATCTCCCGCAACATCTTCCATTTTAAGCCATTGTCTCTATTCTCTATTTCTGTCGGCGTCAATTTCAGGAGCAGCTGTGCTACAATCCTCCCTTGGTGTGCTAATAGCATGCATCTTCTGAAAATTAACGATGATGGCAACTTCAGCCTGACCACGTTTGTCGGCAGCAACGTTCCGTCTTACGCCATCCTTTCGCACACATGGAAAGCAGACGACCAGGAACTTACTTTCCAAGATCTAATAAGCGGGACCGGAAGAAACAAAGATGGTTATAGAAAAATCCAGTTTTGTGGAGACCAAGCAAAGAAAGACCGCCTACAATACTTCTGGGTAGATACTTGTTGCATCGACAAGTCGAGTAGCTCAGAGCTCAGCGAGTCTATCAATTCCATGTTTCAGTGGTACCAGAATGCCGAGGTCTGCTACGTTTATCTTGCGGACCTTCCTCCAGATTCGGACCTGTCGAGACTTCAGCTTTGCCGCTGGTTTACCCGAGGTTGGACTCTGCAGGAATTAGTTGCACCGAAAGTGGTCAAATTCTACGACTACGAGTGGAATGCAATTGGTACGAAGGTTGAACTCGTCGATATCATTTCAAGTTCTACCAGCATCCCATCTCATCTTCTTCTTGGGCATTCCGCGTTATCAGATTCGTCTATCGCCACAAGAATGTCCTGGGCTGCTCAACGGCAAACAACCCGTCTCGAGGATTTGGCATACTGCCTCTTGGGAATCTTCGAGGTGAACATGCCCTTGATCTATGGTGAGGGCATGCGAGCGTTCCGGCGTCTGCAGGAGGAAATCATCAAGCGCAATAACGACTTGACAATATTTGCGTGGGAACTTCCACAGGAGTCGAGAGCACAATTTGTCGGGCTTTTCGCTCCGTCACCTTCTGCGTTCGCTGCAAGCTCCGGTATTATTCCATTTTCAGACGACTCTATGAACTTCTCCGTTACAAACAGAGGCCTCTTCTTCACCGGCGGCACCTTTATTCGAGTTGCTACTGTCCCCACAAGGGGCGACCGCGTTGAGACGTTGTACTTTATCTACTCGGGTCTTAAGCTCCACATGTCAGTTCCAACAGAATCCGGCACCTTCCGTAGAGATGTAGGCATTTATCTCCGCAAGATTGGTCCAAAACTGTTTTGCCGAGAAGGACTTCTCCCATTGGCCGGCCTCAAAACGAAGATTGAACAGATTGAGATGTACGAAGTCGCCGAGAAGTACATTCTGCTTGATCCAACCCCTGCCATTACCAATAGCTCTTTGTCATTTCGGAATCTTGCCGTTCACCTTCCACTTCATGATGCATTCCAGCTTCGGGAAGCAATTCCGGAAACCTTATGGGACCACACCGACAGAGTGTTCTTGCGGCCGAAGCGCTATCATTGGATCAAGCATCCCATAGTACTCGCTATGAGTTTCAGTGTGCGTCTTATCAATGCGACCGTCCCGCTGGTGCTCCTCTGTGACTACAGAGAAGCAGTTCCGATTCTGAAAGTATTCAACCCGAACACCTATCTTCAGGAGTCCAAAATTATCTTCCAACAAAAATATAGAGAAGAAGGAATAACTTGGGAGGACCTGGAGATCCAGACTCCGGGCATTCATGCGCTCCATGACTCTACAACCATGAGAATTGGGACTTGTCTTTTCGTCGTCTCTGCCTTACTAGAAAAGAGAACTATTCAACACCTGTCTCATAATGTGAATGTTTGGAGTTTGTTTCTGACGATAATCAAAGTAGAAGCACGGTAGTTCGCAGTGACGAGGAGAAGTATACTGATTAATGCTAGCGCGATTGTGGCAAATGTCATAAATTCATGGACTCCCTTGTAGCCATATAATCTTATCCAATTGCTGATGCTTTTTTTTTTCAACGTTCTACACAGCAAAGAATAAATCACATGATTTAGACGGGTTATAAGGCAACAATGCTCCAACCATGAAATGCTTGCATTTTAATTTGGAACCGGCATTAATTACGGTGTTATCCCTGCCAGACGCTAACATGAAGTAGGAAGCCCCATGTCTGGAGGACCGTGCGGTGAAAACAAGTCGAAGTGCAAAACCGGAAAGCCGATTCTACTCGCGACAGTAATCAATCTTTGAGCCATAAGTTAGAGAACCTCGATTCAATGCTGAGGTCTGTACAAAACACATAATGTTATAACAATGAATAAAAGCACTTAGTAACACAGCGCCAGCTTGCTCGGACTGTTGTTGTTGGGGGATGGACTTTTCGCGAGTCAGAGAAAATAGCCACGTAATCCCAAACTGTATGGAAACGCGATTAATTACAGTAGACCCCTTGCAAAGCTAGTCTCAATATAATAAGCGAGCTGCAAGAGGACCGTGCGGTAAGAACAGGCGAAGTGTAAGATCCGGAAACCGATAACGGCCGGCACTGTAAAGTACCCATCTATCTCCCTGCTCAAGTGAAAAATTAGATTTCATGGCAAGTCTCTTTCTTTATCCAACTCCAGCAATGATGTAGGCTCTCTTTGATAACTAATTTGAGCGTTTTATCAAGGGCCACGTTTCCGGATTTACCCGCGAAGGGACCAACAAAGCATAAACTTGACAACGGAGTCAAGAACCCATGGTTGCAACCACAATTTGGAGGCTCAAAGCTGCTTATTCGTCAAACGCATAGATCTAGTCCTGGAAAAGGTATGTCGAGCCACGGTCGCACTACTGCACAACTGTCACTTGAATATGTTCTATGCTCCCAAACCCACCACATCTACGCTTCCCAATCCCGCTCTCGCTTTCAACATTTGCATAGTAATCTCTCTCCTTCCGAGAGTCTTCCCGCTGGTGCCATTTGTCGTCCCATTCCCACCCGAATACTCGCTCAGGCTGGGCGGCAGATCCTCGATCTGCGTGCCCCAGCTACTTTCGTTCCTTCCCAACGTAAGTACCAGCTCCTTGCCATCTGTGAAAAAGCTGTGATCAATCCAATTCTTTGTGTATGGTTCGCCGTCTAAAGTAGCAGATTGGATGTAGATGGTTTCGTAGGTAGGATCGAAATTGACGTTGCGTATAGTGGCAGTCTTTCCATTGAGAGGCGATTTGATTGATACAGAGGGAAAATAAGGAGGCGTAATGAGGTATACGTTCTGTCCAGGGTTAGGGAAGAGACCCATCCTTTGCAATGTCAATGATCGGCTAAAAGTAAGCGTAACATGAGCTTACATGGACATCGCGACGAATGAACCCATAGCTCCAGAATCGTCGTTTCCGGGCAGACCGTCGTTCTGAGGCGAGAAGTAGCGCGGGATATAGAAGTGTGATCGCTTGGCGCTAAGCGCAGGGCGACCGGCGTAGTGATATTGGAAGACGGTAAGAAAGGAAGGCTGGGATGCGATTAACTTGATTACACTACGGCTGTAACAGATAAGCACTTACCTCATTTCCAATGTAAGTGATGTTCTGATCGTGCAAGTAGTCGAGACGTTTGACGAATCCGTCACGACCTCCATAGAGATCGATCAGAGCGGCTTGATCACCGGGTACGTAGCTGCATGACTACCATTAGCAACAGCTCAGGATGCAGCGGTCTGGGTTATACTCACAACCCATATTCCCACAAGCTGGACTCGAACGTCTCCTGTCCTGTATTTTGCAAAGAGCAAGACTTGCCGGAATAATTGTCGATAGTGGAACACCACAACGGATCCTGGTTGTGCCATGTGCCGTTCTGATATCTCCCTTGGAAAAAGCCAACAAAACCAGTGTCGCTTCCGTTGCGGAAAAAGCTTGTCTGGTTCTTGCTGAATAAGCTCTCCCAATTACCACTGCTTTCTTTGTACTTCTCCAAATCATCAGTTTTTCCAAGCTTATTGGCCATCTGAGCAATGCAAAAGTCGTTGTACGCATACTCTAGGGTTCTTGAGACAGATCGAGTGATCGTACCGAAGCCCTTATAATCGAAATCTTGTGTGGGAACGTAGCCAAGAGATTTCCAGCTGTCCAGGCCACCGCGACCTTCCACTGACCAGAAGAACGGCTCCACCTCGGCGTCCTTCACAACGGCTTCGTAGCCTACATCCCAATCAATACCATCAGTGAGGCCCTTGATAAAGGCATCGGTCAGTACAACATCAGCATTAGAACCACCCTGTGTGTACCCTTTGCACAGACTCATGCGACAATCCGGAAGCCAGCCTTCGTGCTGGTAAGTGTCGATGAGTGATCGAACCATTTGCGTCAGCGCTTTCGGATCGTTAATCGTAAGGAACGGAAGCTGTGAGCGGAAGCTGTCCCACAAACAGTAGAATGAGTCAAAATACGGTTCACCGCTGTCCCACTTCGGGTTCTCGCCTGTGTAGTTTTGGGGATTCACCTTCAAGGTTAGCATCGAAGAATTCGATAGCAAGCGTAACGCCCTCCAAAACTCACCATGGTGCGATAGATGCCTGAATAGAAGTTCGTGACCAGTGATGAGTCAACACCTTCTGATGAAACTGTGATGGGCGAGAGCTTCTCTCGCCAAGCGGACTCAGCTGCAGTATGCGTAGCTCCAAAATCAAAGTCCGGAATCTCCGCTTCGGCGTTGCTGCAAGCCTGTTCACTACTGATGTAGCTGACAGCGATCCGTGCAAGAACACCATCAGAAGGATTCTCAGAAAAGCGGATGAAGCCACCTCCAGGCAGTGGGTATCCGTTGATGGAGCGGTTTATTTTCAGGTCTTTCACATTCGCACTCGCTCGAGAGTTCACAAAGATCCCGTTTTCGCGTATTGAAGCGCCCTTAAAGTCAGCGCAGAAGTAAGCCACGTAGGTGCCGGTTCCGAATGATGGATTGAAGCGAGAGCTTCCAGACATTCGACCAGTTGTCTCGTCCACCTGTATTGTCGCGTTATCTTGGCGTGAATCGCTCAGATCTGTTAGGTCTAGAAGTAATAGCGGGCTGCTATCGCCAGTAGATGGAAACTTGAAGCGGAACAGAGAGGTGTGATGTGCCGTCGTCATTTCAGCAGCGACACCACTCTGCAGCTCGATGTGGAAATATCCTGGGCTAGCTTTGACAGACTCTGGCTTGTAATGAATCTTGCGTGCTTTCTTCGGAAACGCGCATCCATTAATATCGCCACCTGCGCAAGATGCGTAAGGGAAGAACGCGAAAGTGCCAAGCGAAGGGCTTCCACCTGTGTTACTTGAGCTTGCGTTCATTTTTCAGGGCAGAATCCCGCTCGTACCCGTTCCGCTATCATGCATCGTAGAGAAGCCTGTCACATTGCCTCCTTCTGTCGTGAAGCCGCCTTGATTACTTTCCGAGTCAACATCAGCGACAGCTTTTGCCATACCATATGGCAGTGTCGCGCCCGGAAATACATTGCCTACAAACTTGGTCAACAACACATTTGCGATGGGAACGTTCACTGACCTCCATTGGCACTTCCAATCAGCTGATTGACATATTTCAGATTATCAGTGACGTTCTGCCCTCTAACAAACTGCGAGAGGACCCAAAAAACCGCCAGTGCGGCAGACTTAGAGATAGCCATACTCAGAGGTTTGTGGATGGGGAGACACCCAAATTGAAGTGTCGGCAGCGCCCGGATCTGTAGCATTCATTCTGATATTTGAATGCATGGTACGCGGGCACGGCATCCTTCCCATGCACTCCTATCCCCATGCTGTGACCATGCGGAAGGTACAGTGTCCCATGGTAACATCGTTTCAAGCACCATATTGCAAGCTGCGAGGGTCTGAGGCTGGAACCCAATAAGATCGCTCTCTCCGGAGTTCGACTGCATGCCAATGGACGCTCACGCGCGGTTGAAATGAGATACTTATCTACCCGGTATGGTCGCGGGATCGGCGCTGCATGATGTTCCTGCAGCCTTCTGGGGAACCCTTGTCCGCCAGCAGACCAAGCCCGGGTCATCCGATGTGCAAGACTGGCAGCCGTGAACGCTTGTTTGATCACACAGACGCATCCACTGTTCATATGAAAAGGATTATTTGGTTGATTTTCCATTTCAGGAGGAACGTCTATGAGGGATTCCATGCTCAGAATCAAAGCAAGCTTTGCGGATGTGGAGAGATAAGCGTTGGGCGCCCCTGGAGCCTGCAGCCACTTGCCAAGATGGGCATAGCGCATTTACGTGTGCCCGCCCGCCTATAGAACAGTCCTGCGGTATCACAATGCCTGCGGTCAGCATCAAAGTGTCTTAAAGGGCGTTTGCTTTTGTTGATACCTATTGGGTCTTCGCGCATAAATTGACCAGTCGTGTTCGCCCACTTACGTCTCCGAACCTTCTGCCCAAATTCGAATTGCTTCATCAATGTCTAGGTAGGCGTACATGAAGTCGTAAAATTGGACAGGGATGGTTGTCGCTGTTCCATTCGATGGATCATAGCTTGCGACCGCTGTTCTCAAAACTTTCAGAAGTCGCTGCGCATACGGCCAACGCCGTCCACAGACTTCAAGCTTAATTGGAAAAAACGCTATTTTGTGAGAAGGTTCAATGTCGAATATCTTCGCATGAACTGCAGTTTCCATCAGCCAAAGTATCAGTACCAAAGGTCTTTGGCTTACGGATGCAAAATCTTGCCGCAACGAAGATGCATTGTATGATAAGTGGACTCATGTTCTCTAGGTCTGTGTCTAAAACATCTTGCAAAAGGTTCGTCATGCTATCGCAGGCCTCTAGACAGCGCCGTATGGCATGGTTCCATGTGCCTGGAGTTCCTTCGAGCGGTGGGAAGATGAGGCCCTGATATAGCGATATCGTGGCTCTGAAAGAGGTTAGTACGTCTTTACTATGACTTCTCCAGTGTCTTACAGGTCCAAAACACATTGAATAAGAGTAGTGTTCGGGTCGTAGTGATCATCAATATCAGTATTGAACTGCAACTGGGTAGCAGCAAAGCGAGCTCGCCAGTCTTTGAGGCCCTCGTCAATAATTTGGCAATTCTCTCGTCTACGAGCTCGTTCATCAGCAAGCTGCAGATCGTAGGACTGTTGCAGAAAGTGATGGACATGGTAGAGCTCATTTGTGACAAGCATCACATAGAGCGAATAGGTCGATGACATTGCGAGATCGTCGAACGGCCATGCACTGATTACAGCTTCCGGAAAAGCCCAAGCAGCGTCGCTGCACGGAAGCAGGCCATCGTCCTCTGGTTGGGAGATAGTGATATTCCAAGCCGCTCCGACAGTGGAAGCACCATCAAGCACTGAAAATATTAGAGATTTATGATACTGAAAGTCCTGCTGAGGAAGTTCTTACCTTCAGCCATCCAGTATGCCCGTATCTTTTCTTCCCTATCCACCAAAGAGTCGGGAAGGGGAAGCATACGTGGAGGCAGTGTAGAGACGCGATTGAAATTGTCGCAATGGTGGGCTACTAAGTCCCTCAGCCCAAGCTGAATCGCCATACTATTTTGGAATCACTAAGATAACTATAGCAGGAGTGATAGTCACGTCTACAACTTGAGACATACCGCTTTGCTAGAGCAACTAAGTTCCAATGCTCTTTCAGGCGTCCGGCGCCGTATTCAAGATTACAAATTATCAGAATCGCTTGCAACGGCCGCAATGAAAGGTTGTTCACGGCTTCCATGACAACTTGGTTGCGAAGCTCGTCCGATATTTCACGACATCGTTCTTTTGATAGTCCATCAGAACAGAAGTCTTGACTAATGGTGACGGCTATGATGGCTTTCAAGATGGGGAGATATGGTGTTTCTTTGACATTAGCCGACACCTGCAGAGCTTCGAGAAGAGATGGCTGATGCAGGATAGGGAACCATGGGTGATATCTTCCTGAATATTCGGTGACGTCAGCCAGTTGGATTGGATACTATGTAACATTACTCACCGAACCACACTGCGCAATGTTCATCGATAACGCTTGGCCGCAGTGGATCGAACTGCATCGGCCGCGCCATTGTCCCCAACAGACTGGGACCAGCAGTAGGAGCTGGTCCTGGCGGTGATAAAGGATCATGATATATCGGTAAGTCGTCCTGAGCTTCAAGAATAGGTGCAGGCAAAGAACCTGCGTGCAAATTCCCGCGATTCCCGACGATGGTCGTATGCGCTTTTTGTTATTAGTACGAAAAGATGTGGGGAGGACGACGATCGTACGACAGCGATGAGCTTTCAGCAATTGCACTTCCTTCTCGAGCACGTCTGATTGGGATGAGCCCTGGCCGATCAAAAGCCTTAAGAGTAGCTTTACTTAGCCTTTCCTCCAGTGCGGAAACGTAGCCAGCCCTCAGACCTGGCCGCGATTTATCCTTCACTGTGTCGCGATGATCTTAGCCACGCGAGCTAGATATCTCTACTCTACACCTACCATACTGGCAGTTGACCCCGGCCTTCAGACAACTGTCGCACTTGGGTAAATGGCGATTACACCGCGTCTTTCTTTGACGACACAGCTTGCACCTGACTGGTCAGCCACGCCTTTGGATTGGGAGGTGAACCCACACTGTCCTGCTCAAGCTTCCGCTCTCAAGCAATGCATTCATAGTGAAGGCCGAACCTGTCGCAACACGACCAGACATGGGCCGATGAATCCACGTCACTGCACATTGTGGAAGGAGTACCCGAGCAACCGAGACTGGACTAGCGTTGCATCGGGCCATGTCATCCCGACACCTGCAAAGTAAGGCTCGATGTGCTCACATGTGAACATCAATAAGAAACGATTGTGTATTGAAGAGTACCACGATGTCAACATTTAAGTTGTTGGAGTCCCAGCTGGACCTATCGATAGGACTAGTTCCATATACATGAGATGAGAGCAATCTTGTTGAGGTTGACGAGGAAGGTCTGCCGAACTACCTCCGGGCGAAACCCCGCAACGAAACGTCGTCATACAACAGACGCGTCTACACGTGTAAACGTCCGAATCAAGCAGAGGAGAGCGTTTCATCACCCATTTTGATTGGAAGACTCGCAATGGGCCAACTTGTGCCGAATGTTAACCTCTATAGAGCAATGTCACCCCCCAAAGAGTCTCAACATACGCAGTCTCCCTTGGACGACACTAACCGTAACCTTTTACATATAAGTTTACAGTTTTCGCCTTCTAAAAAGGACTTGGTGTTGTGCAAAGAACAACCACAATGCTGGCCAAATATCCCCACGACGTAACCCTCCCCACCTTCACCAAGCACGACATCAAAGCCCAAGCACCAGAACGCCGCGAAGCACGCAGTGTCGCTCAAGCCTGGCTCGACAATTTCTTTTCTTTCTTATCCAGCAATAATGTCTTAATGCTTCCTGCCCTCCTCCATGCTGACAGCTGGTGGCGCGACTTTCTCACACTGACCTGGGACCTCCGCACAATCCGCTCTTTACCCAACATAACATCCTTCCTCAATGACAATCTATCCAAGACTCAGTTTTCTTCAATTCGCCTCGAAGATGAGTCTCACCCTTTCGCACCTCATTATGAGACGCCACTTGAGGGTCTAGAGTGGATTGTTTCACTCTTTCATTTTGAGACCAAGATTGGAAGGGGAAAGGGCGTGTTACGACTCGTACAAGGAGACGATGGCACCTGGAAAGCTCATTTTCTTAGTACGGCGCTACTGGAGTTGAAAGGACATGAGGAGGCAACCGGCACGCGGAGAAAGCACGGAGGGAACAATGCTTTGGACGGGACTTCGGGAGGCATGAAGGGCGGCCTGAACTGGCAGGAGAAACGCGACAGGGAGAAAGAGTTTTCAGATACAGAGCCGGACGTCTTTGTCGTTGGTGCGGGTCAAGCTGGCCTCAACGTCGCTGCTCGGCTCCAAGCACTCAATATGTCCGTCTTGGTCGTTGACAAGAATGAGCGTGTAGGGGATAATTGGCGGCACCGGTGAGTAATGCCGAGGTACTACGGAGCTGTTTTTGCTACTTCCAGTCTCTAGAATCTTTCCAGTTTCGTCGTGAGCTGGAGCTGGAACAAACTCACTTCTACCCGTTTATTCCTTTCTTAAGCATTTCGCTGACTTTGTACCCCACTCTTGTAGGTACCGCACGCTTGTCACACATGGTAATAAACCCCCTCTCACTTCCTTTCCACATAAGTAATATCCCCCCAGACCCGGTGCAGTACACCCACATGGCATACATGCCCTTCCCCTCGGCCTGGCCGCTCTTCACCCCCAAGGACAAACTAGCAGACTGGTTTGAGATCTACGCCTCCGCCCTAGAACTCAACGTTTGGACTTCGTCTACTATATCCTCCGCCTCCTACTCAGACGTAGATGCAAAATGGACTGTGATCGTCACGCGAAGCGATGGTAAAGAAAGAACCCTACGGCCCGCACATGTTATCTTCTGCACTGGACACTCCGGCGTGCCCCTCATTCCTACGTTCCCAGGCCAGGACACGTTCAGAGGAACAGTATATCACGCATCGCAGCACAAAGATGCTTTGCAGCATGCCGAGTCTCTCGCTGGCAAAAACGTCGTGGTTGTTGGCACAGGCAAGCTTTCCATCCCTCTTCCTTACTACTGTTATTTCTGACACAAAAGAATCAAGGTAACTCCGGTCATGACATAGCACAAAATTATCACCTCGCTGGCGCCGCCTCAGTCACCATGCTGCAGCGCCGCGGCACCTACGTGATCCAAGCCTCGAAAGGCCTCTTCATGCTGCACGAAGGCATGTACGAGGAGAACGGCCCGCTGCTCGAAGACGCCGATGTGTTTGCCAACTCCCTGCCCAACGCTGTGCAATTCGGTAAGTGTTCGCCTCTGCTCTTCTCTATCCAGGCCCATGCTAACAGCCCGCCGCAGCTCTCAACGTCGCCCTCACCAAGCGCATCCGGGCCGCAGAAAAAGAGAACCTCGACGGCCTGTCCCGCGCTGGCTTCAACGTCGACTTTGGACACGACGGCTCCGGCATCTACCGCAAGTACATCACGCGCGGCGGCGGGTACTACATCGACGTCGGCTGCAGCGCGCTCATCATCTCCGGCAAAATACAAGTAGTTCAGTCCCCCAACGGCATCGAATGCTTCGATGAAAATGGCCTTGTCCTTGCGCCCGGAGCAAGCTCCACCAGTTCCACACACCTCCCCGCTGATGTCGTCGTCCTCGCAACCGGCTACGCAAATATGCGCACCAGCGTGGCCGCGACCTTCGGCGAGGCCGAAGCCGCCCGCTGCAAAGACGTCTGGGATCTAGATGAAGAAGGGGAAGTCAATGCCATGTGGCGCCCGACAGGGCATCCGGGGCTGTGGTTCATGGGTGGGAACCTCGCGCTGTGCAGAGTCATGAGTCGGTACCTTGCGCTACAGATCAAGGCGCGGGGCGTGGGGCTGGTTTGAGGGTCGGGAACTGGGGCGAGCGTGCGTGTGACGGAGACAGCCGGCAGTGGAAGAGAGAGTAGCGCAAGAGCAATTTGAGATTGAGCAGGTCGAGCGAGGCGAGTGCGTGGTTAATGCAGGGCCACAGCACCACGGTCTTTTTTTAACGGAGGACTCGCGATTCTGGCACAACTCCACGGCATCTTGTTTACGTGTGACCGGAACCTGCCACAGCGCCACACCACTTTTCAACGTTGGCATTGAGTCATATGGTGTAAGACGTATAACACGACATCACCTCACACCAAGCAAGACGGCATGTGAACAGGGCACTGTTGTAATTATTCTCCTTCCTCCCCTCGCCACCCTCAGTAGGGTATCATCCCGTCCTCCCCACACCCCTGGGGAGCAATCTCCCTCTCCCTCCCAACATCCTTAACCTCATCCAGACTCATGCAAATGCGTTACCCGTCCCTCGTCAAACCGACAGAGACCCGTTATGAACGCTAGCCCGCCAATGCATGTGCCTATGCAAATGCCCGAAGAAACTTTTGATGTATCGCCAACCCCATTACCCGGAAAGCGACGCCATATAGATCTCATCGAGCGTACAAGCGCGTCCTGAGGCTCGCGGCCTTCAAGACTCGATGCGCTGGTAGAAAAGAATGTACGCAACCTTGTTGTCCCGCACATTTTCCTTGGGCAACGGCGTCCGCTTTCCTGCCGAGCTAGGCGTCGCCGTGCCGTTGACCACTCCGGTCCACTTTTTCTCCTTCTTGCTTTCTGAGCCGTTGACTTGGCTCCAGCCGCCGCGGTCCGACTCTGCATCGTCACCAATCTGCTCGAAGAAGTTCTTCCTTGTCGCAGCGCCTCCATCGTTCTTGTGCTGCTCGAGCGCGGCGGCAAGGACCTTGGGGTCTTCTTCAGCACCGCCCTCGGCAACGTCTTCTGCACGGATACGGCGGATGACCGTATCGTCCACGCGAATCCATTCGCGGCCTTCCTGTCGGCGAAGGTCGACGGTGTAGTGACCGCCGCTTGCGTTCTTTCCATGATGATAGACCACACCAATCAATCGGTAGCGCGGTGCGCCGCGTGTACCGAAAGTTGATCGCTTGTGCTGCGGGAACACCTCCTTAGGAATATCCAACTCAAGCGGGTATCCAATCTTCTTCCAGATCTTCTGGGGTCCATTGACATCGTAATGGAAACGCTTGAGGTGAAGTATAAGTACCGGTGGCAGAGTCTCAATGAACATCTGCTTGGTGGAAGCACGTGCGCCCCGGGTAGCGCCATCCAAAGTCTCCAAGTGAGTCAGTCCCTTGAGCGCATCGGTAATGTTGTTGACGTTTGGTGAGCCAATGTCCAGCTGCAGAGGCTGATAAGGCTCTAGCGTTACGGACGGTTTCTCGCCCGGTCTTTTGTATTCGGAACGAATCTTGCCGCCGAAGATCTTTGTGAGTGGACTCTCAATATCGACAGCTCCTGATGACTGTGTGAGGGAAGCCTTCTGTTTCGGTCCGACCTCGAGCCATCCTCCGTCGACAGATCCTGAACGCTCGGTAGTTGGCGAAGTCACCGAGGCGTCTCCGTTCGAGGTCCTCGAGCTCTTAATAACGTGGGCACATTCATCATGAAGACCGGCGAGCAAGAAACCCAAGAACTCTTCCGCATCCTCCTGTTGACCTCGCTTCATGTTTTCAAAGCGAGGCAGCCGCCGGATGACGTCGTATACGTATTCTGGAGTGAGAGGCTCGCCGTACTGTTCCAGTTCATTATCCTTCAAGCGCATGCGGAGCTTCTCGACGGATTCAGCCGAATCAATGACCTTAAAATCGCGCATATACATGATCATGGCGTCCACAAGAGGAGTTTCGGACTTGAAGCTATGGACGACGCGCTTAGCGTACTGATCCAAAAAGTCGTAGAAGGGTACGCAGAAAAGAAGAACTTGAAGAATCTATACGATGTTAGTTGCCTGGTTAGATCAGACAAGGAACTTCACTCACAGAATTCATATAACACAGATTACCCGTATTTACAAGGCCACGGGGTTCGAGGAAAGAAATCTTTTTATGCGAATCGACAGAGTAGGATGCGAGGACGTCACCGAGAGAGTTGCTCTTGGGCGCTGGAGGACCACTTGTAGGGGCGACACCGTTGGAAACGGCAGGGGCTTTGGCTGCGGCGGCATTGTTCTTCGTTCTAAGAAGTGAGGCCCATGACCCAGGTGCTGCTTTCGGTGGCGGTGAAGCTTTTGGTGTTTCTTCAGCGGTGCCGTTGGTCTCTTGTCCAGGAGTAGCAGGCACTGCTGTCTCTGACTTGTTCTCCTTGTCTGATGACTTGACCGACTTCTGTGTGGTTGACGTGACGCTAGGTGCCTTTGCAGCCTTGATAGGGATCAGAGGCACAGCAGGCTTCGTCTGAGTGCGGGCATGCGTGCCTTGGGAGGCGCGAGCAGGTTGAGCAGGCATACCCGGAGACAACATTGATGGTCGTGTAGATTCGACCTCTGAGGGAGGGTGTGAAGACTGCGGGGTATCGGTGGTGGCCTCGGAAGCGGGAGCCATGGTCGAGGCCTGTGACTCCTCTGGCCCCTCGGTCGATGTGTGGTCGGCATCGTCAGCTATTTCCTTTGTACCGTGAGCCTCTTCCACGTCGACCACTTGCTCGCGTGACGGCAGGGCAAGGTCGTCCTCCTGCGCCGGTACCGGAGCTCTCCTCCTCCGCTTCTTTTGTGATGCGCGCGGAGGGAAATCCGCATCAGCGACCGAGAGCCACGGCAGTGGCGGGTAGAACGGCATATACGTCCCCATGGAGATGGGCGCTGCGCTCGTAGTCGTCGAAGTCACCGAAGGAGTCGTGGGCGGCGGAGTTGCTGTGGCCGTAGTGGTTGGCGGGGTCGGCGAGGACACCAGCGCCTGCTGCGAGTGAACAGACGGAGTCGAAGGCAGAGGCTGGGGCGTCCGCTGGGGTGTAGGAATGCGCGCGACGGGGGGTGTGTGTGAATGTACAATGGGCGGCGTCTGCCCCATGGCGCGGTTTACGGGCGGCAAGTGGGCCATGTGCGGGTGCGAGGAAACCACGACCGGCGATGCAAGGGGCTGGAACTGTCGCGGCGGCATCGCATACTGATGGTGTTGCGGCTGAGCGTATGGGTTCATGCCGTACCATTGCGGCTGCGGAGCATAGGGCGACGCGAGCGGAGCATAGTGCGGGTGCGGGTAGGCGGCGTAGGGATTGTGGTGCACAGGCGAATGGGCCTGGGGAGGAGGCTGATAGTATTGGTGGTGGTCGCCATGCCGCCTTCCCCCCGGGTGGAAAGGGACGGCAGGCGGTATCGTGTGGCCCGGCATCATGGGGATGGTGCTGTTGCCTTCACAGTTGGGCGCCGGCCAGAGACCAAGCAGCGCAACGTGTGAGGCAACGGGGAGGCGGGCTGTTGAAAACGCTATGTACGAGCCCCGGAACGCGGTGGTCTGGGGTGCGGGCGCGGCGCGGAGCCCGTGGTGATGGGCGCGAGAATTATTGCTGGGGTCGCGAGCTCGGAGAGCGGGCAGGCGTGAGTCGGGGGCGGCTGGGCGTGGCGGTCGCGCTCATTGCCTCAGCACTGCATAGCGGGCAGTCGGCGGCCTGCCCGGGGATGGAAGAGGAGGGCGGGGGGGACGGCGAGGGCGAGGGGCCGGTCGCAGTGTTGGTGGTCGTGCCTGGGCGAGAGTTCGCTCGTCGCTCGCAAAGCAGCTTGCGGGCGGGCCTGTGCGTCGTCAAGCAAACGAGCCGGGGGCAGCGTCTAGCGTGGCGGCAGCAGCGCAGTCGTGGGTGCAACGGGCGCAGACAGGCCGGCAGGGCGTGCAGTGTCTGGGGAAGAGGCTGCAGCGGCCGAGCGTGCAGACGCCGAGACGTGGTCCGGAAGCAGCACGCCAGACGAAACACCTCGACGCCCGCGCCAGTCGTGCGCCCACGTGACTGATGGCGACTTTCCCATGTCATCTCGCCGGTCCGCCGTGACTCCCTCTCCAAGTCCCATCCGGGGGCCCAAACGCCGACCATATACACCAATCTTGCTGCCCTCCTCCCGTGCGCTCGTTCCTGTCGCTCCCCTTGCGCCGCGTCTTGCCTCGACCCCTCCCCCGACCGTGTTGCTCTAGCACGGTAGAGCCCTGCAGCCGTCGTCATCGTCGCCGCCCGCACCGGTCGGACCATGTCGTCGAACCCTCCCGCAATCCCCACCTCGTCCAAGGCTTCGGCGCCCTCTGGCCAGCTCTCTCCAGCCCAGACGCAGCCGGGCTCGACCGCGAGTGGCGACGGCTTCGGCCAGCGACGCAGCGGCAGCAGCTTCGGTGCGGGCGCAGCCACCCGCGCAAGTCCAACGCCCCGCAGCACCCAGCAGGGCCGCAAGCAGCACAAGGCCTCGAAACGCTTCGCCAGGGTCGACGACGATGCCATTACTGAGTCGGTAGGTGCCGCTCGAGCGAATCTGCATCGAGTCGCGGCTAACCTCCGCAGCTCAACATGCGCCCGTTCAACAGCCGCAAAGGGCAGACCAACATCACCCACCTCATGAACTTCAGCCTCCCGCCGCGCCCGCAGAACCACCACGGCCACGGCCACGGCAGGAGCTATCGGAGAAATCCGACATGGGGCCTGGGGTCGGGTTATCACGCCACCGACAAGGCGAGGTGAGTCGCTCCTTCCCATGCCCATCCCAGGGCCAAAGGCTGACTTGCACAGGTACGTGCACGCCAACTATCGCTTCGTTGTCGATCCGCGCGGCGACTACCGCGCTCAGAGCGTCGACGCCGATATCCATCTTGACTGGAACAATGTCCTGCAGATATTGGCCTCGTCGCAGTCACAGGACGCGTCCTGCCCGATATGTCTCGGGACTCCGGTAGCCCCGAGGATGGCAAGGTGTGGCCACATATTCTGCTTGCCATGCTTAATCCGCTACATGCACGCGGAAGATGACGGCAAAGGCGTCCATGAGAAGAGGGCGCGGTCAAAGAAGTGCCCCTTGTGCTGGGACAGCATCTACATCTCAGAGACGAGACCTGTGCGCTGGTACATGGGTCAGGAAGGTCTGCCGCCTCAAGAGGGCGGTGATGTTGTCCTGCGGCTAGTCATGAGGCCAGCAGGCAGCACACTTGCAATGCCACGCGACGGTGCCGATGCTTTAGGCAAGGAGGCGGATGTTCCTTGGTACCATGCTGCTGAAGTGATGGACTACGCCCGCGTCATGCGTGGCGGCGAGGACTACATGCTGGAGCAATTCGACTCTGAGGTCCATCAACTCAAGCAGCAGGAGAAAGAAGACGAGCTCATGTTTGGTGAAGATAACATTGAGTGGGTGAGGAAGGCGATACGCTCTATTCAAGAATCGAAAGAAAAGATCAAGGGCGTAGGCAATCCGCCTGAGCAACCGCCCAAGCCCGCTGAACCAAAATCGAAGAAGGCACCAATCGTGCTCCACGGACTCGACACAGAAACGCCCGACATGTACTCAATTCAGAACGCAGCAAAGTCAGGCCAGAGCCCCCATCCACAGTTTCCTACTCCCGCCCCGGAAACGGCCACCAGCGATCAGTCTGTCAACGCAGCCGAGGCGAACTCCCGAAAAATGTCCATGTCATCACATTCGTCTCGAACAAGTCCTGGCCTCGGATCTACACTTGCTGAAATACGCAATCGCCAACAACATGACACCCAGCATACGCCTTCAGAGTATTTCTTTTACCAAGCGCTGTTACATTATTACCTCTCGCCTTTAGACATACGCATCCTCAAAGCTGCCTTTGGGGATTTCGCAACATTTCCTTCCACAATCTTACCGCGAGTCGAGCGCGTGTCCACCGGCCACGTCATCGACGACGATCTGCGAAAGCGCACAAAATACCTCGCCCATCTCCCGTACGGCTGCGAAGTCAGTTTCTTAGAATGTGATTGGACAGACACGGTCGCGCCCGAAATCCTGGAAAAATTCAGACCAGAAATCGAAAGGAGAAGGAGGAAGAACCAGGACAAGGAGACGAAAGAGGAGAAGGCTCGGCTGCGGGCTGAGAAGGCCGAGTACGCAGAGTTTGCGGCGGCAAGGCGGAAGAGGAATAGCATCTCGGAGGGCTTTTCGGCGAACGACTTCCAGCCGCTTGCTTCTGGTAGCGAGGCGGCCGGGCAGGCAGGTGAGGAGAGCGCGTCGACGTCGCCTCCGTGGCCGTCAAGGAGGGGTGGGCAGGGCTTTGCCTCGCTGGCATCGCCGTCGACGAGCCCGTCTACTTCACGCACGGTCTGGGGCACGGCTATCGTGGCCGCTACATCCCCAATCATGGCGCCTCTGGAGCATGATAACCGCGACGACGGCTGGCTGCAGGACTGGGAGAAGGATCTCTTGCACGAGGAAGATGCGATGGTTGCTCAGGCTCAGGCCATGAGTCTGGAGGATGAGGCGCCTAAGAAGCAGGCGGGCGGGGGGAAGAAGAAAAAGGCGAAGAAGATTACGCTGATGAGCACGAATGCTAGAAGGGGTGCTTGACCGTAACAGTTCAGAATAGGCGATATGTAGTCCGCAGCTTTGGCATGGCATGGAATGTGCAGCCCGCTAGCAACTCAATCCAGTTCAGACATTGTGATGCTGTCCACCACGTCTACTTCCCCGTTGCGTTATTGCGTGTCCTATGATGCCGACACGCCCACGCCCAGACCTTTCTTCACTCTCTCCCGCTCGCTTTTACCTGCGGCATGGTCGCTAGCACACATCCTCGACCTCGACATCCCCCCCACTCCTGGGCCCCAGATCTGACCGCAGCGTCCGGCCAAACACCTCCTTCAGCATCTCGAAACAGACGCCGCTAAGTGCGGCGTCGTAGCGGCCTTTGGAGAGCTCGTCGCGTATGAAGGCGTGTCTGTTTACACGCAGGAAAATCAGCAACTCAGGTTTGGAAGGATAGGGTGTCGCGCTGGGCCGGGCTAGGGGTATAGAGAGGAGATGAGGGATGGGAGAAGGGGACGTACTGGGCCCATGCATGCTCGTAGAAACTGAATGTGACACCCGCCTCGTGAAGGGTCTTGCGGATGAGGTCGCGGCCCGCGGGGGGCACGTGGTTGTCTAGTTTGCCGAAGATCATGACGAGCTCGCCCTTGATGTCCTTGGCCCTGGCCAGCGAGTCGTCGTTCTTGCCCTTGCCGAGAGAGTGGCTGTGGATGTCGGTCGCGAAGTAGCACACCGCTGCGGAGATCCGGGTGTCCAGTGCGCAGCGGTAGGCGAGGTGGCCGCCGAGACACATGCCGGTTGCGCCGATGCGCCCGGTGCATGTGTCGAGAGACTTGAGGAGGTCGATGGAGAGGGTGGCATCTTCGTCGTAGGCGCTGACTTCTTTTGTGATCTGGGCGTGTGAGATGGCGCTGATGAAGGGATGGAGGTGGTTGTGGGAAGGAAATGGAAGGGTTAGGATGAGCGAGGAACGAGGCAACGTACCTTCCACTCATTTCCAGCGTCTGTTCCAGGGCCGTCGTAGGCGAGGGGCTCTGGGCCGGTGAACTCGTGGTAGGAGGACGGGGCTGCGACGATGTAGCCTTGGGAAGCGATTTGGCGGGCGAAGCGGGCGACGGGGCCGGTTACTTTGGGGTGTTAGGTGGTTTGATGAATAGGTCCGTATGGATCATGAAAATGGAGGGAAGAGGAAGTAATGTGACCTGGAATGGGGATATAGTTTGGATATTAGAAGCATAAGGTAAGATGTTATCGAGCGATGAGTAGGTGAGATGGATGAGAAACAAATGAAGTAGTAGAAATGAGAGAGAAGTTTTGATGGAAGAAGACTTGGTTAGAGTCCATATGTGCAAGCAGTCTTACCTTGATAAATCTCACTAAACACCACTACACCCGGAAACTTCGCCTTGGGATAATTCGGAATCGTAGGATGGAAGAGGAAGATCCCTACATCCCATGTTAGCCTCACATTCACCCAATCCAGCAGATTTGGGCTCAATTACTCATATCGCCGCCCGCCTGGGTCGGCACATCCTTGTGGGTCTCCTGGATGAGCATAGCGCGTATAGTGTGTCGGCCTGGTGTTGTTTGGGGCTCGGGTTGAGGCTCGGAACGGCGGATTGCGGGGTGGAGGGGTCGTGGTGACTGCTCCGGACGATGTGTGGTCGCGGGGATAGGGAGCGGATAGCTCGGTTATACTTTCCCGTGGCGCGTGTGGTCGAACGACGTCTGGTATATGAGCATGGCTGGCAGCCCTAGGAGCGGTGGCTCCACTCGGTATTCAACTTTGATCTCATTGTGCACCTAGAATCCACGCTGTGCTTTCGTATATCAAACTTGTTCCATTTGATTCATGTGATCTGCATTCGCGGTACTCTCAGAGCCCAACCATGTCTTCCTCCCTCACCAACAAACTCATCACCGTCACCGGCGCAGCATCTGGCATCGGGCTCTCCACAGCTCGCATCCTAGCCCGGCGTGGAGCGCTGCTCTCTCTGGCAGACTATAACAAAGCCAACCTAACCAAAGCACACGAGGAGCTAGCGTCGCTCTCCAGCCCCAAGAACATCATATCCACGCCTCTAGACATTCGGAGCACTGCCTCCGTGAATGACTGGATATCCCACACCCGAAAGCACTTCAGCAGAACGATCGATGGTTGCGCCAACATCGCGGGCTTCCACCCGCTCTGGGCCCCAAAGAACATCGAAGAAATAACCGACGAAGAGTTCGACGAAACGATTCAGATCAACACTGTCGGGCTATTCAAATGTCTGCGCGCCCAGCTGGCCCCGGACATGCTGTCTTCGCCCTCCAGCATCGTGAATGTAGGCTCTGTATCCGGCCTCATCGGGTTCGCCGGAGACTCGGCGTATGTAGCGTCGAAGCACGCCGCTCACGGGCTAACGAAGGCGGCATCGAAAGAAGCGGGCAAACGCGGAATTCGCGTAAACGCTGTGGCCCCTGGGCAAACGAACACGCCCATGGTGCAGGCAATGGCGGCGGGAAAGGGGACGTTGCCACTGCCGTTTCTGAGCTTGGGTAGGGAGGGGCAACCGGAGGAGATCGCGGAGGTTATTTCCTGGCTGCTGGGCGAGGAGAGCTCGTATGTTACGGGGAGTATCTATAGAGCGGACGGAGGGATGCTGGATTAGTCGGATGCGGATCAAGAGTGGTGAAGATGATCGGCGTATGATACATGATTGACTTAGTGAGGCATTCTGTGCGCATTTGAACAAAGATTAGGAGGTAATTTACTACAAGGAAAGGAGGATCATTTGTAAGGTATGAAGCTTTCGTGGTGCACATGACGTGTCTGTTTGCTCACAGGTGTTCCTATCCATTTGAGATACCTAGGGATGTTACATCACTTGTTCCAGTTCTGAAATGCCTTGATGGGTCAATAATACCCAAATGCACTTTCTGACTTCACACAAGATTGCGCCCGTCCTACGAAACACAAAGATTAATATTCATCTTGCCCATCACAATCTCCAACCCATACGGCCCGTATACCCTCTCATCCTCCCTCCGCGCCTCCCACATACACCTCAACACCTCCCGCACCCGCTGACAACTCCCCATCCGCAGCGGCAGTGCCTCCATATACGCCGAGAACCTCGCCTGCTGCCCCTCCTTCCGCACACACGACCCGATCACCAGCGCCGGCCACATGAGCGTAGTAATGACCGCAGACTGAGATCGCATGGCCCGCATGAGCTCGAATAAGCGGTCGACACAGGGATCGATGGTTGCGTAGAGCGCGGGGGTTGGCGGGGCGGTACCGTGGAAGGTGGTGTGGAGATAGACAAGGAGAGCCTGGTGGTAGATTGCGGCGCCGACTTCTGAGGCGGTGGGGTGAGCGCGCAAGACGCCTGTGTTGCTGGCGCGGATCTGTGCTTCGAAGGCATGTAATTGTTCATGGTGTGCCGAGAGATCGGGGGAGTGTGACAGACGACGGGCTGCGTCTCTGATGGGCACGATGAGGGCAAGCAATTTGTGTGCTGCGCCAAAGAGGACGCCATAGCTTGCTGTCCCTTTGTTGAGACTTTGCAGGGCGTCGGCGGAGAGGAAGTTGTCGGTGGGAATGTCCCGGTCCATGGTGGCGAAGGAGGTGTGCAGTGTCACGTTTGCGGTTATCGCTGTGAAGGCATACCACTCTGTTAAAAAGGCGAGGTGGGAGGGATCTGGAATGCGCCGGCTCTGCAATTCGAGGAGGATCGTGCGGCTCGCACGCAGGTGATGGAAGACGCTGCCGCGTGTGTCGCCGATGATGCTCTGCTACACGTAAGCCATCCTTCTACGTCCTTGACTTTACGGTTCTCCTTACTTCAAAATAACCGAGGAGCAGTGTTGTTGTCAACAGTGCTATCATGTCATGCGTTTCCAGCATCCCCCAGGCCAGCAGCGTGTACTTGACACTTCGAACGGTTCCTGCATAGTGCGAACGTGCATCGGATTCGAAACGTTGGTCTTGGAAACTGAGGTGTGCCCCACTCACAGCCAACACGCCTTCAAGCACCCTGCTATCCTGCAATGCTAGTGGCATGAGAAGCTCAAGAAACGGGTTCTGCTTGTGTTCTCGTCCAGTCAGCTGCTGAGACGTGACCAACACGTAATGTTCTAGGAGGTAGGAATCCCTGGCTTTGTAGCCGAAAGGCTGGCTAGTAAGGATATATGATGGATTCAGTGAGGTCTGTGTCAGCTGCCATGATGCTCTCTTCTCGGCAGAAGCATTGGGCGAGGAACCCTCTTCACGGATCGAATTCGTGTCTGGCCATCTGCAAGTAAAGTAATTGCGCCGGCAGGCGACACATGAAGGCTTCAGCTCATCACATTTTTTGCGACGCGTCCTGCACGTCAGGCATCCTGTCTTTGTTCGTCGTTTTGTTTTCGATCCAGTAGCGGTAACGCTTACGGGAGGATGCTTAGACTCTAGACGAAAACGTATAAACGAGCCCTCCATGACGTCCTGGAGCTATGGTGGATTAATAAGGAAAAGTTTAGGGTGAACACGCGCATTTCAGGTGCTCAAGGTACAAGGTCTACATCGGGATAATTGATGATCGTGTTGAGGTGAGGTGGTGGCCAGACTAGTTCGGATCAGCGCGGAGTCCACGCGTCTGGGGGCCAAGTTCACCTCGCCCTAGCCTCACTCGGCATGCTTGGTATACCAACAGACCTTCCGAAGTTTGAAACTCAAGCAAGGACACAGAAAAAAGGCAGAAGATGATTACAAGCTAGGTGATTCGTACTCAAATTGGTCCGAACCTCCGTCAGCGGCTTGATCTTACGCACTGCGTTCCTCAAATGCTCGTACCAAAGAAACCTACTCACCCACATGCCCTAATGAAGCTCACTTCCCTGCGTCCCCTTTCCTATCCTTCGATCCCGCCTCCCCAGGACTATCAAGCGCCAGCGTCTCATCCGTATCAACCCTCCTCACAGCATCAACATCCTCCACGTGTATCGAAGGCCTTTTCGTTTCCTCCACTCGCTTCGTCTCCATTGGCCCATTCCTCGCCAGCGAACACCAATGTCTCGTGGTCGGCACTGCATCGTTCCTACCCTCCCACTCTTCCATCTCAGCAAGCACCAACGTCCTCCTATGCACCTGCAGCAGGCCATCCTCAACCCACGTATCCACGCCCCTATGCTGCGCCTTCCTGTGCCGCTGGAAGCACCGAATCATGCTCTCCAGAAAGATATTCGCGAGAATGATCAGTGTACCCAGGCCCACCGTTAGCGCAAGCCCATACGTATTGATGCTGCTAAACTTCCCGCTCGTCCTTGCTCTAATCATGCTACACAAGTTCCGGTAGTTACTGTCGGGTACAACGAGGAACTGCTTTGCGGCTGCCGACGAGGGCCCGCGCGCGTAGTCGACGATTATGCGTTGGATCTCGGTGAGCACGCGGTTGTGCATATCCTGCAGCTCAATGACCCACTGGTTTCTCGGGAGCGGCATTTGCACGCCATCGTTGCTCGTGTCATCTGCGAGGAGCTTGATGGGCTGGAGGATGATAGCGTTGTTGGCGTAGACGGCGTTGATGAGGAGATCCACGATGGCGGACTGCATGGGCGTCAAGTCGAGGTCGAATTTTGCGGCTGCGGTAGCAGGGACGATGCCGGAGAGGGTGGTGCATGCGTCGGGTGCGTCGCCTTTCTTGGGATTGCAGAATTGGAATTGCTCGACGCAGCCTAGGGGCGAGAGCAGGTGGTCGCTGAAGTAGTAAGTGCGGTTTAGGGGCCCGGGATTGGCGCGGTGGGCGGAGAACCAGGGGTCGTCGATGGGTTTAGCGAAGTTGACTGCATGTGCAGCGAGAAACATGAAGTATATGTCTCCATCAGACGTGTTGAATTCTTTGCGCGGTATGAATGATGAAGAGCTTGGGAAAGGCAGGCGTGAATCGAGGCGGTAATATCTCTGCGTTCTAAGTAGATCGAGTTAGTGTGATGCACTAACAAAGCGTTTGGGGCGCGAGAACACCTACACCATCGAGTAACCCGTGAAGCCCTTAGACAGGCGATTGGTGTTGTCGCTGTCTGCCTCTGCAACATAGTCCGTGTCGTTGTACCAGGGTATGGTGCCCCAATTCCATTTTATGCGGTACTCGTCCTTCCCCATCGGACTGGTGGTGTTCTCCCTGGTCGTCCATAAATCAGGCTGCAGAGGTGCACATGTAGTCACTTTGCGGAAGTGAACGTTGTCCTTGCGCGTGTTAATTCCGAGCACGTCGTTGGTGTCCATATTGCCGGTGTCCATTCGCAAGTTCTCGTTCCCATAGATACAAGTCTGGTTGTCGAATGGACACGATGCATTCGTGTGAGAGGTGTAGGGGATCGCCTTGGTTGTGAAGGCCTCGCACATGGGCGAGTTGACATCCCCAGTGGTGTTGTAACAGGCGCGGGCATAGATGCGACCGAACTCCGTGACACCACCAATGTATTTGGCATTCTCAATCATGAAATCGTTGTCGCTGGCCTTGACTGTATTCGCGTCTGGAACCTCCCAGATCCCACATTCTGCGTCTGTCAGCGTTCATGCAGAAGTCGAGATCGTTTCTTCGGGGCCACTTACCATCTCCTCTTAGTAAGATGTCTACTTTGCTGGTCTCCATGATGTTGGATGACAAAATGCCCGTGGCAGTCAACAGAACCATGAATATCAACGGCACAAAGATTGGCAGCCCGCTCACCCTCCACCACGCCTGCTTCTCTTTCTTGTGGCCCTTGGCATGTCGCCATGCCCACGCGATGCGAGTCAGCGTCCACAGCGTTTGGCCTGGCGAACCATTGTTCCTGATGGACATGTCCTGCTGATACCTCAGAGCAGCATTGTATTTCGGTCGCCCGGAAAGTCGGAGCTGGTACCAGAGGAACGCAGCGATGCCCCAGAGATGCTGGCCAGCGAACTGAACGAAGAGAGCAAGGAAGGCGACGAGAATGACACCATTCTTAGAGGAAACTGTAATGTTGGTCCCCTTGATCGAGCCCCTGGAGGCGTCTTTCCAGGAGCCGATGAAGACATCGGCGTACGAGACATCAGCCGGCGAAGCCATTGTCTACGAGATTGATCAAGCACTCAAAGTATTCAGCTTTGCTCATCGCGGCCTGTCGATCATATATCCCGCGCTCCATCCCACAACATCTTCCAGGACCCCAGTGCCATAATCCACATGCAGTAAGCACCGTATTTACACGATAACGGAATCTCCAAGGCCTTGGGCTGGGGTCGATTTGTTTCGTCGAAACGCGTCTTCCAGCTGCAGACGTCTTGGGCTGCAGTAGGGCTGGTCTAGCCTATTCTCGTCCCTGCCCACTTGCGTACAACGGTACGTTAATCAATTCCACGGCCACCCATTGGCCCGCCAAATATACTCGGGGCAGATGGTGCCAAAGAAAGCACGTCTGGATGAAAAGAAGGCGACGACCAATGTAAGACGGCTCGTGTGTTTGGTTTAAGGTTATTTTCGCCCCACCCCGCATAGGCTTACATGGGTTCTCTGAACGTCTCCTTGACCGTTCGTTGTTCATGGTGTAGTCATCGATGCTGCAGCATGGGGCTGGGCTGGTGATATACCGCGACTTTCGCAGCTTACAGTTGCAATGCCGAGCCCCTGCCTGAGGTCGCGCTATATGGTCGTGCCCCCATTGACCTGGATCATGGTCGAGATGGGGGCAGGAATGGAATGTTGGGTTCTTGAGTCGCTTTGAGGCGGGGCCATGCAATCGAGTAGCTGCAGGTAGCCTTCCAGTGGGTGTTCGGGGTGAATCCCGGGTCGACTCGCGATGCCCAAGGAAGACCGATTCCTTCGTCGCCCAAACCGGAGAGTCTCTGCCCCGCTTAGCCGGGACCCTATGCCGCTTCCAGCACGCCCGTCAAATAAAAAAAGCTTCCTCGCAACGCAAGACTCGGTCTGCGAAGCGCGGTGTCCTGACCGATGGCGTGGACAGACTTCGGAGAATTGCATCCATCGAACGGTGCACTGGGTCTTCAGTGGACGGCAGGAACCGATCTCACCTCAGCCGCATACACCTGGCCAATCATCCACACCCATCACTTCGCATCCCCTGCATTAGTCGTGGCCTCGGGGCCAAAATAAGACGCTCTTGCATGTGATGGTTGGTGATGTTCATTGCTCGTCGCTCCCACCTTCTTCCTGTCGAGCAGACTGCCCGTAAACACAAAATCGACCAGAGGACCACTCACTCTCTTCACATGCCCTGCGCCTTACACCCCCTCGCGGCCAAAATAAGTCACTAGTGCATATGCCGTACTACCGCATGATGCTGTGCGTGCTGCTCAACACCGTCATGGCCTCGCGGGTATCGTATCGCCCCCGACGAACAAGTGACGCGTCTCCGAATCCTGATCTGGCCCCAGAACCGCGTCACAAGTGTGAGCGATACGACTACGAGAACGTGGGGTCGAGGATGGCTGGCCGGGGCTTAGGTGAGGTGATATGGAGAGATTGATAGAATAGCTGCAGGTACGCGGCTTCTACCTGTGGAGGTAGGAGACGGAAGGAGCGCGGATATTGCCCGGTCTCAGCTGCTTCTAACTTGCCTTACCCTCTCCTCGTGCTGGCCCCTTCCCTTTGCCTCCCCAACCTACTATCATTCAGAGACTATCCCGCCACTCGCCCCATTTCCTCACCCCACCCACCGTTCCTGATGTTGGCCGACGTCTAGTGTTTGTAGATTTGTAGATTTGTAGATTTGTAGATTTGTAGATTCCGCATCGATTTTGTTGCACAATGTTTATAAAGAGTAGACAAGGGCCGATGGTATGACCACTTCCCTGTCTTCGCGTCCCTTCCGGCTTTCGCGACAAGGCGCCTTTATGTGTCATTTGGCGGCGCCTGCCGCTTGTCAGTGTCGTGTTTCTTCTATTCGTGTACCTGCAGCCACCATTCTTCCGTTCTCCATCTCACCTACGCCCAGCTCAGCGAGTCTGACCCCACGTTTTCGTATTCGTTTTGCAGGTGCTTGTGAGGCCAGGTGAAACTTCGAAGACCCCACAGCATGTTTGTGGGTTGGTCGCGAGCATCGACTTGCTCGGATACATTCCGCCTCCTTCTCGCCTGCCTTGCGACTGCAAGGATCGAACGTCGAAGTGGACGTCGTTCGATACTTGAGTGCATAACGCTGGTGCGGCCAACGATGAGCTCCGGTACTGCAAGGACTGTCGCACGGAGACGCGTCGACCGAAAAGAATTTCCTTCGATAATGAATGAACTATGGGTATCGTGTAATCATCCAAACTCCGTTTCCCGTCCCGTCAAACAATTCACTGATTGAAGCTGGACTTTGATGAGTTACGCCTCGAGCCTTCGAACCAGCCCTTCGACTCTTCCAAGGGCCTGACTACTCAGCGAGGCATCTCGTGTGCCCTCCTTCGTCCTCACAGCAGCCTTGTCGACTTCGCCATCCTTCGTGACCTTGAAAATGCCCACTGTGCCATTCGACCATGTGATCGTAATCTCCCGTACCGCCGCATCGCCGTCGATACTCGAGATCCTGGGAGTGCCATCCTGTTCATTCGCCCCTTCTTCCGCCTCCGAGTCTTCGTCGTCACTGACAAATGCGTTCAAAACCATTCCAGGCTCAAGTTCCCCCTGCAACCCTTCTTGTAGCGCAATTCGGCCTGGCAATTTTGCATCCTTCTGCAGCGTCTCCAGCGCTTCCAACCTGAGGTGCCAGCTCGCAAGCTCTTTCCGCAGATGCCTGCCAAACCTGACCAAGTCTTGTTCCCTAGGCTCCTCTGCGCTCTTCCTGGTCAAGGGTAACCACTTGTTCGCAAGCGGCTGCAGTGGAATGCAAGGCGGAATCGTATGTTTGTGGATCTTCAACATGGTCTTGTGCGCCGCGTTTGGCCGATTGAAAAGCACATGATAGGTGTCCACGAATCTGCCACCAACCGACACATCTATGCGCACACCGAGGACGTTGCCGTTGTCTACCGCACAGGGATCCGGATCTTTGACCTTGTAAGCTGTGACGCCGGCGCATGCACGATACACATTTTCGAGGTTGCGATTTGACTGCCTTTGCACAAGCTTGGCAGCATTGCGACGGTTGCGCTCGTGCAGGACGGGGCGCTGTTCGAGTCGCGTCGGGAGGTGGGGCTGCGAGAGGAGGATGGACGTCAAGCTCGCGCGATGGGCCTGGAGTGTCGCGATGCGGTCGCGGAGGTCGCTGATATCACCGTCGAGAGCTTCCGCGGTGGCCATTGCGGAGGCGATGGCAGGGTGGTGAGTTGCAGGGTGATGTTGATGCCGGAGCGGGCGTTCTGGAATAGGAAAGGGCGAATCGCGGTCTCACGTGCAAAGCGCAGACCAATCGTTCCTGCCAGCTGGGTGCGTACCCATCGCTACGCGCAGATGTCGTGATCGAAATCTCCCCAGACTCGAGCTGGAAGGCCCATCACATCGCGAATTGCCCAAACAGACAGTTGCTGCGACTTGCTGTGTTTACCCACGATGCTGTCATTGTGCTGCGGGCAGCTAGCGACCTCCGCCACCTGCTGACTAGCGGAAGGGCCACGTTCCACCCAGCTGTGCCCGAGCAACATCGCGAACCTAATTGGATTGCCCGCACTAACTTTTACCGCAAAGTAGACACGTTCCTTTCCGCGGGCCCCTTGTTAGATCTCCTTATGGATGCCATCCCCGACCGGCGAGCCACTCATTGACCCCTCTTATCCCACGTCTTCTTCTATACACAACCCTACTTCTCCGCGAACACCCCATTACCAAGTCAACACCACCGCTCGTACAGTGGAGCTGCAGTCGAGCTTGCGGACCTCAGTACATACAGTTAGCATAGAACGCGACACAAGAAACGCGCCGCACACCGCAGCCTCGCCGCTCCAGACGCGCGGGAGAGCGCCCCTCTGCTCACCTCTTCCTTCTCCGACCGCGATTTTTCCTCCGACACCGATCCACAAATGAGCAAGCGCAACGCAAAGACGCCTAAAGAGCAGAACGGGCAGGCGAACAGCAGCGCGACCATGAGCAACATCCTCGAGCACCGGCGGAGGCACGGGTCCATCGATCTGAGCTCACCCGCGGGCCAGGCCGCCTCCCTGATGCAGCGCCCGAGCTTTACGTTGGACGATGCAGTACCAGAGCTAGACAAAGATGGCGAGGGTCAGTCCAAGGGCTTCTCTGAGTTGTCCAAGAAGGATCAGCGAAATTTCTTGCTGCTGGTACTGTTGTACTTTCTGCAAGGTATACCGATGGGTCTCGCGATGGGCTCAGTGCCCTTTTTACTCAAGAAGGCGGATGCTTCGTATTCGGCTATCGGGGTCTTTTCCCTTGCAGCATACCCGTATTCACTCAAGTTGTTCTGGAGCCCGATCGTGGACGCGGTATGGTCGCCGAAGGTTGGACGCAGGAAGAGTTGGATTTTGCCTATCCAGACTGTCTCGGGCTTCTCCATGCTCTGGCTGGGCTCTGTAGTGAACAGAATTATGAGCTCGGCTTCAGAGACTGATGGCAGTGGAATCTGGAACTTCACCTTCTGGTGGTTCGCATTGGTATTCCTCTGTGCAACACAGGACATTGCGGTTGACGGTAAGATCATCCGTGCAGATCATGAAGAATCATACTGATGTTTGTCCAGGATGGGCTTTGACTCTTCTTTCGCAAGAGAATCTCCCTTTCGCATCTACAGCGCAAACCGTTGGTCTCACTGGTGGCCAGTTTCTTTCTCACACCGTCTTCCTCGCCTTCAACTCGGTCGACTTTACCAACAAATGGTTCCGCTCAGCGAGTGCACCTGGCGAGACAGGCCTGATGAACCTGGACAGTTACCTTACGTTCTGGGGCTGGGCATACCTGGCCGTGACTCTAGGATTGGCTTTGATGAAGCGTGAAGAAAGGACGAAAGAGAGGGAAGGCATCATGGAAGTCTATCAGACCATGTGGGGGATTCTCAAGCTTCCGAACATTCAAACCTTCATCGTGATCCATCTCATTGCGAAGATTGGCTTCCAAACCAACGACGGCGTTACAAGCTTGAAGCTACTTGCCAAAGGTTTCAGTCAAGAGGACCTTGCGCTGACGATTCTCATCGACTTTCCGATTGAGATGTCGCTCGGATACTACATTGGAAAGTGGTGCCAGACATACCCACCCATGCATATCTGGTCTATGGCATTCGTTGGACGGCTGGCTGCGGCCGGATTTGCCCAATTCGTCGTGTCCATCTTCCCTGCGGGCGGCACGACGACGTGGTACCTGCTGCTCGTTATATGCGAGCACGTACTGTCGACGTTCATGAACACAGTCATGTTTGTTGCGGTCTCCGCTTTTCACGCGAAGATATCCGACCCGGTCATCGGAGGCACGTACATGACTCTGCTCGCCACGTAAGCAAACCCACCGCCTTTCTAGAACTGAGTACCTTACTAACTTGACAATAGTGTGTCCAACCTTGGTGGTACCTTTCCTCGCTATTTTGTGCTCCGCTTTGTCGACTACTTCACAGTGGCAACGTGCGAGCCGCCTACCAAGGCCCCAGCAAACCTCAAGGGTGACCTTGTAACACAGGCCTTCTCTTGCGCGCTGGAGGCCGATCGCCACCGGTGCGAGGCGGGCGGTGGTACCTGCCATGTGCAGACGGACGGATACTACGTGATGAACATGATATGCATAATCATCGGAGTGGTGACTTTCTATGGGTACATCAAACCGGCGGTGACCAAGATCCAAGCGCTACCGCTGCGGGCATGGAGAATATCATAGCACGAGCACAGCGATTGATAAGGTAGCACACACGGAGCACCCGTGGTGGGTCGGTCGCGTAGCTTAGCTATATAGCGTACATGACGTGTGTAGAATGCAAGATGGTGTTTTGGACCAAAGCTGCATGGCGCTCCACGTGCAGACCCGTCGGCGCGACAGGGCGGTGGCGGATGGCCCAATGAGGCTCTTTTCAGGTGCATACGCGCTAGCTCGGGACGTTGATAAAAAGTAATTGAAGGGTTGTGTAAGCCGACGCGCCTCGAATGATGCGGCAGGCGGTCGGCGGCCGTTATCGGCAAGGCGTGTCGCGACCAGAGGGCTTTGGCAGCAGCTTTACGTAGAAGAGGGTCCACTCGGAGTGACGAAGGCGCGAGAAGCTCTGTTCTGTGCTGTCGCGCGATGCTTAGCTGAGGTTGCACAGACAGTCGGCGGTCTAAGTCGGAACGGGAGCTTGGAACAAATAATCTGCTGATTTCGACGGCCGCAAAGTCTTGATTTATCAATCCGATCTGGCCCAAGGTCTTGCTTGCAAACATCGCCCACCTGCACCTGCCCTGCGCGCGACGCTTGCAGCTGAGACACGCCCATCACTGCTCGTTCAACCTCTTTGACTGCTTGCGCTTCACCACCGCGCCGTCCTCGCCCACTCGGTCCCACACACGACCACGCACAATGGCTTTTGCCGCCTACACGCCCAAGGCGCGGGTCCAGAAGCCGGCGCCGCCCTTCAGCGGCACTGCCGTCGTCGATGGCACCTTCGAAGGTACGCCTACCACCATGCCTCCGCCAGTATCACAGCCCTAGCCTAACCCTAGCTCCATTCCTCGCCCACGCCCGCCGTGCCGCCACCCCGTACTGACGCCTGCGCGCAGACCTCTCCCTCACGCAGTTCACGTCGACCAAGCAATGGCTCGTCCTGGGCTTCGTGCCCATGGCATGGACCTTCGTGTGCCCGACTGAGATCATCGCCTTCAGCGAGCGCGCCGCCGACTTCGAGGCCCGCAACACAAAGGTCGTCTTCGCGTCCACCGACTCCGAGTACAGCCTGCTTGCGTGGACCAACGCGAGCAGGAGGGATGGCGGCCTCGGCAAGATCGACATCCCGCTGCTGAGCGACAAGAACCACCAGCTCAGCAAGGACTACGGCGTGCTGATTGAGGAGGAGGGCATTGCGCTGCGGGGGCTGTTCGTCATTGATCCCAATGGCATTGTGCGACAGGTGAGTGCTCTCCTTCGCGCTGGAAGGCTTGCACGACGAAAGACGACGCACACGCTCGCTCGCTCTCTTGCAAGCGCCCTTTCCAGAAGCACCAACTGACTGACCGTCTCCGCAGATCACCATCAACGACCTCCCCGTCGGCCGCTCCGTCGACGAAACCCTCCGCCTCATCGACGCCTTCCAGTTCACCGACAAGTACGGCGAAGTCTGCCCCGCCAACTGGAACCCCGGCGACTCCACCATCAAAGCCACCCCCGAGGGCAACAAGGAGTTCACCGCAAAGGCCTACGCAGACACCAAGATGGCTGACACCAACGGTACGAAATAGACTGCCTCGCACTCCTGTACGCACCTTGGATCCAGCTGAGGGGATGACATCAGGCAGGGTAGTTCCGGTGGGGAAGTAAAGTGAAGCGAAGCGAATGCATTGCATGGACGGGAGTTAATACCTCTGATTTGCAGCAAAGGGGATGGATTGGGGAAGAGAATGAGCCTTGATTGGATTGGCGCTAATAGACGGGGATGGTTGGCGATTGATTGATTGGCATGGCTTGCGAGAGCGTTGGCCTGTATAGCTCTGACTCCGCTCCTAAGCTTGTATCGTACTGTTACACTGGAAAGAATTGGAAATTGTATATGTTGGGCATGGCGCAGACTGTGGCTCAGAGCTGTAAGCAATCCAGCCCCCACTGCTAGGCACCGAGTAGTAATATCGCGTAAAAACCCATCCTTCTGAGGCGCAGTCGCCCAGCCAATGTTCACCGGTCCACCCCACAGGATGGCATATATCTCCATAAGAACTCACTGCACGCCCCAAAGCACTATTGCGTAAGCCCAGCATGAAGTACGCTGTTATCTTAGGGTCAGCCCTCGCAACGTGCGCATGGGCATCTACCAGCACCGTTACCGCGACCGAAGTCTTCACCATCCCATGCACAGCAACACCGCTACCGATTGACTGCATCGCAAACAGCTGGTCCGGCATCGTCGAATTCACCATCACGCCCGGCGGTTCGTGTCTTCCCCGATCCTGTTCCCGTCTGATTGCCCCCTCAACCTTTGTATCTAACTCCACAACCGTCTGCAGACCTCATCCACCTCCATGATGAACCAACCGACCTCCCCATCCCAACATCAACGCCTACAAGCTTCTCAACTGGCAAGATCTTGAGCAACGTCCCCAGCATCAGCGGCCCCTTCGCAGTCACTACCATGGTGACGGCGACGACGGTGTTCACGATTGCGTGCACGGCGAGCCCACTGCCGGAGGATTGCGAGGCAAATAGCTGGTCCAATACGCTTGTGGAGATTACGGCGACGCCGGGGCGTGAGTCTTTGACGACCTACCTGGCTTTGAGCTGTTTTGCGCATGTGCTAATGGAGGTTCAGAGGTTTTGGTTAATCTCCCGACGGAGCTGTTGGTCACGGGCACGGGGACGGGGACGGCAAGTGAGAGTGCTGGAAGCACTGCGCCCTCGGCGACGCCTGGTGCTGCGGCGGGGAGGGAAGCTGGGATTCTGGGGCCAGTGGTTGCGGGCTTGGTTGCTGGGTTGGCGGTGCTGTGAGGTACGGTGGGGAAATGTGCAGTGCGAGGACATACATCCAGGAAGACATTTAGGTTCGCGCTTCCTACGTACCTTCCGTTTTAAAGTCCGTAGAGTCGCGAGGCATCTGCAGCAAGCACGTAGCCAATCAGCACGCGCTTCTCGCTTACGTCACCAGTGCCCTTCTTAGCGCCCTTTCCGCTCGCTACTACTACAAAAAACCTTCCGTCCACTGCCCCTTCGACCACTAGACACTGCGCATATCAACGCGCGCCGAGCTCGTCTCCAATCTTCAATCAAGGTTCCGACAGCCCGGTGGCGCGTGCAGCGCGCGTGAGTGTAGAACAACCCTCCTCAGTATACGTCGTCTTTCCTTCTCGATGAGAGACTCGTTTGTCAAAGGCAGGGAGAGTGAATGCGCGGCCAGCTCCGTGTTATGGATCTATTCGACGAACGTGAGCAGGGGCTGGAGCGCGACATGTTATCAATTCGTCTGTCGCCTGTTGGCCGATGCTTTAGTTCGGTGTTCGGGGGCGGTGTTGGAGTGACAGCGGGTTTGAGAAGAGTTACCGTGCGCTTGCGAAGCGCTTCTACCGCTGGCAGCGGGACAGCCGCATAGATCTTGTGGCGTTCACTATCCGTTCCTGAGGCGGATTCTGCGCATGGAGGGGCTTTTGTGTTGTCGGTTGGCTTTGACGTCACGTGTGTAAGGAGCACCAGTGGCGAAGTGCAGCTGTAAGAGCTATTCTGGGCATGTGGAAGTGCTTTCCTTTCGTCACCCGGGAGCCTCACGCAAGCTGAGTCCACTCTTCCTCCAGTATGTCCGGCAAAACCCCGGGCCAAGCGGTGCCAGTCTGCGTGCGCGCCTCGATGAAGTTTATGTTGAAGTTTGCGTGCTTCTCTTGACCGAGCGTATCCATGTATTCGGTCCAAGAGTCACTCCTCGTCCTCTGGTGGTTGGATACAGACTTGGTTTCGGCGTCCTGATGGGCGTGTAACTTGCTCAATCGGTTCAGGAAGACCTCTTCGCCTTGCGCGGAACACAATGTACCCCCTGCAGTGTTTTTGACCAGCCAGCTCGTAATGATCATTGACAACGCAGCTGCGCTATCTGTCAGTTTTCGTTTGCTTGTTGCAGAGACTCGCTTACCATCGGTGACACAGCTCAGAAGACAGACATGGCTTCTTTTTGCCTCAGCCCGTGTGAGATACACGGTCATGTTAATCACGGCAATTGACAAGATCGTAGTCCAACCCATAAGATTCTTGCACAGCATAATGTTGTTGCTCTTCCTGCTCCGCTCATCTTCCTGGAGCCTACCATCTTTTGAGACGCTCAAGAAGCTCATCCGCCGTTCGGTGTAGGTCGATGTCCTGGTTGATATTGGAACTGCATGTGATTTAAGCGCAGGCCATAGTATGCAAACGAGGGTTCCAGTAAGGTAGGTCCCCACCGCGAGAAGAAACGTCGAGAGGCTGATTATAGCCTCTTTTGTAAGATGAATGTTACATTGGCCAGTCTTGCCTTCCAGCTGTGCCACTGGTGCTGCAGCTGCAAAGAATATACTGCCTGCGACACCGGCTATGACACAAACTGTACAAGTAAGCCATACCGGATCACGTATTCGTGTCACTCGTGGTACTCGAAGGCTGTGCACGTGTTCGTTGAAGTTCATGTAGCTTTGTTCGCATATCAACATCTTGCCGCGCGTTCGGAATCAGGAGAAGCACTTACAGTGCTGTCTTGCTAATGCAATAAAGGAGGATGCAAACTACGCTTGCTGCATAACACTGGCCATCTGTGACCATAGCTAACCCGGCCTCAAGCAGAACGACACTTGAGACGATGGCAATCGTGGTCAAGAACTGAATGTACAATCCTACTTCGAGCAATCTGGACTTTCTAGCCTTCCCGTGGAGCTGGCCAAATCGAATGCCTTGATCAGAGGTCAATACCAGCAACAGTGAACTTTGCGGAGACGGATACGTACCATGCTGGAAGACAAGTACAAAGAAGCACAAAAGACACAAACAGATTACCAAAATCTGTCTGCTCGGGCTCTCACCCCTCAACGTGTGTCTTTCATCTACTCCAGCCATATTCACCGTGCATGAGAAAGGCGATCCTCCGTGTTGGGTAGCAAGAGGAAAGCAAATGAGAGGGGTAAGAGAGCGCGGTAGGCTGTGGAAGTATTCCCTGCCGGAGCCCCGTACAAGGGTCATTGAAACTGAAGCCATGTAGATCCTCGCTAGCACACTACAAAACGATTGAGGTGTGGAGAACTGGAATCGGCGTTGTAAACTTTGGTCAGACAATTGCGTCGAACCCTATTCGGAGTACCGGAGTTAGCCCCGGCGGCGTCCCCGAGACTCCCTACAAAGCTTCACGACTCACTCAGCTAATCATCCCGCGACGAATTCAAAACTAGGTATTGACAACCGCTGTCTTGGACCCAGCGTACGGCGAGCGTGGACTCTCCCAACGATACGACCGCAACTGTAGCTGCCGGTATCCGAATATGATTCCTTTCAACATCTGGTACGCGCAGGTGAGTGGCTCGCATTAGAACCATCTATCGATGAGAGTGGGTCCAAAGCTGAGCGCTTAGATCTTGTCGGCCGTTAGCTTCGTTAGACCTGCCCCAAATCTACGACCACCTCATACACGAGTCAGGGAGCCCCGTCGAGCAACTTACTCAATTGGAAGAATACATGGAAATTCCACAGTGGAAAAGAATGCGCTAACAACTCATAAAAGTGTATGGGAGGGATGGCGGACTTATTTCGACGTGCCTAGGATGGTTCGTCGGTGGGAGGGCGCCAGGTGAACGACACGAGAGAATCTTACGGTAATGATGCAATAACCACGGTCAGAATCTCGAAGGAAACATCAGAGCAACCAACTAGTGAGTGCTCAAGAACGGTACACCACGAATCATGGCCCCCGCCTATTCTGATAACACCCTACGCATGCATTGCGGGTACGATCTCGGCTCAGCATCAGGCCCTACAGAAGCGGCACGTGCTCGTGGCATGCTAATATCTTGGCAGGAAGCTGCAGATCCACGCTGCGGATTAAGAGAATGCTCACGTTCACTACCAAGACCGTTTTGAACAATCCATGGACTTTTGTTTGATCTGCCACACCGCCTGAACCCACATAATGACCCATGTTGGGTTCACAATTCGTCCCTGAACGTCTTCCTCTCCCCTCGCAACTCCTCTTCCTTATCGCCACCCTCGCAGGTCCAGCTACTTGCCTTGTTGACATCTCCAAGACCTAGATACCTCAACTTCCGGGGGTAGCGGCACAGATTCCGGGTCACTACCTCGTCATCTTTATTCTTAGTCTCAGCCTCAAGCGTATCGGGTGCTTCGTATTTCTCCACCCAATTACGCAAGGTCTCCAATGGATCTTTCGGCACCGCACCGTTACCGAACGCGCAGTGCTTCACACCTGGTGCGAGGAACAAACGGAAGAATTCATCCACAGCCTTCGCACCTCCAAGTTCCCGTTCAACACGCTGGCGGTAATTGACTGTAGTCTTGGATGGTATGATGTCGTCATTCGTGCCGTGCCAGCTGAGAAGCTTTCCTCCCGCGTCGCGGAAGGCAGACATATCTGGGTTATCTGAGTCCATGATCCAGCCGTAGTTCTCATTAGTCTGGACCCAGAGAGACCAAAACTCGGTTGATGTCAACTCGGAGACGTTAGAATTATCCGACTTTCTCAACAATATAGTCCTGGCAAAGACATCCAGCCCAGGATCGTTCAAGGTGCGACTGCCATCAGGATTGGCTGTGGCATTGACGAAGGTAGCTAAAGATGTCCCGTAAGTGAGGCTTGGAAACACGTTCTCCCCAAATGGCGTGCTGGGACCCTCGTGAACTCTCCGAACAACCTCCGCCATCGCCTCCGTAACCTCAATCTCCACACCCGAGCATTCCAGCTTCTCTCCAACAAGCCTTCGCGGATCAAACGTGCAGGTGTCTGGGTCTCCTATCACTCCGTCTTTGGCTCCGTCCAATATGTCGCATTCTTCAAGTGCCTTCGATGCAAACCAGTTGAACTCGCAGTTGCTGACCACCGTCCCGGACACCTTCATCACAAGGTTCGGCCAGAGGAACGACATCGTGAGCGCTGGGAAGCGTAGTGCCGGTGCAGCAGCAAGCACGCCATCAAGTAGCTCCGGATATCTCTGCGCAACAGCATAACCCTGCCGTCCACCCTGCGAGCATCCATTCCAGTAAGAGTAGCGGGGCTGCTGACCATAGTACTGCTCCGTGAGGCTTTTGCCAACGTATATTTGATCAGCTAAGCTTCGTGTTCCGAAATTCTGCAGGAGATCCCAGTTGATGCTCTTATCTTGGTTTAGAGTCCAGTCTGCGCTGAAGTAGTCGACCGGATGTCCGCCGTCTGTTGAAGAGGCTGCGTAGCCGCTTGCGATTGCGGGACCGAGCGCGAGGTCGAGCATGCCTGTAGCCCAGCCACCACCTCCTGTCGCCTGGAAACGAGCATTCCATAGATCTCGTGTGAGTGGCAGCCATGTCTTTACGAGGACCTTATCGTTGGCCCCCGGGTGAGTAAGGTAGATCTGCACGTCGCAGAAGTTGAGGTCGGAGACTGGCTCGAGGAGGCCGGGGACAGCGGGAATGTCGAAGTTTCGCTTCTCTTCAGCTGTTATAGAGAGGACTCTAGCGCCTGGAACGATTGGGTCTGTGAAGGATGATGGTTCGCATGGTAGCGTCTTTGCATTGTCGATAGTTGCGGCTCCGACAGTCGCCCATATTTGTAGCAGGAGCAGTGGAAGTGCCATCATGAAACTCGGCAATGCTATACTGTATGTTCGCTGCTCATGAATCGTGTATCTTGTACATGTTTGTCTTGCGACACTCCCAATTATTTATGGTGATGATGTATGTTAGACGCTAAGCCGCGTTGGGACAAAACAGTGTATACGCTAGCGCGGATGGCTCATAATTCTTCATCATGACCGGCGGCCGCTTCTTGTAACCTTACACAACGTACCTTGTACCGCGCCTCAGCCCATCGCCACCGCCTACGTGTCCTAGCCATTTAGCCTGATAAAAAAACGACAGCAAGTCCGGGGTGCCGCCCCTCCAACAAATGTCGCGTGGGTAACGCGAATGTTGAACCCGCGTCGGTCGTGCAGTCTCACACTACCACTTCAGACCTGAAGTCTCATGCGCACCTCCTGATTCTTCCGAATGAGCTGCTTGTGCGAGTTATTGAGATCGCGGCAGAAGTATTGTCTCGGGCTTCAGACACTGCACGTCTTGAATTGCCCATCTGGAATCAACAGAGCTGTACAGACTACAACTAACGGAAGCTTCAGCGAAGCTATGATTTTGTCTGAGAATACTTTCCCTATTGTGTCAAAGATTCCTCGCTATTGCCCAGCCCCTGCTTTTGCATTAAATCAGCCTTGAAGAGGGTAGCAGCGTGTGGGATCGCGGATGTTCAGTGGTTTGCATCAAAATTTTATAGGAATTGGCAGGAAACCCTCTTTTGAGAGAGAATTGCAAGTATATGCTGCCCCATTCTGATATTTACTGTTCCAGATCCGACTTCAGCTTTTGCAACCAGGAAGTTATATATGCTTGTGGATGATTATAGTCTTCTTAACGAACAGAACCTTCACAGTACAATCAGGAGCTAGGCGATCTTGTCTGTAGTATGGTCAAACTGCGCAGTGTTAGTGTTTGCGGTGTATTTTTGGGCCCACGCGAGGACCTGCGCATCGAATTAACATGGAGTCTCCTGATCCGGATGAGCGCCCATTGTAAGGACGTTAAGCATTTGGTCATTTCGGGGTGTAGCAACCAGTATGACATCAGGCTGCGATATCTCTTCAGACACCTCACCTAGCCCAGCTTCAAGGCCCTAGTTATAGATGGAATTGGGTACAGTAAACAATGGGGAGATGAGCAAGCTATGCCTGAACTTCAGGTAGGCACCCAGAGTTTCTTACAGATCAAGAATGTCGAGACTACAGATTCTATACATGGCCAGCCATAGCGCTAACACTACTGAACGCAGGATGCCCGTAGTGCTTCGTTCACAGGTTTATATCTTCACAAGAACCGGGTACCAATTGAAGAAGTACCTTTAATCATCCAGTGGGCCGCCACATTTACTCGTTCCAGATTCGATATAGGCGAGGGAGTAACCTATGTTTTGGACTGTCCCATGTTGGAGTGTTGGTTGCTAATCCACAAGGACACCCTCAAACATATCACTTTAGGCCATCTCTCAAAATAAGCTCACCACCAAATATTCAACACCACAGTACTCCTGCGTCTAGATTATCTGAAGATTTCAAGATACTCGACGCAGAATCACTCCGCCAAATTTCGCGCCCACAATCCCAATCTTCTTGGCCCAGATCACAAATATTTCTGCTGGACTTCATCAGTGAGTATTATACAATGAACATGACTTGCGTGTGTTCGGGGGGAAAGGGGCTCTCTGAGTCGAGAATCTCGTGCGGGGGGCTATCAATCGCGGCGCCGCTCTCCAGACATTCTGTATATGTTTCAGTCCCACCCTTGCGCATCTCACCGAGGCCACGGGATACCCATGGGATAGGATGGATGTATTCAGACCCATAGCTATGAATTTGGTATACAAGAGATCATGTATATCAAAAAGGAAGTACCCAAAACACCTAAGGGAGAGGAAGAGGCAGAGGGAAAGGAGGAGGGAGAGGGAGAGACTTGCTGAAGGTCAAAGTGATTCTGCAGATAACTGGGGAGGGATATCGTATTAGGATAATCTTGTAGATTATTATGATATCTGATATCTCAGGGATAGTTTCTTTGAAGACCTGGTATCCAGGCCAATCGCATGAGTGTATGAGCGAAAATTACAGCGACCTCCGTCTGTAAATTTGCGACATTGAAACGCCAACATCTAGTCACTTGCAAGGGGCGTTGTCTTAGCACTATTTTACTTAGACACACCCCGCCAGCAAGAAGTCGGCCAACAATGTCATCTTTTTGTAATATCCTTGGTGGCCCTATACCGCGATGCGGCCCGTTCTTACTCGATCGGGTATGCTGTGCGTCGGCCATGCAAGCGCGATCCATTAGTCCGATCTGGCGCCATCACCGCGGTCTCAAGCGACGCGATCCAGATGCAGTATTTCGAACGAAGGATCCGGGTAGCATCTGCAACCGTGCGAGCAAGATGGTTAAATGCTTATAATTCCCCAAGACCATAGCGCGAAGCTTCATCATCCCTCAGATCGCGACGTCCAAACATGCGTCTACATAGATCGGCCCTGGCGTTGCTTGCACCAAGCGCACTTGCGCAAATCGTCACTGTATCCAACGGGACCATTCATGGCGGATCGTGTCCATCTTCAGCTGCGATTTATTACCGTGCCATCCCGTTCGCACAGCCTCCTCTAGGGCCTCTCCGCTTTGCCGCGCCTCAACCTTTCAACCAAAAGTTCAATGGATCCCTAGACGGGACCAAAAATGCACCTACTTGTATCCAGTTCGGTAGCGATTTCCTTGAACCTCAGCCTTGGTCGGAGGACTGCTTATTCCTCAATGTTTGGGCACCCAAGAACGCGAGCTCTATTTCGAAGCTGCCGGTGAAGGTATGGATATATGGCGGCAGCAATACAGCCGGGGGAATCAGTGATCCACTTTATGATGGATGCAACTCTGCTGTCGATTCCATCGTCGTGTCCATCAACTATCGACTAGGTCCTCTCGGGTTCTTAGGGCTGGAAGATGCGGGTTTGTCGGGTAATTACGCAGTACAGGACTTGCTTCTCGGTCTTCGATGGGTGCAGGAGAATATTGAGGCTTTTGGTGGTGATGCCGTAAGTTGATATTTCTCGAAAGTGAAGAGCGAAAACTGACGGAGAACAGTCCAAAGTGCTCCTATTCGGACAATCCGCAGGCGCCGGACTGGCTGTCGTCATCAGCACTCTTCCAGAAGCTCCTTCACTCATAAGTTCCGTAGCAGCAGAGTCAGGAGGAGGAAGAAGCTCAGCTCCCTACGCCGAAGCCCAGCCTTACTTCAGAGAGTTCGTCATAAACCTAGGCTGCGCTCTCAATGATCTGCAATGTGTGCGTTCGAAGTCACCAGAAGAACTCAACGCTGCATTCCCTTCAGAGCCATCAGCCACCATCACGCTCACTTACGCAAAGGGTTTCGCGCCAATCATTGATGGCAGAATTGTGCTAGAAGACCCGGCAGCAGTAGGCAGTCGCGTCCCTGCCATCTTTGGTTCCACGACCGCAGATGGTTCATCGTTCGTCTTGGGCGCCTATCAGAACAATTTCCCGCCAACGGAAGCTATTTACACAAGCTTTGTCGATTCTAACTTCGGTCCATATGCATCAACAGTGAAGGCATACTATCCAGTATCGCGATTTGCGAACATCTCCTCTGCCGCACTCGCTCCATACTTCGCCATGACAGCAATCTGGACCCACTCATCATACACCTGCTCCGCACAGCGAGGTCTCAAGAAAGCGACAGAAAATGGTGTTCCCGCATATGCCTATTCATGGGGCGTAGCTCCAAGCTGTCCCTGGTCTTCGCAGTTCAATGGCGTTGGATCCCAGGTTCTCCAGCTTTTGAGCGTGACGCACTCTTCCGAGATTCCCTTCGTTTTCCGGAACACAGAACATCTGCCTTTACCCAATGGCACATGCAGCCTCTCGAACACGGAGAATACCATTGGTGACGCTGTTTCAAGTGCGTGGGCAGCGATGGCAAGCGGGCAGAGTCCGAACACCCCGCTGATTTCGGATACTTGGCCGACCTTTAGCAGTAATGGAACGAAGGGACTCATCGCGACGGCAAAAGGAGTGACTATTGGAGATATCGATTACAGTTTCTGCAAGCTATGGGATGCTATTACGGCGGCTACGTTGGCTACTGGGACTTAAGCTCGTCAAATCATGCTTGAGGCCCAGCTGCGAGCTCCGAGAATATCATAGGAAGTCAAGTTGAGAAGCGCCCAAACCTATCACTATTATCATTTAGAGACTCTTGATGATCTGCATTCAATGGCTTCCGCGCGTGCGGCGACCTCGGCATCGAGAAAATATGCTATGCGTCTTCGGTCAATGCTATCGGTCTTGCGTATGCCAACCTACCGCTGAAGTTCAAGTACTTTCCGATCGATCAAGAGTATCCACCGAATCCCACTGATGCCTACGCGCTCGCCAAGATCGAAGCGGAGATGCAGGCAAAAGCGTTCGTGAACTGGTTGCCCGCTACGAAGATCGCGTGTCTCCGTATTCACCAGGTGGCACCGAAGAAGGATATCCAAAAGGAGTATGAGGAGAACTGGGACACTGCGGCTGTAGGGCAGCTTTGGGCGTGGGTGGATCCCACGGAGGTGGCACGGGCATCTCTTTTGAGTGTGGAGAAAGCAGATTCGTATGAAGGATGCGAAGTGATAAATATCGTGGCACCAGAGAGACACAGGAGATGGCTTCGGCGGAGCTAGCGAAGAAGTATTACCCGGAAGCGGAGGTAAGGTCGGGCTTAGAGGAGAACAGAGGGTTCTGGACAACTGATAAGCCCAAAAGGGTGTTGGGTTGGAAGCATGAGGAGAAGGAGTAGGATGCATCGAGAAGGTACACAGTGAAGAGCCACGGGCAAGGAATTGAACACATGACGAGTATACACTTTACGAAAGAGACACCGATCACTTGTCTAATATTACAACGTTAGTTGGTACATGATGCAACTTGGAATCCACATGTAATTGCTGATCACCTAATAAGCAGTGATTGAGGGAAACCATAAATGGTGCTGACGTCACAGTCTTACAATAATAATTCAAATGCTGTTGAACTCTGCGACAACTCGCAACATAATCGCGCTGAATCCGCACTGTGGCTATTTGTTAAGGCATTTCCATTGGAAAAGGCGATCGCATGCATTGGCGGAATGTCCTCAACATCCACGGAACGGACTTGGTCGCCAGTCCTTATTCATTGAAGCGATTGAAAGTAGGCTCTTCGTCTTGATCCTTCGCACAACGAATTTCCACAGAAAATTCAGGTCCGTGCAAGTTAACAACGAACCGACAGCTGCGAACTGATGGAGCGCTTGTCGCACGAGCTCTGTCACCTATACGAGACAAGAAAGAAAAGGAAACCGCAGCGCAATACTCGGCAGCTTGGTACGCATCTTACAGAGTTTGGATCTAGCTGCGCCCTATTATGTATCAGAAATGATCGCTATGGCCCTTTTGCGAGTTGGTTCACAATCGCATTGTCGCACCTCAAGTTATTATATGCGGCGGTTCATGATGGCATAGCTGGTGTCGATGTCAATAACAGCTACGCCATCGTCGAACTTTGGAGCAATCTTTCGACACCTCGAGACTTGAACCAACCTCTTGGTTGGGCTTGCATTTACTCGCACACCATTTCCCTCGAGTGAACGGTCAGTTAACGGTGAGTGCACGGACATCTCCCACCATTCATCGCCTTGGCGCCCCTTCGACAATAGCAGTGAGGTATTCACTTTCATCGCTCGCCGCTCAGCACTCCAAACAGGGTGGCTGGTATTGTCGTTTGACGCACAATCAGCGCCCCAAAAGCTGTTCAAAAGCCCCTTATACCTCGCGCTCCAGACATCTTCTCTTCTCCAGCACACTTCTCTTCGACGCTATAGCGACAATTGGTTTTTCCGCTTCTTTACGAGTACCTTGACGGTATCAATTTGCGTCTATTTACGCTGGGCGTTATCAGTTGAGCTGCGCTCACATAATTATCTGCTTTGGACATGTCCGTCTACAACCACAACAACTTCAATGACCTGCGCCCCTTCGGTGACGATGGTTCCGGTCCAGCTTACAACGACAATCCTTCTGAGGAGTTCGACTTTAACAATTACTACCCAGCCGCTGGCGGCTCCAACGCGCTTCCTTCCTCGCGTCAGGACAATGGTGGGTGTATGCCCGTGTCGTACAAGCACCAAGACTCTAACTCGTGGCTAGGTACTGCTGGTCAGTATCCCGACGGAGACTCAAATCGATTCTCTCCTCGCGATCACGACAATCTTGACCTCTACCGAGATGATTCACTCCAATCTCCCGAGGCTGGTCCCAGCAACGTTTGCTCCTCATCAGCTCAACCCTGCCAAAGCAGTCCTCGCGGCGACCCCTCCACCGTGCCAAGCAGCCCGACCAGCCCCAGGCAGGAGCTCAGCGCGCGCGCCCGTCGTGTCTACGACAAGTTGCCGGAGCACAGGAAAGAGACTGTCGGCTGGCACCCTCAGCTCAATCGCATGCTTTCAGACCACCCTCACTTCATCCCTACTTTCAACTTCGACTCCGCCATGAGCATGACCGCGAGGGACGTGGTGAATCCCGTTGCTGGCGAGTTTCCTGCTGCAGTCGTCATGGATGACGAACTTGCAGAGCTTCGACTTTACTATGAGCAGTGGGTTGATTTCAACACCCTCACTGTCGAGCAGCTAGCTGGTCTCGGGCACGGCTTTCTCGACCAGCTCGCGGCGGAACCAAAGATCGTCAACCTCCTTGAGCAGTACCGCTACGAGCCTCTTGTCGCTGGCGAGACCATCGAGCAAATTCTCCCAAACGTGGGCAAGTCGCTCAACGAGGCCCCCGGCTTGCTCGATTACTACCAGATTCCTCTCCGCAAGGGCGAAGACGAAGGCGAGTCCGACGAAGAGGACGCCGAGATGGGCGACGAAGAAGAAGGAGAAGACGCCGAGGACTCCAAGGACAAAGGCAAGAAGAGCGAGCGCAAGTACCTCCCGCGCCGCGTCCAATACCGCCCCTACCGCTACATGTTCAAGTCCTCCGCCGAAGCGCGCGCGCACCGCACCAAAGTGCGGCACCCGGCCAAAATCGCAAAGGACATCGAGCGCGTCGAGCAATACGGACGGTACTACTGGACACGCCGGATCTACGAGTCCATAATCAACGTCGACCTGATCTTCGACAACAAAACCTCCGTCATCGCGACCAACTTCAGCAAACTGCACCACTTCGACGAAGACGACCTGGAAGCGACCGCGCACCACATCTTCGACGAGTGCATCACCGTCCACCGCAAGGGCTGGGTCGGGCACGACTACAACCGGCACGACTACAAGCGCGGCAAGTGCAAGGACGTGTTCGCCGACAGCGTCGAGGGCCGCCTCGAGCGCATCTGCGGCATCCTCAAGCACAGCAAGGCCATCGCCAACGACTGCATCGTCGGCGGCAACGACCTGCTCATGCAGACCGTGGACAACCCCATCCACCGCGCGTCGACCAAGACGGCCAACAACAAGGGCAACATGGAGCGCGCGGAGCGCCTGAGGAAGCAGGAGACGGATCGCCAGCGGGAGAAGAGGCTTGCGCGGGAGGCGGCGCAGGCCCAGAAGAAGGAACAGAAGCGCATCGAGAAGGAGAAGAAGGAGGCGGAGAAGCAGGCGGAGAAGGACCGCAAGGCTGCGGAGCGGAAGGCGGAGCAGGAGAGGAAGGCGACGCAGCGGGAGGCGGAGAGGCAGAGGAAGGCGGCCGAGCGGGAGCACGAGAAGCAGCGAAAGGCCGCTGAGAGGGCGCAAGCTGCTGCTGATCGCAGGAGGCGTTAGGTGGGAGCTTGGTTGGAGATGGGGTGGCCATGTTGAGATTGGTCCGCTTGAGGGAGAGCAGTTTTGCACTCGTTGGTCGGTCGCCATCGTTTGACGGCAATGAGCTTGTCCCTGGTGGATACGTATCTCAGTCATCACAGGTGCTTCATGAGGTGCTTCTGGCATTACTACTTCGTCGAGAGCAGAGTAAGAATCAAAATATCAAAACCCAGTCTCGTCTACATGTGCTTACATGGTGTCTGTCTCATTGTCGTGAGAAAGGAGCACGGATGCTAGGTACTACGTCGGACATGAATCTTCTGGAAGCATGTCCAAGTCCAGTCGTACATAGCGCACATGTATTGCAGATAGTGAATCGTCAACGGGACAAGCTGGATCCGATCCTGGATTCGAAGGTCGAAACTGGGCCATATAGCTTGCCTTTCTGTTAAGAGCGTTACGAGATCTTGTCCAATAGACTAAAAGGTACGTGGCTCGATAAGGACTGCTGTCAGAACTAAGAATGCGGGGGCAGGGGCTCCGTTCGATTCACTGCATGGCATTGGCGCGCTGCGTGTGTCCGTGGGGGAGTTGCAAAGCTCCTCGAAACTTGTCGACGCTTGGCTGTGAATTGGATCTGGGTGTTGGCAAGTCTGAGATCCCGGCCTTTGCCGTGGACTTCATGACGCCATTGCGCTTTCGCCCGCGCAATGGGGACACAGAACAGACCGAAGAGACATCAAACCGCGCATTATCTACTCTGGAACATCCGCTCATATTCTGCCGAGCGCGGAATACTCGTGGAAGCCTCGCTCGCGGCAGCGATTTTCGTAGTGAACAAGGTAGCTCGCTGGGGTACCCAAACTTTACGCCTACAACATAGGCGACGACATTCTTATCCGCTGTTCGGCGTCTTCGAACCACCGTTGACCTGGGAGCGTGGTGTGCTTCGCGCAGTATGGCTTAGGTGATCTGTGACGGTACTCCCTCGACAGGGCTGATGCAAGTGCACCATCTGATATCACCAACAAGGCTGACTACATTCAACACCAGATTCTTCAACACCAGATTCCAAATACTACTCCCAAACAGATAGTCTACGCGGAAGCAATCGAGATCAGGGCTGCAATCGGTGTTCCCGCTGTATATGCAGGTGAGAGAGGACCCGAGCTGCATAATTAGCTCTACATGATATTCTCCTCATTCGTCACTCCTCTTTCCGGTTTGGGAAAAGTATCGCAATCCTGGTTGTGCTGTGTATACTACGCGAGTGAACAACACTACCGTACGCTGACTGTAGCCGTGCGCTGGATCTTGCCAACGCAAGCATACGCATGTTCATACAGTATAAGCTCAGACAGTAATCGAGGGAGTCAGGCCAAGGCTTGTGAGCTCGAGGTACAGGATCACTCTGAGGGAATACTGCCAAGTGCCCAAGACATGCCGAACTAGGTCACTGCTGAAGGTAAGGTGTGCGAAGTATGATGGAAAACCAGACCGCCATACTACTGTGGGAGATTTTCTGTACGCTCCGAGACGCCAGCCCGGGTCGTAAAGTCGATTGCAACCACGGTAGCAGTAGGGCTCAAAGTCTCGAGACACAAGTGGCGGAGCATGTAACCCCTTGCCATGGTACGATGGACGATCTCGGCAAAGTTCCGAAGCTTAGTGTGAACCTCTGTGCAACAGCTTCACGAGGTACCTCATACAACTCCTCAAGTGCTGTGTGCATGCCGATGTGGGACTGTTCAGCGATGCCACGATTTAGAAAGAGCACTGTTGCACGACCCAGACTTATGGTGATCTGGGCCCGTTGCTTGGACCACAGCTGATATGTACGTAGTAGCTGAATGGCGGAATGGCGGGGCCGACCCGTGACGACAATGTCATAGGCGGCTGTGGCTTGACGCCGGGCGTGGCTGGTTCGAGCAAGTTATCACAAGCCCGAAGTGGATTAGTTTGCCTTTGGGTATCACACCTACTGCAACTGCAGAGTAGTCACTCTTTCGTCTCGCTCTTCCTGCCGTTGCTGAAGCCGTTTCTTAAGTTAAGACAGAGATGTCGGATAAGGAATTTCCACGGCGAGGAAGCTTTAGGCTATTCTCCACCAATGGACGTGGGATCCTGCAGGGCCTTCGATGGCGCACTACACGAAGAGTTGCCTGGAACGGGAAGAGGAGAGAGTGGAGAGAACCGGAGGATAATTCTGCTCGCTTCGCCGGTACTGTGCACCGGCGGTGATTATTGGCCAGCGCTGGGCCTGAGTTGACTCACCAATGGGAATCCATCCCCAGAGAGCTAGGCCAGACAAGCTGGATATCTAACGGTAAGAAAACACTGCAAGCTCCGATCGAGGGAAATTAATACGGTTGTACCTGAAAACCTGGCCTGGACAGACATGATTGGCGGGTCAGGACTCAGTTTGGAACCCACGCAAGCTAGCGCTGACGACAGCTGTAGCTTTGGGAACAGGACGTCGATCCGACTCCATGGCCTACGGCTTTGCAAAGGAGATTGAAGATTAACAGCGGATGTCGAGCTTGAAATCACCATAGCGTGGAGCTAGCTGCTTCGCTGTTTTGTCCGCAGACAGAAGATGAGGTGGAGCTTGCTCGCCTAAATGCAAGATCGCCAACAGGGTCTTGGATGATCGCTGAGGAGATTCCAGCTGGCGTGGCCGTTGCAGACACTCGCCCCGACAAGCGGCCGCGTCCGCCGCCCTAGCAGCGCAAAGGCACGTGGGTGGTGACAGCTGAGGGGCTTTGTTCACAATGAGTTTGCCATATGCATGCCTAGAGCGTGAGGGAGGAATCCAAGCGTGCTTGTATCGCAATCTGCAGAGCCGCTTTCATTAACCGCGAGTGCCACTACTTGGACGAGGCGAGATGCTTTCGAAGCTGCAGTCAGCAAGATGCACACGTCAATGCGAAGTGAGGAGCATTAGGGTTTGGTATTCAGCTAAGCACCCTAAGCACCCATACTGTCGCCTGTGAAGGGCTGCAGGACCGGCGCAGCGACAGGCGCCGTTCCTTCCCATGAGTGAGGGGCATGGAGAAAGTGCCAGTAGCGAAGGACGTGGTGTGGCTGCTCCTCGCACGCACCGGCCCTGCACCAGGTACGCCATGTCTCGCGGCGCAGGTGTCGAAAAGGCGGCAGCATTGTTTGCCATGCACGACGACATAGAGCAGGCGTACTAAGCAGCGAGCGTTGCAGCGTTGGTACCGCCCCAAGCTGTTCTCCCTCACCCGCGCTGTGCTGGGGTGGGATTGGGCATGGGTGCCATAGCGGCCGGGTCGCCGAACAGACCGAGTGCATCCCACATCTGAGGTCGCGCAGCCGGAGCCCATGGCCCAGATCTCAGCCTGTATTGAAATACTCCCACGCCCGCTGATCCCAGGCTCGCGTTGCTGGCTCTAGCTCCCCACGACAACCCGTCACAGGTCGCTTGCACGGTGAATGTCGCTCCATCTCTTGTACCACCTGTGATCTCGTCCACGCCCACCCTCCGCCATGGACTACTCGTACTTCGGCGCCCAGCCGCAGCCCTATTTTATGGGCATGCCCAACAACGGCTTTGCCCATAACGTCGACCCCGAGACCATTCGCAGCATTGTAAGTACCAACCCCGAGCTGGCGATGGGACCCCGCACTGGCTGTTAGTGCTTGGCTAATGGCCTGCATAGGAGCCCTTGGAGGCCGGTTTCCTGTCTGGCCCCTACGATGCCTTCTCTTTCAGCCACAGCCTGCCGACGACGCACGGCTCGCCGGACCCAGTGATAGCAGCAACGCCGATGCAGGTCGGCAGCGTAGACAGCGGGATCGGCGGTGAAGTCGAGGACAGCCGGGCGAGCAGGACGCGGAGCAGCAGCGAGGAGAAGGAGACAGGCCTGACGCCAGCGCAAAGCAGGCGGAAGGCGCAGAACCGAGCAGCGTACGTTGCACTCGCCCTGTCTGTTGTGTGTTGGAAAGGAACGCTTGGAGACTGACTCCTTCCCTAGCCAGCGCGCCTTCCGCGAGCGCAAAGAACGGCATGTGCGCGACCTCGAGGCGAAGCTGTCGGCGCTCGAGTCCAGCACGCACTCGCTGCAGTCGGACAATGAGCGCCTGAAGCTCGCTCTTCAGCGCGCCCGCACCGAGAACGAGATCCTCCGGGCCACCACCGGCGGGTCGCCGACCTCCTCACGACCCGTCTCTGCGAGCTATCCTTCCCCGGGCGCCCACCTTCTAGACGAGGGTGACGATGCCTACAATGTGCAAGAGCTGTCCAACGGAAGCGTGGTAAATAGCGCTGATAAGGACCATGCCGCCTTGCGCAAGAAAAACAAGAGCCGCGAGATCCCGGCTGCGCAGACATGGGACTTCATCCAGTCACATCCTCTGGTCAAGCAGGGCCTCGTCGACATAGCCGACGTCTGCGAACGGCTCAAGGGTGCCGCAAGATGCGACGGCAATGGGCCCGTCTTCGAGGAGACCATTGTGTGGGCAGCCATTGAGAGCTCACGAAGGAGCGGTGGCGACGAACTGATTTGATCCTCACTCTGACTACACCCAAAGCGCTGGGCAGCAGAGCTGGACCGTGTTTTCCTTTACCTTATACCCGTTCATGACTATACTTTCGAAGCGTCCACGGTCGGACGGCTTTTGATGATGGCGTTTCACGGATTTGATGATTCGGATTCAAACAAGCATTACACCGGATCTAGGAGACTGGGAGTCCTTTAAGAAGGGCCTGGAAAAGTCATATCGCTACGACGCATTGTCTGCACAACCCCTACTGATGTCCATGCACATCTGTACCACATCCTTCAATGCTGGACACTTTCACACTTTCAGATAACATCAGAGCATCTAATGCATCTTCAAACAATCCAAGCTCCTAAAAAACACGGCTCTAGTACGATAGGCAAAGTGCAGTGTGTGAGGTCGTATACTTCGTTGGGCACTCGTCGTCATGGTACAGCACTCAACACGTTTTCACATGCGGCCAGCCCCTCGTCATGTCGCCCAAGAAGTATCAAGCCGTCACTACTAGTGCACCCCGCAAAGCACCGCCGGACTTCAGCGCCTTGTTCCTGTGCTTGAAGACATTATCATTTCATATTTCATATGCTGGACGAGGCGGGGATGTGCCGACGTGAGCAGCGCGACTCAGCTCACATATCTCAATCACCCAAAAGGCTAACTGCCCCTCTTTGCGGCCAGACTTACGGCCCTCATGGCGCCCATCATCAAGTCTTATCTTCCTAGAATCTAGAGCTAGCGGAAATCGCTTTGAATGGTATATCCCTCGCCCACTAACGTTTGAGTGGTCTCGTCAGGTCAGGCATGTTGATCTGAGAACCGGAGCATGCTGTAGCCGTCAAGCACGTGGGAAGAACTTAATGGCGTGCCTATGGTTCCTCCACTTTGACTCACAATGCTGGGACAGTCGCTGCGCATTGAGATGCAGGGCGGCATTTACTCAGTTAGTAGGCAATCGGCTGTCTCTACTCTAGTCTGGGAAGGAGCTTGTCTCCTAATTTTTGGGCGAGTGGATGCGTTCATGTATAGTATTGGTCAGACGGTCGCCGAAGAAGCGTTGGCGAACGAACAACCATCCGGAGACTTTTTGATGGCAGAGCTGAGGCGTCATTTGGTCTTGCAGCTCCAGCAGATTGCAAATGCAAAGATTGGACTGACATGAGGACTGGAAGCCACCTGATAAGGAATTTTCCATAACCACGAGCGGAAAAGATTCAGGCACGCAAGCGGTATCATAGCTAACGCTCTGATAAAGCTTGAGCAGATAGCGGTCGACATTGAGCGCTGAGTGCGGACCTGTTCCATGCCACCACTCAACGACTTTCTGAGCAAACGTTACATAGTGAAGTTTGAACACGCAGGGGGGGGCAAGTGTCTTCTATGCTGTCAAGTATACTGCGTATCTAAAACTCGATCATGCATATATGAGGGCGTGAAACCCGCTATGGATAAGGCGTTTGTGTTCCTGGAAGTAGAGTGAGTGTTGCTAGCCGCATAAGGCTAACATGATCGAATCACTCGCTACCATAACTTGGTTGTGGATGAGTGATGCCTAGGTACTTTGCCTTTGATGCTTACGATATACAACGTTGTCAGGCAATTTCTCCGCGACATGGCCTTTATAACCGCGGGGTGTAAGCGCGCTACTTGACCCAAAGGCAGTGAAGGTTCCGTCGCCTACAGATGTCAATGAATGCCTCCCACACAGCTTAAACGCGGCATAGCTTTTGGGCGTAAAATCATTCGAACCGCAGCCGTGCTCTATCCTATCAATCTTTTTGCCTCGGCGGTCGGGTCGTCCGTGGCAATCTCCCTGCTACAGGGGCGCCCCAGGCGCTGGTAGAGAAGGGATGATCCTCAGGTAGATCGGTGTTATCGTTTCGGCTGCGCGAATTGCGCGAGGGTAGGTGACATGGCGAGGGCTCACCGCTCAGTGCCACATCCCGTCTCAACTTCGGAGGCCGTCCAGAATACACTGAAAGGACCCGTGGGTCGAAGCGAATGACGCTTTGGGCCTTGCGCAGAAACCGACTAAGGTGGAAAAGCGTACATCGATCGCGTCTCTAGCCCGCATTTTGGGCTTTGTTTCTCAAAACGCTCTGATGTGCATACAAACGATGTTGATGTCGTTGGTATGGAGCCAAAGGATGGCCTCGTGCATCTTAGCGAGAACGCTTGCCGGATAAACCCTGTTGCTCCTTGAGATGATGATCCTTCAGACCCCTTCTTGGGCCAGAGTCAGCAGCTCGTGCGGGATGTCAGCTCAGCAAAATTTACGTGCAGCGACTTAAGTAATCCGGTGCGCGCCAGGGTGGGAGTTATGTAAACCCTCCCCCGGTCAAAGGCAACACAAGTCAGCACGCGGGGTCGCGAACTGGACTGGTCATTCGCTGACGGCTGCATAATGGTGGGGCTTGACTGTGACGTTTCATCCATCGTATGTTCAGTGCATTTGAATCTGCATCTATACACATCTCCTGTGTGGTTGCCCCCTCGATCCACCCTGTTCGAGTGGTCGCTGTCCGCGTTGTTGTCCGTCAGCAGCCGGCCTATTCTATTGAAGTACCGGCATGTTGAAGCTGCTTCGGAGTCGGACTACCGCGTAGAACTTTCTGTTCTGACTTGTTCCGAAACTGCAGCGAGTCGGGAATAGTGTGAACATAACCCGAAGTTCACCGCGAAGCTGTGGACGCCGTATGACTGCCTCAGTCCCAGTCGCTGTCGTCCGGGTCCACAGCTGATTGGCGTATCTTGCTCGTACTAGCGTCGGCATCAGCATCAGCCTTATTGCGCCGCAGACGTGCATCCCCAATGCGCACTGCGCCAATATCCACCAATAATTGTTCCACATCTGTATCAAATCGTAAAGTTAGCAAAAACTCGCAAACGAACTTATGACCATGCGTTTGGGCGCTGATTGCGGACCAGTACACTTGTAGCCTGTGTAAAGCAAAGCAAGTGTAGCATAGGGCCAGAATACAATAGCGGGGAGTTTCAGGCGAACAAGCGCGTACCTTGTGCATTGGTGCGTGTCCCACGCAGCTCACGCAACGTCACCAGCTGCCTTTTGATGTCACCGTCCTTGTAGATGAGTACCGTCGGAGTGTTTTTCTCGGGGTAGCCCTCGATGCATAGGTCCGCACGCATCTGACAGAACTTGACGTCGCCAAAGCGCTGCGCAAGCTCCCGCCAGATGTCGATCATGATTCGAGACTCGCCGTTGGTGCCATGAGACGAAGTCAGGAGCACCAATATGTAGGCCTTGCTGGAGGCCTCAGTGACGTCTCGCGAGTAGTCAGGCTTTTGAAGATGATAGACCTGGTTGTACACGGAAGCAGCATTAATCGTCGATAGCTCTTGCATACGCTTGTTCCTATCATACGTTAGATACGCCGTGCTACGCAACGCTCACGGGTGCTAGCCAAGTACCGGTAGTGCTCGAGGAAGTCGTCGTCCTCATCATCCTCAAGCTCCGCAAGCTCGTCCAGATCCTTCCCCTCCAGTCTGTTCTCATGTGCTAGTCTGCGTGCCTCCTCGAGGGCTTCCTGGATCATAGGCGTCGGCGACGGAGGCTTCTCGGGAATAACGCCGTGCTTGCGGAGGATGTCATTCCTTGTCTTGTCAGTCCGCACATGGTGGCCAGCGCGGAAAGCAGCGGCTCACCATTCTGTATCCGCGTTGGGGTCGTCCACGGGCACATTGACGGGCATATCCGGCATCTGCATGGTTGCGGATTGGTACTGGAAGCGGCAGGCGCGAGGGCGGGTCGTGTAGCAGGTGGTCTAGCGCGAGGACGGGTTCCGAGAAGGCACAGGTCGCAGACGTGTGCCGTACTGCAATTTGATATTCGCCGCTGGTGCTGTTGCCTGTATGTGAGACTGACGACGACGGAAGCCTGAGGTTGTCGTAAGAAATTGCGCGCCTCGGTCGCGCCTGCCACTGCACCCCTGCAGATCTTTCTTCACCCCGCCCCCGCCTTACGTCACCCATCGCCTTGGAGAGTCGAACAACGCCACGCCTCATACAACAAAATACAAGTATATGTGTTGGAAAATTTATACATCCTGACCAGTTGCGGAATCGTAGCGTAGGGCTGAACTGCACCACAAGGCTGCATCGACTTGGAAAGGTCGGTTGCCGATTCGCGCAGCTGTGCCGCTTTCATCCCTACGTACCATCACACCAGCAGCCAGAAGATGCGCACAAGGAGCTCGCCCTCGTCCAATCCTCTGCCTTGTGTCATTGAAACTTGTTATCGCCTTATGTGAACAGATAAGACAGCGTCGTTGCTAGTTCGGCTCGAGCCGGAAATCTGGATGTCTAGTCGTCGAAGATTCAACGATTCCGTACAGATCCCATGCACTTAGTCACGCCCGTTTACTTACATTACGACCTTTTCACACTTGAGTCTGCAGCATCGTCTAGGTAAAGCACAAAGTTGGCACATCTGTTATGACTTCTTGGTGTCAGGGCTGTTGCCTTACAAGCAGCCTTGGAGGCCTCAGGGTACTGCATCCATCAGCTTGGGGGGCAACCGCGATAACGTCGAATCGCAAGCTTTCGCGCCGTTCTTTCTAAGCGAGGTCAAGAAGAGGCTTGCACGGGAAACGCAGGGACTCATTGCAAGGCTTCGAGCCTTTGTCTGAGGACCCCTGTCAGCTGTCAATTGTTCGGAAACCGAACACTAGTTCGTGGAAGCTACTCAGGAATCCAATAGCGGTGGTGCACGAAGCGACCCCTCACATGAGAACGAGCTCTGGACACCTTGAACGGCTGGAACGCCTGAAGGGCCTTTCTGAAGCGAGGCAAGGCCAAATCGCTTGTAGAAATGATAACCTCGGGACAACAGCAGGCTACACGAGATGTCGTAAAGACAGCTGACAAAAAAATACGCAAGCCACGCGTATTTGAATACGTTTTCATCAGATGGGGGGAATAGCTTCTCAGCTATGCTCATCTGGCCCGCTCCATGAACCCCAGCACCTTATTCGGCATGCTCAAGAATGGACTACGTGCCGCTGCGCACGTCTCCCCACAATCTCCACACCTAGCTCCCTGACCTTCTCCACCATCTGTTTCTGCACCTCCAACCCAACGCCGCGTCGTTAGCAGAGAACAGATACGTAACCGGATGGTGAAGACACGCCGCGTAATTAATCGGCGTAGTTTGCGTATGCACCACGTTAGGCAGCAGCATCCCAATCCGCTTTTGCTGCTCTTGCGCTGTGCGATCGTTGTAGAAGCGGTCCGCGGGGTTAGTCACGGTGCACATTTTCTGATCCTGGGTTTGTTAGTAGATTGCATCTGTACGTATGTGTATGACAGCGTACATCAACATTATAAACGACGGTAAAGCATCGTCCTCGCCAATACCAAAAGCACCCATAAGACTCTGGCCCTCCTCTAGCCAGCTCAGAAGTAATGCACTCCTCATCTTTGGCCAGACCGATGGTGAGCAAGCTCTGCGTGCTAGGCTGAGAAAGGCAGGTTGTGACATAGCCCGCTTTCTCGAAGATGGCGCGGACGGGAGCGAAGTGCGCGGGTGTATGTCAGGAGCCGTGAATAAATTGGACTGTTTGGTTTAGTTGTTGCGCTGGGTGTTCCTATGAGGAGACGGTATAGTAGTGGAGTCGATAATGATCGCATTCAACGGCAAACTCCAGAAACCAATGTCCACGCCCTGATTTCTTTACACGGGTAATTCTTCACGACTCTCTTGTAAATATTCAGTCCCAAACACCTTTACTGCTTCTAGACAAAGCCTACTGGTCGCGGTCCATTCGTCTTTCCATCCGCTCCAAGATGCGACATAGCGCCATTTCATTGCCTCTAAAATCTGACCGTGAGGTTACTACCCGGAACGCCTCATTAACCTATATTAGAAGTCGTTTCGTATGTTTCTTCGAGGGAAGAACCGAGTGCCGGTTGTGGAACTGGCCGTTGAACTTCTTAGATCTGTCTATGTCTTGAGCGTTATTATACCAAAACCTGTATCCTTGCTGCCCATGCTGCTGCCTGTATGAATCGGAAGCCCCCTTGGTCTGTGCTGAGGAGTATTCCAGTACCCTTTCCCAAGGTACTATGTTTCCACGGTCTTCAAAGGTAGGGGGCACTCGACAAATTAATTAATGCAAACAATCTGTGAGAGACTTATCATAAGTTCGCATAGATACATAAGGGCCCATGACCTGGGCAATTTGACATAGGCCTAAAATTACGGCTCCTCGAATCATTCAGACGGTCGGCGACGTACTCCCTTCCAATCTTCAGGAAGAAAGGGAGGCAAGGCTCTATAGGGGCTAGGTCCTGCGATTGAAGACCGTTTGCCACCCTCTATAAGCTCAACCTCCGTTTTCACGATCCCCTGTCGCTCAGAACCCTCTGATGTGTTTGATGCGGGACTCTCGCAGCCCACTTGTGACTCTCTCTTTCTTAGGCTAGTTAATGATGATCGTACTATATAGGCCTGGTCGTAGGGCGAGGCTGTAGACGTCGCAGAGGCTTCTGATCGCGATTTTCCAACGCTTTTCCCGATCTTATTACTGTATTCTTGGACCATTGACTCATTCATACCAGGCGTGGGGGCCTCCTGCGGCTCAACCGAAGGGCTTCGACTCTTTGACCTGATAGACGTCTCTGGAAGTATTGGATCTATCTGCACGGTCCTCGTTTTTTTGATGTGCTCCGCTTTGTGAGGCCGAATGCGAAGTCCTTGCCTCGCCGATTGATAATATCGAAGCAGCTCTATGCTGTCTTGAGGACTTAGTGACTGTGCACGGACAAAATTGTTGCCATTTGGAGCCGGTGGAGAAGGCCGAGGTGTTTGACGTCCCGGTACCGAAGACCCTGTTCCGGGTGACGAGCTACTTCTTGGAAACTTCGGTGGTCGTTCGTCCGTTGATAGCCCTTGCCAGATCTTCTGATTCTCTTTACGAAGGCTTCTGGTCGCCTTTCGTTCTAACGCACGTGTCTCGACAAGAATCAAGCGCATGCCTGGGATCAATATCGGAGCCGAGTACTGCATTCGGTCGAGGTGCTCAATCAACTGCCTGTGTCTCTCGTCGCTAGTCTTTCTTTGTTCTTTCAGTTGCTGCTGCACGCAACGCCTTCAGCGACTCATATCAGCGAAAATCTATCATAAAAACCGGGGGAAACACATACAATTGACGCTTAAGGTCTTCAGATACCTCTTTTGAAGCACTTTGGAGCTCAAAGATCTCTTTGTGAAGACTCTCGAAAGTATAAAGTGTCATGAATAACTCAACTGTCGACTTTGCGCTGTCAAGAGATAGTCTCAATCCGACCACCGATGGTTTGCGAAAGTACCACCGTAACCGATCCACAGGACTTGTGATACGGGGCGCGTGTGTGGCAGACGTTCTCAAGAATTTGCTCAAAAGTGCGCCAAAGCCATCCTCAACCACCTCGCATTCTTTGATCACCCCTGCAATGTGCAGCTCTCTCTCTCTCCTCATGGGTGATCTCTCCTTCTCCAGCTCTCTTAGACACGATTTTGATATCCTATGAAACCAACGTAGGCTTGCCGAAAAATTGGACAACTCGCGATGGAAGCACTTCACCTCCTGGGGCGCGTAGCGAACGGTGCGAATACATCGCTTGAACTCGGACGATAGGCGCGTCAAGCCATCTGCGATCTGTATTATAGAAGCGAGGAGACCAACTGCACTCAGCGGATCTACCATATCGCCATCAAGGGGGGAAGTAACTATGGGATTAAAAAAAAGGACCAGAGAAGCCGGAGCACGCCTACTTAGTACGTTCCACGCGGGCATATTGCGAGAACATTCTAATTCCGCTGCATGGTTATTGTAGCCTCATTGGATGTATCGATACTGTTCGAGAACCGGTCAGCCAACTTTGGAATTCGCAAGGCGGGGCTTGCAGCAAAAGCAGCAACAGGCATTCTTCGCTCCAATGAGGAGTTACTACCCACCTCCTGTACCTCATGTAATATCGAGGCACAGCAATCTTGCTCCACTACCACATTCGTTCGCTTGTTTGGGAAACGGCCAGAGGGGAGAACGAGTCCGCAAAGCAGAAGTTCGCTCCACTTCGCGTAGAGTCGATATCTCCGCGTACAAACTTCATTTGATGCGCATAGCAGACCTCTACAAGTCTTTTCCGATCGCAGCATTGCGCACCACACGCACGCATCGAAACCTAGCCACACCCAGACACTGTAATTTTCCAGCTTTCGCTTGATAGTGACACATAATGGAAGATTCCATAGCGTGCATGGCTGCACTGCAGAGCTTATCCGCACGACATGACCCAGCTCAATAATTGCTCGCGGCAGCACCTGAGAGCCCACCTCCAAAGCCCACCGACTTGCTTCTTCCCAATAAAGCTTAGAGCGTTGCAACTTAGGTTTTTCCCTTGCCCTACTGGCGTTGCCCAATGACAAAACCTCCAGAGACACAACGGTGCGAATCAGGCATCCTCGATCTTGAATCCGATCATATTCTGGCACCGTTTCATCTAGCTTTAAGCGTCCTCCTCCCCCTACCAATGCACCTTCCACTCCATCAGCCGTTCACCTCCTCCCACTTGCCTCACGCTTTTCTTCTCCATTTTCACAAACATTTGCGGTCCCTTGCTCAAAACTGCATCCCAATCCCTGCGCCATCGCAACTGAATCTAGAATCTGATCATAAGGCTGCTACCTGGGACGCCTCTTAACCTATAACAGTAACTGCTCGTTGTTGTGCTTATCTGAATTAAAGGATTGGTGCATCGAGTCTTGATGTTAGTAGCCGACCTCATGGAGAGGTATGGAGCACACGTTGTCAGACATTGCAAGATATGGGTCTTATATCGAAGAAATTCGAAATGACTGCTATTGCCATAACGAACAAGATCATGCTCACTATTTATTTTATTTATCATGGATTCGGGAATGTATTAGTGCTGTGAATTATAGTGCGCTGGGAGCAAAAGACAAGAGATGTCGATGCTAGCTTCATGAGTGCAAAATGCAAGTCATGCTGGGGAAAAGAAGATACTGGCCAGAGGCTGCCTAAATACTATCGTGAGCAAACTTTAGAAATATCGAAAACCATCTTCAGCCTCGTATTTCCCTTGTTTCTAGTTGCACACAAGGTACCTGGAAAGTGCCGCAACAAGAGTTCGATGTCACAACGACCAGCCCCCTTTTTCTGTTATATACACCTCCCTTCGGGGTTTTATTTTCGGTAGTCGATCGCTTCCCAGAAAAGGACCATGCTAACCCTCGGTGTATCCATCCAGGTAGCTAGTATATGCCACTAAGAGAGACCATAGTCAGGTTCAATGGGTGTTTAGCGATCACTATCCCTGGTCGTCACGCCTACTGCGAGGGCAACCGCTGCGACTTCCGCTTCTAGGGGGAGGACGACTTGGGGTACCACGAGCGCCCTCGCCGCGGCTGTTGCGACTACCCCCGTGGCGATGACAATCGTGACGCGGGCGATCAGAACCAATCGGTGGCTGGGCGGTTCTAGCTGGTGAAGCCATCTCAGTTACGAGCGCAGAGATGCGGTCAATGCCTTCGAGACTAGGCGGAGGCGGGACGTATGCTGATGGCTGACGGGTCTGGGTCGTGGGTGGTTTTGAAGGCTGCCAGAAGCGACGGTCGGCAAGCTGGCGACCATTGGAAGTTGCAGTCTCGTACGGGGATGACTTGTTACCATGTCGCACAGCTTGATGGGTGAGATTGAGGCCGGCTCGCAGCGTATCCTGAACGTAATTGGGCCGCGACTGGGAATCAGGTGGCGGAGGTGCGCTATACTCGCTGTGGAGGCTGGAATTCGAAGCGTGCCAGTGAGGGCCGCGATATGACCACTGATGGCCTCCGAGAATTGCAGAAGGCGGACCAGAAAAGACTCCAGGTGAGGGATGGCCGCGCATTGAGTGAGGTGTAGGCGCCCAATCTAGGAAGAACGGGGGAAGGCTCCCCACGGCATTGTCGAAGCCCTGAGATCCGCAATAACGGAGAGCATTATCTTGAGTTTGCCGCGGAGGTTGGCCTGTAGCGGTCCAGTTCGCGTTTCGTGCTGGGGTGCTTGCCACTGCCTCATCCCGAGACCTGTGCAGATTAATGGAAGTTCTCATTAGTTCGCCCAGATCTCACGTACCAAGTAGGATACTGAACTGCGTGGCCTCGCTGCGCAGCTGCCTCCTGTGCTTCGCGGGCCTGTTGACGCGGTGGAAGCCAGAGACCTCCACGCGTTATGCCTCCGTCGCCTTCCCGATCAGTCGTGGCATGTGTCATCAGAAGAACAGATACAATGATCCGGTTCTGGTATGCCACTTGGTCGCTCACTCCCTGAGAGCGCAACGTCGGGTACATCGGCCGTTGGTCAGAGGTTGGATTGGCGATTGAGTACACTAGTTCATGGATGAACTCAGGAGGGCCTCCGTGGAGGCGGTTCTGCCATCAATTAGCTTGGGGAGATGATGACAGGACCTTGAAAGGCGGACTTACCAGCTCCTCAACTATGCGGCGAGCGAAGTTGAATTCATCGTTAAATTGTCTATCGCCTCCGCCTGCGTCCCTACTATTCATGCGCGTATATGCGCGTAAAAATGGGAGGAGCGAGGTATCATTGAAGGTCTGACCGCTTTGCCAAGGGCTCCCGACAAAATTATTCGCGGGCTCGTGTTTCTCGTTGTACTTGGGCGGCATTTTTGCGGATGTAGTGAGATGTATCGAGCGTAGACTTGAAAACGACTTTTAGTGTAAGGAAGCTGAGGTATGGAAAGTATATGGGTAGACCGACTAAAGAAAAGAAAGAGTTGGTTCGCCGTTGGGAAGGGGCTTGTGGAAGGAATAAGTGTGAGTATATATATCCGCAGCGGGGAAGAATTCGTGGTGACTGAAGACCATAAGTACGTTGACGTTCACGACGGAAAAATGTTTGTCCAGGATCCGTCGAGCTTTTCTGGTGAACGATAATCTCTAGCCTTGTGGGCAAAATGAGCCGCCAAAGAATCAACCAATTCACATGGTGCGACTTGCCTACTTGAGGTTTGGCCCGAAAGACAGGCTGGCGCTGCAACGTCAAGAGCAGGGAGCAAAGACTATGAGACAGGAATTAATGATACTAAGCTGGAATAGCCGCTACCTGTACTGATTAAACCGCAGTTTTGGCTTTGTCTCTTTATCTGCGTCCCTAATTTGGAATGGCTAGCTGCTACCAAATCAAGTATGGCCCAAATGGCCGCGCGATACTTCTTTTTTTTTTTTTTTTTTTGAAGAGATATAGGGTTCTTGGACATTTGAAAATGGCTTGCCCCAGAACTGTGCATTTTTCCTCGTGATGAATTCCATACACAGGTACAAGCTAGTGCTCCTGTGATCAGGAAAGCCCGTGACGCTTCTTGTATGAAACTGACAATATTTTGCTTGGTGAACTTTCCAGATCCAGTATGTCCCGTGCCAGCTCTTCGAATTCTGCCCTGAATTGAAGAGTGCCCAGCCATCGATCAGGAATAGCCTCTAACCCGTCTCTTGCTCCCAGAAGACCACCGGATATAGCGCCATTGGTATCGGTGTCTCCGCCTATCCTGATCACATCCACTAAAACATCTTCAAGCGAACGCGGGTCGAGAAGTGCTGAGATGGCGACGGTCAAACTTTGGAGTACATAACCAGAAGTCATGTCCGGCAGCTCGTCGCTAGGCCCGTCGCTGACAATCCTGGATATGGACATCGTTCTGCCGCGTTCAATTGCTTTCGCAACAGCGTGATGATCCTCCTCAAGCGCTACTTCAATTCCGATGCCCACAGCTGCCTGTGCAGTCTTTCCGTCCAGAAGTGCGGCGACAATCTCGTTGTACGCAGCACATGACACCACGCATCGGTTATCGTTATGCGTGATTGCACTAATCTCTTTGGACTCTTTGATCCTGTCAACTCTGTCATGGGTAAAGAGACCTGTAGGTATGCATCGCATCAAGCTACCGTTACCAGCGCTACCATGACCGGCTCCACACTTGCGTGGATCGCGCAGATCGGAATAATTCAGCAGACCAACGCGAGTCGCGCCGCCAATATCTCTAGGCGGTTGCCCTTTCTTCCGTCCTGGCCAATTCCCATCATACCAATCCAACGACCAGTCCGCAGCCGCACGTGCAATGTCGAACTCTTTATCAGGGTTTTTGAGCAACTTGTGGTTTGCGCGATCGTGATACGCCAGTAAAACAGCGCGCGTCAAGTCGGTGTCGTCTGTTGCATGGCCGGCTGGCCAGCCGAATGTTCCACCACCGATGATGTCGCGCAAGCCATTTGGGAAGTTCTTCTTGATCTCCCGCCATGAGTCGAATTCGAGGGTCGCGCCGAGCGAATCTCCAGCGTGAACTCCTAGGAGCGCACCCAAGGTTTTGGAGAGTCGAGCCGAAGCTGGTTGTGCTGGTATAGCCATGATGATTTGAAAGGAAAGGAGGTGGTGAGGTACGTCGTAGATCGTCCCTCAATATTAAGGTCAGTTGCCGCAGGCAACAGTGAACAAACAAAACGCCACGAGTGGTGAGTCAGGGAACGGATCGGACACAGCCACAGTGGCGCAGTCTCTTGTGTCGGCGTCGGTCCCACACACTACTCTGGAGACAGATCAACTTCGAAGGTAGTACTTGATAATCATACGAGTTGAAGAAGGAGGAAACAAGACGTCGGAGTTGCTACGCTAGTGTGCGTGGGGAACAGTACATCACGCTAAGCCGCTTCTAGTATCACATCGCCTTGCTTTCCATCTCGAGGCTGGCTTCTCTTTCTTCGACAATGAACTCTCCACGTTTCCGCGTGGTATAGTGGCCTTGTTGAGCAATGCTCTGGAAAATTCTCGCATACTATTCTTAACAACGCGCTATGCTCGTATCCTGACGCAGAACTACCGAGCGGCTAATCACTCATTGGTCTCAACGTCCGATTTACGAGCCTCATCCTCTCTCCAACACGCCCCATCCGTCATCGCTCCCCCACAGAGAAGCCTTGTGGAACCTATGTCGCGCAGATCGCCACACCCGTCTCTAGCACTGCACTCATTCGCCGATTGGAAGCTTGGCAAGCTTATACTTACGCCGCATTCACGCCGACGACTGGGCGATCTCTGGGCCCACCACCAGTGAAATGCTTATCCGATGCCATGTGTTTATAGGACATGATCTGTATGCGAGTACGACGTTTGATAGTCATTAAGTACGGGAATAAGTGGAGCCGCATTCGACTACGGCATATACCCGAGGAACCTCATACCAGACAGTCATGTGTCTAACATCGTGTTCGCAATCTTTACTTAGGGTATGGAGTGGGTCTTAGCTTCTAACACCCCCATGGAGTTGTGACTTTGTCAATCGCTCGGGTTCCTCGTTTTGTTCATTTGCAACCTCCGAGCTCGACACAGGATATACTGCTTCAAGAAGCTGCAATGCTTCGTGATGTCGATCACTGGCTTCCACCAACACTTGAGATACATACAATGTGATGGAAATAGACAGATCGGCTCCGGCTCTACTAACAAATGGACTCCATCCCTTGAGCATTGTCAACCGCCCTGCCTACCGATTCTCTGCGCCACCAAGTACGACCTTAGCAAGCGTAGTCTCAGAGACCGCGAAAGCACATAAATAGGCCCTCGATTCTCACCTCTGAACCCATCATCACAACATTCTCAAGCATCACATCCAACCAACACTCAATTTACACACTTCGCTTCCACAGCACCACCTCTCCACAAGCAACAATCACAATGTACACCTCCACCATCATCTCCACCCTCTTCGCCGCGGCCGCCCTCGCTGCTCCTGCCAGCAACGTCGCCTCCAATGCGCCCCGCGCCGAGGCTCGCGTCCAAGCTGCGCAGGCTCATCTCGACGCCTTGACTGCCAATGGCTGCAATGTGCTAGGTATGTCTGGACACCGCAGAAGTTTCACCTGCCAGACATCGCGCTAACACGGAAAAGGCTGCCTTGCCGCCGTCGCACCCTCCTCTGCTACCTGCGCGGCTGCCTTGGCCGAGGCTGGAGCCAATCCCGTCGCTGATATCGCTTGCTTTGCTGGTGTTGTTGCTCTCATGGGTAACCCGGTACGTATGAATGAGTGGTAGATTGTGAGTTTGACTAACAATGGATAGCCTGCTTCTTGCTCTGGCTGCTAGAGGGTCAGACTGCTTGGGAGTGAAGTACCATATGTAAAATCTTCTGATTAGGGAGGGGAATTGTAAGGGATGGGGTGGCTTGACAAGGCATGCGGTGGGGGAATTCACTCGCTAGAGTCATGTATATACGCGAATGGTGATTTTGTCCCTTGAGGCCTGCTGTAGAAAGATCTACGACTTGTGAATACAAGCGAAGCGAAAGCGTCCAATACTGCCCAAACAGAGCTGGTAACGTACTACCTCCAGAAGCACATCCTGTCAGTGCAATCGCCCGGCTCCAACAAACTACATCCTTGATCTTCCTCAACTAACGATCTAATTCACAACGACCACTGGCCTCGGCGCGAGCCTCGTCCCACGATCAAACAAATTCTCAGGATCATACTTCTGCTTCAGCTCCACCAGCTTCTTCGCATTCCTGCCATATACCTCGCTCGCAGGGACGTCCGGGTTCACATAGTTGCCGTAGACACCGACGCCCTCCGCAGACCGCACGTCCGCGTCTTGCTGCACGCCTGCGGCTTGCGACGCGCGCTTGAGCAGGGCGCGGGAGAAGTCGCGGACTTTTTCATCGAGGGCGGGATCGGCCCTGCCACATGCTCGTTAGTATGGCACCATAGCCTTCCCTCCACCATATCGCCTCGCCACAAGACCTCCCGCCGAGATAACGAAGTCGTAAAAAAAGGGTGCAGTGTGGGGGACTTACCACTTCATCATGGTCGCAAGATTATAATATTCCCCGCGATTACTAAACGCCATCTTCTCGTTCGGCACCTTGACTACCTCCTTGTATGGAATCGTCTCAAACAGCATAATCGACTCGGTCATATCCGGCTGGCTGGTGCTAAACCCGATGAACTCGTCAAACAGAGCTTGCACAAAGGGCGGCGCCAGGGGCAGCTTGTACGCGCCGCCGCCGAACATTTTGCGCCCGCCGAAGCCCTGCCCCTCGTTCATGCACGCGTTGAGCTTCTCGTAGGGCATCATGGACGTCAAGTTGGCCACGGGGCCCAGGTCGAGGAGGGGTTGAAAAAAGGTGGTACCTTCTTCGTATGTGCCGTTGTGGAAGAGTTGGGTGAGAATGACGGGTGCGTTGGCGGGGGGTGGGCAGGTGAAGCCCAGGAGCATGACTTGGTTGCCGTCATTGCTGGTGTGGAAGGTATTCAAGAAGTCGACGACTTGCGGGAGCTTGTCGGGCAGGAAAATGAGCGGGCCTGCGAAGACGGGGTTGGGCTGCGGATGCCCCTGGAACGTGAAGGCCGTGACGACGCCGAAGTTCTATGTCGAGCCATCAGATCACTACGCGAATATCAACATGAAGGAGAACATACCTGCCCAGCTCCCCTGATGGCCCAGAACAAATCCGTATTCGACGTCTCACTCGCCACAACCTGCTCCCCGCTCGCCAGAACGACTTCCACCTCCAGCAGATTATCTATCTCCCATATCAGCCCTCGACCTCCTCACACCTGAACAGAAACTATATAGGAAGTAAGAACATACCAACAGTCAACCCATACTTCCCACTCAAATACCCGTACCCCCCACCTAACGTGAGCCCTCCAACACCTGTGTGATTCACCGTCCCCCCCACAGCCGCAAGCCCGTACTTGGCCGCCTCTTCATCGACATCGACCCACAATGCCCCACCCTCCGCCTTAATGGTCTTCTTGCCAGCGTCGACGGTGACGCCGCGCATGAGGGAGAGATCGATGACGAGCCCGTCGTCAATGGAGGCACTGCCGGAGGTGGAGTGCCCGCCGCCGCGCACGACAAAGGGGATTTTGTTCGCCTTAACGAAGTTTACGGTGGTGGAGGCGTCGGCTGCGGAGGTGATTTTCACGACGCAGGACTGGGGGTATTAGTTTGGCGTGTGGGGAGATAGGAGGGGTGGGGGAAAAAGGAGAGGCATACAGCACGCTTCTCGCAGTGCTCGCTCCACCGCTTGATACTTTCTTCGTACTTGTCTCCATCGCTGGGTAGTAGGACTTCCGCTTTGCTGGATGCCAACTGCGTCTTTAGCTCGGCGTAGAGATTCGGTGCGCTGTCCATTTTGATGAGTGTGTTATCTCTTTCTCTTCCTTCTTCCTAATTCTTGTATGTAAGGATGGTGTTCTGTGAAATAAAGAGTCAGCGGGTATCTGGAACTACTCGAAGCAAGTTGTTTCTTTATACGCCTCCAGCGTAGCTAAGCTCTTACATCCAGTACGCCTGACACTAGCCCCCCTTCGTATTCTCGTGCTAGAGGCCGAATATACTGCTAGTGATGATGGGAACTGGGTACGTACAAGTGAGTCTATAGCTGTGTAAGTTTAGCTGATAGTGTTTCTTGACCGTACTGCTGAATTAAAAGACTGCGCCACGCGGAACTCACACTTGCTCTAAAACTGCTGTCGCTGTTTGAAGAAAACAATATATGTATGTCGAAGACGTTGCAGTGCTGCCTCGGTGCACTTTCGGCTGAGAGATTAAGGTAAGCGCGGGCTTATTATGTGCATTGGACCGTCAGCAGTGGGATCTGTCGGCTGCAAGCCCCGCCGCTACTTAGTAAGCGCTACTGTTCGCGGTAGGGATGTACAGCCCACACTGGGAATGAGAACATGCGGAGTAGTCTAGTGGCGTGGCGGCTAACGTAGGGGGGGGGGGGGACAGTGCAATACCCGCATTGCTACCCATATATCGTTGGTCATGTATCCAAGCATGTTGGGGATCACGTGAGACGAAAGTGCCCTAGGATATCGATTCGACACGGATTTGTGATGTCGTTGATGACAGGTGTTCTGGCTAGTATTTCTTCCTCGTCTTCCTTGTTCTCTTCTTCATCGGCTCGAGGTAGGCTTCATCCTCATCACCGTCCTCCTGCCCACCAACCTCGTCTTGCACTTCAGCAGCAGCTTTCTTCCCACCTCTACGCCTCCGTTTCATCCCACCATGCGTCGACGCATTCCCATCCGCCTCTATCTCAGCCTCTCCAATCTGCCCACCTTGTCCCCCTTCTCCAACAGCACTATCCACATCCACTCCACCCCCCTTCTCCCTCTGAGCCAACCTCGTCAATGCAGCACCCAGCCGTTTCCCCGCAGCCCCCTTCCCTCTCTGCTCTCCCACCGCGCCCCTAACCCTCGGCGCAAAAGCCCCTGCCCCAACACCCCCCTCAAAAAACCTCGTAAGGTTACTCTGCGTACCCTCCTTCTCTCTTCTCGCCATGTCCTTGATCACCGGGACCAACACCTCATCAGTGCGCTCCGCACTCCACCCAATCTGACTACTCAGAAAGGACCTCAACGCATCGAGATCGGGCATGCCCCACTGAAACGGCATGGGGTCGCTGTCGACCTCAGGCTTGAGATACGCCTCCTTGACACGCGGGTCAGGAAAACCTGGGGGCAAAAACAGCTTCGTAGCCTGGGAGCGGCGAAAGCGGCGGCGGAACTGGGAATTCTTGTCGGCATCTTTGGGAATGGTGCCGCCCTGGACGCCATCCCACCACTCTCTAAAATCTGGCAGGTTTTCGAATTCGGAGAGGAGCTCTAGCGCGGTGACGGGGCCAATGCCCGGTATGCCAGTCGTGTAGTCGCTGCCGAGGAGCTGTGCGATGTCGATGAGCTTCTCGCGCGTAAGGGCGAATTCGCTGCTGAGGTCGGATGCGAGGTAGCATTCGACGAATTTGGCGGCGTTGAACATGTTCTTATAGACGCGGGTGCCGCCGAAGAGGAAGGTGTCCGAGTCATCGGTCACGATGCCGTCGACGAGGCCGAGGTGTACGAGCTCTACACACTGCGCTTCGGCTTCCATGGGTGCGGTGATATAGGGTAGTCCGAAGAGGGTGAGCAAATGTTGGCATTCTGCGACCATGGTTTGCGTCACCTCGTCGGCATCACGGCGATCCTTCTTCTGCTGTGCGCGCAATTGCTTGAGTTCTTCGTCAAAATTGACGCGAGGGCGCGAACTGTTGGTGAGCTCTTGCGCGAATCGAGCATGCTCTTCGCCTTCAGCGGCTAGAGAGGCAAAGAGTTCCGCGTCTTCAGGGTCTGAATATTGGTCGGAGCCGTCGTCTGGGATGTCGATGGGGGCATTGTCATCGGCCGTGCCACTGTATGGTACGATCGGTGCTTCGAGCTCGTCGGCGCCACCCAGGACAAAGGGTGATAGCGAGCGGCGGCGGCGAGTAGCTCGCGCGGGCTCTATGGGCACGTCTTCAAATTCAGGAGAAGGCGATGTAGCAGCTGCTGGGCAGCTTTGGGTTGCTCTATGCAATGGGACCTCCTCGAATTCTAGCGAAGGTGACTTAACTAGGGTTGGCCTAGTAGGAGCGGTCCCTATCGGCACATCTTCAAATTCAGGAGACGGGGATTTTGAAGGTTCTTTAGATGCTTGAGGTGATGGCAGTTTGGCTTGCTGCTGCGTCTGCTGCCGTCGCTCATCCTCAGGCTCGCTTTCTGACCACTCGATGGGCTCGTCTGAATCTTCTGCGAAGGGACCTTTGCCAAGCAGCGAGTTGCCTTGCTTCGATAGTGACGGTCGGTCTTCTCTTGGTGGCTGAGGGGGCTCCGCTCGAACCTTGTCGGCCAGATCACCCATGTGCAGCTTGGAGTCCACGATCACAACGTCCTCCATCTCAGCATCGTCATCGTCATCTGGTTGGACCGTGAGAACTTCCGCCAGCTCCTCGTGCGTACCCTCGGCTTCCAAGTCAACCACTTCGTGCGTGTCGTGCTTGCGAAGACGCGGTAGTTCTTGAAACTGATACATCTCGGCCTGTTCTTTGCGTGTTTGCTCCCATTCCTTCTTCGCTTCCTCTCGATTCGCTTTTAGCTCTTCCTCGATGTTTCGCTCGCCACCGCTAAACCATGGCGGGAGCGGTGCATCCTCTTTCGTTTTCTGATCTCCTGTGTCCTTTTCAAAGCCACCTGCATTCTCGGCTTCAAGCTTCTCCATCTTCTTTTTTCCCAGGAGTGAATTTCCCAGATTGAGCCTCTCAAAAGGTAGTGGGCCGTCAAACCCAGGTGCATTTGTCGATTTGACAGGCTTGGGATTGGGCGCAGGTGGAGCGGCCTTCGGTGGCGGTCTTGATGCAGCCTGGGTTGAGGTAGGCTGCTGCTTCGACTTTCTAGACTCAGCGAGCGCTGCTTGTAGATCTATACCGTCATCTTCGCTATCGCTGCCCGTGAATGGCCTAGGTACAGGAGCAACTTTGTTGGCTCTTTGATTTGCCAATCTTGCGATAGCCATGCCGGAGCCCCTAGTGCCCGCAAAAGGGTTTGTCTCCTTCGCCCGTTCCTGTTGGAATACCTCGCGGTATATGTCTTCTTCTTCCGACTCATGCTCTTCCGTTGTGCCATTGTGCTGCATCGACATCGCGATCGCCTGCTGCAGCTGTCGCTCTTCTTCGTCGTCTCCTGCGGGCTCGCCCTCGGCATCATCCTCATCAACAGGTAATGCGTCCTCCCATTCTTGTTCCTGCTCGTCGCCTGGCGCCAGAAAAAGCGAGTCGGGGTCTTGGGCTAGGTTCGCTAGTCTCGCTGGTCTGGGGGCGGTAGGCCTCGATGACTTTACTTTGCGCGAAGCATAAAATTTCCGACGTCGCCGTGTAAGTTCTTCTGAGATGAAGTCTTGGGCTTCGCGATCGCGGACGGTCATGCCAGGCGGTGGTTTCGGCAAGCGATTCAAGCCCTCAATCGGCACATCTTCGAATTCGTCTTCCTCTTCCCATTCATCATCTTCATCGAGGTTCTGAACCGGGATGTTATCCACGTCGATTGGTTTATTTGCTTTGCCCTCGTCACGGTTCGTGACCACGCCAAGTGCCCATCCTCCCTCTACGCTGTCGTTCTTCACCAGAACATACTCCCGTGCCTTGTCGCTAGCAACGCGACTAGCAGCACCAGCACCAAACCCAGAATCGTCGACCATTCCGTTGATGTTCATTAGCCGTTGCGTAAGATCGTTTCTCTCCTTCACTCTCTCAATCTGGAACCTGGAGAACGCCATGCGATCGGGGAACATAACATCGAGCTGTTCCTTCGAGTACCCCAATCTCAGCCTACTTCTCAGTCGTGCAGCATTAAGGATGTTGTATCGATCCGAGTCAGGCAAGCTCGTAAAAAAAGCTCCGTCGAAGTCGATTTTGGAGAAATCATATACATTGATATCCTCGCCGCTATCGAACTGGCGCGCATAATGCTCCAACTCCTCCAGGCTCATGATGCGCGGATCATCGGCGCCGCCCATTTCCGCGATCGAGGTGCCGAGGTCTGGGAGATGATATTGATCTTTGCGCTTGAACGTGCGATTCGCAAGGCGCTCCTGCTGGGTTTGTATGACCTCCTCCGCGTAGACTAGGTCCTCGGGTATTTCCTCTTCCTCGTCTACCTCTTGTCGCGGGCGACGTGAAGCCTCCTTGCGCTTCTTCTCCTCCTCCTCAGCGACCCTCTGCATTTGCATCGCCAGCAGCTTTCCAGCCGTGCGCACTGCATCTTCCCTCCTGCCCTCCCTTCTCGACTTGCGGTTGTTGATGGTCTGCCGCTTGAGCGCCGGTGCACCGCCGTCAAACACGAAGACGGGCTTGATGCCGAAGAAGAGGAGCTTGCATATTCTGCGGAAGAACCCGACGATGTGGGAGTTGCGGAGCGCATTGCCCTCTTTGTCGCGCACGGCTTTGAGGAACTGGTAGATCCAGATGGAGGCGTCCACGGCGAGGCGCTTCTTGTTCAGCGTTTCGATCTTGATGGGGCGGGCGCAGGGCTGGAGAACGGTCCAGAGACCGGTGACACCCATGGCGGCTGTCGCGAGTGGCTTATCATCGAGGACGACGGGGTGGGCGAGTCAGACAACAATTGTGAAGGGAGACTTGAGGTCGACAGTGCTGCCTTGTGACTCCGCGTCAATGACGTGCATAGTGGCGTCGATGCCAAGCTCTGGCGCGTTATGATACGCGCATACTTCCTTCACGACTGGCTTTGCATGATTTCCCATAATGCCAACCTAGCGCTCATCACTGCATACAGATATCAATTCGAGTGCTTTTGGAGTATGTTCATTTCGTTACAGTGCCAGTTCCTTCCGTCTACAATACACCACAATAACACAATCAAGCAGGTAATTCTAAGTCTCGCTACCTTGCCTCCCCCCAGCCCAATCTCAAACACCTGGCTTTTGTTGATCGTTGGGAGGCCGTTTCAGGCCTACAACCTCGGATCTCAAGCCGCGATGCGAGATCAGGACTGAGGGTCAGTTCAACCACTAGGAGTAGAACAACCTGCAGAAAAGACCAACCCAAACGCCAGACCGTGGCCATGCAGAACACAAAGCCACCCATCAAAACAAGAACTCCGACAACAATCGTACAAGCGATTGCCTCCCAAGGGTATTTTCCAACCGCCCAACCAAATCACAAACACCGTTTTATGCAATGCATGCCCGAAGGCTTTGATCCATTGATGGATAAGGAAGAAAAGACGCAATGTCATTTAGAAAAGAGGCCGGAACTTCTTTGCGGGAGTCGCGGTGACGCTGCCACCGAAAGTCTCAGATGCTGTCCTCTTCTTGTGGGTGGACAAGAAGTTCGTAGCCGGAGCAACACGAGAGGCGGTAGGGGTGGAAGGCACTCCCTTGTTGAGCAAAGCTGAGAGTCTGCCAGGCCTCTGCACGCTCATAGTCGAGGACTTGACCGGGCCCTGTCCGAGCAAGGTGGACTTCTTGGCGTGTTGGTCGAACCAGGTGTCCGCAGCAGCAGGCGCAAAGTCAACAGAGGCGGGCTTCGGAGGGCTCTGGCCAAATAGAGACCCGTTCTTGTTCGGGGACATCTTTGAGAAATTGAGTTTTGGGTTCACAGCGAAAAGTGGGCCCTTGATGGGTGGCTGGCTCTGCCCATTCTTCGGGGTTGGCGCGAAGAGAGGGCATTTGATGGGGCCTTGACTGAACAGGGAGTCTTTTGCTGCGTTCTCTCCAAGCTTTGGAGCCGTGGCGAAGAGCGGACCCTTGATCGGAGGCTGGTCGAACAATGACTCCTTGGCGGCGGTCTGTCCAAACAACGAGCTCTTGACAGCAGGCTGGCTGAACATGGCGCTCTTGATGGGACGCTCACTAAACATGGAGCTCTTGATAGGCGCCTCACGAAGCAGACTCTCTTTGGTAGGGGTCTTCGCAGCAGCGGATAGGGCCTGCGCCTTGCGCCATGGCTTCCTCGCTGGAGCGGACAAGGAAAACTTCTTAAAGAAGGTGCTGTCCTCCCAGTTGCTACCGTTGTTCTCCTTGTCTTCAATTGTGTCCACGGACCGGTCAAAATCGGAAGAGGTAGGCGTGGCTGGAAGGTCCTCAATGGACTTCGCCGCAGAGCTTGACTCAATATTATTGAGGAACCTCGTTGGTGTCTTCGCGGGGGTAAAGAAATCACGCCTCCTGGGAGCACGAGACACAGGCGTGCACACGGACACCGTATCCAGGTCGATGGCGAACTTGCTCTCGTCTACGCGCTTCTTTGTCGCCTCGACCTCCATCAGCCAGCCGGTATTGATGCACTTGACCGCACCATTGGAGGCGCGAACCTTGTCAATGGTATCTTGCGAGCCGTCCTTGAAGATGACGTGGGTCAATTCGGTATTCTCGGTCCACTCGCGGACGACCTGGGCACCGAAGTCTTCGAGCGAAGTTACATAAAACAGACTTTGGTCTTCGCCCTTGGAAGTCACATCGACCAAGAAGCGCATGCCGTGGAGAAGCATAGCCAGGTCGAAGGTGTCGTCCTCTTCGGTCTCGAAGTCCTCCGGCCAGGTAACCTGCTTCTTCGGAGTCTTCGTGCCATTCTTAAGCGGCGAGCGAAGAGCAGACTTGGTTGGGGAAGCACGGGCAGCCGACTTTGGAGGGGCCAGCGTGGGCGCCAGGCTGAGGCTGCCGTCGATGCTGAAGTTGACCTTGGGAGGCGGTGTAGTCTTGATAGTGTACTCTTCACCGTCGACCTCCATAAGGTCCGCTTCGGTGACCTCGAGAGCTGATACGAACTCCTCGGTGGCACTATCGCTGGGTGGTGCCTCGGGTGTGCCGTGGGCTTGTGCTGGAGAGCTTGCAGCATCCTTAGGCGCTGGGGTGTTTGGATAACCGGGGAGCTGGTCAAGACCCTGCTTGATGGTCATAATGTGAGCCGGCGTGGTGGGATAGTCGACAGGAAGCTCCCGAAGTGCCTGTCGCGAAGATACCGGAGCCATGATATGTGCCGGCGTGGTAGGGTAGTCGATGGGCAACTCCCGAAGTGCCTCTCG